TTTGACAAACGATTCATGTATGAAGAGTCGTTTCAAATGCCATTTCTTATCCGATATCCCTGTGAGATCCGGCCGGCCTCTGTCTGTGACGATATAATCTGCAATGTCGATTTTGCTTCAACGTTCCTAGACCTAGCAGGTTTGGTTATTCCATCGTATATGCAAGGCCGGTCATTTCGGGCTTTACTACAGGGTGCTACGCCGGCAGACTGGCCTCAAATCGCCTATCACCGCTACTGGATGCACCGCGACGAGCATCACAATGCCTATGCACACTACGGAGTCCGTAACCAGCGCTACAAGCTGATATTCTGGTACAATAAGGGGTTAGATCTGCCTGGCACCCGCAACAAGGGCGACGATGATGAACAAGAGTGGGAGCTTTTTGACTGCGATAAAGATCCACTGGAGTTGGTCAATGTTTACAATCTGCCAGAGTATGCCGATATCGTGCAAGAACTGACTAGCCAATTGGACATCAAAATGACTGAGATTGGTGACGAGCCGGAACATGAAGCTTACTCTGCGCGCCATCACGCATAAATCTCACCCATGGACAATGCGGGATTCTGTTCAGCAGATAATCTTGCCAATTTACTTCCTGTCGGCCAGTTCGCTACGTCGCAGACAGAAGATTTTGGTGGGAATGCCACACATAGATGCCTAGACTGTGACTCCATGGGAGGAAAGCGCTCGCACCTCATTCCAGATCGGGCGAGGGTGATGTCACCCTGTACTCAGCAGCGGCAGACAGGCAGCCTGATTCTACAGAGGCATACGTAGAAATTAGTGACTTGATTCCTAAGCAGACATAACCATCGCCAATTGATGGAAGACAGGCCAGTGCTGAGAGGGGGGGGTCCAGAAGGGCCTATATGCTTCCTGCTGGTGGGAGCGTTTCCGACCGATCATGGCATGTTTCCCCATCCTGGCTTCGAGCGTCCACGATTACCTGCGATATCGACCAAACATTCAGCTGCCAGCTGGCAGGGCCTCGAACTCCTACGGTAGAAAGCCGACAATGAGAGACAGCCTCAGTCGGGGTTGCGAGTCCGCTCACACATCCCATGCTGGCCGACGAAATGCAATACCTAATACCAGAGGAGGGCGTCCCCACAACCAAGGTGACCTGTGGCGGCTGAAAACACGAGAAGGACACTGTCACACCAATTAAACTGTTGCTTCGAGTGAAGAAATGGACAGGGTGCAGGAGGTGTGGAGTGACTTGACCCGATAGGCAGCGAAATGTGGTCGACATGTCGAAAGCCTTGCCTGGCTCAGCTGCAGAGGGGGAAAAATGGCGCAGAGCTTTTCAATTGGAGGCTCGTTGACTGGGGTTGAGTCGTCTTGTGCAGCTAACAGCTAATACATCCTTCAAGGAGTGTGAGAGCTTAGAGCGCCCAGTGTAGACACATGCAGCGGAAACCTCGTTGCCATGTGGCATGAGGCTGTTTGATCCTGGGCCAGAGTTTGACCTTTCACCGGTGTCGTTAGAAAAATCTATCTTGTTATTTCCATCTATCGCGGATGTTTTTCGATCTGTCCAACACCTGGATTGCAACCAGCACCACAGATCTCGCTGCACTGTCGTTACTTCAATACTGGGATTCCACTGTGAGTGCCACGTCTGGCAACAAGTCTGCCGAAGAAGCCGAACTTCTAGAGAAACTAGATGAGCTCCCGGGGTCTTCTCCTCTTTGCCATGAAAGGTTGGGAGGAGCGCAGGGCCGGAGCCAGATGCAAATGGCCAAAACGCGTCTCCACCACGCCGCAGCGAGTGGAGACGCCAATACCGTACAGGCCATCGTCGGGGGGGGGGGGGGGGGGGACAGTTCGACGGGTTTTATGTCAAGGATAGGACCCAGCACATGCCACTCTGCCACGCATGGGGGATGGGCACAGAAATGTAGTCGGCTTGCACTGTGGCAGCCTGACCGGTCAAGGAACAATGGACAGAACCTACTGTCGATCTAAGCTTAACCTGGGAGCTGGGGCCCACTTCCGGAGCGTTCCACTGCGGAGGAACGTGCGGGAAGACCTTGAAATACGTACGGAGTACGGAGTACTGAAGAGGGTCTAGGACGAGGAGAGAGATGGTGTGGGATGCGTGCTTGGGATACATGAGCTAGCTAAGATGGTGGAGGGTTGGGGGCCGAGGGGGGGAGGTGGGTGCCTGTGGTGGGGTAAGCCAAGGATGGCGCAAAAGTACCTACTTGTACAACGGTCGCCGGGGTATTAACTTTTAGCGGCGGAAGACGGACCGACGCGGGCGTCCATTTTCTCGCGGGGGCAACGCTCCCAGTTTTCTACCCCGGATTTCATTTCACTTCTGCTTTAGTTGCCGTTTCCTGGCCTCTTGCTGTCTTGCTCGCAGAAATTCCTGGTCGGTGAGGATGAGCGCGACTTTACAAAACGGCGTCTTTTTTATCTGATCTCCTCTCCATCAGAAACTTCTGGTGTTGCGCGTCCAGAACCCCCGGGCAGGTGTGGTTTGCTCCGCGCTGAGCCGCTCGCCTTCCGACCTCCGCCACTAGCTCTTCACGATTACTCCCGTATCCGGATACGAAGGATGGTACACCATCAGGAATGTGGCTACAGAGACAGTACTGGACATCGACCATGGCCGCAGACCCCGGTGCTTGCATGGCCATACAATGGCAGGGATAATCAGAAGTGGCGCTTTCACAGCGTGGGAGGAAACCTCCCGTGAGCGCCCGTTCAAATCAAGAAAGAAGACCCGGGCTAATATCAGGGCGGCACAGCACACGATACTTCTTCATCAACTATATGACCGGCACAGTCCTCGACCTGTGCGGGTCCCGCACTACGGATGGGACGTCGATTTTAGGATATACTCGTCATGGTGGCATCAACCAACAGTGGGAGTTCGTCGCGGCGGAAGAGAGCATGGTTGTCCGCCCGCGCAGCGTGCCAATGCCGGAGGTATGGCTTGTGGAAAAGATAGTTGAGAAGATTGTTCCCGGCCCAGAGAGAGTCGTCGAAAAGGAGAAAATCGTAGAGAAAATTGTCCCGGGTCCGGAGAGAGTCGTGGAGAAGACCGTGGAGAAGACCGTAGATAATCCGGATTTGCTAGGGAAGATAGATGAGCTTCGGGGCCAGCCGTACAGAGCTATGAAAGGGTGGGAGGAATGTCGGAGAGGAATCACGCAAGGAGATTGAATGCTAAGGCTTGAAGGCTTCCCGCCGAGTGGTGACGAGTATTGTCACGCAAGTTGCGCGGTGGGATGATATGGCTATATCCCCTCTATTCATCCAAAATCGAAGGCTTGGTGGGCCCAAAGACCAGCTGGAGAAGCAGTATAGGAGGAGCCTAGCTAAGTAGTTTGACCAAACTAGAATGGACGACGGAATTGGATCCCCTAGCATCTCGAACGGGCCCGTCGTCTAAAGTTAACGAAAGTTAGTGTTGTGAATGACGACGAAGAAAGAAGGCGGACGATAGGTTCTTCGTCGGAGACTGCCTTTATTACTCGAGAACGAAAAACCTGATTGCTATTTACGGTTTGGTCCTAGAGGGTGAGCGAAGGTCGCTTTAACTGAGCCTTTAGCTGAGCATCACTGAGGGCTCCCTATACATTCCCTGAGTAAACACACCGGAGGCCTAATCTGGTCCCTTACGATCGGCTATTCCTGCCTCTCGGCTAGGCATCTGTTTCGAATGGACCTCAGGAAGCCTGGCGGATGCCCCGTCCTTACGCTGCAGCCTAAATTTCCTTGTAATCCTTGGGCCTAGCGGTGTGATAGGGGTGCGCGGTTGATTCGTACGTCGTACTGAGAGTAAGGAATCTGATCAAGTAAAATAGTGGTCTAGACACTAAGACGCTTCAAGTTTCCGTTAAAACTACGAGCAACCAACGGCCAGAAGCGACGGCGCGGCGACTCGTTGCTCCCCGTAATCCTGCCCAATGAGTTCCACACCATCGTAAACTTTTGGTTAGCTGTCTTGCCGCCGAACTAAATGCAGACAACTACTGAGTGTAAGGTGTCTGCAGATTTTGACAAGCAATTCCATGTCACCAAAACAGCGATGTACTCCATACGGTCAAGATCAGGAATATACGACTTCTAAATGCCCCAAAGCATGATATCTTACCCGCCACCGATGTCCGGCCCAAGTCTTTATACAAGCGCGTTCCAACCGGCCCAGAACTTTTCCGGAGGGCAAGAGAACAACGTCGAACGCAGAACTCGAGCGAGTAGGTGGTAGTGCAAATTTTAGAGCATATTACCACCTATAGTGCTGGAGAGACATCCCTCGAGCTCAAAATCAGTGGACTGGGTTGATTTCTAAACTGTCCACAGGACTCAACCTTTCCACGACGACCCTTGGGTCACAGTCCGCAGCCTTACGGCTCTGCCTCGTTCCTGATTAGGAAGGCTAGCCGAGTAAGCACTCAACGCTGGGATTGTCTCGGGAGCGCGACTGGGGAGCGGCGAGTGTCGTACCGGCGCGACTTCGAAGCGATCCAAAGAGGCAAGAATTAGGGCAATAGTTGGCTGTAAGACTCGTGTTCAGAGGCCAAGAATGACGGCGCGAACGCTAAAAACAGGCGTCGACTCAACATTTAGTGCATGCACTCCATATTGGACGATCAACAGTCCATTTTCGACGCACTGCATCGGCCACGTCAGCAGAGAATGCTCTTATCTGAAAATAACCCCGCCTCTTCTCTCACCACCTACGTCGGAAACTTCGCAGGTCGAGTAAGGACTATTCTCTTCGCCAGAACTCTGAATTTTTCCTGCCTCCGGGGCAAGCTCATATACATCACGAGTAAAGTGTGACGGTCTCATCTCCATTGCGCACACCACAGTGACCGCTCCTGGCCCGAAGATTTCGACGATTTAGAGCGCACCCCATATAACAGTTGAATCAAACTTTTAATTACTACTGCCCTGCCAAAGTCGACGCCTGAGTCGAGGGTTTTTTCTCCTATCTTCCGATAACCCTTACCTCCCATTTGTGATCATACCGAGCGATGTCGGATTTGGATCCCGAGCTCTATACGGTGGCATGGTTCGCCCCTCTAGAGATCGAGGCACAAGCTGCCTTGCATATGCTGGATAATAGACATCAGGGGCGATTTCCGATGGGTCCCGGTGACGACTATGTGTTCCAAGCTGGGGACATGTGCGGACATAATGTCATCATTGCAACCCTTCCTGCAGGCCAAGAATATGGTAAAGGATCTGCTGCCGCCATCGCCAGCCAGGTGAAGAAGTTCTTTCCTAACCTATGGTTTGGATTGTTGGTTGGTGTTGCTGCCGGCCTCCCCAACCTCTCGCGAAGTCCGCCGCTTGACATCCGTCTTGGCGACGTTCTTGTGGGCCTTCCTACTAATGAGAGCGCCGGACTCGTGGACTATGAGTTGGGTAAAGAGACAGGGAAGGACGGATTTCAGCTCTTGCGCTGCGGGCGGGTCTTGGCACCTCCCGAAACCGTTGTGAGGGCGGCGATCGGCAGTATTAAGCTCTCAGCACCGAATGATGCGAAGATGATCCTTCCAAATTACGAGAGGATTCGAAACAAAAAACATTCCCATGGCACATTTATGGACCCGGGCCAAGAGCAAGATGTACTATACCAAGTTGACGATGACGGTAACGAGATTCGTGTGGAACGAGAAAGACGATCAAACGACGAGCGTGTTCGACTGTGGTATGGTACTATAGGTTCCGGGGACAAGCTGATGAAGAATGCTCGAATACGGAATGAGCTGAGAGACAAGTACAACTTCATCGGCCTCGAGATGGAGGCGGCGGGGACCATGAACCGCATTCCCGTTGGCGTCATTCGAGGGGTCTGTGACTATGGGGATGAACACAAGAATAAGCACTGGCAGCCATATGCAGCGGCCATGGCTGCTGCCTATGCTAGGGCTATCTTGTTCGAGATCCGGCCCAGAACTAAGCTAAGTGATCCAGTGGCTCCACGGAATGGTCAGTACGATGGACGAAATACACCATTTTCAAAGAAGGCTCTTTCTACCTAAATCAGATCTTAACTCCATGTCCTTTGTCTGTCTAGCACTAACATATAACATTAGTGGCACCTCGGGCGACGATCATGGACGACAAAGGCAAGAAGCGCAGGTTCGACGAAGAACATCCTGCCTCAATGAGGAATAGTGGACGCAAGAAGCGCCGTGGCAACAAAAATCTTGCCAAGGCCAGCAGCAGCAATGCAGGAGGCGCTCAGTCTATCTCCAGCGGACAGGGAATTCAAATGTCTGGTGGGAGCTTCTCAGCCGGAGGAAACGTAACCTTAGGTGAGGGATAATGGCATGCGCGAAGGTATTCGGTTTCGATTGTTGATGAATAAGTTAGTACATACTAACGAATTGACCATGACTTGTAATGAATCCGTAGGTATGTTAGATTGGGAAATTCCCTTGCCCCTCCCCCAGAAGTAACCTGGCAGATTGTACTGTTCTGACTCGGGAAAATTCTAGATGATCACCGAAATAGCAATGTGCGGTATTTCAGATCCCGTAATGTTAGCAGCAACTTCACTGGTCGCGTCGACGTGTTGAGGAAGATCGAGAATGCTCTGTTAGCTCCATTGAGAAATGGATCCCATTCACAACAAAACAGGTTCGTTCTGTATGGGCTAGGAGGATCGGGAAAAACTCAAGTATGTGCAAAGTTTGCTGAGGAACATCGTGACAGGTGACTCGCCCTGGTTAAAGACCAGCCGTGTTAGTTTTGTTGCTAAGTAATGTCAGATTTTGGGGAGTTTTTTGGGTAGACGCCACTAGCACCGAAACTGCGGAACAGTCCTTCAAGGATATCGCGAAGATTGGCGGACTCCCAGAAGTTTTCGAGAACGGAAGGCTTTGGCTTTCTAGTCGAACTGAGGAATGGCTTCTTATAGTCGACAACGCCGACGATCCATCGACGGATATTGCAAACTACTTTCCACCGGGCAACAGAGGCAGCGTGTTGATAACGAGCAGGAATCCAGATTGCAGGGTATATGGAAGCCAACATGAACACAGTCATCGGCTTAATGAGTTGGAGATGGAAGACAGCATAACCCTGCTACTAAGAACAGCTCTCAAGGATGTGAAGGACCGAAGCAACCGTTTGCAGGCGGGACTAATTGCAAAGGAATTAGGATGCCTCGCCCTCGCTGTTGTCCAAGCCGGCGCAGCGATTCGCAAAGATCGCTGCCGCCTAGAAGACTACCTCAACGTCTATGAGCGAAACCGGGAGGAGCTGATGAAAAACCACCCTGGGCAGGGTATGGATGGGTACCAACATACCGTTTACACGACTTGGGAAATCTCTCGCCAGATGATTGAACGCCTTGATTCCAAGTCCTCTTCGGACGCAATGGACCTCTTGGATATTTCCGCCTTCCTGTACTTCGAAGATATTCCAGAATTGATCTTCCAGCAGGCGCCAAAACAAGAGCAAAAACACAGCCGATTCATGAGTTGGATTACTTGGGCGAAATCCAACCCGAAACCGTCTCCTGATCGAGACCAGGATTGGGTTCGTCAGGCTGTTGTCCTGTTATCGTCATTCTGTCTCATAACAATTAACACGGAGAGGACGAGCTTCTCAATGCACCGTCTAGTGCATTCATGGTCGCGAAATCGGTTAAGTGCGCAAGCCCAACAGTTGTGCAGACGCTCTGCGGCCTCTATGCTGGAAAATTCAATCAGTTGGAGACGAGAAAGTGCGGATTGCGCTTTTCGGAGGCGTTTACGGCAGCATGTTGACTTCCTCCTCCATAATGACAGGATACCTGGGAAGAAGAGGGATCCAGCGCTCGAACCAAGCCAGTACCAACGAGCCGCCAAATTTGGGCTCGTATTCAGCGACAGCGGGAAGTATACTCCTGCAGAAGAACTATACCGGATCGCTTTGACGGAGATGGAGAAAATTCTGGGTAGAGAACATCCGGAAACGTTGCAAACTCTTGATAGCTTGGCATCAGTGTTGCGAAACCAAGGTAAGTACAAGGACGCTTTCAAGGCGAGCGAGCGCGCGTTGCGATGCAGGGAAAGGAAACTTGGAAACATGCACCAGGATACGCTCAAAACTCTCGACCACATGGCTTTGGCGTTACAGGGTCAGGGGAACTACAAAGAAGCCGAAATCCAACACAAAGACGTATTGGACAGAAAAGAGAAGCTGCTCGGGAAAGAGCATGTGGATACTCTTGAAAGTCTCAACAACCTTGCTCTCACCCTACGAAGCGAAGGACAATACGCGGCAGCTGCAGAGATGGCGAGCCGAGCATTGGCTGCTAGGGAGAAGGTACTCGGAGAAGAGCACCCGGATACAATGGAAAGTTTGAATAATCTAGCCACGGTGCTCGAGGACCAAGCACAATATCAAGCCGCGGAGGAAATGCATAGAGTGGCACTTGATCGAAGACAGAGGTTGCTTGGAAATGAGCACCCAGATACGCTGACGAGCATGAGCCGACTGGCTTATGTCCTTCGAAAGCAAGGCAAACACGGAGCTTCCGAACAGATGACTCGACAGACGCTAGAGGGAAGAAATAAGGCTCTTGGTCCGTTGCATCCGGATACGCTAGCAAGCGAAAGCTATTTGGCAGGATTGTTTCAGGACCAAAACAACTATGAGGCTGCCGAACAGATGAACCGGCATGCCCTAGGGGGCTACGAGCAGGGATTAGGGGAGCTCCACCCAGACACCTTGACCGTCATGAGCAACCTTGCAACCGCCTTTCGGATGCAAGCGAAATACGGCCCAGCCGAGGAGATGAATCGGCAGGTACTGGCTAAAAGGGAGCTAGCACTAGGAAAGGACCATCCCGACACACTCATGAGCGTAAATAATCTAGGAGAAGTTCTGCAGGCGCAGAAGAAATACCAGGAAGCCGAAGAGTTGCATCGCCGAGCTCTGCAGGCGAAAGAAGCATCCGAAGATATTGGTCCGTGGCATCCAGACACGATTGCAAGCATGCTGAATTTGGCATGGACGTTACAACTTCAGGAGAAATACGACGAAGCTGAAGAGTTAAACCGAGGAGCATTTTCATCTTCTGAACGCAAACTTGGCCCAGCAGACCGCCTGACATTGAAAAGCGCGTTCCATCTCGGGTTCTTGCTCCATCGTCGAAAGAAGTATGTCGAGGCACACCATCGTTATCAGCAGGCATGGGATGGCTATAAGAACGAACAGAGCCGGGAGGCTTCTGTGTGCCTCAAACATTTCAAGAACTTAAGCGCAGAAATGAGTGATCTTGGTATCGTTGGGTCTCTTCAGGATCACACTGACTGGCGTAGCTTTTCAACTCAAAGCGACGGTATCCTCTACAGGGAAACAGTACCTCAAGGGTCCGAGGTCTCAGATAGGTATCCTGGCACGGCCAACTCCGAGCCTGGTCGCCCTAGCAAGGAAAGACGTCGCGGCTCGGCATCTTCAGACAAGCCCGGAAACTCTAAGGCAAAGAAATAAAAGAAAACGATGACTTGAGCAGCGGCGAGACCCAGCAAGTCCCACGTGCTTTAGCGCCTTATAAACGCTAATTTGCTCAATAGGGAATTGCCTCAATTTTTCGGAAATCATGGGATATGTCGAGAGAACAGCCATTTCCTTCGAAGGGTGGAGCCCTTATACATCAGTCTTGATGTTCTGTGATACGATTCAGGGAGGTTGATAATGCGTATTTCTTCGGGACCCTCTTACCACATAGGTATACAGGTTATGATTTGCCACGCCTTCGACGACCTCTGCCGAATTTCTTATTCAGGGCCTCCAATAACAATGTCCCCTCTAGGCCCTTCATGTGGTGCACGTGCCCACTGCTCTGGTGGACGTCTGGCAGGCGGTGGAGAGCCTGAGTCTTCTTCGCCAAACTCTATTTGTTTTTCTCTTTTTGCATGTAATGAAACCCTGTTTTGGTAGGCGTAGATTGAATATCCGACGATAGCGAGGACGACAAAGAGGATGATGATGATGATTGCGATGACGTCGTTTGGTCGGACCATGGTGTTGAATGAGTGGGTTGCCGGCAGATCGAATGAATGCTTTATCCTTGTAGAGAAGCAATATAAAGCGTTGGAGCGTACACGGGTTTGCTCGACCACGATATGATCGTCTTTCGATTGCGGACATGCCAGTGTTGTTGAACCTTTAGTGGTTGGTTGGCGTGGTTACCGAGTCTTGGCATGTATCAGGGTTTGCCTTCTGTCGATTGCAAGCTGGCTGCCAAGGGAACAGAACCGGCTGCGGTCATCGATGGACAGCGAAATAGCTCGGAGATTCGTACGAGGCCATTCATGGAACACTCTCTATAGGAGTTAGTTGTAAAATTAGTTGCGAAGCGGATGGAGATGGTTGTGTTTGCGCTGTGCGCTGGTGTTTGGATCTAAGGATGGGTTTGGAGGTCAGGTTGGATTGCGGGTCAGCGGAATGTGAAAGGGAAAGCTTTCAAGCCGCGGAGCGACCACTAGTCTCTTGGTCCCGCTTAGTATAAATGCTCCTGTCGCTATCTCTCGCAGTCTGTGTGGCTGTAGGAGTCCCCCATTGAGTTAAGAATGTTCGTTGATGTTCCCTCTTTGCTCACAAGAACGTGTTATGAGCTGCCTTGATCACGTGAGGTGTCACTCAGCAAACCCGAGGTGGTTTACTTGGCGATATAGTGGTGGGACGGTGTAGCTTGAGACGGGAGACCAAGAGTATAGTATGCAGACCTATACGCAAAGCAGATAGTCGAGAGGAACTCGATTTTTTGATAACGAGATTGACTACGAAGGAAACCATGGGTCTCCTTCTTCCTATATAGTTGTGCTGTGCTCAGTGTGCTCAGTCGCGCTTAGTTGTGCTCAGTACTGATCACACTGAGCCACACTTGGGCGACGCCGAGCGCCTGCTCAGTACTGCTTAGTTGTGCCCGTCACGTGCCCACCGAGCGGTATTGATCGTGTGTTTCTGTGTCAAGTTCCTGCCCCTTCAAGCCATTGGTTTGGCCCAGCTGCCCTCTCCCGCCCACTCCTGGGTCCCTTTTCTGGCCGCAGGCCCTGTTCGTAACAGAACGCAACATCCAGCTGACAGTGAACTTATGACAAACACTCCGAACTCGTCTCAGAGATATGCCACCATCTCTTCGAGTCCTATATAAACTAAGCGGTCAGGATAGATCTATTGACATTTGAACCTACTATTCCCTCTCCCCATCTACCTATAGGCCGTCCTTATAGCTAGGTCTAAGGGTATAAGGATTAAGGATTTTAGACTAGTAGCGAACTTGTAGCGAATCTACTAGATTACCTAAACCGGATACTAGCCTAGAGGCTAGTTTAGCTGATTACTTAGGGGCTAGATTATACTTTTACTTATATAGTGAACTGGGGCGAGGCTTTTAGCCTTGGGCGTCAACTCGCACGGCAGCAGGTAAAAGGAACGTTCACATCTTGTAGGCCAGTTGACTGATTGAATTGTCTATCTGTGTGCCTGTGCGTGTGTATCTTCGAGGACTCTACCCTTTTCCCTAGGCGAAGAACGAAAGGAAAGACCCCTAACCTAGGGTGGTACCTAGAACTGACCAATCAGAGAGTAGGATCGTCGGCCTGTACAATGTAAAGGCAAATCACCCAACCTCGTCGCTCGTCCACCTATCACCTCAAGCCTCTCAACCTTTCCCATTACAACAGTACTTAGGGAGTATCAGTGATGATCAGCTAAACGCTCAGTTAGAGCTCAGGTTAAAGCAGCCTTCGCTCACCCTCTGGGACCAAGCCGCATGTGGCAATGAGGTTTTTCGTTCTCGAGTAATCCAGGTAGACAACCATTCTCTCTCATGTATCTTTTTCCGAGTGTCGTGTCTCATTTCCTGCTCGCTAAACCTACACCAAGGATACTACCTCGTCCTTCAGATTGCCAACAGCTTGTCCGTCGTGATACATGGCCCCATGAACGTAGCACTCTCCTCGTAGGTCATAGAACTTGGTGCCAGGTCTTTTTCGGAGCACGAACGGCACGCTAGCTCCATGGACCAGAAAGATGTTGTCCTTCGGCTTGGTTCCTCCGGGCACGACTCCCGCATATCCTCTCGTGGTAAGACAGGCCGCTGCGTCGGGAATCCTCCCGAGGAAGGCAGCGACCGTCTCCCAAAATTGGTTTCGTCGCTGCTGGACCTCATCTGGCTCGGAGAGGTGTTGCCGCGCATCCCGGCCAGGACGCAGGGCGAGAATCTCGTTTTCAAAACCTTGCGGCCATACTCGAGGCGGGTTCTCCTCCTCCCGGCTCTTCTCCAATGGGGGGAGGTGTGTCCTCGTTTGTGGGCCGACAGCATCTCCGATGAGGATCTTGATAAGCACATGGTCGTGCCAGTGCTTTTCCAGGTTCGGGTAGTAATGGAGAAAGGACAAGTGCTGGCGAAGCTCTTCTAGAGTGTTGCTGAAACGGATGGTTTCCGCGCCGGGGCCGATGGGGAGAGATCGGCAGCTCTGAACGGTATCGAACATCTTGCCTGTGATGGATAGAACGGGATTGAGTCCTGGGTTGCTTATGATGGGATTCGGGTCAAGGGATGCACCTGCGCTGAATCCAGCCTTATTTCTCGTCCCAACCGCTCTCCATGTGGAGATGGTAGGTCCATAGTGATGCTTTCCATCGTGGTTCATTAGGTCGGGGATCCAGGACGAAAACTGACTGCCCTTTTCTCTTCCAGCCCGGTACAGAAGCTCGAGAACGCGATTCCTTTTGACGAACTCCTCGGCGTATCTCGAAAGTATGACGGCATCATCTGATTCATAGTCGGGTATAAAAGCATCGTCGTCGCTGCTCGTGTCAGCTGCCAGGTTGAGCATGGCGAAGAGCTTGTCGCGCGGTTTGGAGGACTTGGTATAGAAGAACATTTCGATCAGTCTCAGAAAAGGAAGCTTCAAACGGCCCACTCGAGGTTGGTCCGAGTGGCCTTCCAAACACCGTCGCGTGTGGTGTAGAGCACGGGCAGGATCCGAATGTGTGACTAGTAGTTGCTTCCCGTCTGTTGCTCCTCCAGCGGCATATAGCTGCTGCACATGTTCCTCGAACGCCATGACCCCTTCCATAAAGTCGTCCCATTCGATTTGGGAATTCTCGTCCATAATGGTGATGCGGGAGCCAAAGACCAGCTCTTGGATGATCCAGGTCCGAGTGAACCACGGCCGTTGCAGAAATGCGCTGATCTGCATTATTTCCTCGTCACTCAATAGAAGAGCTTGAACTGCGTGTTCCCATGGCCCTCGACGCGATCCACGCTGCTTGCCGAGTTTATCGAGTAGACCAATGGCATCGCAGTCGTCGTCCTTCCTGCTGCCGATCCAGACAATCACACGTTTGGCTTGGCTGTATAAGGATCCCATGCGGCGGACCTGCATGCTCTTCTCGAGGTTGTCCTTCTGATTGATGCAGACGGCGTCCGCCCATATCAAGTCATTTACGCCGTCACGGCGAAGGCGGCGGAGGCATGTCCATAAAGATTCTGTGATGGGGATTTCCACATCATTTACCACAAATTGGAATGGCGAAAGCTTTGTGGGCTCGGCACCCCAGACATAAGATATCGCACAGAACTTAACCAAAGGCATGCTGTGCTTGAATGACGACGCTACCATGAGCTTTCCTTTCAGCCGTGAGTTCCCATCGCCGTCGAGGTCGAGTTTTAGCAGCCGAATCTGGTCCGCACGAATCTCGAGGCCTTTGTAGATCTTGTCTGTTTCCGAGGCCGTGATTGACTCCGTGGGTCTTTCGACGAGCATGGCCGAGGCCAGTGGCGAGATGCTCCCTCGAAAGGAGCCAGCAGCCTCGATTGAAATAGAGCCCTCCTGGTGAAGTCGCCAAGGGTCGGCGTACAAGGCGATTCCCGGGTTTGTACGGACATGGTACACGCGGGCGAGGACGAACACATTGTCGGGTCTCGTCTTCCTCGTCTTGCCGCTACTCAAAGTCATCGCTTTGGCCTGGTAACAAAGTGATCTGTCAGTTTTGGTATTTTTGATTGCTTTCCTCTTTGGCTAGTGTGGCTAGCTATGCTGACCTTATTATATTGCTCATTCGACAGTCTAAATGGCCCATGTAGGTTCCCGTTAGTAGCGCAGACTTGTATGTGAAATTTGCACGTCTCGTTGAGCGCTGAATCAAGCATCTGATAGCGTCGAATAGTCGAATCTCGGAGCTTGCCACGAGTCTCGGATATTGTGAAAGTGGAATGATTATCTTCCTCGGTTTTCTCTTCATACGGTTTGTGTCCGTTGCGGGAGCGCATGCTGCTCGTCCAGTGCTCATTAGGATGGTAGGAATCTTGGCCGAGAAGCGAACCTAGAAGCTGAGATACCTGGCCCAGATGATGCTGCGTCAACAATAAGGAAAGAGGAGAATGGATTCAGCAAAAACTGACAACCAAGACGAATACGTACGTAAAGTTCAGCGAAATATCTGGTGTCCTGGGTATCCTCGTCCAAGAATACTGTTGATGGAGATGGATTGAATAAGAGGCCGCGGTTTGTATTCACAAAGCTGTCCTCGAGGCATCGAGACATGAACAAGTCGAGCAATTCTGACGCGTCCGTTTGGTCGTTGCGTGGAACAATGCGCCGTGGGCTGGCTCGATTGCTCAGCCGCAGCACTTCACCCCCCCTGGCGCCAACAGAGTGTGATCGAACTTCTTGGGCTGTGGCTCCGACCGACAAGTCCCCAACTTGTCTCGGGCGATGCATGACAAAGTTGTAGTCGTCCTTGTTCTCGCTCCTTAGCTTTGGGCCCTTGTCCATCATTGGAAGTGTAGTCAAGGCGGCGTCCGACACGCTCGTGCTTTGGCAGTCTTCTGTAATCTGGATGTTTGATCGGCTTTGGTTCGCAGCCTTCCCGGTCTGATGCTCTGCTGTTTCAGTTTCGCGGTTGGGAGTCGTACCAGCTTGCTGACCGGAATTTTGGCTATCTGCCTCGTCAACTGTGATTGTCGGAACGTTTGGGCGGAGGGGCCTTCTTGAGTAGTGCTCTTCGGACTCTTGATTCTCGCGAAAAACTTGTCCGTCCTCGAGATGGCCCTCGCATGGTGTCGTCTGCCACTCAACCTCTTGGCCTGGATCTGACTGCCTGCCGTCCGGGCTTGACTCCTCCGCTGAATCAGATACGAATAGATCCATCGCACTGTGATCGTCATGACCACCCACCTTTGACTCGTGCTTGCATTTTACGTCACGATTCTCGGGTTTCTTCTCCTGCGACTGACCCTTTGGTTTCGCTTCCACTTCGGTAAACATAATGTCTTGAGGATATTCGAGGTCATTCCATTCTTCCCCTCGCCTTTCCTCGCTGATGATGACGGGTTCGTTCTTCTCGGCGACATCGTTCTTGTCGGTTTCCGACAAGCTATCTGTATTCTGCGCAGGAATTTGCGCATCAGGCGTGCCGTGGTCGTCTTTTTGGTTCCCTTCATCAGGGTGCTCTTGAAAAATGTTTGACCCCATCTCAGAGCGTTTGCTCTGGGCTCCGTCTTGGCCTGTCTGGTAGCTCTTAGCGAAAGCTCCGTCGCGGCGCTGAAAGCCGTCGTTGTTAGTTTGGCCATGTCCAGGCATTAGCATCTGTGGAGGCGAGAGCATTGTCGAATTCAAGAGCTTCTTAGTGTCCTCGACAAGGTTCGGGCCCTCCTGTGAGATGGTATCCACCTGCTCTTGGTGGTCATGCACAATGGATTCCTCTGCCTGACTGGCCGCATCATGCAGGTTCTTCGATGGCTCTGCCTGCCAATGTTCACGGTAATGACGAAGAGGAGGTTGTTCTCTGACAGTGTTGGTGCTATCTTGGTCGTTGGGGTTCCCGTTTGTTATCATTGGGCTTGTCGGCTCTTCTAGAAGATGCACATCTGACATTGCGTATTAGCTGGTAAGCCATTACCATAATTGCTAAAGGACTTTGGGAACCATACCGACTGTGGACTCGATGTTCTCTGCCGTCATGGCGGGAACGATGCTAGTGACTGGGTCTGAAGGGAAATGCGCCTCTATTGGCGGAACGATGCCCGTCGCTAAAGAAGGGAGGACTGTTTCGAAAGTCACTGTCTCCTCAATAGCGTTGATGCTTTCTTCAATAACCTCGTCTGCGTGTTCTCTACCGTCGAAGCGTCCGTAAGACAGAACACCGAGGACTATGGTCAAGATGGCCATAGTCAAGAGCAGAATGGTTTCAGGGAGCTTGCTCAGAACGAGATTTTGCGCGGGGGAAGTTTTCATGAAGGCGTTGAGCGGAACGACAGATGATGGAGGTGGAAGAGTCCTCGGAATGGCAATACTCAGAGGGCAAGAAGTGGTCGAGGAAGTAGTGGTCGAGGAAGCATCGGTCACCGTCAAAACACGCGACAAGACATTGTCCCACCAAGTCCGGCTGGCAGTGCTTCGAGGGAGAGTTCTCGGCGTTGCAATACTCAGAGGGTGAGTGGTCAGGGAAGAACTGGTAAGGGTAGGAACAGGCGATAAGAGATTGTCCCAGCTGGGAGCAGTGCTTCGAGGGAGAGTCCCCGGCATGATCGTGGCCTGAACGGCAGTACTCCAGGCAGGATTTGTCGAGGAGAAACAAGTCAGGGCGGGAACTCTTGAAAAGACCATGGCGTCGGACTCAGTCCGAAAGCTCGAAAGATGTATGCTCGGATACATCTGGCGTATGAGCATGTAGATACAGATATGAATCATCAGGAGTCTTGTCGGGTTGTCGAGCATCGGGAAATCGATAATACCCAGGGATATGTTGAGGGATAGAGCAGTAATCCCAGAGCTCAGAAAGATCGATGAGAGCTCAGCGTATGAGGGCTCAGTCACTGGAGAACACTCGAAGTAATCCTGTGGCGCTTCTGTTGCACCCGTATCTGATGCATTTGTCACTGCGCTGTTTATGGCTGGGCTAGATCGGGGGATCCTGGTTGGACCTTGGTCATCATCGAAGTCTTCAGCCGAACTTGTTTCTGTAACTGTTGATAGCGAGATTCCTTCCCGCGTGAGCTTATCTTCTTTAACGCTCGACTCGTTCGGTGACGGTACTCCCGGGCTGGATTTAGCGTCCTGACTTCCTTGGGTATCACCAGGGTCATCAGCCTGGTTTAGTTCTGTAACTGATGGTGGCCAGATTCCTTCCCGCTCGAGATTGCCTTCAATGCTTGACTCGTCCCAGGACAGGACTGAGCAGAGCGGAAGCTCAAGTTTCTTCTCTACTCGATACCAGGTCGACAACGCCCGCGCTGCGGTTACGGTATGGATTGCTCCGTCCTTGAGGTAGATGCGAAGTTTATTTGCTTCTGGAAAGACAACCCCGTCGCTGATGTCTTGAAAACTGGCTGCAACCGCGCCGGAGCGGCCTCTCACTTCCCATTCTACCGATAACACGTTTGTGCTGTAAGCTTCGGCAGTCTTCAGTTGATTCAAGGCTTTGCGTTGCTTGACGTCGTCACCTGGTACCAGACTGGTGGCGTTTTAGATCCCATGTCAGTCAAGCCTAGTCTTCGGGGGCAGCACTCACTTTCATGAGGCTCTTTCTTGCTGACGGGAGTCTAGGGAATAGGGAATTGGGAATTGTGAGATGGGGCGGGCTTACCGCGCAATATACTTGGCTCTAGCGCGGACTAGAGTCGTAAATTGATCATTCAAAGTAGCCTGGACTCCTGGCTGGGGCGTACAGACAGCCACCTCGGAAAGTAAGCGTCTTTTCATGCCTGGCAATTGAGATATCCACTTCATCTTTGCGAGCTGATTGCTGTCAAAAGCAAGCAGTGGAATTTTCCAACGAAACCCATCACGAAGATGGCGACGGTCCGCTATGTACCAGTCTGAGTCCGAGTGACAAGAACAAAGGTGATATGCTGCGGAGACTTCTTTCCCGTCACTTGGCGGCTCAATGGGGAATACCTCAGTTGTGCGGAAGGCCGTCATGTTTTCAGTTGTCAGATGAGAGCCACTGCCCTTGGTATATTTATCCAAGCATGCGAACAAGTCGACAATGTAGCTCAAGTCGTCGGTGGGTATGATTTTCAAGGCCTCGGTTACGATGGTCTGTAGGTCTGCATCTCTGACTCCCAAAAACTCTTGAAAGAGCCTTTGGCAGGACGGATATAGCTTATCCAAGATACCACTCCTTTTGCGCAATTCTGGTGGGCCGCACCAGAGACATTCATCCGGCTTCAGCAATCGTGCTTCTCCAGACGTGCTGCGGGGGATGAACACCAGTGGATTTCGGGAGAAGGCTTGCCTGTTAATTTTCATGAGTACCATTTTAATCCAGAGGTATCTTAGAAACGCTTGTGTGTGTCCATACCTTAGCGCTGCCATATCTTCAGACCCCAGGTCCTGGATTTTTGTATAAAGCCAAGCGTAATCTTCTGGCTGTTGTTCCCTGTCCCGGATGGCCTCCAGCGCTTCAAGGTAGAGTATCACGCTCGGCTTGATTTTGACGCCCAAATTCTCCAGAAAGGACCAAGACTGGTCCTCAGGCTCCGGGATTTCCAGCACTTGGAAACACTTCACCGCTTTCTCTTGGGCGTCTGGAGGGAAGACTGACAGGAGGACGGTCTTACTCAAAGGATAAAAATCAGTTTGACCTCGGCATTTCACACGCGTTTCTCCCAGCTGACGCTCCAACTCATTGCGCGAAAACGTCCACAACCATGATCGTTGCTGTCCGCTACTTCCGCCGCGGTCCAGCCACTCCGAGTAGGTCTTCCAATTGTCTCTGAGTAGCTTCAGAAAACGTGTGGAAGGCCAGTGTCTTCTTATCAGCTCCATTTCGTCAGAAAGATAAAACCTGCCGCCGTCCACCTGGCGAACGAGACGAGGAGCCGTGCATATCCCAATCTCCTGATTGAGCCATTGCCTCCATTTCTCCAGCTCTTCCGGTACGGCTTCATGGTAGTCTTTATGCAGAACGGGAAACCTCTTCCCTCCGGCTTCATAAGCGTGGATATAAACTTCGGACGCCCGGTGGTATTTTTCCGTGTCCGTTGCGACCCACAGGTCAACACCGATGGGGGTTCGCCATGACGAGTAACGGAAGAGAAAGACAGCTTGTGAAACTAATGCCTTTCTCGGCAATGAGTCCACAGACGAAGCATGAATCTTGACAATGGCCCTGCAGATGGCCGGTATGTCCAAAGGCTTCGCCCCCAATCCCCGAAATAATGTGACCCGGAATGGATCTTTCAGGGCATCCGGATGGACCTCCATGATACTCATTCCCTCTGGGATCGAGATTCGGGTTTCACCTGGGGCAAAGAAGAGCAACTCGCCGCATTTGCTTGCCGCAACCCAACGGCCGTCACGGAGCGGTATAATTGGGAGCTCGTCAAGTTTGGCGCGATCGCCACGAGATATCTCCTGTGTAACAAGAACTTTGGCTAGTGCTGAATGCCACTCTGGAGATCGGTCCTTCCCTGCTTGTTCTCTAAGGGAGTCATCCAGATCCTCGACGAAGCCGGGAAAGTTTAGAATCTTGACGCCCAAGAGCTTAAAGCTTTCCTCGTCGCGATGGGAGTATTTCCTGGACAAATACTTAGGCCGGGTGCCCTGAGTCAGACTCAGAGGCTCCCCGTTGTCAAGTGTAAACTCCTTCGGAACATATGTTAGTAATCGAGGTTGACTCATTTGATCGCTCTCTGACTCCAGTATACGTGTAATGGAGAGCTTCTTCACGATAGAGCGACCGAGCATCCGGAAATCAGCCTGGACTTCAGATGGTCTAGGAACGTATTGGAGCCACGAATAACGCAGACTAGTGCTGCTGTTGAAATACTCGGCAACGTTTGCAAAGGCATCCGGAATCGAGTTGAGTAGCTCCCTATTCCACCCACTATAACCGTCAATGTCTTCGCGCCCAGCCACGAGCAGGAAATCTGCTTGGATGAGGAACTTTTTAAATAATGAGTTTCACATACTGCAGTGTCCGGAACAAAAGCCACAAGAACCATAGTCATACCTTGAAACCGCAATCCCGGATGGGAAGAAAGGAGAACACCTGCTGTGATTGAGGTCTATCCCTTTGTGAATCTGAGAGGGGGAATCCCAGCAAGATCTCCGACTCGATCTGACCAAGGCGTTTTGGTTCAGACGACAAGTTGTGGACAGTATGTCGGAAGAGGCGGTAGTGCAAAGCTTCATTATCATTCTCGAAGATCTTCACTTCGGTTGACTTGGTGTCTGAATGCCTGTCCTCTCGACGGAGCCTTCTTTCAGTGGACTGGCCCGAGGTGTGCACAACTAGGTTAACCTCCCTTAAACTCGTGAGGAAGATTAGGGTGTTTGCGTCAAAAGATCTGATCTCGTTCCCTAGCTGTTGCTCGTCGCAACCATCTGAGAGCTCAAGATGCATGGATGTACCGATGTTGGACAAACGCCCGTCGGGGAAGTCGGCCCAAATAGGAGTGATCATACCGAGCGGCCTCTGACGATCGAACATGAATGAGTAACTGCCAGAAGATATCCAGACCTTCTTCGCGATCTTGAAGACAGACTTGAAGCCGATCCCTTTCTCACCGATATACCTTCTCCCTCCATCAGCAGATCTAAACTTTGTACTCTTCCCAATGCGACAGATGGCTTCAACGTTGGCGTCGGTAAAGCCATCTTCGTTGCAGTGAATCCGTAGGCTGCAGTTCTTGTATTCGAGAGAGAATCCGGGCACCTTCTCTGCGCTGTACTCGTTGTCGTCGGCATTTTGTAAGAGCTCCAAAAGAAAGTGTGTCTGACTCCGATAAAGTTCATCTGCGAGACTGAACCGGTATTAGATTAGCAGCGAGGACCACATGCTTGGGAAATCGACCTCTCGAAACGAGAGACAATCTCACAAGCGAGTGAATCCATACTATCGAACGGATGTTTCCAAGTCTTTGATGTTCCAACTATCGTTTCCAGGTTCCCTGCTGCGTGTGATGTCCTCAACATAGCGTCGGGCTCGATCTTCTAGGGCCACATCGGTCATGATGGACAAAGGCAGAGAGAGACAATGGCATCAAAATAGGCTAACTTGCCCGCAGAAGCTCAAAGACCAAAATCAGAACTCTGAACAAGACCTGATGAATTCTGGGCAGAAGGACAACCTGCAAGTGGACATGGCATATCAAGACAATGAAGGAGATCGGAGAGAGAGGGAGGCCCCGCGCCCCCGGGGGGGGGGGGGGGGGGGGGGGCATGCGACTTGCCAATTTCAGGTTGGTGCATGAATACCAGTAGCTGCCTTGCCCTTGCGTTTCGCGCGCTGTTGTTGCCCATCACTCCGCCAATAGAATTCATTTGTGGCATCGATCCGAAGGCGCATTCTGCTGTTGGAAGTTGTCACATCCATGGGTCACTTGGGTCAGGGTAAGGCGTCGAATAACGATTCAACCCCAGAGGCTGCAAGGCAAGACACCTGGTTTCTGATAGGGGGGGAAAAGAAAACCGGTGTGCAGGTTGCATGTGGTTGTCACGAAGGACTTGGGTGGGCAGACTCCCGCTCAGGGAAGCGGAAGGTGAGCCGAGGGTGAGTAAAGCGGCGAGCGATAACACATCGTGCTGCTTCAAGGTACCTACATAGTACAAGATATGGAGGACCTACGAGGGACCGATACTTCGGTACAGGTCCCCCCTGCAGCACGCCAATGCATGGACGTTTGGAGCGTTAGTGCGACTATTTATTTGTATAAATAAATACCTTCGGCGTACTTTATCGTGTGCTGTGATACATGGACATATCCCCTCCAAACCAAGATCAGTGCTCCTCAGCAGCAGAAACAGGCGCAGCTGTCCAGCCCATTCGGCCATATATCCGATTTATCATTATGTTCGACCTTTCCGTCAATTAGATACAGAGTAACATCTATGTAACAAATACAGAATCTCCGACATGTGCATTTCGACCCGAGACTCAGTTTCCTACTCCGCCGTTCCATCCACCAGATCGAAACCCAGAACAAACCCACGAAGATGGCGGTGAATATGTCGTACCCCATCCCCTTGCGCCCTCTCCCTATCCTGTCACAGTCCCTGGAGTTCGAATGGTGCTCCGTTGCTGCTAACCAAGGCCACCTGGGTCGCCCGTGATAACTCCCGTCTCGCTGAAATGACTGATGTCGCTTGACTTGAAATTCCACCCCCTGCTTTTCCGCCGCTCTCTCCCGGGAGCGTTCGAGCTCCTGACACTCCAGATTAACTTTGCTGCGCTCGAGCGGAGTGACAGCTGCGACTCTCGTGCTTTGAGAGCGGAACTTCACCTGCGCAAGCCGGGCCGATCAGTCATCGTTAATGTTTGGCTCACCTGAGCTGTGTAATCTTGACCTATTAGTCGCCGCGGCCGCCTTCTTCGATTTCCCATATCCATTTGCAATCATCTCGGCAGATTTGGCCTTCGCAGGCGCTCGAATGCCGCTCACAGCAAACTTCTGCTCTGCAGGATGTCTCGGACCGCCTCTTACACCTTCTTCTTCTTCATCTTTGTGATCCCCGCCTTCCTCCTGGCTGCCACATCCCCTTCGCCCAGCCATCTACAGGCTTTAACCAGCTGAATGACGTTGATAACCTGCTTGCCAAACATGATGGGGAAACTGATTCCAGCCAAGATCCACGGAATGGTGCTATCCATCTTGTTCGCGCGGGCCATTTCCATTGCGCCGGCGCTCCAAGGATTGACAAAGATGGCACTCGGTTTGGGGTGTGCGGGTGATCCGGGCTGGGTAGACGAGATGCCGTTCTCGCTGGTGACGAGAAGCGATGGCGAGAGCAGAGGCGAGGAGAAGGACAGGAGGTAAAGCGCAATGAAGAAGAGTTCGTTCAAGGCGCAGAACATGAATAACACGACCTATCACCGTCAGTCCTTTCGGTGCAGACCGGGAAACCCGCTTGCGACAAAATAATACACACCTTATTCGTGTAATAGAGATGCAGAATCCAGCTCCGACTCGAGTCGACTTTCTTGTGACTCTGTCCACCCATTGTCAACGTCGCATACATGTGGACGTAGTGGCTGGCCAAATCGAGACTGATCAGCCCCTGAAACAATATCGACCACCGGGGAAACGCAGAGGCGAGGAAAACGAGCAGGCAAGAGGTGGTGCATCGGTCAGTCACCATGTCCAGCACTGCGCCAAAGGTGGTAGACTGGTTATATCGGCGCGCAGCAAGACCGTCGGCGGCATCGAGGATGCAGGAGAAACTGTATAGGCCGGAGCACGTGCGAGGGTGCAAGGGCATGTAGTATAAGGAGGCGACGGCGAGGATGATTCGGGCATATCCTGTAGCAGCAGCAGGTGTGGTTAGATCTCAATCGATACTGGCAACACGGTGCAGGGAGATCGTCCGTTGAGACTCTTATATAGCTCCATACCGATGATATTGGGGATGAACAGGAAGATGTTCTCTTCCTCGTATATGTCCTCTTCCGCTTTCCGTACCAATGGAGCGGTGCCATTTGCTTTTGCGTGCCCGTTGGCACCACCAATGTGGCCGTTTGCTTTCACGCCTCCGTCCTTTTGTCCCATGATAAGTCGGCTCTGTGATAGACGATTTGTGCGTTCTGGGGGTTGAATTAGGCTCAGGAGAGGCCGGAGCAAGGGATCAGGAAGGTAGAGTCTCGTGGACAACTACTCGATCAGGTTGGGGAGGGAGAAAGGAGCGATGGGACAAGCCGGTCTGATAAGGGAGGCCTCTATCGACTGGAGACCCGGGGTTTTTGTTGCTTTTGCTGCCGGCGAGCGCGGGACGGACGACCAAGTCGCGTTTTGGTTCTGGTCGACTCTGGGCTAGAACGCTTCGCTGATTCAGCGCACAGATGGACAAGAATCGGGTATCAACGAACACAGAACAGATTACAAAGACACAACTCGAAGGGGAAACTCGCCGTAAGAGGGTTCTGAATTTATTTCGTTCCTCTTGATCGCCGCAGTTTGGCATCAGGGCTCGCAGGGACCCTTCCGGAACCGCGGATGGAGTGATGTGCATTCGGACGAATCAATGCCTGGTCCGATTCTGGTCCCCTAGCCCTTCCACCAGCGCTGAGAGGACAATATAGACAAATGGTTGCATCTCCAAGTTTGTAGACCGGATGTTAAGGAGTATATATTTACACCAGATGAAATAGTCTGCCTACAGAATGCCCACCAGCCATCCATCCTCCTACTGCTGTCGACTCCGCGGATCAGATGCCCGTTGTCTCTTGAACTCTCGCATCTCCTTGGTGCCTAGGCTTCCATTGCCGCCTTCTTGTCGTCGTTCCCATCCGCCCATCCTTACCACCAAGCAAGTGGCATTGTCCCCCTCGGTAGACACTTCTGTAGCAAAATTGACCACGTCTCGCGCGGCCTGCTCGGGCGTTTTGGCTTCTTTGACAATGTCCACAACTTCCTGGTCTTCCAGCGTGCCTGACACGCCGTCCGACATCAAGACCAGGAATGAATACTCGGCCGGCCCCAATTCCACCCTCTTGATCTCAGGTTCGGCACTCACGCCGATTCTCTTCGACGCGATGTCTCCAAATGCTCGAGTATTGGCCAGACCTAAGATCCGTTCTTCGCCAAAAGAGTCAGTCACAAATGACGCCGCATACCTTCTAAGTCTGTTGCTCTCCATTGGTGACGATGGATGATGGTTCGTGGTAAGGGGGATCGCCTGCCCTGTCACTGTAGAGCAAAGAACGATCCTTGTATCCCCAACATGAGCCACTAGCATGGTCGACGTGGTCGCAGGATTCCAAAAGGGAGTAGGCGACGGCGTCGACACCATGGCCACACTGCAAGTGCTTCCACCTCTAAATCTGTTGGGTCCGCCAATGTGTGCCGCAACCCTGCTAGGTTCGCCCAGAATATCCCCTTCGTTCAGTGGTCTTTCAGCTCTCGTGTTGTCTGCGCTTTCAGAGTTCTTTGCTGCTTGAGCAGCCACGAAATCGTAGTCCGCTTTGAGAAAAGCATAGGTCATGACCTCCTCGATGCCAGCACCACAGGTGATGTCTTCGCCCGCTTGCCTCATGGGGTCTGACTCCTCACCCAATTTCTGATAGCCACTGTAGATAGAAAAGTAGGCCGGCTTGAAACGGCGAAAGTAGCCGCCCACGAGCTCTTTCCAGTTCTTTGTCAGCTCCTTTTCCAACTGTCGAATGTTCCTTTTGTTGGCGCTCTGAATGAGAGGAGGGTCGCCCGGGTATGGCTGGGTCTTTCCACCCTCGGACTCGACGTTCTCCTCCGGCTTGCGATCGTCCCTGCTAACGTCTAAGTTGTCAAGTACCTTCCTTCCCTCTTTTTGTTGCTTCTCGTCCCCGTCAAGTCCCCCAACCATTGGCGCATCTCCGCATTCCTTTTTGTCGAGCTTCTTCAAGCTCGACCTTAACTCAAATGACTTGGCCGATCTCTCAATATACTCGTGCAGCGATTCCCGGAGAAAATCGCTACACGCTGCTCCTCCATGTCCGTCAAAGACGCCAAAATAGAAGACCTGAGGATCGCCGGACGCGCCTTCGGCAGAAGTGCCCTCTCCTGGAGTCTTGTTCAAGGTGAGGGACCGCGGTGCCTTTTTGGCAAATGCAGGGAGCTCGATGACGCCTGCTTGGTGGGAGTCTTCATTGTAAGGTCTGCTACCTCTGGACACGGATGCGCCATAGTGATGTTTGGCACTCTTCAGGGGGATTCGCACAACGGTGGTGTCTCGAGAAATCGATGGATGCGTGGCCGGGGCAGATTTGCCATCAGGAGTGTGCGGGGTGGAGGCTTGCCGTGGGAACTTGTGGGCAAGGCCGGTCAGAGAACGGGAGTCGGGATGAAGAGAGGAAGAAGGGAGATGGGTGACGAAGTAGTCGTGGAAAGTTCGACGCTGTTGCTCGACATCGCGTAGTCTCGTTCGCGTTTGTGGCCGAGTCTGTCGGATAAAGGTTGCTAAAAGGTCTACCAAGAGTCAGGACACAATCCCACAAGCTTCGACAGAAAGGAAGAGCGTTACCATAATAGCAATCGGTAGAACAGCGCAACGTTCTGCTGCCAGGGGAGGACATGGCTAAGGACAAGGCCCGTCACAGTCGCCATAGTCCTATCGAGAGACGACAACCATTATCGAAACAGTGGAATCGCAAAGTCGTCTCGCCGAGCGAACAGGTGATGGCGGGGGAGAAGAAGAACCAGAAAATCTTCTGGAATAGAGGTGATGATGAAATCGCGGTTGTGAGGGCCACAGTGGAGCGAAGTTCCAAGGTTTGGCGTTGCTTTTGCGGAGGCGAGAGTGGCCTTTGGTCCGCCAAACCGACGACTCAACAACCGAGCTGTTTACAAACACGACATGCTGACTTGGTGCTCGACCACCAGGTGGGCTCTCTATGGTCTATCTCTACCTACCTATCTATATGGAGGGTATCTCTCATATTTCTCCTTCCAGCAAATCCTCGGTCGGGATGCTCCGCCATAGACAACCAACCACCTCAACCCTCTCCCATTTCTAGCGAGTTCATAACTTGGACTGATGAATACCTCCGTCCGACGTCTTGACGCCTCTGCCATCTAAGTCCTCGTAAGAATCAAAACTCTCGTCTCCGTGGAAATGCCAGCCTCTCTCCTCGCCCTGGCTCAAGTGACGGCAATCGCTATTCCAGATGCAATCCCACCCCCCAGCGACGCCGGTGCCATTATTCCTCCAGTCCTCGTCATGGTAGCAGTACTCTTCGTCCGCCTCCTTCTGAGCGCCAGAGGAGGTGGAAGAAGAAGGAGGAGGTAGTTTCCGACGCACAAATTTGCTGAGCCCGCACGTAAAACATCGAAAGTCCTCCTCGTCCCAATCCTCGGGGACCTCCCCTGTCAGAGCCCTGCCGCTCGCGATAATCGGCGCGGCATGTCCACAGATCAAGACCGTCACTTCCTCGTTGCCCCTCCCGGCTCGCGCATACTCCTCGTCCACGTCCTGTATGACCCGTGCCAACGCGCGCGCCACACGGTCGTGCAGGTCGTGGATCCGCTCGCCATTCTCCGGCGGGACGACACGGGAAGCGTACGAGTCGTCCAGCCAGGGGAAGAACTCATTCCGCAGCCTCTCAGGATCCGCGGGGCGCGGTTGGACGAACCAGGCGCGGCCGAACCATTCGCCCAGCCCTCTCTCGCCGCGAACTTGTAGATTTCTCCTTCTTTTGACATCATGTGCCGGCACCTGCTCCAAGATGGCCTCCATCACCGGGTGGAGGGTTTCCAGACAGCGGTAGAACAGGCTGGAATAGACCCGCAGCCGGTCTTGCTTGATCAAGTCGGCGAACGCTTCGCTGAGATGTGCTGCCGTCTCTTGCGCTTGACGCACGCCATGCGACGCCAGCGGCGGATCTGCTGGTAGACGTGTCGGGAACGGGTGATTGGAAGTGTACTTGCCCGTCCTCGGGTTCAAGGACCAGGCCAGCCGGTGGCCGTGCCGGAGGATATAGATCTCTTTCACGGGCATGATTTGCGTTTGCGGTGCCGCGACTATCGTGGCATATCTGACAGTCTGGTATTAAGTGGCAGATGACCGAGACCAACGAAGAATAAGAATAATACACAAGAACGTCCACAACGAAGCCAGATGTTTTCGGCTGTTGATGATTAGATGGGACTAGTGGACAGCACATTCCGTGGGTGGATGATACCGAGGCATGTGGCCGGCGCAGGCATTTCGGACCTAATGACTAGCTTCACCCAGCCTTGTGTTGGGATCATGGGATCTTGACTTTCTCCGCACTTTCGGATCTGGTGGGCGGGTGAATCTCATCGGAGCCATTTTGGCCATGCCCAGTATAGATACAACTGGAATACTCTACACAGCAGCATCCTTGTGCGCCCGCGATACGAATTCAGACCCTCTCAACATGGCAGACTGCTGCACCCAGAACAGTACCATTCTTGGCATGTCACAGTCTGAGCTCTGACTATCTCAAACCTGCCCTCTAGGGACTGCCGAAGCCTCTGGAAGCTTTGGAACTGTCCTTGAATATGTCCAGATCTTCGGCGATTTTGGAGGTTGAGCCGGAGCTCAGTTCCTCCAAACGAGGGTCCCCCGAGCAGATCCATTGAAAGCCACCTCCAGTCCTCAACCAGCTTTCTTTGGAACAAGCTGTCGTGGCAATGTTGGGAGAGAGTATAGGAGTGGAGCAGAAGACGGCCTTTGGCCTCCTCCCAGAGTTGGATGCTGCCGGGTGTTCGGCCTATGGTATGGCCGTTCGCCCTACACGGCCTTCATTTGTAAATCCAATGAAGGGAGACAGTATTGGCGAGTACACTTTTGAAGCGCGAGAATCGGTCACCAGTGGTACTTTTATCCCTGTCGTTCCGCGAAGGAGGCGGCGGGCGCTTCTTTTTGGCTTGCTTGTCGCCACGGAAGAGTATGGCGGATGGGAGATATTTGTCCCATCACAAAGCCTGATGTCGGTAGTCATAAGACGGGATGTGGTCCTAGACTGAATATACAGGTCGTTGCCCCAACATCTTGTGTTGAGAACTTTCATCTATGCCTCTCCCTGCTGAAGCCCCATTTTTGCCGCCGGAGTTCAAACATGAAAAAGCTAGAGATCAGAAAGACCAAGCCACTATAGATTTGAGGCCACAAATAAGGCCGGGACGAATGAGGCCGGCGGATTTCCAGCGCAATTGCTTCTGAGACTGCACGCGGAATGAGCTGCTGCTTCGTCAGATGATGGGTGGTGTAAGGACTCACATAAAGCAGGCGTGGACACAGTAACCCACATTAGGCTGAGTGCCGACGGAAGCTCTTTCAGTTCGACAACCTCGGCGCAAAGAGGTGCAATGGTCTAAGCACAGGTTAGCATGGTTAACAACGTGAACAATGTTCTTTCCGTACACCCCAGTATACACCACTCGTGGCGCCCACAACAAGAGCAAAGAATATGAGCAGCCCATAAGAGTTCGTGGGAATCCAGATTGCATATGCTAGCACGGTGTTGGACGCGGTGAGGAGGCATGCCACTGTCATCCTGCCGAATCGATCGCTAAGCACACCGACGAAAGGCCTTCCAAAAGCAGTTCCGACATTCATAATGGTGATCACGGTGCCGCCTTGGTCCTGACTCAACCCAAGCGATGTTGCGAACGCGCCTGAGATGTAGATGAGCCACATGTCGACGAAACAGGAGGGATCAGACGATGGCTTACCTAGAGAATAGATCATCACGATATACCCGAGGATCGAGAAAAATGTATACAAAATAAGTAACCAGACCCGATACCTCTTCAGGAGATCTGTGTCTATCGGCTTGTAGCTTGGACGGATTGTCTTGTTTCGATCGCGGATTAACGAACATGCGGTAAACAAGACGACAAATGCGAGGATGCCAGTAATTCGGAGTGACCAAGCAAGCGAGAGATTCTGGATCATGGGTGTCGTTGCGGCAGAGAAGATAACGCCACCAACGCCGCTTCCTGCCGCTGCGATGCCTTGTGCCAAACTTCTGTTTCTGTTGAACCATTGTGGGAGGATTGGTGTAGCAGGTAACCACGAAAAACCTGTTCCCAGCCTGCCAAAACATTAGTACAGGCACGATCAGATGAAAGCTTCAGTCACATACCCGACGAGGATGCCCTGCGTCAAAATAAGGTGCCAGAATTCTGTGGCAAATGAGGCAGCGACAAAACCGCCAGCAAACATGATGCAGCCACAGTACATAGGTACATGCGTCCCAAGTCTTCGGACAAACAAGTTGACGATAGGTCCGCACAGCATGGCACAAGCGAAGTTGACGCCACCAATAAACGTATAGTCCAAATCTGTGGCGCCCGGGAATATGGAATGATCAATGTAGTATGATAGGTACACGCCATATGACTAGTCAAGAAGGTTAGAACTCAATAGGACATTCCTGGCCGAGTAAACATACAGCAATGATCCCCCATGTAAAGCCATTGATCAAATGCATGGCGATGCAGACGACCCATCCGTATGGTGGTTCAACAGATGCATCGAAAGCCACAACAGGCTCCCCAGGCTGAAGGGGAACTTCCACCGCGACCTCATCGCTGTCTCCTTCCGGCTTGTCCTCGCGCATTATGGGGTTGCTTTACCGCAAGTCGTGTATCTCCTCGATTGAAGAAAGTCTTAGACAAATTGCGCAACACAAGCCGTTAGATATCGCTGCAAACGAGGAATTTCCTGTGGCAGGACACAAGCGTCGCTCAACCGGGACTGAAGGGTCTAAAGAGTAGTGAGATGTGGAGGCAGGTTCAAAACCCACCTTGCCTCCGAAGACCGCACGGCACACTTTTGCCGTGGTAGCATCCCGGTCGATGATGGAGTTGCGTGGCTGCTGAAGAGGGCGTGAGATCAGCAGGTACGATATCGGAGGCACGACGTTCCCATAAATGCTTGACCCTATGGATTGAATCATGGCCCGGCCATGCAAAGAATTGCATCTCCTTTCAATCATTGACTCATCAGGTATCCAGGCCATCGTCAAAGCTCGACCTTGGAAGCGTTCTTCTCCGCCGCCAGGTCACATCGAGAAAACGTACCGAAAGTGTGGAGTAGACAAAAGCTCAAAGTTGGAGAAGGGCGTCTCATTGTGGTAAGGTGGACCTCTGGGGCGGAATTAACCAAGAGTACAGGGTTGATGGACGGAAACTTCAACATGCACCAATATTATGCGGTTCCAGCGGCCGATGACCTCCACGCCAAGTTGAGCATCCATAGGCCAACGAAAGTGAACAGCGTCTTAGGTCCAAGGTCAGTAAGGCTCTTGGTGATTATCGATAGAGCATTTGTCGTAGCAGCACTCATCCACAGGAACGCAGCAACCACGGTGACGGTCTCCAGAATATCAAAACCTCCTCGGCACGTCCGCGGACCCATGAGTTTGCAGGCTAGTCTTGGGCGAAGCACACCACGAGAGTCGGCAGCAAGCAATATGTGATATTGAAAGACGAAAGTCTCCAGTGAGCATCGGCCAAACCAAGCAAAAAACCGACTATGAGAGGCGGACAGTTTTCGAGTCGAGTTCCTCAGGACAATGAAAGCCAGCACAGGCAAAGGCGAAAGAAAAGGGTGCCACTCATTGTAGCGAAACTTGTCTGGGAAAGAGCCGCAAAATATACAGTATGCTGAAATGACAAACGCGGCAACCCATGGTGTCAATCTCGAAGCCAGCTGTGACCAAGGGATGGACACCAGCGCAGTTTTATGACACTGGAGGCCGAAGAATGTGTCGTACTGTGCATAAAGAACAGCCGCGATCATGCCAACGAAGGCAATGTATGCATCGAGGCTGAATCTGAAGATCAACTCCCGTCCATCGATTTCAGGAAGGCCGAAGCCTGGACTGCTGAGAACGGCGATTGACGGTGCAACGATGTTGCTGGCTCCTAGGGCGAGTCTGACCAAGGTGACAGATATGGCAGTCCGGCGGACAAACCGGCCCACGTCCACGCCAGGTTTTGCAGTCCTAGGGACTGTCGCCCAGACAATGAGAAACCACAAGCTGGTCAGCATTGGAAAATAGTACAAATCATACCGAGTCCCCATCACGAAAGCAAGAATAATGTTGAGCAAGTTAGTCCTCAGCAAGACGCTCGCCACCCTGCGAAATGAGAAGTCGTTCGTGGTAATGAAATAGGTTGTGTGTCCAAATCCAGTCATGAAGAGGTAAGAAGAGACCAAGAGCCGGACAAACTGGTAGACCCAGAGAACTTTGGACAAGCCAAAGTAGTGGTAGAAGAGGATGACGATCTGCATCCAGCCTTTCCACTCCTCTGTCTGCTGCCTGGAAAGCACCTGGTGGTTTTTTGGTAGTGTGGCAATGTTTTCATCAGTGGTCTCATCTTGAGTCAGACTTTGTTTGAAGGTTGCCAGGCCAGCGAGCAACGCAAGGCCTGTCATGCATGTGAATTTGCCCAGCTCGGCCACTTTCGGACCTTTGTCGAACAAGGCAGTACGATCGGCCACGAAACAGTACAGTACGGCAAGCAAGACTGTAGCCATCGCACCAGCAATTCTGGGTGTTTTTGGAAAGGAGACCCAGTCTCTTTCACAATCGGTGACATGCTTTCTGTATTCGAAGAACGAAAAGAGGTGATAGACGATCGCACATGAACTCATGAAGAGGAGCATCTTCTGCACAGCATTTGGACCGACATAGGGGGCACAACAGTATGCTTGGGAGGCTTTTGATGGCGTGTCGACACGCTTGTTGCAGAAGTAATTTAACACGGTGTCGGCATGAAGAGGTGCAGCCTCGTCGGTAAGATGGACGCCATCCTCGTTGAAAAAGAAGTGAACGTCATCGATCATCCATGGGTAGTCTGCAGGAGCGTAGTTCTTTTCTGTTGGCCTTATGCCCACAAGGGCATGACTGGTTGAGTTGAATGTAGAGTCCCAGACATGAATGATTTCCACGCCGTCCGAGTTGAACATTGTAGCACCTTCGATATTGGTTTCTAGGCTCTGACTAGCAGTTTGAGACGCATCTTGATGGCCAAGCTTTTCTGCCACAGTCCAGAATATTTGTCGAGCTTTTGCACCACCGAAGAATATGAGGCGTTGGTCGGAGAGGCAGGACTGGATCTTGGTCGAGCCGTAGGGTTGCAACATGCAGGTCGAAGGGATGGAGACTCGGCCTGTCGCGGACGACGCTCGAGCTTGGTAAGGGAGACTATCACACCGATCATTGACCCAGGCATCTGAGGTAACTTGATTAGCATCATTCCAGAGTCAAAGTGCCCCCAGGTGATCCAAACCTTGAGGGATTTTATCTACAAGGTACCAGCATGGCAAACAGATGCCGAGACAGAGAAGAAGGTGGATTGATACACGTAGGCTGACCATCTTGCATGCTATTTATGATTGTTAAGGTTGAGGGTGAGAAGTGCAGTCCGAGCGGTGGTAGAGAAGAAGAGGAGATCGCAGGAGAGGTATTGTGGTGGCGGCGGTGTGTAAAGCGTGAAGAGTGAAGAGTGATGTCTCAGGTGTGCCGTGTGACTTGTGTGAATCGTGCTCACTGAGGTCAACGCCAGAACAATTCTGCAGAGCACCGTTCGCAATAACTCGTAAGGATTATGATCGTGATCCAGCAGCTCGTCCCAATATGCATTAATGCTTTTCAATCGTCAATGTCCGTGTCCATGTCTGTGTCGTAGCAGGAGTCATCAAAGTCATGGAGCGTTTATCGGATCTCAGCCTCACCCATCCAGTCCGCCATCTGAAGCCCAGCAACCCTGTCGGCATCGTCATCACCCTCCAGCGCCTGTTTCTGTTTACTGCCTTTGCCCTTCCTCACATGGCTCTTCATCTCTGCATGGTGGCTGTAGTCTCGTCCAAATACCTGGAATCCCCGAACATGGGTGTCCTTGCCATTCTGGTGGTTCTCACAAATACGAATCTGTACCACCATCGCCTTCAGCACATCCCCTCCCGGATTCTCCTGGAGATCAGATCTGAGGGGGTAAAGCGTAGGCTCTCCCTGACTGGCTACCATATCCGAATTTCCATGGTAGCGTGGCTCTCTACCGCCTACACCCTTCAGCGGTATGTCGATCCAGCCCCGTAAGCCTTCTATGCTGCTGTGCGCCTCACCCGTCTCCAGATCAACAGTGTCGTTGACTTCCCATGTGCCAAACTCAACCAGACTCCCTTCTGACATGCCTGCATAGAATTTCATTTTCGTCGGTGTGTACGACTCGTCCAGCTCGAAGTCCAGGTAGATTCTCATTTTGACGATGGCGACAAGCTTGAAGAAGTGTAACGTCAGAGTGTGAGGTTGCGGCCCATCACTCTGCCAGAATAGAGCTGGGCTCGGGTTCCGCAGCTGTGGCAGCCCACAGCCGGGCTTTGTAGAAGACAACGTCCATGTTGCCAACGATGAAATGTCCCTCAGGCCCTGGAGGTGTCTGGCATCTTCAATGTCATGGTGGACAGATTCAAGCAGTGACTGCTCGTCTGCGTGACCCCCTTCTGAGGCTGTTGAGCCAAGACCATTCTGCGACGCCTGTGTCTCTTCGGCGCCCTCTTGGTGGATATTTCCGTTTCCATGAGCGGTTGGTGTTGGTTCGTTCCGAACGTGTTGACGACGTGGGGGATTAGTTCCTGGAACAATGGAGTTGCCCGGATTGTTCGACGGTGGTAAGGGAGTAGTGAGGAAGGGAGCATGAGGAGGGGTTTCGAGCATAAATGGAGGGATTTCTGCTGTCAAGGCGTTGCGAGTGGGTGTCGTTGTGACTTCATTGTTACGGGCCTGATGCGCTGCTCTTCGAGGGGCGCGTGGCATGTTGGTTCAGCAGTCGGACGTGAAAGTGCCGCTACGTCAACCGGTATCGATGAACACTGGCCCCTCTGCCATACCTCGATGGGGTTTGCCGTAGGACGTATGCAAGGATAGCTAGGATGAGGCCGTTGGAGCAAGAATACTGTAAGGACACAACGGGTGCTGAACGGAGAAACGTGCAGTGTTTACGCGGAAGACGCGCCAAGGAAATTTCCGCCTCGTCGATTCCGTGTTGAGATGGCTCCGTAGTTCTCTTCCGCCACAGCCTATGGACAGTTGTATAGATCTCATTGAATGATATGACCACTGACAGCTTGTTCTGTATATTCGCAAGCTCTGTCGCTCATTGTCAGAATTCATGACCTGCCGGCCGAGGCAGCTCTTCCAGAACGGCATGCCATACTTTTGACTGACGTCCTCTGGTTGATTGTTTCAGGGCACCGCTCTCCCTTCTCTGATGGCTTTGGCCATCTCACTCATGGCCCGGTCTTCCGCATACCGCTTATATATAGGCATGTAGTGTTCCTTGTCACTCATTGTCTCGGTCACGGATTTCCTCGCTGTCACGACATCAAACCATTTCCGCCATCGATTCCACAGCTGCTCGTCTTCACCGCCCTGGCCTGGAGGAGGAATTCCCAGGCCGCCCTTGAAGTGGTCGAGCACCCACATCCTCACCGCCCAGGGAGCGAGAGCCACATCGCCAAAGGTGAAGTCTTTGCCCATGAAATATGGCCCCTCAGGATCTGCGTTGGAAATCCATGTCTTGAGGGCGTTCAGGAGCTCCGCCCGTGCTTTCTCCAAGGTATACGGGCTTTTCTCCGTATGTTGCAAGAACCTGTACCGCCGTGAGATGTCTGAGTCAAGATTGAGTGCACCGCTGACTACCTATGGTATGCTGGGAGGATCCTGGTCGTTATGTGATCGACCCATACTTTCATGACGGCTTTTTTATAAGGATCGCGTGGCCACAGGGGTGTCTGGTTTGGATACATCTCGTCGAGGTATCTGATTTTGTCAACTGACGGCAACCTCGCACTCTAGGTCTCTGTCGTGACATACTCGCAGATGATATTGGATTCAATCAGCGGCTTGGTTGACCCATCCTCTTGAGGACAGCCTAAGGTGGGAACCAAACCTCGCGGGTTGAGCTTGAGAAAACTGCCTTTCGGTTGGTACAAAAATACCGGTCCAGACGAGTGCAGCGTTGATCTGATACACACCTTGGTTCCTTCCGATACGGATTGATCTCGACATACTTGTACGGAATCTGCTTCTCCTCAAGAGTGATCCAGGCTCGTTGCACGAACGGGCAAAACCATCCCGAGTACAAAGTGATGGGCTCGTCCTTCTGATGTGCCGCAACAATCTTGGCCGCCGGGCCTGTTGCTTCCGGGTAGATGTCTGCGTCAGGATGTGACGCTGAACCCATGATTCCGAGATGCTTTTCCAACCTACATGCAAAGCTTCTTCTCTCAACGATATCGCAATGGAAATCTATCGACGTCCATGTCTGATTTATCGTTCCATCAATTAGTAAGATTTGGAGATGGAGAATCGTGACGCAATATCGGGCGGATCCCGTGGGCGGAGAAGCAGCAAGGGACTTGCGGGCGCACCACCGTCAGCCTCGTCGACAAACAATGCATAGATTCTGGCTCAGAGCGATATTGCATCTGGCCAAGAGAGCCTTCACGATGGATCAAGCCTAAGGTGACTCAATGTTATCGACAAGTGACTTCAGAATAGGCTGGGGACTAACAGGTACTTTTATTGAAATGACTACCGCACTACAGCCTCTCGAACCGAGAAGTGCCATTTCGACTAGGACCAGGTTCTGACGGAGAGAATCAAGTCAAAGTCTATAGCGGACGCCACTGGCAAGTGCGGGTGAATGATCCATCACGCTCCTCAACCAGAAAGGTCAGCAGTGCACTTTAAACAAAGCGCGGTCCTTTATAGGGTATTTTCAGGTCTCTCGTCCCCAAATGCGCTGCATATCCTCTCCTTCGAGACCGTTGTGCCCGCTCTTGACGAGATTGTCGATTGCTTCTTCGATGGGCACGTCGCCTTCCAGCAAATCAAACCAACCTCTCGTATCGTCCCGCTCCAACAGCGCTGCGGCCACGCGGGCCACATCCTCGCGGGGTACACCTGTTTTTGTGTGGGAAGTGATCAGCGAACATGATTTCTGGCGGCCCTAGCAGGTTGGGAAAATAAAATGAAAAAAAAAAAGGAAAAGGAAAAGGACTCGAAACTTACTGCCGCTCACGGGCGTCTTGCCCAGCGTAACCTTGCCCGTGCCTGGCTTGTCCGCCAACGTGCCGGGCCTCAAGTTGATGGCTTGGAACGCTGTGTCACCGCCGTCCAGCCTCTTCTTCGCAAGCGCCTCGAGATGCTCGTCCGCCTCTACCTTGGCTTGGTAGTAGACCGGCAGAATGTTTTGGTTGATGTTGTCGGCGGCTTTCCTGTCGTCGTCGGTCCACCACGGCGGATAGCCCTTGCGGGACTATGTCGCGTGACACGCGGGGTGTCAGCAGAATCCTCGAGGCTTACAATACAAGGCGAGGGGACGGGACCAAGCAAGCTGAGGACTCGAGACTACTTACCGCGTGGTACGAAACCATGAGGAACTTCTTGACGCTGGGCATCGCCAGCGACGCCGAGATGTAGCATTTCGCGGCGACCATATCGATGGCCTTCGTTCTCGCCGGTCCGCCCTTTCCACCAGCCCCTATCAAACCGCCCACGTCAACACTGCTGAACTCTCAGGTAAGATACTAGGAGCTCGCTGCCTGAACGCTCCGGGACGTGTGCACATGGTATAGTAGTAAAGCATGTAAACTTACCGGCACTCCACACCACGATATCCGGCTTCACCTGTTCCAGCACCCTCTGCGCGTCGCCGACCTCTTTGACGTCGTCGAGACTGTCCACCAACACCTCGATCTTGCCCGGCTTGTCCTTGCCGAGCGCCAGGATCTCCGACTCGTACGCCGGGTTGCGGACGACGCTGGTGACATGCCACTTCTTGGCGAGCAGGAGGGGTTGCAGGAACAGCGAGACCTTTCCGTGGCCGCCGAGGACGAGCACGCGCGGTGCAGACATGATTTGATTGCGTAGTGGACAATCTGGGAAATTATGTACAGCGAAAATCTAAGAGCAGGAGAATTGGGCCAAGGGAAATGGGAAAGGGAGAGTGTTTGTGGTTGATATATATACAATGCCGCCGCGACACAATACCTGATATTAATAAGGAACCAATGGAGAAGGATCCGAGCATCGCCGAATCGCCCCTACGTCACAATAAGGCCACTAGTAGGCCACCCAGCCATACAGCTCTGGTGGCTATATTCCTCGATGGAGTACAGCGGCTCCGAAGCTTGCTTGAAGCGAGGCACACGAATGCCTAAACTTTTGTCAGGGCCGACGCGGTTCAAAATGACTCTCTGGCACCAAATGGCAGAGACAAAATCTGCAAGAATACCGATGGTGCCGAATGCTTGTTCACGCTCCGCACGGCATATGATGCAATGAACATGGAGGATTTGTCAGGCGCTTTGGGCCAAGTCAAGGCTGTGAGCCCCTTTTCTGTGGGTTGCTATACACGATAGCACAAACACTGGTCACCTTTGTTGACATGTTGTATCGCTTTGGATTCAAGGAAGAATAGAATCCTTCACTCTATTCTGCCAATATCCAGCAGTTCAGACTCGAGTCCCCAGGCGGAATGATATATCCCTTCGTCGCCTGCTATTCAATGCTGGTGTTCACGCTCCAGGCTGTTGATATTGTCTTGTTTCTCTAATCCACTCCTTGAATCTGGCTCGATATCCACATCTTCACCAGGGGTGGAAAACTCCAGTGGGTTGAGTTTGTGAGCATCGCTTCCTGGGCCGAGAGTGATGTAGTCCCTCTCAAAGGCTGGCTGATGCGCAGTGCTAGTCTTCCCAGACAAGTGTCCTTGAAATCTGTAAAAGCACTTGCTCGGCTCACGGAATGATGCCTGAGGGTGCTTCTGTTGACAAGTCATTGCCTTGCGCCGCCTGAAAGATTCTGCGCCAAGTATGCAACCTCGAACTGCCTCTTGCCCGATTGTGCTCATGCTTTCCAGCTGTGCGCCATGATTCACTCACAGCGCCAGAACCATTTCTGCCGCACCTCCTCCCACAAACCCACAAAACTAGTCTGACAATCTATAGAGCCCAAAAAAACCAGTAAAAAAGCGAAATCTCACGCCCACAGCGAGAATTGAACCCCCCCAAGGGAGACAAAAAATCGGTGCCTCCCTGCAGAACAGATGTTCCCGGAAGTTTGCAGACAGCCCGCTAGGGGCTTTCAGATTTTTACCCTATGCGTCCTGGCCGTAACGCTGTCACCACAAAGGTCACAAGTACCTCTGTAGCCAGCAAGGCTCGACAGTCTCTGGGTGAGTCCACTTTTGTGACTGTAATCAGCTCTTGTTCGTAGGTGGTCACGATAATTGGTGCCCAAAGGCGACAGGAAATTGACCAGTGTAACAGATATTCTTGAATTTTCGGGCAAGAGGATCCGCTTATATTGAGGTCGACTGCTTGGCGAGGAGAAAGGATGAGTATGTGAAGTGTCCAGACCAAGGGTGAGGTACAATCCAAGGCTGAGGGTGATGAGGGCAAGGCTGCCGAAGGTCGAACTCCGACTCTGAATACAATTCGGTGCGGCTAGAGACCTCTTATCATGTCCATTGTCCATCAAGTCGAGGCCTTTGGATGAGGTCGGTTTACGGCAAATCCAGGAAATCCCATATGGTGAGTGCATTGGTCAATCAATAGAGGTGATTTTGATGTTCATCATTCGTCATCGTCTCATTAGGAGGACAGCCGACGTGGATAATCTCAGCCACCGCTTCCAGCAGCTATTGTTGTCTTCGTTCTCCAGTCTTCAAAGCTGGCGGATGCCGCCTCGCCTTTCCGGTTAGGGTCCTTTCTCTTCTGCTTGTCTTCCCAGTCCCCTTCCTCCTGAGCGATCAGAGCGTGGAACTTGCCACCTTGGCCCCTCCCAAAGTAGATGGCTCCTTCTTCTCTCTTTGCCACGCGTTCGGTTACCAACACATATTTGACGCTACTCCCGGGCACTTCGAACATAGCATCACCAAGGATAGTCTCCATTTCCGTTCGCAGAGCTCGAGCTCCTGTGCCCATGGCGAGAGCGTTTGAAGCAACTACGTGGAGAGCCGGGGTAGTAAAGCGGAGCTCGATGCCTGAGAGCGAGAACAGCGTGACATATTGCGCCACTAGCGAGTTGCGCGGCTCTGTCAGGATACGCAATAGAAGAGTGTGGGTGAGGGCGGCTAAGGCGGCAGTCGTCGGTATACGTCCGATAAGCTCGGGGATGAAGCCGTAGGATTGTAGATCGGCTGGGGTGACCAGGTCCAAAGGGTTGAAGTAGTTCGGTTCTGGGGCAGAGCCATCCATAGTTGTCTGCTCAGGAGCTGGCGCCGGGGTGAAGAAGGGCAAATGTTTCTTGTAGAGAGCCTCTTCTTGGGATCCTGGCAGGATGGGGACTGGAGTGATAGTGGTGGATTTCGGATCGCGACTGTAGGAGGCTAAATTGGAGCTAGATCGTACACTGGCTCCAAACCCAATGCTCCCTTTCGTCAGCCGGTCCATGATGTGCTTTTGAAGGCCAATGAATGCACCGCTGAAGATAAAGAGGATATTATCCGTTCGAACATTATAAACCTCGCCTTTTGCTGGGGTGGCAGAGGGCCCCGACGATCCAGATGAGAAGCCGGCGCCCAAGGGACTGTTGGTGGGATAGGTCTGTGACTGTCCACCTGCTCGAGGAGCATTCCTCTCGGGTTTTGCCTGGATCTGGATGGTCGTCCCTTCGATGATCTTCAGAAGTGCTTGCTGGACGCCTTCGCCTGACACATCTTTGCCATGGCTGACCTTAGCCGTTGCTATTTTGTCAACTTCATCCAAACATATGATGCCTCGCTCGGCTCTTTCGACGTCATAGTTCGCTGCTGCCAACAACCGGTGGACGCAAACCTCGGCATCCTCGCCAATGTATCCAGCTTGAGTGAAGGGTGTGCAATCAGACATGGAAAAGGGGACAGAGAGAACTCTAGCAAGAGTCTTTGCCATCAGTGTCTTTCCCACACCACTGGGACCCAGAAGCAAGATATTCGACTTTTCCAGAGTCAGAGGACTTGTATCCACTAAGAGCGAGCCGCCTGTCCGTGGGTTGAGGGTAGCTGAGGGTCCGCCCATGCGGATCGTGGACTGTTGACCTGGGAACTCATTTTCAACAGGATGCCGCTCTCTTCTTTCCCTCTGTGCAAGCAGCTCTTCTTCTTCCTCTTCACGTCTCTGCAGCTCTTGTATTCGTTGATAATGATTAAATACGGCAACGCTCAACACTTTCTTAGCTCGCTCTTGGCCGACGACAAACTGATCAAGATGCTGCTTCAGAGCTTTCGGAGTCAGGCGAGGAGTACCATAAATCGAAGCTCCAGCTAATGGGCCAGACGTAGGCAAGCCTGGCTCGTAGGTCCCGGTGAAAGGTTGATTTGCAAAGTCGGAACGATGAAATTGCGACGAGGACAATCTTTGCGGTTGAGTCGAAAGAGATCGCTTGCTGAAGGCAATATACGACGAACGGAGCCGGCGTGGCATAGACGTGGTTGATGCGGTCAAGGTGCGATCGAGGGCCGGGCAAAGGAAGATTGGAAGAGACACTATCGAGCGCATTGGTGTTGTTCACACGGAGGGCGGGCTTCAAGTGCCAGCGCCCAAGGATTTAGAATTCCTGCCTCCTATCTGCATGCAGCAATCTTGATAGAATAACGAAGGGGGAGGTGGTATGAGTCAACGCGATTGTTCGGAGAGGCGATAGCAAGCGCAGCTGCACGGATGCCCCCTCATTTCCATATCGCCACAACCTGTGCGAGTTGTTCCGAAGTTTCACCGGCGCAGGTGCTGCTCCTCAACTCCATACAAAGTATCTAATGTACTTGCCATGAGAGGAGTCCTGATGAAATATCGATTGGCGTGGATGAGCGAGTCAAGGGGAGCCGATCTACCAACCACTCAAAGAGCAGGGGAAGGTTACGCCAAATGCCTGAGAGGATCCCAGGCTGTCGGCAATGCGCTTCCATATTGAATCTACTGGATGAAACCCTTGTGCCAATGACGTTTCCTTACTGCATGGCGTCAATATATCCGGCGAAATGTGCCGCGACAAGGCTGTAAATCAACATTTCATTGAAATGCTTGTAGATTTGAATTCCTGCCGACTTTGCGCAAAAGACCGCGGAGCTTCAAGCTAAAAAGCGGACATAGAGGACCTCGAGCAGCCGAACACGATCGCAAGTCGAAATGACTTCGACTGGGATGAATATACTGGAGCACGCCACGAAGTTCGGGACCCTCAAACAGGTCCAAAAATCCCTTTGTACCACGGAACGTCTTTCAGTCCCTGTTGGAGGGAAAAGCGTGCGTGGATTTCTCTATCTTCCGGCAGGATACACAGACAACAAGGACAGGGTGGCAGCTGCTGCGATACTCGTCTCTGGCGCTGGCGGAGGCGTCATCGGTCCTTCATCGATGTATGTTTCTATTGGAGACAAACTTGCCAGTCTTCGGCGGGGTATACCTGTACTTCGACTGGATTACCGCTATCCGGCCCATGACACTCCTTGCGTGGAAGACGTGACTGCGGCTATGGATCATCTGGAGCAGAAGTATTCCATTCACAGATTTGTATTGGTTGGTTGGTCATTTGGAGGCACGCCAGTCGTGAGTTTTCCTTTACCTCTGGGATGATGGTCTTGTACTTGAACAGCATTCAGATCTCGCCAGTATGCACACACGCTAACGATAGCCTGCAGTTCGCCGTGGGCGCACAAGAGAAAGGTAAATGTCAAGCATCCTGTTCAAGAGCGTGTCTGACGTTGGCAGAACGTGTGGTAGGGTGTGCGACCATTGCAAGCCAAACCGCAGGTACAGGCGGGATAAAGAAGCTGGCCCCAAGGCCGCTGCTCTTGCTCCACGGCACCGGTGATCGAACGTTGAAATGGCACTGCTCCCAGAGTCTCTACGAGTCATATGGCAGAGAGGGGGATCGGCAACTGAAACTCTTCGAGAACGATGATCATGCGTTGACAGGGAATGCTCTTGAGGCAGAGGAGCTGTTGTGCGACTTCATTGCGAAGTGCGTTGGGCTGAAGATAGACAATGATGAGCAAGAGAAGGTCATCCAGAAGCCACTCGTGGATAGCGGTGAAAGAGTAGAGCTGATGAAGAAGGGCGGCGATCTCGAGGGAGAGAGTGTCGAGTAAAACTTCGTAGTTCTAGGCCTCGAGCGCGTTGGACTTTTGCGATGGGGATGGATGGTTGCAACGAAGACTGTCCGGAACGGAAAAACTGTCGGAAGGAAGCAAGTGGCGGCGCAGATTTTGATGGGTGCGTTGATTGGCTTGAGGACACAGGGAGGATTGGGCTTTGGGCCTTTGGCTGAGCTTCCCCACGTCAAAGCCACGTCAAAAGTTGCTGGTGGTGCTTTGTTGAGGGTTGATGTCATTATTATCGAGACCCTCAAACCACAATTTCGCCGCATCCCCCAAGGGTCTCGCTGGCTGCGCAGGTAAACACCTCATTCAACACTTTTCCCATCGAGGCACAAAACCTCCTCCAACAAGCCTCCGGCCACCCAGGAACAGCTCGATAAATACTTTTGAGCTCCTAACATTGCCCTTTCTCCGCCCTTGAGTTCTGACATTCCCTTAACCCGACCCAATTGACTATTGCACCACTTCCCAGCTCCCGTTGTGACCTCGACTGCCCCTCATGGCGTTGAATCAGGACTCTGCAAATTCGGTCATGGCTGCGCCTGCCAGCGGGGAAGCTCCCCTTGACGGAACAGGTATGCAAACCCTCATGACTCTCTACAGTCTCTCTAACTTCTCACTAGGCGTTATACAGCTCGACCCTTGGCTAGAACCGTTCCGGGGAGACCTGAAGTACCGGTTTTCCAAAGCCCAGGAATGGATAAAGAAGATTGATCAAACAGAAGGTGGCCTGGAGAAATTCAGCCGTGGATATGAGAACTTTGGCTTTACGTTCGAGCCAGACGGTTCTATAGTCTATCGGGAATGGGCTCCCAACGCTGAGCAAGCTTCCTTGATCGGCGAGTTCAACAACTGGAACAGAGAGGCACACCCAATGAAGAAGAACGAGTATGGTGTATGGGAACTGAGGCTCCCTGCAAAAGACGGCGTCCCAGCCATTCAACATAACACCAAACTGAAGATTTCCATGGTCATTCCTGGCGGAGAGCGCATTGAAAGAATACCAGCCTGGATCACCAGAGTTACCCAAGAACTCTCCGTGTCCCCGGTCTACGATGCCGTGCTGTGGAACCCCCCCAAGGAGGAGCGTTATGTCTTCAAGAACCCTCGCCCTCCCTATCCAAAGAGCGTCCGCATCTACGAAGCACACGTCGGTATTTCTTCCCCTGAGCAGAAGGTTGCCACGTACAAGGAGTTCACCAAGAACATGCTCCCAAGAATCAAGTATCTCGGGTACAATGTCATTCAATTAATGGCAATCATGGAGCACGCTTACTATGCTTCTTTCGGATATCAGGTCAACTCCTTCTTTGCAGCGAGCTCCAGGTACGGGACGCCGGAGGATCTGAAGGAACTGATCGACACGGCCCACGGCATGGGAATCACAGTGCTCCTCGATGTTGTGCACTCTCATGCAAGCAAGAACGTACTGGACGGCCTCAATATGTTCGATGGCAGCGACCACCTTTACTTCCACGAAGGTGGAAAAGGTCGACACGAGCTATGGGACTCACGACTTTTCAACTATGGTCATCACGAAGTGTTACGATTTCTGTTATCCAACCTCCGATTTTGGATGGAGGAGTACCAATTTGACGGCTTCCGTTTCGACGGAGTTACTTCCATGCTTTACGTTCATCACGGCATTGGCACAGGATTCTCGGGAGGCTACCACGAATATTTTGGCCCATCCGTGGATGTGGAAGCCGTGGTGTATCTCATGCTTGCCAACGAAATGCTTCACGACATCTACCCCAACTGCATCACCATTGCTGAAGACGTCTCCGGCATGCCCGCCTTGTGCTTGAAGCTTTCACTAGGCGGAATAGGATTTGACTACCGCCTCGCTATGGCTGTTCCTGATATGTACATCAAGCTTCTCAAAGAGAAGAAGGACGATGAGTGGGATATCGGCAACATCGCATTCACCCTCACCAACCGACGGCACGGTGAGAAGACCATTGCCTATGCCGAATCCCACGACCAGGCCCTGGTAGGTGATAAGTCACTGATGATGTGGCTGGCCGATGCGGAGATGTACACGCACATGTCGGTCCTGACCCCGTTGACACCGACCATCGACCGCGCGCTCTCCCTCCATAAAATGATCCGCCTCGTGACCCATGGCCTGGGTGGCGAAGGCTATCTCAACTTCGAGGGCAACGAATTTGGGCACCCAGAGTGGCTCGACTTTCCTCGAGCAGGCAATGACAACTCCTTCTGGTACGCCCGCCGACAATTAAACTTGACCGAAGACCACCTTCTTCGCTACAGGTTCCTGAACGAATTCGACCGGACTATGCAGTGGACTGAAGAGAAATATGGCTGGCTCCACAGCGCCCAGGCTTACATCTCTTTGAAAAACGAGGACGACAAGGTGCTGGTCTTTGAAAGGGCAGGTCTCTTGTGGATATTCAACTTCCACCCCACGAACTCGTTCACCGATTACAGAGTCGGCGTAGATGTCCCGGGCGTCTATCGGATCGTCATCGACACGGATGCCCCTGAGTATGGCGGGCACGGGAGAAATGCAAAGGACACGAGATTTTTCACGACCGACCTGCCGTGGAACAACAGGAAGAACTTCACCCAGGTTTACATTCCTACAAGGACAGCTTTGGTGAGTTTGGAGCCCCTCTAACCTCTGTGATTGATGCAGTTGTCGTTGCTCTCGACCAGTTTCGCTGACTTGACGTGTCCAGGTCCTTGCCCTTGAATCGACCCTTTGATCCAGAGATACCCATATTCCGACTTTTGTGATGGGAGGGAGGCCTTTAGGATGATAGCTTTCTAGCTGGGTATTGAAGACGCGATGAGATGTCCGCCCAAACCCAAAAAAAAATATTCTTTTGCAGGACAGCGCAACAGGTTTCATGTCAATATCACTATTAATAGGTTTATAGACTCAGGATGAATTATGTGGCTCTGTCGAACAGTACGGCTGGCAAAATCGACACCCATTCTTGCTAACGACTTGTTCTCGACGCTTATAGGGCACAAGGAAGATCTGGAAATACTTTTCTCTTCACACTGATAATTGTTACAACTTAAAATCCTATGGATGAGTAGAGTAGAGCGGCGCCGAATTAGGGATGTGTTCTGTTTCCATGCTATCGACGAAGCCGCTCGAGGCACATCTTTTGTTTCACCTTGGGTTAATTTCTTAGACAGGAGTGCGAAAGGCGCACTCCGAACATCGACATCTGAAAGGAATGAAGTCGACGAATCAAGCTGCAAGCTCGAATATGAGCTGGCAATGGATTGATCGCCGGGCCCTCATCAACGCCTGATGATTTCAGGTCGGGTGTCGACGACTCTGTCCTAGGAATTCGGGGGCAGCCCCCTCCTGATGTTCCACTCGTCCCGACAAACTCTCATTGCCAACCCGGGCACGAGTTCTTGCTCCTTGTTCCTTCCCCATTTCGCTTTGCCCAACAACCAGTCCGTCAGCGTGACCACCTTGCTCGTCTTGTCGAAGCCATTGCTCTCCTCCGCGTGTTCAATAGTATGGCTTGCTATCCTGCCCTTGGAGTCAAAAGTGAAAATGAATAGACCTGTAAAGTCGTCGCCTTTGTTGAGGTTGAAGATGGGTTTATCTCCGCCGAGCAGTTTCGACAGCCCGCGATTGATGTTCGAGTCGGTCGTGGTAGATGCGGCGGCTTCGGGACTGCCGTTGCCATTGCCGTTAGTTTTGGGCTCCGTCTTCCATCGCACTACCAGTTTTTCTGCACTGAGATCTTGCTCGTCCTCGGATGGGGGAGTGGCATATGAGAATCCTGTCCGCACAATCTTCTCCGAAATGATTCTCAACTTTACATTACCCACGATAGGGACGCAGCCCCAGGCGACCGGGGCAGTCCAGAGAGAGGCGCGGTAAGCAACACGGCCCTTGACAGCCGGCAGATGAGGATGAGTCGAGGGGAAGAGATGTAGGGAGATGTTGGGGGACAGGATCTCGGGTGGGAGGGGCTTGGTGAGGATGTCCGGGAGGAGAGGCGACAATATTCGCAACGCTATGGCAATGTCAGCTTTTGCAATGGCCTCTTCTAATGATTCCACGTGGAACATACTCTTCCCTAGCCTGATCAAGCGTTCATCCGGCGGCTTGTGGTCATTATTATTGTTGCCAGGCGTAGGAGGTCCAAGGAGGTCGTCTTCCGGGCCAGTTCTGGGGGACGTGGACGTAAACCAGACTTCGGATATGGGCTCAGGCCTCACTTGTGCTAGGTGTCTCTTGGGCAGCACCTGGCGCAAAGAAGCGCCACCGGAAGCGGTCGACCTGTGCCTGCGAAGAAGCTGGGCTTGGTTGGGATAACTGGAAGCCCATCTCGAGGCTGGAGCAGCGCACTTGGGGGTAGTGGGAAGCTTGCGCATTGGCCCGGAGGTCATCTGGGCGGAGGAAGCATGCTTAAGATGTTAGAGCTCTCGAAGGTATTCGAGGAGATTAAGGACAGGACAAATATTGTTTAGGACGAAAACATGGAAATCGCAGTCACGAAGCTGTGTCGCACGTCTCACCACGAGAATCTTGGGAAAGCCAACTACGTCAGCCAATGGCAGCAGCTGCCCGCACCATGTCCGAAGCCCCCAATTTCCATCTCGCCGGTTCCCATTGCCATCTACCAACTCAGATGGTCCACGATCTTGTTCAAGGTCCTGTCAGCGGTTGCCCGAACGCTGTTCGAAGTGGCACTGGCATCCAGAGACAGCTCGTGCCCCATGCATTGACTGTTGTTCTCTCCAGCGGCGAACGCGTCCCGGCATCATCCATCTGTCCGCCTCGGAAGCATGGGTCCTTTTGCGGGCCAGGCATTTCCCGATGCAGCAGCCCATGTTGGAAACAGACGGTGAGATTTGGTTAAGCTGCCTAAAGACGTTGCTGACGCATGAGGATGCATGTGTAGTACCAGATATCCGCCATCTTCTCTTCTGCGAAGCTGGGCTGGGAATGCTTAACTGTGGACCGATCCGTCTCTGCATTCTGCTTGCGCCCTTCTGAGGGCTTAGACTGGGCGGAGTCTAGAACTTGGGACAAGTGATCGACCTGATGTGTATGAAAAATAGCCGGACTTCGATATCGAATCTCTAGCCTTCTTGAACCACGAAAGCGTGAGCAGGACACCAAGTTGTTGCGACCTCTAGCAAAAGTCTCGGTGCTTGCAAACCATTGTAACTGCAAGGACGGACGGAACTAATACCAAGCATTTCCACCATCTCCACGTGCCATGACAGCTATCGCGGGAAGGAGGCAACCGGGCCTTAGAATCTTGGATATTGGGGAAAGACGGGGCTCGTCAAAGGAATACTAGGATAGCGTAGAACCTGAAGGAGCAGACAAAGAAAACAGTCAGCCCGGAGGCGGCAGTCCTAGCAAATATCAGACTCCACTGGGGAGCAAACATAGAGGATGTGGACAACAAACAGACCAAGTGTTCCCATCAGCATAACAGACACGGTTTAGACAAGAGAACGTCTTTTGTTCGTCCCAACAGACCAACTTCAACTGAAACCCAAGGCACCTCTCTCTGAGGTATTGAGGTATATAGTACGGAAGAACAATATTCCGAGGCCCGGTCACCCCTTCGATCCCCTGAATCGCGAGCCTTATCCGAGTCGGCGGTTGTCCGTGCAGCTTTTCATGCTTTCTGCCTGGGTGAAAACAGCTATGAGCTAGAATCTAATGTCTGGTTCGATGTTCGTCCTATCATTGCATTGGAGATGGGTGTATCAATGATCCAGAAAAGGAATCAGACCTTCTATCTCTGGGTGAGCAAGTCTCAAGCCGGAGGATCAACACGGCATGAGGGGATCCAGAATCGTGCGAAGGGTTGTGCTCAATTGCTCCAGGTCGTGTTCATGTAAGCTTCTGCCTGGTTTGTATCTGCGGTATCTGCAGGTATTAGCATGCTGCATGAGCCTGAAGGCTTCTCAGAGACCATCTTGAACTCACCAACGCTCACACCGTCTTGCTTTGAAGTCGTCATCCCAAACGGGAGGAAAGACTGGGTCTCTTCTCGTATTTTTGCTTGACAACAATTCATTCTGGTTGAAAACACAACTTCTCCTCCTGTTCTTTCCCCAACTTTTCGTCAACCCGCAGCCCAGTCGTCTCTCCCCGACAAGAGCGGAGTGCAGGCACACAAAAATGTCCGCTGCACGGATGGGCTGATGGATCCAAACGCAGGGAGGAGGACCGAATATGCTTTGACTTCAAGGGGATTTGTCTTGTCTCGTATATGGGTAGTCGGAGAAGTCAGCAGATGGCGCTCCATTGTTTGGAGCTGGGCGGGCACAGATAAGGATTGCGAACCGTCTGGAACAGGGGAGCAGAAGAGCAATATCTTGAAGCTGTATGGCGCTGTGAGCGTCTTTATGTGCCAATGTTGCTGATGGACGAGCTCAGAGACCGACTGCCGTGACAAAAGAGGACAAAGATGAGAAAGCGAAACAGCTCACCCTCCAATTTCCTAGTACAAGCAGCAAAGGGAGGAGAGTATAAGGGAGCCCTGTCAACATAGTGGCGTCCTTTCGAATTCGCCGGATCTCTATAGACGATGGTTGAAGTTATGGGTAGGTGGATAAGAGGTCTTTACGGATGCTTCGAGGGCGCTGTGGCGTTGCTTGGATCCCAAGCATGTGCGGTGAAAGATCGAACAGACCACTTGGCCACGAAGCCGACATCCTTGAGGGGCGCGATTATGTCTCTGCGCTTCACAGAAGCACAAAAGAGCAATCCAGAGGAGCGTAGACGCTGGAAAGGCGATAGGCCAAGGGCTCTTTCAAACCGCGCCCAGGCGCGGTTTGGCATAGTGAGCCTATACTCACCTCTTCGACAAAGACCGCGGTCCCCAAACATCACACAGGGCCACATCAAGCGATTTGCAACAATCTCCGCGACCTCAGTCTTCTCTGGTCGTACCTGCTTTCAGTATGATCCCTTCGCCGCCCTTGGGCATTGTGTGCATGCCTCTGTAGTCCACGATTTCAATGCTGCCTGGGCCTCAGCTTGTCAGTGATGTTTCTTTGATGCTCAGACCTCCGGGTCAAAACTCTGCAGTTTGACCCTAGCAATCCCTTCTCCGGACAATCAAAGACATTACAAGGAAAGAAAGACAGCGGCTGACACAGATTCCTGCAGATGAAGGCCGCTGCACGTACTTATTCTGACAGCAACTCTCAGAATCCTGAGCTTCAGGTACTGTCTTCTCTGTCAGAATTTCCATCAACTCACCTCATACTCGCAGCCCTCAGGCACAGCATCCCACAACAGGTGCCCTTCCATCTTCGACAGTCTCCCTCAGAAATGACAATGTCTCGCGCAACGTCCGACGACCAACTGAGATTCCTCTTGAGCTGCGTCAAACATGCCACCAACGGAAGGGTGAGTGAGACCATATGAACCACACACCAGACTCCATGGAAGCTGACAGCATCAGGTTGATTTCGTGGAAGTCGCCAAAGAATGTGGTGTAGTCAGCAAAGGAGCAGCGTAAGTGTATCTTGGTGGTATGGCCGTGTCTGGACTCTGGCGTGCTGACGGACCACAAGAGCCAAACGATACGAGAGACTCATGAAGGCGAATGGTGTCAGTTCCACCAGCGGTTCTGCAATCAGCTCAGCTTCGAGGCCCCCACCGTCCAAGCAAAAGGCGAAGAGTTCAGACGAGAGGCCCGCGGCGGCAAAGAAACAGAGATTGGAGAAAGACAACCCGGCAAGTCCTTCGAAGAGAGTCGGGAACGGTTCGAGGCCGATCACGGTGACCACAGCAGAGTCTCAGCGCGATGCCGGCAAATCCACTCCAGCAAAGCCAGAAGCATTCATTCGATCTGTCCGGCATACCCTAGCCGGCCCAACTGGCTTGCCACAGCTATCTCTTCCCACCACCACGTTTGTTTCCGGCAATCCTGTGGCTCAAGGCGTTCCATATTCAGGACGGCAACGATCGCCCTTTGTTGGCTTCCCCGCAATTGCGTGTGGCGCTGGCCATCAGTTGCTACCGGATGTCTCCATGTATCCTCCTTTTCCGCCAGTATTCAGAGAGTCATGGGCGTTCGCAAGCCAGGAAAATGGCGGTCCCATCAGTGGCTTTGACGCGTATGGCAACCAAGACTATGTCAACCAACAAAATCAGGCCGTTCAGCCTCCTTTTCAGACCGAAGCAATAGCGCTGAGACTTCCACCTCAGCCACAGGAGGTTGTACCGATTCAAAAGCAGGGCGAACGTCAGCCAGAAGAAGAAGGTAGTGCGCCGAAGTCCAAAGGCCATGTTGTCGTCGTGGAGTGACCCGTTTCGAAGCACTCGGCTCTGGAGACGCAATCAGGTGAAGGGGAGGGAACTCACGAACCGTTAGACAGTCTAGAGAGGGCGATAGTCTGTCTCTCAGTCAGTAGGAGGTTATCAACTGGGCAGTCGACAAGGTGTCTCTGTGAACAACATCCCGACTCATCAGAGGGTCAAAGACTCCTTTTTCAGAACATCCAGCCTTGAAGGTCATTGCGGAAGATGGCGACCAAGAGAGAACAATATCATTTCAGTTCCATTATCTGTGTTATGTCAACGAGGGGCCGGAGGAGATGACGGGCGTTGGCGACCTCGTTGTTGGTCTGATGGTCTTCACTGCCAACACGTCGTCAGTACAAAGGCATTTCCCCCAATTTTCTCCCTCTTTGCCATCCAGCCCTCGACCTCCCCCGTCCGTCCATCTCACATCTCTCACCACCCCCTTTGCTTCATCAAAACTCTTTTTCTATACCTCTGCTACGTCTGTCATCCTGCCCAGAGTGAGTTTCAACACCGTTGAGGCCTTTGTTGGTGGCGATTGTGGTCTGTTTGGTAAGTACCATTGCAGAGAACAGCACTTTTTCAACACAACGCACCCTTGCATCCACAGAACACCACCTCCTCTTGCGCTGTCTTTCATCCTATTGTCTTCTATTCACCGTTCAGAATTTCTCTCCGCTTTCATTTAGTGCTAGTGACGACTTCTCTGGCTTTTGATTCGTCTTGTGCCCTTCGCGATACCCTCTTGCCCCGACGAAATTGATGTCACCCAGTCTGCGCCGCGGGCTATTCACCAGGTTGCCGCGACGTCCCAACGCTTTCCAGGAGGAAAACAAACCTCTTCCTTCACCAATTTTGTTCCCTTCAACTGACAACACAGAGCAACAGACTGGAGCCACTTGATTCTCAGTATCAGTCAACATGCCTGCCAGGAATCGCCCCGCAAAGCGTGTGCTCAATCGCTGGAGTGGTTCGTATAGATTTGTCACACACCACACAGATATCCACCTTGCTGACGATACACAGATGACCTCGACAAAGGCGTCCTGCTGTGTGTTCAGTACGCGTGCGCAGAAGCGGGCCTGAAGATCCCATGTAAGTACAGAAACCTCCAACTGAATATTCCCATCCTTACTGATTGTAACAATCATAGGGGGTCGAGTTGCTGCTCTCATGGGTCCCACCTTCACTGAAGGCTCCATCGTCCAACATCTTGCCAAGCTTCGAAACCTCATGGCTCGACTTGGTATTCCTGTTCCACCAGCCGTCAAGCGTGGCATGGTTACCAAAGAACCCTCAAAGATCTATACCAATGCCGGTAACAAAGTCAAGCTCGAGCCGATCGCTCCTATGTTCCCTGAGGCTCCTGTTGCCAAAGAGGATGGAGATGGCGAAGCTTCCATATATGACAAACCGAAGCGTTCTCGCAAGAAGGAGACTGTTCAAGACAAAGATGGACAAGCCAAGAAGGAACCCAAGGCCAAAGGTAAAGCCAAAGGTAAAGCCAAAGGTCGCCATCTCCTTGCAAATGAGGAAGATGACGATAACGAACCTGTTCCAGATCTTTCTGACTCCGACGACGAGTATCCTGCACCCAAGAAACGCCGTCACAACAGCAGCAAGTCGAAGAAGAAAGAAGCCGTGGCCAAAGCGTCTACGACCCTACCTGATGCAGCCATTCCTTCTGTCGTCTCGCCTATCCAGTCTCCAGGTGCAGACAAGAACGTTGCTGTCAAGCTTGAGGAAGAAGAGCTCGCTGGCCCTGCTCGTCGCACTCGCGGTATCAAGCGTGACTATTCTGTCATGGCCGCTCCTTCCGATGATGACGCTGAATTCGATGAGGAAGTCCCGCCAAACATGGACGAAGACCTTGAAGGCTGTTATGAAGACATTGGAATCGACGATGAGACTGCTCACAGTGGTACCATCACTGACGATATGGATGATATGGATGATATGGACGAAGCGTCAAGCGAAGTGTCAACTGTCGTTCTCGCTCAGCAAGCAACTTCTAGTAACGACTCCCACATACTTCCTCAACAGAATGTGGCTGTTCTGCCATATGGTCAAATCATCCCCACTATCGATGGCCACCATACCACAGTAAGTTAGCCTCTTGAGCTCTTATAGCTGCGCTGACACCGAGACAGTTTCCACTCACCCAGCTCAATACCCTGAGTGGAGCAGATTACAGTCCTCATGGCCATGTTAGTGTTGGTATCATCAATCACAACTCCTATTCCGGTCCTGAGCTCGGACACTCTGGCGCTGCCATCATGAACACCATGCCACGCGCATATGCAGGAGCCCACTTTCCGAGCGTAAGCATGTATGGCTCTTCCACGGATTCCTCCAGAAACAACTCGATCGGTGCCGATATGATGTTCCAGACCCTTCCCTCCATGTCTGACAACGAGTTCTTGGCTGCGCATACCGCCTTCGGGCATCGCAATATAGGAGACGTGATCGCTGAGGAGGATATGATGAACAGCATGGCAAACGACGAGATCTTCTGGAACGAGGGCGATTACCTGGTCGATGACGCTTAAGTCTCTGTGAGTTGCAAAGTCCCGACCATATCAGGGGTCGCTAACGGTGTTGGATAGGTTCTCCGTGTCTCATCGCTCACCAACTGCACATACCTGAAGACCTCGGGACACCGGATTGAATGACGACGAATAGTGATGTGATATTCCATGGCTCTGAGCACTCGTGGTGTAGTCTGGGAGGAGTTTAAGACCATGCCGGAATCACGCAACCGATTTTGTTTCTTTTTCCTTTCTTTCCTTTACTTTCGCTCGGAGGAAAAAGTCATAAAAATGTCACAAGGGGCTTATGTTTCGATCGGGTCATCATTCAAGGTGTTCTTTGCGCAGGGAGGGTTAGACCGACTTGAGCCACATCGAAGATCATGTCGACCAGCAAAGTTCAGCACGAAAAGATATCCAGCAATGGAGCGGATGGAGGCACTCACCGACAGCTGGCCATGGACCAAATCGTTTCATTTTTTTGCATGTACTTGTACAAAACTCCAAGCACCACCGTCACAAGATAGGGGTCCGAGCTTGTCACCATGCCAATCACTCAAAGTCTACCTTGTGCTGTTTCCTGATTCTCTGTGATGTGTTTCTTCAGCCAATATGGGAGCTCTGGCCACAGTATTACAAGTATGTACGGAGTAATGGGAGGGAGATGTTCGGAAGCGTCGGAGGGGGCGGACGCACGACTCCGATTGGTTGCCAAGCGACTAGGCCCGAACTGGAATCATGCTGCGTTTGCGATTCTGTTGATTTCGAGAATCTCCAAATTTTTATTGGCATCAACCTCGAACTCTCTACCATATCACCAGCCATCAGTTGTCCCATTCCTTCTTCCCCTTTCCTCATCTCGACTCGTCCAACTGCTTTGCCCACCATGCAGCGCGCTCTCTCCTCCGCAGCGCGATCCTCCTTGTCCTCTTCTTCTCCATACTCCAGATCAGCCGGTCGAAGTCTACAACAACTGCGCTTTGCTCATAAGGAGCTCAAGTTCGGAGTAGAGGGACGAGCCCAGCTGCTCAAGGGTGTTGAGACTCTATCGAAGGCTGTTGCAACAACGCTTGGTCCTAAAGGCCGCAATGTCCTCATTGAGTCGAGCTACGGCTCGCCCAAGATAACCAAAGGTGAGTATCCGTGATCTGGGGACCAGCACGAACCCGAACTAACAAAAGCATCAGATGGTGTCACGGTCGCCAAAGCTGTCACGCTCCAAGACAAGTTCGAGAATCTCGGAGCCCGCCTCATCCAAGATGTCGCCTCAAAGACGAACGAAGTCGCCGGTGATGGCACCACCACCGCCACCGTGCTCGCAAGCGCCATTTTCTCTGAAACCGTCAAGAACGTCGCTGCCGGGTGCAATCCTATGGACTTGAGAAGAGGTACACAGGCTGCTGTTGACGCAGTTGTCGACTTCCTGCAGAAGAACAAGAAGGACATTACCACCAGTGCCGAAATCGCCCAGGTCGCGACCATCTCTGCCAACGGTGATACACATGTCGGTAACCTCATCTCGAACGCCATGGAAAAGGTCGGCAAAGAGGGAGTTATTACGGTCAAGGAAGGCAAAACAATTGAGGACGAGCTCGAGGTTACTGAGGGCATGCGCTTCGACCGCGGCTTTACCTCCCCCTACTTTATCACCGACACGAAGTCACAAAAGATCGAGTTTGAGAAGCCCTTGATCCTCCTTTCCGAGAAGAAGATCTCTGCCGTGCAAGACATTATCCCCGCCCTCGAGGCGTCTACGCAAATGCGCCGACCTCTTGTGATCATTGCTGAGGATATTGATGGCGAAGCATTGGCTGTCTGCATTCTCAACAAGCTTCGAGGCCAACTTCAAGTTGCGGCAGTCAAGGCCCCCGGTTTCGGCGACAACCGCAAGAGCATCCTTGGTGATATTGGTATCCTGACCAACGCTACCGTCTTCACGGACGAACTGGATATCAAACTGGAAAAGGCCACCCCTGACATGCTGGGCTCGACCGGCAGCATCACCATCACCAAGGAAGATACCATCATCCTGAACGGCGAAGGTAGCAAAGATGCCATCGCCCAGCGATGCGAGCAGATCCGTGGCGTCATGGCTGATCCCTCGACCTCAGAGTACGAGAAAGAGAAGCTTCAAGAGCGTCTTGCTAAACTGTCTGGCGGTGTCGCCGTCATCAAAGTCGGAGGAGCTTCTGAGGTCGAGGTGGGCGAGAAGAAGGATCGCGTCGTTGACGCTCTGAACGCTACTCGCGCTGCCGTCGAAGAGGGTATTTTGCCCGGTGGTGGTACTGCTTTGATTAAGGCTGCTGCAAATGCCCTCGGTGGTGTTCAGCCTTCCAACTTCGACCAACAACTTGGTGTCAGCATCATCAAGAACGCTATCACGCGACCTGCTCGGAGAATTGTTGAGAATGCTGGTCTGGAAGGCAGCGTCGTCGTCGGCAAGCTCATGGATGAATTCGGTTCTGACTTCAACAAGGGCTTTGACTCCGCCAACGGACAATATGTTGACATGCTGAGCAAGGGCATTGTCGATCCCCTCAAGGTCGTGCGCACTGCACTCGTTGATGCCTCTGGTGTCGCGTCTCTCCTGGGTACCACCGAAGTTGCGATTGTGGAGGCTGCAGAGGAGAAGCCTGCAATGCCTATGGGCGGCGGTATGGGCGGCATGGGAGGAATGGGCGGATTCTAAGCAACATATCCTGAGTCGGATGGGGAGAGCTATGTCCAGCCCTCCCCACTCTTGCGCCTGACACTTGCAATTCTTCCTGCGTTCCAGCGACTTCCATTCGCACCTTTGGTATAGCAGCAATCCGCAGCATGACGCCCTCGGAGCCTCCTACCACCCGCCTCTCACAACCGCTCCCTTCCTCGAGAATCTCTTGACCTACATGGAAGGAGATTTGTTCAATCGGAAAAACGGTTGGTTTACCTCTTTGTACATTTTACGAATCTTGTTACATTACACTCCACTCAAGTTCGAAATCTTGTCTATCCTACACATCAGATCTTTGCTCCAGGGAGGGCATCAGGCCTAGAAAAAAAGATGGAATTGCTGCACTGCAGAGATGCTGGCGAGAGGGGTTGGTCGCTGATGGGCATGGAGATGACATGTAGATCGAGTACCAGGGCGATGCACCAGCTACAGTGGTCTGGCATTGTATCATAGTTGTGGTTGTAGCCGTCCAGCTGTGCAGAAGATATCAGTGTAATAAAACTCAAAAGTAATCAAAGCAAACAAGCTACTTGGTCCAAACTGTGAATTCCTCCCTAAGAATGGACATTGGACAATGGCAAGGCTGCGACTGAGCAAGGCTGAGCGAAAAGGCAAAGCAGTGGTTGGGCTCTTTGATCCAACGACAGACTTTCCATTCTGGCAATAGAACAACAGCTTTGAAATCATAACAAGCTTCCCGTCGAAGGAGCAGGATTCATCCATCAGATGCTCGCCAGATGAAACATCTCGTCCAGTTGCTGCGCTCCATGAACACCCACTGGTTGTTGTTGGGACACCAGAAATTTCCCCATCCGGACATCGGTGATGGCTTGAGAGATGAACTCACCTTGACTTTGTTCGCCCTTGGAGCCCGCCCTCGTTGCCTGAGATGTCCAAATCAAAGCTTGAGGAACATCAGCCCATGAGATGAAGGTGAGTAATTGACTGTGCTTACCAACCCACGGATGAACAGTGTTGTCGGAAGAGCGTAGTGCTCGACTGCGAGGCCTGCAAAGCACCTCACGCTTGACCGAATGCCTCAATTCGAGTGACTAAACGCAAGATATCATTTCTACTATTAGTATGCGTGCTCTGCCCCGTCCCCGATCGGTCAAGTTTTCGCTCGACACTCTCCTTTGCCTACTGTCTTTACCGCATCTCAGGTCTCGCCGTCCAAATTTCCGCTGGCAATGGCTTCCTCCATCACCACGGAGGACAACAATCCTCCCGTACACATTACAGGAACGCTCCCTGAAAAGCCCGCAGGGTACACCACGATAGCGACCTTCCGTCCCGGCTCCTTCCTCGAGAACCTTGCCGTGCGCCGCGACGGCTCGATCCTCGCGTCTGACATGCTGAGTGGAAGTATCTGGTATATCAACCCTCATGCAGCGGATGGAGACACGCAGGGGACTGTGGAGTTGGTTCACAAATTTGAGCTCGAAGACGCTCAGGCCGAGGAGCCGTTGGCCGGCAACGTGGCTGAGGAAGGAGAAGGCGAAAGTCATGGGTCCTATGCACCGACTCCGGCCGCGGAAGCGATCGTCGAATCCCCCACCGAGCCAGACTTGTTCTACCTGTTCTCTGGCATCCACGGCAAGAAGGGGACATGGTGGGTCTACGAGCTGGACATGCGCCCCTTCATCCCAGCGCCAAAACGCGCAGAGGGCGCAACCACCGGCGAAGAAGTGCCGCATCAAGCCCAAGTCAGGCGTCTCGCTCCCGTTCCCACCGTGACATGGCTCAACGGGGGCACCGCTCTCCCTCACCCCTCGGAACCCTTGATCTTGATGGCCGAGTCGTACCAAGGGCGCTTGTACTCCTACAACATCAAGACCGGAAGCGTGGACGTCTGGCTTGAGCACGCGCTCTTGGGCAAGATGACGACAAGGCCGCCTTGGCCGGGCGTCAATGGGATCAAGTACCACCACGACGGGAGGGATGGCTGGGTCTACTTCACGAACTCGGACCGGGCAGTCTTGGGACGAGCGCGGGTGAGCCACCAAGGTGATAGGCCAGTCGCGGCCCGCACTCCAGAGGGCGAGAAGCTCCAGATTGATATCCTTGCGAGCGGCTGCGGTGGCGACGACCTGTGCCTCGACGGGGATGGGAGTATCTATGTCGCGACGAACCCGATGGATACCGTGCTGAAGTTTCCACAACTTGCATCTTCCACCAGTGCTGGTGATCAGCCCGAACGTCAAGTCATTCTCGGCCTCCGCAGACCTCAGTTGTCTCCTAAAGAAGATACATCGGTGCTGAACCCTGATTCTGGTTTCGAGATCGACCCTGACACAACAGGTCCTACAGCAGTGGCCTTCGGAACCACGGCATCCGACAAGAAGGATCTCTACGTTGTCACGAATGGTGGGATCATTAATCCGCTGGACGGGGTTGTCAGGGAGGCGCGAGTCTTGAGAGTCCATCTCTAGCTTTCCGATGTCGAGAGCTAGGCTTATTAGTCCGTGTGGAGAGGTTGTTACAGTAGAAGACGCAGCCAAATATCGACGTAGCGGCATGTCCGTAAGCCCTTGGATGATCTCAAGCAGGCCACCTCTCTCTCGACAGTCCTTATTTGATCCCCGAAGAGGGGGCTAGTGAGGCTGTTATAGATAACATAGCTGCCTTGTTCTATCACGGTGGTCGTCGAGTCGTCACCAGGAACTCCCTTTCACACCCAACGTCTTCATCCCTTCTTGCGTGCCGACACCATGACACCCATCCCCGCGCGCCCTTTGCCTCCTCCCTACTCGTGTGCCTCGACCATCCCGATGGCCGCCAGATTCAGGCCAGGCCAATGCCTCTTGCCCCAGAGAACCCAATAGGCCAGCGAGCAGAGCACGACGAACGCGTATATGGGCAGCGCGTAGTTCATGTTCGTGCCCGTGACGGGCAAGGTGGTCGGGAAGGGCAGCCACACGCTCAAGTAGACGGTCCAGCACAGGGCGAAGACGTTGACCGGCGTGGCCCAGCCGGGCCACATGCGCCAGCCGCCGTAGGGCACGGCCGCGCCGGCCTCGGCGGACAGCCGGCCCGTCAGGCGGGCGTGCAGGATGCACGCGATGGCGATGATGTACGAGGTGTACAGCCCCAGGGAGGAGAGGGCGGTGAAGGCGCTGAACGCGGTGCCCGTGGTGGAGCCGATCTCAAAGAGCGACAGGAGGCACACGATGACGATGGGGAGCCACGTCGCGTTCGTCGGGACGTGGCGTTTGCGGTCAATCTTTGGGGTCGCAGCCACGTAAATATCACGAAACCCAGCTTAAGAAAAGAAAATAGGGCAAGAAAGGAGGCAGGTCGAGAGTTACTCACCACTGCAAGCCATCGCGGCAGAGCCCCGTCTCGAGCCCACGCCCAGGTGATTCGCGAAACCGAAGCAACGCTGGCAGCGACCACGAAGTAGGTGATGATAATCAGCCCAGACACCATCGCGTTCGCGGCCGCCATCGACCCCGTCGCGTTCAGACAGATGGGGATGATGGGGTAAGACGCGTCCAAGGCATCGTCCAGGTTGCCCAGGCAATACAGCAGGACGAGGATGATGCTGAATGCCATGACGCCGTTGATGACGATGGTCAGGATCATGGAGCGCGGGACGGCGTGTTTCGCTCGCCGGACCTCTTCCGACATGTGAACGACACCGTCGAATCCTTCGGGGTGGTTACATATGTTAGAGGAGACTCTCGCACCAAGCCAAAAAAAAGGGGGTAGGATGGCCGTCTTGCAACTGACCGATAAAACCCCACGCCGGTACCAGCATGCCCAGGTTGAACGCGACGAAGCTGCTCCGGTCCCAGCCAGACAGGATCGAGTCGGTGAAGAAGACAAAGTGCGAGTCGTGCTTGGGCGCCAGGGCGGCCAGCACCACGACGAAGATGACGAACAGGATGACGTGCAGGATGCCCGAGGCAAGCTCGAGCCAGGGCACCAGCCAGAAGGTGTACGTGTTGATGAGCCCGCAGCTGATCAGCAGAGCCCACATGATGAACGTCAGATGCCACCTCTGGGCCGTATACCCTGGCACGTTCTCCGCGATCAGGGCTTGCAAGAGCGCAGCCTCGCCCGAGGTGCTGCCCGCCAGAGCAGAGACCCAGGCGAACCAAGTCACCCAACCTATGCCTCGGGTCAGTGGCGGGAAAGTCGTTTGGCTGCACAGCGGTCGATCAGAGAGGCAGAGGCGCGCACCTTGCATCCAGGTAATGAATCTCCTCGAGCCCTCGGGGGCCATGATATGGGTCCAATGGTACTGCGCCCCGGCGATCGGGAGGATCGAGCCCAGCTCGGCCATCGAATATGCTTGGGCAAGAGAGCCGATGACCACGGCGATACAGCCCCAGAAGAGCGACTGCGGGCCGCCGTTCCAGAAGGTGGCCGAGATGTTACTGTCCCGAACATGGTCAGACGGTAATCATCCTCCTTCACCGCCACGAAGCAAGGATGGCTTGGGGAATGACACAGAGAGGCGACGAACATGGCCATGACTTCCCAAGACTCCATAAAGGTCAACGAAAAGGCGAGCAGCTGGGCGAAACTGAAGAGCCGCTGGCTCGATGGGTCAGCGTCTCTTCTCTGGCGGCTGTGCAGGGAGCGAGAAGGGCATCTACCCTCAGAGAAGTGCCATGGCCATCGACCGTGGCGGATGGAAACGCCTGCGCGACGTTCTTCTCCGAATACCCCGGTGTTTTCGCATCGTGGGTGATGGAATCGCCCGAGTCCTGTCCAGGGTCGATCGTCTCTAGAACATCTGTCTTGTCTAAGTTTGCCATGTTGGATGCGCCCGCTGATAGGTAGTAGCGAGGTAGATATGATCGAGAGTGATAGAAAGGAAAACAGGAGGTTGAATCAAAACGAAGTCACGCCTGCGGGAGATGGCCGATCATACTTTAGAGCGAGCTCCAGGCCCCCAGATATGAAGCAAAGATACTCGGGGGTACGACGAAAAGCCTGACCCGCATGCTATACGGTAGTTGACGGCGGGATGGGTACACTGCGCCAAAAGACGGGCACAAAAGATCCATGGATAGTCCAGGCCAAGCCAACGGCCAAGGAGCTTGAGCGGCGCGAGAAAACACGAAGCAGCATCAGGGCCATTGATACACCGTGACACCTCAGATAGGGCGAGGTGCTGCAGGGCTATCGAGGGTTGCATTTGGAGGCGAAGATCCCTTAGAGGCGGCGGTGGAGGAGATACGGAGCGCCGTGGACGAGTAACGAGGCGAGTGGGAAGCTGCCCAATCATGCTAGACGGCGCATGGGATTGAGCTTCACTTGGAGGATGGCGCCTAGTTGATAAAGCGCATCTTCCCATGCTGGGGTCATCCAGGTCGGATGTACATAGTCGATCACACATTAAGGAAAAGAGGAATCGAAGGACCAAACAAGATGCGGACGGCGCCTCGGGTCGGAAGCAGGTCCATTCCAAGGTTTGATCTAAAGCATCCTGACCAGCCGCATTTGGCAGCTTGGTAGATACGGCCGTGGCCCTGCAGACGAGATGGGACAGCACTGTGGTGTCGCTGATGACCTTGGACGCCGTGCTTTTCCATCATACCAATTCCAAGCAGCCTGCTGGCCATCTTCTCAAGATCCAAGAACGCAAAGGATCGAGACGAGACGAGTAGCTGCCGGTCATGCAATGCTGTTCTTATCGACGAAGGACGTCTTTTGAGCGCGCTCGTGGTCGGCCTCGATTTGGTTAAATGAGCTGAGAGACTGTCCATTCTTAGCATGATCGATCAGCTGGCGACAAATGAATAACCTTACCAGCCTGGTCATTGTCAGCGCTCTCTTCCATATCGACGTCCACGCCACGATCAAGGACAGAGCTTGCAACGATGCCGTCTTTCTCTTTTCCTTCTTTCTGTTGTTGCAGTCTCGGGACAACCACAGCTGTTGCATTGGCACCCGTAGCATTGTATCCGTCTTGCCGCTCCTTAGACATAATTCGCGCTCTCTTCGCAGGCTGCTTCGACGCGTCCGCATTCTGTGCCCTCTCATGCTTTCGCTTCTTCCGGTCCTGTCGAAGCTGCTCCTCCTCGTTAATCGCGCAGCGACACCCAAGCTGCCGGGCAAGCTTCTTGCTCAGACGTATCTGTTGATACAAGCAGCTGTGAGACACATGTTAGACACAAACAGCCACTCCGTTCACGGCAGGGAGACTTGCAACAGCGATTCGGCATCTGTACCCATTTCATTTGCTATCGCCTCAAAGGTCTCGTTCTTGAATTTCAGGTTTAGGCTGCGCAAGAGCTTCAACATCAGGAGGCAAGTCTCCTTGATTTGTGTCGAGCCCTTGCAGAAGCAGGCTTCGGAGTCTGCCATATCGAAGGCTTGCAAATGGCCCCGGAGCCTGAAATGATGCTCTAGGCAGGACCAGTTTGATAGACGAAATCCTCAAAAGAGAGGTTTGGATGGTGATTTCTAAGTTGGAATGGCTGATCGAGTAGAGTGAATATGTGATCAATCTTAGATTCGACATAGTCGCCAGGAGGGCAGCTATACCGAGATACACACCAGCTTCACTTCATTGTCGTGTTTCCGACACTTCGATCTGCGTCAACATGGGATGTGTGTCTAGCAGAGACAAGAGATCCTCTGACAACTTGCATTGTTCAAGCAGCTCAAAGAGCTGTCCCTCGTCCAGGTCTTGAATTGGATCCTCTGCTCCCGTGAATGCTTCTCCGCGTCGACGCATCGCTTCGGGCTGTAGCTCACACATTTCAGTTCATTTGCAACGCACCACGGCACATCAGTATCACGGAATGGAAATGCAAGCGCTGAGGAAAAACCGTCTTGGTTCTTGCGGTGGAGCGGCGGGCCCGATCCGCAATCCACGTTTAGCCTTTGCGCGCCGCCTCGGACCTGGACCGCCGTAACTCATGGCGCAGACAGGTGCAAGCAGCTATCTTCTCAGCCCAGTGGTGATTGATTCTCCTTTGTTGCTGGATTTCCTCTTTCTCAGACATGTCGTCTCTGTCCTCAGCATAGGGAGGCACGGTCTTCGCATGGTCTGGGCAGGATTGCAGCCAAAACAACCGAGCCCGTGCCATCCCAAGGGCTGCACTTATGCTTTGCATGCTAATATATATTTAGGACCACTATCTTCCCCAACCTGCGACACAGGATGCAAGCTGTTGTCCAGTCATCCTTCAATACAGACCTCCTGTGTTTCCGCGTGGCCAAACGACGACAGGCTCGACATCTAGCCAAGGTCGAAGTATGTGGTGGAAGACGAGGAGGAAATGGTAGAGTTCAGTTCGATCTTTCTCGTTCATGAGAAAGTCTGCGGCGTTAGTGGACACACGCAAGCTGAGAAGTGGTGACGCTTTTATGCAATGAAAGACACGAAGACCGCGCCTTGCACAGGCTGGCCAAACTGTGCGCCGCCTGTCGAGTGAAAGCGCAGGGAAAGAGGCAGAATGTGATTGAACGATGGATGTGGAGGTTTGAAATGCGCAGGACGAAACAGCAGAAACAGCAGAACCAGCAGGACTCGTTCAATACCTATTCCAACTCCCCCGAGCGCTACCAGAAGACAGGTTACTATGCAAGGATATAGGCCTCGCTGTCTTGAGGAAATTCAATACAAGATCCATCAATTGTCTCTTCGTTCCCCCATGCTCACTCATATGTTTCTTCACGAGGAGATCTATGAACATTTCGGGCGATTGAACCTCATCTGCCTGCAGAGCGATATGCAGCATTGTTCAGTAAGCAGCGACGCGTTTTGTTAGCAACACAGATTACGCAGACGAACGCGAAATAGCAACAAGCGGAAATTTTGATCTCAGGAATAAAAGGAGGATGTTCAATGTACAAGTTTCCTGCTCCTCTTTCTTCAAAGGCGCAGTCCTCGGCTTCTAACTTCTTCACCCCCCCTGCACTTTTCACACCCAGCACTCGAGACAATGCTCTGCGAATAAAGCTTGTTTCGCTCTTGCATTACAATCTCGTGCCCTGTATCTCTCCACCCCTTCTCGCGACAAAGTTACGACTTCTCCAACTCTGCCAAAATCTTCTCGCCCTTGGCCCTTGCACTCTCGAAGTCGCCCACCATGTAGAAAGCACCTTCTGGGAGGTCGTCGCCTTCGCCATTGATAATCTTCTGGAAACTGCTGATCGTATCCTTCAGATCCACGAGCTTGCCTTCGATACCAGTGAACACCTGAGCGACGGTGAAGGGTTGGGAGAGGAAACGCTGCAGTTTACGGGCTCGTTCGACGGTCAATTTGTCGGCTTCCGAAAGTTCGTCCATACCCAAAATGGCAATGATATCCTGGAGGGATTTATATTCTTGCAACATCTGTTGGACGCGGGAGGCGGTATCGTAGTGTTCTTGTCCGACGACACGAGGATCCAACATGCGGGATTTGGAGTCGAGGGGGTCGACAGCCGGGTAGATACCCAGTTCGGAAATACCTCGAGACAACACAGTGGTGGCGTCCAAGTGAGCGAAGGTTGTGGCAGGTGCAGGATCGGTCAAATCATCAGCGGGCACGTAGACGGCCTGCACGGAAGTGATGGATCCTTTTTGGGTGGTGGTGATACGTTCCTGCATAGCACCCATGTCGACGGCAAGGGTAGGTTGGTAACCCACAGCAGATGGGATACGACCAAGCAAGGCGGACACCTCGGAACCGGCTTGAGTGAATCGGAAGATGTTGTCAATGAACAGCAACACTGCCACGAGAGTCAGCAAAATAGCTAAAACACCAAGATGGACAGATGATCCATACCATCCTGGCCTTCTTCGTCGCGGAAGAATTCAGCCACAGTAAGTCTGTCGATCGACAGGTTAGCATCATATGTTGGCAGGTAAAGGCTGTTGGTTAGTAGAGGATGTTGGTAGAGTCCCGGGCGGGAGTTGACAGGATTGCCAGCGGGATTGTGGGATCAAGAAGGGAAGGAGTAACTCACCCAGTCAAGGCGACACGAGCACGAGCCCCGGGAGGCTCGTTCATCTGACCGAACACTAGGGCGACCTTTGACTCGCCGTCTAGCTGAATGACAGAGGTCTCTTGCATTTCGTGGTACAGGTCGTTACCTTCACGAGTTCGCTCACCGACACCAGTGAAGACGGAGTAACCACCATGGGCTTTGGCAATGTTGTTCTGCGAATAGTTAGCCATTGAATCTAGCGTGCTCCGATGTACATACGATCAACTCTTGAATAAACACAGTTTTGCCGACACCTGCACCACCGAAGAGACCGATCTTTCCACCACGGGCGTACGGAGCCAACAAGTCTACGACCTTGATACCGGTAACCAAGACTTCGGCGCTCGTGGCTTGTTCAATGAACTCGGGAGGATCGGCGTGGATGGGAGACAACTTGGTGGCTTTGATGGGGCCTCTCTCATCGATCGGGTCACCAGTAACGTTCATGATGCGACCCAAAGTGCCAGGGCCGACTGGGATCCTAATCGGAGAGCCAGTATCGGTAGCTTTATGACCTCGGACGAGACCCTCGGTACCTTGAATATACCATTAGATCTGGGACGATTGATTGTGCGAGGAATTCTCTCTTACCATCCATAGCAATACATCGCACGACATTCTCACCCAAATGTTGCTATTCACCATCAGTCTCCTGCTTGCTAGCCATAATCTCATCTTGAGTTCGTACCGCGACTTCCAGAACAAGCTTTTGGCCATTGTTATCAGTTTCCAGGGCGTTGAGAATGGAAGGGAGTTGCTCGGTATCGAATTTGACTGGAAGAAAACCATTAGCTTGATTCATAGGCCCAATCTCGCACGTATATGGTGACTGTCGAGCTTTGTGGGAGCTCTATGGGCGCAAGGATGGAAATTTTTTCTTCGTACCGTCAACGACAGCACCAATGACCTGGTGGATCTTGCCGTCTCTTGCTGAGTCTGTCGATGCCCATCGCTGTGCAAGAGCTGGAGCAGCCTGTTTCCGTAGAGGCTCGAAGGCGCGTCGGGAGATGGAAGGTCGAGCAAGGGCAGACCTGCCCAAGCTACGGGCGATGCCGCTGTTCAATCAGGGTCAGCAACAGCCAGTCAAAGCATTCCAGGAGCTGTGTAGGTCTGTGATGAGGAGCTCACGAACCTCTTGAGCATGCTTGCGGATGAACGAGAAGGTGGAAGATGGAAAGGTAGAGGGGAGAGTTGGTGTGGGATCAGGAGCAAAGTGAAGAAACTTGAGGTCAGGAATCAAAGTTGCTGTTCATTGAGCTCGGGTTTGCGCTATGCCTAATCGGGAACTGCCATTAGACCCCGGCAAGGCCCGATCTTCCAGTATGTGCCTCGTCAATTTTCGAGGCCATCCCATCAGACACATACTCGGCACGGAAAATCAAGAAATTATTAGGGGCTTAGGACGAGTTGTCAGCGACTTGAAGTACGAAGAATCTGAGAAACGGCTTTGTGCTATCGATTCCAATCACCGTCCGTGTTAATCTATGTACAATCTCACGAACCAGAGAGCGCCCGAAAAGCACAGCCGCAGGGAATGTTGTTGATTTTTTTTTGTATTCACAAAACACAATGAGATCCCTGCTTTCTGGAGATACTAGTCACAGTACAAAAAGACCGCCATCTGCGCTGGCGCAAGCCTGCATGTCTTTGCCCCTCTACACCACCGTCGGTCACTCATCCGGTTCAAGCTTGATGCCCTGGGCCTTAGCAGATTTGCTTTGAACGAAGCCTGGGCCAGTGTATCCTTCACGGCTGATACCATACATAGGATTACTCTTCTCGGACTGTAGACGGGCTTGTCAGCTTGGCTCTTGACCAAGAGGGAACCTGGCGAGGCCATCCTGGGATTCGTGGCAACCTCATAGCAGTATTGACTCACCTTGAGATATTCGTTGGTAGCTTCTTGCCATTCCTTGGTCATGGTTCGTGGAGGAGGTCTTGCCATAGAATGGATGAGCATGAACGTAGCCAACGATATTCCAAGGCCAACTGCCGTATAAAGCCACACTTTGGTCCATTCGCCCGGGGCTGCCTCAGCACGTGGTCCGTGAGGTCCAAATGCAATCCACCAGGCTATAAAACATCAGTAAGGATTTCTCCAGCTTTGTCTCATGCTTTCTTCCATGAGAGCGGCGCGAATCCAAGCTCCATTAAGCATAGCATCTCCATGCCGCGCTCCTCCGGGAAAGACAGGGCCGGTACGTACCAGCTTTCTTTTCCTGCAAAGTCATCTCATTCCAATCAACCTTCATACGATCTCTCAATTGCATCCATAGTTCAGCCTGCTCTTGTGGCGGCATTGCTTCCCATCTCTTCTCAATTCCGGCGAGGGTAGGGTTGGAGATGGCATGAGCTGATCGCATCTGGGACTGGCTAGTCATGGGAGGGAGCTGTTGGGTAGCTGCAAAAGTCGGAGCCAAGGACTGCGCTGAGGATCGGAAGCATCGAATCGAGGGAGAAGTAATTCGCGTGCATGCTGTCGAGGTGCTGGTTGAAGCACGAGCTGCACGGGGTAAGGAGCGGAGATACATCTTGCTGGAAGGATGAGAAATTCGATCAATGCATACGAAAGTCGACCGTTGAATACCCTGCCTAAGCCTGGAGCTCGGCGGCCGCTGTCGTAGCAGGTTGGTTGTGAGTTGAACCTGGAAGATGCGAGAACAGTTGTCTGAGGTCGTTGCTTCAGGATCAAGTTCAATCACAATTGCAGAGGATTCGCTAGCTCTCTGGCCTTGGCACGGCGTAAAATTACCGCTACATCAGCCTTCCATCACCCCACACACTCCCGCTTGGTATCGTGTACATCAGCCTTGGAACATGATCTACGGATACATGGGTTACTTTTTGAAAATTATCAATTGTTGCATCTTTGCGGCTTAACTCACACGGGACCAAGCATTCGTATGCATACCTAGGTATCTAGACATTACCTACCCAGTAGATACGAAGTAATATCGCTGCTTGTTATGCCGCAGTACTCAGAAATACCAAAATTACGACTCCGATCAGCTGCAGTGTGGCATCAGATGTGAAGCCAAGAAGTCGGATCAAATGGACGCATGCGCATAATATCGTGCCAGAGACATGCAGGGAGGTGTACACTCAAAGAAGTGGAATCAATCGAGGCGAACAAGCACACATTGACGGAAGGCAGTATCAGTCATATTGGGTTCCGTCCTTGCTGCAGACCACACCAGATTCACATTGAAAGGCTCGAAGTTTTGAGACATGAGAAAATGCTGTGAGTTTTGGTTCGAGACGATCTATCTCGGTCGTTCAACGTTGCAGTGTTCTATCTTCGTCACAGCTTCATCAAATGTCGGGCGTGCTCCAACGGCGCATACTCAACCTGTGTGCCATGCTCGGCTCGTCAGAAGATGTGCCCTTTCTTCCTGGTACCACAAGACCAAGATGTATCTTGTGATAAACGTGTTCTGTTGCTGGTACGTCGAAGTGTTGTCCAACGCCATCCACTGTCATTTTGTTCTTAGACTGTCCCTTTGCCTTTGCTAGCTTCCTTGAGCAGGTCGGCCCACTCCAACTCGCCAGGGTCGTTTGCTTGCCAGTTCATGGCAATCCCGTTGAGGGCGTTCTTCAAGGTCTCGCGGGAGCTGGCGTACACCATGCGGGACTGCACCAGATCTTATCAGCCTTGGTTATCTCCGGGGAAGGGCGGCGGCAGACATACCTTGACACCGGTGTTGTCCTGGTTGATATAGGTGATGAATGCAATCTTGGATCTTAACGTTCATCTTAGTACACATATCCGTAAAGCTGACATTGTGAGCGTGGGGTATACCTCTTGCCTTCACCGCCCTCAAGTTCGAACTCGACGTCGTAAATGGCATACGAAGGACGGTCCTTCCCATTGGCCTCCTTCTTGGCAATGAGTTTCTCTCTGAAGGCGTCGTAGTCTGGCTCGCTGCCGACTTCGTCTACCACGATTTCCTTCTGATCATCGGAGATCTTGTAGATGATGTATTTTGGACCGCCGCGACCGAGTTTCAAATCATTGAATTTTGAGACGCAGTCGGGATTGACGGAAAGGCTAGTGAGATCAAGGCATTAGGAGACACAGCGGCGCGCAAGTGGAAAGAGGGGCTTTCGAGGCAGTTTGGATGGACATACCCGGAGACAGGCTATGAAGAAGGGTTAGCAGAAGCGGAATTCCAGGATGGATCCAAGCACTCACCATGACTGTTTATTCGGGTTCCAGATACCTATGCGACTCAGTTTGTAGCTGATCTTGTTGTCAGTGTCGGCACAGAATAAGACGGCGCTTGAAGAGTTGGGGGCGTAAAGGAGCAAAGATAGGAATATGAAGTCTCGAACAGGCACCGACGATCGGGGGCGGCCCAAGACAAGAGCTGACGTACCTTACGGAAGGATTGTGGTGCAAGACTGGACAATGCAACGCAAAAGAAAGTCCAGATTGCGTGTAGAGCAGGCAGAGGATAAGGGAGTGTTTGGTGGGATGGAACAATAACGGGACGCAGTGGCAGCAAAAAGAGAACAGTCAATGGTGGGGTCCAGATTCAATACTCCGTAGGGACGCGCCTAATCACAACGAGGGGCTCGCCAGCTCCTCCGGTTTGGCAGCAAATCGGTGGTTGGCAGGCGAACGCCCAGAGAATTCAGCCTAGTGAGCACTCGCGTCCTCCTCTCACCGATACTTTATCCCTTGATATTGGTGTTCTGATAGTTAATCCCTCTCTGGCTGATGGATGCCTGGAGCCTCTTCTAGCTACTCCTTTCTTCGAGCTATGGACTGCTCAGGTATCTATCGTCTCTATCCGTGAGCCGTGTCCACGATTACGATATCTCCCAGACATCTCTGCGCACCCTTCCTGGAACTGCGATTGGTCATCACACCGAGCGTCAGCGGCCTTCCAACGAGCTAATGCTCGCTACCTCTCGTTTCGCGATCCCAGGATGCCGGCAACAGGTGAGCACACGACGCAGTCAGGAAACGTTTTGCTTGAGATCGGCAGAAAAATTGCTACTGTTGCGGTATGTGAGGGACACTGTCTGCGAACAATATGATGCTTCGAATACTCCGTCCAACCTGCATGTGCAGGGTTTGCCTTGAATATTACAACCTGGGTCAGGTGTTCGCAGGCCATGGCCACTTTGTGCGCCAAAGCACTGTATCTCTAGCGTGATTGGTATGAGGATTGAGGAAATTGCCTGCGCCATGTGTCCTTGATTTCAGCATTGGCACCTTCTCCAGAATTCAGTGCCTGTCGAGCGAGCCCCTCTACAATTTGGTCAATCAGTTCTACCGGAAGCCGCTTTGACAAGGCCACGAGCGTATTCCATGGCCCTGTCGGACTCGGCAATCCTGGTAAGTAAAGCGCTGGCAGACAGGAAGTCAACCATCGGTATCGGACATTGAAATTGGGCAAGCTCTGCGGAGAGACCGTTTCCAATCAAGGCACCTCCAGGTACAGAAGAGCGACATGCCATGGCATACGATTGGATCAATTGTCAAAGATGGCGATGGTTGGGGAGTTGGTGTTCACCGCAGTATGAGGTACACAAAGGCAACTGGACCATCACATCAACGATGAACACGAGTTCTGTTTAAATGAGCATATCTGAGGCACTGATTTCGACATCCAATCAATGTGTGTGTGTGAGTGCGTGTGTGAGAGAGATGAGATGAGAAAACAGCCAAAGACCGCTGCCTTGGGTCAATTTATTAAGCCTCCCTCCCCTCCTTTGCCCTTAAGTTGCGTGTTTTCTCTCACCTTCCCACGTCTCTATCCCTTCCTCGCCTTTCGCCATCCACTGCTCGCTCTGTCAACCGAATCAAACCATATCGTCGCCAGTTGCATTCCCTCCCACTTCACCTGAAGGAGCTTTCGTCACCAACCATGTCGAACTCTTGGGATGATGCCTCCGAAAAGCTCTTGCTGTACAGCATGATCGAAGAGCCAGATAACTGCTCTCGCGCGAAGTTCGAACAGGCTGCGGTAGCAATTGGAGGTGGAGTGACTGCAAATGCCTGTCGGTGAGTTCACGCTGCTCTAACATGTTTTTCATTGTGTTTGAGATTAAAAATTCACGTTACCGCTGTCCTCAACTCTTTCTCACTTCCCCTCTCACTTTCACTAAACTTCACCTTATTCTCGTGTTGAACACCAGCCCCCGTCCAAATTTCCCACCTTCAAGCAACATCTAGAAAGACTGTTCTCCCCTTTCCCCTTCCTCCACCACCCCAAAGCCTTCACGATGCCTTTCAAGTGGGATCCTGCTTCCGAGCGCAATTTGCTCCTCTTTGCGATTGCGGAGATGAGCCCACCATCAACTTCGATCTGGCCAAAGGTGGCTGAAAAACTCGGCAATGATCTCAACGCAAACGCTTGCAGGTATTATCACTTTTCCACTGTTTCCGCTGACTATTTTGGAGCGTTCTTTCACCTTTTTCTCGTTTAAAGGTGTGTTTATGTCGGGGCTCAGACCAACTTGCTAACTTCCGAGTTTGTAGTCAAAAATTCTACAAGTTGAAGAAGGAGAGCGAAAAGCTACTTCAGCAGGGCGACACGACCGTCAGCGGCGATGCTGTGACCCCAGTCAAGGAAGCCAAGACCCCGAAGACTCCTGGAAGCAAAGCTGCATCCGGAAAGAAGCGAAAGGGCACGGACGCCGATCATGAAGAGACCACGACGCCCATCAAGCGTAAGCGAAATGCGAAGAAAGATGCTCCCGCCGCTCCAGAGGTCAAGGCCGAGATTGAAGAGGAGAGCGTTGCTGTCAAGGCCCAGGACGAACCATGCAAAGATGAATGAGGGAGCTCGATTTGCGGTCCGGTATGCACACTGCTACCATTCAAGGTCCTAACTGCTGACTATTCACGAGGCTTGCAACTTTCGATCTCCAATCCTGAAGTAGCCTTCATCGCTCACGGCGTGCTTGGAGGAACGGCAAATTTCACTTGCAGGATAGGAAGGAAACGCGGACGAACATAAGATTTGCGGGCTTTTTTTCTGCCGGGGTTCCACACAGGAAATGGGATGACACAATAGGATACGGCTTGAGCTGAAGTTTGTATGAGAAGACGATTGCTTGGAATGAATGGACTCTGCATCAAGTGTGTCATACCTGTCACTCTTGCCCCGAATTCAATCATGCGGTCATGCCAGCTTGGATGGAAGAAACAAGTGCACTGGTCAGTCATCCCAGATATCCGGTGCACGTTAGATAGCTGAGCAGGTTCGACACTTGAACAATCGGACTCGAATCCGCGTTCTGCCATTTTCGCGTTTGTTTCCCGTGCTTGCTTTCTTCCTTCAGCCTAACAAGACCACACTTCTTCCGGAAAACCGTTAGCAACTCCTGTGTCAGCTATCAGCAAGACTGGTACCAAGACAGAGGCAGAGCTGATCGTGCTCAATCTGCACGGCGAATCGCTCCGCTCCAGTGAAGTATTCCGCGCCGTTAATACATGCCACTTTTGGGTCCTACGGGGTCTATCAAATAGCCGTGACATCGTACATTGCAGAATATGAGCCTTCTTCGCTTGAACCTGGTCAACCTCTCTCTCGTAATTGGGAGTTGCTTCTAACCATCACCATGTGCATGTCGCGCTTTTGGCTCTCCTGGTTTGCTTCCTTTTGTCGATGGGAATTCCTTTGCCCATTCCCGGCCCACCGCAATAGTCAAGGCTGAGAGACGGCTCTGGATTCGTTGCCGCGAAGGCACGGAAGCATGGCAGCCCACCGTTCACCTCTGATTTCCTCGGTCAAGTGACTCAGGCCAGTGCGATCGTAGGGGTGCCCAGACTCGCGGCGACTTGCGTTTTACGATCATGCGCTGCTCGCATCAAGCAATCTTCTCAGCACCATCCGTGTCATCGGTGCTTGCTATCGAGTCCCCGAACAAGCTAATATTACCAGGATCAGCCTGATGGCGCATGCAGCAAGTGGCAAAGTTGCGTGTAACAGAGGGCAAAAGGAGCCAATTCATGAGGAGAGGCTGGGAACGTCGGCGGGAAAAGTGGTGGGAGCTTGACACGCAGATATCGCGGTCCGAACTGACGGCAACCAACAGCCTTGGAGCTCGAGGCACCATCTCATGCGAGAAGGCCATTCTTGCATCCAAAAGGCCCTTGGTCGACTGTGATTGCAACCATTGTGCTCCAATCAACAGCTGGTCCAAGTGGGAGATGCAGGACCTGGTCCCAAATTGTAATGACATTGTTACCGCTAATGCTGGTAGCAAACGGGTCTAATTGCAGGCCCGCAGGCACAAGGGCCCAACTGCGCCCGCTCCGTCATGGTCCTGCAGCTTCACCCCTCGCTTCCTCACCAGAGTCACCATCCTCCATCATAAATCCCGATGGCTTCAGCCCGTGGGACTAGGTGCTGTTTCTGCTCCACTTCATGGCCACAACCAGTATTTTGGGCGCCGTGGATCAAAGGGTCTGTCGACTCGCACCTTTCTTCTATGCGCGCCTGTCTACCGCCCTCAGTCCATGTCAATGACTCGCCTTGTCTTCATTTCGAGGCATCACCTCCATGACTGCATCTAGGATCCCCAATATGTCCTCGATTTGGGACTTCAAAGACACTCTCTTCCGGGCACTGGCGGCAGCTTGCGCTGCCCTGGGAGAGGAATCTGTGAGACTTCAATTCCAATTAACATGTATTCGAGCTAACAGTTCGCCAGTTCAGAAGTCAATTGAGGAGCATCGCGGAATACTACGGGGATGGGGCAACATTCCACGAGGTCGAGACTCTCTTCACAAAGGATGTTCCTGCAAAAGCAGAGCAACTGAAAATCGAACTGGCTAATCGCCACGGCTGTCGCAGGAACAGCCCGTCGAGAGGCTCGGCGCGACTTCATCGGCCACCTTTGCTCGATTTTGATGACGAGGATCTTAGCATCCTGAGCCCTAGGGAGGTCGAAATCCTCAAGGTCCGATCTAAAAACTCGCTTCAAGCTCCTGCAAAACGTCTTCGAGTTGTTGAGGGATCACCTCCAATTTCGCGCGCCAATGATGTACCAGCGACTGAGGCCACGGCTCCTCAAAAAAGGCCCGGCATCACCCAGATGACGACTTCTAAGGCTGCAAGGAACAAGTTCGAAAGAGGCCCTGCGAACCCCGACGGTCCTGATACGGGAAGAAACCCAACGGATTGTTTTGCCCAGCAGAGTGTTTCCCAGCCTCGAAAACGCCGGTTCTCAGAGGTGCATGATTCGGTGGAGCTCCAGACTGCAGGTCGCTCCTCTCCAAGTACGACTACGCCACCAAGATCTGAATCCTTTGGCTATGTCACGAAGAATGGTGAATATCGGTGTGCTCTTTGTCAGCGGCAACTGCCCAATGAAAATGATCTCAAGCTACACGAACAAATCGGCGAGGAGCACACCCGCAGTTTGAAAGATAGGAGAAAGGTCATCATCGGTCGTGAGAGACTAGCCCAGCACACTGCAGTATTAGCTGGTGGCCAGAATGCAAGTTCCCCCGTGCTTGACCCGCGACTGAGGATCCATGATCTACTCGAGTCAAGTCCGAGGCCCGCCGCAGCTGTCGAGTGCTCGGAAGTGGGAGAAAATGGTAACAGCCATGATCGTGAACCCTCTGTGCGTCGGAGCCAGGACCGTCAAGTTTCCCCAGCAGGCATTGACGAAAAACGACGACTGCATCTTAGCACTGCGCCAATTCAGCAAAGCGCCGACGACGCAGCATCCGCATCAGCTGCGGGACCTTCTCAGCCTTCCGACAGGGGGAAATGCCGCGCAGCCTCACTTGCATCTTTATCAGATGATACTCCTTATCCACGAGCAACACCTGCATCAGCAGCAGGGATGTATACAAGGCCCACGACCGCCCAGACTGAAATAGGAACGCTTAACACTCCCCATATCTCCCAACACGTTGACTCTGCTGTGACCCAGCAGCCTCACGATATCGAGACAAGCCCGGACGATGAGATGCCTGAACTCTCGCCCAGCACCATCAAGGACATCATGCGCTCGACCGGATTGACCATCCAATTGCTAAACAGTTTCCGGAATTGCGTGTCTGCTCGTGTCAATGAAATCACCGCTTCCGCGGATCCCGGGCCCGCACCTGTCCCCGACTCCAGACCCGAACCTCATTTTACAGGAATTAGGAGTACCAGTCCCATTGGCAATTCTGCTGTTCCCACGACGTTGGTCTTGGAAACTCTGGATGAAGCGGCTTCGTCCAGCGGCGTGACCTCTAGCGGCGGAAATTGCAAGCAGGGAACGATATCAGCACCGGGGATTGGAGTACGTTACGGCATCAAACGACGAGACAGGACAGAGAATGGCAAGAAGAAGGATGTCGGCGAGCCAATATCTGTCATCGTTCTCGACTAGTTGTTCTTGGATGGATACATTTCTGTCTCTTTTTTTTGGGCATCCCTCCCTCCAAGGTACAAGATTGATTTTTACGGTAGTCATCCAGCAAAAATAATTTATTTTTTGTCTGTTTCCAACACAGCTCCAGTTCCGTCTTTTCGAGTTTTGTAGACTGAGCTCATACAAGTCTTCCTTTTTTCCTCGTCCCTGTCTGTATCTGGGATGACTCGAGTAATTTGAATTGCTAATCCTTTCCCGCCCCCTTCCAGCTCCAGCTCCAGCTCCAGCTAGGTCTGTCCAACGATCACCCAATGTCGCCAACCGGAGACCCAGTACTGCCCTTTCCAGCTCGATCGATTGATATCTTTACATCTCCCAGTGCTTTCTCTGCGCCGCCGACACAAACAGGCCCCTCGTCCAGCAACGAGAAGCGACTTGAACTCCCCCTCGCTAGGCCTTACGGTAAAAGGCTTTTCAAATCTCAGTCTTGATCTTCTTGTTCGTCACCCCGTTGCGGTTGGCGGAACTATCGCGCTCGTACTCCTCACGGTCGCTCGAGCTCCGTTTCTGGGGCATGTACAGGGGAATCTGCGCCATGATCGCGCCGGCGGCGGCCATTGGCGATGCCGCAACTCCTCCAGCCGCAGCAACAGGCATGAAGGGCGTTCCGGCAGCAGACTCTGCAGGAGAAGGAAGTCCGTAGGCGGCGACGCTGCCCAGGCCGTGAGAACTGCTGGTTTCCACCTTGACGCGCTCTGTGAACAGGGCCTCGGGCGCATGCTGTTTGCCGGTCTTAGGAGCCCACTCGCCTTTGACCTTTGGTTTGGCCTCGCTGTCGTCACCGCCCCTCTCACGCTTCACTGCGGATGACACCCTAGGTGCGGCGAAGTTGCTGTTGCCGCCGCCTGGGGGACTTGTGGTGGTCACGATGTTGAGGCGGTTGCGCTTCTTGATCTCGCCGAGCCGCTTGACGATCGTGTTCGGCTTGGTGCCTGTCTTCTGGCAGTATGGGCCGATGTGGAACTGTCAAGGCGGGAGAGAGAATTAGATACACTTGTTTGAGAAACGGGGACAGAGTCAAAGAACGGCAAGGAGAAAGTGGTTTGGTCGTGAGGTGAGGTGAAGTGAAGTGAGATGACATTGCCGAACGCGGCACACGGTGAAATGGGCGAAGTGCCTGAGAGATGGCCAGAGGAGTGGAAGGACAGGGCAGAGCAGGATCAGCACTTACGAGGATTGCTTGTGGCGAGTCACGCATCAGCTCGAGGAGGAACATGGCATCCTTGGTGCTAAGCTCCTGCTTGGAATTGGCAGATTGCGCTGGTGCCATGTTTGCGTTGCGATATGTTAAATTGTCAACGTCTTGAAGAGTGACTGGTCGCGACGTACGGAAGGGAGCTTGGAGGGATTGAGGAGGAAGTAGATGGTAGTGAAGAAGTCAATAAGTTGGGCTTCAAAGAATGGTGGGTAGAAAGTTAAAGGTGGCGAAGCGTCAAGGTCGTTTCCCCTGCCGGAGCGGGACGTTTTTGGGGCCGTCTCAAACACGAGGAGGGCTCCTGCAATCACTCGCACCTTTTGGCCGTGATGGTCAGAAGCCAGAATCGCATGACAGAAAATGGGGAGGTTGGGAGGTTCGAAAAAGGGAAATCCTGCACATGCAGCTGGTGGGAAAAGGGCTAACGCTCTCACCGGTTGAAGGACAGCGGTCTAAGGGCTCAACAGATGGGCTGTGATTCGTTTGGGCAAAGTGCAATTGTGCCAGACCATTGTCGATAGCTGTGCAAGGCCCGTGCAGCTCACAATGGTACTCTAGTGGCTTCGGGTATGCTCCTGATGTACGTTTAGAGGAGAAAAGCAAGGACTCAAGGAGAGACGGTGTGGGTTCCCAAGAGGATCGGGACGATCACATTCCGCAACAAAGAGGCATCCGCGCATGGCCCCTTGTCCGTTTATCTTTCGCCGGACAGGCCTATCTAGGGCTATCCAAGGCGGCTTGAGTGAGCGGAGGCATGCAGAATGGTCTATCACATCTCTCAATCAGCATGGTTGGGTCCGGTTCTTCTGGGTCGAGGCCCGCTCCACCCGAGCCTTGTGGTCCCCCTTATTGGGCGCGCCAAGCCACCCCTAATTCTCCGCCAAGACGCTAAAATTCCAGGCAAAATGGACGACAAGTCTGCATATACAAGGCCAGGCAGACATGTTTATACAACGTTTGATATCCACGAAAATTCAGGAGGTTGGGAATTCCTGCAACCCTGCAACCCTCCAACGTGATGCAGGCGCAATCCCTTCTTCCCAGCCCCCTTGTTTCTTTTTGCTGCAGGATCGACCAGGGACTAACAGCCATCGCCACCCCAAAGCCAATTGGAAGTCGCTTCTTCCCAGTTTTGAGCCGTTCTTGCCGGCATTTTCACACCGTTTCTGAGTCACTTCAAGGCGTTTCTCCGCCAACATTTGAAGCCGTTGTACAATCATTGCCCCCCTGCAAACTCTGGAACTTACTCCGCCTCAAGCCATGAAGCTGGTGCTGCTGCTGTTCCCACTGCTCTGCCCACTCATCATCTCTCCCATGTTCACCGCTGGGAAAAAGGCTGCTGCAGTGAACTGGGCGTCATAGCTGTGGAACGAGTCCATTCCGTTCACCGCCATATCCTCATACTTGACTTTCTGAGGGCTCTCGGATTCGTCGCGGAACGGGATACCTTCGAAGGACTTCTCCTTGGGTTTTCGAGCTCGCTTTGATGGCGGTGTCTTCTTCTCGTCGTCATCTTCAGCCTTGCGCTTGGTTGGTGTCGTCGGGGTTGGGACTCCTTGATCCTCCAAGAGCTTTGTCATCTCATTCCGCAGCTTGTAGTACTTTTGACTGCCGCAGGTCAGTAAATTCCACGCGTGCCCTATGTCCGAGCAACAGGCGACACGTACCTCACAGCTGATGCTGTCAAGCCTTCTCCGAGGAGACTGGCAACGCGCTGCCATGTGTCGGCAGACGGCCTCAGGTTTGCAGAAGAGATTGCGAACAGCAGCATGCGACGCTCTCGCTCAGCAGTCCATTGATAGGGCATGGTGGGAAAGTTGGCAAATGTCTTGAGCAACAGCGACAACCTGGTAGCAACGCTGTTGAGAGTGCACTTAGGAAGGGTATGGGTGGAGGGAAAAGGTGGAAGAATGATATGGGAAGCTTGTGTAAATATAGGGAGAAAGTATGAAGAAATGAGCGACACATTGGCATGTTACTGAAGCGTGCTATGGGCCTAGATGGACCTGTCTGCTGCCACTAAATGCTAGTTTGGAGTTAACTATGGTCCATGGAGCTGAGTCGATGGGACCCAGTGTTTCACGGAGTTCAGGTGACGCAGCAGTCGGGCCTGTAGTTCCAAGAGCGATAACACAACCAAAGACAAAGATAAATTCAGTATCTCTCTCGCCACTAGCAAGGGTGGGGGTACGGAGCCGACGTTTGTAAGGGATGGAGCAAATCCTCTTGACTCTTGCCGCTGTTCGGCTCTCTGTCTGTAAACCCGCGTTTTCCAAGCACCCAGCACCCACTTGGTGCCGGAAAATGGCCTTTTTGAACCTTCTCTGGGGGATTTCCAAGGTTAAAAGCCAATCGATGGTGCGTTGGATCCATGCATGCCTGCGTGCAATAAGTCATGGAACTGCGTCAACTAATTGTAATGACAGAAACGGCCTTCGAGCATCCTGGCTGCCCTTGGTAGACAGGCTGAGGTACCAGCCGCCCCCTAGAAGGGAGGAAAGTCGTAGAGCGCCGTTGTTGGCAGGAACCCCAGAAGTATAAAAGGCTCGAAGCTGAGTGTCGAAACCGGAAGCTCAATCTCCAAAGACATCTTCCATTTCTGTCAACACAGCCCTGGACAACCTTCTCTTCTCAACCCAGCCCAATCCAGCATATAGAGCAGAGTAATTTGCGACAATGGCTCAGAATCAGGTCAAGGAAACCGATATTGCGGTGCTGATTGCCGCGATCCAAAGCTCGGTGGGCCCTATCCAGGTATTAGAACCATAAACTCCTTCTGAGCACCGCTGCATGGGCACATCACCTCTGACCCAGTTTGCCAGGTCGACGCAGAGAAGGTGGCCAAACACCTGGGCATGAGCTTGTCGAGCATCCCGCCGAAATTCACGGCCATTCGGAAGCGATACAACATCGACATCAAGGTCGTCAACTCCGGCGCCTTGCAGCGCAACCGGCAGAACAGCCCCAAGAAGAGGCTCTCTGTGCACGGGCCCAAGCCCATGAGGAATGCCACTGCTCGAACGCAATCGGGCAGCGAAGCTGTGATGGAGTTGCCAGACGGACTCCACTTTGAGCCCGCAGTGGCTGCGAAAGAAGAGAGTCCGTGATTCTCGAAATGGCTGTGCGGTGAATGGAGATGACGGTCGCTGGCTGGCCCGAAAACTGTTCTCGATTCTTTTGGGATGGATGGTGTTGGGTGCTGATACAGGCGAAAACTGGAGAACTGGCTTGGGGTCCTAGGAAAGGACAGCGCACTCGCGTTGGGGAAGAAAATACCTTCTCGCATCGTGTGGGCCAAAAAGACACTGTCGTAAATTATTCACATGCGGAAATCACGCCAGTTTCCCCATGGACAAAGACGAATTAGGTCTCCCTGTAACTGACTGTCGACCTGCAAGTTACACCGCGGGTACTTGTGAAAGGACACGAATGAGCAAAAGAATAGAATCTGAGTCCTTTTCCTTCCTTCTTTTCTTTTTGGCTTTGGAACACGCTGTGTCCAATTTTGCCATTGTGAGGCGATCAAGCCTGAAATGTGCTCTGCTGTACTTTCGGGACATCGAACAGCGCCGGAACGAAGCCAAAGAAGTCTGCCGCGGCACTATCGTTCACGTTGTAAGAGTAAGAGTTTGTCGACCGCTCTCTTGAATCGGTATGGGAAGGGCGCGCGCAACACCAACAACGTCGGGTTGTATCTTGACAAAGGACGGCCGCGACACAAACAACCGGGTACTGACACCCAGTGAAGGCGCATTTAGGGCGACGTCGAACATCCATGTCAGTAGATCAAGACATCACGTAGGTAGACGGTGAGAAGGGGAGACGAATCGACGGCAAAAGCTAGCACGGTATCACATTCTCATTGCTGCTGTGAGACGATTCTCACAGTGTGTGCTGTGTTCTGATCTGCTTGGTACATACATAACGTGTCATTGTTTTTTGACACGGGCCGACCGCCCCCTCTGTCTCTCGAGTTGGCCCTTCACTTGCGAGCCCGCCTCGCAAGCTTCGCCTTGCGTGCTGCCTTCTCCTCGCGCTCTTTGGCAAGGTCATACTCCTCATCGGAACCCTCGGTGTCCTGGTGCTTTGCACCGGCATCCATCTCCTCGCTCTCCATGCCATCAGGCCCGTCCGAGGGCGCGGCGCAGGCGGCACGGCGGGTCTTGCGGACCGGCAGGGTCTTTCGGGCAAGAGGGGTTGGGGTGAAAATATCAGCTTCATCGCCGGAGGTGGTCTCGTTTGCTGAGGTCATGTCATCCTCGGAACAGGGCGTTTCGACCCAGCGCTTGCGCTTAGATCCGGTGCTGGACTTGTTCGTGGTAGAGCGCTTGCCCTTCAAGCTCAAGCCGCGGCGTTGAGGTGTGACTGGATTCTTGGATACTGGAGATTGGGGAGGGGACAAATTGAGCGCAGATAGGCCAGTGTGGTTGACATCAGTCTTTGCGTCGACTTCGACTTCATCTTTTGTTGTTGCTCCTTGCTTGATTTGACGCAGGGCTTCGAGGTCTTCGGCGTGATTCATGATGCTGCGGAAGTTGTCGCGGACACTACGAGCAGTGGGCTTTGTTTTGTCGTCATCGCCGGCTACAGTCAAAGTCAGTAGTTGTTAAAAGATATCTGGACCTTGGAAACGCTTACGCCACATCTTAGCAACTTTGACAGCGTCGATCTTGAAGTTTGGAGAGCACGCAATGGCGGTGCGAAGGAGCTGCTCATGGTCAGCGTGTAAACTTGTAGCTAGGGGCTTAGGTGAAGCTACGGTGAGCTTTTCTGCATCGTTCCACCTTTTGTTAGGCATCTTGAGTTCTGGTAGAGGTGAGGAGTCTGATCTGAAAGAGAAACTTGACAGGGGCCTTCTCGGTGATAGCGGTGGTTGAGGCTGATGTAATTTGACAGCGGAACTGAGAGGGTTCTGATCGACAAGAGACGTATGAAGGTGAACGAGATGGAAGAAACTGAGTCGAGAACAAATTCGTGGGGAGAAATTCAACCCCCGGCTCGCAGCCAAGACAAATGGTGCTCGAGACCCGGCAGAAAGTGAATGGCGCCGACATTGTAAGTAAATTCTTCCATTGTTCTTGTAATCGCATAAGCCGTCTTGCCCTGAGGCATCATCCTTTCCACAAGACGCCTCTGGTAAGTCCAGCGCATGTTGCCTGTCCTATGAACCAGCTTGAAAAGGACCTCGGTGGTACTTATGATATATACACTGACAGAGCCATGTTGTGCAGGCCTGTGCAGCAGCGTGTGAGACGGCAATGGATTCGCTGCGACAGCCACCTCACCACCACAAGAGGTTTGACCAAGAAGGATAAAGAGACGATGAAAGAACAAGAGAATCACAAGAGTCAAAATGCACGCTAAAAGGGTATCACCGTCGGGGCCGAGGTTCTTCCGACAGCCTTGCGATCTGCTGTGGAGGAAGCCTCAGTGGATTACTACAAGTATTCTACAAGAGCATCTTCTGAGGATCAAGACAAACAGCGGGCGAGACGGGACCATCAATCGTTTCGCTATCAAAACCAGTACAAATACAGCACCTGTTCCAAGTCCAGCAAAATTGAGACATTGCACTGAGCAGTGCCTATGACCCACACCTAGGCTCTAGCTGCGGTCGTCGCTCGTCAATTTGTTGATCACAAATCCCTGCCCCTGCGCATATCGAGAGTGGTCGCCATCCACATACCAACTCCGATGAGTGGTGCCGGCTACGGCATAATCCCCTCGATAAAGCCGCACAGCACGAACCATCCCGGCGAAAATGTCTCCAAGGTTAACCGCGTCCAATACTGCAGAAACCACTCCTGCCCTCGAATTTGCAGATGTCCTCTGAGGCCAGAAGGGCCAGACAAATAGAATAGCAAACACAAAAGTCTCTATACAGGTGAGGAAGGAGTTCAATCCAATGTTGAGGTCGTTATAGCTGAGATGCTTCGTTGGTTCGAGGGCATCAGTTTGAGATAGGGCATTGAGAATAATCCGTTGGACGAGCTGGACAAAGACGACGAGCTTGAATACCCCCATCTTGAAAAGAATCCGTCGGTCGACAGCGTGGAGTTGACTGCGGAATCTCAAGTATAACTTGAGGATTCCGATAACGCACATCGCAGTCAGGATACCTTGGACGATGCTGATAATGGTGTTCGCCCGTCGATACGTCTTTGTTCCGTGGCACTGTGTCGCCTCGACAATCTCCGTGGCAATGACTGTTATGACACGGGTTGGCAAGATCTGTATCACCGTGATCCAGGTCTTGCGGAACCAGTCTGCTTCTGAGGTATCGGAAGGTTTCACCGTCCCAGCGTGGGTGACAAAGAAATGAAGCTGCCCTTCGAAGGACTCTGGCGCAAGGTACGCAACCAACAGGAAGAAGAGGGCTATGAGTGCGAAACATTCGTATAACTCGGCAACAGGAGTCAGGTAGTTGGCAAGGTTGTAATGCCAGACTCCAAAGAAGCTGAAGATGGCGAACACCGCTGGCGTCCAAATAAGACGGACGATTTGCTTTTGCTGTCTCGGTTCTGTATATCTCAGGAGATGTGCAAGAGTCAGAATACTACACAGTATCCATGTGCAGATAGTGGTCCCCGCAGCGATATAAGTTGTCAAGGTATGGTACGACAGGTCACCGACAACAGGCTTGGCCTCGTCTTCCAGAGAGTCAGTTCTGGCTTAATTGCAAGGGGGAAGAGAGACCTACTGGGATTGCTCAGAGATGGACAAATGGCCATATTGTGTCAAATGCTGTGCTGTGTTCTGGTGCGAATGCTGGAAATCCGTAACGGGCTTTGGGATGTGTCCAGCTTCAGGGTGACCCAAGGGGTATATATATACATCTCGACGCTTCTATCTCAGACATTACGGGCGAAACCACCCAGCACCTTCGCGATCAACTATTTCCTACAACTCGTGAAATGGGACAAAAGGAGCAATCGTGGCGCGCCCAGCTGAGATTGTGTCTCCTTTGATATATTCGTGGGGCGGGTCTGGGGATGGTGGATCTACATGCCGAATGCGGAAATCTCAGCGCGTCCTGGGGCTGAGTTCGTCTGCAGCCCGCGCAGCCTCTAATAAGCGAGACATGCCTCACAGCCCAGGCGATGCGATTGGGTCTCGCTTTATGCCCAATTCATCATCGTCGGGCCTTATTGAGCCCACGTCCATGGGCCCTTTGAGCTGCCGTGCCTGAGCTGCCCCCCCTCTCTCTTCCTGACAATTACCACATCCGACCGTCTTCGCTGCCAGGCTACGCTTCGTCCAGCAAGATGCCGTACAAATACGGAGGTCCACGGAGCAAAGCGTGCAATGCATGCAGGGTCCGCAAGGTCAAGGTAGGCGTTAGATCGGCGTTCCCCTGCCCGTCTGCTAATCCGATCTTTGAAACACAAAAGTGTGACGAAGCCCGTCCAACCTGTGGGCGCTGCCGTCGCTCAGGCAAGACGTGCGAGTTTCGGGACGCCTTTGATCTGCTCCACTACGATGAGACCGCACATGCCTCTCGTCGCGCCCACCAACTGTGGCAGAAACGCTCGACCAAGACCGACGAAAGCGGTGCATCGAGTCTCGCATCCACCACAAGCCCTGCCGCCACACCGTCGACCGACCTGAAAGGGGTGTTGGAGCAACCGCTCTACGAATTGGCAGTGCAGAGGTTCTTCTTCGACTACGTCTTCCAGATAAACACTCCACTGGGGAGAGCGGGATATCTCGAATATCTTCCAGATGCGTACCCCGGGTTCGTCGACCAGCCCTTCTTCCTCTCGGCGTTCAAATCCACTGCTTTGGCCAACTTTGCCAGGCGATGCAACTCGCGGACGGCATCCAATGCGGCCTTGACCGAATACGGCAACGCAATACGATTGACGAACGCCGCCTTGAGGGACCCCGTCCTGGTCCTCAAAGACGAGACGCTCCTAGCTTGCCAATTGTTGGGATTCTGCGAGGTAATGGCCTCGAGTATTACACACTTTACTAGGTAACAACTTATGAGTTTCCAGATCTACTTGTCCCCTGAAACGGCGTTCAGTAGCTGGTACGCCCACACGCGAGGAGCTGCGGCGCTTCTCGAACATCGCGGGTCTGGGATTCTCCAGACACCCCTAGGCCCGACTCTTTTCAAAGCCGTCCACACTCAAGAGGTTGTATACACAGGTCCTAGCCCTTTCGTCCCTTGCTGATTGTTGAAAGCTCTACAAATGCTTACGATTCGGTCTGCGACCGACATATAACCCGTCATTCGTGAAGCAAGTGTACGAGCCGATGTCCGCTCAAGTGCACCTGCTGGTCGCTGATGTCGCCACTTTGTGCGCCGAATACATGGAGCGAAAGAGCACCCTGCCGGGATATGAGCAGCATGCTTCTGCTACCCCGCTCTTGGAGAGAGCTCATCTCTTGGACCTGCGATGGCAGAGGCTCATCTCGAATATTCCGTGGCAATTCAGCTACGACCGAATCCCAAAGGACCAGTATCGGCCGCTGCCGCATTGGATTGCGCCTTTGATCAGAGATCGGCGAGCCCCTGTGTTCGTGCACATATATTCAGGGTTTGGGCCCTGCTTCCTGTGGAACATGATGCGGTACGCTCGGGTCAGGTTGCACGAGTTGCAGATCCTCCTCGCCGAGGCCGCGACGCAATCCGATGAAGCGCTAGGGTCTCTGGAGGTGTTGTTGCAGCTCGAAGACGATCTCAGCTCGACCGTGCCCGCGTTGCTAATTGCCACGGAGGAGAAAGAGCTCGGCCACAGTTCAAAGGGAGAAGAGATCTCAAGTTTCCGGTCTTTCCTGATGGTGCGCTCACTCATGGCTGCGCGCATGACCCTGGTGTTTCTCGCGCGACGAGGACTCTATGTTGAGGAGAGACTGGCTTGGCTCAAGGACCTGTTTGCGTGCCTGCACCAGCATCTCACCATCTTCGTCCCTCCGGACTTTGATCCTCTAGACGGGGACTGAGGGCCTGTCTGCCGCACATAGAAGTATGCTCAAGAACAGGCTCGCTGGAGACAACTCTCAACCCGTTTCAAACATTTTGCGTGCATGAATTTTGGGATGGGACAGCCTTTCCCGTAGTAGATTTTCCGGACAAGAGTGCTGGTATGTCGTCCCACTCGCACTTCGCCAAGATCTTGCCAAAAGGATACCCGCGGCGATCAAGCTCCTCAAAAACCTCCTTGCACCAGTCTATCTCCTCCTCTTCCCCCAAGCTCGCCAATACGTGCATTGCTGCGCGCAAGGCGAAGAACACCTTCTGCGGTCCGAGAACGTGCATGTCTTCCGAGAGCAGATACTCCATCGACCTAGCGATCATTCTCGCCAGCTCCAGCGCTCGTCTGTGGATGAAATCATTTTCCCCAGACGCCGGAAGGCTAGAAGTCGGATCAACGTCGCTCGGAGACGAGAAGGGGGTGGTGAGGATGCTACTGTGGAGCAAGAGGAGAGTGGTCCAGTAGGAGAGATGAAGGCGTGCAATTTCGAAATTTTGGAAGTGTAGTGCCTTCGGGAAAACGGAGGCCAATCGAGGAAGAAAACGTGTGGACGAAGGCCGCTCGCAGTACGGCGGCCCGGCTTGATTTAGTAGGAGTGTCTGGTACCAGCTCTCAAGTTGAGAATGGAATTCCCACCCCTGCTGTAGTAGTCCTAATCTCTGTGCATGGGGGATGTCGAAAGCGGAGGAGGCGGTGTTCGGTCGTGCTGCCTTCTCGATTAAGACTGCAATTTGGGCCATGATGTCGAGCAGCCGGTCAAGGTCCGACTTCGGTTGTGTCTCCCACGGCACTGTCAGCCAGTCCTGCTGTGCAAGGTAGGTCGATTGACGGGTAGCCAAGGCGTAGGTGATCTGCCCGAGGTGAGCTGCTGTTCAGGGAATATGTAGAGAATCCACACTCACACAAGTAGATCTGAAGCCCAAGAAGAGACGATGGCTCAATCCAACAACATGCGACTCCGGACCCCGAAGCTGGATCAGCCGTGCCATACCTTCCACATGGCTGACCCATCCGTCGATACTGTCCCCTGAAACTTCTAGCAGCTGCGTGTTCGGTCAACGACGGTTCTATTCCGTGCTGTGCGGGATGCTTGCCTCAAAGGTAGATAACGCCATGCAGCTGGCAAGCGTCTGCTCCTCGAAAAGCAGACGGTGGTGTGAAAGAATGTCGCGTAGTCGGTGCAAAGCCCTGCCGTAGGTTGCCGCGCCCTCACGCCGGAGGCTCTCGTCGCCGTGTTTGCGACCCAAGCAGACCAGACTCAACGCGAAGATTGCGAGATCGAGAGAGGCGTCGTTTACCAGCGAGGGATCAATGGCCTGGAGCCAGGAAACTTGGCCCTTCCGCCCATCCTGAAGCACGGCTTCTCCTCTAGGAATGTAGTTGTCGAGGAAGTCGACGAACAACTCCGAGAGACTCGGGGCCTGTCTTGGGCCCTGAACATTCTGGCTTTTGGAAGTTGTGGTGTCGTCCGTTTCGGGGGTGCTGCAAGGCGTAGGATCGAAAACTGAACCGGCGTTGATCGTGTGCAAGTCTGTGAGCGAAGTCAAGGGCTGAGTCCGGGTCAACAAGGTGTCCCGATCCAAGGCACTCAGATTCTTGAAATGTCGTTCCCGCTGATATCCTCCGCATACCCGATCACTCTTTCTGCACCGATCGCAGGACGGCCGGGTTCCATCACACTGTCACCGACTTTAGCTCCTTTCCCCCCCCAGTGAATCTCGATACGTACGTGGATCTTGCGCTTCCTGCAGGTGTTGCAACCCTTGGATTTCCCCGCCACGCCTACCATCGCTGCAACACACGAGCAAGAAGCGCTGGGAATTCGGGATTGCAGTTTTTGGTGGTTTAAGATGCCTACGGAAGCTGTGTAGTGGAGTCATCGGTTTGACGGTCTTCTGCCGCCGAGTCATCATGGGACTCGAGAAATTTCGAATGAGGCGACATGGTGGGACTGCGGTGGAGGACGGGAGGAAAGCTACTGCGGTGGATGGATGATAGCTGCGGTAGATGATGGCCTGGTTTCAGGCCTCCATTTTTGGGATTTTAGGGCTTCCATCTGCACGTACGCCAAGGAAAATATTAGTGGTGGCATCGCCCCGGGGGGGGGGGGGGGGGGGGAGCAAGGTGGATCTCTAGGCGGATACTCTGATTGGACCACTGACGGAACGCATAGTAAATTATTCCTGCAGCCTGCGTGAGGCGTCTGGCTGCGTAATCGAAATGCTCGCCGAACATCTTATAGGAATGAAACTGTTCATCAGACTATCGTACCCGAACCCTGATTACACGAAGAACGCGCATTCGCCGGGAAGAACGTCGTACAGAATCAACAGAGCACTGCTTTTTGGTAAGTGATGGGAAATACGAAGATAATGGATACTTTTGGCAATCGGGAAAAGCTGTATTGCTAGCTACAAAGTGTGTAGACCGTTGTTGTAATTGGGGCTAAGTGGTGACAGTCTGGCAGATGCAACTGCCAGAGGCGAACCTCTCGCCTACCCCGCGAACCTCTTAACCAGGCACTTGTGGTGGAAACCAGGATGGTTGTCATGTTCCCTAGTCAACCTATTTTCTGCCTCATCAGTCCCATTTCAAACTCCGTTCTGCTCAGAAACCCCCCAGAGTCGAAGCCAGACAGCCACGAAACGGTGTATATGGTTGTCCTGAAGAAGGTCTGGCGGCTGAGCTAATGCCGACGTGGCGGCGATAGCACGATTCATTTCAATTGTAAAGCAAGCACCAGGGTCTTCATCTTCCGCAGGCGCACTATTGATCGTGTCGCCACCCTGGGAGGGGGTTTTACCGTGGTGAAAACCTGTCCCATTCGGTAGATGTGCGCCATTCGTTGGTGGCGTACCGTTGATCGGCTTGCTGTAGGTCCCGTTCCGGTATTTCCGCTCCCAGTAGTCAATCAGTTTCACACTGGGGTTTCTTCTGGGGTCTGGATCGCTCTCCCTGAGTCGCTGGAGCCACTCGGACACTTCAACTGTTTCGAAAGCTGGAAGGTGGGTAGTCCGCAGAGCAGGTAGGAGCTCTTTGGTCCAATGGAAGACTCGGGGATTGCGGATGTGGTAGATCAGACTGGGGTCTGTATCCTCGGGGAGACAGGCTTTTTGTGCCACGTGGCGAAGAGCAATGTCGACTATCGCACGCGCACAATAGTCGGCAGGCAGCCAAGAGTGGACCTGGCACATGGGCATCAGTAAAGCCTCTAGAAGGATGCAATGGGCCTTGAATGGAGAACCAAGTGTGTCTATGCTGAAGGCAGGACGGTCAACAGACAGGGGAGCTCACTTCATCCAGAGCTGGCAGTGCGCCCGTGGTGATGGCGCTCCGAATCATCAGAGGAATGGCTTCTGTCTCATTCCAAACGGCAGAACCGGTGTCCCCGACTATTTGTCCGATCCGCACGACGCGGGCATACATCCCTGTGGACTGCATGGCATTGCGAACGATATGTTCTCCCACCATCTTGCTCTGAGCATAGCCCATATTTTGGGCATGATGGAGCTGATCGATCACTCTCTCGGCTATCGTTGCCGGCTTGGGAGTTCCACCGGCGACGGAGATAGAACTGCAGAAGTACAGCTCGGCTGGAGTCGCAAGATTCACCTCCAAGCAAGTGTTGATCAGGTTGTACAGACCCCGAATATGCTGCTCTTCGAAGGATTGAACTCCGAGATTGAAGTTTACCGCCCAGGCGGCATGGATAACGTGTGTCAGCGAGGACCGAATCTGGTGGCGGTCTTCGACGGTCAAACCAAGTGTTGCCTGACTGAAATCGCTGGGCCTGGCAATAATCTTGGACATTTCATACTTGGATAACGTCAAGCCTCGGGATGAAAGGGAATGATGAACACGGGACGCAGCTTCAGTCGAATCTGACGCACGGACGAGAGCCCAGACCGTCGAGACACTCGGGCGTCGGACGGCGTCGGCCACGAGAAAGGAGCCCAGAGCTCCAGTAGCACCGGTGATAAGCTGATGAATCAATGGCCATTAGAAAATGAAGTCAACTCCACCTACGAAGGGGGGTTTGACTCACAAGAACATGCGTACCACGCTTCGCAAAAGTCGAGTATCGGTCGATGAGCTCTCTCATCTGTTCTACTGCACTCGGCTGCATCTCGGTGCTGCCGCCGACCCGTAAATCATACAGATATCTTGCGACATTTCGGATGGTCCGCTTTTCGAACAAGACGTTTTGGCTGAGCATGGACTGTTTCCCCCCAAGATCAAGCTGCTTTTTGATGATTGACCAGATCCGTGTTGTCTGCAGGCTGTCCACACCCGCAGCGAAGAGGTCGGTATCCACTGAGGCGATATCCACGTAGAGCTCAGCATGGAATTTTTCCAGCAAGAAAGTCTCAATTTCAGGCAGCTCAAGTTGTAATTGCGCCCCCTGGCCATTCTCAAAACGGTCATATGCTTCCGCGATCTGAGGGGCGAACACCTCATAGACTTGAGCCCGGATGAAGGTGCCTTTGGCGGTGTGCGGCCAATCGATGCCAGGAGGGATGACGACAACTAGATCCTTGGGGATATGGGAGAAAGTTTCGGCCACAGCATTTGCTGCCTCGATGGTCGGCCAGATGCTGTCGATATACTCTTCGTTGCTCAGGCGGGAGCCATTTTCGCTTTGGAAAATCAGAATCCCCGGCACCGTCTTCCCAATGCCAAAAATGACCGCCTCGTTGACCAACGAGTTCGCCCGGATGGTGCTCTCCATGGGGACAGGGAGTACCTTTTCCCCATTCATCAAAGTAATGCGGTCGTCCAATCGGCTGACATATTTCCAGAGGTGGTTTTTCTTAGGGTCAGGATGCCTCCGAAATAGATCCCTCGTCCGGAACGAGTTTGGAGGATCATCCGAGTTCGACGTGTATCTTGAAGGTAAGCTCTCGAGGGCCACGCATTCGAACAAGTCCGGCGCAATCTCGTCCATGAATACGTGCTCAATGGTGGAGTCTTGAAGGCGATAATAATTCCAGTCGGCTCTGTCGTCGATCCCGTCTCTATGAAAAGAGTTCATGATGTAACCGATCTCGGTCCTGATAGCGCCGCTTGGGTTAAATCGCTGAAAGCCCGGATGTGATGCGGTCGGGAAAATAACTTACGATCCATAGTTTCCGGCAAGGTTGATGCCCCTCGACACAAGCATGTCTCCCAGCTCCTGAGGACAGTTGCTACCCGCATACAGGACCATTTCAGCCTTTTCCAGCTCGGCCAGGCCATCTTCGGTTTCGCTCAGAAGCTTTAGGATGTAGGGGACGGCAGCAACGAGTTGTGGCCGGGCCGCTCGTATTGCTTCGCTCAAATTCCGGGCCGTGGGAGCCAGAGACCAATTTCCAAAGTAGATGGGCTTTCGCGAATAAATCGCTCGAAACAGTGACATGAGTCCGTGCGAGTGGTATAGCGGCGATGCACAGAACGTCCTCATGTTAAAATTCTTGCCCACGTTGGCCAACACACCATAGTTCGAGAGGTATATGGGTTTAGGGATACTTGTGGTCCCGGAGGAGTGAATGATCCAGGCGATCTTCTTAGCCTCTCTCAGAGTATCACACTCGCGAACGAACGTGGGAGCTTTCACTCCCTTGATTTCCTTCTCCGTGATAAATGGGAGGATCTGGATCCGCAATCCTGTCTGGCTATTGTGTACCAAAGCACGATATTTCTCTGTCGTAATGACCGTCGAACAACCAGTGTTCTCCAACAGGCGCAGACAAGCGACTGAGGAGAGCCGGGTAGAAAGGAAGAAGACAGCATATCCCAGGCGATTTAAAGCAAGGATTGACACAATGTATTCAAAATTCGGCTGAGCAAGGATCGAGACGAGTGGAGCTTCCTCCAGCGAGGGATCCTATCGCAAATATCAGCGTATGCTCGTCCGAGAAGAAGTGCCCTTTGCTAACCGCAGGCTTCAACCCCCGTTGAATGTACGCAGCCACTGCAGCGTCTGCGAGCACATCTAGATCTCTGGCCGTGTATTCCACGTAGTCAGAAGTGCCGCTGGCCGGGTACCCAACTAGTGGAAGTGGCTGGGGGTCAGCGGCGACAAACTTAAGCAGCCCATCGACCGTCAGGCACACATCGGGAGACACTTGTGGCATTGAAGATAGCTCACGGAGCTCCCCTGTCCTTTGATCTACCTTGGGAGTCAAGATGGATGAAAGAGTCATGCCTGCAAACTGGATGAACACCGGCCACGATGCTGTTATTGCCACCCCTTTCGTCTTGTATGCTTCAGTCAAAGGCAACTAATTGTTCAAGTAGATCGCGGAGCTTGGAGCCTCCCTTGCCTGAAGGACAGTCTACAGCTCCATCGGCGTGCCTGCAGATAATCATTGGAGCCAAGCCATATTTTGTCTTGGCACCCCCAACCACAGCTCCGTAGATCGACATTCCGCAACGGATATCTGATTACATAGGTGAGAGGCAGCCTGTATCCTGGTGGAATCTGGCTAAAAGCGTGTCGTTTGAGGCATGAGCTACGCATGACTGTAGTGGTACTGCCGTCTACCTGGCGTCCCAGTTCAAAAGATTCTCTAGATAGAGCCGGTGGCACCGGAGGGAATGTCGGCCCGGTAATGCTGACCGGGCACGTATCCCGCGGGGAAAGGTCCTCCACCAATAGGAGAAGCCCGGGACTGATGGAATGTGCGGAACGGAATATTTAAAACCGCAATACGGAGTTAGTACGGAGTGGACAAGCAAAAATACAACCACGTAAAATTCCAAGCACATTACTGTACGGTGTAATTCAAATTCCACCAGGGGCAGGCTCTGGAGTGTGAGGACGGCATTCAAGACTCTTTTCTATGAAAGGCGATTCGAGAATGAATCTGGCTTGTGATGCGAGAGGGCTGCAATGCCTATCCACCGTATGGTCCATATGTTTCGTCCACGGCTCTGGAGGTTTGGAGAGCCCTCAATCCGGGGCTTCAGGATCAACGGAACTCCACAGACATCCCTTTGTGCTGAGGTCCGCGGTCTCCATGTTGTCATTTGCAGTGAGGAAGAGCCACCAGTGATTGAGCAAAGGCTTCCTTATCCTCACGTCAAACCGATCACATAGCCTAGAAAATAGTACTGCCAGATCTAGTTGTGACCATTACAGAGAAGACACTACCATCCCTTGGAGGTCCAACAGTCATCCAAATCATGCGTTATCTGCGCTCTAATGTGAAGGCTTCGATACCTGTCGACCTATCTATATCCGAGTTCTTGAGGCCCGATGCCCGGAAGGCGCCTCTATCGAAGATCATCCTCGAAGACACCCTCACTGGCAGATCCATTTCCTATGGCGGGCTGCGCGAACAAACAGTATCATCGGCCGAGTGGATGCGGGACGCAGTGGGTTTGCAGGCGGGACAACGAGTCGCTATCGTCGGCCCAAGTAGCGTAAGCGTTGCACGGTGCAATCTTGTCGCAAAGAAGACATCCTAAACTCGAGATTAGGTCGATTACGTAGTCGCTGTCCAAGCCATATGGTATTTGGGCGCCACGGCTTGTCCCATCAGCTCCATGCTCCATCCGGACGAGATGCAATTCGCACTGGAGACTACGGATCCCGCCGTGGTCATTGTGCACCATGACTTGCTCGAGAAGGTCAGGTCTGCGTTGCAAAAGCAAAAGTCCGTGGTCAGAAATCCCTCGATCGTGACGTTTGGAAATGGGTATTCTAATCCCAGCTATCTGCAAGTATGCATTCCAAAGAGGGCGACGGGCTTTGCGATCACCAATTCAAAGGCTGACCAGCATCAGATGTTGACTGACGGCGTGTATTGCGCCTCACGTTCCTCGACGCCGCTGAAGGAGTATTCGCTGGCGGGCCAGGACAGTCGGAGAGTCTGCGCCCTGTTTGTTCTCAGCAGCGGGACGTCGGGCAAGTCGAAAGCAGTCATGTTGTCTCACTACAACCTGGTGGCAATATGCATTCAGATGCATGCGCAGAATCCCGACAACTGGAGATCTTCCCAGAGAGAGGTGTTTTTCCCGCCGCTATCGCACGCGTACGGCATATACGTCTGTGTGCTCATGGCGCCATGGACGGGGGCCTTTGTCTGCATGATGGCCAAGTTCGAGTTGGATCATTACTGCCGATTGATGCAAGACCGCCGAGCAACATTGGCACGATTGGTCCCAGCGATTGCCAAACAGCTGGCAGTGAGCCCTACTACGCGGCGATATTCTTATCCAGCCCTAGAATATCTCACGTGTTCATCTGCGCCCTTGCATCCCACAGTAGCAGAGAGCCTTCGCGATATCTTCAACGGGGTCCCCTTGTGCCAGACCTATGGCGCGACCGAATTGACGGGCGCAATTGCGCAGAGCGGCGTCAGAGACCACGGCAAAGCACCCCTTGTTTCTGGCGGCAAACTGGTGGCCAATGTCGGGATCCGGTTCATCGACCATGAGTCTGGGGGAGATGCCGGGCTCCGGGGACCAGGAGAGATTCTTGTGCGCAGTCCATCAGTCATGATGGGCTACAAAGACAACGAAGACGCGACAAAATCGTCCTTTGTGGATGGCGACTGGCTTCGCACGGGCGACGTGGGCTTCCTCGACGAAAACGACTACTTGATCCTGATTGATCGCCTGAAGGACGTCATCAAAGTCAACGGGCTGCAGGTTTCACCGACCGAGTTGGAGGAGAAGCTGCTGGGCCACGAGTTTGTCGAAGAGGTCGCGGTCCGCGGAGTCACCAGCCGCGATCGGACGACGGAATACCCAAGAGCATTCGTCGTCCTGAACCCAAAGTTTCGCCACCCCAAGCCAGACGCCAAAAATCTGGCACGGATTGCAGCGGAGCTGAAGGAGTTTGTCCGGCCAAAGGTGTCGAAGCATAAACAGATTCGCGGAGGTGTCGTGTTTCTAGACGAGCTGCCACGAAACACCAACAACAAGGTCTTGCGGAGGCTATTGCCACTGGACGTGCCTGCATATAGAGAGGATGGACTTCCGTCCAAGTTGTAGTAGAATCTAAGGCCCTTTACAGTGATCAACGCCAGTACAAAGAGCACGTTGACGCTTTAGGGCACATAGATTAGATGAATGGACTCAGCCTAGTTAAGAAAGCGTATTGTGTCCTTGCCCTGAGAGGAGAGCACTGCAGCAGGATACGATCAGGGCCTAATTCTGTCTTACAAGCTCAGTTGTGAGGCTATGTGTACATTTTCTTGGGCATCTTCTTGAACGTCGTTGACCCTCATTGAGTTTGGTGTGCGTAGCATGTCTACATGCCTGGCCTAGATCGAACTCATATTTTCGCCTTGGTGTCCTTGGGCTGGGAGGCCCTGCCTCGCTTCGGCACGGTGTCCAGCAAGATCTCCTCGCTTCCACCGCTGACCACCAACACTCTCAGATCACGACTGATCTGCTCAACCCGCGATCCTCTACTTGCAGCCGCACGAGTCTGACCGATGCCGCCCAGGATCTGTTGAGCCTCCCGATTGATCTTTTCTAGATCATGGGCAGCTCGGTATTTGAGAAGCCCCGAGTACGAGGCCAACGCTGGGTCATCTGGAGCAACTTGAGTGCGGTAGACAATCTGCTCGATCAGGCCTCCGGTTGCCTCCAGCATGCCGGCCATTTTAGTGAACTTGGCCCGGATGAGCTGGTTTTCGATCAAGGGCTTGCCAAAAACAATACGGCTGGTCGCCCAGAGCCAACTGTCCTCGAGAGCGACCCTGCCCAGGCGATTGGCCGTGATGCCCACCCAAATCCGCTCGTGATTGAAGGCTGCGTGGTATCAAGCAGATTAGTCCCTTATCAAAGCCTGGAAGACAACCAGGGAGGTTAATGCGCGGCATCGGCGCATTGAATGACAGGGAAATTAGGGTCCATACTCGACATGATAATCTTGAAGCCAGCATTTTCTTTGCCCAAAATGTTTTCCGCCGGAACAAGCACATCATCAAACTCCAAGAACGTGGAACCTAGACATTCATGTCAGCATCAAGCCGACTTGTAGAGCTGAGCTGCCCATTGTTAGGGATGGGTGAATGATCCTCACCACTTGCAGCAACGCCGGAGTTGAACATCTTCTTCTTGGTGATTCCTTCGGAATTCAAGTCGATAAGCAGAAGTGAAATTCCCTTGTAGCCCTTGTCTGCCGTTCGGACTGCGGTCACGGCCATGTTCGCCCACTGGCCCTGAGTGATCCATTTCTTCATTCCGTTCACAACGTAATGTCGGCCATCGCGAGTTTTGATTGCGGTAGTGATCAGATTGGCCACATCAGAGCCCGCTACAGAAGCCGATTGTTAGTCGCTTCGATAGCTCCGATTCAGATAGAGGTGGGTCAACTTTACTGCCCGGTTCCGTTATTGCCAGTGAGTGTTTTTGCTCCCCTCGCAGCAGCGGTACCAGGTAGGTCTGCTTTTGAGCTGGAGTGCCGAAGGCTGAGAGCGGCGGTGCTCCCACTGCAGCACCTCCATTGATGCCCCAGATCACTCCCAGGTACCCGCATCGGGCAAGCTCGTCGACGACCTGTTCACGGAATACTTTGATTAGGATCCGTGATAGCTATACAAGTACGGAGAACGGAGCTTATCCTGTCTCTCAGGAAGGAGACGACGGGTACATACGATTTGATCATGAAATGCATCCCATTCTACACCCATCACATCTCATCAGCCGTGCTCGCCAGCGTGCAACTTCAAAGCTCGGAGTAATAAGAGCGTGCAGATGTAAAGAATACTCACCAGAGACGGGAATGTCAGCTGGGAGGGTGATCCCTTCTTTCAAAGGCAGTGGGTATGCAGATGCGGCCAAGAAGCCGAGTTGAGCGTGTCGCTTGTATGCCTGCAGTAGAAAACAATTATATCAATGTCGCCATCGTCTCCACAGATTCTCTTAATCACACCTCGTCTGGCACAAATCCCTGGTTTTCCCAGTCCTGCGCGTTTGGAATGATATATTTGTCGACGTACTCGCGGACATAGCGCTGGAGCGTGCGGTGACTGTCCTTGTAGAAGGGGTGTGTCGGCAATGAGTGCCACGCTGGATCAGCGAACGGAACGGGCGATGTCATGTCGAGGGTTGTTAACCTGGTGGCCAATCAAAAGCAGATGTCAAGGAGAGACGGATTGTTGAGCCACAAAAGTCCAAAAGTGGCAATCTGATGGGGCTAGAGGTCGACGACGGACGATTTGCGAGGCATGTGTCTATTGTTCAAAACGAAGACGAGATCCTGCTTTGGTCTTCTTGTGGCCATCAAATCGAGAAACCGAGGTTGCGAGGTGGAAGATCATCATCGTACACCGAACATCTTCCTCATGTTCTGGCGGACGTTGCGCGTGCGTTGAGTGGTACAGTATAGAGTATGATTCCGGGGAGAGGAAGGTTGGTTTCTTGAAGCTATACAGGATGTAATGACCTCCCAATGCCATCCAATTCCCGCTCCGTCTTGCCCTAGTGGGAAGGAAAAGTTCGGCGGTCGACAAATGCTTGAATCGAGTCCACAAAGTACACTGGCAAAGCTTGAGGCTTAGCGTCCGGTCGAGAGAGGCGCTTGTATTCCGGCGTTTCCGCTCCATTGGAATAACGATCTGTTTGCAAAGGTTAACGTCGGCGGTGCCAGCAACACGGAACACCTGGTGAATGACTCAAGGTCGATGGAGGGGGCCATATGCGCGCAAATATCAAGATGCCCGACCAGATGCTGAAGACCAGCTCTATGATCCTCTCGTCGTAATGTCAATGTTCAACCTGATAAAGTCTTGCATTACGGTAAATGCTCTTCAATAAGCAGAAAAGCAGATTTGCTACCTCATTGCATTGTTGCCCTCAACGCACGCGTGCCGGATTCATTAGCTCTTTATCTCGCAGAGTTTACGATGGCTATCACCACGACCACATGTGATCTCCACATATTTGCATGCCTTGCTTTGGCTGCAAATTCTCACACGTCTGCCCGTCCTACTCGTCTTCAGACTCCAACCCTACCTGAGTTGCTGTCGCCCCCTGAACAGGCGTATCATGTTAACCACGAGCCGCGTGGGCGTATGATGGAAGTGCCAGCTTCTGTCGCCACAGCATCCCCCATTTCATCAAGCTAAGTATTAACCCAAAGAGCAGGGTGATTGCAATCGCATATGTACCGAAGACCCATCCGAAGCCTGCACGTACGATGAAGGCGTCGAGATAGAAGAAAACGTAGAAGCTGCACAGCTGACGGCCGACGTTGGAGATTAAGCCGATCTCTGCTGCCAGTGGCGTGTAACAGTCTACAGAATAGGTGATACTAATATCCGCAATGTCAGTAGAAGTCCGTATGCGTGACTATGCCGGCAGTTCATTAAGAAGATGAGACTCACACCACGGTAACCACATTTTGCATTCCCAAGGAGAAGAGGAATATCGCAATGGCGGGTCCAATCCAATGAACTTCAAAGTGTAGAAAGAGTCCAAGCATGGCGAGGCCGACCTATAAGCTCGTCAGCGACCGGTTTATTGAACATAGACGGAGTTGGAGTCTTTCTTTACGTACTGGAACAACGATGGCTCCCGGCCAAATTGCCTGCAGACGTTGCTCTGGGTGGCGAGCCCCGGCCTTTCGCGATCGAATTCTAAACACCCAGTCGGAGAAAGGGCCCCCAAGAGGCTCCCCAATGACAGTGCCGAGAAACAAAGGCAAAGCCATCAGACCCTGCCCGATTGGGCTGAAGCCATAAATCTCGGGAAAGGCCTGCGTAACTCGGTCAGCGTGGACTGGTCGATGTGTGATTTCGCGCACTTACGTATGGGAGGATGCCCAAGCTGGCGAAGGCACAAAACCCGTACATGTTCCCGTAATAGATAGCCGGGAAGATGATAGAAGGGTATTTCCAGAGCATGAATGGTTTGTAGAAGTCTTCAGCAGTAAGGTGACCGTCAAATCTCCTGAAGCGAAGACGATGGAGCCATGATTCTTTCTGGGGAACGGGATCAATGTCTCCTCTCTTTTGATACAGCGTCTCCGGCAAAAGGAACACATCCCACACAAGCTGCAAACACCACATGAAAAAGGTAACCCACATCATCCACCTCCAGTCGGCATAATAGACGACAAGACCGTCCAGCAGAGTGGAGAGATAAGGTGATGCAGCAAAAAACACGATCCAGATCCCCATTTTCTGGCCACGCTCTGTCCGAGGCGAAAGATCAGTACGAAGTCTTTTTCCGAGGCAAGTGAACTGACCGTGGGTAAAGAACATGTCTGTTACCATCAGTGAGCCCAACGACATTGACGCTGATGCCCCAAAGCCAAGGAGGATCTAGCCTGTCAGCACTGGAGATACTTGCTGAGAGAGTGTGTTTAGGAGCTATTCACCCTAGACCCGACAAAGACTCCATATGTTTGACCGACAGCACCGGCCAAAGTTCCCATCGCCGCGATCAGAGCAGCCAGAATGAGGATGGGTCTTCTGCCGTAACGATGCGCAAAAGGGACCCAGATGCAACCTCCGAATGCCATAAGCAGCGCAAAGGCGCTGGTGGCCTGTAGCATCCTCGATACGGACACCTGGTAGATCGCTGACTGTTGAATGAGCCCTGCTGAAGCGGAGCCCGCATCGAAGCCGCCCTGGAACGTCTGAGCGGCAACAACAGATAACGCCAAGTGCTTCTCCCACCAAGACCAATTCTGTAGGTGATATTGTCAGTTGAGGCTGTTATGGCTCTGGAAGCGTTGAAAGACTCACCAGCGGGTCGTTAGGGTCATTGGACGGTCGGGGCAAAACCTCGCCCACCTCAGTCCCCTGCACCTTCTCTCTAGACTCTGGAGCGGCTTGCTCCAGGTGCCGAAGGTCGGTTTCGATGACACTTTCATCCTCTGTCTTCTCGCTGTAAGCCATGGTGCAGGGCAGGTGGGCCGCACAACACAGCAGACAAGTGTCAATGTGAGGGCCAATACAGATCGTACAGCCTCGGCGTAAACAAAGTCTTCGCTGATAGTGTGCCAGCCAAACTGCCTCAGATAAGGGTGATGAGGAGTTTTTGTACTTCAAGACATCAACATCGAACACTAGTTGAAGGTTGAGCTGGAACGGAGACCTTCGCCCAAGCCTCGTCAGGTTCCGCGAAGCATTTGCTTCCCGCCCGTGACCCCTGCCGGTGCTCCAACCGGTGCTCCAGCCGGTACTCCAGCTAGGGACAGCGCGGGGTCCGGGGTCAAACTACGAACTGACCTCTCGGAAAGGCGTTCTGAGCGTTAGTGCTACCAGTTCAGGGTTTAGGACGTGACAGGTGCGTCCCCGGCCAAGACATCGACTACATATCTCGGACCGTGTACTTTGCTGAGAAGACGAGGTCTCCCACGGCAGCAGCGCCCCAGGAGACGTTCGACACGCTTGTTCTGCAATGTGTAGCAGGGAATGAAACCATATTGATGCAGCATCTGGCTTGCGCATTCCATCTTACGCAGCGTAGCTCGTACAGGCCCGAATGACTTTGGTTTTCTCGAGTGCAGTGATGCCAAGATGGGTCCAGAATGACTAGCTCTAGAGGACTATAGTCCTGGCAACAATGCTCGAGTGGCAGAAACATGATCTACGTCTGGAGGAAGAACGAAATTTTCATCTTGATGCAGTGGACTTTTGCATGTATCTCGTTGTGAGGAGACCTATGTTGATGCGTCGACAAGATTGTTTCGTTATCAGATTGTGCATAGCCACTATGCAAATAGCCCTGTCGCCGTGCACTCGAACCACCGCCCTTGGATCTCCCGTATATAGAAGCCGAAAGTACAAATCTGCAGAGACGTAGATTTGGTTGGCGGCTTCGCAAGATGCCTCAGGTCCGGAACACAATACCGTATTTCCCCAGATTTACCTAGTGTACTCCGTACTGTACCAGATACCCATACACAACCTGCCCTATCTGGTTAGCTCACCGAGGCACCCAAGCACCGAACTTGGCGAGCTAGTAATCTGGATAGCCGCGCGAACCGCAGTCAGCATGGTAAGGATTAGTTTAGGCTTTTTTGGCAGGGAGGCATCTGCGGGGTCGGGTCTCTGGGGTATTCCCCCCTCTGAGACTCTATCCCCTCTCTCTAGCTCACCCTTCGAACCTGTCGGGTTAAATGTATCAATTTCGCCTCTTCAGATCGTCCATAACTTTTCGCCGCCAGAAAATCAAGATGCCTTCCCCCTTCGAACATGCTCACTTGCCTCATATGCTCAATCAAGGCCCACGTCCGATGAACGACAGCCGTGTAGAGAGGACCGAGACTGGCCCCGTGCGGCGTTCGAGATACGTGTCCTGCGCTTGGTACGTCTGAGTCTTATTCCTGCGCATAGCTGGCTTTTCCGGCTGCATCAGATGCATCCGACTCAATTTGACACTCAAACAAAGTCCTTGAAGTCCTTGAACGCTCTCGCTAACATGAACAGCATCGAATGCCGTCGCCGGAAGACAAAGGCATGTCAGCACGAGTTACGATCCCGTTGGGGGTGACGTTCATTGTTACAAACAGCAGCTGACAAGGTTGCCTTCTCACAGTGTAGCGGCGACCGTCCATGTCAACGATGCCAATTCTACCAACTGGAATGTGATTACTCCAGACCGGCGGACCCGAAATCCCACAAGCCAAATGACGACTGGGCCAGGTAAATGATTTCCCCCCTCCTCCATGGAAGCGAAGAGCCTCGTCTGTCAGGGGCCTGTCTAAATGTTGGTAAGACCACAGCAGGCCCCTCAGAGAAAGCCACCAACTCAGCAGCTGCCCAGTTGGCCATCCAAGACGCAGCGAGAGACAGACGTGCAAAAACGACTACTTCAACTGGAAGAGGAAATCAGGCAACTGAAGGCCCACGGGACTAACGATGTCTCTGCTCAAAACCCGATCGGCGAACAAGCCGTGGGCTTGATCTCGGAGTAAGTAGTTGCAGCCTAGCCATGGCTCACTACATGGCCTCACCACACGGTGCTGACCGGAGCATCAGCCAAGTAATGACGGTCGATGACGAGGGCTTCTCACCTGAGAGTATCATCTTTCGTGGCGACCCACCTCCATATACACAAGAGTTCGCGACCGAAAGGGCCAGTATTGATGACGAATGTCAAGGCCAGAGCCTGCTCTATGGCTCTTTGGCCATGCAGATCCGCGAACTGAGAGATTCAATACCGGAGTGGGAGCTGACCCGAAAGGCGCGGGCCTGCTTTCCCGTCGACCTGGAGACGTGCCTCGTCCCGAGCATGCGCCTCTTCCAACTCCTCGAAGTCTACTTTGTCGAATTCAACTTCTCCTTACCCGTCGTACATCGGACGGAGTTCACCCGACGGCTGAGAGCGCTGTTCGCCACCCATTACAACAAGCGCACCGCTCGCTTAAGCATCAAGGACGCAAAGCCGGAAGAGATCACTCTTTTGGCTTTGACGTGCATGATGCTCGCCAAGGCAGAGCACTTGACGTTCAATCCCCTGGCGAACACGAACAGCCGCCGCTACGACCAAGGCTGGTTTGTGGAGAGCAAGAGAATCATGGCCCAGTACTACCGGACCAGACCTGTCAATTTCGACTTGGTGCGACTTCGGCTCGTTGAGTCCTTCTACATGGTCGCCATCGAACGCGTGGATCGCTTTTCGGTGTCCGTGATCGATGCTGTCAACGAAGCACTCACGGCCGGCTTGAACAACCAGAAGACTTGGGCCGGGTGCTCGGCGGATGAGTCCAGTTCGAATCGTGCGCTTTGGTGGGTGCTCTATCTCATGGACCGTCAAGCCGCCCAGCGCTACGGGCGGTCGTATTTGATCCACGACACGGACTTCATGGTTGATGATTTTTCCGAGGAGTGTCGACAGGTGCTGAGCACCGATCGGTCCATCCCCATCCCATTTCTCTATTGCGAAGCCCCCGACCGCACATCGAGCAGCAACGCCAAAAAGGAGCCACAGCCTGCATATATCAGTCAGTACGAATGGTTCTCCTATCTCCAGTTCTTGGCCACCATTGGTCGCTTGACGGCCCGGGCTTGCGACTCATTCTACTGCCTTCGGCCGCCTAAGGCTGGTGACTACGAAGAGACTACCATCATTGATGCGCTTTTGTTGCGGGCGAGTAGATCCATGTGCCCAACTCTGGTCTGGCAAAGCGACTCTGCTCCGGAACTAAGCAATCTGGGACAGCCGGCAGCCAAGCAGGTCATGGGTCTGAGACTCCTTGTCTACTTAGTAAGTCTTCTTCTCTCCTCCCTACTTTCGTTCGGCCCCTTGAGTGATCCTGATTAACTTGAAACACAACAGAGGATCAATAACCTCCGCCTGTCGATAAGACGGCATCTGTGGAAAGACAGGAAGCTGGACCTAACCAACGCCAGCCGGGACCGCCACAGTGAGTTCATTTTTGAGGTCCATGTCTGCCGCCAGATCGCCAGCGACATCATCACGGCATTGATGGACCACAATTCGCAGAATCAATCGCGCCCGCCCATCACTCCGTTCTCGGCCATATCCGTCATCGAATGCATCTACAACCTCGTGGCGCTGCCCAAAGTCTCATCACTGGTGAACGACAACCACTGCGAGTTCATCACCGAAAAGGTCAAGAAGGGCGTCCAATGTCTGGAGAAGCTCGCCCAACTACGCGACACGGTGGCGCAGACGGCCTACCACGTTTTGAAGGGCTTCCTGCAACCTGGCATCTGTGTGCTCCATCGCTCACACGAGAGAGGGAGCAATTGCACCATCCTGGTAAGTGTGATCCTTTGCCCCCTATACAGCCCGTCCCCAGCTGACCTGGAGCGACGACAGACTCCCAAGCAAAGCGCCCTGCCCATCTTCAATCCCAGTGCTGACGAGCTCTCGAATCTCTTTCCGTTGACAGACGACAGTTTCAAGTTCACGGAACCAGGCTCCTACGTGGGTCTGGATTTTGACAATGTCTATGACTCGATCGGTGATACGGAAATGCTCAACGGCTGGTCGACCGGGACTTTTGAATAAAGTATCCCCCCTCTTGTTTCATCAGCGCGTCATACTCGCTGAAGGTCGTTCCCTAAGTAAGACGACGCGCTCACAGGTTGAGGCCTTTGGACGGACAAAAGATCCCGGTAGAAGAGGCTTTCAACGGTCTCCAGAAAGACCAGAGTCTGTCATATGTCGATCACTTACCCCTTCCGACACGTACCTGAACTTATCTATATATTACTTTCGGTGTTGAAGTTGTCTGGATAATGCTTATTAAATTGACCCGGGTTATGGATATGGACTCTTCTCCCTTCCTGCAAGGTTGTTCTTGCTTCGGTCACAATTTGCTGTTCTCTGCCTTCGCAAACGTGCCTTCTTCGACGACATAGTCCTTGCCTTTCTCATAGCCGAGCCACTCTCGAAGCACGTTTTCGCCACCGACCCCGACTGCCAATGCCTCGTCGTTCCAGCCGGCCTGCCCGATTTCGAAGCCGGGGCTCTCGGTCAAGTGAGCAGGGAGTTGGTGCTCGTATCCCTTGGCGACCAACTCATCGTAGGAGACGATCGGGGTACAGCATGCGTCGGTCTCGTAGAAGATGGCTTCCCATTCCGCACGAGTCTTGCTGCGAAAGCGGGCCTGAAGCACGGCCTTCATCTTGGGCCACACTCGAGGATCCTCTCGCTTGCCACCCCAGTCCTGGTCCGAAAGGCCGATGCCTTTGCAGAAGGCTTTCCAAAACGGCGGCTCCAGTGCGGCCAGTGCCATGTACGTCCCGTCATCTTTGCATTCATACACGTTGTAGTAAGGACAGCCGCCGTCGACAAGATTCTGTCCGCGCGGCTTATCCCACTGCCCTGGAAGGTGCCGGGATAACCGAGGCATTGTCGCGAGGTACGAAGCACCGTCGACCATGTTCGTCTCGACGACCTGGCCCTTGCCGGTCCGTGCTCGATATTGGAGTGCCAGAAGGATTCCCACCACACACATCAGCCCCCCACCAGCGAAATCCCCCAATAGGTTTGCCGGCGGGCTCGGTGGATGGGGGCGGCCCTCGGGGAATACGGGAGCAGATGGGCCCAGGGTTGACAACAGGCCCGACACGGCCAGGTAGTTGATGTCGTGTCCTGCCATGGTGGAATACTCCCCACGCCGTCGAAAGCCAGTCAATCGAGCAACGATGAGTCGAGGATTCTGTTGGATCAAGAACTCAGGCCTCAACCCCATCCGCTCCAAGACGCCAGGACGGTAAGGGTCGAGCAAGACGTCGCTGTTTGCCAGCAGATCAAGGAGCAGCTTTTTGCCTCGTGGCGCTTTCAGGTCCAGCGCCATTGAAGACTTGTGGCGAACGAGATTATCAGGGCTGGCCGCATTGGTCGGCCCTGCGCGGTCGACACGCAACACGCTCGCCCCGTAGTCGGCAAGCATCATACCGGCGAAGGGAGTCGTGGCAAGACCTGCCAATTCGACAACCCGGATTCCCTGGAGCGCCTGCATTTTGTCCAGAGAGTAGCTCATAACCTGGGAGGATGGTGACTGAACTTTTCAGGTCTCGGTATATGCTTTAGTAAGAGATGGACCATGGCTCTTTGCACACAATCTAACGGAAAGCGGTTTACGTTCTAGGATGTCGATGTAGCTCCAATCGAGTGAAAGTTCGCGGCAGCAAACCGAGCTTGCGCAGTTGCGCATACTGGTCTTTCCTCAGGCTTAACACGTCTCCTGGACCGGTTTACTCGTGGAATTGGCTATGCGGTGAGCCTCGTTCCGACAAACAATCCATTGCCGTCTTCAATTCTCACTCAGCTTTGGGGTTCAGAGCTTTGTGATCACTTGAAACCTTCCCACTCAACTGGTCCACCATGACCGTAAAATTACCGGCTGGCGTTGAAACATACGGTATTCCGGGGGAGCTCCGCGATTCCGTGACAAGACCCACCCAAATGACGCCTCAGACCCGCTTCCGTACAGTGATTGTCTCAAAGCAGCAGATGCCAAGGATTACAGGTACCGACGAGGCTGGCGAGGCTCTTCACTATAGGGGTGACTACCACCAGACCCAAGCCGGGTACGAAGCCAATAACTCTACGCTTTCTTCGCTGGTGAGCTGCATGACGACCCGATTCACACAAGACTGCTCTTGCTCCCCTCCATAGGTGTCCCGCTTGGCGAATTGATTGGTACACGAGGCCGAATGAAAACATGTCTGAAGGTGTGACAGAAGTCTGGGCCTCTGGGGACGACAAGAAGTGAAGACGCCCCGCCAGCAGGGGGCAGATCTAGCAAAATCATAACTTTGTTGTTCTGACAAAAGGGCCTCCGATCATCTTCCTCCATCGATCGTCGAGGGTTTGCTTTTCGCGTAGGGGCCTAGACAGCCATGTTCGTCTATGCTCTGCCTCGTCCTTTCTCCAGAGCTGCCACTCCTTACTTATCCAATCGCCAGTATGTTTCGCCGTCTTACCCGTGGCCTCCATGGGAAGGAGGTGCCCATGTTCCTCGAGAAGGACGCTGCAGACACGTCCAAGAGGTGCTCCTCCGCTACCACCAACGCCGACTCCAGTGAGGTCGATCTTGATCTTGCAGGAATCCGGAGGACAGACTTCCGACTTCCCGCCAAAGATATAGAGGACACTCGGTCTCAATTCCGGGAGTCTGAAGAATGCTTGGGCTGCTTCAGCGCGATAGAAAGGGAAGATCAAAGGGAGAGTAGGGTTGAGGTCTGCGTGAGTCTTGCGGCTGACCGGTTTGCCGTTGATGCCGTACCCTTCGTAATTGGGACGCACGAACGTGAAGACCTCCTGGTGTATAGACGTCGTCAACGTCACAGGACGTTTTCCTTCTTGGGCGAGATTCTTCTCCGTCGAATCTAGGAGTGCCGGCACATCGCGGAGGCCATACTCAATCCAGCGCTCCAGCACCCGGGGATCCCATTGTTGATAGAATCTACTCGCCTTAAACCCCTTTGCGGCATCTTCTCGAGACGACCAGAGATCTCTTCGAAATGTCGAAAGGCGGGCGGGACTGGGGCCTTGATCGGGAGAAATAACAGAAAGTGTTTGGATGACAGGATCGATGAGAATGAGAGTAGTAAAGAGCCGTGGATGTAGGTACGCTAGGTTCACGCTTTTTACCTATGTTAGCTATATCCCGAGTCGTGAAAAGTCTGGGTTTTGGCCCATACATATGACATCCTCCCATAGAGTGGCCGATGCCTATGAAGGGCCTCGGCATCTCGTCGCGCATCAGGTTGATGAGATGAAGTAGATCCCGCGGATGGTCATTCCAGTTGGGATCGTTCCCAAGCAGCTCCTGGTTCATGATACCGCTTTGACCCTGCTGCGCAACGTCTGCCATCCAGATTCCTCGTATCCGGAAACCTTGTTGCACCGCCTGCGCGTGAAGATCATCCCATAACGGCTCGTACAACTCTTTTGGAAACCCATTGGCATGTGCCGCAATGATTGTTATATCGCCAGGCTGAGGAACGAGGTTGTCCTTGGGGACATACTGCTTAACGGCTAGATGTAATACATCCTCTTGCGTGGCGCTCACAGCTTTGGGATATTCACGGATGTGTTGACATGGTATCTTATGCTCAGTGATATTGTAAAGTGACATTGTGTCCACCGGTCACAGGTGCCAGCTTGTGCCAGTCGTGGCCTGGAGTCTTCTTCGCGAGCAGATAATAGCATAGTGAAATAAGACAGACCACAGTCTCTGCACAGGATCACAGTAGATCCACTTAGGGCCAGCCACGAAGGGGCACCAGTCATGAGCTATTAGGAGATTGAACACTAGGTTCCGAGCGCGCCGGGCGCTTGATGGGTGAAAAAGGTCCGGAACCTCAATCCTGACCAAGCCGAGGAACCAGTCAAGAGCTTTCCATTGTGAAGGAAGTCGGCCCTCGAAAACCTACCATACAGCCATTCACGCCGGGTGCCAATCCTACCCCGAGGTCATCGAAGGTATGTCCGCTTTGAAGCATCGCCTCACAGATGCCCTGCTATGTTCTCTGTGCCAACTCCGGCTGTCACCCAGATGTTAGCCGCATCCCTCACCATTATAAGCTACTCGGGACGAACTCGCCACATACAAATTTGGCAGGCTATCGGAGATTGACTCAAGCTCGCATCAAATACATGCCCTGTAAGGTACCGTGCCAGCCATCTGATCACAATGGCTCAAACAGTCGATTCCATCCTCGACGTGGAGACGATTTTGTCCCTTGCAATCATCGATCCAGAGCTCGAAAGCGTATGTTTGAAGAGGCCTTAGGAAATCGTTACCGCTACTCATCCCATACTATAGTTCATCCAAGACAACCCATTGCCTCCAGAGGACCACGATCTCCTGTCATATAAGAGGGCTGCTCTCCAACGCCATGCTGCCTCTCTTGCGGCACTGGGTCCGGCACCGGCTGAAGTTGCTCAGAGCGAGATACAGTACCCAGCAAGAGATGGAACCATGATCAGAGCTAAGCTGTTCCAGCCCAAGGTGCCCTCCAAAGACGGAAGCCCTCTGATCGTCTTCTTCCACAGTGGAGGCTTCTGTGTTGGATCCCCTGAAGGCGAAGAACTGAGTTGTCGAAATTTCGTCCAGGCATTTGGCGCCGTCGCGGTTTCGGTCTCTTATCGTCTGGCCCCCGAATTCACTTTCCCCCACGCTATCAACGATGGCTGGGATGCACTCAAGTGGATTACAGAGAATGCAACGTCCCTCGGCGCCAACCCATCACTCGGCTTCGTGGTCGGCGGCACCTCTGCCGGTGGCAGCATCGCAGCGACTCTCGCACACCTCGCTCGAGACGAAGGTTTGGCTTTCCCACTGACCGGCCAGTACCTCGCCATGCCGATGGTTTCTCCTGCGACGGCGGTACCGGCACAGTATGAAAAGTTCTATCTCTCTCAGAAGCAAAACCGAAACGCGCCGGTTCTATCGGGACCGACACTGGAGATGTTTATCAACGGGTACCAGCCTGACGAGAACGACGCTGTCCTGTACTCGATACTCAAGCACCCCAGGGGTCACAAAGGACTGCCTCCTGCAGTTTTCCACATCGACGGGCTAGATCCACTGAGAGACGAAGCGATCATTTACGAACATATCTTGAGCCACGAGGCCGGATGCAAGACAAAGAGGTATCTCTACCCCGGACTGCCACATGCGCATTTCCTGTTCTTCCCCTTCTTGGAGGCCAGCAAGAAGTTCAGGATCGAACAGATCGAAGGCATGGGCTGGTTGCTAGATAGAAAGCCAGACTTTACCACGGTAGTTATAGACCCAAAGGCTGGCCCAACTCCATGAAATGGAGCCAGATTCACGAATCCAGACAGATTATCATGTTCAGTGAGTTCGTTGATGTGAAGTTTTCGTCGACAAGGTCTACAGAATACTTTCTATGGGCAATTTTAAATACAACATCAAGTGTCCTCGTCACCGCACATGGCCGAGTGTGTCACTGACTCCCCTCAGCCGGCGAGCCACCATTGCACGCACCCCTGCCGATTCTGTGCTTCGTCATTCCGCTTTCGTGTTTCCGAGATTTATCAGTGATCGTGATTGCCGTTGATCACTACGCCGTTCACAGTCTGGTGCTGGGCTCCGTTCACGACGCCTTGAGAGGCAAGAATCTCGGCCAGGTTGTGTCTGCGTCGGATGTGAGCCGATGCATCAGCCGGTCCCAGGAACCATCTATTTGGGGAGTACAGATCAGCAGGAGTTAAAATAAACACACGCAGTGCGTGTTGGCGGTGCCACATAGAAAGGCACGGAGAGGACTCACGTAAGATCGATATCAGTCTCTTCGCCTTTCAGCTTCGCGAGGTGGCGCTTCGTTTCCCCCCGGGTAAATCCACTGGCCAACCAGGCAAATCTCATCTCCGGCCGCTGTGAGAGACTCTTCCAGTCAAAATCTTCGTACCTGTGGCTCTGGAGGAGTTCGAAGTAATGCAGTCGAGATCCCGGGTGCAGGGAGACCAGCGGGCCGTCCTTCTTGCCGTTCTTGTACGTGCTGACGCACGGCGTGTTCCACGCGGTCTTGGTGAGCCACGCGAAACAGTGCTGTTGCCACGCATCAACCACCTCGCGCTTGGGACAGACGGACCCGTAGTTCTCGGTCTGCATTTTGCGGACCAGGTCCGCAATGTAGTCGGTGATGATGTCGATCGAAGAGACCAGGCTCCCGTGGCCGATGGCGCTCGCGGGGCCGTTGTAGACGAAGTAGTTTGGCATATCGGTGGTCGTCACCGAGAGGTAGGCCTTTGGGTTTTCCTTCCACTCTTCCTGGAGGTCGACGTTGTTTCGACCTAGCACCGGAAATCGAGGGGCAAACCCGACATTGAAGCCGGTCGCGCAAATGATCGAATCCACCTTCACCTCTTTGCCGGATGCAGAGCGCAAGCCGTCCTTGGTGAAGGAGTCGATCTCGCCCCAGACCACTTCCACTTTGTCCGAGGCCAGGGCTTCGAGGTAGCCAATCCCGGGCGTTGCGCGCCGGCACCTGTCCCAGGTCAGCTTGATATAGCGAGGGTATTGGCTTCTGAAGCTTACCCAACGGCGAACTCTGGGAGAAGCAGTTTTATCAACTCGGGTTTCTTTGCGAGCTTTGTCGTCATCTGTTTGGTGGCAAAGTCTTTGGCGACCTGCTGTTCCGCACTGTGCTTCATGTAAATACGGAAGCTGTTGTTCAGCTCAGCCTCTACACCCTTTCGATACTCGTAGTACTTGTCGAGGTTATTGGCCCAATATTCTTTCTGTTCCTCGGTGAAGATGATGTTGGTGCCGTCGGGCCCGGCATATTTGGACGCGAATCCTGCTGTGACCCAGGTCGGGTTGCGAATGAACACATAGACCTTTTGGGCCTCATCCAAGATGGCTGGGAGTATCTGTATACCACTGCTTCCGTTCCCAATGAGAGCCACGGTCTCACCTTCGAAGGACTGGTGCTCTTTGGGCCAGGCGGCCGAGTGGAGGATACGACCCTGATATGACTCTCTGTTTGGAACGGCGGGCCACTTCCAGTCGTTGACGAAGCCGGTGGCGTTGATGAACACATCACACTCGTCTTCGAACGTGGACAATGTGACGCCTCCATTGCCAGCCTGGTCGGAGTGCGTCGATGGGAGTTCTTCTGTGCCGAGACGCTGTACGGTCACGGTCCACTTGCAGCGCTGCTCGTCCCATCTCGCACCAACGACCTTGTGACAGGTGTGGATGTACTTTCGAAGATCGAATTGGTCCGCCACGTCATTGAGATACCGACAGATCTCAGCACTCGACGCATAGTAGCTTGAGAAGTACGGATATGGAGCCCAGGCAAATTGATAGTTGTGCACCGGAATGTCACATGCACAGCTGGCGAAGGGAGTTCAGTCAGCTCAATTACCTTACATGAAGCTGCGAGGGAACAAAGCACCACAGTACTTACCCAGGATATCGGTTCTCGTACCAGGTCCCTCCGATCCCAGCGTCTTTCTCATAGATCGTGAGGTCCACGTTTTGAAGGATCTCGCCCTGGTTTACTTCGTGGGCAAAGGATATACCACTCAGACCACAACCAGAAATGATGACTTTGAGGCGGCGAGGCGTCCGAAGCGGGATTTGGGACATATAATAGGCCAGGTTGTCCTTGTCCTTGTAGGAGTCCGTCACGGCGACGGGGTCTGGCGCGATTGGAGCCAGGCTCTGAAAGAAAGCTGTTGCTTCGGCCGCTGCCATTGTCATACAGGAGGGTTTTAGGTATCTCGTTCTGGGAGTTTGGAATTTGGAATTTGAGGTTCTGCCAATTCTAGCTTCTTCAACCGAGCAATATGTAGAGGCGATAGATATCGCTCCAAGTAGAGAAGCTCACTATAGGTCAACCTCACGAACTGTCGCGAACAATTCTGACTGGTGGAACCCGGTCTGTATCATGTTCCCGCTTCCGTTCAAGTGACTCCACAACTTTCCCCGGAATCGTCCCCCGCCTGAAACATATACTGTGAATGCCTTCTGGCCCTCACGGGAACAGACATTGGTGATCCAGGCTCATGGAGCCTCGTCTTTTCCGAGGGATCGGTGTAGCCCGTCCTGGGCTGGTCTTCCGGCCGTTCACAACCGAGACCCTCTTCAGCGGTCCATTGCCGGCCATTCATTCCTATGAGCACGAAGATTGAAGAATCGAAAAGTCGTTCGATGTTTGAGGAATGTTGCACAGGCTACAGTGACAACCATGTCTCAATTATTCACTCTCCCATTGACTTCCAAGCCCGGTTCAGTTGCAACCCCGGGCGCAGTGGTCGTGACCACACCTTCTCCGAGTGTCTACCTTGTCACCTTCCAGTCTGAACCAGATAACCGGCTGACTCCGGCTCTCAACAGCACTCTTCGCCTGTCTCTTCTGATAATCCGCCAGAGGTACCCAAAGGGCGTGGTGATCATCACGTCAGCAATCGCCAAGTTCTTCTCCAATGGCCTGGACTATGAGTCTGCCATGGCCGATCCCACCTTCTTCCAGTCGAGTCTGTACCCTCTCTGGCACACAATCCTCACGTACCCAATGCCGGTCGTTGCTTTGATGAATGGGCATGCCTTCGCAGGCGGTCTCCTCCTGGCTCTCTCTTGCGACTATCGGATCATGAACCCACATAGAGGGTTGACATGCTTGAACGAACTGGATCTAGGGGCCGAGCTCCGGCCGGGAATTTCTGTCCTCCTACAACAAAAATTGACAAGTAACAAACTGCTCCGAGAGGTTGTGCTGGAATCAAAGCGTTACACTGGTGCCCAAGCCCTTGAAGCGGGGCTCGTTGATGGCCTTGGAGGCCTGGACGAGGTTCTGGCCTTCATCGAGAAGAAACAGCTCCTGAAAAAGGCGGCGAGTCCGGTGTACGGGTCAATCAAGGAGGCTACCTTTTATAGGGAAACAGTCTTGACCTTGGAACGTGAGGATGCAGACATGGTGGCACACAATGCACGTAAAGAGTATCTGAAGAAACAGTCAGAGGCTGAGGAGCAGGAGGTAAATCAGCTTCATATTTCTCAGAAGGCAAAGCTATAGGTCTCAGTCGCCTCAATGCACTTGATATCACATTCGGAGTAGTTTTCTTAACCGGGACGCATCACTTTTGTTTTATTCTGTCAGAGTTGACTCGAATCATGGTTCGACGCATGTGATGTGCGCGCCAGATTACGCATAATATCAAAACTTGCATAGTTGTTCGACCTAGAAGCATCCGCCTTGGACTACTAGATTAAAGATTTCACATATCGAGAGCGACCATACAAGTCCGGAAAATTACAGTTCCAATGGCGGAAGCGGGACTCCCGGGGAGGAGGGGGGGAGGCATTTATCTGCTCCTAGTAGTCAAGCGATTCCTATCAAGGCGCGAGTCGCCTCAGTGGCCGATCTCACAAAAACATCATCTTACTCTCTCAGGTGGTGCAGATATGTTCTCCGTCCAACGATAGTCGTGGTTCTATCCGCACCTCAGAGATCTACCTCATGATGGAAGAGGTCGAGGCCATAGTAAGCTATCCTCCTACCAGTGGACCAGACTGGCGTCTCGAAAGGATCAAATTCTCTCGTCCGTTGCAATCTCACGAGCTCAGAGTTCGGATGGTGGCCACTGGGATCTGTCACACGGACATTGCATTATCATCTCTCCCGCCCGGGATGATGGGGGTCGAGTATCCGAAAATCCTCGGCCACGAAGGCGCCGGGTTCGTGGAGGAGGTCGGCTCTGACGTGAAGGCAGCCAGACCCGGGGATCCTGTCCTCCTATCCTTCAACTACTGCGGTGACTGCGAACTGTGCAAAGAACAAAGGCAGCCGTACTGCTTGAGCTTTGACCGGCTCAATCGAATCGGGGACAACAGTGTGTACCAATCGTCGACCGGCGAGGCGATTTACGGCAAATTCTTCGGACAGTCGAGCTTCGCCGCCGCGGCTGTGGTTCAGGAAGCCTCTGTCGTGAATGTGAGAGGACTGGTGTCGAACAGAGACGACCTTAAGCTGTTGGCACCTCTCGGATGTGGGCTCATGACGGGTGCGGGAGCCGTGTTGAACTCGGCCGCACCCACACAACATGACATAGTCCTGGTCACCGGGCTCGGGGCAGTCGGCATGGGTGCGATCATGGCAGCGAAGGTGCTCGGCTGCCGGGAAATCATCGCTGTCGACATCGTGGCCGAACGTTTGGAAGTCGCCAAGGACCTTGGAGCGACACAAGTTGTCGAGAGCACTGGCTCTCCCTCTCAAATGGTCGAAGCCGTGCGTCGAAGCGTGCAGGATCGAAGAATCAGCTACGTGGTAGAAACAACTGGCATGTCATCGGTCATTGGATGGGCCTTGCAGGCACTGGGACGTCCTGGAAAGCTCATTCTCGTTGGACTCCCCCGGCCGGGCACAGAACTTGGACTTCAGCTCTCAGACTTTTTCGATATGCGAACGACCATTGAAACCCACTTGTTGGGTCACAGCACCAGTCAATCACTGATTCCGACCCTGTTGCAATGGTGGAAAGACGGCAAATTTCCCGTGCAGAGGATCGTGCGCTTCTTTCCGGCAAGTGGCGTGACGGAGGCAATCCAAGAAACCAAAAGGGGCAATGTCATCAAGGCTGTCGTTGTTTGGTAGCCCTCGTAGGCGAGCATTGCGACGCGGCGTCTAGAGTACAATCTACTCAGCTTCGTAGAACAACTGTATCGTTCGTTTCTAGCTTCGGTAGTGGAAAATGGCACTAAAGATCAAAGGTGATAGAGCGTTAAGCAAAAAATGGTTAGAACATGATATCTCAGTATCATGTTCGGTATTGCGGTCGTCAGTCCTTCATTGTACCCATTCGTACATTGTATACACCAACATTTACTTAAACCCAGTTCCAGTAATCTCGCCGTGTGAAGGAAACCAGATATGTCCTGATATGAGGTTTGCATGCTGCGGCCTTGCAGAGGGAATTAAGCTCTGAACAACCAGAATTCTAGGTCTCGAAGGAATTGGATATATTCATTGACTTGATACCTGTTGAACAAGAGCAAGCCCTGGTTTCTCCTCCGTGCTCGAGCAGCTTCAAGGCAAGTCTCCATTGCTATGTAATTCTTTGAACGGTTGCCGCGTTAGGTCTCTCCCCCGTCATTGTGCCGTGAATCCACCGTCAACCATCAACGTGGAGCCGGTGATATACGAACTCCTCCCGCCACAGAGGAAAACGATAGAGTCGGCCACCTCCTGTGCCCGTGCGAGGCGTTGCAGAGGTACCTTTTGCTCCGCGCTCCTTCGAGCGACCTCGGCGAGGGTCTGATCTTTGGTCACCATCGGGGTGTCGACATATCCCGGGCACACGGCGTTGATGCGCAGCCCCGAGCCGGCATAGTCGACCGCCGCTGTCCGCGTCAGGCCTATGACCCCGTGTTTGGACGCCGTGTACGCCGTGGACAAGGCGACTCCGACCACCCCACATATTGAACCGATATTCACGATTGAGCCACGCTGAAGAGGGCGACCGTCCCTATTGGGGGATGGACAGTGTTAGCTGCAAAATGAGAAACTCTCGTCCCTTCCATCACGCGCTCCATAGACCACACAGGAGAACCATGCGACTTACCTGGACGACCGGGTCCAGTCTTGCTGCAGCATGATCTTGGCCGCTGCTCGCAGCGCATAGAACGTGCCGTTGAGATTGATGTCGACCACCCGGCTCCAATCCTCTGAGGCTGCCTCTGCCGCTCCTCCTGGGTGCTTGAACGCGACGCCTGCACAGTTGATGAGATAGTCGAGACGCCCGAATTCTTGAGCGACGTTGTTGATCGCCGTCGTCACGTCACTCTCATTGCGGACGTCGACGGTAGCTCGGTAGACTCTTATAGGAGTGCCGCATGCAGCGGCGGCGGCTTCGACCTCGACACCCACAGCGTCGAGAGCCTTTTGATCCAGGTCCAGCAGGGCTATCCCTGTGGCGCCCTCTCGGGCCAACGTCAACGCGGTTGCTCTCCCTATGCCTGACCCGGCCCCAGTGATCACTGCATAACCTGCGACATCCATTCCAATTGTGCCATGGGGAGAACCTTGCAGGTGCTGTGCAATTTGGTTGGCGCGTTGCTGGCGCGTATTGGAGCCCAGTGACGGCATTGAGCTTGTGAGCGTGGCTACTGGCCTTCTCCTGATAATTGTAGATCATGACTTTCGGCCACTGTATCCAAACCGCAAACCCTTTAGACAGCTGGGTTTTTCACGTGAAGAGGTCAACGCGTGATCCTTGCTACAAGCCTGCCGTGTAAGTTCCGAACGGAATCTGGGTGACGATCGTATTTGGTTTCGGAACCGCTTTGCTGAGCAGACCTGCCGTGTTTCCGAAACACCTCGGGAATGAATTGTGCACCTTTCAAAATGAAACTACCGCGGTCGCGCATAGCCCAAGAGGACGGACCTCGCGATACAAAGACAAGGACGTTCTTTGCTTCTCATGGGGAAGTCAGAATACGGTGGCAGTTCTTGGGCTAAATTGCTTGAGCGATATCAACAAACGCCCAACTGCATGGTTCTCTCACCATCACTCGTTTATCTACTCTACTCCTTCTAGAAAGGCTCTGTGGCTTCTGTCCCAGGAATTATTTGACAAATCACAAACTCTTTGGGCGGATCAGCCAGTGCAAAAGGATGGCTCGGTCTACGACGCACGACAGAGGGCATGTCTCAGCCGGCACACCTTTCAAGATCACTGAGCAGACGCCGACCCTCTTTCGCCCATTGACGATCCGATCCGTGACGCTGCGAAACCGCATCTGGATCTCACCGATGTGCATGTACAGTTTAGACTCTTCAGGGCCAAACAAGGGGGTCATGACCGACATCTACCTCACGCTGGTGGGTCATTGTGTGTTCAAGGGTGCCGCGTTGGCCATGGTCGAAGCCACCGGGGTGCAACCCAACGGCCGTATCAGCCCAAACTGTCCAGGCCTCTGGAACGAGACGCAGCAGGCAGGACTGAAGCGGCTGGCCGATTTCATTCACTCGCAAGGCGGGCTCTGCGGCGTCCAACTGTCCCATGCGGGGCGAAAGGCCAGTACGCTCCCACCGCTCGACGCCGCACGGCTGGGGAAATCGAGTGCTAGGGCACCAGCCGAGAGGGATGGGTGGCCAGACGACGTAATAGCTCCGTCCGGGGGGGAGGAACTGTCATGGGACGGGAAAAAAGCCTCGGACCCTTCTGGTGGGTATCATACTCCGCGAGAGATGAGCCTGGATGATGTGCGAGATCTGGTCACAAACTACCACAAGGCCGCCAAACGAGCCGTGGCCGCTGGGGTGGATGTGGTCGAGATCCACGCCGCGCACGGGTATCTGATCCATCAATTCCTCAGCCCCCTCTCCAACCACCGGAGCGACCGCTACGGGGGAAGCTTCGAGAACCGGGTACGGCTGCTGATTGAAGTCATCGAAGCCGTCAGGGCGGCCATCCCGTCCGGCATGCCGCTCGCGGTCCGAATCAGCGCCACCGACTGGATGGAGCACACGCAGCTCGGGCAGCGGTTGGGCAGCTGGGACGAGGCGAGCACCCTCTGTCTGGCGAGACTGTTGCCCGACCTCGGCGTGGACTTTCTCGACGTCAGCACCGGCGGCAACCATCCAAGTGCGCTCTACAACGTGTTCGACGCCGGGGAGAGGAACGCGGCAATTGCGTCGCGGATCAAGAAAGCGTTGCGGTCTGAAGGCGAGAACCGGCTCTTCATCGGCACTGTGGGCATGATCGTCAACGCCAGACAGGCGCGCAGGCTGGTCCAGGGCGACGACTCGGCGGGCACGCCGGGGGTGGATGTCATCTCCGTGGGCCGCCAGTTCCTGCGAGAACCGGACTGGGTGCTGAAGGTGGCAGACGAACTTGGTGTCGATGTCGCATGGCCGATACAGCTGGAACGCCTCCGGACTCGCCCTGTAGCTCCACGTATCTGAGAGAAAAGCGTTGTCATCTACTAGGTTCAGCTACTGATAGGATTGTAAACCATCGACGCCCGACGGCATCGGGTTTCTAGCTTCGTACGTGGCTTTTCGAGCCTTCCGAAAGTCATCACATATCAACTTGTATGCGTTTTGAGTCCTTTGGCAGCCAAGATGACCGAATTGCACGTCTTACCCCTCTGCGGCATACCTGTGACACCGGAATACGGATACGCCGGAAAGCAGATTAGCGTACCGATCATCGCAACGGCTTCTGCTAGATCTTCTCCCACGTGTCATGAATGGAACTTTGTGGACGCTAGAGATGTTTGTTGCGGTGTGCCAGCTGCGAGACTCCGGGAACGTGTTTCATTTTCGTGGGTCCAAGTACAGCGCGCTATACCGCGAACCCTACGTGGTTTGGCCACGAGTGTTTGACCATTCGCAACCGTCCTATCTTCTTCTTACAGTCAATTTCACATTGAGTTCCGGCTTCTCCCACAGCAGGAAACTAGATTGATCCGACCAATTCTGACTATCATCGCATAATTCCATGTCGAAATGCCAAATCATTTTGGCCAGCGTGGTTTTCAGCTCCAGATTCGCCAGGCTAACTCGCGTGTCAGCATATTTACGTGGTGGAAGATTGCTTTAAAGGCAAGAAAGTCCCGACATTCACACTTACTTTTTGCCGATGCAGTTGCGCGGACCCATGGAGAAGGGCTGCAGAATTTCTCGTCGGTCGTTCTCAAACCTGGGATCACCAAGCCAGCGTTCTGGGATGAACTTTTGTGGTAGATAGAAGTTTCGCGAGTTGGTGAAGGCTGTCAAGTGACTGACAGAAACGATGGTCTGAGAAAAGGTCAACCTTCCATCCAATCCAGAGAGGGACATCGCAGAAGGGTCAAGACCTACATCTCCTGGGACAAACTGGCCATCAATGGTCTCCCCCGACAGGGGGGTCCGTCTCGGCAGCATGGCCGGCACTGGGGGATAGATCCGCAAAGCCTCATTGATGACAGCCTGCAGGTATTTGAGTTGGCCCAGTGAGATCGAGCCCATCTCGTCCTCAGTCTGGAAGGCTTGGTCGATCTCGTCTTGTAGCTTTTTCAGACACTGGGGATTCTTCAGAAGGTGGTAGGTCATGCCGGCCAACACGGTGGCCGTCGTCTCGCTGCCTGCAAGAACTAACACGTTGGCGGTGGCCCGCAACTCGTCAATACTCATAGCCCTGTCACTCGTTCCCGACGAGTCAATGGCTTTGGTCAAAAAATCCGACTCTCGCATGACTTTGTTCTCGATCCGCCGATCCATTTTCTCCTTGGACAGCTGGAAATGCCTCTTTCTCTTCTCGATGAAGGACTGTGGTACAAATAGCCGCAGAAAGTTCTTGAACAGGGGAAAATAGCGCGTTGCCTGGATGAACGTGATACCCTTCATGCCAGAAAACAACAGGTCGACCCACGGGTGCAGAGTGGACGTCTTCAGGCAATCGAAAGGCTCCCCAAAGGCAAGATCCCCAATCAGATCGAAGGTGGTGAAGTTGTACCAGTTGGTGAGATTTGCAACCCCGCCGCCCGACTGATTCTCGGCAATGGCGGCAAGCTTGGAGATCATCATGTTCGTGTAGCCCTGGATAAGCGGCTCCTGTTGACGCAGGCTCTTCTCGGAGAAGGAATGGGCCAGCAGCCTTCGGTGGCGGGCGTGCTCCTCGTCATTGCTTCTGATGATGTCGGGCGCCTTGCTGAATTCCATCGTGTAGAAAATCCGGTCCTTCGGGAATTGTGGGTGACCTGGCCGTAGGGCATAAATGGTCTTAAAGGCAGAAGGGCTGATGTAGGAGAGCTCGCCAGGAGCGGTCCGCACCACATCGCCGTATTTTTCGTGGAGGTCCCGTAGATCTCGAGCCAAGGTCCCACGGAGCAGAGATCTCACAAAAGGGATTCGCGTTGCTGCAAACGATTTCGGACCAGGAAACTTTGCGAGTGGGTGAAAGTACAGATTGTATGTGATGTAGGCTATCAGCAAACATGGGACCTACTCGTTTTCGTTTGGTCAACAGATCTTCAAAGCTGAGGGAGAAAAATCTTACAATTCCTGCAAAGACAGCAACCCAGTTGTAAAAGGGTTGTAGAGAGAACTTGGCAGCCATTTTCATCAGACTCGGTCCAACTCGTCTTAAGCAGGGAGACCACAATGCCTTGGGAAAGGTGGGACGTGGTTGTTCTAGAGGCAACCTACTGTAATGTAGATGTCAAAGTATCAGAATTGGGGCAAGTAATCATTCCAACATGCCATTTGATTTCTACGTCCTAAGTATATGAGTTCAACTCCCCGGAGCATTCGGATACTTCGGTCATTCGGACATTTGGGAGTCTCAAAACCGAAATCCAAGCACGGAAATCTCATCTTTAGATAGGCGGGGGCAGCCTGGCTGCGGCATTCATTTGTTGGATAGAGTATATGCTATCACAATCGATTGGTCTGGTGGAATAATCCGTGGACAGTCTGACGGTTTCGGACCCCAAGGACGGGTGGAACTTCTTGCCTTTTCCGCTTCCGCAGCTCTCCCCTGAGCATCAAATTCAGATCTTTGGGCGATCGAACCTGCGGCATACGGCCACGCTAGAGCTCTTCCGATATGCAATGTGAGAAAATTTGTGTCGGGAAGAAAAACTTCGAACAAGTCCCCTGGGCTTCTTAGATGGTAGAGTCTAAAGTCATCATTCATCTTCACTCGGTGACCTTTGGAACCCATTGGCGGTTCTTGGTGAGCCCTACAGGAGAATTTTTGAGCAGCAACATCTCGGAGTGAATCATTACCAACATAATCGAGATTATACCCTCGACCACGAGTAGAAACCGATGACAGAAGGGGCGCAGTGCGGCTATTTGGACTGATACTCCTGACGGTTCAAACGTCTTCAGCATTCTTATCTAGCTCGAGCTCGACTTGAACTCTACATAGTCTAATGCTAGGCTCTCACAGTGATCTTTGACTAGACCAACGTTCGCCTTGAAGATATCTGTGATCATCATGTCCTTTTGCTTCTGGACGGTTTCCCAGCCGACTAGCAGATACACCCTTTTGACGCCTTGAGATTCTCCTTCGATGGGTCCGACCGATACCCCGTCAATATGCCCATCTGATTTCGAGAGCACGTTAACGCCGAATTGTGCAAGTGATTCGTTAAAATCTGGAAAAGGATTGTTGATCATGACGACTTCGGTGGCTGGTGATTTCAAGGCCGGCGACGGGTGAGGAGATCTGCGCGGTCAATGAGCATGGAGTTTCTTAGGTACAATGCATAAGCTATCTTACAGATGAGCTGTGTAAAACTCCGGCGGACCCTTGAGAAGAGACGTTATGCTCTGGAAGAAGGCTTGGGATCCCGTGAAGGAGCTGTGAGGACCACTCGAGTCGAATTCTAGGCGTTGAAAAGGACATCTAGTCAGTATATAGCCAAAAATGCAGAGATGATTGCCCTCCCTCGCTGTCAAGGTGGGATCAAACATCACAACATACCGACAACGAGCTGTAAAATGTCGGGATGCTTCACCTGGAAGCCCCAGTAATATTGTTGAAATTTTGGTTGGCGGGAGACAGCTAGCAGTGCATTGTGCCAGATCTTGCCCGGAGGCGTTGAAGGGTCAGATATTGTGGAACCTATACCGACAGGAAGAAATGCAAGCTCGGTCGTCATGGCGATTCTGGCTCTCTATTGAATTTCGTGTTCGGCTGATTGGCGATTGTGTCAAAATCACCAAAGTCCAAGAGCCTCGCTTATACTTCGAAGATATGGTTCTATTGCGAGATCACACTCTGTAAGGAAGCGAACAGTGCCTGCACAGACGGAGACCTCTGTATAGCACTATATCACATCGATGTTGTTGAAGATCACCATGATACTGTCCGTGTCCCGCTCGAGACCCACCCATAATTCCCACCACGGAAGCGGAATCGGATCCTCGACCCCAATCTTTCATCTACCACTTTGGGGGGACGAAAGTAACATGCCGCACTTAGGCCATGCGAGGTAGACATGGTAGAGTACAATCAAGCCAGGTCTCTGGGTAGCAAACCAGGAACAACTTGTGAGGGGGCGAATGGCTGGCAACCAATTTGACTGAAGTATCAAAGTAGGCTACCATTAGCGCCCGATGCTGGAAAAGCATCGAAGACCCTGCCCCGGGCACCGTTCTTGAATAAGCCACCAATATCGATACCAAGACATCTTTACACGCGGTACTTGGGTTGATGGCTCCTGCGTGTCTCAAGAAGGATTGAGATGTTGAACAAGCATCCGACTCGTCGTGCGAGCGTTGAGACCGTATCGATGATCATGCCAGAATCTAGTTAGAATATATATGTACAGCTGTATAAGCCTCAAAAACCAGGCCGTAATCAGAACTGATATTGCAACTCCTCCTGTCGCAGATTGCCAAAAGATCAACATTACGGACACAAATAAAGAATCAATATAGGAAGTTCCGACTCACTCTAGGCATGTCCTGCTTTCGTCAATCCTTCCCTCCTCTGCGCCCACTCCTTTAAAGCAACTAGTGCAAAACACCACGCCATCAAAACAGCCGTTATACCCATTGTGACGGTGGCCACTAGCATAGCGTTGAGATCATTCTCAATCATCGCATCGACCGTGTCTCTGTTCTGTATTCCTCGTCAGTATCAGCCGCCAGCCCGGGGGATGTAATAATGGATTCTTACGCTGGCCATGAGCATCAGACCTCCCGACATCAGACAGAATGACGTGACAAGCTCAGATGGAGGCCGGGATGGTGATCGAGATCGGGCTGGGGCAAGATAGAGCAGCAGGTACGTGAGACTTCTCGTTATCGATGCGGCTGTGAGGAAATTACCGAACTGCGAACCATCAGTCACCATGGCTGCAAGAAGCACAAGCGTATGGAGAGGCTACCCATTTGTGCATCATTGTAGACTCCACCGTGCTTTGATGGTGGCCACCGAGGATTGTGCCTAGTAGAAATATAATCATGGCAGGTACGGGGTTTGTCGAGTATCCGCGTATCAAATTCTGCTTTTCGTTCAAGGTGAGAGAGTCTTCCAGTATTTGGTTTTTTGACAATGCCCAGACATCCCGGGACTCAACCATCATGCCGCACTACAACGAAGTCAATATCTGGCGCGGCGGTCAAAGACAATGAAACGCACCAAACCACCGCCAATGAACAAGAGCGATATCGCGACATGTTCAAGATCCTGTGCCGTCCACGCCTCTCCCCAACCTGCGATGTGTTCGAGGAAAACATTGGTGATTCCATAAATGAAGATGAGCAAACATTCAAGTCCCTCCATGGTGACGGAGCGACCCCATTTCCGAGATGGGAAACCTGTCGAGGCTTTGAGATTCCACGCCCAGCCAAGCCCAGAAAAGCAGCCAATGCAGCGAAGCAAGGTTATGACACCGAAAAAGAAGAAAACGCCGCCTTTGATGAAATGGGCCAGGCCGTTGAAGATGTGGTCTCCATGCTAGACATTGTTAGCGGGCATACAAAACGTAGCCGGGAACTTCTCACAAATATTCCAGCCATAGTAACTATTCCAGTGCATAAAGAAACAAACGCTAGGATGATCATTGCCATGATGAAAAGGCTAGATGTGGATGCCACAGTAGGGACGAAGCGACTGGCTGAAATTAACTTAGACCAGCTTTTGACCCGCGAGGATAGTCGTTGATACCGTCCATCGATTGCGGCCTGGGCGTCGACTCTTATAGAATTTGTCCGATTTCTTCGATTCTCTCTCAGCGATGCCAGATAGGTCGGGTCTGTGGGATGTATTTGGTCCTCGGATTCTTGGAAAAGGCTGGAAGAAGAGACAAGCGGCTGCAGTTCGTGACTCGCATCGAAGTTGGCTTTATTGGAGTAGGACCGCGAGAAACTTCTCAAGATGCTTAGAAACGATTCTAAGATAGCGATGGCGGACAACGTCCAGGCAAGTGAATGATGTGAGCTATTGCGATATAAGTCGGGTGTTCTGGAGTTATATGCTAGACCAAAGATAATCCCAAGGGCGTGCAGCCCGAGCAGCAGTATTCGGGCTGGATATGTAAGGTTGGAGCGGGTGAACTGCAACGACGCCACTGGATATGTTAGCGTTTGGTCCTTAGCTGGAGGAAAGGTACTTACGGATGGAAAGAGCGCCTATCCAAGCCAAAATCATGAAGCCAACATGGAGATATAAAATGCTTGACGAGGTGGGTTCTCTGAAGTAATTCTCCGCTGGCAATGAAACGGACATGGTTGCGTTGCCTTCGTCAACACGCGCTTGAAGGTGCCGTGCCATGACAGCAAAGGCTCCGAAGACACTCACAATGAAGCGCGCACGTTCGTGTGAAGAGCTCTTTAGATGCGATACACCAAAAGAGAGTCTTTATACTGGGAATCGGGAAGCAAGGATGTCGTTCCGATGTAAAGGAATGTCCTGAAGCATGCTTCTATATGTTTCGGAGATCATGATGGGGGAAAACATCGCGTTTATACGGTAGCCTGAGTGCTAATGGCTTTTCAGAGCCGTCAACAACGACAGGCGGTTCAAGACCTCTTGAGATCGCATTTTGTAACCCTAGAAGGATACAAACATGAGGCACTCTTCGAAACTGGATACTCCGTGACGACAGCCTGTGGGCCGTGCCAAGGCTGAAGGATACTTCGCATAAGGCTGTGATCAGACTAGGCTGGGAAGGGCAGCATGTTGCGAAGCTGTCTGCGTACTCACAGGGCCGGGTTTGGGGCTCGGTTTCAACGTTGAGGCGTGCTACTGTTGATTGTACACGCCCCGTTATGATCCACCGAATTTGCATGAAGTCAGCTTTTTGGACGCCCTGAAAATGGCTCGCGGTGGGCAAATTGCAGAACGCCTTGCATTACGCAGAAGAATGCCTCGGTAAGGACCAAGCTGCTTTGATACCACTATCTAAGCATTGAGACAGTATGGCCTCAAGACTGTCTATGGTCCTGGTAAAGAGCAGCCGCGGACCTCTGTAAGAAGAGAGGGAGAGAGAGGTTTGCCATGTTCTTCTGATCCCATGTGCTAGCAGAGCTGGGAATTTCGTCTTGACTTTCGAAATCATCTGGTTCACATTGTGTATTATTGTGCATCGATGCAAAAGGGTAGATCTAGAACCAAAATCTCCGCTCCTCAAATCTTCCCGTTGGAATATGCAAGCTGTGCCGCGTTAAACAACAATGCCAAAATGCCAGAACTGTATATAGAATGCAGCCGGCGATCCCAAGTAAGCTCTAGAATCCTCATAAATACAGCCACCTAGCCCCGATCAGACAATGCGGTGCATCGTGCCGCCCACTCCTGGTCCCTCAGCAAAACATTACGTGCCCGCAGCCCTTCGTCTTCGCCACCATCTAACCACCCACCACGCCACACTCATTGTGAGCGCTGTTCTGTACGCCAGAAACAGGGCGATCGCCCAATTCACTCTGTCGTAATACCCGTGCAGCAACTTACCGACAGCGTGCTGCGGGTCTTTCCCGACACCTAATCCGCCGATGCCGACACTGTGTTTGTTGAAAGATGATCGCTTGGCTTGTCGACCCGTAGCAGTAGGGATTGGTGCAGATGTCGATTCGGGTCCCATTGCAGGCGCGGGTTCGGCCACAGAGATGGCTGTCGCCTCGGTTGCGCCATCCATGGCGGTTTGACTCGGCTGCCGCTGTGGTCGACTCGGCCAAGATCCCGACGAGAAGGCTTCTGCAGTATTCTTTCGGAACGAGCGGGTCATGATGTACACAAGTAGGCGGAGGTCAGGCACCGTGAATGTCGGATATTTCCAGAGCGCCACGGCGTTGTAGGGTGGCAGTTGGTCCAGAAGATCTGCCAGCACGCCAAGTGTCAGACCCCAGAGGATAAGCGGTTGTTGGAAAGTTAGGAGGGAGTGGTGAATAGATGAGGAGGAGGGGATGCCGAAGGGCGCTTGAGCCCATCCCGCCAGCGTGGAAAGCTTGTCGCCACCCTCTGTGGGTATGAAACCCGGTATGGAACTGGCATAAACAGACTCTGTGGGGAGAAGGCGGACGGCACTGAACATCATCTTGCCCATTGTCCAACGGATCAGTTTGTGGATTGCGGGTCCAACGTGCTTGGCTATCCTCGAGGAGATATCCACGGCTTCTCTAGTCCGTAGAGTTGGTGAGAGCAGCGCGCGGAGAGAGACCCAATGCACTGCGGCAACTTCGGTGGGTTGTGGCTGGGCAGCAGGGACTGTCTTCCCTGTCAGGAGGAAGATGTAGGGACACAACACCATGAGAACGTCTTTTCCCCAAGAAGTAGTGACCAGCCGTTCAGGAAGATTCCCTGCAGGCAGACAATCCATCGTGTCCAGATCCAGGCCTATCTCTTCTCTTGTCTCGCGGACAGCAGCAGCAAAGTCATCCGCGTCTTCAGGATCTCGTTTCCCACCAGGCAAGGCAACATGCCCTGACCACCTATCGCCAGCGCGCCCGGCGCGTTTGATGAAGAGTAATTCTGGGTCTCCTTCTTGGACCCATTCTTGCGCGAAGAACTCGCTGATTGTAGAGGGGGGAGACGGGGGAGAAGGCTTATCGACCGCTATGAGGGAGCCGTTGACACTTGCAGGGACAGGTTTATAGGCCGGTCGGACACGAATAATGGCAGCAACGCTGGCTCGTTTTTGCGAGGAATTGGGAGGATTGGGGACATGCGGATACGGATTCTCGCTAAGCCGGACAAGGACTTTCTCGAGGGCTTTGACGATGGCCCTCGAGTCTTCTGACATCGCGACGGAATACTATGAGAGGGCTCTATTCAGCCCAGAAACTTTCCAAGTGAGACAAGATGGTATGCGATATGACTCAATGGCTGCAGCCTCGTCGGCATAGTCGTATTCGATGCCGAGGCTGTCATGGCCCGGCAAGGCAGCCAATTGGAGGTGGCCGGCCGGAAAAACTTCGTCCGGGAATCTCCAGCGGATCAGGCAAGAGATCTTCCGAGCACGGGAGGGGAAGCGCCACTTTGATTGGCTGTTGCCCCCCGTGCTTTGCTTTTGCTGCAGTGGGGAAACCACAGCAAAGAGGGAAGCATTGACTGCGTCGAGCTTCCCAGGCTTCGTTGGTCCAGCTCTGTCGGCTTAGTACCAATTGCATATTTTCCCTTGACTTTTCTCTTGTGAGCTTCGGCTGCTGCACTCAACATCTATATCTGTATGGAGTAGCTGCTACGAACCTGCACACCGGGCCTACCTTACCCTCACTCTCACCCCAACATGCGCTTCGGCAAGACCCTCTCCGACGCCATTTATCCACCATGGAAAGACAAGTACCTCGAGTACGACAAGATCAAGAAGCTCCTCCGTGAAGATGAAACCTCCCCACAAGGCCGGGGCGGCGAAGCAAGCTGGACTGAACAGGACGAAGAAAACTTTGTTCACGAGCTCACCGTGACGCAATTGGAAAAGGTCCACCAGCATCAGGTCAATACGTTCAACTCCCTACGAGACCGAACCGCCGCCTGCGAGGCCAAGCTCCCGTCTACTGAAGGCGAAGATGCGGGAAAATCCGAGGGAGAATATAAAGCTGTTGCAAAGGAGCTGCTTCCCGAGTTGGACAGCATCTCCAAAGAGCTGAATGAGCTTAGGAAGTTCAGCAGGATCAACTATACAGGCTTCCTCAAGGCTGCAAAGAAACACGACAGAAAGAGGGGCCTCAAGTACAGAGTCCGTCCAATATTGCAAGTGCGTCTTTCCCAGATGCCTTTCAACCAGGAGGACTACTCGCCCTTGCTCTTCCGACTCTCGACCATGTATAGCTGGGCTCGCCAGAAGCTCGAGGGAGAACAGGCCGGTAAGGAGGCGAACACTAACGTCCGACCAAAAGATGAGTATAAGGCCTTCAAATACTGGGTTCATGTGGACAACCTTCTTGAAGTCAAGACTTACCTCTTGCGGCGCCTTCCCGTCTTGGTGTACAATCCTCAATCTGTCAAGGTAGTCGATTCGTCTCAAAAGGATCCGACAATCACCTCCATCTACTTCGACAATCAGAACTTCGACCTTTACCAGGGTAAGGTCGAAAAAGGTGCCGGCGGCGCGTCCCTTCGGGTCAGATGGGCTGGCCAATTGCTTGATGAGCCCGAGGTTGTCCTTGAGAAAAAGTTCGTCGACGAGGAAACAACCGACAGTAGCGACATCAGAATCCAGCTGAAGCCCAAATATCTTATCCCATTCCTTAAGGGGGAATACAAGATGGAAAAACAGATCAAGAGGCTTGAAGAACTGCTGGGACCTCAACATGAGGATATCAAGGCGTTCAAGGCCAATGTTGACGAGATCCAATCCTTTGTCAAAGAGAAGGAACTCGAGCCAGTTCTCCGAGCAAGCTATACCAGAACTGCCTTCCAAATCCCCGGCGATGACAGGATCCGGGTGTCACTAGACACTGATCTCGCATTCATCCGAGAGGACGCAATGGACCCTGACCGGCCCTGTCGAGATCCGGATGACTGGCATCGGTCTGACATTGACCAGAACAAGATGGAATACCCATTTTCGGCCATTAAGAAAGGCGAAATCAGCCGCTTTCCTCACGCGGTACTTGAGATCAAGATCAAGGAATCCAAGTATACTAGGAACAACACTTGGCTCAACGACCTGATGAACTCTCACCTGGTCAAGGAGGAGAAAAGGTTCTCCAAGTTCGTCCACGGTGTGGCCGAGCTTTTCGAAGACTACGTCAACAGTTTCCCATTCTGGCTGAGTGACTTGGAGACCGACATCAGAAGGGACCCGGTCACAGCCTATCAGGAGGAACAACAGAAAGAGGCTAAAAAGGCAGAAGATGAAATGGCCGTCGGAAGCTTCATCGCAGGGTCCAGGTTGACACCCAAAGGGAAGTCGGCCTCTCCCGGCAAATTCCCAGAGCGAAGACTTTCCGGCCAGCTCTCTCAGTCTGTCCAATCTCAAATACGAAGCAGGCCTGAGCCGCAATTGGAAACAACTGCCGAAGAACGGGATACCGACGAGGAAGGTGTTCATCCTCCCGATCAAGTCGAGGTTCGAGACTCGTCAAAGGGTGGCATTCGATCCTTCCTTCCGGCTTTCTCCAATTCTCGATACGCTCGTCGTCACCGCGAAGGAAAAGGAGCCTGGGAAAATGCTCCACTACCGCCTGGTGTCCAAGAACCAAGTTTCTGGATCAAAGACCAGGGTGACCTGAAAGTTGAAGCAAAAGTCTGGCTTGCTAATCAGCGAACGTTCATCAAATGGCAGCACATTGCAGTCCTCTTGGCCACCCTATCACTTGGTCTCTACAACGCTGCCGGTGTCAATAACAACATTGCGCGAATCCTTGCTGTTGTGTATACCTGCTTCGCTGTCTTTGCAGGAGTATGGGGGTGGTATGTGTATATGTGGCGGACGAAATTGATCACGGAACGAAGTGGGAAGGACTTTGACAATCCCATCGGCCCATTCGTCGTCACCATTGGTCTGGCCGTGGCATTGATCTTGAACTTTGCTTTCAAGTATCATGCCGCAATGAAAAGTCTCAACCCAAACCCAGGTAATGGCACGACTGACACATCGATGACGGTCACGTTGTTGACGCCCAAGATTCAGCTTCCTCAGGTGTCTGCCACGGGACTCCTCGTGCAGGAACTCTAGACACGCAAGGCTGGCATGAAGAGGAGGGCTCAGGGTTTGCGCGGGAGGTTGAGACCAGTTGGCCTTCCATTACTGAAAGCATAGCACGAGGTTGGAAAGGATCAAAATGACCACAGACAGAATTTCCGGGCTCACTAGATAGAGCACCTAGTATCATACGTACAGATAGCCCACCGGATCAGTGGGCCAATGCATTGCATCAATCGCTTTTCGCGCTGTCGAGTTTCTAGCAACCATGTCGATGAAGATTAACAGGTCTTTCCACCCCCAATAACGGAGGAAGGCTGGGTCGGTAATTCAGCAGACGCTCCATATAAAAACAGATACACACATACATCATGAGCTACCTAGGTGCGCGGCTCAGGCCTAAGACATGAATAACGACGACCAGGACCGCGGGAAAAGCGAAGCCGCATGGTCAGTGGAGGCTCAAGTACCTACCTAGGTACATAATGTATATCGTGCCTGGACATGCATGTGTGCATACCTTTACATGACATACCGTTATCATGGCGGATATAGTTACAGTCACTGCACTGGATGAATCGGCTCAGCACACATTTCCATTTGATCATTCTACACACAGAGAACCTCTGCTTCCTTTTTGCCCAGTGTTATTATACGATTTGAAACAACTTGCTCGAGGAGCATCTCGGGAGTATCAATGGTGTAAGGCACATGGCGCCGTAGGGATAGACACCACAAACAGACAGGTACGCACTGGTGGGAGCAATGTAAGATGTTCCAGCCATTCTTTCTCTCTCAAGGATTCTCGCTTTCTAGCAATCTGCCGAGAACAGGGAGGACACTGTTCTCGAGTCTGTCTCTCCACTACCTCAGTCGTCCACATCACTGCCTCGCCTCGGTGATAACACCCTCGTAATCCCGAGTCTTGATATAGTCAAGCGTCCTGAAAAAATGACGCTTAGGGTTCTCCAGCGCCTGGGTATTCCCCTCGGAGTTGGTTGTCGACAGGTTTGAATGGATCAGTTCAATCAGCCCGTTGAGGTACTTGGTGGTGACCTAGAGCACGAATTGTTAGCCAACGTCCGGGTGATCAATGGCTGGACTGGTCCGTCCTTACCGTTTCATTTTGCTGATCAAAGTAGTACACGTATCTGTTGAGGATCTCGACAAACAATTCTACGGATACTGCTGTGTCCATACAGGCATCCGCAACACGTAATGCTCGTTGGAGGCATTCCAGCACCCGCTTGCCGTCGCGGTAGAACTGTGTTTGGCCTGTCAGCGTTTCAAGCAGTCTCACGCCATCTGCACTCGTTCAAACTCACATTCTTCGAGTCCTCCTCTCTCCCAGGGATTTCAACGCACCACCACAGATGGGAGGCGAGATACACTGCCCGACATTGATCTGGTTTCTTTAGCAGTTTGCTTCCGTGCAACGCGGCCTTCGTGATCAGTGTGTCGTAATTTTCCTTTCCAAATCCCCTCGTCATCTGCAACGCAGCAGCGATAATGCAAACAGCCTGGAATTGTGCCCTTGAGTCGCTGATGCTGTCCTCGTAGATTGTAAACGCTTGTGCAAAGAACTCATATGCAAATTCCTCGAAGCCACATTGGTCGGCGATTTGACCGCACGAAACAAATAACCGAAGACACAAATCCGCCGCCCCAGGGTTTACGCGGGTATATAGCTGAGAAAGGGTTTGATGCATGAACCGGTACAGCGCAGAGGACTGGTTTTGCCAGTTGTCGTCAAAATGCTCCCGGGCTTTGAACTTCCGCGCGAGCTTCATCGAGGCAGTGATGATGGCGGGTGTCGTGTATTTGATCCGCTCATTGCCAACCTCGAAAGCTTTGCGCATCTGCTGTAAGAGCTTGAGCTGGGTATCGTTGTCTGGTCCTTGAACAAAATGGACTATTCGTGCAAGCCAGCCTTGCTCCTCAACTGTCTCGTCCGACTCGCCTCCTCTCGGACGGTTCAGCCCCGGATATCCAGTCGGTTGCTGAATGCCCTCCTTGATGATGACTTTAAGGAGAGACATGACGCCCTCCAGATGTTGTGTACTTGTAATCAGCACATGGTTCCGCAGGATGCTCTTGGCCACCTCGCCGGCAACAGCCCGCCTCGTGGCGTACGTTTGTGATTGATACAAAGGAAGATAGTTGGGCAGAGCTAGCGCTGTGAAAAGTGACATATATGTTCTGATTGGCGCTAAAAGGAGGTTGAGCATATTGGCTTGTGTCGCGGCAGAATGGAGGTCGGCAGAGTCCATGTATTCAGCGCCCTTCTCACGGGCATAAGCCAGAATTTGGTCGAGGTATTCCAACCTCTCTGGATAGATGTTACTGATGGGTGTTAGCTTGTCCATTCATACAACCAGATGATGGGAACTCACAGCGCAAGATTGGCCAGCGACGTCAAGAGTGCCATAGTGTCTTGTATGGGAAGACCTCTCGTTTTGACAAGATTGATGACTTGTTCGTAAAATATCTCAAACAGCCTCACCTCACCGACGCCGGTTCCCTTCTCTCCATTTGTTGCTGGCGTTACTGGCGTTGCCGGTTCGGATTCATTCGTTTGTGTCTCTGTGGGTGATTTGGCTTCGGTGCCATTCGTCGTGGGTGTATCCGGTTGAGCGGCAGGAGCGGCAGACTTCGTATCTTGGTTCAAATCGATCTTCTCGAGCATGCGGATTGCAGCTTCTTCTTCGGCTTTTCGCTTGTCTTCGGCAGACACCGACTCGGCAGATTCTCTTTGGGCGTACGTAGACAAGCGGTCCATTAACCCGATGACAATCTTCTTCATATCGACATGCGGGTTTAACCTTGCGATAGCCGAGAGCATCTGATCCAGAGTGTGAAGGTGGTACTCATCTGGGAAGACCTTGGTGATGACTAGATCTCCGTCAGCATATCCCCATAGTCAGACTTGTTATCCTACCTTCAAGTAGATATTCCTGGGCCAGGACATCACGACATTGGACTACCTGTTCCAGCAACGGGCTGATGATGGTAGACTTATATGTCTCCAAATCGACCAACTGGCTCAATCTCACCAGATTGCTTCCAACGAGTAATTCCAGCTCCCTCCGCTCTTGTGTTCTTTGCTCCCTTTCTCTTGAATGGCCCTGGTGCTGCCACCTAACCCAAAGCTTATTCATCTCCACAAAGTTGGTAAGGATGAAGTTGATTGAATCTTGGAGGTTACCTTGGGGTCCCTCTTCTTTGCCAGTTGGTAAGTGGTCACGGGCCTGGCCCATGAGGTAGTATCGCAGGAAGAGACCCCGTATGGGATGCTGTACGCCACGGCTCATTTCCATCATGTCCTTCATGATCTCCTTGACCGGCGCATCCTCGACTCCCATGTATACGGTGCCCACCGTAATCATGAGATACAATCTGGGAATTATGTTGCCTGCATATTGGACGAGTTCGTAGAGATCGGCAAGGTGGTTGACGGGATGCGACTCGCGGAGGTAGTCGGACAGGTACCGCAGGGCATCAAACACAGCCATGTAGAGCTCATAGTATTGTTTCGGCCCTAGGGTAGGCGTGCGCAATTCAGATACCAAAGTCGACCTACAGCGTTGCATTGCGGTCAGTGGTGCAGGCTATTGAGGCTCGGAAAGGTCCATACCCGCATTTGAGGGCATCCATGAGCTTTCCTGGCGTTTCAAGGCATCGGCGCATCTGCTGCGACTGTTGACGCACGACGCCGAGAGCTTCCTCGAGCAATCGGCCCTGATCTTCGACGGGGATGGCTGTCGCCATCTTGCGACGGCGTTGGGGGCTTGCACCCAGCGGCAAGCGAGAGTGACAGCGAAGGAAAGCTTGGAGACAGCCTCAGAGGTACTGGATTGAAAAGGTCCAAGTACTCGTGTCCATCAATGCGCAAAAGACCGGGCGAAACTTTGGGATGTTCGGGTGTATGCACGGGCAGTCGTAGGCAGCGGAGAACTTCCTGCGCCTTTACCGGACTTCGACATGGGCAGTTGCGGGCGGAAAGGGCTTGGCAGCTAAACCTCAGTATATTCGATCTCACACGACCCTCCGCCTCTATGCACCCTCCAGAGCAATACTTGTGATGTGCTATTTAGGAGTGATTGCTCGAAGATTCAGGAGTGGCATCTGCAGGCAGACGCCGTGGCAATGCCGTAGAACATCTGACCTTGGAATGCAGCATTCGTGAACTTGCGTTATACTCAATACCTACGTGCTTAATCCAACCTGGAATAATGTCAGGTCTTTCGTCAAACCAGCTCGTCTGAGGAACGCTCACGTTGGACCTGAGAAATGAAACACATGTGGCATCAAGACCATCGGGCACAAGTTCAAAGTTATGTGCCGGGAAAAGGAAGCCAAAATGATGAAACCAAAACTTCTATTGTCATTGTCGTCGTTCTTTCCTGATACCGAACTTATACCAGCCGTCTCAGACATGACCGCCAGCGCCTTGCTAAAACCCCAAATATCCCAGAATCTACCCGAAGAGGAAGTCCTCTTTTCCAACTTGATGTTCATACTTTTTCCCCGAAGATAACCCCAAATACAACCCAAATACATTTTATACATTCTCCTTTTCATAGAAAGGATCACTGACTGGCATCGCTTCATGGAGGTGTAGGAATCGGTGGATGCACGCCCCAGATTGGGATAACAGGCGTGCTAGTGGCCGGTGGTGTCTCGCTGGGCATTTCCAAAGACAAGGTCGGTGACGAAGTCGTTGTCCAGCTCGAGGAACTCTCAGGCGTGACGGTGTAGTAATAGTACGTGTGCCACATACCGTCGTCGTACGGTCTTGTTGAAGGGAGAGATTGCGTGACAGTGACAGTCACTGGGGAAAGAGTCTCGGTCGCGGTAAGGAGAGCAACGGAGGGTGCTATTGAAGGCGATGACTCGGAGGGGTATTGGCGACTCGACGAGAGGATTGGCGAGAGGATTGGCGAGAGGATTGGCGTGGTTGTCGACGCAGGCGCGTGATCGGTGATAGTTGTCGGCGATGGAGAGGTAACGGTCACGACTATGGTTGTGGTTGTTTCCGACCCTGTGATGACGATGGTAGATAGTTGTGTCTCCATCACGGTCGCTGTGTGGGTGACAGCGTCAGTGATTGTTGCTGTCGGCGAGGCATCGTCTGTTGTGCTTCCGCCACCCACTGCGACAACCGAGTATGAGATAGGTGCTCTTCGCTCGATCGAGGGTGGGAAAAGCGGCCAGGCGTTGGACAGAGCTAGCAGCGTGGACAACGAGAGTATGTTATAGACTGTTCCCGATTTCATTCTGGTGAGGTGGCGAGTTCAGTATCACAGTCGGCCTGAAAGTCTGAGAATCTGTTCGACACTTTGTGCAATTGTTTGACTACAATGAGATGTAATGAATGTGAATGTTAGACAGGAAGAGGAGAACAAGAGAAAGAACCCTTAGACATCTACCTTTCCATGCCGGAGCAGAAATGCAAGGGCTGGGCATTGTCAGGAGCGTTGCTGCGCGCGTATGGTGCGACATCTGGTGGCTTTGCAATGGCTGTTGGTCTCTACTGGCACGCTCGATGCATATCGTTGAAGAGGTTGGGAGAGTCAGACTCGAGAACGGACCAAGACGGAGCGCAGGCAAGCGCCAAGACCGTCCTGTAAACAGTGGCACCCGCTGTGATTGGCTGTATTCGAGTGGCTGGTAGATGAGCAAGCGCGCCAAGGAGTGGCTGGGGCGGAGAAAATAGGCAAACCGTGCAAACGGCGCAAACTCTGGAACGGCCAAAGCGGTCACCGGGCATCGTTTCACGCTCCCACCACCGGTTTCAGGACGCCACGGCAGATCTAGACCTGTCTGCCACGCGCTCCTGAGCTCTCTACCGAGTGAACACTCGCAGATCTGCAAACACAGGAAGCGAATGACTTGCATGATCGCTCGCGATTTGAATATCTAGGGTTAGCTGGTCTTGGGCTTGGGCTTCCGGATCACGACCTTATCGCCTTCTCGCATCCAGCCAACATCTTCTACATTGACCAGTTCGTTCCAGCTCAGTTGGCCGCCAGTGGCGCTCTGTAGGATCCAGTTGACGTCACAGGCGTAGTAGGCCCGACCTATTGCTTTAAGCACCATCTTGCGCTGTGTTTCGAGGTGCCAATGAAGGATCGCTCGCACGTAGCCATCAACCTTCTGTCGAACACGCCAGAACGTGACCCAGTCTCCCATAACAAGTGATTTCAATACACCGTCGACATCTCGACTTTTGAACCCAAAGCGGATACGGCTGTTGTACCTCAAAGCATATGCTTGGTAAAGATCACGCTGCCGGATAGCTGTGTCCAGGATCAAGTAGGCCGTCATCTCTACTAACTCGGATCGTGGCAGGGGATACTCGGGTGTGTGCAGGACAGACAGGAGGTGTAGCAATGAAGGATGGTAGCCCTCCGGGTGCAGCGCGAGGACGGCGACTCGGATGTTGAACACATGAACTCGTTGGGAAAAGACTGGACTTGGTGCGGATGTAGAGCTGGCAAGCAGACCCTCGCGTAACTTTCGCAATGCTAGAAGGATGATCGATAGTTCGGACGCTGGTAATGGTAATGCGGCATTCGTCGCTTGAGTGTTATTGGGGGCCATGAAGTCTTGTTGGGATGGGGTCTGAGCCGGTGCAGGTTGAGGATTGGTCGACTTCCCGGTGGGTTTCCTTGAGGAATCCAAGGCCGGCGGCTGACCCTCATCGAGATTCAAAGATGCAAAAGCACTGTCGAGATCCTTCGAGTGTCGTGCGCAGAATTGCATGTAGCGAGCAACAATCTTGTGGTAGTAGCTCTCCTGAGTTTTGAGGTCGAGCAGCCTTGTTCTCGTCACCAACAAGCAATCTTTGCGCAGGCAAGAGCACGATACCTGTTATCACCCTTGGAAACGAATCCCATTGCCTCCAAAGGATCTTGCTTCACAGGCCGTAACCTGTCCCATGGGGCCGATGATTTTCGCCCAAGGGCTGGAGGGGCTTGAGCCATCTTGGTCGTGCCTAATCGATTCTGTTGGGCATCATGTCGCTTTCACTCATTGTATGACATATGTTGGAACCTATGCCATCACCCTTGCTTCAGGCGCGTACTTCGGGTCGACGGCTGTGGACAGGAGAGAAGGAACGATGATGCCAGAGCCATGATTCTGCTCGTATCTCGTAACTCGTGAAGTCCCTGTAATCGATAGCGAGGCACGGGCCGAGCCTCGCAGTAATTGACCTCATTGTGGCCAAATCCCCGATATTTTCCCGTCTCTCCTGGCACTTCCGTCCCAACATTTATATTTCGTATATTAATACCGCGACCAGCCCATCGAAGACGCAGCGAGAAAGCAACCATGTCGACAAGAGATCCAGGAAACGATAGACCTGAAGACGACGGGATAACGGTGCCTCGGTCGAGCGAGGGAATGGACCCAGTCAAACAGCCTGATGAAGTCGAGGATCTCTGGCATACTCTGATACACTGGAACGATCTACCGCACTGGCTTCAGGACAACCACTTTATCCATGGCAGCTATCGCCGTGCCTCCTACAGTTACACAAGATCTCTGCAGAGCATTCTGCACTGGCACAACGAGAGCGTGAACATCTGGACGCATTTAGTCCCTGCTACGCTTAGTTTGCCCTTTGCAGCTTTTCTCTATATTGTGCTCAAGCCTCGCTATGAGAAAGCTTCGGTGGCCGACGTCATAGCAATGAGCTGCTTCTTTGGTGGTGCGGCTGCTTGTTTAGGACTGAGTGCATTCTACCACACCCTGTCCAACCACTCTCCGCGCGTTGCCAGACTGTGGAATCAGCTGGACTATGCCGGGATATCTGTGCTGATTGCCGGCTCATTCATCCCCAGTGTATATTATGGGTTTTGGTGCCATCCATGGAAACAATGGACATACTGGACCATGGTGAGCAAGAATCACACGACACTAGTACGTTGCTGAGACCTGGACCAGATCTGCACCTTGGGCATAGCATGCACCACAACATCAGTCCTTCCACGCTTCCGAACTCCAGCTTGGAGGCCTTACCGGGCTCTGATGTTCGTTGGAATGGGCATCTCTGCAGTGTTTCCTGTCCTCGATGGACTGTGGACCTTCGGACTGGGAGATATGGAGAACCAGATTGGCCTGTCGTGGTTGGTATTGCAGGGAGCTCTCTATATTTTGGGTGCTGGTCTGTATGCGGTAAGTTTGCAGCCGCATTGATGGTTGCCATATGCTGAGTAGACGATTTTAGGCGAGGGTTCCAGAGGCCTTCTATCCAGGCAAATTTGATACTCTCGGAAGCTCGCACCAGATCTTCCATGTCTTGATCGTCCTGGCTGCATTATCCCATCTCAAAGGACTCCTCAAAGCCTTTGACTATCGTCATGGGACCATGGCATCCGTTTGCAAATAGACCCGGTGGCACATGTTCATAGCTTGAAATCGGCATTCACAAACGCGCGGATCGCATCGGGATCTCTCTCGCGACCGGCAATTTGCGACACCATCGAGGTTTTCAATTCGCGCGACCGATCCGAAGTCAAATCGTAGATAGTAGCGAGGTTGATTGTCAAGGTCTGGAAAGAATGTCCGTCATTGACGAGCTTTTCCAACAACTGCCTTGCCTTCAGAACCTCCCCTCGATATAGATATGCAACTGCAAGGTTCTGTTCCACAAGTGCAGCCAAGTCTGCGTCAACGCTCGCTCCGTTTTCAGACAGACTCTTCATTGCATCGTCATACCGGCCTTCGGCGATTGCGAGAAGAGAACCAAGTACAAGCTTGTCCTCCGGGTCCAGATTTCCAGATTCAATCAGCCTCTTGGCTCCAGTGACGTCGCCCATCTTGATTTTCAACAGGACCATTCTGGAAGTCCAGATTGCCAGGTGATTATCGCTTCCAGGTTTCATGCTTTCGAGTGTCCTCACAGCACAATCGACATCTCCCATTTCAATCAAGGCATTCACAACTCGGATTGACACTTCGCCGAGCCGTTCCGTCCACACCTTTCTCTGCTCGGGCGATGTATGCGGGGAGGACAAATGTTCTCTGCACTCGAGCGCAACATCGTACAGTGTAGATACCCCTCTTCTGGGATCCGAGAAGCCGATGCTCTGCAGTCTGAGCGCCTGCAGGCGCAGAGGAAACGGCATTATATGGCTCGGTACTTTCTGCGCGCCTGTCAAATCATCATCTGCACCTCGCCCTGGGTTCGGCTCGTCATAGTAGAACCCGGAGCTCAGATCTTCCAGCGCCTTTGCCTCCTGGGCGGCAAACAGCGAGTTCCCCGAAAGTTCGAGACAAGAGTACCTAATCTCTAGTAGGCGGAAGATCGACCTTGAATCCACTGGCCGCACGGTGCCGGATACCAAGATGGAGCCTGCCAGCTGGGCGGCCCGTAGAAAATCGCATTGGGAGAGGAGTGAATCTAATTGTTGCATGGAAGCCTTGAGGGGTGTTTCTGAGTTCGGTGGTGGGAGGAATGGTTTTCGAAAGGGGCCGGGAACCTCGAGCTGAGAGAGAGGATGGTAGATTGAGGCATCGAGGAGGAAGGAGAGGTCCCTTTCCTCCACCGTGGGCGAGTCTTGAGCCTGGGTCGCCGGTGGCTGGTTGGCTGTTCCCGACACTCCTGAGGGCTCATTGACTTCTTTACTCGGCGAGAGCGGTGCTGTAGGGTTTCTAAGCGAGGCTATAGGTGTCGCAGATAGAGACAAAGGGTCTGTTGGTGCATCCAGTGGACCTTTGGTGGTTCTTCGTGGGAGGGCAGTGCGACTGGAAGGCTTGCGGCTGTGGTGTGCTGAAGCCATTTGGGAGACGTGACACTCTCACATCCGACGACACAGTCACCCACCTCTTCATTTACTGCGAGATATGTGTCCTAATCTCTTTCACAAGCACTGGCTGAGGCTTACGGCAACGACAGAGAGTGATATCGAAGTTCCCTCAGCCGGATAAACCTCGGTTGAAGCCCCTAAGAAATCCACACCGTCGCGCCGCATTGATGATCTGTCGCGTACGACCCCAACTGCGAAATCCCAGCTGGAGGTTGTCGCACCAAAAGCACCACGTCGCAATCCTTTAGAACAGACAGGACAAGTCTACAACCATGGGTTCCAAAGGCGATAAATACTCGGTCATTCTCCCTACATACAATGAGCGGCAGAACCTGCCCGTCCTAGTGCAGATGCTCTCCGATGTCTTCACAAAGGAGTAAGTCCCCTCTCATGCACCAAGAGGCACTGTTCTCGGACGAGTATCTAAGACTGTCCCCATGTCTAACCACTCTGCAGGAAACTGAATTGGGAGATCATCATCGTCGACGACGCCTCACCGGACGGCACCCTCGAGCGCGCAAAACAGATCCAAAAGTCCTTCGGCGCCGACCACATCATCCTAAAACCGCGGGCGGGCAAGCTGGGCCTGGGGACTGCATACGTGCACGGGCTCCAGTTTGTGTCCGGGAACTACGTGATCATCATGGACGCCGACTTCTCGCACCACCCCAAGTTCATCCCAGAGTTTGTGAGGATCCAAAAGGCCACGAACGCCGACATTGTCACGGGCACGCGGTACCGGTCCAAGAACGGGCTCATCGGCGGCGTGTACGGGTGGGACGCGAAGAGGAAGTTGACCAGCCAGGGCGCCAACATCCTCGCCGACTTCCTCCTGAACCCGGGCGTGAGTGACCTGACCGGGTCGTTCAGGCTGTACAAGAAGGAGGCGCTGGTCAAGGTGATTGAGAAGACGCAGTCCAAGGGATACACGTTCCAGATGGAGATGATGGTGCGGGCAAAGGCCATGGGGCTCAAGGTCGAAGAGTGCCCCATCACATTTGTGGATCGGCTATACGGCGAGAGTAAACTGGGAGGGGAGGAGATTGTCGAGTATCTCAAGGGGTTGCTGTGGTTATGGTGGTCGGTCTAGTCTCTTCTTGCTGCTGGGTGTTTGTACAAGGAAGCATTCTACGGTGTTCAAAAGACAGGGGCATCGGTATGGGCGTGGCCGCAGAGTAATGGTCCATGATTCGATATTGTATTCTGTGCCAGCAAAGAGCGTCCGAACATCTTCTGGCCCCCAACTGCCGACTTGCGCGCGGCAACAATATTGCTCCGCTGAACAGTCATGGGTCTTGCACAGCGATGATCTTGTCTCCTAGCCTTCTTTGCCGGAGGACGGTCTGCTTCATGGATCCTCACCATCCTGGTTCGAGAATACTTTCGGGGTCCGAATGCCCAAGCTGAGCTCGCAGCCAACTTTTACCCGACCCTAGGAACAGGTCGATCAACCTGATGTGCCCGTGTTCTACGAAATGACGAGGGAATCACGTCCTCCAAGGGGACAATTGCCGCTGACTTGGAGGGACGATACAAACGCAGTAGCCCAGTCATCGTCAGCCATTCTTAAGTCCGCAGAAAATGCCAGCTGAATGCCGCCAAACCGCAACAAAAAGACACACATGAAGCGTTTTTGCATCATAATGCTTGACGCCAGTGCCCTAAGCTGGTGGGTTTCTCCCCCGATAAACCCACCAACGACATTTCTTGATCAATTGACAACCCCCTTCCATCATCCAGTGATCCCGTTCGATTACTATCTTGTTATACGCAATTACTAATACTAATCCATATCGGGTCTACTATTGTACGCAGACTCATATCGTGCAGTCTGTGACGGCGAGGGCCAGAAAGAGTTGGCGTTGCGATTGTGGTGGTGAAACAGCCCCATCCCAACCCTCGAGCAAACAAAATTCTTGGTCTCTCCCACCATTGGCCTGGGGGGAAGCCGGGCTGCCGAGATGTTATTCTATGCAAGGGCCTCATGTCAACAGTGGGCGGCATATTTCCTGCAGTCAGCCCTAAATCCTGCCTCTCCTACCTGCAACCAGAAACGCACGTTGGCTTAGCGCCACCGCCTCCAGCTGCTGGATTGACCATGCGTCCTTTGCAGAGACGTCACCATCCTATTGGCGTGGTCCCGCGTGGTCGGATCTTTTGTCTAGCATTCGGGCGAGAGGCTGACATCAAGACGAGGCTGACCCCCAGGAAATATAAGGCCTCTGGCGGTCAACGGCTGGGCATCACCTCATGTCTGTGAGAGTGACAGCCGTGGTCAGGTATCGCTTCTGGCGGTCTGAGAACAATGGTCATGAGAGTCCCAATATTGACCAGCACCAGGACCGAAAGCGCAGTAAGACGTCCACTCGAGACCGGATGCGGTGATGCGGGCTGCAGCCATCCATTCAAGTGTCGACGTTGTAGATCGTGACATCAATGGTTCCTTCGAGGGAGCATTTTTCTGGGTTCAGAAACAAATTCCAGGACAGGTGCCGATCGCGATGATAGTCTGCTAATCTCAAAGGAAGAGAACTGGTGGCAGTAAGCCCAATACGAAGAGGTCAAGGAGCCCCAGTCGATCGTGCGATCCTGGACTCGCTTCTCTTCTGGTTGACCTCTGGTGTTTCTTCGCTGCTGCATCCTGTCGACCTTACGCCCATTAGGAAGGGGCACTATGGACTTATTGGAAATGTCATATTGGAAATATCGGCCCCATGCACAAAAACGGAAAACGGTTTGCGCAATTGACGACAGACAACCAGCAAGAAGAGTCCAGGTTAGGATATTCACCAATGCTGCCGAGCCGGAAACTAAAGCGCTTTGCTGTCTGTAAGCTACCGCAACGTCCTTTTGTAACGTTAGGCATTGGCGACTTGGAAAGTTTCAAAAAGGGGGCCGAGAGGATAGATGGACGGCACAGCGCATGATTGGAAGACAGCAAAGCCGAGCATCCAGCCTCGACGAATGCCTTAGACTGCTCTGGGTAGGTGTCAGTCTTTGCCCACATGGACGACGGCTTCGAAGAAAGCTTCCCAACGTCGCGACTCGATGTCGGCAACTTCAATAGTCCTCTAGCCAACACCTTAGGGCTGATTAGTCACTTAGTTTGTAAATAGAGCACAAGCCAGGGAGGGGGCCATGCCTTTCTGATCCCTTAGGGCTGAAAGCCACTCCCCTTGGACAGGGCGAGTTCGGGCCCGATGCCCGAAGCCATCCTGGATTCCTGTTCCAAAAGCAAATGGTGCACTGCCCGCACATCTGTCACAACGGGCGTGGCTCGGCCGGGCACAGACACAGACGGAGACGGTCGTGATTCCACTGCAGTCCCAGGTGCCACCCCCGGACGACATGGGGCACATCGACCCGGTTCTTCTAGTGGCCAGCATGGCAGCAAGGGGCGGAATGGGAGACTGATTCGAGGTGTTGGCCCGAGCCAGAATAGCCTGTGCACGCGAAGGCTCAAGCGACTGGGGGACTCTGCATCGTGGAGATGCTTTGCATATCTTGGCCAACCATGTGTGCGTGAGAGGGAGAGAGAGGGCGAAACCGCCAGAACATGGCCGCTCAATGGTGCATCCTGTTCCTGCTTATACCTCACCGCCTGCCCTTGCACTACCTGGTCAAACTTTGGACTGAATCAACCGACTTGGAGGCGGAGCACCTTCACCACGATACCCCAATCTTGTCTTGATGGGGCCACTGGCTGGCAGTCGGAAAGAGATAGCAGACAAGTACCGAACCCAACTCGGTTGCGCAGGGCTTAAAGCTCGACCCGCATTCCACCGTTGAAAAGGTGTGTCGAGTCGAGGCGGTATCCCACCCATTCGGATCTCAGGACAGTGCTCGTGGCTCATCAGCTTCCGCTTGTCCTTTTCCCGCATCTCTTCAGCCGGTCTGATACACACCATGCAGATGTTAGCGTCCTATATTATCTAAGAGCCCTGGGATCGGGTCCGTCCTGGTCCATTTGGTATACTGAAAACCACACACTCTCTAGCTGAGGGATTCGGCGGAATCTGACTTAGCTTCCAGAAAACTTCAGCTCTATTCCAAATGTCCACCTCCGTGCGTACGAGATGGTACCACGAGCCCTTGTGGTCGCTGACAGGCGCCCATTGCCCCGTGCTGAGCAGCTTATAGAGCGCGGCGACAAACCATCCAAAACACCTGGGGCTGTCGAAATCCAGAAACCCACAGAATCGACGCTGGTAGTGTTGGGGGATAGAAAGGCAGAACTGGCACGAGACAATACCAGAGAAAGGGAAAGGGAAAGATCACCTACACGATTGAAACGAAGCCATCACAAAGTCCGTACCGGCTGCCTAACTTGCAGGTATGGATGGCTTGCCAATCTCCCCTCCTCCCTTCTGCTCCTCCTCCTCTTCCTCCTCCCACTTCTCTAAGTCCAGCTCTCTCAATGGCATTTTCCCCTGGTTTCCATCACCTTTTCATCTCTTTTCCTTGTTCCCCAATGCACTATTGCCTTTTCTAGGACTTCGCTAACGTCAAGCAAGGCATCGGAGGGTCAAATGTACGTCTATGCCCTCCCACTTGCTGTTACGATCCCAAGAATCCGCATTGGTTCATCTACCAAGATGAGTACAGCAACAGAGCCCTATCTTTGTCTATTTGTCGCGTACCTTGACTTCTTCTTGGGGATGCCGTAGCACTTGAGCTAACTCATCTCCTCAATGTCCTAGGCGACGAAACACATCCACGATGCCTTCGATGTGCCAAAGCTGGTCGAGTGTGCGAAGGCTACACGCAAACAAAACCATGGCCATTCCAGTCTTCATCCCGTGATCGTTCGCCCGAAGGAATTGTCCCTTGGTTTAACAGCGGCAACCCCATCCACTTCTACAACGAGCCTGATCTCAATCGGCCTACCCAGTTCTTCCTGGAATGCACCGCGCCACGCATTTCCTCCTACTTTGCTGAAATGATGGACTCCTTCCTCGACGACAAAGCCCTGGTCAATTACTCGTCGAGCTCAGCATGGAGCTTTTGGAATCGGGTGGTTGTCCAAGCAAGTCAGACCCAGGCCTGTGTCCGTCATAGCTTGGCTGCATTGAGTAGCCTGCATGAATGGATCGAGCTCACGAAACGAACACCGTGGCAGAACCATACATTTACTCTCTACTACACCAAGGCCATTACCGAGATCAACCAGAGCCAAAGTGCCTTGCCCCTCGAGATCATTTTGATCTCATGCATCCTTTTCGCCCACTGTGATTTCCTTATGGGCGCGTCCGCCGCGGGACTCACTCATCTGAAATCGGGCCATCGCATTATTTCCGAGAACCGACGGCGACAAGCCATCATTGCTCCAGAAGTTTCTGAGTTTATTGAGCCTATAATACGTGGCTTCATGGCCAAGTCGGAAAACTACGCGCTGCGAGAAGAGACGGGACCCGAGGCCAACTCGACAGAAGGTGCGACCTACGCGGTGCCTGATGTGCCCGAGATATTTGAAGACCTTGCACAAGCAAACAAACATCTACAGCAGGCTGTCTATATGGTCCTCCTTCTTGAACTGGGTAAACCACATCATTCGACACGCATGATCCCAGGCGTCCGCAAGTACGTTGCTGACTGGGCGACCGCGTTCGGTCGCTGGAAAGCAAACCTGGAACTTGACGAACCGCTCCTCAAGGACTGGCAGCTGTTACTGCTCGCCCACCATCGGATGGCTTTATTGATCTTGAAGACTCTTCCACCAGACAATGACTGCTGCTACAATCGTGCCGCTGCAGACTTCCGAATCATGTTCGCTCAGCTACGGACCTTTTTGCGCAGTGGATACACTACAATGGAAAAGGGACAGGACAGTAACCTTGTCCTGAAGGTGCATCTGGGCTTTATCTCGCCGTTGTACTTTATTGCTACACTGTGCCGAGTCCGCGACATTCGCCGAAACGCACTTGAGGCTTTGCGAGACTTGAAAGTCGTCGAGGGCCACTGGAACAGTTGCGTGGCTTACGCCGTCGCCAAAACGGTCATTGAAATCGAAGAAGCATACGGCGAGACTTTGATGAGGGTGCAGCGTATCAAGGTCGACAGTGTCGATCGGGTAAAAGATGGGACTCTGGAGATCAGATACCACAAAGTGCCAGGAGATGCAACACACGGGGATGCCGTGACCAGAAGGATAACCGAGCCTTGTTGTCACCATGAGACAAACATGCAATGGGTAGGGTCCCCTTTGTACGAGATATACCCGTGTGCCTGAACTAACGAAGTCGTTCAGCCGTTGGTGCGTCTGGTCCAACTTCATGGATTCCAGGCGACCGTCAAACCTCGAAAGCTGACCTGTTCGTGCGAACGGACGCCCGCTTGATGACCTGAAGATGTCCTCCGTCTACGCATCATGATCAGGAATGATCCAGAGTGGAAGAGCTTGTTAGTCGCACCTCAGCCTCTTCGACAAGGTGGCGCAGGATAAACAGCCGCAGAGTCGAGATGCGGACTGAGCCAATGGAAAATGCGGGACTCGCCGTCCTTCTTTACACAGTCGAGATGGCATACCACACTACACGGCGACTGCTTGCCTATCGTCCTGATCGATCAACTGATAGTTCGTCAGTGATGACCTCGCGGTAATGCTGTCGATGCGATCTGCAGGATACCCCGTTCTCTTTCACCGAGAGCGTCGCTTGCATGGGAGACTTGAGCGGGTATTCACAGAACTATATTTCCCATGGTCACTGAACTAGAACTTGACCGCGCTATTGCTCGCCACCTAGACGAGCCTCGCATCTGCTGTCACAGCACACCATCCGGATCAGTGTCGGCTTCCCCTAGCCCAAACCCAACATGGTGAAAATGCAACCAAAACAATTCCCACGAAGGACAGAGCTCCTGTCGTCGGCCCACACTCCAGGGCGACGGCTAGTTTGGAGCTCTTCCACCCTGGGTAACTTGAAGGGGGAAACAGCCTGAGAGAGACGCATCGAAGAGCTCTCAGGGAAGGAAAGATGAGTGCGAAGATATAGGATGTACGTGCAGTATTTGTGGACACGGGTGAACCAAATGCAAAAACATCCGCAATGTAAAGTCAATGTGTATCTTGTCACAACCCGTTAGTTAGGATGCTGAATTGCTGGAAAATAGACAGGGGGAGGTCCTTCTTTCGCCCCCTTGCCAGGCACACAGTATAAATATTTCGGGAGATATGGTTACAAGGGGAGTCAGCAACGTCTGTCAAAGAGCGGAGAGCATGGAGGATATACCGAGTATGTATACGTGGGCAGCAATCCTGGTTATGTCCTGTAGATCTGGGAGACCGAGACGGAAGGCCCAGAAGAAGAGTCAGGCAAACCGTGGGAAGGTTGGTTAGTCAAGTCCCCTTTTCTCAGCCTCGCGCCAGCCTGATGGCACTCGTCTGCGTACCTACGTACGGAGGACCTACACAAATATATATATGTGGGACGGTCCGGTTCGAGGACATGGCACAGCACAGCACAGCGCAGGTAGTTTGCGGTAGGGACAGCAGCATTGTTGTAGAACAGCCGTGACGATGCTTCTCTGCTTGAGGCTCGCGGGGTCTTGTCTCTCCAGCTATGTGTGCCGTCTGTTTCGTATCTGTCTGTCTGTTTGGCTGTCCGCCTTTCTTGTCTACAAACCTGGGTAGGTATGTATCTATCCCATCGCTTGGCTACGTATCTTGTGCAGCACATGCGCCCGTAATATTCACTCGTGCCCGTAACATGTCATACGCTCCGCCGACACTCCTCACTTTCCTTCTGGCTCCTTGCGCCGCCTCGCAGTCCCATTTGCGTTCATGTTCATGTTCATGTTCATGTTCGCGTTCGCGTTCGTTTTCCCGTTCATAGTCGTCGTGTGGCCATTAGTCTTCTCCACCAGCCTTCCCTCCGCGTGCTCGTCCGTGCTGCGGCGTTCGGTCTTGTCGTCCCGGATTTCGTGCACTCTCATGTCAAAGCCGACCCAGAACCGCCGGTCGCGCCAGGTCACGCTCGTGCCGCCCCAGATCGCCCACGTCCAGATCGGGAGGGCCAGGGATTCCCGGCCCAGCCAGGCGAGGAGCCAGATGGGGAACCTCCGCCGGGAGCGCACGGCCGCGGACAGGGGGCGGGCGAACGAGGGGATTGTTTCGACTTGTCTGTCCCTCCCGGACGCCTCGATGGTCCTGCCCGAGTGCAGCAGCAGATACACGGTCCAATCCACCGCCATCCAGCAGAGGATGCTCGCGCACCACCACATCCACAACCGTCCCCACGAATTCCCTGCCCACCCGTTTGTTCCGCTGAAGGTGGTCAAGCCCCACGCGCCCATCAGCGAACACAGAAAGCTCTCCGTGCCAGGTTCCACCAGCGTCGCGACCGGGACGGTGAATTTTCGCACCCTCAACCACCGAACGCGTCGGGACATGTACGACTGCAGCGACATGGAGCTGATCGGCTGGATTGCGAGGTCGCCGTACACCAGCCCGTGGTTTCGCATTTTCCTTGGAACGTCAGGGGCGGCCGGCACGGGCGATTTCCAGAGCAGGTCGCCGATGAGATGGTCTTCGCAGATGTTGTGGGAGAAATAGTCAATGCCGACCCGAGTACTCTGGAACCCCGTGTTCTCTGCATGATGGCCCTGGAGGGCTCCGCTCCTTCGGCTCCTGTCTTCCTCGAGGGCCTTTTGGGCCGTCAGCTGGTCCAGGTGCACCCGCCGGAACATGGTGGACTTCCCCAGGATGCAGGGAGCGACGGCCACGGTGTTGATGGCGACATACATCTTTGCGTGAGAGGAAGAGAGGAAGAGTTCTTCGACGCGGCCACCGGCACTCCGCTTGAGCCGCTCACTTCTCGAAAGGTTACCAAGGGAAAGCTTCCTGGCCGTTTGGGGAGTGGTAGGACCGTCGCCGAGGCTCAGAGAGTCTGCCACTCGTAGGTCGCCCTGGTCGGCGTGTAGGTCTACATCGACTGATATGGGCAGATGATGGACCAGCTTATACGGCGTCGTTGGTGCGTGTCCTTGCCTCGTGAAACCGCATAACCTGTCAACCATGCGCGCGCAAACACCCCGGCCCACCCAGACATTACAGTCCAGGATCCATATGAGATCGCGCGCCCCTGCCTCGCGGTATGCCTTGCTCATGTTCCGAATCTTGGGATTGGGCCCGAGACATCTGCGATAGTTGCTCTCCTCTTCGTCCCCGTTGGCAACCCCGTCGTCTTCCTCCTCGACGAATATCCGCGCATTGTGGCCTCGGTGGTCATTAACGACTCTCTCGATGATTTCGTAGGCTGGATCGGATCGGGACGAGATACAGAAGTGCACTGCTATCTGATCCCGCGGGTAATCTTGGTGGAACGTCGACGCGAGACATTCGTACAGGTAGGGTTCGAGTCCCTTGCAGGGGCGAATGACCGTGACATTGGGGATGTCGTGCTTGGCCGACCCGGAGAGGATGGCACCTTGGGAAGGGATCTGACGATAATACAGAAACCTGCATCAGCCACGGTCAGCGGCGGAGCGGGGAGCCATCGAAAGAGGGTGGGTTTGGTAGGGAATTGCTGGACGCACAGACACACGTAGCCAATGGCGCAGACGCAGGCGATGAAGATGTACCAAGCGATGCAAATCACCGCGATATGATCTGTGAGCATGAGTGTAGCATGTCGGACGCAACGAGTAACGAATGTGAGGCAAAAGACTGAGAGAAGGTCGAGTGAAATGCACGATACGCTACAACAGGAAATTTATTTGGTGGGTTTATTTTGTTCGAGGAAGTTGGTGTCGAGTTCCGAAATTTCCGCTTCTTCTCAAAGCCCGGCATCGCCATGCTGAAAACCAAAATCACCAAGACACAGGTTACTTGTAGAAATAAGGCGAAGCTACCGGATGTCTTGTTGCTCTTGCAGTATTGGCCAAATCGTTGGTCAATCCCTCAGCCATGCGCGCCGTTTCTCCTCCTTCTTCTCCCTCCGCTTCTCTTTGAAAGCTTTCACCTCTGCCTTGCTCAATTTCTTGTTGGCTCTCTCGGCTCTCAGACTTCGGCCGTCATGGCTATTCGCGGCAGCATCCACATCAAAGAAGGCGTTCATCTGTCGCCGACTCTTTTGCTCATCGGTAAATTTTTCGGGGTTGAGGTCTGCTCGCTGCCATTTCCCTGTGAAGCGATTAAAGGTCCCCGATGCAGCATACATGTCGGCAGGATTTGTGGCTGGAGCAGCGCCGGGCGCATTGTCGACCGGCGAGATCTCGTAGGCTTTGGCATAATCGGCGTTTGGGTCGTAATCACCGTGAATGGCAGGGTCGTATCCGCCAACTCTGTTTGTCGAAGAGCCCTGTGCTCCCGCTATTCTGTCGTGGTTCCCAACTCCTGGTGGACCGGCTTGACTGGATGCTTCTGGCACTCTTGGATTCTCCCACTGCGTTACTTTTGTAAAACGGTTGAAGAAATAAAATGCTTGGGCAGCGTCGTCCCAGATTGGCTCCCAGCCGTCATCCGCTGGTTGGGGAGGGGGGGCCTCGGCGGGTAATGGGGGAGGGTCTTCCTCGGTAGGAAGAGGAGGATTGGCTGCTGGTGTTTCTGCGGCATGTAGGCCTTCTGTATCTTGGTCTAGGGATTTTGCAGGCGAGGAATCATGGTCGTGCACTTCTCCATCCTCGTCACTGTGAGGACTGCCCTCTTTGCGTGTTTCTTCTTTTTCGAGACTGGTGATAGACATGACACATTAGCAAGGAAAGTAGGAGAGCGAAAATGGCCTGGAGGTCAGCTACAGCATGTTGGTCCGTTACACGATTTGACCGCAGGACGCAGATATACTCATGTAACAGTGATATTGCGGAGCATCAACGCTAGGGCTACGGCACAGCAGCCCGAGGAGCGAGTTGAGGATCTCTAGATTGATACAACAACGTGGGCGACGATTTGCGACGAGACTGCTTGGTACGCAGCGGTGCTGAGTGATGGGTATGGCAGGTTCAAGAGTTGGCGGTTGAGTATCGCAAGGGCGAGAAGATGCCCTCCTTCGAGGTCTGGCCACATGAGGAATGTTTGCCGGCGGTAGCGGGTTCTGGCCAATCAGGTTCCACCGAAGGCATTTGGGCGGAAAAGGGAAAAGAGCCAGCAAATAACAAAGCTCTCGATAACTTGTCACCACACGCTGTAAGAAGAGACTCATGCCACGTCAAAGATTCATTACCATTACCACATGTGCTCATGGTACAGAGCTGGTCCGCCTGCGTCCATTTTGTTGTCATCCCTTGCCCTCCACCGTGTTGATGCTCTGCCAGGTCTTTCACCTCATCTCTGGGCATCGATTCGTTGCACGTCCTTTGCCTCCTTCAAACGTCTCCTGTTCTGCTCATCCAGCAAGCGCAGTTGCATCTGATAGTCCAATAGGGCAGGGTTGCTCGCCTCTCGCCCAGTCAGATCCTGAGAACGGGCAGCCCCGCTGCAATCAATGATACCCAAATGCCGTCTGAAATGAGCCTTCGTTGCCGGATCATATTCCGTTTCAGACTCCACTTCAGAGCGATCTGGAGCATACCCACCACAAGCCCAGAGTACAGGAGTCTGCTTTCCATTTGCCGCAATCCGAGGCTGCGGAGTCTTCGCGGTGTTGATCTGGCCCACAGCGGGTTGTCCGAACACAAAGGTGGGAATTTCCTCTTCACTGGGCATAGATGACCAGTAGGAAATGGTACGATTGAATGTCCCGGGCGCAGATCTCCCTTGAGGTGGCGCGCAGACAGCATTAAAGCTCGTAGGATTGTAAGGCATCTCGACTCGCCTCTCTGCAAACGAGGTTGTTCTGATCGGGATTGCTCTGGATGACGTAGGCGACATATCTCTTGATATAGGGTGGGCTGCACCCCTCAGACAAAGTGTCATATGGACAGTAGATTGTGAAGTCACATTAATATCGTTGTCGCTATACTCTAGTGCATTTCGCTCCATTGTTTGTGTCCCGCTCTGCTAAGGGGCCCAAACTAGAATGCACTGAAGACCGGTGAAAAGACTTACAAGAATGGTGTAAGAGATTTGGGGAGCTTGGGTCGACCTCAGCTTTTATACATCAGGCTGGATGGCTGGTGGGACAGGACGGTCGAACCTGGGAAGGCAAATTCGTCCCTGGACTGAGTACGAGAGGGGGAAAGTTGTTGACCTGCCAGTTGAGGCTGAGGCCCTAGGGCGTAAGATCCTAGAGTTTCAATTGGCTGATATCCTCCACTATTGTTACCCCGGTCATAATTATTCCACTTTTCTTTTTCCCCTTAACGTTCACCGGCTTCAAAAGTCACTGGTCTCGGTTTGTCCACCACTGTGACAAATTGACGGCTCGCCATTCCAGATTCCAGATTCCAGAGCTCCCATTTGCGCCTCACCATGTACCAATGCACCTAAAGAGACATGTCGGAAAAGCCGTCTCTCCCATCGCGACTTGCTGCCGTCCTTCCGCTTGGTCTGGACCTTCGGGCATATCACTTGTCAACTCCACCGACACCAGTACCTACACTCTTCGCGCCTTTGAAGGGTCATGACGAGGAGGCCACTCTCTGCGAGTCCCACTTTCTGGCTGTCTCCTCCCCGGAGCATGAAGGACGCAAGGAGGTGTTGGTCTACGCCATCGAGATTTTGGTTTTCACCACCCAATCTCTCGTCACTCTCTTTGTTTCGAAAGCCGACTCTTCGGGCTTCTCTTCCCGTCTCAACCAACAAAAGGGCTCTCCATCTGCCGTCGCCGCCATCACCTCTACCTTTATCCAGTTCTTGCTTGAACCTCGTCTGTCGAGTTCAAGGGTGGTCCTATCGCTTTTCGCTCGTTCGCAAAACCAATATCTTTTCCCTGGGAGCTCTGAAAATGCTGGAAAACACATTCTAGACGATCGACAGCTCATAAAGTGGTGGTGCCGAGTGCTCGACAGAGTCCTGAGGCTGCCCAACGATGATTTAGTGGCTACTGCACACCTCTTGGTCCCAGGATGTGACAGGGCCGAAACCAAGGCATTTTTCCCGCCATCAAGTCGAGCAGACCCCTCTTCTGATCCGAAATGGGTCAATTCATACCCAGTCGACCTTCTGGTGGCTGACCCTTCGATTCCTCCAAGACATGTGGTCCCGCGGCTTCCAGACGACCCCAAAGCACGGTTTCTGGAGGATCTAGATGGCGACTTTATCGACGAGGAAGGACGTTGGCGGAGTGTGAAAACTCTTGATCAATTCTGGGAGATGATGTCCTATAGACAAGAGTGTTCTGCCGGACGATTAGTCGGTTTTCTGTGGCTGGTGTTCTCCCGAAGCCAGGCCAATCACCCTACGCTAAGCCAGCTTGAACAGACCGGTCAGACGGAGAATTTCGCCAGGCCACCCACTCACACGAGCCTTGTTACGCCTGTCAATTCTCAGCAATACGAAACCGGCGTGACGGATCCAAACGCACCGACTGCCAGCGACCTCAAAATGATCGTAGAACCCAACTCACCACCTTCGTCTTCGCCTATTCATCCAGAGCCTGAGTCGAAACCTTTGGACCAAATGCAAAACACCGACCGAGGTGCACCTGCACCTGAACCGGCGGAAAAGTCAATGTTGCCCACAATCGGGGAAACGCGGGGCGAGCTTGTCATCGGCACTACTCAATATCAGGCCTTAATGGATCATCTCCTTCAGACTGACTTTGCTGGCGAAGCCCTCGCTGCAGACGCCACAAAAAGTTGGGTCGACAAAGCTCTGGAGCTGTCAATGGTGGCCTCATTTGGGCATCCTATACATGGCCGTGCCGCCCCGGTCTTGGTTCCGTCCACAGCGCCGGATATTGTGTCATCAGCCAGAGTTAACATGCTGACTGGCGTCCGCAAGAAGAGAAAGGTGGACGTCATGGACAACAGCAACACCAACTCAGCAGGAGCTGCACAAGTAGCTGCGGTAACAACTACCAATACATTGTCGGCCGGCTTGGTGAGGAAGAAGCCGAAATCCTAACGATGGATAACGAACTGTCGGTCGTAAACTTAGCACGACCCCTCTCGTATCCATGGGAAGCAATACCCTGCTAGGCAGCCTGATTGGATAGAGAGCCTGCCCATTGTGTGGACGGTTTCCCCAAATCTTGGATGGTTGAAGAGAAAAATTTAGGATATGACAGAGCGGGCGTTGCGCACGATTCGGCACGGCACATCCATCGAGCCAGCCTCTTCGAATCTGTGAGTGGCCGTCTGCCGGGTCAGAATTGTGGCTATACAACGCTGGGCGTCCTGACCCGCCCCACACACTCCTCTATTCTCATTGGCTCTAGCTCCGCCGACGATCGGTGAGCCGCCAAGCCGCGCTCCGATTGGGCCTCGGCAGCCGCCAAGCTGGATCGCCTTCTCCTAAAAATGGAAATTCGTCGAAACCTCATCTCGACCTCTCGGCGCCATTGACGCCTTCGTGCATCAGGCCACACCATCGGCCGGCCCAGTGTCCGATGTGTTTCCTCCCCTCTCAAGCTATCTCCAGGCTGCCCAAGAGGCGACCTACTGCAGAAAATGACAAAAATGACAACCGCCCTGCATCGACGGGCGTGCCCCAGCGCGGCGTCTATTGTAACCCCTCGGTGCTTCCCAAGTCCGTTTCAGCTTTTGCCTGTAAATGCTCAAGTCGGCCAGGCTGACCACGGCAAAGTCCTGAGACGGCTGCCAACTGTATGGTCGTCGATTTTCCTCTTGTATTGCCTCATCTCATCTCTGCCGTTTACTTCTGTTCGTAAGTGGTTCTGGTCATCTGTCTTGCTGTTTCCTTTTTTTTTTCTTTTGTTTGCATTTGTCTTTGCACTGCTCATTAGCCTTCACACGGCGGTGATCGGTGACTGTTGGGCCTATACTGCCCGGTCGTCGAGTATCCTTCCTTTGGCTGTTTCAGATCATGGCGGCGGTCTTCGAAGCACTGCTGCTCTTTGTGGCTGCCGTTGCGGCGCAGAACAACTGCTCTATTGTGCCAATCTATGTCGACTTCCATGTCAGAGCCGTCGACGGTGGAGTCAACGAACAATATGGATTGTTTACCGGGGCTGGTTTTCCAGTATCACAAAACATGTCGCACTGGCCGTCGTTGTCGAACAACGAAACAACCGTGGCCAGCCTGGACTACTGCACCGACAGTCCTTTCCAAGACTGTCTAAACCACGCCCATGGATTCTATTCTCCGGACCTGTCACAAAAGTCAGTACCAAGCCCCTCGTGGTGATCGTCTTGAGATGCTAAAGAGTGGACTTGCAGCTACTCGTCAGGTTCGTCATACCAGGCACTCGACAGCTACGGCTCGATTCCCGCCAGGATTCTGCAGACGGCATTCGATACCTTCAACCTCTTCACGCACTACTACGACCCTTCTCCCCCCAACATCACCCGAATCCCAAACTTCCCGCTGACGGTCTTGTCCAATTACTCGAGCAGCACGACTCCTTGGTTTGGGCCAGCGGGCCTGCTCGGCCTGGGACCCAAAAGCACGCTGCTGAACCATCTGTACGATCTCGAACTGATCTCGTCACGGTCGTTTGGGCTGTACATGGGCACCGCCTACGAGCAGTCCAATGGCGCCATCAACGGCTCGCTGACCCTGGGCGGCTATGATTCGGGCCGTTTCGAAGGCGACGTGCACAATTTCACCATCAGCCCCGCGCGGCCAGAGACCGAGAACAGCCCCTTCGTGGTTTCCGTCGCGCAGATGACACTGACCGCCTCCGACGGGACCCAGACGGATCTCCTCACCGAGAGCTTCGACGCCCATCTCACCACAGCGCAATACCACCTCAACCTCCCCAGCGACGTGACGCAGAAGTTTTCCCAGCAGACGGGCGCGACACCGTCGAGTGACGGCCTCGAGGTCTTCCGCCTGCCGGACGACTTTGATTCGAAATTGATCATCACCCTCGCGTCGGGGATGAGCGTCACGTACGACTCGGACTGGCTGAAGAACGTTTCCAACAACTCCCCCATCTCCACGGGCACGGTCTCGGACAAGGCGACAAACCAGACGGTCAGCTTTTTCGGCACCGCGTTCCTCTCTCAGGTCTACTTCATGGCCAACTACGACTCGTCCCCGCCCACGTTCCACCTCGCGACCGCCTCGCCGCACGCGCCCTACGTCTACACGCAGACACTGTGCCCCAACACCGTCCCCACCGCCGCGCCAGAAACCAAGCTGTCGGGCTTCGGCGCCTCTGGTCTGACGGGGGCGATCTTGGGCGGCGTGATCGGGGGCATCGGGCTCTCGTTCGCCGTCTTCTGGCTGTTCCGGAAATGGATGCAGCGACGGATGTGGCGGGAGCAGGCGGCACAGGCCATGAAGGGGAAAGGCGTTGACAGCGAGTCCACCATCACGGTGACCACCGCCGCCGGCAAATGGAAAGGGTCGCCGTCTTCCTTCTCCAGCCACGACGAAGAAGCGCAGCGAGGCGAGGGAGACGGCAGCGAAATGGCCACCTTTGCGTTCGACTTCCACTCCCAACAACACCAAGCATACCACAATTTCCTCCAGAACGCCACGCAGCAGCAGCAGCAGGGACAACAACCGCAGCTCTATCCCGGCGCGAGCAGAGAACTCCAGAGCACTGCAGCTGCTCACGAACCCGTGTCTCCTATCTCGCACCGCTCGATGCCCGTCACGCAATACGCCCGCTCGTTTACCCAGGACTCGTACTCCAACTCGCCGCTGACGCCGGCCACGGGTGTCCCGCTCTTATTCTCCCAACACCAGGCGGGCTACTCGGAGGAGGGCCCGGGCCCGACGTCATCCTTCTTCCCGCCAACGACGACGACAACATCGTCCTCCTTCGCGCCCCTGACGCTTACCCACACGAACATCTCCCTCGACGACCCGACGTCCATCTACCCCTTCGGCGCGGGCCAGGGGCGCGGCGAGGACGACAACTCGTTCCGCGCGAGGCAGGCCAAGCTGCGCGGCGGCGGCGGGCACGACGGGTTGAATGTGCAGACCGAGTTCGCGCCGCCTCCCAAGTCCACCACCTCTACCTCTTCCCTGGGGAGCAAGATGGCGCGCAAGGCCGTGGGCAAGGAAGGCGGCAAGAAGGAGAGCATGTTGAAGAAAGTGTTTCCGCCGTCTTGAAGGGCCTGCCTTAGCGAGTGAGGAGGGACATCCCTTGGCTTTATGACTGGAGCGGCGTTGTCGGAGTCAGTCCGAGTGTTGGTGCATGGATCAGGCTGGCCTGGTCTAGCCTGGTCGGGTCGGGTTGGAATGGACTGGGATTGGGATTGAGATCGGGATTTGGTTCTAACGAGGAAAAGATTCATCACGGTCAGAGTCACGGTTCACGGTCATGGTCACGGTCAACGAAACCCACCTTCTCCCCCCAGTGTGGGAAAAACAAGCGCTCGCTTTTCTTCTTTTCTATTTTAATCCGGTGTAGATATAACGCGTTGTACACACACACCCTTTACCAATTTTGATCTGTTTCTTCTACTTCTATGGAGAGCTCATGGCCCGTTTTCTCTTCTGTATACCAACCGCTTCTGTCTTTGTTCTCAAAGACCGATCTCATATCGTTCCTCGGGCAGTGGCTTGCTCGGGGTATATCGTTCGTTATAGCGATCCTGGGAGTCCTTGGGGATGGATACATGCATTTCTTTCGGTATGGGGATCTACATGTGCATGATACCGTGTGTGGTGTAGTTTCGGAGTCAGCTAAAGACGCCCGGCCCTGTCCCTAGGGGGTAAGGTGGTAAGACGGAGTTCAGGATGGGGATCGTCAATCATTACTATTATCATTCTCGTCCTTTCTCTTCCCCCCGGTCAACTCCGGGAATGAGGGTTTCTGGGGATTTCATGCTCGGCTGGTGGCCGTGTCCCACCCGCCGCCTCCTCGCTGGGCAGAGTCGTTGATCGAACGCAGCCCGGACCGATGCATGCTTAGACAGCCACCTCGGCCTTTTCATCCACCCTCCCCATGCCGTCACCCACGCCGTGCTCGCTGCCCTCACTTTCGCCCGGCGTGGAGTCCCCGCGGCCCCGGTCCTGGAACCCGCGCGTCTTCACGCGCGCGATGAACAGCTCGTCCAGGCGCTCGTAGCTCAGCCCCGCCGACTCGGGCTGGCACAGCCACAGGTAGACGATGGAGAGGACGGACAGGGCGCCGAAGATGAAGGTCACTTTGGCGCCTAGGTTCGCCTTGTCTGGGTTGAAGAGGTAGGGCAGCACGAATCCCCACATGGTCTGTTTCCCCGAGGTGGGAGAAGAGCGTTGTTAGAGAGAGAGAGAGAGAGAGAGAGAGAGAGAGAGAGAGAGCCAAGTGGCTGTTGGTGACCAGATGTTATGACTTACGAAAAGAGCACTCTGCAATCCAACTGAGATGGACGCCGTCTTGGCCCGCAGCCGCGCGGTGGGGATCTCGGTGAGGATGGTGAAAGCGGTGGCGCCGATGGTGGCGTTGTAGACGAAGGAGAAGAGCTGGAGGAGCGCGATCGTGCCTTTGATGGCTGGCGGCGTGCCTGAGACTGCGAGGCCTAATATCACCAGCATCATCATCCGTCAGCGAAGCGTCTTCTCAGTCTCAAACCCGCAGTCCATAGGTCCAGAAGGGCGTTTTGCTGGGCCAACAAGATGTTACGCATCGTGGCAATGACAAATCATACATACCTCCTGTGATCAAGAGAATCAAAGTCAGCATGACCATGCCCCATATCGTCAGAGGTCGCCGTCCAACTCTATCCACCAGGAACCATGAGCAAATGTTCCCCGCGCCCGATAGAACTTGCTGGACGATGAACAGGTGGAAACTGGCCGCGGTGCTGTATCCCGCGAGCTGTTGGTAGTAGGTCGTGTAAGATCCCACGAACGCCACGCCGGAGAAGGTCTGGATGGTCAAGGGCATGGCGGCGATGATGGTACGGCGCAGGTTGGACCTTCGGAAGCATTCCATGTACGTCGCCCCGGACGTCTCCTCCTTCGTCTTGGCAAGCACTCTTTTGATCTCTGCCATTTTGAGCTGGGCGTCAGCGTCAGTCGAATACCCTATCCTCTTGAGGGCTTTCATGGCTTTCTTGTCTTTTCCGTGGCTGACGAGATACCAGGGTGATTCTGGCATGAACGGCAGCACCGCCGCCGCGATCCCCATGAAGCCATAGCCAGAGACAAAGGCAATCCGATACGCCCAACGGGTGGACTGGTTGCCCGTGAAGTTGACCACAAGAGCAGACGAAAGGGCGCCGGTGATGAGAGAGATAGGGACGGCAGCGGTGAGCACTCCGCGCAACGGCAGGGGCGTGATCTCGCCGATATAGGCCATGCACAGAGAGTTGGTGCCGCCCGTGGAGAAGCCGCCCAAGAAACGGCCCGCGAAGAAGATATAGTTGGTGGTGGCGATGAATTCCAAGGTGACGGACGTGAGCCTGACGGCGAAGACGAAGCCGAGTGCAAGGCGGCGACCGACCTTGTCGGCGATCCATGCGGCACTCAATGCACCCATCACCGCACTGTCAGAGGAGAATCAGCCCCAGTCACCCATCAAGCATAAAGAGGCTGGTCTTACGCTGCCTGAGGAGCGCCGTAGTATGCCGACTGCCACTTGGCCGACAGGACATAGTTACCACCGTAAGCACTCCCAAAATCCTTGCGAAATTGAGGGATACCAAGGACTGATTGGCCCGCCGTCTTCGCGTAATTGTTGGCGAGGATACACCATAGCATGTAGAGGCACCAGATCACCGCCCAGATGTACCGGCGGAAGGATCCTGATAGCGACGAGCCGCCCCTCTTATGAGTGGGCACTGTTTCGACCGCGTGAATTTCGACCGCACAGACATCGCTGTCGAGCGCCGGCTTCGAAGGGCCTGTGCCCGCCATGGTCGCCTTGTCAAGCAGATCGAGCTCGTGGAGAGTGGGACATGGCCGTCTTGTAAGGAGATATAGAAGACATAACGGCGCTTCCAAAAGGGACTCGTGGTGCTCAGGTCGTTGTGCCTGACTGTCTGAAGGTCTTAATAATCGCCTGCAACCTTTTGTCTAATCGTGCAGCCAGATCTCGTCTGTGGGATACGAAATAGGCGACTGGAAGCGGCGCCCTTCTCCCACTCTGGATGGATCTAGACCGATAAGTCGAGGGCCAGCGCAGAACTCTATCCGCTCTTGGTGCGCCTTGGGTCCAATTACACGCCCGGCGACCGGTGGCCCAGCGACTCGAATGGGCCAGTGCCAGTCTCTTTCATGGCTCTTTAGCGAGTCTGAGTAATCGCAGATGGGGGCGACCTTTGGGGGCCGGTTCTTCCCTGCACGACCCAAGGCACCAAGACACCCACGGGCGTCCTCGCTAAGAAACGTTCGGCGCGCACTTCCGCAGCGCCGATATCAGAGCTGAAGATTGGGCCAGGACGAGACTCGGTTTGTGATTTGCGACAGGAGAGCCTTTGGATGCAGGAGTTGTGTGCGGTTAAGGGAAGCCGAAGGAACAGCGACACCAAGGACCATATCTATAATATCCACACCAATACCAACAGCCATAAGGAGCCGAGGATCCAATGGCGGGGTGAAGACCTGTCTCTGTCCAACTCACCCAGCTGCCTGAGCTGTCATTCATTGAACCCAGCGTAACGCCTCGCGGACACCATGAGTCAAAGCCGAAAGCCTCCGCCGCTGATGTTCATCGTGGGCGACGCGAAGAACCCCTCGAGGACGACCAAGGCCCTCAAATCAGCAAAGACGTCACACATCTCGTCGCGCTACCGGTACTGGAGCAAGGCAAACCACCAGGACCTGGCCCTCGACTCGACCACCAAGGCCATCTTGACGGGGACATCGTCGTATCTCCAGCGACTGTCCACGGCGAACTATCCAAAGACGCCGGCGAGCGCGTCCAACAACGACGACGAGACCGAGCAGGATGGCCACGAGCAATCATCATCAGAGGGAAGCAATGGCGCTCTCATCCCCGTGGCAACAACCTGCACGGCGACAACGACATCGCAGAAACCACACGTGGCCGTCAAACCCTGGGAGCGTGCCCTCAGAGCATACGAAGAATGGGCCGCCTCTCCCTTGACACTGCTGGGCTCACAGTTCTTCGATATCTTCACCCCTTCGACGGCCCTGACATACGACACCGAAATCAAAGCCAACCTCTACTTTTATTTCTGGATCATCAGGCCGTTTGCGACCCATCTGCTGCAATCGTGGAAGTGGCTGGACAACCTGTCGCAGATCCAGGCGTCGCCCTGTCTAACTTATGCCGTGGCAACATATGCTTCGGTGTTTCTGAACGGCATGCTCAGAGGGTGAGCTCCATCTTCCCCGATGTGAAAGAAATGCCTCTTGCATGGCCTGCACGTGTACAATCTCAAGACTAATGTTCATGGTTATGTGTTCAGGGGCCCTGGTGTAGTGCTACCACCACCGACCGAAAAGGGCCAGAAGTCGCCGTGGCAGATACCGGCCTGGTTACGCCTCCATACAAGATGCCTGGCCGAGCTGAATGCCGTCCTAAGTGATCCAAATCAGGTTGTCGATGATTCATGCTATCAAGCCATCCTGTTCCTATACCGACTATCGGTAAGTTGGGGGATGAAGCGAACAGGGAGATATTCCTGAGCCGACACCGTCTGACGGTTCTAGGTGCTACTGGCAGACGGCGAAAGCGGCAGAATGCACCTCCAGGCGCTGAAGCGGATGTCCTTGCTCCTCGACACCAATGAAGCTGCCCTAGAAACAGAACTGGCCGTGTGAGCATTCCAGGTTCGTCCCTCTATACACCAGTCCGCTGACTGTGCATCCCAGATCCAAAGTCAACATCATCGGCGCATTCCTCCACAGCCGCTCGATCGTCGTGGTTCGCAAGGCCCGCCGCCGAAATTCAGAGGGACGAAGAGAGATGATCGAGATTGACAGGAGATTCTGGAAGTCCGACCGGGAATGGTATTCTCATCGAGCGCATCTGGCAGGGCGCATGCTGGCCTGGCGGCCAGAGAGTCCCAGCTCCAGCTTGCTGCCGGGCAGTGCGACCGCGATTGCGCGAATGGACCCAGATAGCTGCCGGTTTCTGGGCGAGCCCGAGCACCTCGAGATGCAGCGGTGCTATCAGATTGCGCTGTTCTTCTGGATGTACCTGAACTGCATCAGCTTCAACACCTCGGCCCTCATCGTTCGCTCGAACCTGCTCGAACTGCAGTACCGCCTGTCTAACATGGATCTTCCGACCATGAGCTCCATCTGCCACACCACGCTCTTCAACATCTTGTTGGCGGGCACGGCCGCGTCGCGGAACCAACCCGAACGATGGTGGTTCGTGCACCAGATCATTAGGCTCTACCCTGACATCCAGCACCTCGACACTGTCTGGCAGCTGTTGGCCGAGTTCTTCGACCCCTTGTCGATCAACTTCAGATTCATCCAGGAGATGTGGCGAGATTTTGTGGCCGCGAGAAGGACCATCACAAAGTCGACAAACTCCTCGGACAGCCAGTTGGTCAGGCCGATCAAACATTTCCGGCCGACCTCATACGCACCGGACCTGACAAAACCGCTACCGGTCCTTGAGCTTGACGACCCAGACGTGTTTTCGCTCGAGACGAGCGTCCACCAGTCGCCCGGTCGAGTGGCGGCTGCTTCTTGAAAATAATCACCCAATTCGCTTTGAAGATGGCGTTCCTGATGGCTAAGAGCGCAAGAGAGGGAACAGCCTCCAGCTTATCGTCAATGTCGAGCTGCCTTTGAAACCCGCCCCTTGCCAATATGATTCTTAAGTGCCGTGAGCCGTCTTGACGTTTTCGAGTCGGATAGGAATCAAGTCCTTAAGGGATCGAGTCCTAATTATAGGAGCGGATCAAGCAATCGAATCTTGGACTGAGCAGCCCATTGCAACGCCGTTTGTCCGTAGTGGTTCCTCATGTGTATATCGAGATCGTCTCGACCAAGTAAGAGCTTCAAAATCTCTTCCTACTCATACCTCTTCCTGTTCATACCTCTTCCCAGCGAACCCTAACTTCGAAAAGAAATTCCAACACTAATTGCGCGGTGGAGCTGGCACGCCCTTCCACCACCCCGAGGAGTGACTGCAATGCTTCATAAGTAAAGCCCGCGTTTGACGTGCCAAGTTTCGATATTGTCGCGTGGACGAGAGCTTCATGTTCGTTTTCCACAGCCCACTTCAGGACTTCTTCTTCTTCTTTCCCATCCGAGGGTTTGGGACCCCAAGGAAGCATGACAACCTTGACACTGTTCGACAACAGACGAAGCCACAGTCCGTAAGTCACCTGCCTTCCTCTTTCGAATTTCCGAGTGTGGAATAACCAAAATGTCTTTGCGTAGGCCAAAAATGGATAACTTTCTTGTCTTCGTTCCCCGATTCCCACAGCTCGGAGACGAGATTCTAGGTCGAAGTCCCCTACTCCCTCCCTTTTCAAGAGTCCCAGTGCAATTTTGCTGATTACGGTCCACGGGAGCGTTCTTTCAACAATCGAGGTGGTTATGTCGTGTGGTTGTAGAGGCGCGCGATTACTTGTTTTGGTGAGCGTGGTGTCGAAGACATTGAAGTTCAAGTAGGTGACGCAGATTTCACCTAAACTCAGATCGGCCTCTGGCAATTTCACATGGAATTGACGAGTAAATCCGTCCTGTGGACTGGACAGAATGTATTGTTTAACGCTGTGATGGGTGAAACGAACCGTAGAATCTTCCTCATCGATGAGCAACAAACTGCCGCAACCGTTGACCGCCGTCCGAATGTCATTAATCAGCCTTCGTGAATCCCGCTCAGTCTCTCCTGGCACGACGCCCATCGCCTCGCGAAGTTCATCCAAAGCCAACGGCCGCTGAGCCGCAGCGACAATCGCAAAGATCTTGTGGCAAGTGCTTGGATTTACGGTCCTTTTCGCTGCCATCTTCCGGAGGACACGATCGAAAGTTTCTGGCAAGTCCTTCGGCAAAGATTGGAGCGCTTGCAAAATCCCTTCGTCGGTGAGCTCGGCGCATATCGATTCGAGCTGAAACACGACCCAGAGGAACCTGGCGGAGATTAGCATCTTTCTGTACTGTGGACGTCAACACTAACATCCCATGGCTTCCCTCCGTGAGAGCCTGTCTGATGGTTAAAATTATGGTTGGATCTCCTAAGCACAGGCTGCCTGTTTTCAAACGGTCTTCCAAAGCACCATTGATATATTGAGCGATTTCAGGGTTCTGCACCGGTAATGGCAAATGATACTGAGGTTGTAGGGTAGCCCGATATCTTGTGTGAAGGTCTGGACAACTCGAGCAGAAGATGTAAAAGCGGTGATGTGACTTTAGGAGCTTGCCGAGAGAATCAAATAGTTGGTCCAGCTCAGTCTCAATACATTCATCGAGACCATCGATAATGACGAAGTTCTGTTCACTTTGAGGAAGTAAGTTGAGGAGGCAAGACACGATCTCGTCATTGTCGAGTGCGCCCGATTCGCTGGCATCGATCCTGCCAAACGCGGCTGGGTCGAGCAAGCTCAAAAGCTGCCTTGCGAGGCTTCCAACAATGGTCCTGGCCTTAAGCGATTCTGCGTCGTCGTGGCTACAGAAAAAATAGCAGACAAGAGCATTCGGGAAGCTGATGCTAATTTCCTGCAACACGCTCGCTGTGGAGACCGTCTTCCCGGACCCCAGAATTCCTGTAATCCAAAGCACACTCGACGCAGAAGATTGAATCCATTGCCTATAGGCGGCGTGGTCGAAGATCCGTGAGCTCTCACCCGCCTTCCGAGCTCGCTTCCACGCCGTCTGGTGATTGTAAGTGGAGCATGTATCCAAAAAATGAAACTTCGCCTTTTGAGCTTTGAATTTCTTGGCTTCATGGATCTCCGTTGACGCCTTTGACGAGGACCACGCTCGAAAATTGGAGGCCTCCCTTGTCTCGAGGGCAACCTCCTGTTTGAACGCTACCGAGGCCTCTTCGCGTATAGACTCTGCCATTGTTGAGAGATTAAGCTCGAGCGGGCCGAATTCCGATTGAAATGGCTTGAGAATGGTGGCTGATAGTTGAGCGAGTGGGCTTTTCATAATAAAGAGAACTGCTTTCTTGCAGACAAGGACAACCGTGCAGAAATATTCACACAGAGCCTCCTGTAGCCTGGGAGATTTGGGATACATGACACCGTATTGCTCATAGCGGGGACATGAGCGTCCAATGCGCATAAACAAGGCTGACAGGCTGTCGAAATACGACGCAAAGTTGACGGTTATCTGTAAGGTCATCCGAAGTACGCCCCAAATGGAAGTCGCAATCGGCGATTGGGTCCCACCTATAATGACATCGACAACGGTTGAGAATTGCTGTACGGCTCCCAGTATGGAAGTCAAGCGCGGGCCAAAGCAGCGACGACTCGTGCGCCGGCCGTTGTTCTTGTCAATCTCAGCTGTGACCTTCATTACGTCGGATACTGCGGGAGGTCTTTCGGCACGCCAAGTTCGAAACGATTTCTTATCGTCATCGCTGAGAATGGCCTCGAATTCCGAGAGCGCCTGGGCCAGCCTGATTTCGGGTCTCAAAGGTGCAGCAGTCCTCAAGGCGAGGGCCATGGTATTGCGAGCGGGCGCTCCTCGTAAGCTTCGACGCAGGTATCGAAGATTAGAAGATCAACAGGGACTTGTCAACGGAAACGCTGTACAATTCTGTGAAGGGTATGTGGAAGAAGTCGTCCATGGTGAGGCTGAGAAGTTGCTAGGCCTCATTCATCTCTGCCAGCCTCTCACATGTTCAGCCACGGGCGCCAACGTGTCACGTGGAGCGGCCGGGCCCCGGGTCGAAAGATTCAGAGGAGGCGGAATTGGATGCCATTGAGGGCGCTTCGTTCGGGCATTGGCTGTGTTTACACTGGGCATCATTGGCGCCCGAAGTGTGCGAAGGGGGGAAAGGGCCGGCTAGGACGAAGGATGAAAACTGAATGGATGGACGTGATGTGGATGGGGGAAGCGAGGTGTTGGAGCGGAGGACCAAGCGAGCAGAGAGGAGGCGAAGGTGAGTTGGAGGAAGGAAAATCATGGTCACGTGGGGGACGAGGCTCTAAGACATATCAGGTTAGATGTGTCTTGGCGGCATCCTTACCCCAAAACCAACCACCAACCAACTGATTGTCGCGACACGCACCCGATGCCGCTTGAACACCCACCAACCACGCCACAATCACGACCTCAGTCTGGACATTCTCCATCATGAACATGGACTATGTGGCGTCTGCATCCAGCCTAGACTATCCCCATGCGTCGTACAGAATCTGTTACTCCGTACTCAAACGAGCAACGAACACTTCCCTGCGAGGGTGATCCGATATGAGGCTCGCTGCTGAGCGGATATGCAGCTATGGCGCGACAAGGTCGATTTCCTTTTTTTCCGCCTCGTATTTCAAAGGCCAGGGTCCTCCCACATCCTCGTATTCCTGTTGCCGTGCTTCCGGCGACCAGAGTCCTTGATAGGGTGCTGCTCGGAAAGCGCCGCGACCTAGATCTTGCCCTGGCACGAGTCAACTTGCCCGACAGCCTAGGCTGTCCGAGATGCTCGGCCCTCGTCGTTGGCTAGGAGAATCATTGAAATGCTGAATGAGGCTCTGCCACCACCCCCATCAGACTTCGGGCTCACTAGGCTCCCCGTACCTCTCTTAGGTTAAGCAATGGATAAAGTTCGACTTCTATGTTGGCGCAATGTTCCGGCCCCTAAACACTGAATTCAGCATCATAGCCCACCGTTCTCCCCATTAAATGACAGGTTCTGGCTTGCAGATATGAAAAAGAATAAAACACCAAGGTGATACAGCGGCAAGAAATCATCGACTGCCGGCTCCTTCCAACGAAGCTACTATATGCATCCACAACGAGGGAGCTCTTGTTCCATGCTGCTCAGAACAAGAAAACAGGATCTCAATCATATAAATTAAAGGGTCTCAAGGCCAGGCCAGATCACAATCCCAGCGCCCACCATATCATGGGCCCACAGCGACGAGAAGCTCTATGCACAGCCATTCGTAGACCACGGTTGACTTTTCACTGGGCACGAAGCATCGAGCCCGAATACTCTCGCGGCAGAACGGACGGCTTCAAATCCTCCACATCTACTTCCTTGCCTGGTTGCCGCTAGGCTGATCCAAAGTCGCTGCGGAATGTCCAGGACTCGGAAGCCCCTGAGGTATACTCCGTACATACCCATGGACGCGCCGTGAACCAATAATCCAGCCACTTTTGGCTGCCACAGTCGCCCAGAGACAGTCGCCAAAGGCTGGGCCTCGGGGTTGACTTAGTAACGAATGGGCACCCCGGGGACGATGGCTTAAGATACACACGAAGCGCAGATTGAAAACGATTGGACATCTGGGACAATGTTTCCATAAGCCCACCCGGTCACAGCCTGTGTCAGCTCACTCTCCTCTCCCAACCTCCCATCCTCCCTTATTCTCTTTGCATATGAAACATCCCGTGCAGCTTTTGCGTTTTAAAACAAGTATCGTTCTCGTCGATGGAAGGGGGAGCAAATAAACACTCCCATCCAGTATGCGACTCCAGCGTATATCCCTTTCGGGGAGCGCGTGGCCAAACAAGCAAATACTCAGCCGAATGCAGCGGCGGGAAGCCCAGCTCACCAGACTGCGCTCCCTGAGAGAAAGATGTCGCGATAACCGCATCACCAGCGACCTATGACTATACAGCCAAGGCCACTGCTCCAGGGCTACGTCTTTACCATCACGATCACGAAGGAGTCGTTGGTACTAATTATTGACCCGGAAGTCTTCTTTTCACGCGCAACATGCTTGGGCCAAGTCCCTTTTCGCCCAGAGCACCACTCGTACTCCTCCTTCTCTTGTTTCCCTGTACTTTTCCACGCTGCCCATGCTTCAGGGGGGCCATGAGGTGACAGAAGACTGACCATCCCAGGGACCTGTCACTACAAGATCTGAATGTTAGAAACCCCCAGGCGGTACAAAAAACTCCCAGGGCTTTCCCTCCTCCGCTCCCAGATACAAACTCCAACCATAATTCCACGACTGATACCTCCGCCGTCACCATCACCGTCGCCGCGTCCTCACCCTGCCACAAGGGATCTTTACTGGCTCTTGATTCCTCGTTATTGGCGGCGTCCTCTGGAAGAGTAGGCTCTTGCCCAGAAAAAGAAAAGGAGGCGGACGAGATTACTGAGAAATCTCATGCTTGACGGAGATCTATCCAGAGTTTTCCACCGTGAAAACAAAAGATGGAGAAAGAATGAGAAAACATATACAGAAAACAAACTGAATCAAAGTGAATCAAGACATAATATGAGCCTGTGATCTCAATTTTCGTTTGGTCCCTGGAGATACTCTCATCCGTGGTTACACCGCGTAGTTGATCAGCTGCCCAAAGAATATGAAAATGCGACAAGTAGAATGGAAATGATATCAAGTTGACATTGGCAAGCATTCATTCATTCATTCAATCTTAGACATCACATCGTAAACATAGAAGCCAGTAAGACAATACATCCAAAAACAACAAGTAGCTGGATAAAGACAGGCTGGGTCATTCACACCTCACACAATGCTCCCTTCATATACCCGAACAATGGCCATCACAAAACATAATGATGGCAATACACAACATGATACAATAAGACACGAATGCAAGCAAATCAAAGAGTAAATAAACAGCCAGTGAACGTTGACTGGAGAGGCAGCTAACCAATCCAAAAGACCAATGCAGAACCAAGATCCAGACCGAAGTGTCTCCATTGTGTACTGGGACACCCTAATCCATCTCTTCCTGACGGTCAGTTGCAGTAAATGTCAAAATGTAGTCGGCCGTCGACGTTTCCGTCGTGAGTATAAGTCGTAAAGTCGTAAGGTAGGATGCTAAGTAGCGTATCTCTCACCGTGGTCGAGTCGAGCCTCGATCAGACGTGCAACGAAACAAGGTGGCATTGCATGATGTGAGCAGTATGTGCTGCGCGAGCTTTCAGTCAATTGATTCCACCTCGTCTTCCGAAAAATTATGGCACTGAACAATGAGACCAACCACCAGTCTCACCGATGTGACCACAATGTTCCCGGTTCCTCTCAACTCTTTTCTGTGTCACGTTCATTTCCGAATTCTGTTTTTCATGTGCGCATGCTCACGGATGTCCTCCTTGTGATCAGCAGATTGCACTAGTAACGTATGAGGCTTTCCTTTAGCTAAAGATCTCGCCATAGTCGCCTCTCTCCCAGGCACTGAGATTGTCGGATGTGACTTCGGCTGGATCATGCCCGATTTCGATGACCATTGCGCGTTTGTGGTTTCCTAGAGTTATCGGCGCGAACTAGTAAGTTTCTGAAGAGAGCAAGGTATGTTGAGGCTGTGCAAATGAACTTACTTGAGCTCGCGGGCAACCCGTGTCTCTGGAAGTGCGTCGAGGAAACGTCCGGTCTGAAACACGTGTTGACTGCGAGACAAGCATAATGTGGTTCGACCCCAAAAGCAAGGAGGCCCACAAGGATGCTCAGGTACCCAGCCAGCTTGCAGGTTGGTTTACCGTCAAGCTGTGCCTGGCAGACGTCTGGTAGCAGTTGCTCAAACCAATCATCTGGTCCTGGGAGATGCAGTGCAAAGCCTTCTCCCTGATGGACAATGACTGCTAGATCAGGGGTCGCGTGTCGGCCAAAGGAGATTCGCCGCCATACGTCAGGGTGAGGGTTCTCAGTAGTGCAATCGACGGGCGCATGTATATAGTTGTGACGCTCGGGATCCCAGATCAAAGTGCTAGTCTTGTGGTGGCTGCGCCGGGCATTTTCCTCAAGCGACGCTAGACGTAAGTGCCTTCCAGCAGCCTGGCCAGGATCCCAGATCCACCATCCCGATTCACTTTCAGTTACAAATTGATCAGATGACGATGGCCGCCAGTAGAATTCTGGACCCGGTACGAATGGCGCTTCGTCCGGGGCAGCTTCATACCGCACGTGGTGGATGCGCAGGAAGAAAGGTGCGGCGAACGGAAGTTGGCCATGAGGAGCCGCAGATGTAGTAGTAAAGTGGAAGTATTCCATGGTAATCGATCAAGGCACGTAAGGGAGAAAGGAAAGAATAGGGGAGAGGCCAGAATATGGAGTACGATCTGAGAGATACTTGTGAAATGCGAGTGAGACAACGCGAAGAGTGGTCACAGGGGGACATAAATGATGGTCCTTGGGAACAAATAGATACATCGGCCAACAATGCCGGAATGGATGAACACCTAGCACATGCAGGAGGAAGGTGGACTTACCACTTAGGCAGATAGCTGGCGCCGAATCAGCAGTCCATTGCCGGCCGCAATGGCAGTGTTAGCGCCTAGATTGGCGTCAAAACGAGAGGATGCTGGAGCCACATCTTTAGCCGGTGCAACGCTTGGGCGACAGGAATGACGCTCATCGGCCAATGGTACGCTCCATGGTAGGAGTTTGGATTCCCCCGTCCCCGTCGAGATTGGGTTCAATACCAGGCTGGAGAGTGGTCGAGGTTCTCAAATGGTCAAATGGGGCCGCTGACTCCCCGAACTGACAATGACGGTGATGGCTTCATGTTCGAAGTGATATGTGAAGCGTAAATACTCGGGTACGGAACCGACTTGGTTGCATGGAAACGAGCAGGGGTGGTGTGGCGCATGGAGAGCGTTCCGCTTCTCCAGCCCTCAAAAAGCGGCAAGCCTGGCAGGTTGGGGCACAGACCCGATGGCGACGAGAGTGGGAGAGAGTGACGCACGTCAACCCCTAGTGATCGGAGAATCCTGGATCCTAATGCGGCTCTGCGGCAAGAATCGGCTGCTTCTTGGAGGCGTGAGCTCGCACCCTGCGCTTGTCTTCGGCCGGGCGGTGTTTCCTCGCTCACTCGGCAAATTCTTTCCTATCTCTGGGGATTAGTAACTCCGCTCGAAAATGAGATAGGCGAGCCAATAAGCAAGGAAGACACTTGCACAATGCCTTGGACAAGGCACGGGTGGCCTCTAGGGCCCCTGGGGCTGGATGATCAAAATCATCGAATGTAGAATTGATCAAGACAAGAGGAGGCGAGTATTTTTCTGACCATGGACGTGGTCCTCTTTATATGCTGGCATTGTGACCAACCTTGCAGACCAGAGCAGGTCATCTCGCCTCAGCTCACCTATCACATTCCAATAAGGTGCATTGGGGTATGCATTAGTGGTTGCCTTGTCCGGCTTCCTTCTCTGCGCCCGATTTTGGTGAGGCATATTCGGCAGTCCTGAAACATGAGTCGCAGGACTCGATATGCACTTGTGATGACCGACAGACAATCGATTGTTGCGGCGCTGTTGGTAACGAGCAGGGGTGACAGAATGACCGCCTTTGCGGAGCCAGGCAGCGATCAACGACTACCCAAGGTGCATACACTCCGAGTTCAATTGTTTTTGACCGAGCTGCTGGTTTCAACTAAGGATCAGGATCCCTTTTGTTATGGTGTATGAGTTGCAACTGATGCCAAACTTTGACGTTGTTACCCCCACAAATGGACTACTTTTTCCCAAGTTGAGGTGGCGGCGGTGAAGGATGCGTGGCTAGCCGCAGCCGTGTGTAGAGGAGGTCTTGTGAAATGGGAGATGTACTCGTGTGAATCTACCTGTCCTCTCTTCATCAGGAACGAACTCGCTGGCAGGTCGGTCACCCGCAAACGAGGACGGTGGCGGTGGTTGGATTTCGCGGGGGCCTGATTGTTGGCAACGTGGTCACAAGGAACATGGCGGCGGCGTCCTCCAGCTGAAGACATACATGTCGTGAGTCTTGTTCAGAACTGAGACAAAACATAACAAAGATGGGAGGGAAAGAGATGGAGGAAGTCCAAATAGGATCTCGACGAATTCAGTCCAAGACTGGGCGATTTGGCGGCGGCCCCTTCCGCCACCCCTTTCCCCCAGCCTTGTGGAACTGCGGCGGGAAGGCCACGAGGCTCCGCTAGATCATGCCATGACTATCTGCGGGATCATCTTGACGCGGACGTCTCTTACAGCCTTCGAGCATCTATCACTGTATAGAATGGGATTCCTGATTGACGTTCATCAATCTGAGGCCAGTCTTATTCTACACCCCAACTTCGGGTAGACAGTGTTCAAATAATATACACGAATATACAAATGAACTCAAACAAAGATCAAAGCAGACATCGTAACATGTCACTCTCACGACTGTACACATGTGGCAACGCTGGCTGTGCAATTTCATACATGACGCTTACTTCGCTTGCTGCGTGTTTCTTCTCCTTGCTCCTACAGAGGATTTCTTAACTTGGCCCATACCAAGAGGCACAACTCGGGATAGTTGGCACTGAAGAGGAGATCATGTCAGTTAGAAAACACTAACACATCCCCAATATTGCTCCACGCCGAATTGTCCCGGCTCCTTCCACGGTTCGTCCTCATAGCTCAAGAAGACAACTTGGGCGCCCGCGGTTGCTTGAATACCCTTGAGAGCCGTTGCCTGGTTTTCGGGGCTGGGGCAAGCAAGACCATTGCAGTTACCAGCGTGAGGCCAGCCGGATTCGAGAACATAGACGGCCTTGCCCGAGCAAACCGAGTCCAGGATGTCGATCTCGGATTGGATGAAGCTACCAGCCTTATCGGCGGTCACATCGGCATTGAAAAAGGCGTACAAGTTGGCACCGATCACATCAACGACGCTGCAGAATGCCGAGGCACTGCTGGTATCTTGCCATACCGACAGAGGCTCAGTCGTGGTGACGGCGCCAGTGTAGCCAGCACCCTTGAAAGCACTTGCGCTGCTGGAGATGAAGCCAGCGAGCTCACTGGCGGAGCAATAGCCATTGAAGACAGCCTCGTTACCCACGACGATGAGTTCGACAAGGTCCCATTGCGCCCAGGCGACGATATCGGAGACTTGTCCTTGAGCGCCTGAAATGCCTGTCGAAGAAATCCAGACGCCCAAAATAAGCTTGAGGCCATTGTCACGGGCAGAGCCACCGATGTTTTCGAGCGTGCTGCAGTCGGTGCTATAAACACGGACCGAGGAGAATCCCTTCTGTGCGATGACGGCCATGTCCGCAGCAATCGTGCCAGCGTCCTTGCAGCCGCCCTGAGCGGTGTATGGGGAATAAGTCATGCCCCACGAATCACCGTTAGATGAGATTCCCGAACTCCCACTACTCGAACCGCCGCTGGGCTTCGAGGAAGAACCGGACGAGGCATAGCTGCTCCCACCACTCACAGATGCAGTTGCAGGAGTCGGTGCCCATCCAGGCGCCGTCTCGCTCGATGGAATGTCGGTCGAAGCGGAGATCCAATCACCCCACGTGTAGGAGGAAGTGCTTGTAGTAGTCGCTGCACCATCGGCCGGATCCGAGGATGTCCAGTCAGCCCAGCTTGCATAGGAAGACGTGCTGGTGGTCGTTGCGGCTGCTGCAGGCGTGCTCGATGTTGACGAGGTCCAATCCGCCCACGAGGCACTGGAGGAAGTGCTGCTGGTTGTGTTCACAGCCAGAACAGGTGTGGGATACCCTATTATGCGCATTAGAGACAGAGCATCAACATCGACGGATCAAGGCTACTTACAAGTCGGGAGGCCATAAGAAGTAATGATGGAGATCGCGCAACTGTCAGCCGCGACCGACGCAGCGGCAGCGGACCAGCTCGAGGAAGTAGCCACGCTGGCGGCCGCGACCGATGCCGAGGTAGTTGAAGAAGTCCAGTCGGACCAGCTGCTGGAGTCGCTCGTGGCCGCAACGGGCTCGACGTATTTGGTCTCCGTAATGGTCGAGGCCAACGTGACAGTGGTGGTTTCCTCAACACTCGACCAATCGCTCCAGGTCTCAGTGCCGGTTGTCGCAGGATCGACCGGAATAGAAGAGGATGTCCAATCTCCCCACGTGTGCTCCTCGGTGCTCGTAGAAGCAGGATCCACAGGAACACTGGTTGACCAGTCACCCCAGGTCTCAGTGGTGCTGGTGGTGGCAGGATCGACCGGAATGGACGAAGAGGAAGTCCAGTCGGCCCACGTCTCAAAGGTCGTGCTAGAAGAGGTGCTCGAGGTCTTTGCGGGATCAACCGCAAGGGAGGTAGAAGTCCAGTCCTCCCAGAGGAATGAGGTTGAAGAGCTTGCAGTAGTGGTAGCAGCCTTGACCGGAGCCTTTGAGGAGGTGGTGGTCTTCGACTCTCCATCTACAGGCGTGGCAGAAGTAGAAGCAGCGGTCGCATTCCAGTCGACCCAGGTGTCGCGAGCGACATTGGCGTGTAGTTTCGCATGCATGTGCTTGACATGGCTGGCGGCAGAAACGGTGGTGATGACCGCTGCACCAGCAGCGGCGATTGTAACAGCCTTCATGTTAGAAGTAGTGCGTCTTCTCCGTGCGTGTCGGCTGAGATTACGGGAAGTTGACCTCGTCGAAGATTTCCCTTCTGATTGTGATCCCTTGGTGGCTTGTAAAAGAATGCCCGCGTAAACGAGTGGACGCGGTAGTTGGAAACGCTGAAAAACAAACACAAACGCGGAACTCTTGTGAAGCACCTCAAGAGACCATGAGCAGAGCCTTGTAGAGAGGAAGAGAAAGTTTGGTGAAGGACGTGATAAGGTGCATATAGGCATGCAGCACGGGTGCTACGCCAGTCGGAGGTGCGACTCATGGGGATAGCGCCAAATCTGCGAATTTCGTTTAGCGCCCCCCTGTCGGAAGTTAGCCTTTGGCTGGCCCATAAGCAGGCAACTCAAAGCACCACACTTGGCAGTATTTGGCCTGGGTTCTTGGACATTAAAGTTGGCCTGGAGCTCGAAGCGGTATGGTCGACTCTTCGAGGGGTTCTTGACCAACTCTCAAGAACAGCACGGGCGGGCAAAGGCTAGCCGAAGAGAATGCTGATCAAACAGGAGATGGGAACCAGTGGCTGGCACGGTGCTGCTCTCTTTTTCCCTGCGCAGTATTTGAGGCCTTGACATCTTCTTTACGGGGGACACTTCTGGAGCTTTCGCCAGTGAAAACGTGGGTTCCAACTTTGCATCACGATCGTTAGGGCGGAAGATCAGCTTGCGTGGGCGAGTTGGCCATTGATATGGCAAAGATTCGCAGGAACGACAGTTCTGCACTGGCGGACAGGGACTAAGGGGAGATTGGGCGTTCTGAAACACGCGATGTCAATGGCTGTTGGGTGGCTGCTGGGCGCTGCAAGATGAGGTGATAAGGTTTCTGGCCTATGGGAGGAGGGAGGAGACGTGGGAGCGGAGGACGACGATCCCTCGAGCAGGAGGCTTTGCGAGGTGGAGTGGGCGCTCTTGTGGCGGGGGATATGCAAGCAATTCTCGAGGTGAAGACGACTGTGCAATGGTGACTGGCTGCGCAGGTTGACGACGGCGATGAAGGGGGCGAAAAGGGGCTGATTGCGGAGATTTAGCAAACTCCACACCATACCTGATTGGGAATAACAACAAAGCTTGGTTGAACGCCATTAAGATTGCCCGACCGGCCTGTGTCGCCCACTGGCTCCGGTTTGCTCCATTTACAACCCCAGGAAATCCTCGATTCACAGCAGCAAATTTCGCGCTGTGCGTGGTCCTCACTGTAGCAACCGTGAACTGCCACCAGATTCACCCGGCGCTTTTCCTGCGGATGCTCTCCTGGCGCACCGAGATTGAGTTTTTGTTTTTGGTGCCTTCGAAGCGCAACGATCGATCCTCGGCGCCTGGGCGTTTGATAACGCCTCAATTGTGGAACACGGAGTTCCTGGCACCTGAACTACTCTCTGTACTCCGTACGAGGAATCCGAAGGTGCCTCCTGGTGTTACTTTTTCTTGAGCAAGAAGCAGTCCATCGTCTCCACTCTTTACTACGTGCTGAGACCGGGTTACGACGCAATTTTCCCGATGCCTCTGCTCCAGGCTTACCTCTGCTCGTGCTTGCATGGGTAAATTTGTACTCGGTGAATAGTGCCAACCGTCTGATAACGATGTCGCAAAATTTGACATGGAATGGCGGGCATGACACTGAAGCACCGACATGTGGCTTTTTGGATGATTCACGAGGACCGAGTGCTGGAAGCAAACAACATCCGCCGTATACTCATGTCTCGGATTCAAAGCCATTGATCATGATCACACAAAGAAGCACCACATCTCCGTTCGACTGTGAAAGAGATTCCTCACTGGAGTTCATTTGCCAGCTGTTTTTCTTATGCCGCTTCGTGTTCTCTAGTCTTGCTTCAATTCGTCATTGCGACAACGATTCCTCGCATCCGTTGCTCTTCGAATGCCACCTTGGCCTGCGAAATGGGAGGTTGCATAACAAGCTTCCGTATTTACTTTACACGGTACTTGCAAGGTTCCACTTTTCGTCCAGCCTTTCGGCAGTAGAGACTGCGCCCTTCGACCTGTCTCAGCCAAAACCTTCTCGTCCATATCTTTACATAGAAACCTGTGCACCAGAGTGTGCTCTTGGCCATGCGCCTCCGTGTGTCCTCGTATGCGTCTTCCACGTGCCAAAGAATTCGAACCTGCCTTAAATGTCGTAGCCGCTAAATCCCTCCCGGACACCTCTCTCCCATGCAGCCTTCCTGCGCTCAACATCTTCGGCTCTTTGATCCCTCATCCACGCCGTATTGCGCACAAATTTTTCCCTGAATCTCTCGCTCTCCTCAATTTTGCCCTTTTCATATGTTTTGCTCAGCGGCTTCTCAAGCGCGCTGCGGCGAAGGAAGCCAAAATCACCCTGCAGCAGAAGCTTGTAAGAATCAGGACTAATAAAGGCGGTCTGCTCATCAATGTGATCAAGGTTGCCGTATACTTCTTGATAAGCGGCTTCGATGTTCGCGTTCTGGGGGGCAATGTTGCGTCGCAGGTAGGGAGTGTGCATCCGTGATTGATCGACGCCTTCAGTGGCGTCTGTCATAGTGTAGGATGCGATATAGTATTGCCAGCGAGCTTCATCTGAGAGAGAGTCACTGTCAAAAGTAGCGTCTTCCGATGGGAATAGGCGTATGGTACAAAGCCGATCTTCAGGAGTCTGTGAGAGGTCAGCGGGTTTTCCTTCTTGCTTCAGTTCGAAGCGCAGAACTTACGTAGCTGATACGATACACCTCAGCGTCCTTGGACAACCGTTCCACCTGCTTTCGATACTGAATTTCCTGCTTCCGGGTTGTATCGGGGCGTTCTCGATCTCGCAGGAAGAGATTCGTAATCTCAACGCTCTTGTCCTTAGCATCTCCGCCCAGAATGTTCATAATAAATCGAAGGATGGCCGAGACGAGCCTGTCAATTGTGTAAAGCTGCCAGCCACTCTTGTTGTAGTACCGCCTCAAAGTCTCTTCAAGGTGGGCGAGATCGACGGTGCCAACCAAGACCTCTTGACATAGTTGTAAGATCTGCTGGTAGTAATTCTGCTTTCCTTCAATACTGTAGAAGAAATAGTCTGGTCCTTTGTCGATCATGCGGAGTTCGATGGCAGGCTTGATCCTTCCCTTGAGGCCCTTGTGTCTCGCAACAGCTTCCTGGACATTCGTCTCGTTGAGCTTGATCGCCAGCAACCTGCTGTACAGCATCTCAAACAGTCTGAAGAAGCAATAAATGTTGGCGTTTGCATAGAGATTGAACGTAGTGTGGGGGTATGTCTCGTCCATGGCCAGATGGCGGGCAGATGTGTCGCTGTTGGCGACGTTTATCCACGGCTGTTGAGGCTCGTCTGGGACGTCCGACACTGGGGCATCTTCATCGACTTCCATCTCGCTGCTGCCACCCGGTGCCGGGGTCGACTCCTTGCTTGCTGAAGCAACGCTGTCCTCCTTGCCGTGTCTCCTCTCAAGCGCCAACCTCCTCAGCCAGTCCGACTTGCGTTGGTTCTTACCCTTGGCTGGTGGGTGAGCATCGCTATCATGGCCATCAGTAGCTTCGTCTTGCTCGTGATGTTGTCTTATTGACACAATGTCAGTTTGCTCCACAAATTTCTCGCCATCGAGACCGTAGAACCGAACGAGGAAGTCAACGAGCCAACCTCGAATTCGTTCTTGCTCGCCGCTGTTAAAGGTCTGTTGTCGGTCTGAATCCAAGGACACCAGTATCAACCGAGTTGCGTCGGTGATGACGTCCAAGTCATTGAAAGTGTATTGGAGTTGGTGCCTCTTTCCGACGATGCCATTGTCACGGTTCTTCTTTGCTTCCTCGTATTTGGCCTGTATCTCGCTCGTTAGTGCTTTCTGCTGGAAGTTCTTCTTGTCGAGATTCTTCGCGTTGATTCCCTGATGATCGAGGCTTCTCCAGAATTGTTTGTGAATCTGATCGCGCCAGACCTTTTCCCATTCCCGTTGCACCTGCTTCCACTCTTCAAGCTTCTGTTTGAGTCTTGCGAGAACAATCGGCAGCACGGCGGTAGGGCGCATGAACATTTCTCGCATGACCGTAGCGCCGGCCTCGCGACCGTAGATTTTCATAATGATGCGCTTGGGGATGGCTTCGCTTGCGCCACCCAGGCCCGGTGCTAGGACGAAAGCGGCTCGATCCGCTTCATTCATGACTCCGATCTGCTGGACAATGGGTTCCATGAGTTGAATGGTCCGCTGGCACGACTCGATGTGGAAGTCATAGTCATGGCGCTCTTCTTCGATCCGATGCAGAGCTTCCTCGTATTGATTCTTGCGGTGAGCAACAAAGCCTGAATCCTCAGAAGCCCAAGTAGGGTGGGAAGCCCAGACATCATTGAGGACTTCATAACACATTCCATCTCGCCCTTTGCAAGGTTTGTCCTGATCACGCTTAGGCAGGTGACGATAGCTAGGTCCGAGGGCTCGGCAATGAGACAGATTGACGCGACCAGGGTCGGGCCGCACGCGCGCTTCGATCACCTCCTCTTGATCCTCGATACCGAGGAAGTTTTTGAACCAATTCATTAGATCGGGATTGCCGCCAATGAAAGCCCCCACTCTGTCTCCCAAAGTGTATTTGTCGATAAGATCTTGAGAGTATAGATTGATGAGTTTAAGAAATTCGGCATAACTAGCACGATTACCGATCTGCTTCTTCGCGCGGTCAAAAAATGCGAGCTCCTCTTGAGTGGTGGATGAGTTTGGGAAGGGCGGCAGGGGTTCAGGAAGCTGAGGCACAAGAGTTGGCGAAGTGACGACCATGTCAGGTTGTGGCTGACGCTGAGTTGCCAGTTTCGGGCGCTGCGAGTGACCTTAGTAACATGTCATATTTCGATGTCGCCCCCCTGAAGCGGGGCAGATCGAACAGTGAATGAAGTGTACTTACTTTGCTAGCATTGCCAACCTGGACCGGAGCAGCTCGTGAACCCTGAGTGACGCCAGTATCGACAGGAGGCTGCGTTGCCGGTTGGTTGGAAAGTGTGGCTCCAGGTCCCCCACGGCGTTTTTTATTGTCTTTGCTCGTGCTCGGAGGGTCAAACTGACCCATAGGCGGCATTTTGGAGGCAGGCCTTGGAGTTTGAGCTTGGGGAATGGCAGCATTTGCATATCCAGGTTCGCCGCGAACATTACTTGTCTCTTCTTGTTGATTCATGACACGGGCAGCCTGAGCCTTGCCCTGAGCGGCAGACTCCGGTAAGAACTGTTTGAAATCCTCAAGTAGATCTGGGGCAGAGATGAATAATTGGGTGACTTGAGCGTAGACGTCCTGGATTGGTTTCGACTCTCGCTGGTAAGTCTGCAGAATCTCAAGGAACTGCTTGTATATTTCTGGCTGTTGCGCAAACCGGTTCTGTCACCAGGTCAGTAAATTCACACACAATCCAATAGCGGGACTATTGTTGGGCCTATTGTACCTTGATTTTATTCACGTAGCTGATCGCGTGATTGAATTCAACCGGACCTCCACGCTTCAATTCACCAATACCCGCATTAGCACCGAACCCGGCGGACTGCTGAGGGTATGCGCCACTTTGACCTGGCCCAGGTGATACGGCAAGTGCTGGCCTCGTGGCTCCGTTTGTCACCGCAGTGACTGCACTTTGCAAAGTTGAGACGCCACGTTGTTCTTGTTGAGTGATTGCATTCGAGACGTCATCAATGGGTCTTTCGCCAGGCCCGGGCTTATACCCGGGTAGTTCTGCCGATCTCGTACCTGGTGAAGCACCAAGAGGCTGTCCCCATCCATGTCTGCTTTCAAATGTGTCCTGTCGAGCTGCTGTAGGTTGCGGGGCAGGTTCAAAGGGTGCGCGCCCTCTACTCTGAAGAGATTGAGTCATCGTGCCGCTAGGAGTCGTGACTCTGATAGCGTCCGGATTCTCCTCAGTCCCGCATTCGATACGGTACCCCGGTGGAAGAAATGTGTTGAATCCTTGTATCAGAGCGGGATGGCCGTTGAAGAGATTTGACACACGCTCAATAACTCCTGGCGTATCGATCGCTTGGCTCTTGAAGTCCTTCATAATGTCCAAGAACCTGTTATACACATCTGGGTGATCACTGAAGCGTACTTTGACTTGGTCAAGGTAGCTTAAAGCATCATTCAAGATGGGTTGTTGGCCGTGTGCTAGTTGTGCTGGAGCGGGCATCGGAGACGGACCAGGCATGAACGATTGACCTGGTTGTGGAGGCGCCGCCGGCACTGGCTGCTGCATGTATTGGGATGGTCTCTGCGATTCATGTTGTCCGGGTCCCCCGAAGAGGCTGCCGCCATTGGATACGCCAGGACCTCCATTCGCCAGAAGGCCGTTGGGACCATGAATCGAGTTTTGGACCTTTGAGGCTACGGGCTGATGAATAGGAATCGAGCCGGCATGACTCTGCACTGGGCGCTGTTGTTGCGGCTGTTGTTGCTGCTGTTCTCGGTGCATGCGCTCCATCTGTTCCCTTTCCTGAGCCTCACGCTCTCGTTCACGCATGATCATTTCATCTCTCTGTCTCTGCATCTCGAGGTTGTTACGCTCGCGCATCTCTCTTTCTCTCATTTCATGCTCCCTCATTTCTCGCTCTCGGAGCTCTCTCATCTCCCTGTCACGGCCGAGGTACGGAGGTGAGTGCTGGGGCATGTTATGTCCCATCGGCCCACCGATAGGGTGACCTTGAGGTTGCGGGGGCGGAGGCTGGGTGTTATACTGATGTTGCTGCTGATGATTTGGAGGGCCCTGAGTCAAGTCTGCGATAGACAGGCTGTGGCTTGCAGAAGGCTGCGAATGATGCTGATGATAAGACGAGGGCGGCGGTGGTAGGACATGCGGAGGAGGTTGCGCAGGCCCATTAGGACTGTTGACGCAGAACACGAGTTAGCGGAGCAAATAGTGGCAGCAGACACACCGAGGAGGATCGACAAAAGCATCATTCAACAAATCGCAAGGTGTGCGCGGTGAATGATAAGTGAACACAAACATACCCGAAGCTAGCAAAAGGTCTTCCCTGTGACTGAGGCTCACTCTGAGGGGGCCCCCCAGGTCCGCGCCAGTGGTCTCCCGGATTTTGGTTCATTATTGATGATTATCTCAGACTTGTTGGAATTATGACGCTTTGGCGCACCTCATTTTTGTCCTCTTGTTGGGCCAGGTCGATGGAAAGCGATGTTCGCAGGCACAGACACGTGTACGACAAAAGGGCGATAAATGAGGGACGACTGTGGCCTCCCTGAATGCGGAAAACCGACAGGAGATGGACAGGGTAGGCGCTGGACGCAACAAGCTTGATCTGAACAAAAGCAAGGACTATCGAAGACAAGGATGCGATGAGGGAATAGAAGATGGGATGGTCAGGGGACTTTTTCTCCAAAGCTTCTCGGTGCTGTGGATGCGCAGTCTGTGGAGGATGCGAGCATGACGCCTGCTTCGTGACTGGCCCGGCTTTGCCAGAAGCGGACTAGGGTCCATCGCTAAACCTTCTTCTTACAGCTATGTCGTAGTGTTGCTCCACAGAAATCTAGCATGGAGCCTTGTCGGAATTCCCTCGCCTTGAAGCTATGGGAGAAATGTATGGAGTAATAGTCAGCAGACCCGTCCCCCTTTTTCAAGAGAAGAATTTGCTGGCAAGGCTCATCAGCCCAGAAGCACCGCCGCCACCACCTCCTTGACCACCCTTCATATACATCTGCAAGGCCATTTTTGCAGCCATGTTGATCGCCGACTGCTTGTCTGTGCCGCCCTGAACATTGCCCATGTTGCTCTGCTGGTCGAACAGTTTTGAAGCTTCTTGCATGGCCATGGAGATCATCTGAGACTGGGATCCGCCTCCACCAGACCCAGAGAACATCTTCAAGGCTTGCATCGCAGCCCCCGCTCCCAAGCTGGAGGCGTCGTGCTGCTGGCCGCCACCGTCTTGCTGGTAGAGCATCTGATGGCTTTGCTGCATACGACCTTCGTCAACGTCCTCGGATTGAGCACTGTGCTTGTTTTGGTTGAGAAATGACATGGCCTGAGAAAAAAGACCGGAATCTTGCGGATTGCCGTGTTGCTGGCTGTGTCGCATCACTTCCTCTTGGTCGTAGTCGGCAGATCCGCCTCCTCCATAGCCTCCGCCTGAGGGTCTTCCATACCCGCCGTCGCCTCCATATCCTCCACCTCCGCCCGAGCTGCCACCATAGCCTTCATCATCGCGACGACCATGATGGCGAGGTGGTTCATCTCCGTAGCCTCCACTCATGCCACCACCTCCATAGCCGTCGTCTCTTCCAGAGCGTCCTTCTTGTCGGCCATAACCGTCCCCTTTTCCGTGCCCTCCCTGCTGGCGTTGTTCGCCATAGTCATCCCGGCGGCCCCCGCCTTGGCCGTTGTCGTCAAAGCGCTGGCTCTGGTCGTAGTAGTTGTCTCCGCCGCGACCACCGCCGCCGTACTCGCGAGGGTCCCCGCCTTGACGGTCGTAGTAGTCTGACATGATCGGACGTTGATAGTGAAATGAGGGGTAATCTCGCGGACTGCGATGAAATTCGGGTTATGTGGAGAGTGGAAGAGATATCGGAGCAGGGAGATCCGAAAGATCTGGATGCGGGTGGTATGCCCTGATTTTCGCACCTGTTACCTAGGTGGTTTCTGTGATAGAGAGAGTTCAGCTTCGGTTCTCGAGGTCAAGGTCTGAACCGCTGCGAGTGGCAGATGGGGCTAGCCGCGTTGGCCAATGACGTCAGTGACTCAATGCTCCTTGTGCTTCTCAGTCCTCGGTCTTCGCTGTCGAAACCTCATAAAGCGGTTACGAAATAGTGTTCACCATGTTTCTTCCTACACCTCCAGTCGCATTGCACTAATTATTGCTACAGACTTGATTTCCAGTAACGTTAAACAGAAATGCAGCGCTGGTCCACCACGGCTGACGCGACTGTACTCGCGAATGCAACAAGGTCAACCGGCAACACCACTAGAAGACCTGCTAACAGATAAGCACTGCTGGAGAGATATGGATCAGCCCCGGGTCGAGAACAGCGAGATAGGGCGTCTCTCCATGAATTGCGATATTCATCAAAACCGACTACGCTGTTTGGAACCGATATCCTGCTCTTGGGGCCACGAAGCCACCCCACTTGGTAGACAACAGTAAGACTACTACACTGCTATGAGCCCCGTGTCGAAGACGACTACAAGTATTTTAAGAAAGCCTGTACCGACACCGTGGACACTGGAAGATGGAATGGAAATGCCGACTTCCAACGATTTTGTGCGAGGGCGAGAGACGGGGCTGATTACTTCCAAGGTGATTGTGAATAAGAAATGCCAGGGATGGCCTAACCTCGTCCACAAGTAACACGGTTTATCGTGATCATTAGAACTGACATCCACCTACCTTTTCGAGAGAACCTCTGTAGAATGATATGTAACAGCGACATGGAAGTTGAGTACCATGAAACCAAGTAAACTGGTTTCGTCCCTCGGCCGAACATCCTCCGATTCCGGAACAATGACGTGTGCCATATAATTTTCAAAACGACTCTCACCGAAATCGTCCCCTTCTGCGCCTTGAGATTTATCCTTCTCTCTGCCTGCAACCGTCGAACCCCTTGTGCAATCAATTTTATTGATATCCTGCCCCCTCGCCAGCAGGTCACTGGTGATCCTTTCTCTCAGGAACACTGTAGCCATGTCAGGAGCAGTGCCGACGCGACAGACACTCCGGCACCTCCGCCGCCTCTGCTTGATTGACTCACCCACAGCGACGACTGCGCCTGCAACGACGAGAAGGAGACCAAGCCTCTTGCAATGTTCGCGACCACTATCGACTCGTCATCCACGACAAGCATTTAGCACGTCCGCCATATGCCACCAACAGCCTCGAGCGCAGACTCAAGCCGAAGGGCCACCCGAAACGACGGAGCAGCCCAAAGAAGAGGATGCAACGCTTTCCGCCAGCCCTCTGGACGTGACGAATTACTACACGCTCTTTCCCCTGACACTCGCGTCAGGTCCGCCGCCTCGGGGCGCATTCGACATCCCCCTCTCGCATCTCCGCCGCGAGTTCCTGCGCCTCCAGTCGCAATACCACCCGGACAAATTCCCGCCGGGCACGGCCTCGCACCAGAAATCCCGCGCGCTCTCCTCCCTCCTGAACAACGCCTACAAGACCCTGTCCGACCCGCTCCTACGCGCGAGGTACCTTCTCCAGCTTAATCATGGAATCGACATCACGCACGAGGACAACGCCACCCATGCGGGAGTGACGGACCACAGCACGTTGCTGGAAGTCATGGAGGCACAGGAGATGCTGGAGGAGGCGACTACTCATGACGAGATCGAAACATTGATGAGAGACAATGTAGAGAGGATAAGGGAGACGGAGAAGGCGTTGGGTGAAGCTTTTGAAAAGGACGATGTCGAGAGTGCGAAAAGGGAATGTATCAAGTTGAATTACTGGCGGAGTTTGCACTCTGCGTTACATGAATGGGAGCCAGGCAAGGAGGTAAGATTGGTGCATTAACTTACCGGGGTGATTGCAAAATATCGGTCTACCTGTATCGCAAAAAAAAAAATGATGGATGCGATTGATTTGCTATACAGATCGTGCATACCCAATCTACTTCATATCTAGCCCTTTTGGCGTATCGATACTGGATCTCTTATCCAATTAACATTCGCAGATCAATCCAGCCGATGAACCTCGTTCCACCCGTCTCGTCTGTGACCTGTATTTGATGCTCAGACGTAAAGAACCACATGCCTTGGTCTCAGACCTTGACATTGTCAAACATGAGACTAGAACCCCTCGGAAGTATCTCCGGTTCGCCATTGGTCTCACCAGGCTCGCTTCGATTGTGATTTTCCGGCTTTTTCTTGGTGTCCGGGACCAGCTTCTATTTGGTTTTCTCTATCAAGTTGCTCTTCACCTCTCGTGTGAGACCTTTCGTCTCGTCATGGGCGTGTTTCGTCTTTGAGGTCTTTTCGATGCGCGTAGCCTCTTGTTTCATCTCTTCGGCAAAAAAGCTGTTCCACTTGTCCTTCTGACCCTGCGGCCAGGTCAAGCTCACGGAAAACACTTCTCGCTCCGGATCTTCAAGCATGGGGCTACGTCCTTGATGATTCTTTGACAGCACCAGTCGATCCAGGCCACAGAAGTTCTCAGTATAGCCCCACGGCTTGAATATCTCCTGGTCTCGGCAGAATAGGTTGACACCAAACTCAGTCCATGTGTGCTCATAGAGGGCGGCAGGCACAAAGTAGACGTCCGAAATCACATTGCAAAGCCAATCGGGGACATGCAAGACATTTTCCAGGACAATGGTGTGGTTTTCTCGGCTGCCCGGTTCTCGACGAAGCTTGAGTTCGACTGTCCCAATGCCGCGAACTGGCACTTGGCGTTGGTCAGAAACTGTGAGGACGTATGACTTGAAGGAGACGTATGTCTTGAAGGTGGCACGGTCGATGGCTATGTGGACATTGGAGGCTGTCGAGAAGATCCAGTCATAACATTGCTTCTTTTTGGGTTTCTTAGTTGGCAGACCATAAGACTTGGCTCGTTTGTGATGGTGTGTGTAATAGTACGAGCTCGGCTGGATAGTGGGAGGAGGCAAGTCCCCACGTGGATCGAGCATAAAAGACATGTTGATAGGCGTGCTTGGACCGGAAACAGTACGATCTTGCGGTCTTTGATGACAATGTTGGTGTGTGGGAATAGGTCCGCTGTTCTCAAGGAGTGACAATGGTGATATTGGTGTTGTCAAGAGTATCTACTCGCCAAAAGAGTGAGAAAGTAGCCAAAGATTGGGGAGGGTGAGGTGAGCGGAAGGGCGCAAGTGTCAAGGGTAGCGAGAGTGCTAACAATCGGTGGTTGAATGGCGGTTGAGGTGTCGAATTTGTGTTCCTACGAACTGGCAAGGGCGCCCTGTCGTCCCGATAGCGGCTGTCATGGCTGTCTCCCTGATGGAAACTGTAGATCGGAGGGCAGCAGCCACTCTCAGTAATGGAATGTCTCTGCAGTCACTCGGTCTGTCCGACTTTAGGCCGTGGATGAGGTCAGAGTAGAAACCGTCACGACGACTGTAAAAAGGGAATGCGGTCGACATGTCGATCTTAACGCGACGTCACCCAGACTCCAGAAAAGAAAGCGACGAGGTCACCTGCGAGTGGCCATAAGTATTTGAATGTTGAGAGCATGGTTCGTGGGACAGTGTGACACTCTTCCGAAAGCGCAGGGGGGAGGGGGGGAGGAGGAGGAGGAGGCTGCTGGTTGGGCCATTCTTGTGTCACTCTCTGCCAACATCGTCGACCCTCAACCCTTTTTCCTCCGCCGTGGCAATCTAACCTGTTGACACTTCAGAGACAAATAGTCGAGCTACTTCCAGCTCCCTGAGGATCTGATCAGTGAGCCCCAGTCCATCGCATGGTCGTCGCAGCTTCACCCTACTCATTGACGCCCACGCAAATCGTCATGCATCCGATTCAACCTGTATCTCGACCAGAGCACCAGCCAGATGCAGTATGTCGGAAATAGAACAGTCATATTCTTCTGAGCACTGACGCATTTCCAAGGACGAGAGCCCATCCCTCGATGTTTTTATGCTGCGTCGACCCAGGCCACGGCCAATGAATCCGCTCCCTGACCCCCCTCCAGTCCCAAATTGACAATCACTATCCCATCCAGAGCCATGGTAGATGGACAGAATATCCAAAGGACAGATATGGAGCTTAGGGCCTGATAAAATATACAGATGTTGCGCTTTGTTGTGATTGCAAGGATGGTCGTCGTGAGATTGAGAGAACTGACCCAAAGATGCACCTCTCCGTCTTGTGCCTCACCGTGGGAAGAAATTACGGTGCCACTACAACTGAGGCGATAGAGCAAGCAGGCTGGATAGATAAGCACTCTCGAGTACGCTCTTTCAAAAGCTTCTTGTGCATTTTCTCCCGAATATTCGAGACTTCGCAGGTCTCTGCGGACCTTCTCGGCGACAGTCGACTGAATACAAATCTCTTCTGTCGCAACTAGATGCTCGAAAAGCCTCAGCTCCTTCGGGATTATGTCCGCCCCTTTGGCATATTACTGCGGACACAAACCTGCGAAGTACCAGTGAAAAGTCTACGGTCGAGTCGACCATCTCCTCTGTGTGCGATAAAGTTACAACCTCAGCATTACTGCTTGCTGGGCCATTTACGAGCTAATTCGCTTCCCAGCGCAAAACTCAATCTTTCTCATGCTTGGACAACGATAAGTCCCAGAGACTTCATCGTTCCAGTGAAGGTGAGAATATAGGTTGGTACATCCACAAACTTGAAAAGGTTGTTCAAAATCGATCGAATCATGCTTCTGTCCCTAGACTCGACCACCGGGTCCAGCCAACTTCACCCAGACAGACACTGAACTACAGTCCGTGTCACCGTACGAAGGTCTCGATGCAGATGTCCCACGGTGTAGCCACCGCAAGCTACCTGGCTACAAAAACGATCCTCCAGATACACTTTCACATTCGACATAGTGCAGGGCAGTTCTTCTACTCTGCGCAGCGGTTGTCTTCCTGGTTCTGCAACGAGGACGCCAGCGTTCACAGCGTCGTCCCCAAGATAGCAAGATGCCTCGAGCCCAAGTCGCAATGCGCTAGCCACCAGCGCGAGAAATACACTCGAACCATGGTTGTCCTAGCGAAGAGTTTGGCGTCTGAGCACCCTCGTGAGAGTTACTTGGGCATGGACCGCGTCTTTGCGCTTTCTATTCGCGTTCTGCGAGTCCCGGATCTCGACCCAAACAACAAGTATTTGGCTTTGGGTCGACGTGGGGACGAGGACCTCGAGAGGACCTTTTGGTTGCCAGTAGAAGTATATATTGTCTCTTCGAGGCTCTCCAGTTTGCAGCTAAGAAGTTCTCTCAGACATACTGACACCTGATTGCAACGCTTTACTGACCGGCAGCCGCACTCACCTGACATCACTGGCGCGTACGACACAGCCACAGTATACGAACACTCACTCAACACTACTTCCCTTTCAGGTAGCCTCCCTTCACAACATCCCCTCATCAATACTTTTCGAGATGGCGTTATATCAACCCTCCAACAATAACGCCACAGCTACCGCTATCTCCATGTCTCTCAGCCACGATGACGAGCCCCTTGAGCGCTCCTTGTCTTCTCTAGTTCCAACGACCGTGGGCCGCAACCAACGCCGCCGCATACCCATGCTCGAAATCGACGAGGATGGGATCGAGGATATTCAGGTCCCCTTAATTCCAGCGATCGGACGGATCGAGGACTTGATTCGATATCCTTCACCGCCGTCCTCGCCGCCATCACCGTCAACACCCATCATCAGACCAGTGCCCGACCACGGGGCAACGCCAATACCTGACTTCGACCTGCAAGACCTGTTTGCACCAGCGCCGGTCCGTGGGTCGGTCATCCGGACGAACGAGGATGTCCTCTGGCGTACTTACAATGGAGTTAGTGGGGCGGGTGGTGCTCCACTTGAGCGTCTCCTGCCAGTTATACGTGTCGTGCCAGATGAGGAGGACTCTTCTTCGACGCGGCCACAACGTCGACGACACCCACGGCTTCGATCTGTATCAGAAACCCCCCAACGTCTCGAATTCTTTCCACCCTTTCGGTACTCTGCATCAACTATCCGGACAAGGGCGGCGACCGAGGAGGGCAGGCGGGAGACAAGTTTACCGATGCTGGGTAGGCCGACTTTGACACCAAGCCAACAGGCGGAGGATCTTGCGGGCTTGATATACACCTTTACTGAGCATATTGCTCGGGTGCGACTTTGGGCGAGGAGAAACGGATTAGATGGGAATGAGGGTTGAAAGACGGTGGAACTAGACAGGTTTCCCTGGAGTGAGTGTTCAAGGGGTCCTTGGTGTTGGTAGAAGCGACTGGCCAAGAGCAGAGGACCGTGTTTCTTCGACCATGTATGAGTGCTACTGAGATAGAAGATAATAGTATATGGAAAATGACAACTCGTGGGATATGACCCGATTCGACAACTCGGTGGCAAATTGCCTCATGCGGTTACTGGCCGCTGGCGCCGCTTGGCACAATCACAGACTCAACATGCGACGCGACTCTAGAATCCTTCCTTCGCTTCCCTCTCGCTTTTTCATCGCTCCATTCCTTACCTAACGCATCTCCCCTATTCCCCAAAACGCCAAAGACTTCTCGCTCAGCATTTCTGGAACTCGGCAGGATTTTGGCCGCCGACATGCGTGCTGAGGGAGATCGCATATCGCCTCGGGGGCTTCCTTGCTTTTACCCTTGAAGAAGCCTGCGAATACCCACGCATTTCAGATTGGAACGAGCCGAATCCCGACCAGAAACTCTGGTCCCATCCGCCGATGAACGTGGAGTGACCAGCAGTGATGATTTTTTCTATAGCATCCAAAAGTGCTGCTGCTATGAGCCCTCACCTGATGACCCAGTGTATCCCCACCGCGCTCCCCTATGACACCTTGCACTCTCCAACTGTGGTAATCGATGCGATGAACCACCGGCCAGCCTTCTGCAAGCGGAAAAACATCAAATCCTCCAGTGATCGGGCGAAGGATCAAATGGGCGCAGCCAAGAGCATAATTGCAGAGGCGGTCAATTGGCCCATTGGCACAAACTTGGATTACTAAGGCCGGTCCTTGATCTTTTCCACTTCTGTAGAGCCCGAAACGGGTAGTGTTTGTAAGTGTTTGCGAAGCTGGACCCCTCTTCTCACTGCTGGTCGTGGACGATATCTGCTAGTCCACTCGCGGTTACTCTGAGGTTCGTCTTCTCCCCAATGCACGGTCTCGTCTCCGAATCCCGAGCTTGATATCCAGGCTGTCTGCAGAATCACCATGACCTTCATTAAGAACAACATCACATAAATGTCATCCGGGATTATTCATTTCGTCAATGAGACGGGGCAGGGTGAGAATGGGGGCCCGAGCAAGAAAAGGCTGTCGCGGATCAACTCTCATGTGGCGCGCTTCTCGCATCAACGTCGCAAAAACAACAACAATTCCTCGGCTGTGAGCAGGAATGTGAGTGTCGCCGTATGCTTGAGAGCTGAATGCTAAGCTCTACCACAATACATTGCCACTGATAAAAGAGGTTGAACAGCCGCCATCGCTGCAAGTCGACTTTGTCGTGGAAGGCGCCCAACACGAAGCCTCTCGCACTTCCAGCAGTAGTCCCGAGCACATCCCTCCGTATCCATCGCGAGACGCCAATCGAGCCACACAGCCGACCAATTTCTTCACTCTGGACCTACCAGACCGCCGTCACAGTACCGGGTCAACCGGGTCTGCAAAGGTCAAAGGCAACAAATTGGCAAGACATCAGTCTGACCCTGTCGACATCCGGCATTTCAAGAAGGAGGACGAAACCAGTTCTAAAGGCGTCATCAGACGGCGCTCGGATGGAGACCATCACCCCTTCTGTTCGTCACCCGAGATTGGGTCTCTGGGATCATTCTCCCAGCTTGGGGATTCTATTGACATCTACGAGAAATATCTCCTCAATTACTGTGCGTCGCTTGTCATCTAACAAAGCGCATTCTTGGGTTTCTTCCCTTACTTTGTCCAATTCGTTGCTGACTTCAAGGTGCTTGAAGATTTTACCGACCTGCAAACACAGATGTTCGGTTTCCATAGAGACGCCCTGTACTGCCCGCAAAGAGTGCCTGCGGCTCGGTCAATACAGCAATCGCGCGCGGCCCTGCATTGGATCCTTATAATCGCCGAGGAGCAAATGGCCAAACGAATAAATGAGCCACCAAACTCGCACATCCTCAACCATTCAATCTTGAAACGCAGAGCGAGCGGTTATGGGATGCTCAGGTCGCTGTTAAACAATGCAGACTTTGACTTGGAGACGGCCGTCTTGGCCTTGCGTTATGCGATATCGGCTGAATGCTACATGAACCACAAAGACGCTGCCATGGAGCACCTGAAAGCATTGGATGCGTTACTGCAACGACCAGGGGCCCTAGAACACTTCGTTTTCAATGCTGACAAGACCGCACTGTCACTCTCGACCCTCAAGAGAATGTACGTGTCTGTGCCTTGCAGGATAAGATCATTCAGCGACTTTGAAGCCATCAAGACCATGGTCTTCCTCAAGTGGAGGCGCTTACAGGCGTTGTCGAAACAGAACCATGCTGAGCTAGTCCGCCACGCCTGTGCCGCTTATCTGATTAGCACCGACGAGAACCACAGGGTTCAACCCCTTCCACCAAAGCATGCAAAAGATCCTACTCCAGAGCAGTCTCTTCTGGATCGGTATATCGCGATTAAGAAGTCGGCGTTGTTCTCGAACTATGCTTGTGAGACGATGAACGCGGTTTGTGATCCCAAATGGGTGTACACCTATCAGGCAGGGCTTTTCGCGTTGTTTTACGATATGAACATGACATTGGCAAGCTTTGGAAAGGATAATCTCCGCGACAAGATATCATTCCTGGAAAGACTCAAAGTGGTCCTGGATGCCAGCTCCGCGAAGACGTTGGGAGGGACGTCGGCGCTATCTATTGTGGACTGGGTTCGCGAGCAATGCTACAGCGAGTGCTTCAAGAAGGACGAAGCGGTCTTCAAGGAAACCGATCTTTGCACCTATGAGATCAACGGGTTTAAGATCTTTGCACTACTCGATATCAACCAGCGAATTCGTCTAACGGCAGCGTTGCGGGCTTGGTTGCTCATCGATATCAGCGTCGACATTGACGTGGAGAAAGAAGATTTGGATGAAGTGGAATTTATGTCGATGGAAGAACAAGTCACCAGAGCTTGGTGGAACGAACAATTGACACCAAACTCGTCGCCCTCGCCTTGAAGGAAACTGTTTTCCGTCATCCTTAAGGGTTCGCCAACAACGCAGCATCAACTCAGTCCTCAGCAGACCACCTTTTCCGCTGGCAAAATCGGACTTCTAGCTTGTCGCAATTCTACGGAGGCTATCTGGGGTTGACCATTCAGGAACAAAAGAAGGCTTTCCAAAAATGATGCTTTAGAATTTAGGCCCAATACTCGCGGTCTGCACTTCAAAGAACAGCCCCTCCTTTCAGAAGCCTCACCGGTACCCAGCCGGGAGGTTCCCGGGCTTTGCCGAAGCTGACTGAATGCCTTTTGATGGGCAACCAAGACGCCCCTCGCGCCCTCGGTCTTGTACGAGCACATCGGCTTACGCTCCTAGGAACTATCATCCGAATTCAGATAAATCACAATGCGAACACAGGCGAAACGGCAGGCCTTTCACTCGACAAATACACTACAATGTCTCACTAAAGCTTGGGACACTTGTCGCCGTCTGCATTGGAAGAAACTTGTGTCGATGGATCAAATAGCTGCACCTAACGACCGGGGCTGTGGATTTAGGTCTTACTGACGACTGGCACATTCATGTAGCAGCTAGAGCCCGGCATGGAAAACGTGTCCCAGAAGCCGCGAGGACGCGCAATGTTCGCTGCTGACATTTTCCCTGTTTCGACAGGCACTTCCCACCCGCCTCTTCCCAGTCTCCAATTCAAGCGTTTTGACACGCCGCCAGATCTCCTGACTCCTATAGATGCAAAACCTTTCGTTGACGGTCTCTCAAAATACTCATGCATACGCATTGCCTGAACCGCTCAGAAGCTAAGCTCGCTCTGATGCTACCGACGTGTCGCACACAGAAAACCGGCGGCCAAGACGTCGATAAGCCCAGGAATCAGCTAGTCCGGGCTATCGTTGGAGGACCAGGCAGGGCGTGAAGGTCGCAGAAGAAGGCGAGTCAGATGACAAGGGGACTGGCACCACACTCAAGATCAGGATGTGTATCCCGCAGCACAAGGCAAACTGGGAACCGGTTCAACAGCACTGCTTTACCGATCATTCCTTTGACATATGTATGCCCTTGCCAAGCGGAGTCGCACCTTGCATATTGTCACTGCGTGACCTTCGGACATGACAATGCGTCAGGACTTACAAAGATATGATGGGAAGCCGCGCGAAGCGCAGATCGGAGATCCCGTTGACCATGTTGCGAGCACCCATGCCTCTCTTAGCCACTGCTTCTGGCACTCTATGGCCCAACAGAACCAATCAACTGCGCTCGACCGGAACCTCGTCAACTTCGCCAGAACGTGCTCTGCGTCCGCTCAAAGGGATCTTTGAGAGCTAATCAAAGCACAGAATATCTCGCGATCGCATGGAGGTCTGTTGTAGGATGCGAGAATGCTGCCCTGTGGCTCGCCGCCAGTAACATTAACTCGGGCAATCTCACCAAGGCCCATATGAACTTTTCTATGGCCTGGTGCTCTTCGGATGCAGATTCGGAGCGATGACATGTGGTCGAGAGGTGTTGGGCTACATGTCCAGCATCTTGTTGTCGTCCAGACGTCCTGCGATCACCGTCTTCCTGCTCGTGGCGCGGATACCACTCCAGAGGTCCATATTAGTCGGAGGTGAAGAATCAGGAAGCTGAGCAGGATGCCGCCGTCTTGTTCTCGTATTTCTAGGACGACAATGCTCGCAATCGCTGAACCAGGGAGGGAGTGCTCATTCCGCAGCAAGGTACCTCCACCACATTTCAGAGGCGGCTGATGTTTGACCTCTTCGGTCCCCACGGCGACGCTTCATCTTGCCCAATGCTGCGATGATTGTGGAAGGGTTTCCATCGAGGAGCAACTTACCAAAGACCTCGAAGTTACGTACCGGTTCGACCAAACATGAGTCTCTATGGGCTTGAGTTGGTCCCTTCTGTTTTCTTTGCCTCGCCGTCTTAGACCCAGTCTACACACAAGCCTCCATTGATACACGCCCGACTACGACCAGGGACCGGTCTCGGAACACTAGCCGGCTAATGAGAGAGAATCACCAGCGGAAACCCCCTCGCGCCATCGCGGTCAGGGCCCCAGGAGCATCAGATTGACCAATTGCCATGGAGATGTCCGTCCTTCTACGCCTGTTTCGACCGCCCACACTCGCTAACGGGCGGGCAGAAAGCAAAGCTAAGCATTGGAATGCACGCCCTTGGCTACAGCGCCTGTCAAGTCAAAGATCATCGACATATTCTCTCACATGACGCATGCCCAGTCCAAATCCATGACTTTAAAAGGCAACATGTCGCGTGCGCCGTTATCGCAATACTACTCCCTCCAGCCTCAAATCCACAATGCCACAAAACGAAAGCATTGCTCTGCGTGAGTCGCTGCCGTCGGACGGCGGTGAGCCAGGCACCCAAGACTTCGATGTCGACACACCAGACTTTGATCCTGGAAGTTCGAGACAGTGGGCATCAAGTAGGCAAAAGGCCTGTGTTCTCGTGGGCTCCGCGATCCTGCAGCTGCCAATATGGGGTAGGGCTTGAGATATACGCTGATTAAAATCCTACTACTAACGGTTCGCAGGGTTTGCCATAAACTACGGCGTCTTCCAGGAATACTATTCGGGCAACTGGACGCTTAAAGGGAGCCGTGAAACCACCGGCATCATCGGCACAACCTCCAACGGCGTCATGTACCTCTCGATGCCGTTCCTGTTCGCACTCTTCACGAGACGATGGGCCCGTCGACGGCAGCTCGCGGCGCTGTGCGGCGCGGCACTCACCTGCATCTCCTTCCTCTTGTCCTCGTTCAGCACTGATGTCTGGCACCTGGTTGCGACACAGGGAGTCACGGCAGCGTTGGGATGTGCGCTCATCTACAGCCCGACCACGCTGTCCCTCGGGGAGTGGTTCAACACGGGCAACCGGGCTGTCGCATACGGAGTGGTCTTGTCCTGCAAGAACATTGTGGGATCGGTCTGTCCCTTCGTGCTGCGCGCCCTGCTGGACCGGTACGGCTTTCGCGCGACGCTGAGGATCTGGACGGCCGTCGCGGCGGGGACCAGCGTCCTGGCCGTCTTCATGATCCCGACGCCGCCGTCCACCACCACCGCCGTGGCCTCGTCTTCGAGCGCGCACCACTCCCCCAGGATCCCGTGGCACTTCCTCCGCCACCGCACCTTCTACATCTACAGCGTGGCCACCATCCTGCAGAGCTCCGGGTACGGCATCCCGCAGACGTACCTGAGCGCGTACGCGCACGAGGTCGCGCTGCTGTCGCAGACCTCGGCGACGCTGCTGCTGACGCTCTTCAACCTGCCCGGCATCGTCTCCTCGTCCTTCTTCGGCTACCTGAGCGACAACCAGTGCTTCCCGCTCTCGGCCACCACCGTGACGGCCATCTCGGCCGTGAGCTCGGCCCTCTCCGCCTTCCTGCTCTGGGGCCTGACCTCGCAGGGCGCCATGGCCCTGCTGGTCCTCTTCTCCATGACCTTTGGCTTCTTCGCCGGCGGCTACAGCGCCACGTGGGGCGGCGTCATCAACGAGCTGGAGCGCGAGACCGCGCAGCGCAACGAGGCCGTCGACTCGGGCATGCTGTACGGCCTCCTAAATGGCGCGCGCGGCATCGGCTACGTGAGCGGCGGCCTGGCGGGCGTGTCTCTCCTCCAGGCCGGGAGCAAGATCGCCGCCTCGGTGCACGGGCCTGGCTACGAGACCTCGTACGGCCCTCTCATCATCTTCACGGGCCTGTCGACGGTGTTTGGCGGCTGGGGGATCCTGTGGAAGATGCCGAAGCTGTTGCGTTTGGCGCGATGAAACGGGTTGATTGGCGTCATATTATCGTTGTGTCCTATGGTTCGATTTTCTGTTACGATCTCATCCTAGTGATAGGTAACAAGATGGGGAATCCGGGATTTAGCAGGCGTGGAACAGGTTTTGTTTTCAACTAAGAATCTCCCCAGTGTCGAGTCCATACATAGATGACACGGATTTGGCCACAACCATCTTTGTGATTAGAGAAAAAGATTGCTCAGGCATGACTCGATCCTATCATCACCCTCTACCGATGGAACAGGAAACCCCCCCCCCCCCCCTTCTCTCTCCAAGGCTCAAATCTCCTTTCCAAATGCCATACGATCCAGGGCCGTAGTCAGTGGACCGACGCTTTCTGACGACATGTCGCTTGACCTGTCTAATTCAGCCCGTGGTCGGCGGCGCAACCACGGTCGCCAGGGCGCTGTTGACGGGCCACTGGATCGTGTTGTTCGGGCCGGGGAGGTCGGCGGGGAACTTGAACTGCAGGTGCACGCCGGGCCGGAAGCACAGACAGTGGGTCGAGCCGCCGAAGTGGAACATGCCCAGCTGGTCGCCCTTGGCGAAGTGCGTCCGGGGCGGCATGGTGATCTCGACCGACGACACCTCGGCCATGCCCACCAGGACCACGGCCATGAGGCCGATGGCCGGGTTGTCGGCCTCGATGAAGACCACGGCCCGCGTCGCCACCGCCGAGATGTACCCCTGCGAGGCCTCGTCCGCGCCGGCGTCCGGGTTGGGTGGTCCGTCGTCGTCGTCGTCGTCGTCGTCCGGGCTGAACCCCGTGAGCAGCGGCTCCGAGTAGTACGTCCCCGCGACGAAGGTGGGCGGGTCCACGATGCGGCCCGCCACGGGCACGTGGAAGCGGTGGTAGCTGTCGGCGCTGAGGAAGGCCTGGTACACCGTCCCGCCCACGAACTGCGCGGCGCGGGGGTCGTTGTTCATCATATGGGCCAGCGAGTAGCTCTGGCCCTTGAGCCAAAACGCGTCGTGGAGTTTGACGTCCCGCTGGACGGCGAAAGGGGTGGCCTCGGCGGCGCTCACGATGACGCTGTCGTCCCCCGGGGAGGCGACGGGGCGGCGGTTGGGCAGGAATTCTCGTGTGAAGAAGCCGTCCCACGACGGAAACCCGCCCGCCGGCTTGGTGAAGTCCACGCCAAAGTTCTCGGCGAAGTCCACCATGTGAGGGCTATTCAGCGCCGTTTGTGAGAACCAGCCGCCGTCGCCAGCATTCAGTGTGCCCGTTGACTTGTCACTGCCCAGAAACTGCGCCCATGTCGTCAGCATTTTCTGAAATTGTTGATTGACCTTGGGATTCAGAAACGCTGCAAAGCCCGCTTTGGTGCCCATTGGCCAGTCGAGCACGGCGTTGATAGGCGTGCCGACCTGCGCGGAGCTATCCCAAGCGGGTGCTTCGGTCAGGATGGTGTCGAAAACGTCAAACAAGGTCTTCAGGTCTCGAATCTCGGGATGCCCGGCCGGGTCTTTCTCGTATTTGGCGGGCACTTCGGCCAGCATCTCGTTGAAGAGCATGTACAGCTGGGGGTCGGTGACGACCAGATCGTAGAACTCTTTCACCACCTCGGACCGCTCGGGAGGATTCGCTTTGACCTGTTGAACTTTCTTGTTGACCCATCTTCTCAGGACGTGGGGATTATCGGGCAACCAGTTCCCGACTCTGTTGACCATGGCTGAAGTATTTAAGCAAGAAATGGAGGCTGCTTAGTGGTGTTCGGGAAAACACGCAGGGATCAGAATATGAAGTATTGAGCGTTGGAAGCTTTTGGGCACAAATTTAAGACAGAAGAGGGGGATTCCTGCTGATATAAGTGGAAGCAGGTCGGAAACAGACTGGGTCCGTCTCACGATCCTGGCATTCGTAGCTCGATGCACACTTGTCGCTGGCTATCCCATCCAAATCATGAGCATTGGGCGCCAGTGTCGGAATGGACGTCTGTTGGTCAACAAAAGCATCCAGCTGAAGGCGGCATCATTTGTTCAGCAGGGGTCTTTCAAGCCATGTACAACCCAGCGCTCGCTTCGTCTACGATCACTCCTGGTCTGGCGATGAGGTGTTCGCGGTTGTCCGACACTGGGATGGAGGAGCAGAGGGAAGCGTGCGGTATTTTACGGAGTACCCGTTGTTTGCTTCTCGTGATCAGTTGACTGAACTCTGGAAGCAGGCCTGGGCCACCTGATCAGCTATCTTTGCTGTATGTGGACGTCGACTTCATTTCAATCAAAGAGTGGATGCGCATCTGTACACACTGGCCGATTCAGCTTCCAGGCTGGGGTGAGACGCACAACAAGAAGTGCATCTGGATGGCTGGCTGAAATGCAGACCTGTCAGCCCACCTTTGGTCCTTGGCGGTCTAGACTATTTACATGGAAAGACATGGTTGGTCGAGATGGTCAAGAGGGCTGGATGTTTGCGAAAGGCAGGAACAGCAGTTGAGCTCTGCTACACCGTGTAGGCTCCCATCAGGAATCCATCCCAGGATCTTGCCTCTCATGACGACGAAATGCCTGGAAGAAACCGATAGCAGATGGCCATGCCAATCTTCAAGCCTCCTGTTGCGCGAGTAGATGCGCCAGGATATCATGAGACAGCTCCAAGCCTAATTTCCCTTAGATGCCTCTCACGACCCCGCTCCTCACCAAAGGCCAAAAAAAAAAAGGAAAAAAGTTGGGCGCAATCCAGGGTTCGAACCTGGGGCCTCTCGCATTTTTAACTTAGAGTAGTCCCTACTGTTTACTGTTAGTCGAATAACAAGGATAGAAGAATTCAAGTACTCACAGCGAGAATCATACCACTAGACCAATTGCTGTCGAAAGGTCAGTGAATCACTCATGGAAATGAGAGCGACGGTCAACCTACCGCTTTTGTTGTGTGAAATATTGGAGGTATAATAAATAACCTGCAATGCCGATGAAATAGCAAAGTGGGGAATGGCAGATACGCTAACTAGCGTCGGATATTGCCTTGTATGGCGAGATTAACGAGAACGCGTTCAGCTGTACTAGGTGTACAGGTACACAGCCTTTGTTAAGGGCTAACTATCCCTCAGCCCTATGTACGAGCATCTCGGCGTTTAGGAGCGCATATTTAATAGTACTTGCACCATGGATACCGTGGATAGATATCTATATAAACAGTGCACTAGCAGGGCTCAACAACTGTCGTCAATTACTCTCTTCATCAAGGTCTCATTCAATCTCTCCTTCAGCTTACCATAGAGGCTTAGCCTGTGGATGGGACCATGCCCTGTCACATCTGATTCAAATCATAGATTGTACTGAGGTGAAAAGCTCGATTGTTTCTACGAAGTAACAGAGGAAGTGCACAAGACGGTAGCCATCCTCCCAGATCCTGCTGAGGAGAACCCAGAGCAAGTTCTCGCCCTCGAGCGTCATGCATTAGCGTCATCACAGCCAATTTGCTCTTGTGTTCCTCGGCAACAGCAATCTTGAAGACCTCTCCAAGCTTTATAGCTTTAAGCCAGTCGCTGCCTAAAAGAACTGGGAGCGGCTCAGGTGATTCAACAAACATGCGATAAATGTTATTATCCGGGTGCATCTGAAGCCAGCAAGGGAATTTCTGACCCCGAAAGTTGAGTATATGTGGTCCATGAACCGCCGGTGTCCCCGAGCAAATGCTGTCAAGAATTTCGTCTCTTGACGCAGGACCGCACAGAAGGACTACACGTAGATCGCTATTGTTTATCAAGAGCCTCGTGAATTTTCGACGTCGCGCAATATGATCCTCGTCTTCGGGGAGACTCGTGGTATCTGGGGCTTGCAGAGTACGCAGTCGAAGGGACTCTTTCCCTTTCTTTCTAGGGCTTCTTTACCTTTTGAAGGTCGCCAAACGCCTCCTTATACTCTGCGAGAACATCATGGATGTTACCTTCGGCAGCGACCAGGATAGAGCGCCAATGGGAGGATCGTAGCCTATCTTCTTGGCCTATGCCCGGTTGACCGCACTCTCTACTGCTGGTGACATCGCGATCTATCCCCTTGCCACCCTGTAAATCATTATTGTTGTTCTTCTGGCGAATAATGCCACTTGGGTTGACAGGACTGACGAGCAGTTGTCTAACAGCGTGATCGATGCTGGTCTCGGCGGGCACGGCAGGAGGGAAAGTAAGGCTTCCACCTCGAGCGCCGGAGATGCGATGACATGGTCGTCATCGTCATCAGATGCCACTGCTGCAGGGGGGGGGGGGGGCAGTAGTTGCATCTGGCTTCATACCAGGTTCGTCGTCACCCAATAGAATGGGTAGGTCTAGCGGGTGTCGCGCGAGTAAGCTGGATGAGAGAAACTGGGAAAAGAGAATCACGGCGGGCTCACCTCGAGTGCCGACACGGCTTGTGTCAGTTGCAATAGCAGCAGAACTGCGAGATGCAATACGGTAGGCGCACAGACCGAGCGCCACGATGTGCGCCACGACGATGAATCGAGAAGGCCAGTCACAGCTACATTCAGGAGGAACTTTTGTTTCATGCTGCGATATCGGACCGTTGAAAGCTTCTTTTATTCACTGCGAGGGACTGACTGCATCTGAACTTCTGAGCCTGCGGTCAGACCCCAAACCCGTGACTCGGGTCCACGTTGCGGATCAACGATTTGCCGAAATGATGGGTCGTCCCAGTCGCCCCAGTCGTCCCAGCCGCAGCCCGACCATCTCCGACCTTGGCGAGAGCAAAAGGCGCACAAGGGCGATCGAGATGGGGACAAATGGATCAGAGGAGAAAAACGAGCACATGTTTGCCCCAGATCATAGATTGCAGCGAGTGGAGATGACATAAGAACACATGCCAAATGAGCGAGCATGTGGCGATCAGGTTGGAGCACATGCTAGAGATAAGGGGAGAAGAAGGAGGCCTCTGAGAGGGTGGTACGATGACAAATAACACACACTTGGACACACAAGTAGTGAGAGATACGAGTGCCTGGGAATAACGGGAGGTCAGAAGGGATCGAGTAGGTACTCGGTACTGTAGGCCAACACGGCCAGGTACTCCGTACTCCGTACAGCAGCCGTAGTACCGAGTAGCAGAAGGAAAAGGAAGAGGAAAAGGGAAAGGATCCCAAGGGCACGAGCTCTTCCAAGGGATCCAACAGCTTGTCAGCCAATCGGGGAATGATGGTGATGGGGAACAGAAGCCAAGGTACCTGACCGAGTAACTCAGTAGTGGGATTGCAATTCGGCTGTTGCAAAAAACCACTGGAGGCGCATGTGATCGATTCTCCCCCCCAAGCAGATCATCATCACCGTCCGTCCACCGTCCACCGTCCACCGTCCACCGTCCATCCATTCACAGTCACTGCAATTCCTTCTTCCTGCTCTCTAGATTCTGTTCCTCCGACAGCTGCTGAGGCCCAGTACCACGCTGCCACACGCACACACACACACAAACTATTGCCGTCCCTCTGCTCCCCTCCTCACCTCCTCACTTCACACCACTTCTCCCTCCCACATACCACGACCAACGTCGCATACTCAACACCGTCCAATTCACCACCCCTCGACCATGTAGGAGTCTCGCCATTCACTTTCCCTCCGCCCCCGATTGCTCTCCCAAACTTCACACGCTCACCGACCGCCAACTACCGCCCACACATTCAACTCGACTCACGTTTCCTCCACACCATGGACTCGCAGTCGCCAAACCCGCCCTACGCCGTCCCTCCGCCCTTCTCCCCTCCGCTCTCCGCCCACCGTTCCTCCGCCGATTCTCATAAACCTGCCTCCATCGACGTTGACATGATGAGATCCGACGATCGCTCCACGAGGGCGGGCAGCGTGCTCTCTGGCATGTCCATCGAGGACATGGAGGCCGCCGAGACCCTGAACAATCTATCGCAGAGTAAGAAATATCCTGCCACTGCCATGAGCCATTATCTAACATGCGACCTCCAAGAATACCATTCCCCCAGACAACCCCATCAGCATCAACCTCCGACTCTAGTCCAGTCTCACACCAGCTTCGACTCCGACCAACCGGAACCCCTCCTCAGACTCTTTACAAGTCAATATCCTTGGACACGCCCTCTGATTAACGGCTCTCTTTCGGCTTATAAAACTACACAGTCTTACATTCCGGGTGCAGAATGGACCGAGAGGAATGTGGGCTTGCCAATCGCAGGAACGGTGGCCAGAATATCGGGTGTTGAAGGTGGTCTACGCTGGGCGCTGCAACCAAAGCGCGACGAGAGATCTTCGAATAAACCCTCCGACGTTGAGAAGGGCTTCTCTGACGTCTCCTCGGCTGGCACCAACCGACCGACTTCCGAGGCAGGTTACCCCGACCCTCTACCCGCCTACAACCCTGGCGACCGCTCACCACCCTACACGGAACAGCAAGTCCTCCTGAAAGGCCGTGATGATCGTCAGCCGCCGCCTGGCTGGCGCCAACAACTCATGGTCTCCACAAGCGGCCTGGGAATTGCCATGAGTGAAGAATCCATTCGAAGCCTACGGTACTGTCTCAGTTGGTTGCGCTGGGCTAACGGCCGACTTGGAGAGGCCATCCAGAATCTAAAAAATCTGCTCGAGCGGTGGGATGAAGGGGTTACTCCGGGCGAACAGCCGCCCACCATGTCCGTGGCGAACATGACTCAAACTCAAGAAGAGAGGAGGCAAGCTGCTCTGTCAGCGCGTATCGCAGCACTAAAGGCAGATGTGCTACAAACGCTCAAGCACGTGGTGGGAATCGTCTCGAATTACGCGGGCGGCGCATTGCCCCAGAACGCCCGAGATCTGGTGCACAGACATCTAATCAGTCTCCCTCAACGGTTTAGCCTGGCGAACAGGGCTGGCGGGGAAGAGGACTCGGCCGATGGCACCGGGGCAGGGGCTTCTGAAGCGGTCAAGAGTGGAAAGAGAGTCATGGTTTTGGCCCAAGAGGGCTTAGATATGATGACTCAAGTCAGTCGGGTCGTCAACGATACCCTTGTCAGTGCAGAGGGATGGTGTGAGAAGTTGGGCAAAAGAGTCGATCGACAGGAGCAGCAACCCTTGCGGCAGGCACTGCTGGATGAGAAGATGGAGACAGATGACGGCGAGGGCGGCGCAAGGAGCGAGAGAATGAGGAGCGAAACGATCGCACCGAGCGAAGGTGGGAGGGAAATCGAGGATGTGAAGATGACCATGTAACAACAGACGCACAAAAGGTGAGTCGGATATGTTCCTGTGATGGGGGCGTATACCGTCCGCTTCTCGATCTTGTGGCACAATATTGATGTAAGCAATATTTCTGGTTGGATACGATGCTTGCGATTTTGCAGGCTTCGGGAGAAAAGCGAGGCACAACAAGTGATGCTGTTAAAATACTGGCAAAAATCGGACAGGCTGAGACCCTACCTGTTCACCTTGTTGGAGGAAGGAAGACCTTGAGTGTGTCTCAAAAGATCCGGCAATGATTAGACGAGCCACGAGTTACGGCATAAAGCAGGACAAGAGAGAAGCTCTTGACTATCACATTTGGAGCAGCACGCCCAAGTGGAAGCACAGTGTCCGACTAAAGGATGACAGTTCGCTCGGGTTGTAGTATAAGCCAAGAACTTCCAATAGCAAGAGACAGGAGCGAGAGAACCATTCAAGGAATATACTCATACACAAAGAAGCCCATTGCCATTCTCATGGTCTACGCCAAACATTGAATTCCCACATACCTTGTCGCTAGTGAACCTGTGATACAAGGACGGAAAAAGGGGGCGAGGCTGACGTCGGGGTCGGAGGAATCTTTCTGCGGAAGGCTGATGGACCTGGTGCCGGCTTGAACACCAGAATCGCGTTCGACAATCCACCCCTCGACTGCTCAGAGTCCAGTCATATCTTACCTACATACGTATGTAGGTACACTCACATAGCTCCGACGCCACTACTCTTGGATCGTGGCATTCCGTCCGGTCACAATATGACCATCTCGAAGTGACAAGACCATGGAGTCCCAGCAATACTACGGGTCATCTCACCCCTCCGACCAACCCTCCGCCCGCACCATCTTCCCCAAGGGCCCTGTCTTCAGTCTTGACGACTTCTCCAGTCGGGATTTTATAGCCAAAGACTTTATCGAATCCTTGACTGAGAGCGTACAGTCCGCTCATCGCCGCTCTCATGGAACCGCCAACGCACCCTTCGACCCCAAGCCCTTGATCCGCGCATTCGAGCAGGCCTCGCGACGTCTCGATGAACTGTCCGGCGAATTGGAGCAGCGTGAGAATGAACTGTCCGCTGCAGTGAGAAGAGCTGAGGCGCAACATGCGGGCAACACCGAGACACTGGGCAGGAAGCTCAACTCTACCATCGAGAGCTTTCAGAAACTAGATACGTCTTTGAAGAGCGACAGAGGGGAGAAATGGGGCGGCAATGTCGCTGTGGAAACTGGGCGGAGAATAGAAGAGCTGGACCGACAGAGGAGGAAAGCTCTGGACGCGCACTTTCTGATCGAGTGCTGGGACGAGGTCAGTAACCGCGGAGAGGTCACCCTGTTGGAGAATCTAAGGAGATCTGGCACTGGAGAAGGGAAGATCAGGTCAGCCAATATTGCACGTCAGCTGCTGAGGATCAGCCAGCGACTCGACCCCAAAAGTCATGGGCAGCCCAACGGCGTCGCGACGACCAAGCAGGTCGGCATCACGAACGGTGTCACGGGAAGCAAGAATTTCAACACCAGAGAAGTCATTGAGAAATTCATCGAGACGCTAGAGAACGATATGCTCAAGCTGTTCGACGACTTCTACCGGCGACAAAATTTCGAAGAGATGAAGAACTGTGCGATTGTCTTGCAGGACTTTAATGGCGGAGCGTCTGTCCAGGCGGCCTTTGTCAACCAGCACCAGTTCTTCATCGATCGAAGTAATCTCATGACCGAGGAGATTGGTGGGGACCAGGAGACCTGGATTCGACTCTCCGACCCCGACGCCGAGTTGCCGGGCGTTGAACCTGGGTTGCAGTCGCTGATCGACGAAGTCAAGGTCGTGGTTCAGGAAGAATCGGCCATCATCAAAAGAGCATTTCCCTACCCGGAACAAGTGCTGGGCAAATTCGTTCAAAGAGTGTTCCAGCAATCTATACAGCAAAGGCTAGAACTGGTGCTGGAAAAGGCGGAATCAGAATCCACCCTCGCCTATCTGAGATCTCTGCAAGCCGCGAGAAGCTACATCAGCGTCCTCGTCGAAGATTTGAAGGCGCATGGGTTGACGGAGCACCCTGAACCAGTAACTTCACAAACGAGTCAACTCCTCGATCAGCAACTCGACGAACTATTCACTCCCTACTTTGGGGGTTCCGCATACATCGACAAAGAAAAACACAACCTTCAAGAACTCTACAAATCTCTTCTTTTCAAGTTTGAACTCTTCCACTCTCGACGTCAAAAAGAACCAAAGACTTATCTCGCAGCGATCCGCAATCGAGGTCAGGAACTTCTCGCATCCGCCAGAGAAGCCACCGACGCGTATGTTAAAAGCCTGGACCTTGAGAAGATGTCACCCACGCAAAAGAGGATTTTGTTGAGTGTGGCGGGTCTTCAGAGCACGGGCGGTGACGACAAGTCACAGCCAGACGTGGATCTCGACGAGTCAGATGGGAGATTGAATGTTGCTTTCGCGAAGAGAATGCTCAAGTGGCTCGCTGAAGGAGTAAGACGAGGTCTCGAACTGGGTGGGGGTGCAGAAACTCCGAAGGACGTCGCTGCCCTCCTCAACCTCGTGTTGAAGAATTTGTTGGAGCTATACGTCGAAGTCTCTCTCGAAGCCTGCGCAGACCTCGCCTCCTCCTTTGAAAATACACGACGAGAGCCCGACCTCTCTTATCTCTCCAATCTTCGCACAGCCGTGCACATCGCCCACCTGGTGCAGTCCTGCATCAACACCCTTCTCATCCCCCTAGCTAGCTCATCATTAACTACACGGCGGGAGATGGAGAAAGCGGCCCGTACAGCGACCGTCCGCATCGAGGATCAGATCAATAACATTGAACAAGCCACCATCGATGGCGTGCTTAACTGGACGTCACGATTACTTTCTAACCAAAATCGCGCGGATTTCCGTCCTCGGCAAGAAACGGAGGCACCGAGCTTGGAGCAGCCTCAGACATCGACCTGTGAAAGTGTGTGTAGGTTTTTGGGCTTGTTCCATGATACCGCCGCACAGAGTTTCGATGGCGCAAACCTCGGTGTGTTGCTGATGGAGGTTGCGGTGGGATTCCGCAGCCAACTTCTTCAGCACTTCACCAAGTACCAAGTCAATAGGATTGGCGGCGTCATGCTTGCGAGAGACATGTCTCGCTACGTCCAGCTGCTCAGATCTTGGGAATTAGGCGGCGGAGCTAGCGGCGAGAGCGCCACCATCGATGCCGACGCGGTTAGCGGTGGAACTTCTTTCAAGAATAGCCTCGAGGTGCTGAGTGAGCTTGCCAGCGTATTTGTGCTGCATCCCGACGCATTGAAGGAGAGGTTGAGGGGCCCGGTCCTGGGAAATTTGGGCAAAGAGAATCTCCGGCCCTATTTGTTGAAGCGAGACGACTATCTGGAGGTGGGCATGCAGAGTCTGCTGGCGTCCTTGTGATATAGAAGGAACCTAAGTGAGATATCCAATGCGGATCTATTCGGAGCATCGGTTATGGGCACATTGTGACTTGGGAGAGCCACGGATGGATAAAATGTGATCAACCCATGATCCATACATGATTCCGGTTGCGGTTGAGACGGAAGGATCGCGATAGAGAGGGCTTTGCCAATATTTGTTTGCGAGAGGAGAGAGATCCGTGCTGCGAACATACCGAGAACTATACTATCTGCGAAGACAATGATGATACCCCTCGCATGCCGTCAGTCTATGGGGTAATGGTGCGGATGCGACCTGTGTGCGGCGCCGACTATGCGTCTCTTCGCTGAATTCCTCTCCAAGATTCTAGACATCCCAGACCGAATGAGTGCTGCGCCCAGCAATGCAATGCGCCCTTGAAATGCACCTGTCTGTACAATTCCCATGAGTACTGTACATGCAAACCCCTCCGTCTGTTGGCGACCCTCGTCATCGCACAACACAGTCCACTCGAAGCCGTGGTTTTGGATGGATACCCATGCCCCAAACTGGACTTGGGCGGACGACTCTCTTTCTTTATGGGGTCTTCTCAGATCTTGAACCCGTACCCGGCCATGCAATCCTTATACTGCATGACCAGACTCTTGCAGTCCTCCTGCGGATCCTCGGCGCGGGAGAAGAGCATGCACTCGTCGCGCCGCGATTTCTCGTCTTTGCACACGCAGCATGGCTAGAATGTCCCAACAGCGCCGTTAGCCGACGAAAAGTTCCGCGGGTCGTAGGGAGAAATGATAGAGAACGTTTGCAGGGTGCAAGGAGATGCGCTGGAGGGGCGACAGGCTATTTCATCCCCCGTTGGGTTCAGGCAGTGCACGGCGGTGTTTTCGTACCTTTGCTTTCTCCGTCTTGTCTGCTGTCGACGCCGGCTTGAGCTCGCAGGCGAGGTTGTCGAGCGTCGAAGGCTGCGTCACTGCGGCGAAGCCACGTTAGTTATTACGACTGTCCGTTCTCCCTGCGGAGGAAAGAAGAGGGTGAACATACCTGCAGCAGGCTGCGCGGGCGTGGGGGAAGAAGAAAACCAGCCCATCTTGCTTGACACACTCTATAGAAGCTGTTCTTGAGAAAGAGAGCTCCGCGGGTGTGGGCTTTGGATGAGAAATACAAAATGCATTTGGAGGCGGACGGAATTATTTGGAGAGGCAGAGGTTCGGTCGGACGACGTCAACTGCTGTTTCTCAGCCAATAGTTCACCGTAGACAATTTCTACGGCAGATCATAAACGACCTCTCCCCGCGGTATGGGAATTTGCATCATTTTGCACTTTCAACTTTCCCACCAGGTTGTCTGCCTATTCCACCCTTTCTCCTGCCCGTCATCACTTCACAATCATGGCGACGGGTCTGTTCGCCTCGTTACCAAAGCCGAAATATACGGGCGAGCACGAAGAGGTGCCGCTCCACGCTCAACCGAGAGGCCCTCGCATCGTGGGACCCGGCGTGATCGATGAGTCCCAGATTGTTTTAAAGGTTAGTAACAGTGTCCCAAAGCGACATGCAGTCCCTTCCAACATACTGACCTGTGCGTTTTTATATCAGCGCTCCGGACCACCCCCCTACGGTCAACGATCAGGATGGCGACCCCGCTCTGCAGAGGACTTTGGCGATGGTGGTGCATTTCCCGAGATCCCCGTGGCGCAATATCCGCTTGATATGGGACGAAAGGGGACAGCGTCGACCTCGAATGCGCTTGCCATCCAAGTCGATGCCGAGGGAAAAGTGAAATACGATGCCATTGCGAGACAGGGTCACAGCGAGGCCCGGATTATACATTCCAGTTTCAAGGACTTGATTCCGCTGAGGCAGCGGGCGGACGCGGGCGATTTGAGCCTCGAGAGACCAACTGCAGAGGAGGCCCAAGCTACGGCCGAGCGGACCAAACTTGCACTGGAGAAATTGGTGTCCGGCGCGGTGGCGGCACAGAAGCCCAAGAATGTGAAGGGTGTGAATCGGGAAGAGCCGACCTACGTCCGTTACACGCCTGCGAATCAGATGGGGGACAACTCGAAAAAGAACGACCGAATATTCAAAATTGTCAAGAAGCAGGAGGATCCCATGGAACCCCCGAAATTCAAGCACAAAAAGATACCCCGAGGACCACCGTCTCCGCCGCCGCCAGTCATGCACTCACCCCCGCGGAAGTTGACCGCAGAAGACCAGGAGGCGTGGAGGATCCCCCCGCCGATCTCGAATTGGAAGAATCCAAAGGGTTATACGGTTCCTCTGGACAAGCGATTAGCAGCAGATGGACGGGGGCTACAAGATGTGACGATCAACGACAAGTTCGCCCAGTTCGCGGAAGCCCTCTTTACCGCCGACCGGCATGCAAGAGAAGAAGTCCGGCTCCGAGCCCAGATGCAGCAGAAATTGGCGGAGAAGGAGAAGCTCGCGAAGGAAGAGCATTTGCGAGACATGGCCAAGAAGGCGAGGGAAGAGAGACAGCGAGCTGCAGAAACACGCACAAGGCGGTCACGGTCGCGCTCCTACTCAGGTTCATCATATGATTCGCGAAGTGACGGCGAGGACGAGGCAGCTCGCGAACGAGAACGGGCGCGGCGAGAGCGCAGACAGGAGAATGAACGACAACTCCGTCAGTCAAGAATGGGCGCCGAGAAGAGAATCCAGATGATGGCGAGAGAACAGAATCGGGATATCTCTGAGAAGGTGGCACTGGGACTGGCGAAACCGACACAGAATCAAGAGACCATGTATGACTCACGGTTATTCAACCAGACCTCGGGGTTTGACTCGGGATTCAACGAAGACCAGCATTACGACAAGCCCCTCTTCGCGGCGCATGATGCGATCAATAGCATTTATCGGCCTTCAGCGGGCAATCAGGACGACGAAGAGTATGGGGAGGAAGCGGCGGAGAATGCAATGGGCAAAATCCAAAAGTCCAACAGGTTCGAGGTCTTGGGCAGGGCCAAGGAAGGGTTTAAGGGTGCTGATGTTGCCGAGCGAGAGGCTGGACCTGTCCAGTTCGAGAAAGACAAGGACGACCCTTTTGGGATTGACAGTCTGATTGGAGAGGCGTCAGCGAGGGCGGGTGGAGAAGGGAAGAAGAGATATGGGCTCGAGCAGGCCGAAGATAGGGACCGGGAGGAGAGAGACAGGCAACGGAAGCGGGCGAGAGTTGACGATGACTAGACATGGATGCTGCAGGCTGGCGTTTGCTCGCGCTTTCAGGTAAAGCAGTATCAGGACGGTCTCTCAGCAGGAAAGTTCTGCTATCCAAAGGAGAATTAATTTTATATTCCCACCCATTCATTCGCTTTGTGTTGGACTCAGTTTTTCCCGTTTTCCCTTTGCCTTTCCAGGATATACTCCCCCTTTTCCCGATGCTTTTGGTACGCTCCCTTCTCACTTCTCAACCACCAGGATGCCAAAATGCGGCCTCTCCTCACACCCGTCCCAGTAGTCGATCCCGACGCCATACTCGGCGCGACTCTCGTCGTCGCTCCGGGGCAATCTGACCTCGAGCCACTTGAGCTCGCCGTTCATGCCGCCGCGGCGGGCGGCGTCCTCGTAGACCCGCCGGCGGAGGTGGAAGTTGTCGAAGGCGATCTCGACGGGCGACACGTGCGCGGTGATGCGGGTGTGGTAGCCCTCGCCCGAGGCCAGCGGGGGCGCGAGGTACGCGATGGAGACGCCGAAGCGGCGCATCTCGGCCTGCGCGGCGGGCGTGGCGTGGAAGGCCGCGAAGGCGTCCAGGTCCGCCGCCGGGTGCGGCGTGATGCCCACGAAGCGCCCGCCGGGACGCAGCGCCGCGGCCACGTTGGCGAACATGCGCGCCATGGCCGGCGTCGACGCCGCGTAGTTGAGCAGCCACGCGCCCAGCACCACGTCGAACAGCCCAGAATCAGAGCCATCTTCTTCTTCTTCTTCTTCTTCTTCTTCTTTTCCTTCTTCTGCTCCCGAGAAGACGGTGCGTGGGAGAGGCTCCGTGGCGTCCCCCACCGCGAACCTCAACCGGCCTTGCTGAAACGCGTCCAGCGACGCCGCCGACCGCTCCGCCGCGCCCACCATGGTCGCCGAGATGTCGACGCCCACGACGCGGCGCAGGGACGGCGCCCAGTCGAGGAGGAGCCGCGAGTAATACCCCGTGCCGCACGCGAGGTCGAGAACCGCCGCCGCCCTGCCGTCCGGGAGCGTCAGGTACGGCACGATGGCGTCGCGGAGGTTGCTGCGCTCGAGCGCCGCGCCGGGGATCTGCTTCATCGACTCGTACGACTGCCCGATCTGGTCGTACTGGGTCGCTGGAGCGGTGTCCGGTTCTTGTGGCGACGGCGCTGACATTGTTCCTGTTCTCGACCAGTGGTGTCAAAGGAGACGGACTATATTGACCGACTTGTGTGAATGGATGGCAGAGCGTAGGATTGGGCAGCTATACACAGCCAGAGGAGTGTGTGGTGGCTTCGTTGCTTCCCTTGGACCGTCTTGCTCACAATATCACCGTTGCATATGAATTCCAGGCCGAAGAACAAGAAGGGGTTCACCAGAGTGGGTGAGAGAGAGACTTGATCATTGACAGTCAGTCAGTCAGTCAGTCAGTCATCCATTGATACCTCTTGTAGCCTTTTTGCTTCCTCTATCTTCAGTCTTCCTGAGAAGATCGGGAGTGCTGGGGGGGCTTACACAGCATATATCTATACCGTGGAAGAAATCCTACGAAGATCTCCTGATGTATGTATGTATGTATGTATGTATGTATGTCAGAAGTATCCGATTCGCTGCACATAAGGCCACCATCACCTCCGCTGATTATTGTGTACTTGGTATGACCTACTTGTTCAGGCGAGTAGGACTAGTCCACAGTAGGTAGTAATACCACGTCGACGTAATTACGTATATGGAGTACATTGCGGTGTATACTCAGACCTCAAAAAAAAAGGGAAAAAGAGCAAAAACAATCGACAGCCGGGATTCCCAAGTGGTCCCCCAACTTAGTACTAACCGGCCGGTACTGGGCTTAAGTACGTCTGAGCGAACGGGAAGACCTGCATTCCCAGTCCTGTGGTCGATTGCGGTGGATGAATGGGCGCGAGGAAATAAAATGGCTTGGTTTTTCTCGGGAGGAGGGGGGCCTACAACGGTAGGATTGAATCCAATGCACTGCCAACAGGATCACCAGGACCAGATCATCGAATGGTGTCGCAGTGCTCTATCCCATCACTATCCAAACGAGAACACAAGAAAGGCTCCTCCTTTAACCTCGTGTGTGTCCCTCTGCCATTGTACACCACTACCACCACCACCTCCTCCTCCTCCCCTTCGACCTACGTCCCAACTCGCTCTCACAGCCCAGCCCGATAGATGTTCCACACATTCAGCATCCTGGCCCCTTGACCCGGCGTAAACCCCGTATAGCACGCGTCGCTCGAGTAGTCCATAAACTAAAAACGCAGCCTGATCAGCGGAACCCCTTGACAGAAGCACCTTGGTCTTCTGCAGTATGACCAGTCACAGCGTAAAGAGAGCGGCAAAACTTACGTTGTGGATCGGGTCGAGCCCTGAAAAGCCCTGCGGACCGTATGGGTTCGATCCCTGGCTGGACAGCCCGGTGTACGCGGTGGATGAGATGCCCGAGTTGGGACACGAGTCTTTGTAGACAGGACAGCCGTCTGGGCAAGAAGGGGGTTTTGTGAGGTTAGTGACGTGGAATATGCACATACTAGGTAGTATCGGGCTGCGGTGAGATGGACGGGCAGCCGGAGAGCCCAGTACAAGGAGGAATAACGGCCCCCCAGCAAACAATACAAGGACGAGACACACTCCAAACACGGAAAAGAGACTAACAGAACGTACTTGTGCTGGTCATCTCCTGCGGCGTGTCCGCCACATAATCCCCCCAGTCAGAGGCATCGCAACTGTTCCCATTGAACGTGTGCAGCAGCCCGTTCCAATGGCCCACCTCGTGTGCCGTTGTGCCTCCCAGATTGTAACCCTGCATGTTCCCTCCTGGCATTGTCCCGCTCAGCACATTACACCCATCGACGACATACACGCTCCGCGGTGTCGTCGCAGTCACCCCGGCGGCGGGCAAGGAGCAGAAACCCAGCAGCGTGCTGCCCGCGGGGACCCCGGGAGTGTTGCTGCCGGCCTGCAGGAGCGATTGGTAGTAGATGTTCAGGCTCGAGTAGGTCCCCTGGCGCAGCGCCTGTTTCATGCCGACGTCGTCCCCGTTGCTCGCCCACGTGTCGTTCGTCGTCCGGGTCACGCCCGCCAGGCGGAACCCGATCGACGCGTTGGTGTACGACCGCGCGAGATAGATGAACTGGTTCTGGATCATGCCGTCTGTCACGTAGTTCGGCGACGAGGACGACGCGCTGGCCGTATCCGAGACGATGTGCAGGTACGTGTCGATCGTGTACAAGGGAGACAAGGTTTGGCGGCGTTCATGGCTGGAGGAATGACGGGCAGCGACGAGAGAACTGTTCCATAGGTCGTTCTCTAGGGGCTCGTGTTCTTGCAGATATCGGTGTGTGGAAACAAGGTCTTCCGAGGGCGCAGCCACGCCGCACGAACGATGGATGGGTCGGTATTTGGGAACCGCGCCGAAGCTGGATGAGCAGAAGCTCGTTAGGACGACAAACGGCAAAAGGACCAAGCAAGTGGACGATTTCCCAGCGAAACAAATCATAGTCCGAAGAAGCAAAAGCGCAATTAGCGATGCGATTGAAGAAGTTGAAAGCAGAATAAAGAGTCGAAAATGCACATAACAAAAGCACAGATCACCATCACAACTTCGCCATGCGGGCTGCTTGGAATGTGGGAAGGGTCGAACACCCGCCAAAAAAACATCATTGCTGCGCCATTTCGTACTCGAAAGAGGCTTTCGAAACAACAACTGCAGAGGGCACGTGTGCAATGCTGAGATAGCGATGAAGGATGGCTGTATCTTTTGGGGAAAAAGCTGCACCAGTAGCTGCTGCCCCTATAAACTCTCCCGGATTCCCCTGAAAACGCCGGCTCTGTGATATAACACAACACTATATCGCCCATGTTAGAAGAATCATACACTCTTGTCGTCTCATTTCAAGACCCTCCAGGTCGAATGTCGCGACCAGTGGCAAGAATTCCGGTCGCCGGAGTATCGTTGTTCCAGGACAGATACGTATGGTCGCCGAGTTTTCTGTTTCCCTTGTTAGCGAAGTTTAGGATTTCCGAACGGGACGAAAGGCTTACCTGGGTCGGATCAAATGTGCGAGGGTGAATAGTGCACCGAGAACGATGCACAACCCGCCAATCGCGACGTAAGCAATGCCCAAGAAGGAATTCTTGCCACCGACCACGGATCTTGTCGAGATCAAGATGCTTTTGGTGCCGTCATACACGGTGACCGGGAAGACTTTGACAGTTGTTAGATCTCCAGTGTGCATTCCGTTGTAGGCCGTACTCACAGTCAAATATCTCCATCTGATAGATGCCGGCGGTCATGGTTTCATTGTCATTGCGCAAGGCCAATTTGCTGAACGTGGGCAGACCGGCTGTTCTCATCCAGACCTGGAACTCTTCGTATTGCGACAAATCTGGGATAGGGTGTTCATCGGTATAGTTTGGATAACGTTTGATCCAGTTGGGAGGCGGAGCCACTTGCTCGTTGGTGTACTTCGTCTTCTTGTAAAGTGATGCATCGGAGCCCCAAGCAATGCTCCGGTTCGTCATAACGTACGGTTGCGCAGGCTTATCCCCCGCCGCATTCACGAGGTTGGGAGAATTTAGGGTGTCATTGAAGATGGAGTTCGCGATCAGTCCGCATGGGTAATAGGCCTTGCCTTCGTGGTTCAATTTGAGCGGATTGCAGGCGCTGTTGCTGATCGTGTGATTGCTGAGAGCCTGCCCCTTCAATTGATCGGTATCAAGCGACTTCACATATCTCCGGTGGTTTTGATAGAAATTCGTCAGGCGATAGTACAGGTAAACTGGAGGACCAATGTCGTTGGGAATCGAGAATTGAAGCGTACAAACAGGTGTGTCATCGATCGCAACGCTCCAAGGCGGGGTTGTCCTCCTCGTTGTTCTCTTCCATTCGGGTCTCACTGTGTTATCGGAGGTCTTGAAGGACGAGTGGACTTTGGCTTCGGGGATCTGGGTGAAGTCGCTGCCTGCGGTTGAAATACAGTCGGTATAATCAATCCTCAGTTCTTGCACCTGAAAACTGCCTTAGTATTCAGAGATCCGTCTTCGATACTCACTTTCACTCACACTTGCGCTCGCCCATAGAAGGAGACCGCCGATAGGGGCAAAGATGATGCCGACGGCGAAGAGGAGGGGAAGGACAGTCTTGGGCGTCAGAATAGGCCTGCAAGGTCAGTATCTTTGGCGGTGCCATCCAGAAAGTGTAGCGGGACTCACTGCCATGCCTTCAGCCTCTGCTGCCGAAACGCGGTGTCTGTGTAAAAAGATCCCCGTCAGCATAATTGCGCATTACGACAGGCCTCAGTGCACCGTACTTGCGGGGCGTCTGCTCTTCTGTTTCTTCGGAGGTTCGTTGTGAGGATCCTCCTCGTGGATGGAATCAGCGTGCTGAAGTTCTGTCCGCGTCATCTTGACTCTGCTCTTTCCCCTCGATACTGATGGAGAGGAGGGGACGCCGGCGAGGTCACTTTTGAAACCGCAGAGGACGACTGGGTGGCTGCACACTCAGCATCTCGGCGCTGCATGCGCCATTCCGGGATATCCTTGCGACTAAACCATTTTGGGCCTGTCACAGCCCCCGTCGATTCTCGTCATTTGATTCGTATATCAACTTTGCCTTGGCTTCCATTTTTCGCTCTCTTTTCTCTTCCCTTCATAACTCATTCACGGACATGATTTATTGTAGGAGCCAGGGCTGCACACACTTTTGCATGCACAAATCTCTTTCTCCTCTGCTACATGATCCTAGATCAAGATCATGAATCATCGCGCCGTAGCTGGAGCGTGCTATGAAAATACAGAAATTTCCATGATGCTTCGGTTCCCTTACCGACGGCTGCTACATTTCCCCCAGAATCGAGATACAATGACAGACCTGAAGTGCATATTACCCTCCATTTTCGTTTTTCATTTCTCCTTTTCGGGCCTTTATTGGTCGTGAACAGCCATCCTGCCCGGTTTGTCTATATTGGTCGCCGAAAAAGTCCCGCCCGCAGAGGTCCCTGGGAATCCAGTAACAGATCGCCCGTCGACTCCAAAAACACCTTCGCTATGTCATTCCTGTAGTGATACATCCATCTAGTTGTTATTGCTTTACATCTTTGTCCCCGGCCGCCCAGGTACTTTCTTGTTTTGTGCCAGGAGGAAGCCAGCCAGAGATGAAGTTTGAATCGTGTTGCCGACCCCGGCTATCATCTCTCTTTGGATGCAAATCCGACATCTCGTTTACATAGTCGTCGTTTGTTTGGGGCCCATCGTGGTGACCTGGGGTCTTCACTTCGGCAACAGGCAATAGTGGCGTATGTTTGTGACGGAAATGATCGGTTCGAGTCCTTCGTTCCGCGGCATCCTCCATACTTGTCCGGTCATAGAGGTAAAGGCCAAAACATGTGAGCGCGATACCGACCATTTGGATGGACGTGGTCGAACTCCGGAACCAAATAATCGCACCAACGATAACCCATACCCTCTTGATCAATGAGGCCACCGAGTACGAGACCGGAGACAACATGGAGAGCAGGACAAATGCCATGATGTTCTGGAGAAAGTGGAAGATTCCGTTGAAGATGAATTCCAGAGCTAGCTGCCCGTGGTCCAAAGTCCCTCTCTTTTCGTCAAGATCAATTGACCCGTCCTTCCAAAAGTCTCGCATGATTTCTAAGCCTTCGGTGTAAATCCAGACCGGCGCAGAGAGCATGAATGCTCCAACTGAGCAATAACATAGGAGGTTGAGCTTGTCCAGTTTGCGGGGGAGATGTGTTTGGCCCTCTGCTTCTGCTCGCGCTGATTCAGTGAATAGCTTCTTTGAAAATATGTTCTGCGTCACAAAGACAATGGCTGCGACCAAGGAGGCACTGATCCCCCAAAAGTTCGTGGAGAAATCGGTGGAGCATGCTAACATGACTCCGACTGTAAGTGGGACGAGCGATAAATATGTAGCTTGCTTGTAACGTATCCGGAACACTATTCGGTATGCCAACACGGTAAATAATGGTGAAAGACCCTTGATTGTGTGAACCAGAGAGACTGGGATTTTGGATGTCGCATATGAGCTTAGGAGGTGGCCGAGCAATTGGAAAATCGAAAGAGGAAATGCCGTGTACATGACGTCCCATGAAGGTTGTCGGAGACCGTTCTTCAGCGCAGGTATACTTTTTTTGATTGATGGGAAAAGAGATGACAAGCTCGTCAGAATCAAGCACCAAATCGAGACCGAGGCGAACTGGAGGATTGTGAGGGTGGCTGGCTTGGGAAAGGCGTTCAATATCGATTTGGAGGATGTATTTGTCAAGGCAGAGGTCATGTACCAGATGATGCACAGTGCCTGTTGTGTGTTAGACGTTTTGAAAACTACGTTGCGGATCACTCACAATCAGTTTGTAGGAGACTGGAGCTTTCAACGCCTCAGCCAATTCTTGCGCATTCTCGCTCACACTCCCTTGTCGTGTACGGATCCTGTGAATCGCATCGCTGACGCTTCGCCTGGACCTATGTGTGTATACTCCTGCAGGCCGGGCATCGCGCAGCCTCTGGCTCATCTTTCTGACCGGCCATTTCAACTCGCCATTGAGGTGTGGTGTTGGAGTGAGTTCTTGAGGGCTTTCCGCGACGACGGAAGAATTGACGTGGAGGTTTGGAGGGGTGCTGTGATCAAAGGAAGGGAACCTTTCATGACCGGAGGTTTCATTTACGCCCTTCAGAGGGGACACGGATCGATGTGTGAATATACGGGGTTCAGGAGTCTGGGTCATGGTGGTGGTCATATTCAATGCGGGAGTGGTACTGAAAGGGACTGAATTCGAACAGACACAACCGCCCTGCGCCGCATTTGCCGGTGTGCTGCTTCAGGGTATGCTTGTGGTTTTCGCCATTTGCTTGAAGCGAGCGTCGTTGGTTGTGTATAATGGGATTGTTCAGTGGTTGGTGCAGGTTTTGGTGATCATGATGCATAGAATCTTCAATCTCGGACAAAGCATGGGCAGGGGTGGTAACCGGCTAGGACACTCGTGCGCCATTGCGCGGCGAGATAACGCAAGCCTATCTTCGGATAAATTGCTGGCCAAATGTCGGTGCCGGATTAACTGGAGTTCCGGCTAGCAAGGCTTGGTGGCTTGGTTACTTCAACTCACCTTGTAACCTATGCCCTTCGAGGCAGTTTCTCGCCATGTGGTAGAATGAAGCTTGAGAAACTTTGCAGGCTCTGGCCCTTTGTCGCTCCTTATCAGCTCACATGCCGATCGACCAGCACGTCTCAAGATGTTCTGGGGCTCGAAGATACTGGCAATCAGAGTCTCGTCACTATCCTTCCCTCCTGGGACGTGATCGGCCCATTCAGAGTAGGGACTCGAGGTATTTGGAAAACCTAGACTCAAGCAATCGCTCCAGATGTTGACACCGGGCAGAAATTGTCTGGGGTGCTGACCCTCTTGAGTTTTATGGGGGAATTCGACACGCCAGTCCGAATCAGCCAGGCAGATTCAGGAGTCCATTAGCAAGAAATGCGACAGTGCAATGGGCTCGGAAGGAGTACAATACTTCGCTATCGAACGGTGAACACTCACTCAATTTCTCTCTTGAATTTGGTGAGATCGATTGGGAATTCGCCCAAAACATCTATGGCTGGTCGGCGTTCCAGTACCAGGCGTGGGCTAAAGGGGAGATCTTGAATCAAGACATCGCGAGTAGGGCTGTAAGTGTTTTCAGCGACAATATTCTTGAGCTTTGGATCAATGATTTGCACGTCTTTGGTGGAGATTTCTTTGGGTTTGGACGAGCTCCCGTCCTGGTTCAGCTCCATCCTGGTACCAACAACATCAGCGTACGGCTCGTCCGCGAGGTTCGCTCCATGGGTGGTGCATTTCCTCCAACTCTCCAAGCAGATTTGAGAATTCGCCTTGCTTCTGAACAGCTCACTGTTGTGGCAAATAGCCTGGTGATGCCGAACGTTGTCAATGGAAGATTCTGCACGCGATACGGTAGCATAACTGTCCGAAATCAAGGTGCAACATGGGTACGCGTGCACCGGATAGCTGCTCTCTCCGAGGAAAGCAGTTATGTCGTGGCAAGTCAAGAGATACACCTTGCACCTGGCCAATCGCGTCCGGTGAAAATGGTATTCGAGGGCCCTCTCAAGTTGGACGAATCACTGAGGTTGGTTCTGAGTTATTCGGGCAACGGTGCGGCGCCAAAGGAGATCACCTTCACCATAGAGCTGGAACACGCAGACATATCATCCTCGCAAAGAATCACATTCCTTCATCCGAGCGGCACAGTGTCTCATGCGCTATTGAAACCGCCATCTGCGGCCAACGCGACAATGGATGAGAGGTTACCTGTGCTCCTGAATCTTCATGGCGCTGGCGTGGAGGCAGATGGCCCCTTGGCACGACATATGTTTGATGATGCTCCTCATCTTCCAGCATGGATACTCACTCCTACGGGCATGAGCCCCTGGAGTGGCGACGATTGGCATACTTGGGGCTTTGCAGACGCTCAATCCGCAATTGCCGCAGTACCTGATTGGATTAACAGCACTGAATGGAATGGCTCAAGGCTGTATTCTGAGAAATTTCTCGTTGCAGGCCACTCCAACGGCGGGCAGGGGACGTGGTACTTTGCTTCTCATCTTCCTGATCGCCTTCTGGGAGCTGCCGTCGCTTCGGGCTATTCATCGATTGAAAACTACGTGCCATATATTCTGTGGAACGAGGCGGACCCTCTCCAAGACGCTATCCTCGAGACCTCGAGGAGCAACTTTCGTCATGAAATCCTGACTGAGAATCTAGTGGGACTTTCTATATTTCAACAGCATGGATCAGCAGATGACAATGTTCCAACTTACCATTCTCGATTGATGAACACCCTACTGAACCAAGCGGGCACAATAGCGCAATATTCGGAGATACTGGACAAGGGACATTGGTTTGACGGTGTAATGACCACCAAATCAATGATGGACTTTTATTCGCGCCATCTGAGTATACACCCGCCTGCCCTAACTGTACCCACCGCTTTTAATCTTGTCGTTCCGAATTCCCATGACATGGGATCTAGGTATGGCGTCGTTGTCGACCAACTGTCATCCCCAGACAGATTGGGAAGACTGAAGGTAACAACAAACTTGCGTGGATCTCTCGTCCAATGGCATATACGGACAGAGAACATCCATCGATTCCATCTGGATCCCAACGCACGACTCACCAACCCTCCTGACCAAGTCCTCATTGACGATGTGCCGCATATGTTCGACCTTGGAAAAGGAGCGGCTTCTTTTGTGAAGTCCACTTCCAATGTGTGGGGTAGAGACGTCGCCTTGAATTGGAGGACTCTGGATCAAAGATTCGGTCGTCAAAGAGGGGCCCTCGAGGCAATCCTCCGAAGCGCGGGACCATTCGAAGTCATTTACGACTCCGACAAGACACTGCCCATCGCAATACAGACGAGCCGAAACTTTCTGCAGTACTTTGGAGCTGACACAAACATTTTGCCTTCCCCCGCATATCAGCAAGCACTGGAAAGGGGCTCAAATATCATCATAATCTGTCTTGGAAGCTTTGTCCCAGAAGCTCGCCTCCCGAGATTCCCAATTCGACTTGCCAATAAGAAGGTCTTCTTTACCGCACCAGATTCCAGATCGAAGTCGTTGCATTTGAGAAAAGGCATGGGCGGAGTCTGGCTTCGGCCTCTCTCGGGGGAGCGGTTGGAGCTTGTTGTATGGGGAGCTGACGAGACTGGACTGCGACAAGCTGCGAGGCTGATACCCACAGTCACTGGAGCTGGTCAGCCGGATTTCGTGATATTGGGTAGTGAGGCAAGATGGAAGGGTCATGGAGGTGCCATTGCAATGGGCTTCTTTGATCGCAGTTGGAGGATATCCTCCGCTTCGTACCTGCCCTAGTGACGGGGAGTTGTAGGGTTTCGTGAACGAGAGGGTGGGTGGACGTGAGTACTGTTGGCCAAAGAGCTAGTTGGAGCAGCAGGAATAACTGCTGAGAGACTCTGGGAGGCATTTATATTCCCTGGTAGGTCACTGGGAATGACACGGACAAGAAGAGGCAGAGTTGGGATGAGGAAAGCGCGCTCCCTGCGACCACTGCACTCACTTCACTCACTTCACTGATGCTTGACTTCTTCCTCTGCCTGCAACTGCCATCACCCCTTCCTTGTCTTTCCGATCACATCTTCCCTTTCCGCCTTGTACATCCTCCTCTTCGTTTCCACCCTCTACACCCTCACCTTCTTCGGCATTTCCCAAGTCTTCCCCATTTTGCAGGCAATCTCTTGTCACTGTCGCCGGTCTGACGGTGTGCTTCTCTCCCTGACTTCTCCTGATCTATTACCTGGATATCTCTGCATGTTGTAAAGACCTCAGTCAACCAAGGCCCTTTGGTTTCCGGAATTTGACAACCTCATGGCCACGCTTGTCTCCACAGGATCTCCGACCGGCAAGATGAGTCGCAAATCAACCCCAACCATCAAGGTCAGAGAGGAAAGTGATGATGGCCCTGTTGTGGTGGCAAACACGCTCACGGTGTGTTTGTTTGATTCTTGCTTCACTTTGTCACTGACACGCAATCACAGACTGCGACCAATTCTCATTCCACAACCTCTAACCGTCCTTCCTACACTATCTTGCACAGTGACAAGCTCAGCAACGTCCAGCCTCCAAAACCGAAGGACAAGGTATGCTGATTCATTGCCTCTTTTGTGCTTGTCCTTTGCGGCTGGCTAACTCCATATTACACAGGCTGCTGCCAAACCTTCTGACCACAGCGTGATGGGTGGGGGCATGGAGGACATTCTTTCACGCCTCAAGCTCAATGACTCTCGTAAACCTGCTCCCGCCCCGACTGGCGAAGTCAAGTCACGCAAGCCTGATGACTTTGGGAACCTTGACAAGCTTCTTAACAATCTTCAAGATTCAAGCAAAGCCCTGAAGAAGCAAGAGCAGGAACTCAGGAGCGACATGCAATCCGAGAATCACAAAGGCCACACCTCGAGCGATGACAGCCTTGATGCTGCAAAGCCCATCCACCATGCAGCAACTATGAACAAAGTCGATGTGGCTGAAATGATGCGTGTCAAACAGGAGCTCGAGGCCGCCAGGTCCGTCATTTCACGCCAGGAACAGGAGCTTGCTGAGACCCGTACGCTCAAACAAACCATCGACCAAGCCATGGGTCCCCCGTCCGAAATCGACTTTGGTGCCTCCAACGATATCTCCGAGCAAACCATAGGTCATCTGCAAAGTGCTTTCAATGCTTCTGCCCGTCCATTTACTTCGCAGACCGACGCTTGGGCTACCCAAGACGAACACCGCAATGATTTCGTCCGTGGCAGGGGCATCTGGAACAACCCGGCAACATCGATGACGAATCTTTTGGCTACCAATTCTGCTGCTCCAGCATATAACCACCCTCGTGATGCACGTCTCTCAGGCCAAGCCTACAATGGGGTCTACGGAGCACCCTTTTCTCCGGCTGAAGCCAATTTCCAACCTCGCAACTTCTCAGGTACTGGAGCTCCGCTTGGATATGACATGAGGTCGAATAATGACATTATGCCAATCAACCCTACCCTCGGCATGAGACGCAATGGTGGACAATTGAGAATCAACCCAGGTCTTACTGATCCGATGTCACAACTTAGCAGCTTCCCTCCTGCTGCTACCACATTGACACCACCGCCAATCAGTCCCGTTGGGTTTCCAGGCCAATACAATTATCAGCGAGGAATCACGACCCCGATCACTCCGGCCACAGACTTCAACACCGCTGGTGTGCAGAGTACTGGGACCCCGTGGCCTCTCTCGGCAGGTGGTGTGAATGGACAAACCTATGTCACGCCCCTTGAGCCGATGAACTACCGCCGTCTGCTCGACAAGTCCGTGTCCTGTGATTGGAAGTACATTGTTGACAAGATCGTCTGCAACAATGACCAACAGGCTAGCATCTTCCTCCAGCAGAAGCTCAAGGTCGGTACAGCTGAACAGAAGTTCGAGATTGTTGAAGCTATTGTCAATCAAGCTTATCCACTCATGATCAATCGATTTGGCAACTTTCTTGTGCAGCGATGCTTTGAGCACGGAACTCCGGACCAAGTTGTCGCCATTGCCAATGCCATCCACGGCAATGTCCTTTCCTTGAGTATGGATCCATTCGGCTGTCACGTCATTCAGAAGGCCTTTGATTCGGTTCCGGAAGACCACAAGGCTGACATGGTACGAGAATTGCTTCGCCGCATCCCAGATACGGTTATTCACCGCTATGCTTGTCATGTCTGGCAGAAGCTGTTCGAACTCAGATGGAGTGGGGAGCCACCACAGATCATGCTGGAGGTCAACAAGGCTCTTCGCGGCATGTGGCATGAAGTTGCATTGGGCGAGACTGGGAGCTTGGTGGTCCAGAATATTTTTGAAAACTGCATTGAGGAGGAGAAGAGACCCGCCATCGAAGAAGTGATTGCCAATATCGACCTCATCGCCCACGGTCAGTTCGGCAATTGGTGTATTCAGCACCTATGCGAGCATGGCTCTCCACCCGACAAACGCCGCGTTATTGACCACATCCTTGCCAACTCGTACAGCTACAGCATCGATCAGTTCGCTTCCAAGGTTGTTGAGAAATGTCTCAAGATCGGAGGGCCCGAGTTCTTGGACCGCTACCTCGGAGTCATCACCACTGCTCACCCAGATCGCCCGCGCATCCCGCTTATCGACATTGCTGGCGACCAATATGGCAACTATCTGATTCAATGGATCTTGATGAACACTCACCACCATCAACGAGAGCAGGTGGCCATCCATATTCGAAAGCACATGGTCTCCTTGCGTGGTTCCAAATTTGGATCTCGAGTTGCCATGCTCTGCTGCAACCCCAATTCGGTCACTCGTCCTGGTCCTGGAGCAGTTGTCAACCCTTTCGGTGCTCCCGGTCAACCACGTAGCCAATGGCCTCGCTTTCGCTAAGTCAAGATCTCGACACGTCTTTATGGACAGGGGTCTGGTCTCGCGCTTCGTCATCTCATCTACTTACGTGTCATCTTCTTGAAGATGAGGGTATTCTACAAGTTTGTCAATACAGCATGGGGCGACTACCGTGAAACTTGGAATACCGACCACCACTGCCATGACCGATGGGAAGGAGAATCCTAATCGGGCCTTTGAAGCCAGTCTCTTATCTTGGCTCGGACCTCTTGGTTGTTCATTTCCATCCAACTCTTATCGGACAAGGATATTCGACTGTATGTGTTTCTCCATATCGACAAGGAATGTTTCATACGTGCCGACGATACGAACAACCCACCAAACATCTGCCGCGCGTGGGTGTTTGCTTTCGGGGTCACAACTTGTTGGCGGCAATAGTTCCGGGCGAGCAGCATTATCGACGTCAATGTCCATCGGTCATGGCGGATGACTGTGTATCATATCGTGTCTTTGACAGTTGTCCATGCCCGCCGAAAGAAATGAAGGGGAAAATTGACCAAGCATGTATTTACCAGTGGCATGATGAAACATCCAGAATGAAGAGGACAATGTAGCAGATAGTGAACATCATAGCTGAACAAGCGTACCAAAGAGTTCGTGTTCTTCCTTTGCAATAGGGTCTGCCCTCCAGCTTCAGTAGCGGTTCTGAAGATCGGAATCCATCCATGAGCGCCTCACTGCACTGGTACAATATAATGCATACGAGGCGTCACCAATGTGCCGTAGGCCACGAGACAAAGGTTTCCATCACGGTTAACCCCCTTTCCTACAGTTCATATGGATCGCTTCACGCGGCTGTACGTTCCGCCTGGCTGAGCCTGACCATGTGGCAGAGTGTGACATGTGTCTCGTTCAGCATTTGAAGTCTGCCTTGCCCGTGGATGTTGTGGGAGGCGTGGTGAGGTTCCACATACTACCTAGCGTGTCCGATACCTGTCAATCAAAAGCACAGGCTATAACTCCCCCTCCTCTCTTTGGAGTGGGCGATGGGCGGAATGCTCTTGCGCGCCAAACAACCTCGTCACGCAGGGGAAAAGGCCACAGGGCGTGACAGAACTGTGAGGAGTCGTCGATCGCATGGTATCTGTCTACATCCCGGCCGGGCATAGATTGCATGTTTCTTCAAGAGTGTCCATTCAGTCTCTGCTGAGCAGTCCGCTGTCCGGGATGGCATTGGGTTGAAGAATCTTTACCAACCCTTCGTCGGCGATTTTGTGTCCGTTGATGTCGGTCCCTTCGGGCTCAGATCCAGCTTCACCGCCCTGCTCATTCGCAACGGTGACTTGTATGTCAGCAGCCTCCAATGATGTTATTTCAGCCTGCGACTGTTGTTCTTCCGACTCTGTCACGACGTCCACATCTTTCTCCCACGGTTTCTTTCTCCTCGGTGTCTTGTCGATCTTGCTCGACCCTGGTTCCAGGACAGTGGGCGGGATCTCTTCTATCCCTGGGACAGGGAGGTTGCGCGTTATAAGGTCCACAATTGCCGCGAAGGAGGTGGGGTAGGGTGGGTCTTGAGCTGCTTCCGAAGGAGCTGGCGCGGTGGTGTTTGCGGAGGCAGAGGCTGAAGCGACTGTTTGAGAGGATTCTCGAGGCGGCGAAGACGGCGCTGATGACGGTGATGTCGGTTGAGGTGCTGAAGTGGAAGTCTCAGACTGGGTCTGAGGTTGGAATAGTTGCAGGTGTGGATGCGGATGTGGTTGGGATTGTAGCCAGGCTGAATACGCTTGGGGAGTCACCGGCGGCGTGATGTGAAACTTCCTTGAGAAATAGAAGCATTGTGCCTGAAGCACCAGGTCTGATTTCTCGCGTAATTCTTCCGGGGTTGCAGGTGTGTCCTGATGACCTAGGATGGTTGCGAGGCCAGCTTGATATTCTGGATCGGTGGAGAACGGGTAGCGGGACAGGTGAGTATATGTAGCCTCTAGGTCTGGTTGAGGCGGAGGATGCGTCTGTTCGTCGGCATTCTGGGTGGCCATTACCCTGGCTCTGAGCGGAGGAAGTGCTTAGCTGGATGCTGACGATATCTGAGCAGAAGCAGCGCGGCGCGGGGGAGAGACGTTGTTGTCGTTGAAGGATGAAGCGGTAGAACCTCGGCATTGATTCCGCAGTCTCCAGGGAATCTGGCGGGCGACTAGGAGGGAGTGCGATGTGCCCGGAGCTTGTCGCTCTTCAACCGTCGTGAACCAATATCAGGCCATCAGGTACAAGAGCGCGCAGTGTTGGGAGTTTCAGTTACAACGACTCTGTGGCCGAGACTTGTTGCTACCACAAAGAACTTCAGACGAGGCTGATCCCGCGTATTAAGCAGCCAATCGGAATCGCTTGCCGACCGCAAGGCTGCGCTTGATTAGCGCTCGCCTCGCACTTGCTCGCGCCTCGTTTTAAATTCACACCGAACTAGCCCAGTGGCCACCGCCCACTGCCTACTGCCCACGCTGTCCAACCTCATGCTCTGCCTTCCCATAATACACCACCTTAAGCCCTCATCTTTGCCAACGTGTCACTAGACCACCCTTAACCATGGCGGAGAACATGCCCACACCGGCATCTCCTGGCACCGGGCGCTATCCTGGCCCTGGCTTGTTGTCTAGCGGCACTTCCGACACGGCAGACGATAGTGGACCGGATCTCAGCGATAGCCCTCCGGAGATACGTATGCTGCGCTGCATTGAGCGGCACGATAAGGATTTCAGAGAAAAGCTCGACGTCTTGACCAGACTAACGAAGATGGTCGCCCGCGACCACGCCAAGTCCATCCGCCACTTGAAGAAGGCTTGCATGGGATACGCTCCCGGAAATCGAAGCAACCATCAAACACGACCCGCCCCAACAGCTCCTGAACCGACCGTCGAAGAATCCATCTGGGCTGCTCCACGGCAAGCGGAGGAAGCAACGGAAGAACATTTCGTCGAGAATTCAACATCCAAGCAACTGACCTCCACTTTGATCCCCCAGGACGTGGCAAACGCCGCAATTGGATCCCCTCCTCAGACAGTGTTACCGCCTGCCGCCGGCGACCCTCTACCTAATGGTGATAACCACGAGTTGTATCAGCCTTCTCGCTTGGAGGAGCCTTCCGGAGAGGAACATGAGAATTCAAGTCTTGACGATACAGACGATGACCGTGGTTCATCTTATTCCACTGACGACGATGATCATGATAAGGATATCATCCATGAAGAGTCTCCCACCGCGGACGAGACCACGCGGATTGCCCCTGCGGAAACGCAGCCTACTACTACTACTACTCCACCACGAAGAGTTGCCGCTCAAATTCGACAAGCACCAGCATCTCAACCTAGCAAAAGCTCTCAGGCGACTCGCGATGGATCTCGGCGTTGGACGGACGCTGAGGAAAACTTTATGATCGACACCATCCATGATTTGATGCAAGAACAAGACCTTGGACCGACAAAGACGTACATGTGGCAACGTGCGTCCGCCATTCTCAGCACGCGTGGCTACGATCGCACCTTCCAACAGATGATGGCGAAATGGTCTTGCGATACTCGCCACAAGTGCGAAGCTCGTGGCTTGGCTTGGGCTGCTACCGTCATGGCTAAACTCCCACACATGGTGCGGAAGCGAAAGTCATCACTAGGCGATGCCGAAGGAGAGCGGGCCTCGGCAAGAGATGGACAGCCAAAGGTCAAACGAGTCAAGATCAAGTCTCAGAAGGTTCTCGACACTCAAGCTCAAGCGCCTGATCAACTATCGTCTTCAGCTCCTAGTCATGTTCAGGATCCTCAATCAAGCCTGAATGGACAAGTCAGGCCAATGAAGCCAAAGAGAAGATCTCGAAAGAACATTGACGTTCACCCAGCACTTAGTCCTCGACAAGGCTTTACCACGAAATTCGACTCATTGCCTACAACATCGGGAAACCATATGCGTCTGCGTTTCATATGGAGTCACGCCTCGAGTGACATCGTGCAAGTGGATTGGTCTCCAGATGCGAAGTACTTTGCGGCTGCCAGCAACTCGATATTCGATCCCTCGACAAACTTTAAGGACAATCGTCCGGTCAATTTGATTCATGGTTCACTGCCTTCCAAGACGCTTCGAGAGCTTCCTGAACATCGAGTCGCTGGTAACGTCGACGCCGGTCAGCCAAAACACGTATATCAGACTGTCAGCGCAGTCCGATTTGCTCCGACCGGCCACAGGATCTACAGTGCTGGATTTGACAACAAGGTGCGAGTCTGGGACGTGGAGGATGAGGCTTTCATCCACTGCAAGGCAGAAATCCAATATCCGCAGCGGCTAGAAGTCGTGGACGTTGCCGGGGAGCAGAGCCCATTATTCGCCACTGGGACAGCAGGCGGACCCCGACCGATCCGGGTCTTCTTTGCCGACTCTGACGTGGATTCCCAGCCTCAAGAGATCCATTACCTTCGGGAAACAGTCCGGAAAGCATTCCCATACTCGCCGACGTGCCTCAAGTTCGGACACGCTCGTAGCCGCGATTGGTTACTGGCAGGCTTCGGCAGTGATACCGAGGGTGGGTTTGGCGAAGGCCTTACAGCAATGTGGAAATTCCGCGAGGCCTCCTGTGAACAGTTGCATTCTCCCCGAGGAGAAACATTCGTGTTTGATTGCGCTTGGTCTCCTTCAGGTGAGCTTTTCGCCATCGGAAGCGCAAGTGACGCGATGTCGAGGGCCGACACGGCAGAGAATTCGGTGGTCAAGTTGTACTCGCCGACCCAGCCGGACTCACTCGCGAGATATAGCTGTCGTGCCAAGGATATCAACGATGTGACCATTGACTACGGACTTGTCACAGCCTCGTGTACCGATGGCTCGACGTACGTTTGGGACCAACGTCAGCCTCAAAAGCCATTACATACGCTGGCTCATGGTCAACCCGTGATGCAGCTTCTCCCTGGCGCAGACCGTGAGCTTGAAGATGTGGGGGTCAGATACATCGAGTGGAGTCATAATACTGGACAATTGTACACGGGGTCTAGTGACGGCTTCCTGAAGTATTGGGACACACGCCGCTCGCCGGCTGATGTCCTGCTCGAGGACCTTGTGGATACTGGTCGTGAAATCCTGTGTGGACGTCTTTCGCCCGATCATTCATCCTTGCTGCTCGGCGACGAAGAAGGGCGTCTGCATCTACTCAGCACGTCGAATGGTCCATCTCCGGAGGAGCAGTTTCAATTCCGCGTGGCCGAAGGATGGAACAATGACAACTAGGGACTACTCTTACGGAAGGATGAAAAGTGATCAATGAAGAGACCGGTCGGAAACGAAGACTGATGAATGTGTAGGACAATAGTGGCAGGAACAGGAATGGCAGGATTGAGATATCTTTATGGGCAAGAACAGAACCTTCAGGACCACTCTCTGGGAGGTAATGTCATGTGTTGCTGGCGCTCAACTTGCCACGGGGGCATAAAGGTATTTGGTGCCCTTTCCGAGCTTAATATTTGTGCGGAATCGGCTCTTTTTTGCATGGTTCGAGGAGAGCAGCACGTCGATCAGACAAGGAATGGCGATGCCGGCACCGCCATGACCTTCACCCTTTCTGTTGAATGACTGGCCAGACTGAGGCTCTTTCATAGTTTCAACGAGGACTGTAATTTGCACTTGACCGTCACGTTGCCCCTAATGTCCCATGACATCGCAGCAATTGGGATAAGACGAAACGCATATCTTGCCACGAACATGGCACCTCATGAACAGAGAGGATGATCTAGGAAGAGCCGGGAGCCAACTGAGGCCCGAGGCCTGACAAGGCCTGACGACAGCGTGGACGAGTCGCGGTCGCTCGTAGGATGACAGTATCTGTGCCTACGATGGGACGCCTGGTTGAAAGCCGAACCAACGATATGTCATATGGCCGCTGCAATTCGGCAGGTTTTGGGGATCGACCCCGGGACCGGTATGTTCTGGTTCCGGATGCCTTGCGCCTGATCTAGGCGGAGGAAAGGTTGGAACGAGAAGGGCGAGAGGAGAAAGGCAGGCAGAGAGGCGGGCGGGGAACACGTTCTGGCGTTGGTATTTATGTTGTGGTGTATTGCATGGGATTCTGTGCCGAGATATTATTGTTATATGCCAATCGGTCCAGCACTTACCTGATCTCCCCCAGTATTAAGTAGGTGACCACTGACTGAAGGTGGGAATCGAGGCCATAATCACACAACAGTTCTCACCTTCACCCAACATATCCCACTCAGCCTCCAAGACGAGAAACGAGACCGTAAGAACCCCTACATTCTACCAGCGACAGACACACACAGTGACTAACCCCCCCCCCCCCCCCAAAAAACCCACCTGCGCACAGAAAAGGGGAAAGAGACGAACAAAACAGAGTAAATCAATGTCTCCTTCTACCTCGACCATCACCGCCGGGCGCGTCTGCCTCAGCCTCGTCGCCGCCATCACCAGCATCGGCTGCTACCTCGCCGACTGGAACGAGACGCACGTCAAGAACCCGCGCTGGCCGCCGCACGCGCGCTTCCACAACGGCCAGACCATGTCCATGGGCCTGTGCCTGGGCGTGCTCACGGCGTATTTTACCTGGAGGCCCGTGCTGGCTGCCTCGTCTTCGCTCACTACGGATGAGAAACTCAACGGTGGTGGTGGTGGTGGTGGTGGTCCTACGGCGAAAAGGAAAAGGAAGAGTGAGAGTGGGAGTGGGATCGGCGAGAAGGAGTGCGTCACCATCGCCGCCGTGCTGGGCTCGCTGTACTACGTCACGGGCATCAGCGGCATCCTCTACCCCGGCACGAAATGGGTTGATCCCGAGTTCGGCGACGGGGCGCCCCAGGTGCCCATCTTCGTCGGGGCGACTGGCCTCGCGTGGTGTGGGTGGTGGTTGGAGATGAGGAGGCTGGCCCAGGCGGAGAAGCTGGCGTAGGCGGCGAGGGGGATTCAAGAGTGTATGAAAACGATGGGAATGGGGCTCCTCAGAGAGAGAGAGAGAGAGAGAGAGAGAGAGAGAGAGAGAGAGAGAGAGAGAGAGAGAGAGAGAGAGGGAGAAGTGTTGGGTTAGTTGTCAAGGGAGCGTGAAAAGCCAGGGGCAAAGACTGTGGACATCAAGGAGACCAGACCGTGGCAACAGAGAGGTATCGTTCAATGGTCGATTTTCAGGGAGAAATCTATGTGCGGCACCCCCTGGTGGACGGCGCTCGTGGATATTATGTCGATATCTGCATCGAATGAGAGCAGTGAGGTCAGTCCAGGGTGTCAAGCAGTGAACTGCGGAAAGGGAACATGGACCATGGAAAAGGCATTTGAGAATCTCTTCTCCAATAGCAGCGGGCAGCAGGGAGACAAGTACGGACCCCAGGGGCTTGAACTCACCGTTATTAATGTATTCCTTGACGTTGGCCTCGGTCAGCCCGCCGCTGCTCTCCAGCAGCACATGTGCCCGGCCTCGGGCCCTCCATCTCTCCTTCAGGCTCCGCGCCGCGACCATCAGCCCTTGGCCGTCAAAGTTGTCCAGCATGACCACGTCGGCACCCGCCTCGATGGCCTCGTCCGCCTCGGCCTCGCTCTGCACCTCGACCTCGATCTTCAGGGCGAAGCCGCCCACGGCGCGCGCCGCCTGGACCGCGTTGGTGATGGAGCCCTTGGCCCAGACGTGGTTGTCCTTGAGCATGATCATGCTCGACAGGTCGTGGCGGTGGCCGTCGATCCCGCCCACCAGCATGCCGTACTTCTCGACCAGCCGGAACCCCGGCGTCGTCTTGCGCGTGCCGGCCAGGATGCCCCGGTAGCCCGCGCCGCGCACCAGCTCGAGCATCTGGCGCGACCGCGTCGCCACCCCGCTGCACCGGGCCAGCGTGTTCAGCGCAACTCTTTCGCCCAGCAGCAGTTTCCGCGTCGGGCCCCGGACCGTGGCGACTTTGATCTTCCCGCCGGCCGGCGTCGGGTCGAGGTGTGTGCCTTCGCCATAGTGCCATTCCACGGTGCAGTCGAGCTGGCGGAACACCTCGTCGAAAAACGGCACCCCGGCCAGCACCCCGGCGGACTTGCAGAGGAGCTGTGCACTGCGCGGGTCGGACCCCACGACGAAGCCGCCGTAGTCAAACGACGGCGTGTCTTCGGCCAGCCAGGTGGTTATTTGGGTGGTGAAGTGAGAGGGGAGGAGGTCGGCGAGGGCGCCGTGGGGGGATGTGTGGGAGGAGGACGTAGACATGGTGGTGGCGTGCTGGTTATGCGAGACAATACAGGTCTCAGAGTGGAAGTGAAAGGCTTTGGAAGGATGGTGAGACTAGATATCTAGCTTTAGGAGAGCTCAAGAAGGGGCATACACTGACGTTGATGTTGTACATAAAAAAACAAAAAGAGACAATGGTATGAGTTACAACGTGTCTCAGGGACCCCGCATTCGAGAGCGGGGAAGAGACGCTGCGAGTCTGCGCGACAAGACAAGGCCATCATCCCCTTTTTCCATCTGCGCCTGTCTGTACAGCCTCAAGACTGGAGCTCTACAGCACATGTCCCAATCACCACAATGGCTGCCATTCCAGTGAGTGAGGCAGCGCAATAAGCGAGTCGCTACACTAATAGAGGCAGAGAACGGGACTTCAGAAGGCCGTCGTTTGCACAATTTGGTGATCGTCCCCAGTCAAGTTTGATATACAGAGAAAGATTCGTGGACATGGCAGTCGCGTCTGAACATCGATGAGGCGGTCCCTTCATGGAGGCTCTCTGGGGGTCGCCGGCGCATGAGGTGGCAGTCTGGCAACATCAAGCTGTTGAGGAGAGAAATGCTGATACTCCCGAAGCAATAATGGCTTGTCGCATAACGCTGCTGGCTCCGATATCGAGACAACGCAACTGTCAACAGGTCGGCGCAAATTTTCGAACTCTGACATGGTAATGGCTCCCAACAGCAATTTCCCGCGCCTCCACAGAACATCTCGGTGGCAAAAGTGCTTCTCCTATATGATATTTGGTATGGCCTGGCTGAAACCTCTTCATATACGAGGTCCGCAGTACGGTACTTGGATTGATGAGCGAAATCACCGGACACCAGAAACACAGTATTGCATTGTCACCAGCACGGCATGCATTTTGATGGCTGTCATATCGATGTTGACATATGAATATTCCACATGCCTCAAATCTCTGCTTCTTCCAGAGTCCGGCCTTGCATATGTCTCACTGCTGCTGATGGCTTCTGGCTCGCTCCGTTGTCCTTTGCGATGCAGTTGCTTGCATTGGTTGCTGCCTTGGCGCTGAACTGGCGGAGCATCTCCCACAAACGGAGTGGCACACGTTCAAGGCCGGCAATGCTGTGAAAGACGTTTGTGTTTGTGTCAATCTTTGCTTCGCTACCCAGTGTACAACTCACTCCTCCCCGGGGTGGATTACACGCCCACAAAGAAAGGGCACCCGCATCCAGCCCGGAGTAGCCTGATCCACGAGACTCGATTGGCACCAAATCTCGGCAGAGCGTTCCAAAATCAACGTGGCAGAAGGCCGTGGACCGCTCATTCAGAGAGGGGAAATCTCAACAATTGTCGGGACTCGTCTAGAGCAGAATTAGCAACCAGTTCCGCAGCATCAGGGCACCACCGACCAAAAGCCCTGCTCCAAAATGGATTTTCCCAGGCAGAAACGCGGTGCGTGGAGCCACACTGGTTGTGATGCAGCAAGGTTAGGACAAATGAAGCAGGAGATGGGGATTGCGTGCACGCTTCCATTTGGGGCGAGGTGCTTTGCACACCGCCTCCGGGGAGAAATGACACGGCAGGACGATTGAATGTGCAGGACTCGCCTCCTCGGTCCTCCACGACTTTCTTCCCTTAATGACGTCGCCAAAGTCCGGCTGATGTACCTTTCAATCATTGCGAGCCTAGTTCCGGGTCTTCAAGGAAAAATCGCAGACACACCAAGGCAGGTACGAGGAAAACAGGCCAGGATCATCTGCTGAAAACTTGCGCCAATAGACCAATCAATATGGTCGGTTGTCTAGTATATTTTTTCGGTGGTCGCTCAGGATGTGAACCTCCGGCGGTCATGTGGATACAACTTTTCAACGCCTTTTCCGGGAAAGGAGGATGGCCAACATGGAGGTGCCAAGAGCCAGTAAGAGAAGAGGGAGGGATGGCCTGGATGGCTGATCGTCGCAGCCGTCCGCGGGCAACACAGGGCAAAGGTTGCCGGGCCACTGATCAAGTCCTTGTATGGATTTGTGGAACAATCATGTCTGTTGGAAGCATGTCTCTGGATGCCCTCATGTCCGCAAGCACGGTTCTGCTTCCGATTAGCGAGAGCAATGAATTGACTAAATCTGCATTGCGTTGACGAATCGTGGTTAGTTTCAGGCTACGAGAAAGAAACAGGCGCCAGGCTGTTTTCGCAGGAGTGAAAAAGAAAGGGGAAGCAATATAGTATCAGGCTGAGACGGTGGCTTGCCGAAAGGGCTAAAATATGGCGATCCGGGAGGAGGGATCCTCGAAATCGTGGGAGTGCACCGAATCGTCCGTACCTAGTACCAATCCAAGTGACAGCATTTGCGGATGCTAATGGCCTGATTGGCGCAGATACGACCAATCCTGGCGATCATTTCCACGAGGAGATGGACAGCGGGCCATCTGTGTAACCAGAATCGGTTCATTGCTGGCAATGCGCTCGACACAGATGGTGTCTGTCCACGTGGCAGGCATCAGTGGCGATGCTGGGTCAGTCTGTCGATTGGGCAATTCAGCTAAAGACCACGCATTTTGATTGGCAACCCAGGAAATGCCTTGTTTGCTATCAGTCTTTTGGCGGGTCGAACACCAGGCTTGTCTGTTCATCTGTGTAGAAAAGGAGCCCGTTAGTGCATTCCCGTTGTCGGTTAGGCTGGTATGGATCTCGGTTGGAAACTTGGACCCAAGATCCGAAGACAGCATCATGTGTGCTGAAAATCCAGAAGGGGAGGTTGGTTGTCTCTGATCCGGCCAGTAGTTGACTCAAGCAGCAAACAAAACTGGCCAGGCCATTGGACGGACGGAGACCCAGACCAAGCCCCAACGACAGGGGCAACGACAGGGGACCAGCGTGGAGAGAAGTCGGGCTCAAAGCCGGCATGCATGCAAGCGCAGGTAGAAAACGTATGTGTCAATCGTCGGAGGTGACCAGGAATGAAATGCGGTTGCGGCGGTCCGCCTTGTCTGGTCTAGACACGAATTCGGGGGCAGCCACAGCGACTTGCGCGGTTAAAGATGGGGTTGGTGTGGGAGCCATGACCAGAGCATATCTCAGCACGGCTGCGGCCCTGATACGGAACTGAGCAGATAATGTACTTCGGCTCAATGCAGCACGACATGAGATGTTGACAGAGGGCGCGTTGTGTTCAGGAGAAATTGGGAGAAATTGGGAGGGAGAGGGAGGGAGAGGGAGGGAGGGAGGCGAGGCCGCAGGCTGGGCAAGCAAGCCACCTGGCGCTGCACGTGATTCATATCGAGTCACGTGCACATGTCATTCTCGGGAGCTGTCCTTGGTAGCCTGCGACCTCAACTCCTGATCCTCACACCCTTGTAAGAGTAGCAAACAACTATTCTGCGCCAGCCTCTGCACACTGCGTGCCAGCTCATTCCGTCGACCTCTCGCAATCTGCCCAAGCATCCTGCTGCCTCTGCTGATCCTGGTGAGTGGCGTTGGTGCGCAATTCGTGGGCGTGGCCTCAGATTGCCGGAGTTGCCATCCTCAGGTCGCCTGGGGCTTCGCCTCTTCCAACGTCTCACAGACCCGTGGACCCCCCTGCTCGGTGGCATCAACATGTCTCGCAAAGAAAACCTGGAAACCCAGGGATCGAACTTGTCGGTCCGAGCGTCCCTTCGACCTACAGGTACATCTACCAGGGTACCCAAAATGGCTAGTAGTCTCGACCTGGACAGGGGATCCTTCTCATGCGCCTGATTTTCTTGGGGAGCAAACCGTTGAACACATGCACACCGGCTATCTCCATAGTCCAGATACTCTCGCCCAGCGTTGTTTCTGTACCGGGAGAGCCCTTCCTTGGAGTGCAGCCAGAATGCACGGAGATTGTTGTTGTGGTCGCGCTCCTGAGCCTTGCTACCATCCTAAGCCTCTATCATGCTCTGAAACGCACCTATGATGTGCATACAGCTAGCCACGGGTACAAAGAAAACGATCACGGCACGACCCGAAGAGGGACTGAGAGGTGAAATGCATCGAGAAAGGGAAAGAGGTCGAGATGAGTGGGAACTCAACGGAACCCAATCACGTCCACAGGCGAGTGACCAAGTGTTGCCACTTCTGCTGCTGTCAGCGCCTCGTTCTCTCTCATATGCGTCCTACTCCAGATCCTTTCCTTGCCCTATCTCTTTTGCCATCGTTGCCCTGCCCACCCCCCCGCCTTGCTCCTGGATCCTTCTCGTGTCGAGCCAGACCTGAGCCTTTGTCTGCCCCTGCTCGCCTCTCCTCGTATCTCCACAGCAGCAGGACGATGGGCCTCTTAACCCAGTTGGGCGGGTGGGTGTCCAGCACATTGATTTTGCCGCTAACTTCTTCTAGTCGGCCCTTCGTCTCGAATATCAACTACGCATCTTGCCGTGATCAACCCTCCGACACCTTACCTCACCTTTTTGTTTTATTCCTGAATCCATATGAGAGACCCTACAACCATCTTGTCTTAAAACTCTTGAGGCCTTAATCACCTTCTGTCGTCTCCCTCTCCTTTTCTGTCCATAGCAGGCTGACTACCCTCGTGCTCGTCTCACCATCATTGTTCCTCTCTCTTTCCACCCCCCCCTCCCCCCGGAGTCGCTCAGGGTATCCCAAAGTACTCAACCACAAGGAAGACGCCAACGGCAGCGTCCAAGAGCATCGAACTTGTCATATTGCTTCTTTTTTGACAGCCGTGACAGATTCTGTGGTCTGAACGCTGTGCCTGTATTCATCCGCTGCGATCTCGTTTGACTGGCCTTCTATCAATTGTTGCACTTCCAAGAATGACCGACTATGCGCCACGAAGCAGTCAGGATTACAATACCTTCTTTCAAAGTCCGCACCTCGCCATGTCGCATTATCCCAATGGAACCGGTCTCAGCTACCTATACAGCAATGGTCAAGTTCCGTATCAGACCGTCCACACGCCATGTTCAGCATACTCACCAACTTACGCCCCGAGTCCAGGAACATCGGCAGCTCCCCTCTATTTGCCTCCCACCTCTGGACCACAGCTCCATTATTCATTTGTAGGCCCACGGGTCCCTACACTTCCTTCTCAATCTCGTGCTTTCCCACCGAGCTCCTATTACGCCCCGTCCTCCGCGAATCGCACGACTTCACATCATCAACGGCTGGCTCCTCCGCGAGACTACCCCTCAATGGATGGCACAGAGTGTCAGGACTCCCCGAACGAGGACACGATGCTCTCAGAACCCGTGCTGCCCCCACTAGAGGGGTATCCGGATGTACACGACTTTGATGAGCTGATGAAACGGTACGGAAAGTCTCCCACGTTCTCGGGCATTGCTGATGTACTATCCGCAGTTACGTCCAGGACCTCTCACCTAAGAAGCAGGACAAAGCTCTTATTCATGCGCGTCGAGCTGCCAATATCAAACATGTACTCATCGACAAGAAAACGACTGCCATAGAGTCCGCGCAGTTCAGGTCAGTCGCGGCCCTACCCAGATAGGCTAATTGTGTTGGCAAGTGCTGTGGCACGCTGACAGTCCGTCAGGTTTTGGGTGAAGAAGATGTTTACATTGCAACCTAACGACAGCAAGATTCCCGAGGTGAGACAGGGCGCGTATTCCACCGATCACGACTAACACGGTCCAGCATCTAAGAAAGATTTGCCATGAAGGAAAACCAGTGGCGGTGCGAGAAAAGTTGTTCAAGATCTTGACCAAAGCACACAAACAATGCCAGCACGGTGGCAGGGACAAAACCTCCGCCCAGGTCAGGAAAGTGTACTCATGGTTCGACTCGCAAGCCTTGTCCATGGTTCGAAGGGGACTAATCATATATAACAGGGTACCCAAAGAGCTCATCTCGAGATTCGTCAAGTTGTGTCCCACGTGTCAAGTCAGACGGGGGGCGAGTCGTAACTCGCCTCCTGATTCAGTGAAAAGCCCCGAGACGAATGCGGAAGCACACTCACCCGACGCATTAACAATAGCCGGATCAAGAAAGGGCTCTACAGCAACTAGGCAGGGGAATGTAAATCCATGCTTGCCCTTGCAGACAGCGGGTTTCAAAACGAGCTCAGCTTTTCAACATCAGAACCGCTGGATGACGCCGTTGCAGCCTCACTCAGAGACCAACCACGTCTCTCCTGCGCTGAAGCATGGCCCTCTCGATCATGGAGACTCGTACAATACCGGTCCGCCCTTGTCATTGAATGGTACCCATGCTACGCCACCTGGTCTGAACTTTCCGTCTGTTAATAACTTCGGAACTGTCACAGCAAATTCACCTGCATATAATTCATCTTCACTGTCTCAATCTGTGCATGGAAATGTACCAACAGAACAAGCATATGGAATCAAGATTGAACGTTTTGCTTGACCACACGACTGTGGGGCGCCTAATATTCTGACTCAGAAGCTGGCATGGCTTTGTTGTTCACAATACGAAAAGATCGAGGCTGAGCACAAGGCGTTTGGTTTCGCATAAAGATACGACATGATGACCCCTCTCACGGATTTACTTGTGGCAGGCATTGCCTGGGACTGAAGACCATCTTTAGCTGCCGCAGGGTTGAAGACACCCATTTTCTTAGGCATGGTTGGCGCAAAATTGCTGGTTCAGTTACCCTCTCGTCTTCAATACTTCGCTTTGAGCTTCCGGCGCAGGAATGACGGTTACAAAAAAGTCTTGCCATTTACATAACGACAAACGAAGCAGCACTTCAAGCCTTGCGGGACGACAGGGATCATCTATTGTCCAATAGCACCACACATGCTTATGATTTTCGGGCTATTATTCCTCGTCCTGTTTCTTCGTTACCGGTCCACGAAGTACGGATGAGACGTTCGGGGAAGAGATGGATGCTGAACGGGGCTGGGGACCTGGTACGCAGGAGAAAAGACCTAGGATCCTTGCCAGTGGACCAGCCATGTGCGCTCGACAGGGCCGGAGCCATGTTGACCAAGATACCCATCGACTACATAGAATGTAGTTCATTCAACAGTGCGTATAGGCAAATATGTGCTCTGCACCACGAATGATTTTTACCAGAACCGAATCTTCCTGACCCCGTCTTGACTTTTGAAATACACCACCTGTCTCCAGATGTCGGAAATGAACTAAGCACACCATTCATCTTCTGTCTGAAGAGCATAACCTGTTGACCACTTATCTGCCTCGGCCAAACCCACACGCACAGGCGAGAATATGCTTGCTAACCATAGGCCCCAAGTAGGGTTGAGGTAGCTGTCTGATATTGCCTTGAGGTAACGAGTTCAAAGCATCGTTGCAGTGCAGTTCGAAACATCCTCGTCTGGATCGTCCAGTATCTCACCATGCTGCGTGATTATCCTGTCTCAGTTGGTCCTCATCTTCCAGATTATAGGAGGTGCACCAAGAACTACCTGAACCTTGCTGCGACAGTGATGGGGTCATCATCTGGGCGAACCAGTTGGTTGATAGCGTACCATGTGTGCGCAGCCTCGCCGTCCAAAGTTTAATATTTTCCACTCGGTCCTCGTGCCGGTGAAATGCTATATATACATATCACAGAGTGCGGGCATATGGGTTTCGCTCTCCATCTTGCAGCAAGCCTCTTCTGTGACACACCTGGGTCATTTCTGCATTCCTTCATCCGCCGTCTTGCTACGCTAAACGAAGAAGAATCTCGACATAAGATTTCCTGCGCTCCGAGACTTGCTATTTGAGACTACAGACCATCATGGGCAACGCTTACTCTTGGATCCGAGCGATTGCTTGGGCGAAGGAGCACTGGTACCACGCTGCAGTCACCGCCAGTATCATGGGTTCCACAGGCTCCTTCGCCGCCGGGATGGCGTGCGGCATCTTTCGCAAATGCGACAGTGACCCTTGCGGCACGCCCGTAAAGACAAGTATTTTCGATAAACCGGCGTGCAACTACTGGGAACATGGTGGAGACAACATGATCCCTATGAAGAGGAGGGATGGGGGAGGGTCGCCGCTGGGTACCACGGTCACTGTGATAAATGGCATGAAGGGCTGGGGTCGGCTGAGCCAAGGGGGCCATGACCATGACGAGGTCCCGGGAGTCACCATCTACAACAGCAACAACGTCGACCAAGGGGGAGCGTTGGATCTGTTTGGCGAGGAGGAACTCAGCGGCACCATCCCTGGCAACACCTTGCCAGACTGGATATACATCACCAACGCCGGTGGCGCGCCCATTTGCATCGCAGGCGTCCGCCTCACAGCTCCTGATGGATCCGAAATCACCATGACGGGCAACTTGGGGCGCATCTGTGGTGCAGATCACTACGAGTCTGCGTTGACGGTCCTCCCCAACGCCGAAGGGAAATCGGCGTCCTGCGTATGGATCGACCGGCATGGGTCGAACGGCCTGCGACTCCCGGGCCTCAGCTTCAACCTGCAGAACGACGACGAGGACCTGGAGTTCTACAACATCACATCGGTCGAGGACCTGTGTCGGGCTCCTTTTATAATGTTGCAGGAAGACCAACCTCGTCTATCAAGGAGGCAGCTGGTTGTGCCCAACGTCTCCCGCAATGACAGCAGCACCCCGGCCAACCTCGACTTCAACTCGGCGCTGGTCAAAAGCAACTTGGACCTCTCTAGTGCGGTGCAAATGTGCCAGGGCAGTTCCACCAAGGGACCGCATTTTGTGAGTCTCTCCGAGGGGATTTATTGCGACATGTCCACGCGAGAGCTTTATCCTGTGTGCAACTCTGGGGCTGGTCGCAGCGGGGAGATCTGCTTCGACTCGGATCTCGACGAGCTCGTGGAAAGGGATGGAGGAGAAGACGATCCCTTTTCGCGGAGAAGGCTTGTTCGACGCGCTCAAGGGAGTCAGAGTCCTCGGCGGGTGAGGGTCCTGAAGAAGTTCCAGTATGTCGATACGTGGAATTAATAAGACAGGGGCATCAAGGGGGACTTTCAGTTGCTTACTTATGCTGAATCTTTTTATACACACGCGAGGGACGCGGTGATATATTGGTTGATCATCATGGCTAACCAGATTAGCTCTCACATTTGTCTGCGAACTACGGAGTTTCTCAGTTGCGTATAGGGCTTAGGTATCTCAGGGGGCGCCACCGGGGGAGCTGCCTTAGCCCGACACCCACCGAGTAGGGGAGCTAGGCATCGAGGTACTCGGAGCTAGGGGCGCTTCATTGGCGGCTTTAGGTGGTTGATGCCCCAGTTAGCGAGTTACTTGCAGGGTCTCTGGCGCTGACAGCTGCTAAGGAGCCTAACGAAGCTTAACTGGAAACTCTGTGGCGCCCACGGTGGCTTTCTCATCCGCCGCCCCCGCCAATCACAGCCTGCGCCTGCACATGCGCGTCGCTGGTCCCTTTGGCCCAAAAAAGATTCTTGAACAGCCTGGCATCATATTGCGCATCTTCAACCATCTTACACACCCGAGTTCGCCGTTGTCCCTCCTTTACCACTCGTCTCGCGATCTCGCTCCCGGTTCCTTTCGACAGCTTCTATTCTCCAGATCGAATTGTTGTCGTCAACTTTCCTGCGGCGTTCCCGCGCCTTGTCGGACAGCAACCCCCTTCGATCTGCCTGGTTGATTTTGGTCTCGTCGTCGGAATTCGTCCCCCATCCGCGCAGTGCCCAGCTGCTCATCGCCTAGTGACACTCGCCCACCATGAATCTTTTCAGGTTACTCGGTATGCGGACCCTGACTGGTCTAGAGAGAGTTGGCATGGTGCTAATTGAACTCTTCCCTGCGCAGCGGACCTGTCGCATCTGGTCTCAATCTTCATCCTCCTTCACAAGATGAAGGTCTCGAATGTATGTCGAAGAACTTCCTTAACACAACGACACAATGTCACCGAGAGGGTAGAAACCACATTGCTGACCATCTGTCCGCGCGGTTGAAACAGTCATGTTCAGGCATCTCCTTCAAAACCCAGGCCTTATATTTTCTCGTCTACGTGACGAGATACCTTGGTTCGTCCGACCCCAGAGCTTCAATGGCGCGAAACCCTCTGCTCTAACACTGCCATTGGGTTTCGCAGATCTCTTCTGGACCTTTACCGACAGCGCTTGGAACACCATCTTCAAGCTGATCTTCCTCTCCTCCTCCCTCTATACTCTCTACGTAATGTTAAACGACTACAAGCCGACCCACGATCCGAATCTCGACACATTCCGCGTTTCCTATCTGACCGGAGGCTCTGCGGTCCTGGCCTTGCTTTTCCCTTACCGCTATACTCTCCCCGAAGTGTTGTGGGCGTTCTCCATCTGGCTTGAGAGTGTCGCGATTCTGCCACAATTGTTCATGCTCCAAAGGACGGGCGAGGCCGAGACAATCACCACGCACTATCTGTTTGCATTGGGGATATACCGTGCCCTATACATTCCGAATTGGATCTATCGGTGGTTTGCAGAGGGACATTTTGATCCAATTGCCGTGGTCGCCGGTGTGATACAGACTGTCCTGTATTCCGACTTCTTCTGGGTTTATTATACCAAGTGAGTTTCGACATTTCTTGCGCTGACAACCTTGGAAGTGGAAGGCGACTCAAGATTTTATGAGAGCTGAAGCTGACTTGTTTGTGATTCTAGGGTTCTCAAAGGGAAGAGCTTCAAGTTGCCCGTTTAAAGGCCGTGCTCGTATGAGTAATTTGGGCGTACCCGATCCGCCCCGGGACGAAACATGCTCCTTTTCCCCTGGCGCACCGAGTGGACGTGCATTCGAGAGCAAGACCAGGCGTTTGGAGGCGCCCGGGATAGAAAAAGAAGGGCAGCTTTGACAATGAAAACCTTGTATACTTTGAATCTGCCTTGCGGAAGGACATTTTATCACCTCAGCCAGAGGGCCCTTTTCATCTTGAAGCTGGTGCCTGGGCCCAAAAAGCCATGAACCGCAATGTCGACCATTTGCTGAGCCCTCGATGAATTTCACGTGGTTGCCAACGCAAAAAAACCATGGGACTGAGATTCGAAACTGGGTCGCGACCGTGGGGTTCTAGAGAGAAGCAGGCTGGACAAAGGGCTTGGTGGGGGGGGGGGAGCCCTTGAATCGCATCAAAGCATGAGGCACAAAGCACACTGGGGAAGTGGGAGTTAAATGTGCACTGTGTGCCAGGACGGCGAAGATGCGTCGAGATGATAGGTACCTACATAGGTAGCTCCAGCTGTGTAGAGCAATGCTCGTGGTCGCGGCTCGCCGGTCCCGTACAGGCGACAGTTACGTATGCATACTCTCTAGGTAGAGTGTGTATGTACCTCATACGGATATTATTTACTCCGTACAAGTCTTCGGATCCCTCAGGGGCTGATGCTCCGCTTGTTTCTTGCCTGGGTTGAGAACACTCCCGACTGCTGACTGGTCCAAGAAATCCTTGAGCGGGACGAATAAGCGTGCTCTACGCGATGTCATCTAACCTGGACGGACGGATGTACAATAGGTATATACTTGGTATTCGGCGCTGACTGGTAGGGATAACCAACCGATTACATGGAATAGAATAGATGTATTGATCGACTGCAAGAAAATCTATCCCGTCGAGGGCGTCCGAATGCTGGTGGTTCGCTCGATGTGAGTAAATAAAAAAAAAAGATCTGTATGTAGATGTGTGGAGAGGAGCAAACAAATATGCTGGTCGATATCAAAAGATTTCGCCTTCTTTGGATTCGTTTCCCTGTCCAATACATGCGCAGGTGTATTTTGATCCTTACGCACGTTGTCGGCCTCCAGCCAAATCAACTCTCTCCCCAGTTGTGTTTGGTTCCCAACACCGCCAATAGCACCACCAGTGCGCATACCACAACACCAACGGCGCTCATCCATCGATTCAGATTCCTCCACCACCGTGCGTTTTGGAATTTGAGCTCCGCCACACCCGCGGCGTGCCGTTCATAGCGAAGTCTGGCCAAGATGTCCATGGATTCCCACTCCTGCTCTGCTTGCGAACACTCGGAACTAAACCGTTGGGATAGTGAATAACGCAACGATTGCGCTCGGGGCTGCGACTGCTGTTGAGGGTGTGATTGACGTTGTCTTTGACGCTGCTCTTGGACGACTTGCTTCTCAATGTCCCCAAAGCTCGCAGGCCTAGTGGGAAGGGGCAGAAAGGCACCCACGAACCATGCCGCAGGCATGAGGAAGCCCGCGGTGAAGCAAATTACCTGGACAGAGCGGAGGTCAATGTGCAGCGGGGACTGAGTCTGCCCACCCGTGACGAGGTCAGGCACGCCCGTCATCCAGCGGGACTTCGCGTTGAATGGAAACCCAAAGCCGCGAGAGACGGACGAGCCCGTACCCAAGCGGGCGTCGTGATGAAGGTGTGGAGATGACGACCAACGATGCCAGGAGCGACGAAATATGTTTCCACTGCCGCCGCTTGCTCGAGGGTGGTGTATCACAGACTGGTTATTTTGCGAGTCGGATTGGGAGCCGCTGACACTATAGGTATAGCTGTGATGACGGATCATGTAGCTTGATCCTGGCCCATCTCCAAGTGGCTGTTCATGGATTTCGACGACCCCGGCCCAATGAGACCGAGGGTCTGCAGGGTGCAACGGCAAGGAAACTGAGCGAGAGTGAGTATTTGGATAGGACTGTGTTTGGGGATAAGATTGTCGTCGGACAGTTGAGGCTCGAGCTGCTGGTGGAGCGCGCACCGGGTTTGAGACCAGCGGTCCAACACCAGGTAGAAGATGGGATTTCCGGGCTTCGAGCTTTGGTCGTTTCCTAGGTCGGAAAGGGCCGCCAACGCCATCCATCATTCCCTGGTGGATATTGCGCAAGCTGGTATTACTTGACTTGGACGTCGCAGGCCGCGAGGGCGGCTCTAGATGTACCGGAATTGGTGCTTGGGCTGCCGCTCTCTCCCTCAAATTGACATATGAACCGCTGGAATAAAGATACTGAAAAGAGTCCCTGTAAAATCCCGAATAATACCTCCGGGCCCACGTTGGAACAGGGATTACGCTCGTAATGCTACCAGAAGAACCTGGTCGCAAGGAATTGGAAAAGGATTTGTTGTGTCGTGACTTCGTAAAAGAATTCATGGAATTAAGTCGCGCAATGGACTGTTGGGACGAGTTATTCGAAGAGGAGTGAATAAAGCCGCTGCTCCGGCTTGGGCGAAGAGGTGGTGATCTGTACGCATATTCTGTCGACGGCAGTGCCGAGACCTCGTCCGTGGCCTCGTTGTGGTGAGGGTCCAGTTCTTCATGGCTGTATTCGGTTTGCCAGTCAGAGTCGCACTGGGGCTCGGTTTGTGGTTCACTGTCCGGGATGAGTCGAATCTGCGTCAGATTTGCACCTTCGTTGATGATGTAGGTGGATGCCGGCGCCAATTCTTCAGATTTGAGATATTGGTCAAGATCATCGGGTATGGAAGACGCTTCACTGGCCGGCCTTGTTCGCATCCATGAGCCTTCAGAAGGGACCGCTGATAACCGTGGTGAGAATTTCGCCATGGATCCCTCCGTGGACATGGATCTGGAATTACGTTTGGGCACTGCGAGTCCGACATGTTGGCTTAAAGCAGGAGCTCGAACAATTGGGTATTGAATCCGTGGCGGACTGGAGCTCAGAGCGGCTTGAAGACTGGCATGGGTATCGGAGACAGAACCGCTATCGGACATCGGGTCGTCTCTCGCCAAAACGCGAACCACTGGGCTAGACTCGTCGATAGATTCGTTCGTCTGTTGGATGCTCTGTGGCGCGGAAGAGGGTAGTCCAGGGTCCACAAGAGAACTCGCACTTGCAGCAGCAGACGATGGGATGTACCGATGAACGGGAGGGCTAGAGGCCAGGGGGTTCCTTGCTCCAGCTCGTTCGGCGAATGACTTCCCTCCCCCAGACTCAGACCTTTTCCTTTTCCTCGAAGAGCTTGACGACGATCGGGAAAGTGTAGAAGACTTGGAAAAATCAGGTCGAGCGGTGGACGGCGATGACAGCCCGAATTTAACCACATTTGGACTTGACGACTGGTCGCTGCTTTGGAATTGTTCGGTACTAGAGGTGTGCACAAGGCGGACAACATTGGGACTGGAGGATTGGTCGCTGCTTTGAAACTGCTCCGTACTGGAGGAGTGGGCAAGACGCACCACGTTGGGGCTGGACGACTGGTCGGTGCTTCGATATTGTCTGGGGCTTGATGTGGGCGCAAGCCGAACAACATTGGGGCTCGATGAACCATCCTTGTCAGACTCCGTGCTTGATGCCTCTTCGAACGCCTCAAGCAGTGGACTCTTCGATTCTCGGAACGATGGCAGTCTCGGACTTGAGGTTACCGCGAGTACTTTGTAGTTTGGGGTTGAAGTTGCAGCTGCAGTAACCTTCTCTGGGATCGACGTGAAGGAGGAACGCGACGAAATCCGTTTAAGAGTGTGAGATCCAGAGGGCAAAGAGGGTAGCAGTGCCAAATCATCGGCGGTGATCTTTTGCAGAGACTCCCAAGCGTATGCGCCCGATAAGCTTTCACTAGAGCTGATACTTCTTAATCGTGACGAACTGGCCGTGCTCGGGCGGAGCGCTGGTGAAGTAGCGGTAGAAGGGCGGGACGCTTCTTCGGCTTGAGATTCATACAGGTCTCTTAAAGCTTTGACCGACCGCTTGAGCCTGACGGTAGGCTTCGACCCTCCGCCTCGCAAGCTCCGGGAAGCATCGCTGCTTCTACCTGATTCACTCTCATAGAGCAACCCAGAAGTATCGGCGAGTTGGCTTGGACCGAAGCTCTTCTTCTTGCGGATCGTGCTAGGGAGGAGGACATGGGCGGGTTTCGTGGGAAACGGAGTGGTATTGTATATGTTCAAAGTCCCTTGGTCTGAACTTGGCTCTTGACCCAGACGAGGTGAAAGCTCATTTGTCTCCGAAGATGTTCGTTCTTGTAGCGGTGTGCGTTTGGGAGCAGTCCGCTTCGGCGATCTCAGCTTAACCGACGAAGGGGACGAGGACATAATTATCTCATCGTCGCAACCGTCAGCCGGTGATGCATTCGGTGACTCTCGACTTCGATAGAGATTCCCGAGGGTGCTTGGTCAGAGGATTTGGCAAGGTAACGAACGACTAGAGGTGAGGTGTGCGAAGACGAAAGGAACGTCGAGTGGGCGCTCAATGTGCAGGGCAGAGTATTATTGAAGTCTCAATGCCAGCGTCATGGCAGTACTGTCGGAGATATTCTGCACTCAAAGTACTGGTAGCTCGGGTTAGGTTGACGATCAAGCGGAGCTGCATATGCATGCTTCAGGGCGAGTTAAATTGAGATCTGATCGGCCGCGGGCGTGGCGTAGTGTAATCGAGCGTCTGATGTCTGAGAGGTCGTCTGGTATGTGCAGAGCGGTGTGTGTATGTACATAGGAAAAGAATGTTGGATGTTTGTGCTGTCTCCGGTTCAGCTTGGTGCAGTTGGAGAGTCGCAGTGTGGTTTTGGATGACTGTTGGCCAACACCCCAACGCAGCTGGGACTCGAGCCACCCGCCTTGCGATTATTCGGGATCAGGGGAGGAAGCGACCTTGAGATCCCTGTTTCCTTCTCTTTTGGAGGCTTGAGCCCATGTAAAATTGGAGTGGCTGCTAGGCGTATGCCAGGACGGAGGAATATTGCGCAAGGACCACGCTCACAGGACTCGCCCATCGATTGCTTCTGTGTCAAGGAGCGCCTCGGGTAATGGTGAGAAGGTCGCGTCTCACGCTTTCTCCATCTTGGTCGCGTGGCAGACTGCCACTATCGAAAATCCCCGATTGGATCAGAGGGTGTCGCGAAATTAACGCGACAATCTGGCTGCGACAGGGGGAGGGAAGAAGCGTTGTGGCGCTGCCTGCAGGACGCATACTGCGCAATTCCAATTTTCGGGTTGGAATTCTGGGGGACCTGAAGTCAATAGTGCTGTCGCTCAGTCCACAAGGAGGATTTTGGCTTCTGGAACAGCGGAAAAAGATTGCTGGCGGTGGCAGCAACAGTGGCATTGGTGGCATCGACTGCGAGGGCACTCACCGACTCTTGTGCGTCTGATCTCATCGTCGCCCCTCGACAACGCCACCATTTCTGCTTTGGGGAAGTCGAACAGCCCCCCCTTTATCCCAAAGTCCACTTCAACCTCACCGCACCGTCTGCCAACATCCTTTACCACCCATTATTGGAACTTAACCACTTGCCAGCTGGCAGCCCGCGCCCACCATCGCCATGGCTCCCGCCGACTTCTTCCTCAAACTGAGAAACACCTATTTTGGCCATGCAGGTGCGTTGGACGCTTCATTGGTTCGCAGCTGGCGACGAGTCGGCTCCCCTGAAACTAGTTCTCCCACAGACCTTCAGTGTCTCTGAATGAATGGGTTGTCAATCTAAAAAAATTCTCCTCCCGAATCCACCACTGATCAACCCATGATCCCAATCGTCGCGTTGTTCATGGATCTCTTGTCTTGACCCCGACTGATGCGGTTACATATCGATAATGTCGTGACCGACCCTGATGGCTGGTGCTGGTTGCTGATCCCAATGACGAAACAGACAAGGACAAGCCTGTCATCTCATCTACCACGGCGGCCATTCTATCGGTATGCCAAATGGTGGTCTGTACAATGGCGACGCTTGAATGGCTGATCAATCCCCCACCAGGTCGCTTGCACGCTTATCTACGTCGTCCCTTTCTACCTGTCATCGTCAACCCGACCATCGCCGACACTAAACCGCGATGCTCCGAGCGTTATTCGTGCACGCATTCGAACCGTCACGTTGGCCTGCGTCATTGGTAGCGCTGGCACTCTATATCTGCTCATCGCAACGGCGAAGCTCTCTCTAACCGATGCCTTGCATATGCTGGGTTGTTGGCCAGTTCGACCATGGGATCTGTTCAGATCCTTCACCCTGACATTCCTGTTGTACGTCGGGCCACTCTTTGAGAAGATATTTGTCGAAGGAGAGTTCGACGACTTGCGCCATCGTGGTGTTGCTGCGATTAGCGAAAGTCTCAGCAGTTGGCAAGGCTACAGGAACTACGTCGCGGGCCCAATCACCGAGGAAGTTGTTTTTCGCTCAGTTCTAATTCCAATCCACCTCCTCGCCAAAATCTCCCCGGGCAAGATCGTCTTCCTGACACCTCTCTATTTCGGCATCGCGCATATCCACCACTTCTATGAGTTTCACTTGACGCACCCTCACGTCTCACTCGTGCCGGTTTTCTTGAGGTCGCTACTCCAGTTCACCTACACTACGCTTTTTGGGTGGTTCGCGGCCTTTATCTACATACGCACGAGCTCGCTCTATGCCTGCATCATCATTCATTCATTCTGCAACTGGGTCGGTCTTCCCCGTTTTTGGGGCCGCGTGAGAAGACCGGAGTACTACCCTATTTCCCCTGTTGTCATCCGCGGCAAAGACGATACGGACCTCGTCCAGGCTTCGACAGAGGGCAAAACACTGCGGTTACGGTGGACGGTGGCGTATTACCTGCTTCTAGCGGCGGGTGCATATGGCTTTTATCGAGGACTTTGGCCGTTGACGGCATCAGAGGCGGCTTTGGCCGAGTTTGCGCGCGATAAACGTAGATAGACAAGTTTTTCTAGACGCGTTCATGTGGAATTCTGCAGGGCAATGAGCCAAGCCCATGACTTTCCGAGTTGCAATCACAGAAAGAGGCGTTCTCTTAACATTGATGGACCTGAATTTCACAAATCAACTAATGTTGAACGAATCAACCTTCGTTGAGTACTACTTATCTAGTCTTCAGGCGCGAGGCAGATGCCTTTCTGTCCTTCCTCTCTTTCCTCCTTTGTTCCCATCTCCCCCAGCCAGCGTCCTGGATATCTTCTGTGACGATCAAATCTCTCACCCTCAACCTTCTGCAGATCCAACTCTCCAAAGCCCAATCCAGCCACCCAAAATGCCGCAAATAGGAGGTGAATAGAAACCAGATGATCGCAAAGACTGCACCAGCCGCAACCCCGACCCAAACTTGCTTTGGCGTGTGGTAGTTTAGATAAACGCGGCTGGCAGCAACAGCTCCAGCCCCCATGCATGCGACGAAAGACAAAAAGAGTCGCTCGGTAAAGGTGGTAGGTGAATAGCTTGCTGAAGGATCGGGGACGTGGCGGAAGATTAAGAATAGGCTAAATGAGATGGCGAAAAAGGCCACAAATTGAGAGTGCGACGAGGGCATGCCATAGCCTTTGCCCGTCATTTCTGTCCATCCCACAAAGATCAATCACACACGAACCCTGAGAGCCTGCAACAACAATGGAGTCCGTAGTAGAGAGAAAGGAACGACGTACGTTTGGGGCGTTCTTCCCGGATCAACCGTTTCAATCCAAAATTCACCACTTCACACGCCATTTGGCCGGCGAACATGAGGAATATCTCAGCTTCGCGCGATGCCCATATTAGAGTCACGTAGACCACGCACAGCCCTTGTGGCACCAGAGCTAGCCACGCTGACGCATAGGATATGGGGTCACCGGGAGTCTGGGGCTTGTTAGCTGTGCCACAGTACCAGTCACCTTTTCGTGCGGACAAAAAGAATTGACCTACATAGCGGACGTGGGTGAGCGATAAAGAAGCGAGGGGCCGGTCGTCCATCCTTGATTGACAGCTAGGTATCTATCAAAGGTGGAGAATAGATGACTCCAAACAGCTTGAATGATGAAAAGGGCATCAGAGAAGTCAACAAGGAGATGAGAGACACGAGAAACGAGGCTGAACGAAGTGTGGCGAGGCAGAAGCCACCACGCCACCAAAAAACCGCCCCTGTTGAGTGCCTGCACGCCTGGGGCCTCGACGATGCCTCTCCTTCAATCAGAATCCGCCTTATCTTTTTTTCTCTGCGCCTGGTGCGTCATTGTTTGGTTGTTTGTATGCATGAATGAGTCGAGACCCTTTGCCGAGGACCAGAATTCATAATGCGTCCTTTGTAACTCGCTGCTCTCCTTCTCTTCTACAAAGACCTTTCAAAAGGCCTTGTGTCTAAATTGGCCTTTTGGGGCGTATCTCATGGCTCTCTGATAAATAGCCCATCTTTTCTCTCGGTTCCCTCCACCGACCCTCGTTCCCCGCATTCTCACCATCCTCGCACTCTACATGTAAAAAGATGGAAGATAACGAATATGCTCCAGAAGATGAAAGAACTAGTGAACTCTCGACCATCGCCGCCATTTACCCTGAACTCGTGGTTGACGATCAAGACCCGTATACTGCCACCCTCGATCTCGCCGTGACGCCCGTGCAACCTCTGCGGATTCTCTTCAAAGCCTCGGCGGACAGTGCGCCACCCATTCTCCCCACGCCACCTACCTCTCCTGAACAAAGTCAGAATGACAGCGATGCGAAGCCTGAGTTGCAACATCCTGTCCTCCCCCTCGATGCCCACGACCTGTCTCATTTGCCCTCGCTGTCGCTCCGAATCTCGTTACCGGCGGGCTATCCAGCTACCAAACCCCCAGTGATCTCGGTGTCTGTCACACCTCAATGGCTGCCCCGAACCGTCCTGAGGCGGCTCAGGGATGACTGTGCTAGACTGTGGGAAGAGCTGGGAAAAGACCAGGTTGTCTATGCATATATAGATCATGTCCAGCAAGAGGCGGAACAAGCGTTCGGCCTCGCGGGCGAACCAGACGTTCAATTGTCTAGCGATCTCAAATTGGCATTGCTCGATTTCGACCTCAAGACCAAGCGCGAACTCTTTGAGAGAGAGACATTCGATTGCGGTGTTTGTCTAGAGCCGAAAAAAGGGATACACTGCCACCGGCTCATGTTGTGTGGTCACGTCTTTTGCATCGCATGCTTGCAGGAATTCTACAAAAGTTGCATAACAGAGGGAGACGTTGATAATGTCAGATGTCTGGAATCGAGTTGCGGCAAAGATGAGCCTGTACAGGTGGGCGCGAATGGCAGACCTCTGAAGAGGCGGAAACAAGATCGGACACTCAACCCTAGCGAACTGTTGCAAATCCCGATTGAGCAAGAACTCGTCCAGCGGTACGTGCGGCTCAAGCGAAAGAAGCGACTCGAATCAGACAAGAACACTATCTATTGTCCCCGACAATGGTGTCAGGGAGCCGCCAAGTCCAAAAAGCATCCCAAACCCCTTGATCCAATGAACGACATCGAGGAAACCTCCGACTCAGAGGAAGAAGAACAGCCAGAGTCGGGATCTGGGAAGAAGAATAAGAAAGAACTCGACCCAGAAGATCTCCCCATGGCCGAGCGCCTAGCTGTGTGCGAAGACTGTGATTTTGCATTCTGCAGCGTCTGCCAGAAAGGATGGCACGGTGAACTTGTGAGATGCAGTCCTCGACGACAAAAGGAGCTAAACGAGGAGGAAGCAGCATCTGAGGCGTATTTGAAGAAGTACTCCACACCTTGTCCAACGTGCAACGCACCCGCACAGAAGACTATGGGATGTAACCACATGATCTGCTTCAAGTGCAGAAGCCACTTCTGTTACCTGTGTTCGGCGTACCTTATGCCCGACAATCCTTACAGGCATTTCAACGATCTCAAGAGCAAATGCTATATGCGTCTGTGGGTGATGGAAGAAGGAGACGGTGAAGGCGTTGATGTGGACCGGTTGCACAATCCTGATCTTGCGGAATGGGACGAGATTGATGATGCAGACGAGGACTCTGACGACGAGGAGCTACCGCCTGAGAACTTTGCCGCCTTTCGAGGAGATCATGGACGGCCCTTTGCGGACGAAGAGGATACCGATGACGAGGAGCCGGCACCTGACCAACGACGCAACCGGCAGATGCACATCGAGATCGTAAATTTTGCGCGACCTGGAGCACAAAATCCTCAACGGATAGAGCTCCCCGAACGACCTCGAGCTCAAGCTCCTGCTGAACCACGTGTACCACCCCAACCACCGAACCCGCCTAGAGCCAGACCTCGGCGAAGAGGTGGTGGTCAGCAAGCCAACCGCCAACGTGCTATGGCGAACGAACCTGCGCGCGCAGGCCCGGATCGAGGGCAAGCTCGGGGTCGGGTTCGTCTTCCCGTCGCAATGCCAATTCAAGATGCACGGGTAGCTGAAGAGCGCCAGAATGGGCTCAACCGACAAAATGGGGGTATTGTACATGCTCTGCCGGACCGCGACGGCAATGAAAACGGTGATGCTGCGCCACCTCCAGCACAGTTTCCGCTTGCTGCTCCTGGTCAAGGAAACCATCCCGGCGCTGTGCTCGGCGCGCAAGCAGGCCCTATCCGTGCGATGGGTCTAGAAAGATTTTTACAGCTCGCACAGCAAGACCAGGAGGATGAGTGGGATTCGGACGAGTTGGACGAAGATGATTTTCAAGCCATGGAGCATGAGCATGAACCAAGGCGTAGAAGACAGGAGAGAGCCATGGGCTGGCGGTGACACTGCAGACCACATGAGCCAAGGGCTTCTTGGACTAGACGATATGCTTGTATATGAGCTTTGAACATCAAAATAAAGAGCAATATAACCTGTACATGAACCTCTCCACTGCATCCAGGTAGTGCGCAATCGCAAGGCTGACGAGGAAAGGATGGGTTCATCACACAGCCGACGGTGCTATAAGAACGGCGCCGGCATCTGGCAGAATTCATCTCCACAATGCCGTATTAACTTGACGAGACAGGCCGGAACGTTGGTTAGAAGATTCACTCACGTCATCGACCGACCTTTGCTTCAGTATGTTGCAAGAATAAGGAGATCTGCCGATGAAAATATGGTATCATCCTCATCACCATTGATTTCCCAGAGCTAAAGGAGAAGGGGGGAGTGGAGAAGGAGGCCCTCGTCCAGGCAGGGTTACCTCTCACGAGGCTGACTTCACGAGGCTACGGAAGTCGAAAAGGGGTGGATAAAACAGCGGAGTGTATGGGGCATTTGGCCGGCCAGCGCTAGTTTGTTCAAACTATGGATGAAATTGAATTTTCCTGCTGGGACTGTATCAAAATGTCCAAAGACAGCACTTTGGTCTTCGGAAAGGTATTTGAGTTGTGGTGACGCAGAAACAGTGTCAAGTAGATCATCCCTCTTTAGGGCAGTCGGTTTATTCCGTGGGATTCGTTAAAGGGGACAGAGACGAGGTCTCAAATGCCGGGGTATGGATTGGATGCACTAAGCTGCACAAATCAAATATCGACGGCGTGTTCGTGCCGTAGGAGGATCTCCGGCATGCTCGTCAATGCCTTCTCAAAGCACACTTGTATTCAACAGCCACTGCCTCTTATCCTCGTGGCCGAACCGTTGTGATCGCAATAGGAATCAAGATCCCGAGCTCTGGCGCCGAGCGGATAGAAGCGCATCGAAGATCGAGTCGAGACAACCTTTGAGTAGACACGTGGTATGGCTGGACTTTCCCCAATGATATGGGGGAGATGGGCAAGAGGGAATCAACTGACGCAATGATCACCTTGGTGCTGCCAACGGGATGCTAGCGGTGACGGTTGATGCTGGCCATGTCTCGTTGCTTGAATGAGACATGGCTCGATGGTCGAACAGAAGTCGAAGGAAGATGAGCGGGAGAGACCAGCGGTGATGTCACCCCCTTTCGCCAAGAGGCGCTAAACGCAATTGTGACGTCGATCTTTCGTATTGGTTCCAAAGCCTTGCCTGGCAATCGACCGCCGTCTGCTCTCGACAAGAAATCCTGAAATCCTTCCCCCAGTGGCCATGGGCGGCTGGCAATCCCCCATCCTCACATCCCCATACCTTACCGATCATGGATGGCCGACTGACCTCGCTCAAGCGAGAACCATCCCTATCCCTGTGCCTGTGGATCCACTCGCCGCGTGCCGAACTGTCACTTGGTAGCCGAAGTGGGCTCTCTACGTCGCCACTTTTCCATGGTAGGATTCCCATAGGCAGTCCCCAGGTTTCCTTTTGACCTCCCTTGGCATTGCAGGAATCCGCCCTTGCGCAATGATATCAGCGCCCGAGAGGCATTACCCAAGGTTGCCCGCTGTATAATAAACCCCCTTTCTTCCCCACTGCGGCCATCCTCGAGGCTTGTTGAACTCTCAAAGGTATTGCATCCTCACCACCACCGCTCAACATGAAGGGCATAGGCACCAAAGTGTACTTTGACAAGTACAACCCTAACTCGGAGAAGGGTCAGGATGTCAGGCGCTCTCTTGCTGGCCTTGACTACTCTCCCCTCCCTCGGGTCACTGGCCGCTCGTTGGCAATGGGCTGCCTGGTCTCCATGGGTGGCTTGATGTAAGTTACACCTACATGATGGCTGTGCATATGCTGATACAATATCCAGCTTTGGCTACGACACTGGCCAAATCTCGGGCTTTTTGGAGATGCCAGACTTCCTAAAGCGCTTTGCACAATCCCAAGGCGGGGGAAAATATAAGTTTAGCGATGTCAGGTCTGGACTCATAGTCGCAATGGTACGGACTAATTGCTCTCTGCCCTCATGCCAAAAAGCTTTACTAACATGTTTTAGCTATCCATTGGAACCCTTCTCGGAGCTTTGCTCGCTGCCCCATTGGCGGACAGGATTGGTCGTCGGTTCTCAATCAGCTTTTGGTCTATCATTGTCTCTGTCGGCTTCGTCATCCAAATTGCATCTGTCACTGCATGGTATCAAGTTATGATCGGTCGACTGGTAGCGGGTTTCGGAGTTGGGGCACTGTCAGTTCTTGTGCCCATGTTCCAAGCCGAAACTGCTCCGCCGTGGATCCGTGGCGCCCTCGTGTGCACCTACCAGCTTTTCATCACTCTCGGCATTTTCCTAGCGGCGTGTTTCAACTACGGGACTTATAAAGGCCAACAAAACAATTCAGCATCTTGGAGAATTGTTATTGGCCTCGGCTGGCTATGGACACTTATTCTGGGATTGGGCGTGCTTCTATTCGACGAAACTCCACGATATGCCTTCCGCAGAGGGAGGACTGAAGAGGCAAAGCAGACGCTTATGAGGGTCTACGGAGCTCCTGCCAACCATTACGCCATCTACACGCAAATGGAAGAGATCGAAAGCAAATTCCGTGCCGAAGACCAGACAAAAGGAAACCCTATCCATGAATTTGTAGTTATGCTCAGGGCACCGAGAATGGGGTAAGCAATAACCAGGGTGACAGTCATAGAAAGGATTTGGCTGACCCGTTGTTTTAGATATCGAATCGCGCTTGGTGTGATGCTACAGGCCTTCCAACAGCTTACGGGCGCCAATTTCTTCTTTTACTACGGCACTACGATTTTCAAGTCCGTCCAGATCAGCTCTTTCGTCACTCAAATGATCCTCAACGGCGTCAACTTCGGAGTTACATTCATTGGCCTCTACCTCGTTGAGCACTATGGACGAAGAAAGTCATTGATCGCCGGGAGCATGTGGATGTTTGTCTGTTTCATGATTTTTGCATCAGTCGGCCACTTCTCGCTGGACAACAAGGACCCATCCAAAACACCCAAGGCCGGCGTCGCAATGATCGTATTCGCGTGTCTGTTCATTCTGGGCTTTGCTACGACATGGGGCCCAATGGTTTGGTGAGAAAAGCTCCGCCCATTCCCGTCACTGTTGACAGCTGCTGACCATTGATTCTCAGGACCTTGATTGCCGAACTTTTCCCCTCACGGTACAGGGCCAAAGGGATGGCCATCGCAACCGCAAGCAACTGGACCTGGAATTTCCTTCTCGCTTTCTTCACCCCGTTCATCATCAGCGCGATCGATTTCCGGTATGGGTACGTGTTTGCTGGGTGCAATTTGGCTGCAGGGCTGCTTGTGTACTTTTTCGTCATTGAAGGCCAAGGCCGAACACTGGAGGAAATCGACACAATGTATATTGAACACGTGTCTCCCATGAAATCCTCCAAGTGGGAAGCACCCCCGGCGGCGGAGATGGCCCGGATCAGAAGGCAGGCTGGAACTGAGGTTGCCCCGTCAGATGATGTGGAATCCAGGGGCATTTACAGCGGAGAGACGGAGAGAGGCCTTGAGGGAGACAGGGACGCCGACAAGGCTAGGGATAGTCATGCCGAGAGGGTTTAGGTGTCGTGGTCTCACTATTGTGGAGATTTCACCTTGTTATTGTACGAGAAGTATAGCTTTTTGTGAGGAAAAGGGCGAGTCTTATAGTTTCGGGAGTGGGGAGTGAGCATTCCAAAGGCCATTTACTGTAGGGACATGACTTTCTGTCTGCCTTTGTGGGAAGACGAGGTTTGGTCTCCAAGTTCGGCGTCTTCTGAGCTTCGAGACGCGAACGCTACCAAATAGGGCCGAAAGGAAACGGACCCCCTTGAATCCGAATGGTTGCAGAAATGATAACGTCGTTCGCTTGTGCAAGCTGCTTGGAAGAGATCAAGGATGGATATCCCCCGGACAAGCTGGTGGCTGTGGTCGATATTTCCACCATACTGTGTGGTGAGGTTTGAGCCAAGCTGGCCAGCGGACGACTTAGAATTCTCCACGTCTGTGATGGCTACAAGACCCGAATCCTTCTCGTTCCAACACCCAACAATCCACTCGTTGCTTCTATTTCACACAAGGTTGAGCGCCGTTGAGTATGTGGGGGGCCACGAGACGAGCCGTGCGAAATACCACGTGAACGCCCCCATGTGTCTATCTAGCGATTGATTGATCGGCGCCTATCTAGGGCACCAGGATGCCAAAGCACGGGCAGCTGCGGCGCCACAGGGCGTCATATGCTGGTTCATGGCGTCACAGAAGTGCGTTTGTGGTCGACGTGCAGAGGACGTGATGGGTGAGGTGAAACCTTCGTTTCCGCGCACAGAGTCAAAGACGCCGAGAGATGGCCTCGAGCTTCCAATTACCCAGATCTCGTTTTACCTGCATGAAATGGGGTGACGAGGCTAAGAACGGCAGTCACAAAGGGAGACAAGAAGAATGTGTGTGGCTTATGATTCTTTTGTGTAGCACACCGTCTTGGCCATGTGGGATGGAAGATTCGTGCCAGAGAAACTCTCCAATAAACGACCGCATGTGACATTCTATTAAGCGAGGGGTGGGAATCACCATGTTTTGGGAAAAGCTGGCGGGTGTTTCGCATTCCAGCCTAAATCTGCCTGGCTGAAAGGTCCGTCGATACAAGTACATGCAAAGAGCGGGAAGCCTCTCTCCTTGTGCAAGTATTAGTTCGATGCGAACCCGCACGGCCAGGATACGTTGTCGCCCCCTCTCCTTATGCGAGCGTGTCCGAACATGCAGCTCCCTTGCAAAGAGTTTCAAGCGAGCTCACCCTTGATAGACATGGACGACCAAGGAACAGGTGCTCCGAGAGGGGGCGAGAATGCTTTAGGGGTAACAGCGATATCGATAATGTCGACCACCTCTATCGCGCCCACCGTCTCTTCAATTTGATCATTTTCTGCAAGTTTATCTTTTTGTGGTGGCGTTGCACGACCCTTGAACAAGCCTGAGAGGTAGGGAGTGCTTTTCACAGCTTTCGCGACTTGGTCCTTCTTGAAGGGGGCACACACATGTTTCATTATCAAACTCGGTGTGAGGGATTGGAGCTATTGGCAATCAAAGCAGCTGGCCCATATGAGCCCCTCCATCAGTATTCGCCTGAAAATGTCTCGAGATGAACAAGACAACTTTGTTTGGCTCACGAGGGCTTGTCAAGATCTCGGTATGACCCAGAACCCAAAATGCCGGGCTGAGATCACTGAACTGACGGAACCGATACAGTTGCGGGCTTGAGAGAATATCCCAGTCAATATATCCAAATGGTTGTACAATCGCAGCCATGCCAGGCGCAGGCGCAATGCACACCACCAAGTTATAAGAAGGTCGTCGACATCGTTCAAGAGCAGTTCACGACTCCTCCGTATGTTACCATCACGCATGCTGTGTCACAAGTCGTCCAGATGGACGAGGTTCTGGCGTCACATTCGCCAGATCGTTCGTGGAATGGAAACTACGTGCACGGCCAGACTGTGTTCGCCCATGCTGCGGTCGTTCCGTCTTACCATGCTTCCCCACGGCCGTTGACCGCACCTGTACCTCGACCCACGAATATTATTGCGGCTCCAAGGAGCATCAACATTGTTCTGTTGGAGAGATATATCCCTCCAACGAGTATCCAAGACGTCAAGAATTTCTTTACATTCTGTCGACGGTCCTATATTGTGGACCGCCTCTTTGAGCTTTCTGCGCATAACGGGTCGCTCCTTCTCGTATATCCGACCAGAAATGGGGCACTCACGCTTACGAATAAATATCTTGGCCCTATCATTGAACCCTTCTTGCGCAAGTTTGTTCTGTTAAGCGATCTAAACACCGACGTTGCCATTTCAATGAGCCAGATGGCTGCAGTCTGCGGGATGAGGGATTTCGCGGGACTTGAGAAGGATGTGTTGGCACTCTGTCGCGCTATCGGCGAGCACTTGCCTTCACACGATCCAAAAAGCCGATATGAAGTCATACACACCGATAAAGCGAATGTCGTCTTAGACCGAGCCGCCTGGAAAGAGTGGTATCTGGAGCAAGAACAACCTCGTCTCCGCCAGGCCCTGATAGACTACCATAAATCTGGCGGTCGAATGCCGGCTAGACGGGGTCAGGTCGAAGTTACACCAGACATGTTGGTTCGCGAAGTTGTTGAAGCAATCCGTCAGAGTGAAGATGACTCTGGCAACGCAGCGGTCGAGGTGGGAGTGTTCGTGATACGGCGCTCAGTGTCGACACATGCATAATGCCCGACATCCGGCATGGCTTGCAAGGCGACACAAACGATGATCAGCAACGGAGAGTAGAGAGTGACGTAGTCTGCGTATGGGTGTTAGCATAACAATCTGGGGCTACGCTGGGGAAAGAATGTGTAGGATTTGCTGGATTTGCGACAGACATGCCTTAGACGGTGGTGACCAATATTGAAAACAATGACGACAACAAAGGTTGAGGAACGTTGACTGGCCCTTGGTCCCAATAGGGTCATCTAGGACTTCAGGATCGGGGGCGTGACACGTGCTGGACTAAATTTACAGGTTTTGCAGGCAAGGAATGGCATTATTTCCTGACCGTACTCCCGCTTAGCAGCAATGTGCTTCGTCATAGATGCTCAAGCCTCACCAGCCTTCATCCCGGGGAAGGTCTATTGGTGGATAATGTAGAGAGGTTCGTGGTTTCGGCTTGCCAGAGGCTGGTTGCAGTGGCCAATGAAGTTGGGACAGTGACACTCGAGAACCAGAGACAATTCAATGGCAATTATCCTGCAATCACCTCCGCCGGCGCCTCATTCTCTGTGGACAGTGCGGTCGTGATGAGAGCTGCTGCAGGTGCCGGAATGCGATCGAGTTCCTTTCCCAGTCCTAAGAGCCCCCTTCCCTCCTGGTGACACGACGCCAATATCTGTGAAGAGAATTTAGATGAATTAAATCGCACATAGGTACGAAGTTGTTGGCTGGGGACTCGAACTACTGAACCATTCTAGGGGGTCGGCATCAGAACTAATAGATTCACGTCCGAGCCGGAATCAGCCTTGGACCATGCGTTTCTCAGGAGTCCAGCCCTATGGTCACTTCCGAACATCCTAGGGTCCCGAGGAAGCTGGACGAATTGGAATTGCAATATCAATGGGTCATTTTCGATCCGTCAGCCTCGGAGTGGAAGGTGAAGGACGAGTCTCGTGAAGGACGATCCTCTGGTCATATTGTCCGTCGTCCGAAGTACTGAGAATCTCAGCGCGTTTTGCCGTTTTGGAGTGCCTGGATATCGCTTCTCACCCACGAAAGATTGGAGAGTGGACAAGTCGCCCCGGGCATTTGAAAGCTCGGAAGAGCCTCCGTGCCGTGAGCAGACCGCCACTCGGGATTTTAATCTATATTATACCTTCGGATCATGGGGTTTTAGGGATAATCTAGCTTCAGCAGGAAGATTGTCCGGAAGGGTTATTATTTACACTTCCTCCCGCCCTGTCACTTTGCCTCCGATTATCACCCGCTTGATACACGAGGAGGAAACACTCCAAGAGCATAGGGAACTAGCTTGAAGCCCTAAATGGAGTGGCATAAGCGAGATGCAGCTGCATTATAGGGATTCCCTGACGAGCCCCGCGGCTCCGGAATACCCCCGGATGGCTCTCCGCATCTCTCTTAAGAGTGAGAATTTCCGCGATGGACGAGTGTCTTCGCATCATCTCATGCTTCAAAGGCACGTCTTTGAATCATTTCCGCGGGCTCAAAGTGATTCGTTCTCCTGGACTTCCAAGAATGGCCACAACGCAATCGCCGAGTGACAAGGCTGTCCTCCAGAAATACTACCGCGACATTATCTCGGGCAGCCACATTCTTCACTATCACAATGTCCTGGATGCATTTGGCCATCTTTCGTTCCGACATCCCTTTAACCCTCAGGTCTTTATCATGTCCCGAAATGCGGCTCCAGGAACGATCTCCTCCCTAGACGATTTGGTCGAATACTACGTCGAGGATGCCCAGCCAGTCAATCCCAACGCACCTCCGGGGTTTCTTGAGCGATGCATCCACAGCGAGTGCTACAAACGCTATCCGGCCATCCAAAGCGTCATTCACAGTCACTCGGAGGCCGTGGTACCATATAGCATCAGCGGTGTACCCATGCGAGCGTGCTACCATATGGCCGGCTTTCTTGGTACTGATGTGCCGGTCTGGGATATTACAGAGGCGCAGCAAGCGGACGACATAAGCGATCTCCTCGTCCGCAACACTCGCCTTGGGGGCTCTCTCGCCAATTCATTTGGTGCTGGCGGTGCGGGAGGAGACTTGCCACAACACGTTGTCGCGCTGATGCGAGGCCATGGCTTCACTGTACTTGCGGGGAGCATTCAAGATTGCGTGATGAGGGCAGTGTATACACAGAAGAATGCCATGATCCAGACCACGGCACTGATAACGCGGGCTGCAGGTGGTCATACCAGCGACAGTATCAAATATCTCAGCCAGAAGGAGGTAGATGATACCACCTGGTCGATCAGAGAGTCTGCTCATCGGCCCTGGAAGCTCTGGCTCCGCGAAGTAGAAGCTTCGAACCTCTATAGCAACTCGGCATAATTCCATGGACTGGGGATTGAATGCAAGCTATCAAAGCCCCGACAAAGGTTAAGACGCGATTGTCCCTACATAGTTTTAAAGTGCCTAGCCTCTTCATTTGAACTCTCATGACAAGCTTCTTTCAATCCCCAAGCGCGCTGAGTTCTCCAACCGATATCGCAGGTCAGCCCGGCTGACGTCGAAGTTTCTCCAATGTTTTGTCCTTACGGTTGGCTGAGTTCCCCTCTCGGCAAGATCGACTTGTCCAAAACCTTTGCCAATTATGCTATAATAACGCCCAACGAATTTACAATCCGAGATTCTCGGATAGCGATCCGTATGGCTGGATTTCCCCCTGGGCCGGAATGAGGCTTCTTCCCAAGCCAACCCCAATTGGATCTTATGGCACTTTCAGATTAGATTCTTTGATCGCTTTGCGTTTGGGTACTTCGTGTCTGAGGGAACACTATATACGCACCTCTTTTTTCATTTTCTCTTTCTACTACTGACAACGCATCCAAAGATGGCCTCTCTCGACGCAACGGCGCACCTAGGCCTGCTGCATCTAGATGGTGTTTTGAAAGGCCGCCCGGTTTTTCTGCTGGCTGTTTCTGCTCTGCTCGGCTACATAGTTTATCAACGATACTTTTCTCCCTTATCGAAAGTGCCAGGACCATTCTTGGCCAGCTTCACTGACGTATGGTGGCTGTGCATTGTCCTGAAGAGACAACAGCACCTAGACTCTCTCAAGCTACACGAGAAATATGGACCGCTGGTTCGGCTGGGACCCAACCATGTGTACGTGCCAGCCTCAAATCCACAGGTATCCTTAGAGGGGGTTATGCTAACATGGAACTAGTATGGTGGCTGACCCTGAAGCGTTTAAGACAATCTACGGTACGGCGCTGAATCATAGATTTTCCTTCGAGTACGTGGCGGGGAATCCAGCTGTTGACATGAAGCAGGAGCAGGCAAGAACTTCCAGAAGTCGGATTTTTACAAACCCTTCAAGGCGAAGCTGAAGTGGAGCCTGACTGCTGAGACCGACGGGCACGTCCATAGCATGAACCGGCGGATGGTCAGCAAGCCCTATTCCATGGAATCGATCCGAAGCCTGGAGGTGTTCGTGGACCATGTCATCCAACATTTCCTCGAAAAGATGCAGGGGTTAACCGGCCGACCCATTAACTTGGGCGACTGGCTGGCCTTATTCGCCATCGGTAGGTTGAATGTTTTCTGTTTGTGAGCGGATCGCTAGAGTATCCATGGTTTTATGTCTACAGACAGCATCACCGAGATCACGTTTTCGAAGAGTTTCAACTATCTCGACAAAGGCGACGCCGACGGAATTCTTGCCCTGTCCAAGGTTGTCTTCTCCAGTGCAGCATGGGTCGGTATCGTGCCGTGGGTGTACCGAATCCATCATTACACCTCGGACTATACCGGCAACTGGCTAGGGGTGACTATGCGCAGCATCCGATTCCGAGCACTGGCCGAACAGAAAGTCAAGGAACACGACTTGATCGAGGACGAGAATGAAGATCACAAATCGATCCTCGGGTATTTGAAAGATGTTCGACGAAAGAAGCCTGAGGAGTTCTCCGAGTACGCCATGATCTCGGCGACAACCAGCAACATCTTTGCCGGCTCAGACACTACCTCGATCGCCCTTCGCACCATGATATATTGCCTGCTCAGCTCGCCTCATTATCACCAGAAATTCTTGAGTGAGCTCGAGGAGAGACGAGAGGCGGGCCTCATCAGCGACCCTATCCGCTTCAGCGAGGCCGAAGCGTGGCCTTTTCTTCAGGCTGTCATGTATGAAGCCATCCGTCTTCACCCTCCATTTGCTGTGCACCTGCCGCGAGTTGTTCCAGAATCCGGTTTGGTTGCCCAAGGAATCTATCTCCCACCTGGAGTAAGTGTAGTACAGAGGGATTTTAATCTTTGGAGGTGCTGACGACGAAATTAATAGACTGTCGTTGGTACAAATGCGTGGTGTATTCATCGCCAGAAGAAGGTCTTTGGTGACGACGTCAATGAGTTCAGGCCCGAGAGGTGGATGGATCCTGAGAAGAAAGCCGAGCTTCGTAAGCAACTTGCACTTACTCTGTTCAAAGACCTGTTTCCATGCTCACGGTAATAGAGCGATTCTTCTTCGGTTTCGGCGGTGGAGCTCGAACTTGTCTTGGAAGAAGTATGTGATCACCCTCTTTATCGAAGCGATAGTGGCCAGAATGCACTAACTCCAAGCTTGAACAGACATCGTCTGGCTCGAGATGTCCAAGGTACGTGTGCCCAGGCTCTGTAGCGACATTATGCTCACACGTTGACGTCTTGATAGTTTCTTCCCATGCTATTTATGCACTACAGCCTCAGGCTAGTGGATCCTACCAAGCCGATGCCAGTGAAGAATATGTACGTGCTCTACTATCCTTCATGTCGAGGTGCCTACTGACAGAGTGTGTCAGCTTTTTGGCTTTCCAAGATGGGCCCTATGTCTTCATGGAAGAGAAAAGGAATGGAGCATCCGTTGGAGCTACTTAGAGGACAGAGAGATGGCTGTAAATATCTCATGTTCAGAAGACGATTGCCTTAGACATATATAAATAAATGTGTTCCCAGAATATCTGGCCGTTTGTTTATGACGATTTTCTGGAGGACGTTCCTCTTGTCGCCACGGCAGAAACAAGTCCTACAACCAACGTACGAAGTCCAAGAACACGGACAGCTATGCCCGTATCCAACTTAGTCGCAGCTTATGGCCGGTGGGGTTATATTGAATTAGGAAGCCACGTATTTGGAAAGAGTTGAGGGAAAAGTGATCCTCTACCCATCGGTCGTCTTGCTCTGTAGTAGTGCTTCCTTTACGCCTCCCCGTGAACCCTTGACTTGCTTGGCGACGATTTCCGAGGACAACGAAGGAAGGAAATGCTGGCGAAGAATGGCCTTTTCCACAGTGCTTCACTGGTTTCGGATGAGCGGCATCAAGCTCATCAAATTAACAGCGAGTCTGTTCTACCCAGAAAGGAGAGGAGCGGAACGTGGACAATGCCCGGCGGGCTTCTTCGGCTTGGATGCGTTCTAGAAGAGAACTGCACCTGCAAAAGTCTTATCATATCGATACTCTTCTTCCTGAGCAGATATCTGAACGTCGGCCGGTGCGGCGCACGTGGTTGTAACTTGTGCCTCTCCATTTTCACAGAGCATAGCGCCACGCAGGGTGGAAGTCGCACAAGTCCTCGAAATCCACTTCCATAAGAGGATCAACCTCACCACGGGCCGCAAACTCCTGCGCCCTCTTGTCGCGTTGTTCATTTGCCTTCTTCATGATGAAGTAACACGTCGCGATACTAGTCAGCGAGATAACACAGAGCGCTAGGCCGACTCCATGCCCTTTGTAGAAGCGCGGAGGGGTGGTGTACACCTGTGTCGCGATGATGCTGTAGCCCTGGATGAACACCTGGCTAGCCCAGATCGCCAGGGCACGTTTGGTGTAGCCGCCATGGGTAGTGTTGATCCAGGCCACGCTGACAACGGTCCCCGGGTAGACGCCGGTCAAAACAAAGCATAGGCCAGCCATGAGTGCCACCTTGTTCGTCGTCGCCAGGAGGATAAGGAATCCTATGCATACCACGCAGAGGCACCCAAAGATGATCCAAGCCTTGTGGTTGAGGTAGTCGGACACGAAACTCATCACCACCAGGGCCACGAACCCAAAGGCGTAAGGGATCATGGAGTACAGCTGGGTTTCGAGGGCCCCAAACCCAAACTCCTTGATGAAGGTGGGCAGAAACACGCCGAAGGCACCCACGGTTATGCCCCAGCTGCCCATGAGCAAGGAGCCTAGCCAGAACTTGGGGTCCTTGACCGCGATCTTGACTTGGTGCCAGCGGATTTTGGCGCCCTCGGTGTTTTGAGCTAGAAGGAACTTCACGTCAGAATCGTCAAGGACATTTCCGCGGTGCAGCGTGCCACAGACCTTGCCTCATGCGATGAGAGATGACTCGGCGCTCAGCTTCGTGCTTAAAGAAGAGGCTGCCCTTTGCCGCTACGGTGTCTGGTAGCCCAGGCAGCAAGGAGATGATCAGCAACGCAAACGCGATCGTTATCACCCCCTCGATGATGAAGAGCCATTGCCACGCCGCATAGCCCCTTGCACCGTCCAAGTGCTTCTGAACAGCCCATGCCAGAAGGCCACTGATAGCTCCTGCAATGGGGCTCATCCCGAAAACAGCCGCTGAAGGAGGCACGTTAGCTACCAATGGGTGGACCGAGGTAAAGGGTTAAAGGGGGGGCATCTCACCAGTTCTCCGAGCAAGTTCATGCGGTTTGTACCACAGCGAGGTGTAGAGATATACATTGTACCCGACGCCTTCGGCGAGACCCAGGAGGACTCGGAGCACCATCAATGGTGCATACGACTTCACGGCCGCCATGCAGCAGGCAAAAACGCCAAAGCAGAGCGCGGCACCGCCAATTACAAACCGAGGGGGTAGGACACGAAGCATCAGTCCGGCCCCGAACTCGACGAGCATGTAGCCAAGGACTATGAGGCGGTCAGTCTCACAGAAAGCTTGAAAACTATGGAATGCCCTCACAGAACATCATGAGACAGTTGAAGTATTGTTGATTGTCGATATGGATGTCTGCCTGTAAGCCCATGATGCGAGCGTTGCCGATGTTGCCACGATCCTGATATCCCGAGTCAGTAATGTTATCTGCAAGTCGGTGCAACTTGGACGTATCTCACCAGATAGGCAAAGAGGATGCTGCCCGACAACAACGGTAACAGCAGCATGTCCATCTTGCGAACAAGCGCCTTCTCTTCAATCGACTTGGGAGCCTTGAACCGGACATCAGTTGGCTCAATGCCGACCGACTTCTTCACTGGAGCGTCGACGACGTCGGTGGTCGTTTCATTGTGCTCAGGCACCATGATGCCTGTTTTCTCGATTGAAGCCATATGGACTGTGTCCTCAGATGGCTCTCTGGTTGCTCGGTGATCAAGATCAACAGAATATTGACGGGGAATGGTGGTTTAAGTTCATTCTCTCTTGACCTCAGAGCCTTTATTATACGCTCTAAACACCGAGCTAGATCGTTGCAAGACTCTGCACCCCAGAACCGCAGGCCCACCAGGAGAGCAGTCTGGGGACCCCCCAGCCGACGCGAATACCAAATGACCCGCCGCTGCTGCTAACGGGAAGGAATTTGGCCGCCCTCCCAGGACCTTGCAGAGTGGTCCAGAATGTGCCTCGGACCGGATCCCTATTTGCTCCTGTTTAGTCTGGTGTAGCGAACTGCCTCTCCACGAGGGAAATGTTCTGAAGCGCCGCAAGCCGGGCGTGGAGGAGTGTTCTTGCTTTCCCTTGTTGCACATTTCCAAACGAAACAAGAGAAGAAGGAAAATTCTATACGCCTTCAATGGGAGTTCAGCACATGCGCTGCCTACCGAAGGAGATAGGTCTGGACAATAGCTCAAATGGGGCCTGCTCAGGAGAAGGCCTCACACATGCAATGTAACAAATTATGAATTTCACCGGCCTTTGCCAATACGCACTTAAACATGTTGATTCCAGCCTACACACGCTTTGCCATAACGTACACCTATATGCCATCTACCATGATCGCGACTGTAAACTGACTGGACCGCCAAACAGCACCACAGTACTGCAATTCGTCAAGTTTCTGCCGAACTCGCGCTTGGACGGCACAGATCCTCAAACTGCAAGTATCTGACACGATGGCCCAGTCGGCTTAAGCCTCCGAACCATTCTGATGGTCTCGGCGCCTTACATTTCGAATGGTGCGGTCGTGAGCCACGACATGTCGTTTGTGTCGAAGGCGGCAAACAAGGCTCCAGGGTCGTCAAGGTCAAAGCCGATAGCATTCGTCTCGGCCATGTTCTTGTCGAACGAAGAGGGGCTTGAGGGCCGCGATATCATTCCCAGTCTGCCATCCAATGCTTCTTGAGTTGACGCCTGGACGACAGTCGAAAAGCCGTTCCGCTGCTGTTGGGCGATGTTGTCTTCTGGCAGTGGTCGGAGACGCGAGAATTGCTGCGGCACGGTGTCGAAGAGGAGTCGCAGCGTCGTAATCAGGCGTTTGATGGAACTACCAAAGATGCTGTAGCGGTCGAGGGCTTGCATCGCTTGTTGCCACGAATCGAAGATTGCTGCTTCGGAGATCTCGGCGAGAATGAAGGGACTAAGTCGGGCCGCAATGAGGACTGTCGCTGAAGAGTACAAGTATAAAACGTTGTACCACCACTCGGCCAGATCTGCCACTGCCCCCGGATCTTCTGTTCGCCTTCTATGCACTAGGCCAATAGCTTCCTGTGCAACCCTGACACAGACGACAGAACATTGGAAGATGACACTGCGAGACAGGAATGTGTCCAGCGACGGGTGGCTTTCTTTCTCATAGCTATCGAAGCTTATGAAAGCCGAAAGCACAGGGCGTAGTGCCTGAAGGCGCACGTGGAGGAACCTAGGTACGGATGGCCGTCAGCCGTGATAATGTAATGAGCGGTGAAGCTCAGTCTCACCTTTGATAGAGAACGACAGCTTGTCTCGAGAGAACCGTCACGGTGCCCGGACCTTGCGAATAGTTGCAGAGCTTGAGATAGCTAGGCACAGCCTTCTCCCACCGGGAAAGCCTCCGATCAATTTCGAGGACGCCAAGTTCACGCATTGGATTGTTGTAGCCTTCAAAATAATGCTGGTAGACGTCATCGAGCGACTGAATGTGTGAGACTTCCGGAGAATAGAAATTGACCAGAATATCATGCATAATATCGTACAGCGTCAAAGATTGGTTGAAAAAATCAAGGAGGGTCGGTCGCTCCGTTGGGTCCAAGCATACCGACATGCTAGGGTCTGCGGATATCTCTTCGCCCTCAACCGGGAGAGGATGCGGGACAGAGAGGGCCACTCTGCGATCAATCATACACGGGCGGCCGTAGGTCATCGCAAGCACTCTGTCCATCAGGACACACCCATGCCATACTCTGCGCAGTAGTGCTCGGTGTCGAGCATCTGACGGCCGCTCGATTGTTTCGGGAAGGTGAAGTTCCAGACTCTGGGCGGTTCGGATCGCAAGAGCCACGAAATTCCAACATTGATGTGGCTCGTTGGTGCTCTGAAGGTACAACCCGAAATGAAGGTATATCTGAACATACCGGACAGACGCCGTGCGTTCGAGGTCCAGGAGATCTCGAGCACGTCCGTAGAATACCGCTGCGGATGCCGCTCGTTCATGGGGCTTAGTGGACGGGGAAAGTTGGCTAGTGAGCGCGAGCATGATATTGAGAAGACACAGGAATGACCGCTCGTGGGGAATGAGGCCATCCCCCCTCCACAAGCTCTCGTAATCAGCGGTTGTCATTCTCTTTCCTATGATCGGATACAGCGTGTGCACATAACTCCAGTACACAGCCATCAGGACATCCGCTCTCGCCCGCGTGGGCAAGGAATAGTCACTGTGCGGTTGATCAACGTCCTCATGAGGATACATGAGTGGGAGGTTGTTCTGATCGCGTGTCGAAGCCGACGAGTTGGCCGCAGTTGGCGAGGACGTTTTCTGTTCCACCACCTTGCGGACATGCTGGATGAAGCTTCCTGCGCTCGAACTTCCGTAGAGTTGTTGTCTGCGGGATTCATTTATGGCTGGTCCGATCATTACAGGCATGACACCGGTATCGGTTAAGGTATATTGCGGTCCTGAAGCACCAAGCCGGGACCGCCCATCTCGAGAATTCGACTGAGATCTGGCATTCCGTCGCACCCCTTCATGTGAAGAGTTTGCCTTTTGGTAAGGAGGAAGATGCGAATTGTTCATCGAATGTGTGTCATTTGGCGAATCAACCTGGCGGGGGACGCTTTGGTTTTCTAGCTCACGGATCCGATCCTCGAGCTTCTGGACATACTGCAGCGGGAGTTGATGGTTGAGGCGAGCGGAATGGGAATCCCAAGTACAGATCCCCAACGCTGCATGTTTTCTTTGGCAAGGCGAACAAACTGAATTGTGTAGGTTAGTCTTGAGGCTCCCATCGAGGCTGGAGTTGGCATTGTGCAAACATGACCACGTGTGGCTCGATGACTGCCATGGCATCCTCCATCATCATAATTGACATAGAAACACCAGATGCTTACCCGGCCGAGATCCGTCACACTTGACCTATGAAGCGCGGTTCCGTGTCAGTCGAATATATGCGGAACGTGCTCCGAATCAAGCACGACTTGAGCCATACCTTCCGACTTCTACATGGGTCACAGGCTGTCACGACCTTCTGTCGTTTTCGGGCAGGTTTCTGGGGTACAGCCTCGTCAAAAGCACGGGCGAGGTCCATGGGAAGTTGCTTCCAGAGACTCGTTATCTGATAGCGCAGACTTGAAGAAAGCGGCAAAGTGCAGTTCCATGGGAGTAGGGAGAGAAAAGGGAATGCAAAAGCAAGCCTCCTAACTCCCAATGGAGCGAGAAATGATCGTGGTGGGGAATGCTGCGGAGCACCTCGGGGATGAGGAGGAGCCTAGTGAGCCCCAGGGCACTACTCCGTATGTATACATGCAAGGCCATAAGCTTCTACCAACCCCTGGAAAACAGAACAGATACACTTGTAGCCCAGACCAAGTCATGCTGAATCTCTACAATGAGCCAACTTGAACTCAAAAGAGACCCTCTGAGTTTGGGGAAGCCTGGAAAGAGGCGAGGAAGTTGCTTTCTATCTCTCTCTTACCCGCCCGGTGATTATTGTTTTGGAGCACATCTCACGACGCTCAAGGATGTGCTGGAAACTTACGGACGAAGCACAAAATCCGGAAGAGGATAGAGGTGCCCAAGGCCTATTCTATACGCACCACGTTCACAAGCCTTTTTATTTCCCATCCAGAACAGACGTTAACTATACTCCCTTTGCGGCGACTCTCTAGATCCGCGACCTGACAGCGCCCGAGCCAATCACACCAGCCGAGTTGTTATCGAGCCATCTAAGCCAATAAAGGCATGGCTATCCAGGGTGTGGCCGTCGGCAGCGGCTGCCGGTCCCGATGCCTCCCTCCTCTGCAATCATTCGAGGTCTGTTCAAATTTGAGCATGCTGACCCTCAGTTGACGGCGACATCGAGATAAAGTCCTTGCTGTATGCGACACATTCATAGATCAAAATCAAGCATCCTGTTTCCTTCTGAATTCACCTGGGCCAGTGTGTGCTTTCCATGCCTGGAGACGAGGCCCAACAGACAAATCGTCCTATCACAACCAGGTCCACCAACAGTAAGGGCGTCCAAAGGCAGGAAACGACCATATCGAAGCGTAGACAGCCAAAAAGTCGTACCGGTAAGGTGTACCCTGGATTGAGATTGCCATTCGTTCTTGAGGCAAATGCTTTCCGGTTATGATTTAAAGCGACCGATTGCTAACGTCTAGGCTCCGTTATCAGGATGCAATACCTGTAAGGCTAGACGGATGAAATGTGATGGTGAGCGCCAACTTCATGCACTGCTCACTCCAAGCGAGACTGTTCAACCCCAGCTAGGAGGCCATTCAGTCATCGCCTATGATATCTGTTGTTGCATCTAATAAATCTGCTAACTGCTGCTAGAATTAAAACCCTCCTGCTCGCAATGCATAGACCGAGGCGTGGAATGCGGCGGCTACGTCAGAAACCTCAAGTGGAAGCTGGTGGGAGAGCAGTCTAAGAAACGCGGCAAGCTTGGAGGTACGCCCGAATTCCTTTCCACTGATAGTGCGGTATCTTAGCCGTATAATAGTCCGCGTGACTGACCAATTCGCAGAAATTCAACCTCAAGCTTCGGGGACGATGTCCACTGGACAGACACTCAGACCAAGCAACAAGGATACTACCCCAGATGACCAGATTACGACCTCGCCGTTCCAGGCTGAAACGAGTCTATCAGATGGGATCACTAGGGTCAGCAACGCACGGGCACTACAGGCTCATGAAGAGTCTCTATGGCAATCGCTGCCACATGATCAGTTATTCGACTTTGACGACGTTGATTTCAGTGTCGACTTCTTCCTTGGCGATGACACTATCAATCTGAGCGTGCCTACTGATTTGAGTTCCCACGCCAATACTCCATCAAGGCAGTTGCTGGAACGCATTGATAGTCATGTCCCTTCCTCTACGGACGCGACAGATAACGATCCGCGGAAGGAAAAGGCGCCAGATTTGTCCGACTTGATTTTCTCACCTCGTTACCCACCACAAGACTTTCAGGAGCTCGAAAATCACGTTGGTGGCGTACCACATTCTTCTAGGCGGTTGCAAAGTGCAACTCTGCCTGTTTATGGTCTGGTTGGCCAGCACCATCATAACCCTGAAAACGATGATGTCCTCCGGAACCGGCACTTGTCGTTTTCAGACACCCCTCAAGCGGTCAAGCAACTGTTCGACAAGCATCTCTGCAATGTTCTATCTATCAAGGACGACCCAACCACAAATCCATGGGCAATTCATGTATGGCCTTTGGCTGGCAGGTGTCCTGCGCTTTACCATGCTCTTGCAGCGATGACATATTTATACCTGGGCAATGCACATCCGGAGTTCAACGCGGCTGGCTCGAAGAACTTCCACGCCAGTTTGCAGGCTTTCGAACAGGGAGAAGATAATACGAATGCGGCTGTTGAAGCCTTTCTAGCCGGTCGATTGGCCCTTGGCTTCGCAGAAGCTTGGGACGATCAATCAGCGTCTACTGGTATCGAGCATATTAAAATTGCTGGAAGGCTTCTTCGAGATGCTCTCAACAAACACCAGACCACAAGGCAAGTAGGCGACAACCTAGACCGTTTGATCTTCCTCGCACGCACTTGGATGTATAAAGACGTTATGCTTCGCTTTACAGCTTCGGATTACGGCGAGTCTGCTGAGATAGATCTCATGACGGCCTACATTCGGCTTGATCCTTTACCAGTCGAACAGCAGCTCGATCCACTTCTTGGTTGTGCAATCACGTTATTTCCGTTGATTGCGGGCTTAACCGACATCATCCGATCTGTTCGACGAAGAACCGAAAAACATAACTCTCCGTCCACTATCTCAAAAGGCGCAGAGCTATGGACAGCAATCGAGGACTGGAGTCCCTCTTTTGATCCACAGCGTTCAGCAAACGTCCCATCTCACATTTCCGATATCATCCAGACAGCGGAGGCATATCGCTGGGCGGCGCTGTTGCTACTTCGCCACGCTGTCCCAGAGCTTCCATGGGCTCTTTCATTTTGGGAGCTTGCAGAGAAAGTGCTAATCTACCTTGCAACCACGCCTGTTACATCTAGGGCAATGATCATACAGACATTTCCCCTCATGGCAATTGGTGGTGAGGCATTTGATGAAGAAGACCGCAACTGGATATGTCAGAGATGGGATGCCATGGCCAAGCGCGTGCCGCTTTCGAGATTGGACAAGTGCAAGCAGGTCACCAAGGAGGTTTGGCGGAGGAAGGATGAATTTGAAGCACAACGCGGAGCGTGCCCTAGCTGTGGTGCTTACCGGCCGAGGTCGACGGGAATCAGTTCTCCCTTGGACACTTTGCCGGTCACCGACGTTTCTGCTGCGTCGTCCAAGGACTCCGAGGTAGGCAGCCGTCGGTGTCAATGCAGCGCGGTCAAGAGCATCACTGCACCGGCCTCCAATTTTCCGGACTCGTTGGCATTCAGGAAGGGAATCGACAACATCACAAGAGCAGGCAACCTGCACTACACGGTCAGAGGGGAATTGCATTGGTTGAAAGTCATGGAAAACTGGAAATGGGAAGGTGAGTTTTTATGGCATCGCGAGCCATAGTTCATATACACTTATTACGAGCGACGTTGTCACTGACCGTCTACAGTCGTGCTTGGGTGAAGGATGTTGGTCTCGGAGTGAGTGGCATGGACCATTATCCCCAGGGCAGCACCTGATCGGCCGGAGTCGGCGCAAGGCTGCCGGCCGGCGTTGGAGACCCGCAACTTTCACTAACCCAAACTGGAGAAAAAGTGCGGATAGTCGACTTGCGACGCCTTTTGTGAACCCGCTTTACGTCGCAATTCAAGAAGCCCGCGAATGTACTCCCTCAACCAAGGTCATCTTCTGCGTCAACAATGGGACCTGAAACAGGGCTGAAGTATTCGCCAGTTATTACTCCGGGTGTGAATGTTTCGGTTTAGACGACAAGATAGATGAAAACCCCGTTGTCGTTTTGGCTTTGAAGGACCCGTAGAGTCTGCGCGGACAACCAGAGGATCGAGTAGATTTTCAATCGAAGAACAAGATATTCGCATTTGATCAAGCATGGTAATGCTAGCTGGATATGCTACACAGTCCCTAAAACTCCCAGAACACCAGTCGTGCTTCACAGATGGATCCTGAAGAGTCTCCTTTCCAGGCCCAATACAGGGAGCGGCACTCATCCCACGCTGGCAATCCTAAAGTCACTAGAACAATGCATGCAAAAGCTTGAGCTAACAGTTCCGTCGATTGCCCGCTCCCATGGCCTCTCACCACGCCAGGCCCGCTTGGTCAGACTGGCAGCTGAGACCCGAGCAAAGGTCGACATCCTCCTTGCTCACCGCCGCGTCGCCCGGCAGACGCTGCTGAGCCGGCCAGATCTCCCGCCTCTCGGCCTTCTCCTGCGCCACGTGTTCCTTGATCGCCTCACGCGCGCGCTGCTGGAAGTACAATGGGCCCTTCTCGAGCCTCGGGTGCATCTGGCCGTTGACAAAGACCCCGGCGTTGAGGTTCCTCTGGGCGAGCTCGCAGAGGATCTTGTCCTCGGACACGACCTTGGCGTAGAGCTGATGGATGCGCTGGAAGTCCTCCTCGGTCGAGTTCTTGTTCCGGTAGATCTGGTAGTGCATTGACGAGCTCTTCGGCCCGTTGGGCAGGAAGCGCTGCAGCATGATAAAATGCGGTCTTTTGAGTGAGTTTTCAGTTAGCAGGGTGGACTTGACGCTGGCTATTCGCATTAAAGGGGGTCCCACGGACTTACAGAACGGATATGGAAACATTGGGGAAGAAATAGGTGCTGGCAATGGCCATGCCGAGCTTCTTTTGCTCCTCCGTCGGGGTCGACTGGTGCGTGATATAGCCGTCAACGCCGGTCACGTCATGCGTCTCGATGTCTGCCAGTGTTGGGATGTCCGGATGGGCCGTGGGACAGTGGTAGCACTCGTTGAAATTGTCGGCCAGGATTTTCCAGTTGTACGCGCCGTCGAGCTTGTACTCATGGTCGAGGATGTAGTCGTCAAAGTTATACACCATGTAGCGTTCTTGGATGTCGACGCCGTCGAAGTCCTGCTCCCACGGCACTTCGGGGGTCTCGCTGCTGTCGAGATTGACCCAGATAAAACCACAGGCATCGACGCGAACATGGATGGGAAAGAGACCGTTCTGTGCCTTGTCGAAGTCCTCTAGCTCATCATACTTTGGTGCCTTGGCGAGTTTCCCGTCGAGCGCGTATGACCATCCGTGATACTTGCATGCAAAGATCTTCGCTGTGCCCTGCTGGCCTTGCACGACGGGGAATGCGCGGTGACGGCAAACGTTGTGGAATCCATTGATTTCTCCCTTTCGATCCCGGCACAGGACAAACTCGTAGCCCGCAATGTCGAACTTCAGGTAGTCACCCGACTGACCAAGTCTCGTCCTATGCGTGATGAGCATCCATCGTTTGGAGAAGATGGCTCGTCTTTCGAGCTGGTACATCTCTTCAGACGTGTACCAGCTTGCTGGAAGGGCACGGACGGTGCTCTTGGATTCATCCTTAGCCACAAGTGCCTGACGGTTGAAACCTAGGTAGTCTAAGATAGCCATAGTGGAGGGTGATTGTGTGATCCGAGTTCGATATACGAAGTGCGTTTAAGCTTCGAGGGTAGGCCTTCTGGTCAGTGCTAGTTTGTGAATGCTTGTAGTCGAGCTGGGAATATGATATGTTAGTATTTATCATTCATATTGTGGCGCGAGATGGGCAGCCAATATGTCCTAATTGCCGAATTAGGACGTTTCTTGAGTTGTCACTCGTCACTGATTGAGCGTTTGGACTTTTTGGCGCGATTGGGTAACCGTCCAAATCCCAGTGGCGCGTGCCAAAGGCCAGAACGCGCTCCCCATGGGGTCTTTTATCCCAAATTCAGTAAGGCTTGCTGTCCCGACCAGATTTGCAGATAGATTAGATCAATCGGCAACAAAGTCTCCTCCCAGTCAATCGCACGATTCAGAATCTGTAATTAGTTTTGAAACCCCTTATCTGCCTCTCATTGAGTGTGAAACGCTCCTCCATCCGAGTCGAGCTCTTGTCCTCGGAAGAGGGTCGGTCATACCGGCAACTATAGGGGACCATATGGCCACGGTCATTACCGTCCCAAACAAAGGGAAGGATTTGAAAGCCAGACGCTGGCACAAAAATATGGAGAGAAACAACAGCTGTCAAGGACCACGTACCAACTATCGCCAGCATACGTCGGTATGCTTCCTCCAGAAGCTGTATCAGGATCGTGGGGAGACTGGAAGACTCAACGACGGAGTATCTCTGACCGAGCTCGGGGCGGCATTAAGCTCGCTTTAATCCGGACCGAGACGCGAGCATTTTTCCTTCAGTTGACATCAGTGTTTCGTCGACCAACGGCTGAGTACATATACCTAAGTACCTACCCAGGCAGTCGACGGACACCAGAAGACGCGTTTGATTGACCTGGAGATCGACTACCTTCTACCTCTCACCTACTCACTCCCAGATTTCTTCAGGAAGACTCCGACTCCCTTCGATGGTATGCCTCGATTGAACCCTCCACTCTACGTCTTTCCCGGTTCCTCCGCGCCTGCGACCACGACTACACGTCCACTCTCTCGCTGCGTAGCCTTTTCATCCTACCGCCGTAGCATTACCACAGCCAGAGCTCCTCCATTCCCTATTGTCGAGACATGCCCCGAACCAACATGTCCGTGCCGATCTACTCCAAAGCTCGATCTCGAAATCGATAGAACGAAGAACCTCAATGGCTCGATGTCCCCCTATGCACAGCACCTCCTTATCTCCACGGGTCAGTCGGACTGGACCTCCAGGATAGAAGATGAACACAATAATGGCACTTCGTGGGGCAAGGTGATTGGGGATGTCAAAGCGTTGTTGGGAAGGCACGGGCAGTTCCACGATGTAAGTCACCTTCGAAATCGGTGTCTTTTTTGTTTCTGTCCCTGCAGAGAAAAGGACCTGGGAAAGAGGAAGACGTGCTCTGGGGCAGATGTGCCGTCGTGTAGAAAGGACGGGCTAAGACGAGATCTGGCTGACTTACACAAGGATTGGGATTTAGCCCTTCAACAACATTCTCGTTAACACTTCGTCCTTCGCACCCGGGCAGGAATCGGGGCAAAGACAAGATCAAAGCAATAAAAGGGTCGATGGTGTGGAGGCCCTTGTTTTCCCATCGTTTCGGCGCTTTAGACACTTGGTGCCTCTCACCGAGGGCAGAGACACGACAACGAACTCGTCCTCACATTCCTCCGCGGACTCTCGCTCGGGCACACTGAGGGATTTCGTCCGCGGATACCTCCTCCCAGAGCCCAACAGACTACACCCCATCTACAAAGACATCCCTGACCATGAGCGGGCAGCGAAAACGCGAGATGCCGCTGCCGCCACGAAGTTCCACAGCTGGCCAATCACGAATCCAACTATATTGATTTGCAGCCACCATCAAAGGGACAGCCGATGTGGAATATTAGGCCCGTTGTTACATGACGAATTCAGAAGATACGTCAATCAGCGGAAGCCGGACGAAAACGGCGTAAAGCTCGTCACTCCGCGGTCTCCTGGAGATTTTGTTGCCTCCGAGGACGGTGGCTCAGGTGGATCGGAACCTGCAAGACAAGAGGGCATCCTGGAATCACAGGTTCAGTCATCGGACAGCACCGCTATGTCCTCCATCTCCAACACCGGTGCTTCGCCGTCCAATTCCAAGCAAGCCCACGTTAATGTGGGCATGATATCCCACGTGGGAGGACATAAATGGGCAGGGAATGTCATCGTATACATCCCTCCGACTTTTACCACTGCCCGCTGTAAAACGTCTGATAATCAACCTCCGCCATCTGACATGTCTCAACGGGCTTCTGGCGTGCCACCACCACATCCGCTCCGAGGTATGGGAATCTGGTATGGCCGAGTGGAGCCGAAACACGTAGAAGGGATTATTGAGCAGACAGTTGTGGGGGGGAAAGTGATAGAAGAGTTATTTCGAGGCGGGATCAGTGCGACTGGGGAGATATTGAGGTTGTGAAGATCAACAGACATCCATTCACCCACTCTTCATCCGGCCGCGGTCCTCAAACGCCGCCGTTCATAGAGTAGCCCCATCAGATGGAAAGCACAAAGATGTTGAACTAGATACAGACACAGACAGGTATTGCGGAACCCAATTTTCGGCATTGCCAGCGACAACGGAGAAAATCAGCAGCCTATCAGTCTGAATGCCATCATTAGTCCCAACGCATTAGTGGCTTCCATCAATCCCCAAGCCAGGGGTTCTAATTCATCTCCCGTTCCATGTCTACGTATGGAAATTGGACACAGCACGGCCAACGGCGGCAACGGCAATTGCGCGAGTTGAGACTACGTTTTGATTTGGCGGGCAAGTCATTAAACACAGCGACTCCCTCTGGTGGTAAGGAGACGCGTACATGGACCATCGCAAGGCTTGACCTGCCTGGAAGGAGACAAGGGGTTGGGAACCGATCTCTGTAGTTGACGCAACGGGGAGGAGGTTGACTGGCAACCCACCAGATGACTCAACGGCCGAATTGCGTATTAGGACCTGCATGGATGTTCTCTCCTGGGGAACAGGTCTTTAAAGGTTTCTATATTGATTCTCTTTTTTCTTCTAACCACCGGTGCTTAAGCTACATCTGGGCCTGCAAAAAACCTGAGTGGTCTCACGGCTAGTGCATTCTCGAGATCAGCATTTTCCCTTCCTTTTTCCTTTTTTTCCTCCTCCGTCGATGCCACCCTGTATCCTTGTCCGCGCCGACCTCGTACAACGCCACCATGCTCGGGGAAGATGGTGGTTGGTTTAGGAGTAGACTCCTTTGCCTTCTCATCGGAGCTAGACCATGGCCGGGACAATTGTCGTGTGGGGGAATCCATGCTTCAGTTGCGGTCCTACTTCACCTCGTAGACCCGGTCCGGATCGAACACGGTGGCCTGGGCAAAGTAGTAGCCGCGCTGGTTGCTGACCAGTCTCTTCTTGGTGGCCGGGTCCTCGAGGTTGCAGTTGAAATGCGTGTGGCCGAACGCCCAGAGCTTCACGCTCGGGTTGACCCAGCACTCCTCCCTAGACAGGTCGGTGGAGAAGCTGGAGGAGATGGGGCTGGCCTTGTGCGCCGGGTCAGAAGTGCCCTCGGCCGTGCTCGGGCTGTGGTGGGTGAAGACGACGATTTTGCGGTGCGGCTCGCGCGCCGAGATGTCGGCCACCTGGGCGTTGAGCTACTCCAGGTCCGCCTTGTGCGCGGCGCAGTGGGCCTCGACCGTCCAGTCCTCGATGTGGTAGAAGTCGTTGAGGCCGAAGCTCACGCGGTCGTGCTGCGAGGAGAGCACCTGCGAGTACAGCGTGCAGCCCAGGATCGTGACCTCGGAGGACAGGTCGTACCGGGTCTGGTCGAGGAAGACCAACTTGCCTAGCCGGCCGTCGTCGCCCTTCTTGGCCGACCGTCGCTGGTCGATCTTGTCGGAGAAGTCCTGGATCTGCGCCCTGACCTTTGCGAAGCTGGAGTGGTACGGTTCGTGGTTGCCGAGCAGGAAGAAGACGTGCTCAAACTTCTTGAGCTGTACTTCGAGGAATGGAAAGAATCCCTTGTCCTTGATGTTGCCGATGTCGCCGAGAAGAGCGAGGCACGAAGACTTGGGGGTGATCGAGAAGACATCATAAGCGGACGGTGCCTCCAAGTGCAAATCGGACATGATCTGGAATCGCACCATGGTGAGTGGAATGCCCTCAAGCACAAACTAGGAAGGCTCAAGGATCTTGGTCACTGCGACACAGGTTAAGGAGTGCCTGAAGTGTTCGAACACAAGGGGACCTGGGCCTATTTGAGGTGAATCGTACGGGTCAAGGCAGCGGAATGCCACAATGCCCGATCAACCAATGTGAATGTTGGGCAGTGTGAATGGCATGCTATGCTTCGGGAGAGGACAATGCGCAGCGCCTGCTTCTGGCTGGCACTTGAAGAATGTGGACCGGAATCCGCCCAGCAGAAAAGAAGCAACATTCGCCTGTTCACCAGACCCATTGTGTGTCGAGAATGCGGAGTCGAGAGGATATCGAGGATCGAGGCAAACAAAGTGAATCCCTACCGTCAACGTCGACCGTCCTTTCTCTCAGAACTTCCGTTTGCAGCGGGAGTTTGTTGACATTCTCTCCGTGCCGGATGCGTCCGTCTTCTCAGGTGGAATACGGAGCAACAATGCATGGACGCTTGTCAACACGAAACGAAACATCAAGTGCGAGGAGAGAAGAGGCAAAGAGGCGAACCCAGAACGTATGCAGAGTGGGAAGAGTAGGATGAATGCGCCCTCTCACTTTGTCGCTTAGAGGGGCGCTTCTCAGAGCCAAGCTGCCCGATCAAGGTTGCTTGGGGTCAGAATTCTTCTCGCGTATCCTAAGCTGTTGCCCATGGCAACCGTGGCGAGGGGTGCGTAGAGGGGCTACACAAATCCATACCAAAAAGTCCAATCTCAACGGCGTACTTGAGGTACTTCTCGCTCCTCCGGCCTGTAAACTGGAGCCGGATGCCAGGAAATGAGGTGAAGCAGCGGATTGAAGCGACATCATTCACTTGTTCCGAGCATAAATGCATGATCAATGGCTGGGCAGGATTGAGTGCACGGGCGTCGCTTTGACGGCGTCCCTCTGCTTCCTCGGACAAGCCTCCGTGGTACCGCTAGTCATCCATCGCCAGGGAATGGGTTAGTGACTGAACCAGCATACAGCGATGCGAGGGTGCATATGAGAGCAACGTTGTGCTATGCCAGGTCTTATGGACAAATCGAGAAAATGGAGAGACTCCCAGGGAGATAAGGTCCGCTCTTCATCCTCATCACACCTCGAAACCAAATGCGAGGCAGTTGGTGATAGAGGCTCAGTTAGAGGCGAGACAGCGAGCGCTTCCTCTTCGCTGACAGCTCAATTGCTTCAGAGTTTATCCGTGTCAAAGATGCCAGACCTGAGACAATCCAACAACTGGTTTTTCCTTGCCTTCCTTGAAGACGCCTGTCCAAAGATCTTGAGAGATTCATGCATGTCCTCGGCCCAGGCCAGGGTCGGGCTTCCCAATCATCTTGAACCAGACATCATAGTCCTCAAGCCCGTTGATGCGTGCAGCTTCCTTCAAGATATCTGCAACCTCGGTATCGTCAAAGCCTTCGATCGTGGGGCAGCCCTCGGCCACAGACTCTACATCTTCTTGCGACTCGTCTTCTTCAGCCTCGTCTCCTTCTGCTGCACTTGACGTAGATTCTGTCTCAGTATCTCCATCATCTCTCTGAGAGCTGGTCTCGCCGTCGAGCTCATCGTACCTATCGCTCTGCGCGTCCTCGAATTCCCGCTCAACCTTCACCCCTATCTCGCGTAACGTTGCCAGATCTGCTCCACTCAGTCGAGGCGTCTCCCTTAGGATCTTCTTCATCCTAGGTCGCCACACCTCCCACAAGAACTGCTCCGGTGTGTAGTCTGACGCGTTCAAGAGATCTGTGAGTTCTGCCATTAGACTCTCGTGGAGGGATATCAATCCTCGTTCTTCATCCTGAATTTCTCGAACTTCTTCGTCCGTGGGGATAGAGAAGGGACAATCTTTGCACCACTGTGTGTTCCTCTATTTGCAAGAATGCCGACAACATGTGTGTGTCAATCCCAGCGCTTCGAATGTCCACAACCTAATCATCTTCAGGTGCAGCGGGTCGCTATGACAAGACCGGCACCAGCTCAAACGTTCCTGGAACTCTCTCCAAAACCAAGGTCCCCTCCGGTACCGAAGTCGGCCTAGGATGTTCATTCCAGGCACGCATCCTTGCTCGGAACAAGCGCAACGACACCCATCAGTGGCATTAGACATCAAAATTGCTGGTACTAGGACTTCGAACTGGCGTGGCAAATTCGTACGTGTCCACCAGCAGTCCCACTGTTTGTAAGCAATACGAGCAGCCAGAGAATGGATAGCCTTTAATCCAGGCGGTCTCTGATGTTCTCCAGAATTATGGCAGTTCTCTGGTCGGCACTTCGGAAATTTACATAGCAGATCCGCGCCCTGCTTGTAAAGCCATTGGACAAGAAGGACCATAGGGTAGGCAGATGAATATGAACGAGGATCCAAGGCCATAAGAGGCGTGTAGCCTTCGCAATTCTTTCCATCAATGTCCAGGAAGCCGGCCTCATACAGTTTCTGGGCGACGTCCGCAGTGAGTCCACTGCCGTGGTACATCGTGGTCTGGTCCTTGGAGACAGCAAATGCTGGTGAAATATCAACCCCGGCATCTTGAAGGTCTGAGGCGACATTGGAGGCTTGCTCATCCAAAATCCTCACGGGATTAGTGCATCCTGGGCGCCAGCGGCATTGCGGTAGATGTGCTTCTGCAAGGGTTTGCAGTCTGCATCTTCTGAGGACGAGCCCCTCAATGATTCCAACTACCCCAGCAGGGTCATGCCGCAGTGTTGTAGACAAAAATGAATTGCATGGCCACACGTGGTCGCGAGTGCTGCTGCCTGCGGCCAAAAGAACCTTTGCTGCAAAAATTGATAAATTTGTGATTGCGGCGTCCAACGGTGTTTGCCCGAATTCATCCCTTTGATTAACTATTAGTGCAGCTCCTCCATGTTTGAGAAGGAGCAGAAGTCCTAGAGGCCAATTGAGTGAAACATGCAGAGGCGAGTGACCCCAGTCATTTACCTCATGTAAAAGACTTGGCTGACTGTGCAGAAGACGAACGACCTCTGATGAATTCTGGCGCAAAATAGCTGTGGCTAGAGGATTGTTTGCGAAGACTGAGAGTTTAGTGGAAGGTCAAGTTTCCTCTAAGAGCAACCTACCGTGGTGCCAATGTGCATGCTTAGACAAACTGGTCCATTTATACGTCAGGCCTTCAGGAGTCGACTCAAGGGCTCCAGTCTGTATCAGATCCTCTGCCAGCAATCCAAGTCTAGTGTCGCATTCTATCGAAGCTTTCTCGATCCAGCTGAATACAATATATCAGAGGGAGTTTACGATTTCAAAAACCAAAAGCCTACCCTGCGAAATACCAAGTATTGCTTTTTGCACCATTACCGGCGAGGAAATAGATCAGGCGACAGAGCGCTGCGACAGTCTCATCTAATGTTTTTTGGATTCAGCAAATTCACGATGTTACACGTTATGAGGTAAAATGCATGAGCCTCCAGGGAGTGCCATAGTATGATTCAGTCCTGCACTAATTCTGATAGGTAAGGAGGTGCTATACAGACCTGAATGCCGTATGTAGTATAAGCTTCGGACAGTAAAGATTGCATACTAGGTGGTTTGTCAGCGAAAATTCAACGTAGAAGCTGATATCAGTCGCACCTGGAGAAGACTATAGCCGTCGTGATTTACTTCTTTGGGATGTGCTTTTCGCTGCTCAAAGAGCTGCATCATTTTACCAGGTATTTCTCGAAGATGGTCCTGCTTTGGCGTTTCGGTAAATCCAATGAGTGAGCTAAGCAACCGAAAGGCGGGGCAATACATGTGCGAGACGACAGGTATCCAGTCTATGGTTGTGGCGATGGAATTTCCGCCCGCTCCACTCTTCAAATCGATCATAACTCGAAGGCTGTGGGCAACCAGCATAGAGAAATAGGAAAGCTTTAACTGTAGTCTTCTTTTTTTCCTGCTCTTGATATGGAAGGGACAGTGCTCATGATGCTCGGAAATTTCGACATAACGAAAAGAAAAGGGTTGTTTCCACATTGTGTGACGAGGCTCGAGACGGTGACATCGACAAGGCGACGAGTGCTCAAATGAGGTTGCTGCCTGTTGGGCACTGATTGAGTTGCTCGAGGCTTCGTCGCACAGCTTCTGCATCAAGCTAGGCTTGGATATGAGCTGTCGTTGAAGTGTACCGGTATTGGATTTCTTCTGGCTGTTAGCACTGAAGTTGTAGTCATGTAGTAACGGGTCTGCTCATTACCAGCTGCTGCACGGCAGGAATTGATGCGTTAGAGCTAATTTGCATCTGGTCCAACTGTTCGGCTCGGCTGTCGAATCGTCGCATCATCATTTGAACCCCAGGGTCAAGAGTGGCCCTTAAAGCGCCTAGCTCCCCCTGTAGGGTTGACAAACCGGACTGCAGAGAGGCAAGATTGTGGGTAGTATTTTGAATACCAGAGGCTATGACACTGGAAGTGGATACGATGGTATCCAGCTTGGTGTTGACGATGCCCTGAGCGCTTGTCAAGGTGGCGGACGCCTCTCTGTAGGAGTCAGCTGCGGTTGCGCTTAGATATAAAGGAAGCCATATGCCTACAAATTGGCAATAGAAAGAATCGTGTCCAGATTTTGTTGAAGTCCATCAACTGTACTAGACAAGTCCACTAAGGCATCCTTTTTGAATGGAAAGAAAGCTTTCTGTGCCAGGGATCGACATTTATCGTGTGTAAGCAAATTCCCATGTGTTCGCTGCAGATCAGCGAGCTTAGCTTGGAGAATTAAGATATGCGAATGACATTCGCCGATTGAACGCTCAATCCGGACTGCTGTGTTGGGTGTCTGTCGCCTTAACGTGGGCAGAGTTTGTTGGAGGATGCTGAGGCAGTCTTTGAGACTTTCGGCTCGCAGGGTGAGTCTGTCAAGATATTTATCTTGGCCTTTCAGGACCGAAAGGTAGGAGATTAGGCCCTGACATACTGACAAGTCAAGCGATATGACGCCCACTGCACTGCCTGCTATAGAGAAGGGGTCAGACATGGCAGAGTTGCGCTATCATGGCATTGAAGTGGGCAGATGTTCCAAAGAAACGAATAGTTCCAGGTTAGAATGGTGAGGCTGAAGGCTCCAGCTGCAAATAGCCCCCTCCCATGTTGGGCGCGGAGAGCCTGCCCCTGATTGGAAGCAGGAGCTGCGCGCCTCATTGGTGGTGGTGTCGCGGGTTCTCTTGTGTATGCAAGGGAGCTGAGGTTGTAGGAACAACATTGTCTTGAATCAATCAACCTCACATTCTGAGATTCAATGTTTGTATGCTCGTCCGAAGGACACTTCTGCATCAATAGTCTACACGTAGTGGTTTCAAGTTTGAAGACGACAGAAGAAAAGTACGTGACTTGCACAAACACACGTGACGGCCAAGACTTGTGCTGACATAATACCTCTTGGACTGTCGTTATTGGCCGCTCGGCTCGGCTGCTTTTCAACTCCGGGAAGGGTGTTAGCGCCTGCTAGTGCGCGTCTCGCCGTATTTGTAGCAGTCAGGAATACCAAGCATCCGACCGTGGCGCCAGGCCCCCAGCCAGTCATGGGCCCCGTATCACCCCGTCACCCAACTACGCAGCGCTGATCTATTCTTGCGCCTTGCACAAAATATACATCCGGCCACATCCGCAACACGCCCAAAGAGGAATCTCCCACACCATCCCTCTCACCGTGTGCTCTTCCCTTAACTCCTGCCTCCGATTCTCCTGCTGCCTTGTTATAGTCCTCACCGTCCTCTTGACCTGGCTATCTAATCTCCCCTTGCTGATTCCTCAATCGTATCAGATTGCACCACCACAGCCATGTACATCACGCCTGCGCTGGTCGCCGCCTGTCTCACCCTGGAGGCGTCCGCCTTCCTGGTACCTCTCGAGGTTGCAACGGCGGCGAAGCAGGCAAAGTCGGAACTCGCCTCGCTCCTCGCGACCACTGGTCATACCGTCGACCTTGACTGCCCGGGATGTCCATACTTTGGCACTGAAGACACGGCCGGACTGCAAGGAGATGTTGAGAACAAGATCGTAAGCACGTGCCCATTTTCAAAGAGCAAGACGACCATGCTGACGGCGACCTCTTGATAGCATCTCGAATTCGAGATCGACTCGCAGCTCGGTCTGACCATAAATGACCTCCCTATCTTCTCCTCCGATCCCAATACCGCCTCCATTCCCTACATCATCTCAGCCCCTCAGATCAGAGTAGAAGACGGTCAACAAACCGACCCTGTCCAGCTGGACTTTGCGTGGGAGAGGTTAACACCCATCACGTCCACCGAAGAACCCGACAAGCGTATCCACCCTATTCGGTTTACGATCCTCGGTCTTCAAGGCTACCCTGTAAAGGTCGACACCATCGCCATCGATCTCCTCCAGACCCCCGATCAAACCTCCATTGCCCGCATAACCACAATCCCTTTCGAGGACACACCCGGCGCCACAACTTGCGACACGACCTCAAGATGGTCTCTTTGCCGTCTACGGGCCATTATCGCCGCCCGTCTTCAAGCCATCATGGAAGCGGCCAAAGCACGTGCCTCTACAGCGACCAAGGGCTGGATGAGCGATGGTAGCAAGGGCTGCCGTGGCCGCAAGGGTCCCAAAACTTTCGGTTCTAAGCATGCTGAAGGTCCTCGTCACGGCCACCACAAGGGCGGTCCTCATCATCACGGTCACCATCGTCATCACCGCTTCCACCGCTTTGGCCACATGCTGCACCAAACGCTACGTTTCTTTGTTATCCCCGCTCTCCTGGGAGTTATTGGTGGTCTCATGGCCAGTGCCATTGGTATGCTCGTCGGCCAGATGATTTCCTACCTGTGGATCAGATTCCACCGCAATGGCCAACGCGGTACCGCAAGCCATGATATTCGCGTCATTGAGATTGTGGTTGATGAGGAAGAGAAGGATGCCTTGATCATGAGCTCGCAGATCGACAGCGAACTCCCTCCCCCGCCAGAATATAAGGATGTCGAAGCTGGTGCGCAGGAGAAAATATAGTAAATTCAATTACCGCCAACAAAAACGCCCTCGACCAGAACCGGACCCATGATCAAAATTGGGGATGAGTTGGAAATAATCAAAGGGGAAGCGCAAGACGGACAAACAAAACCCACAAATATACATTTTATGAGATACCCCAGAGCATTGCAGGTGTTTTTGATCGAGCGTTAAGAGGAGGATCACTGCGCGGGATTACAATCGAGATTGTCCCCAACATTACATACGAGGATTTTGTCTGGTGTCGGTCCTCGAGGAGGTTGATCGCCAATGTATATGACGAGATTCCGATCCTTCTTACACGCAGCCCCGTGCACCACGCACCACGGCCATCTCGGGTGGATGGCGGATGCATTAATTCTTTACCCGACCGCAATGACGTCTCGGGATTTGGATGAGTGCGCGGCGTTTATCACTCTGGGATGGGGGGAGCAGATCATCGGATAAGATAGGATAGGATACAGGATAGGCTATGATATAGGATTGGAGACTGTACTATTATATACCATACCGAGTACCTATACTTTGACATATCCAGCCAATGAGCCCACCGCTATGAGAAGCTTACGACGTGTTGCGAGCGACATAGTTATCTAGGCCATACATTTTAAGGTTGGCCTTGTTCGAGTTCGAGTTCGAGTTCTAGCTCTTCGATTGAGTGTAACGGGGTATCTGCGATCTAGCTCTATGTGTCTCTTTATCTATTTGTGTAGGTATGTGCACGTGGGTCAACGTCCGTCCCCTGGCTCCATCACTCATATGTGCCAGCGAACAAGGCATAACTTGCCGTCTTGCCCTGGAGATATCCCAGTACCAGATCTCTCACCCGTGTCTTCCGGTTCCTCTTTCAAGCAGAGCCCGTAACCCCATGTTCTCGGTTCATTTTTCTCGTGCTTTGGTGGAAGAGCCGCTGCTCTGTGGCGAACCGACGAGGGTGTTGCGTTCAGCTTGAATTGACATTGACATTGAGAGGCTGGCTACAGACCGCGACCGTCATTCGAGGAGTCAATCACCTGTACTCTGTCCCGGCACCTCGCGAATTGGACATCCTCAACCCGTCTTTTCTCACCTGGCGCATCCAGGTCCATGGGCTTGTGTCCTCGAGGACCAGCTTAGGCCCTGAGATTCAAGCGGTCGCGTATACCTCGTGCTCCATATGGTTCCTTACCCGTTTTGCGCGGACCGTCGTGACAGGAACGTGACACATGTTTTCCCTTTCTTTATGATCCAGAAGGTGTCAGGACAGGCCTTCAGTACCCTCTTGGGTCCCATACTCCACCTAACAACACCTCTAGAACCCTGAGCTGCAGGATCTCCAACTGTTGCTTGACGGATGGTAGCAGACCCCAGTACGTTGGGCCAGTGTATATCTGTTGCAGCCGCAAGCTACGCTGTCGGGCCTTTTTGGCGCGCTCGTCGATCTCATCTGCCGTAGGACCGAAATTTCTTTGTGGGCGTAGGAGCTGAGAGGAACGCAAGGATGTGGCGTTGGGCTTTTCGCATGTGTAAATCAGCGTACTCGGACAGGAGCAGACGCAGTGTTTGTTCCCGTATAGCTCTAGAGAGGGCAAGGCTCCTGGGACCGGTCCGGCGGCGCTCGGGATGGTGCTATTTTGTTCAGAACCTGATGTACGGATCGGAATTCTGAGAGATCGTGTTGGGGGGAGAGGGGATGGTAGGGCCAGAAAAACAGTCATTGTTTCCGTCTTGAATTTTGTAAGCGTGGTGGCCGAGGCTCCCATCACAGTCTGAGTCTTGGTTTCCGTCTCTATGTGTATCCGGGTCCGTGTCCGCATGTATGTCTTGGTGAGAAATTCTGTCAGAGTTTCTGTTTCAGTGGATGTCAACATCCAGGGTGCCGTTGGCCAAGCTGTTGCCTCTTCTGTCTTCGCCCCCATTTCGGGCTGTTCTAGATAAGCCTCGGGCGGAAACCCCTCCATGACCGATAAATAAGGTGGACAAGTGCGTATTGATGTAGACGAGCCTAGAGATTTGAGTGGCTCTTCGCCAAAGAGCCGTGGGGTCTTGAGCAGCAACATGTTCGTATAGCATGCCACCAGCACTAGAGAGCAAAGGATAATGATTGCTGGAATCGTAAGAGCCTTCACTATGGCTATCCGTCCGAGTGAGGATATCAGCCATCGATTCCCTGGAACTGCGGCCATTTTGGAAGGGGAGGCTGAAGACGCAGGTTCTTGCACAGGTATCTTGCTAATGTTGTCGAATCCAGTTCTTGATCCTCCTCCTTCGATTTTTTTTACGATTTCATACCTCGCCGAGGTAAAATATGCCCACACATGGTAAAGAGGTATCGGTGATAGGCTTGCACTCTGTATGGGCTCAAGGTTCTGAATCGAGAATGTCGTGGAGGAAGTACCGCCTAGCCGTCTCCTCAACCCGGGGCTGGGAGGATATTCGATGGCGCTGCTAGTACCAGTTCCATCCTCGACAGGTCGAACAGAGCTGGAGCCCGGTCGCCTAGACGGCGAAATTGAGGTCTGTGCTTTCGATGCAGGTGGTGATGCGGCGGCGGGTACTTCCTGCACTGTGCCTATTGAACCAGGTCGCAGGGTGCCCTCTTGTGTAAGATCGCCCTCATCTGTGACGTTGTCGTGTGACTCGAGCATCGGCATAGATTCGTTACCATTGGGGGACTTCTTCAGAGCGTGTAGTCCGCTAGAGTCTGCGTCAACTTGAGAAAGGGGAACCTGCATGATTTCTTCCGGTGCTTGCTCGACCGAATCTTGGTTTGCAAAACCTTTGATGCTCAAAGTATTAGCTGCCATGCCTGAGAGCGCACTTTTCGGTGCGGAAATCATTCCAACCGCGACTGTGATGGGTTCAGGCTCGAAGACTGCTTGATTTCTAGAATTGTCCCATACAATGCGCAGCGGAGTCGTAGATTGCAATGCCTCACGAAGCTTCGCATGCTCTTCCTGTGTAATCGGCAGGGACAAGGAACGACTTGTAACGGTTCTTCCTTCAGTTGCCCCATCAGCCTCGAAGGTGGTCGTCGACCGTCGTCCATGGTTTGCCCGAGTGGGTTCGTCTTGATGTTCTCCACCGGGAACCGATGAATTGCGTAACAATGATGTCTTTCTGTGCCTACCTTTCCTGAAAGAAGGATAGGACTGCCGACGAACTGAAGCACCTGGCCCCTTATGATGAGAAGGAGTCGGATCTAGGCGAAATGAAACCCTTTTGGATGCTGACGGTGGAAAGTGTGAAGCTGTAAGGGCATGTCGGGCATGTCGAGCCTGACGGACCGTTCCTGAAGCAGGTGGGCTTGTCGCACCGCAAACGCAGGTGTGCGATTTCTGGAAAGCGATCTCGCTGATGAAGCTCAGGCGCGCAGATGAGGCCAGTGACTGGCTGGTCACACTTTGGGGCCGGGAAGAGATGAAATCACCGAGATTCTCTTGTTGTTCGGACGTTGTTCGAACAGAATCGCCGGTGGTTGAAGGTCTTCGCTTCCTGAAGCTCAGGAAATGTTCGTCTTCGAGCCGGAACTGTTCCATATCTTTCTGCGCCTGTTGTTTCTGTGCTTCCTGGATCCACACGAAGGTTCGTTTAATTTGCTCATGCAACTTCTTGCACTCTTCTTCACTTTTCCTTTGTGCTTTTTCAGACTGCCTTTTTGACCCGCGAAGCTTCTGCACTTCGTCGGATAGTGAGCTGACCTCAGTTTTCTTTTGTTCGAGTTCGCCGTATAGATTACCTAACTCCCACTCTGCCTTGTTTCGCTGGTGTTTTTCATCATGGAGCAGCCGAAGACTTGCATTCTCTCGCTCCAGCGCCTGAACTTGTGTTTCCGATTCGGCTAGCTCTTTGTCGATATGTTCCTTTGACCTCCTGATTTCCACGACTTCTTGTCGGCGACTTTCAGCAAGCTGCTCCGCTGCGATCTGATTTTCCCGGCAGGCCTCGATCTCGCGTTGTTGCAATTCACAATATACCTCTAGTGCCTTTAGCTGCCTCTCAAGTGCGGCGTTGTCGATGTGAAGCTTTTCTAGCTCGAGCAAGGTGCTGGAATCGCGGGGCCACGTGGATCCCTTGTTATTGTCATGTCCGTTGTGATGTTGTGCTTGCACGTTCTCGTCAACGGAAAAATCGTTCGGTGGAACATTGGTAAGCCCTCGCAAAGGCTCTGATTTGTCGCTGAGTCCTCCGACAAACTGATTCTGTGGGACCACATTTTGTGGGATAGAGATTATGGGTTGCGAATTGGCTTGTTTATTCCAGTCCGCATCGTCGCTTTCGCGACCACTGCTTAGAGAAGCGTTACTGCCGGGACTGTAGCCAGCTGAGCGTCGACTTGCTGCTGATGCTGGTCTTTGGACTCTGGGCGGCGTTGTGAGGATACCCAGACCTACATCTGAGTACGGTTGAAGATCTTCGTTTCCACTGGGAGTAACCGGCCTCTGATGGTTGTCGTCTCGATCAGATCCAGAAAGATCGCGAGGTGAATCCATTGTCAAACGAGCAAAGTCCACTTGATTCTTTGAGTAACCGGTGACCGTGCAGTCATCTCTCATGCAAAAGAGCACAAATTCGATGGTGGCCTCGGCCGTGTCATGAAGTTCGAGGGTCGTCAACCCTCGGTGTACAAGGAACGAGTAGGACGATCCGTTGTTCTCGAGAACAAAGAAAGCTGAATGCCGAAATGGGCGAAGAAAGAATAGAATGAGCTCAGAATAAGCTGAGGGTGATAAGAGAGATGGAGAAGAGTCTTCCGTTTTCGGAAATCAATGGGCGAAGAGACAAGTGAAATTTCCGAACAAAAGAATTCTATGGCCACGCACAAGCCAGGCCACATTCCACCGAGAGGACCGTCATAACGACCTGATAAAAGTTAAGGCAGTGCTCTAGTTCAGCACCATGTCTTCGACCGTTTAAAAGGCGACTAGCTGCGCCTGTTCCCTAAGCAAGAGACAAAATATGATGGTCTGGGAAAATCAGGCTCACCATCAAGAACTTGCAGAACGGGCGGGTTGGGTCCTGTCTCGAGCAGTCTCTTCAATCGCAGATGAGATGACTTGTCACTGCCGTTGGCCTTTCAGAGAGTCGATCCTGACCTTAGTCGCATCACCTTAATTCTGTCTCTCCTCCTAGAGTTTGTGCAGAGACTTCACGCCTGTCGTACCAAAGGTGTATCGCCCTGCACAGACATTCCTTTTGGCGATCCAGTCCAGTCTTGCTGCAGGGCTGTGCTTTGGTGGGCGAACATCCATCGGCGGCGATGCCAGCGACTTGAAGGGGTTCTTTGTGTGTCACCTTGCCTTCGAGCTTCAGCCTGCCTTTTCACCTGCAGATGGGCCATCTCTGAGAACATCAACCGGAGGTACGGCTCCCTCTCTATAGTTCTTGCCATCGACTTGGAAAAGCTTTTGCTTTCCGTTGCCATCAACGACCAAAGCCGTAAGTTTACCCCCGTTGACACAGCCGCTGTCGAGCCCTTTTGTGTATTTATGGATTTGCAAGCCTGCTTTGGCGTCGTGGCCATAAATGACTGTCATGTGTTTTCCATGTCCTCGACCTTTCTCCCCTTTCAGACCCCCGAAGCGCTGCCGGATGGAAAGCAGCTGTTGGTATCTGTTCCACAATCTGTACCAAGCAATACTTCCTTTTTGCTTGTGCTTCTTTGACGGTATACGCGTAGCAAGATCGATAATGCGCATATTCATGGCCGAAACAGGGTCCTGGGATTCCAAAGGGAGCCCCGGAATGAGTCCACCGTGAACTACCACGGCATCTCCATTGAATGCTTTCAATGGCCCTAGGCGGAGAATGACAGGGCAGGATCGCAGGTATTCCAGATGCTTCGCCTTCAGCGACCTTGCCAACTTCTGCACAGGATCACCTGCTTTTGTAGACGTGTCAATTGAATCTAGTTCTGCGACCGGGTCCGCGCCTGTCTCGGACGCTCTTGATCGGAGTTTTTGCGCAACCAACAGAAGGCGGTCATCATGGTTCCCACGCACGCATGAAGCATTGTAACGTCGCAATAGATCAATCACCCCCAGTGAGTCTGGTCCCTTAGAAACAATATCTCCAACCGAAACCAAGTGGTCTGTTGAAGGATGAAATTGTACTTTCTTCAGCAAGGCCTCCAACTCCTCTCTGCAGCCATGGATATCGCCAACGAACACCAGTCTCTTCTTCCTGGAGCGGGGGCCAGCGTCATCTGGGGAAGATTGTGGAAGCAACGCCGGATCTAGTGTCTTGACGAACACCATGCCCGGGAACTTGGGATGGCTGGCCTCGCTCACAGTGCCTGCACCCGTGGAATTTGACTTGAGAGCGGACCATGCAGATCTCCCTTCCTCGATGATAGGAGCAATGACCTTAATCCATAGAATGATCGAACAGGTTGTGAGGAAGGCGACCACCATCATCAATCTTCTGAGTTTAGGAGCTCTGGTGACGGCGACCGACTTGCCCACCAAAGCTTCGATACGCCGCAGGAAGTCATTGTCGGCCGGGGACGAGGGACTCGTCGACTCAGAATCTGTAAAATGCGCCCGCAGGATTGGCCTCTTTGTAGCTGCCATTTTTCTTGTGTCCAGATCCCACCATCTGTCTCTTTCTCAATCCGCAACAAACGGTGCTCTCGACATCGGTATCGCAGGATCACGATCGGCAGGGCATTATCGGGTGCTGATAACGGTGTACGAGGTATGGTTCACACAATTGACATCGCACAAATATGAGAGACGGGGTTTAAGAACTCTTCTAGGTCCTACCTCTTGCGGTGAAGGGAGAGAACATGCAGCAAGCTCGGGAGCCACTCTGACGACATTAGATCAAAGCTGCGCGCATCCGACGGTGAGAAGTGATCGACCCAGTGCCTCGGAAAGCTCTGACATCCGCAGCCTCATCGCCAAGCCTGATGCGGTTAGGTAGTGCAGTAACTTGGACTTGCTCGAGGTGCAAGCACCCGTTATGCCAATTCGCCGTCTGCAGCAATTGCAGTTCAAGAGCCCTACGCAGAGATTCTAAGCCTCTTAGACCTACTCATACTGCTGCTCCGTTGGGAACTAGCTATCTAGCACAATGACCGGGAATTATTCTTGCACAGAGATGAGATATGAATGATCGGTCAAGATGCTTGTTGCCCATAAATGGGGACAGCTAAGCTACCATCATCTAACGTTGTTTGAGTCTCCCAAGGATTATCGTGTCGGAATGTCGTTCAGGAATTTGAAGCAGGCGCCAAAAAAGCTATGAGAATTTCAGAAGTGAAGCCATCTCTCAGTTCGCCAGGTAATCCTGACCTCTACAAAGCCAGGCCGGCCATGACAAGAGCCAGAAACCCGAATCCCGCGCTACCGACATGGAGGTTGTTGGCGCCATTCCCAGATGACCCTGTAGCCGAAGCCGAAGCTGACGCTCCAGAGGACGAGCCGCCTGCTATAAATGTCGTCAGTAACTCAACAAAGCCACAACTTGTTTGTGAAACGCACCCGTTGCTGATGCTGAACCGTCGGTTGTGGTTGCGCTGCCTTGTCCAAAAGCAAACGTGCCTGTGGCAGAGGAACTGCTTCCGGTTTGGCTGGCAGTGGGAGCAGCAGTGGATGAGGCAGTCAGGAAGTAAGAGCTGATGCAAGACGCCTGGCAGGAAGCATATTGTTGAGTCTCGCCGGCCGTGCCATTACCCTGTGGGCATTGGGCAGCGCATTCCGTCGTCGCATTCGCCTGGAGCTGAGACGGGCATGGGACTCCGACGCATTTCGCCTGGCAGCACACGTCCGCAGAACCACCTAATTGATCAACTATTTCAGTATCCACCCGTGATGTGATGCTGCATGGTCGGACTTACAGGACTGCAGACACTTGACTTGCGGACTCAGGGATGCGGTGGCAGCCGCAGAGGATGCGCCCGTTGAGGAAGCAATGCTGGCTTTGGTCGACTCAGCAGTCGTAGTTGCGTTTTGCGCAGCGGCAAAGGCAATGAGCCCGAAGGTGGCGAAGGCAGTGAAGAAGCGCATCTTGATACCAGAATCTCTCGTAGGAGACTATAGGGGATGTCAATTGTCGCAAAGAAGAGGCCGAAGTCGCCGGTATAAAATGCGATTTGAAGAGAAGCGAAAATGAATCAGACTCAATCGAGAACGGAGGAACGAGCGTAGAAACGAATGTCGCGGCGCAAAGTGCCAGCACGGGAGGATACAGACAACCGGTGGCCTCAAGAACACAGATCAGGTCAGCCAGGTTTGGGCGCAACAGGGAGTCAAATACTTCTGGCACTGGCCCTCCCAGTTTCCAGCCCCAAAAGGGCCCAGTTTCCAAGCGATCCACGAGTCAAATCTCCCCAGGATTTCCTCATTTTGCCAGGCCTATCCAAGGCTCAGGTGTTTCGGATAGCGTGAAGCGAGCCTTTTCTCGGCGTACACTGGACGGCGCCTCGGAAGGGGGCTTCCTGGGATCCGCTTCAACAGAGCTGAAATTGAGGCTAGGCTTCCCTATCGGACTTTTCGATTCTTGGGCTGATTTGCGTGGGCCGATCCGACCGCGACGGTTGATTCGACGAGCTGTGCAGGCCAGTAAGACAAATGAGCGCACCCCGGCCATTTTCCGCATTGTTTGTTTGTGGCGATTGATGCATGTTTCAGACTGCGCCCGAGTCTTGGGGCTTGTTTGTGGCCTCAACAGTTCGACAAGCACACCAGACGGAGTACCGAAGACCCAGTGTCGACATGCGCATGCGTGGTCAACTAGCAGAGTCCGTGTCGCAGGAAGAAAGACGTAGAGTTTTCGCTGCCCGTTGATGTCGATCGGGGATTTTCATTGCTGTCATCATTGTGGGCCAAATTTCCCCCAACGCACAAACACAGACCACCATCGACCATCGGAAATTGCCCTCGTGTTCTGGCGAACTTCGGCCGCACATTCCATTTCCCCAGGCGCTGGCCCTGTGATGGCTCTAGGATCCACAGGCATCACATCACGTACAACGGTCTGCGATTAAAAAGCGTGACGGCAAGGCTGCGATGCTGTCGCGAACCACAAAAATCGATGCGCTCGGTGCAGGTTTGGTAGAGGGTGTCGGTCGCCTTGTCAAGGGAACAAGCGACCACCAACTCCGACTCGGATCGACGACTCTGACACTGCCAACAACTTCGCGGAGAGTTCTACGAGCGCTTAGACTTTGGTGCTTGGTGCGGACCACGATATCCGGCGTGGCGCAAGGCCCATCTGCAAAGAGAAATGACAGATATGACGGCGAATTTTGGTCAAAAGAGCTGTCAATTACGGCGAGTCTTCCCCGGGGTTGGTCAGTGGCTACTAACGGATTGGCTGTGTGATACTCGTACGTAGGTCGGGTGACCACTTCTCGGGGCATGAAGCTGGTCAATATCCACGTAAAAAGAAGCGACGCGAGGTTCTCGTGGACTTCTGCAGCGTCGATCCAAACCCCAGTGATACCCCCATGTCCGTCTCTTTACTTGGGCACCTGCATCTCGTTCAATTCAACAACCAGACGGGGATCCCAAGGAGCAGGTGCTTGAAAAGTCGACAGACGTCCTAGGATGTATGGCGTCTCTCGAGGCTAGGAAAGGACTCAACATCACAGTTCCTAGACGAGTAACTTCTTTGCAAATGAGTACGAGGCATATTCCGGGAAAGCAGCCCAGAATCCGAGAACACCATTCGCTGGTCTCAGTAGTTGCGCCAGAAAATTCGTATCGGTATCCGACGCATCAGTCTGTCTATATTATTCAGTGAGATCTGTGGTCAGTGACTCTCCCGATCGACGGATGGCAACGCATACGGGGCCGCACAGCATCCTACCCGGTATCCTGGTTTGAAGGCTGTGTTGGGTACCTCTGCACGCACGCTGGCAGTAGTATGAGGTAGGAAAGGAGCTCAAGCAGCAGACTCACAGACGATCCTGTAGGGTCATACATGTCACTGGCGGTATGTGAGTTCAATAAATAATCTCAAGACGCGCCTCGGCGCCGAGAAACTTCACATAATGAAAAGCGCGACGTTATCACGTGCCTTCGCGTCGCCAACTTGGACGCGTCACTTGTACCGCTAACTTTCTCCACCATCCACGGCCGCAAATCTTCAACATTGCGCCGAGATATCATCCCTCCGGCAATAGCCTGGGCTGCCAGAGACATGGACTTCCTGGACGACGAGGCTGAAGTCAGCTCGGATGTCCTAGTCCCCAGCTCCCAAGCTGATCTGAATCCGCGTGCTCGCAAGCGTCGCCGCCTTGACTCCCATTCTGATGCCTCTTCACTCCCGGAGCACGACGAATACGATTTGCCGCCAAACGAAGATGAGACCGGAAAAGAAAACAGAAAGTCCAAGTATGAAGAACGAATCTATGTCCCTCAATATGGGGATCGTCCGTCGGATACCTTCGTTACCCAGTTGACTCAACAACATTCCAGTCCATCCAGAATCCGAGGGCCAAGATGGATGAAGCCTCGGAACAACCCTTCGCCCTCGTCTTCCGCTGTCAAACGTCATGCTAACACCCCACGCCGACATTCTCAGGCAGCTATCCACAGCGACGAGTTTGAAGTGGACGAGGACGATTTCGAACTTTTCGAAGCTTTGGGTGATTGTAGTAACTCCGCGCTTAGCAATGGCAACCACGATGGCAATCCGGCTCCGCGTCAGCCTCTACAGAAATCAAACTCTTTCCGCCAGACGACTCTGCATGGAATCCATACCACCCAGCCTCCCGCGACGCAAACCCAGTCGCAGATCAGGGTACACAATTGGCCTCTGGCAAACCGGAATGAGCCCCCTACCCATCATGAGATAGATCGTGATGCCATGACCACATGGGTCTATCCCACGAATCTTGGGCGTATCAGAGACTACCAATATAATATTGTGCATAAGGGCCTTTTCCACAATATTCTGGTCGCGTTACCCACTGGCTTAGGGAAGACATTCATTGCCGCCACAATCATGCTGAACTGGTATCGATGGACGAAAAGTGCGCAAATTGTCTTCGTCGCACCTACAAAACCTCTTGTTTCACAGCAAGTGGATGCCTGCTTCAACATTGTTGGCATCCCGCGATCTCACACCACGATGCTGACGGGAGAGGTCTCACCAGCAATCAGGGCAGAAGAGTGGCAAGAGAAAAGAGTTTTCTTCATGACACCTCAAACCTTGATCAACGATCTGAAGCATGGCTATTGTGATCCGAAAAAGATCGTGTTGATTGTGGTGGACGAAGCACACAAAGCAACTGGAAGTTACGCATATGTGGAGGTGGTGAAATTCTTGAGAAGATACAACTCCAGCTTTCGAGTCCTGGCTCTTACAGCAACTCCTGGAAAAGACGTGGAAAAAGTACAAGAAGTAATCGATGGCCTTGGAATCGCTAGAGTCGAAATCAGGACCGAGGAGTCGCTGGATATCCGCGAATTTGTACACAAGAGGGATGTCGAAACCCAGGTATTTGAAAATTCGGATGAGATAACCATGTCGTTAGAGATGCTTTCAGCAACCCTGCAACCATTACTGAATAAGCTGCACTCCCAGGGCGCTTCTTGGGGCAAGGACCCACGAATGATTACGCTGTTCGGTTTGAAAAAGGCCTGGGAAAGATGGCAGTTGTCGGAAGCAGGCAGAAGAGCTCAACATTCCGTGAAAGGCATGGTGAAAGCGATATCCACTACTCTCATGAGTCTGGCCCACAACATCGAACTGCTGAAATACCATGGCATCGGCCCTTTCTACCACAAGATGAAGCTGTTTGCAGATGAAGCTTCCGGCGGCGGCAAGTATGCAAAACAAATTGTGGATGATGATAATTTCAAGAAATTGATGATCCGACTGAGGGCCTGGATCAACAACCCAGATTTTATCGGGCACCCGAAATTATCTTACTTGAAGACGGTCGTGCTCAACCATTTCATGGATGCCGGTGAGGGTGCCAGTGGGAGCCACAGCACAGGCTCCTCGGGCACAAGGATCATGATCTTCACACACTATCGAGACAGTGCAGAGGAAATTGTGAGAGTGCTCAATCGCCATGGCCCTATGATCCGAGCACACGTCTTTGTTGGGCAGTCAGGCACGAAAGGCGGCTCTGAAGGAATGGATCAGAAGACGCAACTGAGTGTTATCAAGCAATTCAAGGCCGGGAAATACAACACAATTGTCGCAACATCAATCGGAGAAGAAGGTCTCGACATCGGTGAAGTCGATTTGATTGTGTGTTACGATTGCTCGAAATCGCCTATTAGGATGCTTCAACGCATGGGCCGGACAGGGCGTAAGCGGGCGGGTACCATCGTTTTGCTCATGATGCGTGGCAAGGAAGAGTCTGATTTCGCCCATTCAGAGGACAATTATCAGAAGATGCAAGAAAAGATCGCAAGCGGCAAGGAGTTCAATTTCCACGAAGAGCTGTCGGCCAGAATCGTCCCAAAAGAGATCGTACCCGCGGTCGACAAGCGTGTGGTTGAGATTCCGATCGAGAACACGCAGCCTGGCTCGGTCGAGCCCAGTAGGCGAAAAGCCAAAAACGCCAAAAAGCCACCGAAGAAGTTCCACATGCCGGATGGCGTTGAGACGGGCTTCACGTTTTTGGGCGATGGAGGAAAGAAGAAGGCCACAACACGAGAGGGCCCATCCAAACCTCCGGAATCAAGAAAAGACCGCCACGTGGCTGCACTGCCTCCTTTGAACGATGTCCTTCTTTCCGAGTCGGAAGAGCGGGAACTCGAAGACCGCTATGTCCGACTCGCAGGGGTCGAAGACGAGTATATCCAGTTCGTGCGCTTTGATGCTTACCCTGATCAACAGCGGCGTCTGGGTAAGACAGATGCCGTCAAACATTCAAGGGCAACTAGGACTTTGGTACAAGCCTTCGAGGCCATGCGGAATCCAAGAAAAAGCTGGAGTCGTCCGTCAGAGTATGAGCTCTCTCCAGAGGGTGTCGATGCCTCACCTGAGTTGTCAGAAGCGGAAGAACTGATGCGTACGACCAAAATTTCCAAAAAGAAACCGAAGCCTCCAGCGTTTCCCCAAACAAAGGTGTCTAGCATTACCGTCAGGAGTAGCTCTATCGGCGAATACGATGACAATGACAGTTTCATCGATGACGAAGAAGACCTCGCAGCCTCCCACCTACCAGAGCCCAGACAACAAGCCAGGTCAGTGCTCGATGACAGCACCGATGACGATCTATTTTCTCCTCTACGGAAAATACCGAGTTCATCCCCTGTCCTTGAGGAGGTAGAAACCCTAACAGAGAAACGCTTCTACGTCTCCCAGCAAAGCATCGATTACGACGCGATGGACGATGACTTGCCGGATCTAGAGACCCTGATTTCTGCCAGGTCCAGCAAGGCTCATGCATCGAAGACGAAAGCCCAGGGCGTTGTTATGCCCATCTCTCCAACCGCGCGGGAGAAATTCACGAATCCGGGACGTCGAAAAGGCGCAAGGCGGGTGCTCGATAGCGATGACGACGAATGACTTCCAAGAGGCCTTCGAGGTGATCGTGCTTGGTTGTTTGTTTGGGGCTTGGGTCTGACCAGGTTGAATGACTAGATGATAGATCCCCTACTAACGTGGGAATCAATGGTCGCGCTCCGGGAGTCAACTCCCTACCATACAAGAAGCTACAAGCAGCGACTCGTACGTCCTTGCTAAGTACAACCGGTTGGCTAGGTCGCAGTATGAGTTTCGTGCATGAATGCGAACTTAAAGAGCTCCAACACGTGAAAAGCGAGTGAGAGTCATTGGATGTCCTCACTCAAATTAGTTCTATATCCAAAAAGCGATTCCCTAATCACCAAAGACCGCCGCTTGCAAACACTCAAGAATGTCTCCTATACAAATTGACCTTACCTCACAGCCGTGTGAATGACCCTTTTCCCTCAAGTTACCCTGATTACGAGCTTCCCAACTTGTCGACCCTGCCAGATGTCTTCGATTGCCTCGTCGGCGTCCGTAAAATCGTAGACTTTGTCTATAATGTCTTTGAATCTCATTTGCGTCGCAGACAAAGCGGCACAGAGGTCTTCCTGCTCGAGTTTTGAGCCGCCATTTATGCCCCTACTTGGACTTAGTTCCTGCAGTGGTATGTAGCGATGTCGCTACGAGGGGTAATGCTCTCTCACCTCAAGTTGATTCTTCGATCGATGAGAAGCGGGAGAAACTCGGCCAGGTCCTCGAGGCTTTGCTTGCTCAGATACCCGACTTGGCTGATCGTCCCGCCTCGCCGAGTACATTTCATGCTCTTGACCAAGGTTTGCGTGCCTCCGATCTCCACGACTAGATCAACACCGGCGCCGCCTGTAAGTTCCAGGACCTCTTCATGCCACTGGGGATTTGTTGCGTAGTTGGTGGTGAATATCGGGGGGTCGGAGAACTGCTTTCTGATCCTCTCCAGTTTGGCGTCGCTCGACGAACTGAGAATCACCTTGAGCCCGGCGGCGCGAGCAAGTTTCAGCGCAATCATCGCAACGCCCCCGGTGCCTCCACCGTCTTCGTTAGTAGAGTTTTGCTCTCCCAAGGGGCTGAAGCTGACGGACCTTGGATCAACACGCTTTTTCCCACGCCAATGTCTTTCAAAGCCGTCCACGCCGTGACCCCGGCGCAGGGAATGAGGCAGGCTTCGACCCAGTCCAGATGATCCGGCAGTTTGGTGAGCTTTTCCTCCGCGAAGACCAGGTAGTCTGCCAACACTCCATCCTCGTCGGCCGCCAACCACGACCGTGTCGACTCGCGCCCGGTGAGATTCTCCGTGTCGATGATAGGCGCCACCCTGTCTCCAATCTTGAGCGTCCTCACGCCTTCGCCAACGGCTATGATCTCTCCGGCCGCGTCGTTGCACGGTATGCCATGTGGCGTCACCGGCCACGGGTTGCCGCCGTTGGCAATGTTGGCGTCTCTGTAGTTGAGAGAGACAGCGTAGACCTTTATCAACACCGAGGTCGCAGTAAGGGGCAGAGGTAGTGTCTCTGTCCCGAGCTGCACCCTCGGTGTCCCTGGAGTATAGTCGTCAGTCCGGCGATAGGCTTTGCGGGAAGTGATTGGGACGTTGGCCATGCTTTGCGTTTTCCCGGGACTTTTCTTGCGGGAACTTGAATAAGATTCAACTCTGAAATGATCACAAGTCTTTGGCCTTTGTACTTGGGATAGACCTAGTCGTGGACCCGACAACTGCGTAAACGTATTAGAGCCCTTTGCGACCACCTGGCGGACTTTTGCGCCGAGTTCGGTCATGGTCGCGAAGATCATGATGCTTGTTTCGACCGTTTCCCTTCCGCAAATAGAGCTAGCATCCGCAGTTCTCGCAGGAAAACCAGTCAGCACCGCAAACCATGTTCAACTGGGGAATTCGGATCGCCGCCTCACATGTCGAAACTCCATTGTGGCCCACGCTTACCAATCCGAAAAGGCAAAGCAACGACGGTGTTCAATTTCTTTCCCTACCTTTGCATGAGATGTCTAGGTGGAGTCTGAGAAAGGCGTACTGCACTGCCTGATTAAAACTAATTGGGGTTTTGCCTGCCCTGTAGGGCTTGTGGATCTTTGGAGACCAATTGTGGCCGCGTACTCGCTACGCCGTCTTAAATCAAGCCGGCGTTCCCTTGATGGTGGTATTACCAGGATCCTACCATGATAGTCTATCCTTGTCTACTATGGTGCCTAGGAATGGGCCACAACCGGCATGATGTTCCTTCTTGGAGTGATGCATCGCTCTGTCGCATCGCTTAGAGAGTCGCTGACGCACCCCGAGCGTTGCGGACCACCAGCTCCGCGCATCGGATCCCAATCAGGTACGCATTGATTTGCGTGTGATTGCAAGTCAAGATCGGGCAGACACTCATGTCGGCGACTCTCAACCCCCGCGTCCCAACGACCTCGAATTTATTGTCCACAACGCGCCGAGGATCACCGTGTCGACCCATCACGCAGCTCCCCATGCTGTGAAACCCCTGGGTCAAGTTATCCCTGATGAAGCCGTCCAGAGCTTCCTCAGACTCTCCCGAAGGCGCTAACAATGGTTTCTGGATGATTCTCGACAGCGCATCTGTGTGAGTGAGGTTCAATATCTCCCGCACCGTCTCGATCGCGACTCGTCTGTCCAGCGGGTGGGTCAGATACTGCGGGTCGATCGCTGGCAGATCATAGGGGTTGCGGCTTCGCAGCTTGAGCCTCCCTCGACTCAGGCAATTCTGGTTCAAGCCCTCGACGACAAGGACACTCTCGTCCGGCGCACAGGGGCCGGTATAAAACAGAGGGCCGGAGTGCATCCATATCTCCGTGCTCGGCCTAGTTGGCTCTTGTAGGTATTCCCGGGTCGACTTATCCAAAGCATGGAATTCGGATGACGAAAGAACTGCCTCCAGACGCGGAAAGATCAGGGCCGCGCTTGCACCAAAGACGGACAGAGGACCTGTCTTCGTAGAGGCATATTCGGCCTCGGCGGCTCGAAGCTGTTCGGAAGAGTTCAGCAACTGATTGTGGCCGGCAACTTCGGGCGATATCGTGTACTCGCAGGCAAAGGCGCTGTGATCGCGGATCCCTTCTCCAACCCCGGGTAGATCGACCACGACAGGTATTCCCAGCTCTTCCAGCTGACCTCTGGGGCCGACGCCAGACAATAAAAGCAGCTGCGCGGATTGAAAAGTCCCTGCTGTAATGATTACCTCTCCTCTTACTCTCACTTGCAATTTCGCTGGAGATTGTCCCGCCAATGGTCTTGATGGTATCAGCTCCACCCCATGTGCTCTGTTGTCCCTGAAGATGATGCGCGAGCACAAGGTATCAAGTGTGACTGTCAGGTTAGGAAGATTGCGCCTTTGCTGTTCGTCGAGGAAAGCGTTGGCGCTGGTCACACGTACGCCATCTCGCACACTAAATTGTGCGACTGAAAAGCCGACTGGATCGCCGTCGTTGTTGTCAGCATTGAGCCGATGCCCTGCTTGCTCTGATGCCTGTAGGCAATGGATAATCATATCCTGCCACACCGTGTTGAACTGCACAGCAATGGGTCTACCAGCCAAAAGCGACAATGGTCAGCATCTAATTCCCACTTGACAACAATTCCAGACTTGCCCATTCTTGCCATGAGATCCAGGCGTCGGATTAGCATATCTTTCCATTGCCGCTGGACAGTTTGGCCTAAAGTCCTCGAGCTTTATCGGCAGTATGTTAGATCTTCTGCATTTCGTGACAAAAATACGGTCCATGGAGAGATTACTTGGTTCAGTATTTGCTTCACGTTTTCCCAGCGCCACCACGAGTCGTCGACCAACCCAGCCCAATCGTCATAGTCAGCGGAAGAACCTTTGACCCAAGCCATAAAGTTGTTCGCTCTTTGAGAGGGTTTTTAGTAGCGACCACGACGGGACAGGAAGCAAAGTCACTCACGAGCAGCCACCAAGGCCTTTGCCTCGAGGGTACACAATTTCTCGATCTCGCAATTCCCGCTGGGGAGCAGTACGATAAAGCCAGTTGCCATCGGGACTTCCAAATTTGGGCTTGGTCAGGCCAGGTACGAGGTTGTCTGGATCTGCCGAATCATCTGGGCCGGCCTCGACCAGCAGAACCCGAGCATCTGGGAGTTCCGTGGCCAATCTGGAAGCGATGAGACATCCAGAAGTCCCACCTTGCGAAGGATCTTAGCCTTGTCGTTGATACATGCCTCGAGTCTTACCTCCCACGACAACATAGTCGAAATCGGTGTCTTTCAACGCCTCGAAATTGTGCATACTGATCTTGTGGAAGGGCTGACACGCAACAATAGGAAATTAAGCAGAGAAAACATGCACGTAACAGCGATCCGTTTTAGCGTCCTTTTGAGATAGTGATTGAAGCAGAGAGTTGTCAAGAGAGAACACGTCCTAAGAGTCTTTTGGAGCGGCTAATCTAGAAGGCACAAACCTGTCCTTGATAGTATTGCAGGATAACCCTGATTGAGTAATTCGTATATCGCTCGATATCATCTCAACTACCTGTTGCGGCTTCGAGATTCTATTGCTGGTCGTGGTCTGATAAGGGGGAATGCTGATATCAGTCCATCCGAGCTGTCACGAAAATGGATCGGGTATCTACCACTCGGTAATCGCGACTGGGGGTTTTGTCATGGTGTGCCGGTACCTTGCGGAAAGCCCAATACCAAAGAAGAAAAGTGGAGGGGATAGGTGGAGGGGATAAGTGGGGGGGCTTAAGTGGAGGATACAACGTAGACGATATACTTGGACGTGCGATGTATCCGAGGCTCGCAAGCAAAGAGTGCACGCGGGGTGCATGCGGGGAGGACAACCGAGCCAGTATTAGAGGGAGTTATAAGCAACAGACAACGTGGGAAGTTCCACGAGGTACCTAGGTAGGCGTGTAGGGTGGGGAATACCTCAAGTAGAGTCCAACCGATATCGCAGCAAGGATTTCCAGCGGTGGGACGACTGCTTTCAACTACAGCTTGAGGTCGCGCATTCCACACAGTTTTCTCTATCCCGGCACATTATATCTGAATAGAACGGTGCTGCATCGACTATCATGGGTTCGATCGAGACAAGCACATATACGCCTCAGACCGAGGGTTCCTTCGACGAATCCAAGAAAACACACCTTCACCTTCATGCCGCTCCACATGATCTCCTCTGTAAGACACTCGGCCTCTCATGACTCGGTAGTATCCATGCTAAATTCCCACAACAGCCGCCGTAGAAGCAGGCACGGTCGAGGCACGAGAGGAGCCCAAATTCCTGCATGGCTGGAACATCAAGCTCGAGAAGGCCCTCGGCGTCGAGGCTCGGGGCATCGAGCGGGTTCCTGAGAGCGAACGGCCAGAAAGAGCCACCTTTGGCGACTTCGTCCAGATCATCCTTATCTGGTTCTCGGCCAACCTGACGGCGAACAACATGGCCCTCGGCCTCCTCGGGCCTCTGGTCTTTGAACTCGGCCTGACCGAGGGCATGCTGATCGGGGCCTTTGGGACGATTGCAGGCTCCATTGGCACTGCGTACATCTCGACCTTTGGCCCTCTCAGCGGCAACAGGACTCTGGTGGTCGCGAGGTACACCATGGGCTGGTGGCCCTCCAAGATCGCGGTGCTTTTGAACATCGTCATCATGCTCGGTTATGGCCTTGTCGACTGTCTCATCGGCGGACAATTGCTCTCGGCTGTGGCCAACGGTTCTTTGACGGTCATAGTGGGCACCATCATCGCGGCTGTCATCTCGCTCGTCGTGGCGTTGTTCGGTATCAAGCTCTTCCACATATATGAGCGCTACGCTTTCATCCCGCAAATCCTTGTACTGTTTATTTTGATCGGCGTCGCGGGACCCAAATTCAACGCCGGGAGCTCCTCTGTCGGTCCTAGTGAGGTGAAGATCGCGGATAGGTAAGCCCCATGCTTTTAGTTTTAACTTGTATGCCGGCGGTTAACACGCATTCTAGAATCAGCTTCTTTTTCCTCACGGCCTCAGCGCCCCTGGCTTGGTCACCAGCCGCCTGCGACTTCTTCGTATACTTTCCGCCTAGCTGCTCGCGCTGGAAGGTCTTCGGCAGCACACTGCTTGGTCTTGGACTGGCTTCGGCCACTGTGGTCGTCATCGGAGTCGGCCTTGGGAGTGGCACGCTTGTCGATACCGAATGGTCCGATGCCTACGACGTGTCTGCTGGTGCCTTGATCGTCCAGTCACTCCGACCATTGGGTTCATTTGGCGACTTTTGCGCAGTGATTCTGTCGCTGGGGGTAATCTCCAACAACATCCCAGGAACTTACTCGGCGGCTCTAAGCTTCCAGCTACTAGGACGCTGGTTCCGCCGTATCCCTCGATGGCTCTGGGTCATTGTGAGCGTTGTGATCTACACGGTCTGTGCGTGTGTTGGACGGAATCAACTGTTTGATATCTTTCAGGACTTTCTGGCGTTGATGGGCTATTGGACGATCATGTGGTGCACCATGACACTTTGCGAGGAGCTGATTTTTAGGAGAAAAGTTGGGTACAATTGGGAGGACTGGAGCACACCGAGTCGCTTGCCGCTAGGACTGGCTGCATTCACGGCTTTTTGTATCGGCTGGGTCGGGGCTGTATTGTGTATGTGGCAGGTGTACTTTACTGGGCCCATTGCGAAAATGGTGGGTGATGGGATTGACTTGGGATTTCCTGTGTCGGCAGCGTGGACGGGATTGTGCTATCCTCCACTTCGTTGGATCGAGCTGAAGTATTTCAAACGGTGAGCGGAGGAGGTTGCATGTAATTGTTTATGGAGATAAAGCCATGTCACAGGTGTAGATTTGCTGAGAGCCAATGTAGAGATAACGAGCCATTGTTCATCAGAGAGTCGTGGTCATCCGGCACAACAGTTCTCAGCTCATTACCTTTGCCTCAATGGCTTGTTCTCCGAGCTAAGACAGCGCCTTGGTATAATGTATAATCTTCCCACATAAAGCCTCCTGCTCGGAAATGCTCGCGACAATGCTTGAGGCTTCTCTATCGACGGACAGTAACATGTGACTAACTCACACGCATAGACCATGTCCCGCATCCATTGATTCAGAGACAGCGACTGATCACTTGATTCAGTGTCCCAATAACATTGGCATCACGCTGAGTATCATGCAAGCTTTGGCAAGAAAAATGTTGAAGAGATACAGATGGCTCGGGCAACAGCAACTAGGTAGCTCGCCTTCTGGAACAATTGAAAGAAGCCATGAATTCACATCGACAGCCTTTTTATGATATATGGCAATCCAAGATCAGAGAAAATTCAAATTAGGCGGTGTTGCTGTTACATCGCGTTGGCTTCTTGAGGAATTTGTTCTGTACGAGCAGCCATCAGCATCCTTGGTTCCTCGCCCACCCTTGCCTGGAGAATACGTGGACAGAGAGGCGGCGGCCCGGAGCTCAAACCAAAAGAACATCTGCCAAGAATGGCCCCAGCTGGTCTCTCCGGGGTTGGGACGAGGTAGGAATGAGGATCATCCAGTACTGTCTCTCCCCACTCTCCTATATTACCAAATAGAGAAACGACGCCAAGTCATGTGTACAGCCCCCCATTATACTCCGTAGGGGTCATGTATACTGACGGACAGAAACTGGAAAGGCCGTGAACGTACTTGTACCGTGTCACCCACTCCGTTGCACCTTTCTTAAGCCTCTTGATTGCAATCATTGGTTTAGAGCAGTGTGTCTAGCATCCTTAGTACACCGCACGCGTCCGAGCAATACTTCGAGAACACTGTTTGCAAGAACCATGGCAGGCAATGGCGCATCACAGAGTGTTTTTTCCCTTCTGGACACCGACCTCTACAAGCTGAACATGCAATGCGCTGTGCTGAAGTATTTCGCCTCCGTCCAGGTCGAATACTTCTTCACAAACCGCACACCGCAGATGCGACTCAGCCGATGTGCTGCGGAGTGGCTGCGAGGACAAATCGACCAACTTGAGAACGTGAGCCTCACGCAGAGCGAGCTCGAGTACCTACGGAGCCACTGCGGATATCTGCACGAGGACTACCTGCGCTACCTGCAATCGTTCCGTCTGCGCCCGAAGGAGCAGGTCCACCTGTCGTGGAAGCCCGTTGACGACGACTTTGTCGACATTGACATCCGCATCAAAGGCTTATGGGTCGAGACTATTTTGTACGAGATCCCGGTGCTGGCGTTGACAAGTGAGGCATATTTCAGGTTCGTGGACCGAGACTGGAGCCACGAGAACCAGGAGCAGCTTGCCTACGAGAAGGGCACTCGCCTGCTGCAGGCGGGATGTACGGTCTCGGAATTTGGCACGCGAAGACGGCGCGACTTTAAAACCCAGGACCTCGTCGTCGGTGGACTTGTCAGGTCCATGCGCGACAACAGCGGACTACCTGGCCGGCTCGCAGGCACGAGCAATGTCTATTTTGCCATGAAGCACGGGATTGCCCCGATCGGCACTGTAGCTCATGAGTGGTACATGGGCATCGCCTCCATCACCTCCGACTACGAGCATGCCAATGAGCTCGGTTTGAAGTATTGGCTGGATTGCTTTGGGGTAGGCGTCATGGGAGTCGCCCTCACCGACACGTTCGGGACCCCGAACTTCTTTCAAGCCTTTAAGAAACCCGTGACCCCAGTCAATGGGTTCATGAATGGATTACACAAATCCTCCAACCACTCTCCGAAGCCCTCGAAGGAGCCTCTTTACGCTGAGGTGTACGAGGGCATCCGCCAAGACTCTGGAGACCCTATACAGTATGTGAAGATGGCAAAGGAGTTCTACGACTCCGTTGGCGCCATGCCCCGGTCCATCACCTTTTCCGACTCCCTCAATGTGGAGAAGTGCATAAAATACAAGGAGGTGGCCGAGCAGCACGGCTTCCAACCGTCCTTCGGCGTGGGGACCTTTTTCACCAACGATTTCCAGCGCAAATCAGACCCGTCCCAGAAGTCGAGGCCGCTCAATATCGTGATGAAGTTACGTGCGGCGGGCGGCAGACCTTGCATCAAGCTTTCTGACAACGTCGGCAAAACGACGGGAGACGAAGCCCTGGTTCAGGATGTGAAGAGACGACTCGGGTACCAGGCGGACAGCAACTGCGTAATTGACGAAAGCCGCCGGTGGTAAAACTTGTCCTTCTAAGCCTATACAGGAAGGATATGGTTTGCCCCAGCACAGATCGACTAGCGTAGACGATCCGCTGTCACGTATAAAGCGGGACTTTATCCAAAAATAAACAAACTTGAAAGATGACAAGCCATGCAACAATGGTTATTTTCAAAACCCATAAATTTCGAAGGGAAACTAAAATCGGTTATAGCGAACATCCATATTCAGACGGTCAAAACTCGCCTTTTAAGAAGCGACTTCCATTGGCTGATTGCTTGCCTGTCTGCTTTGCGAAAACCCTTCTTAGATCTCCCCAGCTGGACAGGAGCTACATATGAAGATGTTGACGAGAAATACTGCTGTATTAGGGCTATCACATGGGCCGAAGAACAGTCGATGAAGGATAAGGGAGTCGACTAGGTGACCAGCAGCTCCCCTAGCTGTGGAAATAACATAATCTCACGGAGTATTGTACAGACGTGGGTGGTGAAGATATCTAAAGGGTTGTAAGGTCTCGATTACTATCAATTTATGCTTTTCCCACCAACCCTCTTCTCCCATCCCGACAACCAACGTCCTCACGCGTCAATGGGCCAAATCCCCCTTGTTGGCCGAGATTCATGAATCCAGTTTCTGATACGTCGCCCAGCCCTCTCTCTGTAACCGAGCCTCCTTGGCCATGTTGTCGTCGTCCATTTGCTTCAGATGTCCCGCCACCCACTGGCGCGCGGCCTCGTCGCTCGTGGCCACGATCCGCGCCGCCAGGATCGCCGCGTTGACGCTGTTTCCAATGCCGACCGTGGCGACGGGGATGCCCCGGGGCATCGACACGATGCTGCACAGGCTGTCGAGGCCGTCCAGCGCCTTCGCCTTGACCGGCACGCCGATGACGGGCAGCACGGTCTCGGAGGCGATCATGCCGGGGAGGTGCGCCGCGCCCCCGGCCGCCGCGATGATGACCTTGAAGCCGCGACCGGCGGCCTTCTTGCCGAAGTCGAGCATGTATTGTGGCGTGCGGTGCGCCGACGTGATGTGCACCTCGTAAGGGATGTTGGTGCTCTCGAGCACCGCCAGCCCGGGTCGCAGCGTCTCCAGGTCGGTGTCGGATCCCATGCACACAGCTACCAGTGGTTGACGCCCCGACGTTCCCTCCGGGTAGCTTCTCGGTGCCTCGGACATGGCGATAGTTGGAATTTCAAAGTATTCTGGTTAAGGCTGTTTGTATTTCACGGCTCTCAGTCTGGCTTATTGGATTCTGGTTCCGAAGTCTTTTGAACACCAAGTGAGACCGTGTCACTGAAGACAGCCACAAAGAATACTATAAAGCTTGGAGAGAAATGTCCCTTGGCTGACTTACTGTCGGGGCCAAAGTCCTCAGCCCACCTTTCCAAAAGACCGCCACCGAAGAGCCGCCACTTTAGACGTGCCTCGTACAGGTCTTGCCACCTCGCCAATGTGGGTGCTGCAAGTACTTCCCCCGTGTCCACTACAAATTACAGCACGGGAATGAATAGTGGGGAGAGCTGGCCAAAGATGGCTGTCTGGGACCTGTTTGGAAGCTGTCAGACTTCTCGCTGGAAAAGTGGATGGGATGGATTGGCGTCTCACGACCGTCGTCTGAAAACGACCAGCGACAAGAGGCGAGCGAAACGGCCCTATAGATGGTACGTTCTAATCAATCATTGCATTTATATGGCTACCACTCTCTTCATAATCAGAAATGCTCGAGAATTGACCTCATGAAATCGCCACCTGAGCACAAGTGTGCATGTCGTTACTCCCTAGATCTATCATGGACTATTCCAGGACCACGGTAGTGCCAGGTGAAGACTCGGATATCGCTTGAAAAGCCGTGCATTTTCTTACAAGTCTTATCGTGACGACCAGTGGATAGTGCTTCACCCCCTTCCGCTTCTTTTGGAATTTGAAAGAGCAATACAATCCAGGCTGAGAGTAGTTGAAAATTGACTGAGACCTAGATAGACTCCCAAAAGTTGAGACCAAACCCAGGCATGGTTTCTGATAGGTTGATGGGCTCCAGCACTGGACTCATGGCGAAGTTGGCTTGAAAGTCCTGCATAGTATGGTCCCAGTCACGCCACATCATCTGCGCATCAAAATACTCAGAGTTGCTTGCGAGATCGGAGCTGGTACTGTGCATATTCAGGCTCTGGCTTGTGCCGTCAGGCATCATTGACTCCGTGGGCAGAGAGACGTCCACATTCTTTCCAGCAGGGTCTTGTGTGAATGACGAGTTGTGAAGTCGTGACGAAGATGGTGCAGAATGTAAAACGATTGCCCCGCGATTTCTCGTTACGTTTTGGTTGTTCCAAAGTTCGGGGTGCGCAGTGGGTAGTGGCTCCAGGAGAGGATTATCGGTGCGTACAGGGTATTCGGCTGGTCCCGCACGAGAGTCGTTGTAGGATGGCCTTCGTGTGAGCTGACTTCGGCTAGACTCCTTTGTTCGGACCCTGTTGGCGTTGTGAAGGAGTCGCTGTAGCGGTTCCCAAAGCATGCCTTTCTCTGCCCGCATGTCTGTAGACCATCTCTCATAGACCCTCTCGACCACGAGCCATGCGCGAGTTGAAATGGCATCATCGGGCCTCTCACAGAGGTAAGCCAAGACAAACGCAACAGCATGCCATTGTGAATGTGTCAAGAACAGCCAGAGCCAGCGTGAGGCTCGTTGACTTGTCTCCAGCAAATCCGACAGCTCCAAGACTTCCACCGCCTTTCCAAAAACAAAATGCCGCGAATCAGCGATGTTGGGGTCACAGCCGCCATTCTTGAAAAGAGAACGGTAGCTCGCGGCCAGCCACATCTTGGCCAACATCAGCCGGGCCCAGGTGGCAGACACCCAGTCGACCGGCTGCGTGATGTCACAGTGCTTGATGTAACGGTCGTAAAATCGATCCTCAATGGACTGTACCATCTGTTGTCTCTGCGCCATGGTTAGGTCGGCACCACGACCACCGATCGGCGCGTGGTAATGCAATTTGCGAATGGCGATTGTCACCTCAAAGCGGACCAGACAAAATGTCATGTCCGTGTAGCCGGTCCTCTCTGGTTTAGCGTCAGTGTCTTCGGGAGAGAGTTCCGCATCGTTTATATTTGAAGGAAATTCCGTATCGTAATTGTCAAAGATAGTTGGTTCAGACCCGTTGTCCTCGGACGATCTGAGGTCCAGCACACATATATGCCACCAAAGACGGCGCCGCATCTCAGTCTCAAAAGGTGAAAGTCGAAATCGGGTCCCATCTCGGTGCAAACCCATAGCCTGAGCATTGCGAATAGCCACTCCCAGGAGTGCCGATACAAGGCGCGAATGATCATGTCGGCGGACGCAAAAGAGGAAGAGAACCAAAGAGGCGAGTATTGTCAAACTCTGAGACTCCAGGAACCGTGCACGCGCCAGCGACTGTTCCGTGGCGAATCTGTACCGTGCAAGCATTTTAGTTTTCTCTTCTCCAAGCAGTTTCCTACAATCGTCACTGGTCAAACTTGTCACTGAAGCATAAAGCAGCGAAAACATAAGGACCTCGGTGGTCTTGGCGATTTCCGGGAGACGTGGTAACGCTCCAAGTATTGTCGATCGCAAGGTCGGGCGATGGAAGATTTTGAGAACCGGATCGACGTTGTCCAAGAAAATGTCGAACAAGGTTAATAGCTGCGTGGAGGTTGGATAACAATAACCCAGTGTCATCGTCCACGACATCGGGCCAAAAACGAAAGACTGAGAACTAGGATGGAGGACCCGCGGTCTCCTGGATCTCTCGGCGAGTTCAGTCTCTTCCTTTTGTGCTTCGTCTTGTTCTTCTTCTCCTTCTCTGTCTCCCTGTCCACTCCCCCCATCCCCTTCCTCTTCTGCGTTTCTTTCTCCTCTTTCTGCCTCTTCGTCGTGGTCAGATGACGCCCCACTCAGGACATGATGCATCTCCTCGATCTGACGTGTTCGTTAGTTATGAAACAGTCTCATACCACGAGAATCGTGTTTCACCTCTCTTGACATATTTGCCCAGAAGCTGTTACTGATGTACATACTCCGGTCCTGGTCGATCACCAGCCGTGCCGGGTCCTCGTTAGTTGTTAGGTCATCGAGTAGGACCTTTGAAGGTGTCGCTGCCGACACATTCTTTCTCTCCCGTCGTCTGTACTCTGGGGTTGCAGAGAGATTATCCAAGGCTTGAGGTTTACTGAACGATGCAACGGGCTCGTCAGATTGAGCCTTTGATTTTTTAGGCCTGACTGGACATCGCCTGGTCTCAGGAAAGACACATTGGCTTTCCGCTTTGACACAGTTGGTGCATGGGTGCCGACGATTACACTTGACCTTCCGTCGACGGCACTCGCGACAACTCAACTTTCGCAGGCGGTCCGGGAGGGGTGTTGGCTTGATTGCTCTGGTCGCGCTCTTTCCTCCATCGACGTCGTGATCGATCACGGTCGCAGTAGACAGGGGATGGCCAAAGCCACCAGATTCGGACTCGTCGGACATCTCGGACATCTCGCGCATCTCGCGCATCTCGGTTACAGCCCTTCCAGGACACTGACTCGAAGTGAGCGGGAGAGCGATAAGATAAGAGCCGCAGCTGGGAGCGTCAGGATTGGAATCGCCTATGATCCGAGTGTGGCTTGCAACGTTGACGCCCGCTGTCTAGTACTTTCAAGAGGCGGCAACTGACGAGATAAAAGTAAGGCTCACTGTGTCTGATCTTACGAGAAGCTTTATCTGCGATAAGCGGTGCCCGTTACGAGGGACTCGCCTGCGCCCTGCGGACGGATAAACCTTGGCCAAATCGCCGAACAGCGAAAACTCCGAGGGCGTGGAAACGCGGGGAGAGACCCACCGCTGGTTCCTGGCCTGGGAAGCTGACTATGCCCAAAGTTGCCTAGCTTCATCCTGGGTGACTTGCCCACGAGCGAGACTGTTATATTCGCAGCCACCGTCCCTATTGTGTATCTGCGTGCAATATGCTCGCTTGCATCTACCCCCTCCTACACTGGCCATGGCAGGTGAACGGCCGAAGGATCACCTGTGCGAGTGGCCAGGCTGTGGCAAGACCTTCAGCAGACCTGATCATCTTCGGCGACACCGTCTCAACCATTCATCTGGAGGTAGAACTTGTCCTCGCTGCCGAGCTCACTTTAAGCGCCGCGACTTACTCGGTATGTGGCTTCGTGGTTTCAGCGCCCGTCTGGAATGACCCAGTCAATCTGTCAACCTTATGTTAATGTTCACAGCAAATGTAAATGCTGACCCACCCTTCCTCATGCAGAACGTCACTTGGCAAGGCATAGACAGAAAGACGAAGAGGCCGGAGGAGAGGGCTTGGGCATCGTCGCGACACGCAAACGCCTGTGGCGGGATGCAGACGGAAACATTGTCAGCAAAAGACCGTCACTGCCCCAGCCGGCAGCACGAACAAAGGAGGACGCCGTTGAGAATGGAAACAGTTGCCGCGAGAAGCGTTCTAGAGAAGGTCAACCTGCTTCTCGAACAGAAGCTTTACCACTAGAGACTTGTATCGTTTTTAAAAGCACGAGTCAACAGGCATGCTCTACAGAGGATGCAGAGCCTACCGTCGACTGCGATACCGCGGACCACATGATGTCAACGACCTTTTTCCCTGTCGACGAAGGCGCACCAAGGAGCCCGACTTCTCCAATGAGAACAAAGAGCGCCCCAGACGTTTTGGGAAGCAATTTGGAGACAGACCTTGGTAGGCAGAATCCTAATCCCATCATCTGCACGTCGCTGAGATTATTTTCGTTTCAAGCAGACTTGAACGGCGCGTTGGACAAGTTTATAGATAGCGAGTACAACTGGTTCTGGGATGTCGACGATCTATCAACATGGAATGTACAGTCCCCGCAAAGTATCGCAGGGCAAACAGAGACGCTAGTCAACAAACCGGGTACAACTGAAGATGTTACATCCCACGCTCAATCAAACACTGTCACGGCGAAGGTATATTACTGTTGCCGAGTCTGCTGGAGGGTCAGACTAGCTCTCGAAGATTCAAGAGCTAACTGCGTCTACAGAATATGGTTTCACATTCGATCTCCCCTGATGCTACAATCCGGGATGGTGCCACCGATTGTCGACTTCGCCCTTTGCCACATTCGCGACCAGAGCCGTTGCCGCCGCCTCTTCCGACTCCTATGTCATTTGTCGATGAGATCTCTCTGCTCGACTTTCGGCCAAGCAGCCTAAGCCCTTCAAGGGCTCAAAATACAGTTACGGCAGCATCAAGTACCCCCTCGATCGCATTTAGCCCTCCAGAAAGACACGAAAATCCAGTCATCGGCGCCGTATCTCGAGACCAAATCCTTGAGATCGTCGTTCAAGCGAGAACACGAACGAGTGATAATGTCCTCGTCGATGAGAATCATCCTTTGCTCTCCTTATCTGCTTTGCAAGACTATTGCGACGTCTTCTTCACTCACTTAAACAAAACATTCCCGCTGATACATGCGGCAACTTTTGATCCAAGCCAAACTTCGCCTTTGCTCCTCCTTTCACTTCTTATCTTGGGTGCCAGTTGCGGTGACGACGACGCACATCATCTTGCCGTGTGCATCCATGATGCCATGAAGCCCCAAATTCTTCAGAGTGTTGCATCAAGTGTGGTTCCAGAGCTGTGGTTGCTGCAGACTGTCCTGCTGGCCGAATGTTTTGGCGTTTGGAGAGCTGGCGAAAAACAACACCATTCCGCTCACCTGTTCCATGGCTCTCTCATCAAGTAGGTTTATCACTTCTCCCTGCCTGTCAGACATAGACCAGCTCATATCTCTCCCTTTACTCCAAAGTCTTATTCAGAGAAGCGACTGTCTCAGCGTTGCAGAGCCCGCGTACTCGGACGCATTAAAAGATGTGGAGTCGCGATGGCATCACTCGATGGAAATCGAACAGCGTAAACGACTCGCATATCTGTGTTTCCTCCTCGATACTCAGCGAGCTGTTTTATTTTCACAGCAACCCAACATGTCAGCAACAGACTTTCGCAGCGCGCTCCCTTGCTCATCAGTGGTTTGGGAAGCGAGATCTGCCGAGGAATGGGACTACCAAGTGACTCAGCAACAGGCCCCGGAGTCATTCTTGACGGTCTTGAGATCCTACCTTTCTCGGCCAATGTCGACCCGTTATTTTCATCTCGACGGAATATCCTACCTCCTCCTCCTCCACGGACTCATGTCCGTCGCTTTAAATTTGAAACGAACGAGCGATATGTCTCTGGGCTGCAACAATTTATCTGACAGCTCGGACTGGCGCTCGAGGGTGGCCACGTCTTATGACCTGTGGAAAGCCGATTTCGATGTTTACTGCTTCCAGGCTCGGTCCTCCAGTCGACCTTCGCACTCGGACGGTGCTCTTGAAATCGGAGCCTTGAAGCACTTTGCTGATACGACCCTGGCGGTGTATCACGCCGCGCATATCACCCTCAACGTGGACATTTCGCTCCTGCAAACGTTCGCCGGAGCGCCCCTGATCAGCAAATGGGTGACGAAAGCCGACCGTCAGCTGTCTAGCCAGAAAGTGCAAGCCTGGGCCACAGGCGGCGCAGGACGTGACCCGGCTCACGCCGCCGTTTGGCACGCTGCACATATCCTGCGCAGCTGCATCGTCGACTTCAACGGCCAACAGCCTCAGTATAGTTTCCAATATCCCTGGTGTGTCTATCTTGCGAGCTTGACGTACTGGGCCTTCTCGCGGGTTCGACAAGGCCGTGACGTGGTCTCCGGCATGGTGCCGCTCACAAGCATGCACAACAAGAACAATTGCAACCAGAGGAACGAAGTCGGAACAACAACTGAAGCCACGCTGGAAGCTCTAGCGCAAATCTCTGCGCTGATAAGTGGTGGGCCGGACCGGCTCTCAGAATCCATAAGGTCCTGGCCGATGAAGGGACTCATCACGGCTATAAATACCCGACTGAATGACGTGCAGTGGGGAGTTGCTCTCCAGGGCATGAGGGATCTTGTGCAACTCAACGATTGAGGAGAGGTTTTTCTTTTCAAGCGATCCCACCAGTGCGAGAAACAGAATAGACGACCGTCGAATCTTCGCCTCACGACAGACACTTTGGACGCAAGTGAAGCGGGACAATAACGGGCAGGTCAATTTCCGAAGAACAAATAAACAGGCTTCCCTTTCCCCTGCACCTTCTCCGCAGTGAGATTCCTTCGAGGGCGCCATGGCCGATTCTCTCTGGCCGAACGACTATTTTGTCGCTATTTGCTTCAAAGCCGAGAGCTTCTATTATTCGATAGAGGAACGCAACGACATTTCCAGGGTTGAGGCGTATCAGACTCTATGTTACCAGCGAATGTGCCCTTAGGGCCTGATATTGGCAATGGCATTCTCGGTCTGCGCATTGCCCCGAAAACCAGGATCCGCCTCTGCACCAGCAAGCTGCTTTCTAGAGCGCCATATGATATGGGCCCGCTTGAGGTTGAATTCGCCGTTCCTACTATCGCTCCGACTGTCTCCTCCGTGTCGATCGGATCGTTGTGGACGGCTTCCGCAGAAGTTGGGTTCCGGCAGTCTGTATGCCCAGCGAACGGTACCACGAAGCACGCACACGTCTCCCCTTATTCTACCGGATCAAAGTCGAAGCGAGAGGTTCTCTGGCGGGCTGAGACCCGCTCAATCACATAACATTACCGAACCCCGTCATGTGGACATTTTGGTCACTGGATGGCCACGGTCCGTCAGGAAACCCCGAGTGGTCGAAGTTCTCCAGGTAATTCACAAGGTTGTCCGTCAAGTCTTGCGTGAACCCGTAGAGGGTATGCAGGCTCGGAATAGGCTCGACACTGTGCTGCAGGCTAGAGGGCACCTCCTCCGCTTGCCCGGTATGCAGAAGACGGCCCGAGAACGAGCTCTCATCCTGGCTCCGCTGCGCTGCCACGGTGGGGTGCATGTAGCCGAGAAGCTGCTGGAGGAAGGAATATGCGCGCTGAGCGAAAGCGTGGTCGTGAGACATAGTTTGTATCATCCGCAGCGCGGTATCGACCTTGGAAAGCGCTGCTCGGTCGTTGCTGCACGCTGGCTCGACGACGTGGGAGACCAAGACGACCACAGCGTTGAACACTGGGGTTGCTCTAGTCAGGCTTGAGCTGTCTTAGAGAGACACTTTTGGATTCACTTACAATAGTAGATGTTGAACCAATTCAACCCCATTGTTTTCTTCGTGTGCTCATGCCTCAATGCAACCATGTCAATGCTCTCCATCGCGGCGTGGATGCAAATGCTGCGGCTCGACTGCAAAGCATGGCTCACAACTGAATCCTCCACGTCCTGGTGTCCCAGGAGACCGCGCAGTGTCACCATGAGGGATTGTCGGTGTATCAGAATCCGGACCATGTTCCCGCGCAGGGCGAGAATCCAAGGCTGTTCTGTGGGCGCCTTGTAGTCGAGGATCAGATGGGACGGCAGGGACCGATGCCACTTCCGGTATTGTTCATCGAGGGGCATGACCAACTCCACGACCTTCCTGCCACTGTCGACGCTTTCGTTCAGCTGGGACTTAAAGGCCTCGATGATGCGATAGAGTTTGATCACCTCGATGGAAAAGGACATGGTGGAGGGGGGTCTCGGCATGGGCGCGCTCTGGATATACTCGTCGTCCAGATCCGTGGGCAGGCTGACAGAGCACTCATCTGACCGGATCATTGACGGGCGATCGTAGATCATGCTGAGAAGCACGTCCAAAGTGTAGGCCGCGTACCACACTCTTCTCTTTGTCTCTCGCAGGGGCTGGGGATCCGTGTCGGGCGGGTCTTTATGCAGGCCAAGCCCGTACGCGATCCTGATGGCCAGGCCGAGAATGTTCCAGCATTCATTCGCACAGCTCGAGCCCTGCAGGTATCTCGCGCCAATCAACAGGGCTTGGACGTGTTCCAGCTTCCAATCTCGGAGCAGATTAGGCTGGATGAGCGAGATGGCGATATCATAGTGCCGTCGTGCCGCGCGAGGGTTGCCCCGGGCATCAATGACCCAGTGTGACGTGCAGATGGCGAATATCATGTTCAGGAGGACGAATATGGACCTGTGGTGAGAGCGTTGTTCTGGCGGACACTGGAGGGCGGCGTCGAAGAGCGGCCGAATGCTAGGGACATGGAACACGGGCGACAACGGGTGGCGAAGCGTGAAGAACTGGCCGAGCAGCTCGCTTGCATTGGCTGGTAGAGTGTACAAATCCTGTTCTGTGAGTCGGGACTCTTGTTCTCGGACGTCGTTGTCGGTGGTCCTCGAGTAGGCCTTGACACTCTCGTGGCCGTGAAGGGCATTCAGTATTAGCTGAGTGAATGAAACCCCGCCCATGGACACATCTGCGTCAGCCACTACGGCTGATGGGTAGCCGCTAGAGGAGGCGGCTGCTGAAGCGCCGGGAGTTCCTGGATGTCGGGCGCCAGTGGCTCGTTCATTTCTATAACTCGAAGGGGGAAGCGATGTTGTTGATTCAATGCGGGGGATGGGCCCGATTTGAGCTGAGTCCAGCCTAGATCTGTTTTCAAGAGCTTCAAGTCGTTGCTCGAGCGCTCGGAGATAGCTATGGTTTGAACTGCATCAGCGTGGCCTCTTTGCGGGGACGTTTTCGTTGCTTACTCTTGCTCCACGACCACCGTGTTGCTTGCACCCCCGGAGATGCCACGTTGCATATACACGCAACTTCGACCGTTATGCTCGCAGGTTGAGCAGACGGGTTTTCTCCCGTCACATTTGGTCTTCAAGGATCTGCAGCTGAAGCAGGAGACAGCAACCCGGTTGCGACGTCTTCTCTCTGCGACTGTGGCATCTTGCTTGCCTCCTCGATCTGACGACATCCCGGTATAGGGCTATGTAGTTCGAAAGCGTGGCGGGTGCTACATGGTGAGAAACCGTAGCCTCACGAATGCGACGAGGGACAGCGACGGGCAAGAATGAGAAAGTCGTTCGTTTTCGGGTCTGGTGTTTGTGGAAGGGACAGAAACTGTTGTGTCTGACATAGGCTTTTCCTCTTGATGACAGGCCATCTAGCGTACCTAGCCACACTAGCCATCCGTCGATTCCTGTCTGACAAACCAGCCTATGAATCCCCGGAAAATCTCCCCAGCTCTCATTCTATTCCCCGGCCCGAGAACAACTTCCCACGGGGTTGAATATGGAGACCCTGCGATTTATCCACTACCCTGAACTCCCTGGACGGCAGCCACCTAGGCAGTGAACGAACTGCCTCGAGCGTCACCCCTTTAGCACTCTCGATAATTTTGAGATCGATGGTGAGGAGTATCACGGACTTGTTGGGACGATTCGAGAAGGAAAAATCTAACTACACCTATGATTTCTTCCTACAAAAGGGGAGCAGCACCTCAATTTGAAGCTCTGCCAATCATTCTTCGATGAGCGGTCTCCTCGCCTCATGCCGGCCCTTCAGTGTTGGCACCTTCTGCGTTTTGGGGTGAAATAGTGCGTGATCCGTCGTTCCTTGAAGACAGGCTTTGGGGCCACCGCCTCCAACCAGTCTTCCCTCGAAAGAGAAGGCTCGCTATATTCCAGCGCAATTCCATATGGCCGGATCTCGTCACGGAGCCTATCCATTCGATCCCACGGATAGCCATCCCCCTCTGTCTGCGCATAGCATGGATCTGGGTTATATGTGATCTCGATCCTTTTCAGCGCCGCCTTCCTTGCAGCGGCAGCTTTCGCCAACGCTCTCAGCCACTCTGCTTCCTTGGTTCCAAAGTCGGTCCAGGATTCGGAGTGCTGGTCATATATACCGAAATCCCACCCGAAAGTCTGGAGGTTTGAAGCGAGCAGTGCATCGGCATCCTCGCGTGAAAAGACCAAATCCCTGTCCATCTGCCACCTTGAAAGCCTCAAGGTCTCTAGGTGTGGAAAGTCAGACGCAATAAATAGCCGGCCTCTGCCTTCCGGGGACGGATAGCTGATATCGACGGTTTTTAGGGTCTCCTTGTGCACCAAGAGCATGGAGTGGAAGCGGGGCAAGTCCAGGTAGTAGGATTTTGTGTAAAGGCGGCCGAAGTGGAAATGCACGAGTTCCTTCGGCCACTGGATGAGGCGGACTGTGTTTTCGTGGGATCCTTCAAACTCGTATAGGGAGAGGTTGGATAACGTACCGATTTGTTGTTTCTACAGGACAGCGTCAGTTTTCGTGGTCGGTTCGAGGAGATACCAAGGTTTGAAATCCTTGCTTTCTTTCTCTATTTTCTACCTATATAGGAACACTCGGTTTGTGAAATAGTGGAAGTACCTTTGGTAGCGGCACCATGAGCGGTTGTCTTTTGTCTGAAAATGCATGGACCTGTAGCTTTCTGAGCGCTGGGATGTCGATATTCTGCATGATCGCTCCCAGATAATGACAACCCCCACCTATGGAAAGGTGCTGGAGTTCAGGCATGTGCTGAATAGCGGTCTGTAGACAGGTCCATATGTGTTCCTCTCCTGTGAATCCATCAGAGATTTTTAGACATCGCACCCTCGTGAACCAAGCGACAAAATCATTTGCGATGGAGAAATCTTCTGGTGTGGTTCGATCGATGTGGGCAACCTGGATGAAAAGCACTCGGCAATGTTGAGAGAGTGAGGGATTCTCTTGCAGGCTCCGGTACAAGGCTTTCACGGCCCTAGTTGAAGGCACGGTATAGTCTCTCCAACCAAAGCCAATGATGCGATAGAGGAGGGGAAGTACAATACGGCTAAAGCGATGTCAGGTAAACAGCAGCGATTTTATGCCTGGGCAGTTGTATTGCGTCTCGCAGTCGCAATAGTGGCTCGAGAGACGAGGATTCACTGTGGCGAGCTCAAAGATTGTGCGGAGAAGCTCATCGGGGAGCCTGAAGATGGATGGGTTGTGGGACGTGGTACGAGCATGGACGACAGGGAATCGCAGAAACGTTTGATGGAGTGAAATGAATTGAGCCCAAGGGGGGGTCGAATCCATGGTAGGAAGAGACACCAGGGGAGTTGGATGGTGTAAAGCTTGAATGATGGTAAGAAGTCAAGAACGGCGATGAGGTCGATACACATTCTTCTTAACCCAATGGACCAATGTACTAAGGCCAAGCCCCTCCAACCTCTTCTCCGTCCTCCAGTGGGCAGCAACAACTCGGCATTACAATGAGATTCCGTTCGAGGACCATCCCACTCCCAGGGCCCCTGCGTGTTGCTCTCCCGCGATACTCCATCGACAACCTCCCACCGGTGCTACACGCCCTCTCAGAGGAGAGGAGAGGAAGAAGGCGCTCTGCATCCGTTCCGCTCCATCAACCACAGCGCAGGGCGGGATGTCTAGGTTCTTCTCAGGACGCAAAAGAGGAAGAAGGGTGCAATGCTAGAAGAGGTGAGGAAGGTCAGGGACTTGTACGACCCGCCGCGCGAGATGAAGGGACTGCTCAAAGGCGGCTTCAAATTCGCGGTGTAGAACCTATCACATAGATGGAAGGCTGGAAGCAGGCAAGACAGATGAAACAAAATACAAAGTCCTCTTTGTCTGGATCATTGTTCGAGCTCTCCCTTTTTTTGCCGTGGCTCTAGCCTCTAGTAACCTGCTTTTTCCCCGTAGTACTTTGGTAAATACGTGCCATGATAGTCGTTCACGTCAAGTACATCCGGACCTCCCTTTTCGGGTCGTAAATTCTTGAGCGCCTATTACTGCATGTTCGTATGCTCCCTGCACACATAGTTCAAGAGTTGTCCAAGTCGTAGATCTCGTCCTTCGGACAACTTGCAAATGTTCAACCCGCTGCGTTGAAGATGTCAGCAACGCCATTTGAAGAGTTGGGCGGCATCCGCGTGAATCTGCGGCTGCCACCCAACAGTCAGAATATCCAAGCTCGGGTCGATCTGTCAATGGGTGGGCATCGTTTGGAGCTCTAGCGCGTGCGTTCTGTGCTCAGGCCTCATCCCTCAGCACAGCGCCCGCGCCAAATTGGTCGGCCATATCTGCCTTATAGCGCGCCAGGAAGAAGCCGCCAAAAGTCCGAAGGGTTTCCTGGCAGAAAGCAGTCAGAAATGCTGCTTTGCATCGCTCCAGATGCGGTTCAGGAAACGTTCCGCACCCCGGGAATCCGTACCGCCGAGACCAAGCCACTCAACCATCCATTCATATCAGTAAGCACTGTTGTAACATCCTTCCAGCGCCGTCTGACCCAGTCTTCCACCCGGCGATCTTTGTAACCCTTCCATCTCGCCCATATGACGAAGAGAAACACCAAGCTCGCATCGACCAGGATCTGCCGCACGAGTGCCCAGGCCAGCCATTTAACCCACGTTGATATCCGATAGAATATCCTTCTCCGCCTAGAGGTCAGCTCGGGGGAGAACGAGGAAGATGATAGCAAGTGGTTTGCGGATAGTTGCTCTCGTAGTGCAGCAACCTCGGTCGAGAGATGCCTCAGGTGAGATTCAATGCGACTTCGCCAGTCGGGATCAGAAGGAGCTCGTCGTGAAGAAGACAACGGGCCGATGACCGCGTGGGTTACTGGGTCCACCTCCTCACTCTCCACAATATCATCGCTGCCTCGCTGTGACACTGGCGACAGTACTCGCAACCGATTGGGGTCGGAGTTTAATCTGCTCAAGCTTTCGCCTTCTCCTCGTGTGCTTTGACCGGGAGGTAGACTTCCAAAGCTCGTTGTCTGCCTCAGGCCTGCCCGCTCCAGCCGTCTAGTAGGCGACTCTGCATCCTCATCCTCTGAGCTCCCACTTTGACTTTTGATCTGGTTCCAAACGAATTCCAATTCTGACACCAGCTCACGAGACTCCTGCGTACCCGAAGCATATTCCTTCATGGTCTCTATCAGTGTACTGATGTACCGTCGTTTGGCTTCGGTGCGGGACATGCCGGCACAAGCATGCCAGGCATCCCATTTCTCAATTTCCGCCTCGGCTTCTCGTACTCGTAGGTCTCGAGATGCGTATCTGTGGACGTTGTTCGACTTGGAGTTGTTCGGATCTGGAGAAACAGAGGGCAGAGTCGGACGCGGGAGGATCGATTCAACGTCGCCTTCCATGGACTGCTTATAGAGCCCATAGAGACGTAAGCGGGCGGAGGGAGGTGGTCGTGAGGAGCCCGTTCGAGGGAGTCGACGGACTGTGGCTAAGGCATGGACAAAGACGCGGTCTGTGTCGGAAGAAGTGAGACTCTGACACGGTGCCATCAGGGTATGAAAGACGGGTTAAGACATACCCACGGAGTCCGACATGGCGCCAACTGCGCCCGAGGCCTGCTTGCCTCTCTAATATACCGGCGGCGAAGATGGTTGATTCAATGTCAAATGGAGGATATCATTCGAAATGCCCCGTGCCGAAGATGCTGTGCGGAGAGAGCGGGCAATCAAGCAGTCGCGTGAGAGGGCTGAGGCGAATCTAAAGAGGATGAGATGATAGAATTAAGTGTCAATGAGAGTCAACTGGCTGGGTATGGACTCTGAAAGTAAGCCGAAAAAGTATTATAACAAGGCCGGTGGTATAGCTGGGCGACTGCCGAAGGTTGACATGGACACGATCGCATTGACTGGCAATTGGCAGGTGAAGCAATCAATTATTTGATCATCTCAGGCTTTTCGGGATCCCAAGGCCTCGGCCTGAGATTACGGCGCAGCATGTGACCGCAGCGCGGCAATATACCAAGTACCACTCGTGCCACAGCTCACAGTCCACCATCCTGTCTCTCCATCCGCAATCACTTTGGTTTCCAGTTGCCCTCGCTGCCTCCCTCCTCCTACCGACAATATCGCCAGTGACTCCATACCGCTCTATCCTCCTACCCTCTCTGGCTCCGATTTGCCACTCAGCTCCGTGGTCTCCCTAGCAATCCCATGTGACGGCTGTTCAGGATCACTGTGCGCAGCTTGTCGGTTTCTAGTTGACTCCTTTGGCGCTTCTCCGCCCATGGCGTACTTGCTCAGATCTCCATACTTGATTGTGTTCAGAGCACTCTCGTGAGAAGCGTGGAGATGCACTCGCGGCACTGCCGACTGTGATACTTGTCCTTTCTGCGCAGCGTCAAATGCTTCCTTCCACCGATGTGCGCACAGACACCATTTCATCCCATCCTTGACCCCGGCCTCTCTCAGGTTGTTGCCTCTCGAATTTGTAAAATCCAGAAACTCTTGGTTCACTGTGGCTGCTACTGAATGGTTTCCCTTGTCCTCGGGTCCGGTCCTGCAGTAACCATCGCGAAAGAAGCCGGTCGGAGGGTCTCTAGAGTGCATTGCCAGCTGCCCACCGGCGACTGAGAGTATGTCAGATTGTATTCACGAAGCTTGGACCCAAACAGGCACACCATTCTTGTTCTTCATCATTTCCTTGCTTGAGGTCTGAGGTGTCCCGGCCATCTTGGATGATATGCTCAAGTACCGGACAGTGTGTGTGTGTGTCACAGTTTCAACGGCGCTCAATCAAGGTCGCGATGTCAACGTATCTTCAAGAGAAGGAATCAAGAAAGCGAGATTTAGACCACATTCGGACCCTCGCACCCATTTTACAGTCTGGAGCAAATGATCAAGCCTGCGGTTATGAAATCATGACGTTTTGCGGAGTGTTTACATCACCAGGAGCTGAAACAAGATGTCGGTCGGTACAAGCCAGAGCTCATTGATGACAGCATGAGTTGTCGCCTTCGGTGTTTTCAATAGGCATGGAAAGGGAGGCCAGAATAGACGGCTCCAAACTTTTGTCCCGTCATGTGCAAGAAAACAGCAAAGGAATACCTCGAGGCTGCTTGGTGCCAGGACCACCACTTACAACGTGCTGATAAGATAAGAGCTTGCTCGGAATCGATACCCGTCAGACATTTCGTGTTCGGCAGATCCTTTTGTGTGCCTGATATGCCTGGTATGCATTATATGCGAAGCACCATCCTGCGTCTTCTCTCTCCACTTCCTCCAACATAACAATGGATATAACGGACAACACCCTCCGTGGATCCCACAAAAGCACGATGGATCAACATACATCTTCTGCATACGGAGTGTGTCTCTCCTCCCCGGCAAAACACCTCGGCAATGTATCCGGGGCTGCGGATAGACACCGCGGGGAGATGTACGGGGCATCCTTCTCCATTTCGACTCTGCTAGTTGGTGCATCGGTTATGTCCATTGACGCCAATGTCGATCCGTCCTTTTATCCCCAGATCTCTCCAGGAAGTTACCTCGCCCAGAAACCATGTTAAAGATACCAGTCATCCCTAAACTTGCCACTTCAGTACTCATTAGCATCTTTTCTCTCTAAAGCATAACTGAACAGACTAAGGCCACAACCTATTAGTCTCTGCTATGCTAAACAGGCATGGCTCACAAAAAGATGAAGCTTCGAATGAAGATGTCATGATCCCTATAGCCGTTGATGGCGCTGTGGAGGTGGCGGTTCAGAATGTACCTCTGCAAAACGATCCACGATACCCATCCACGCCTGATGCCAATGGCATTGAACATCGATACTTGACCTTTGAAACAGATATTCCACTGAATCCGGTACTACCATCCGGGGCCAAGAATGAGCTTCCACCCTGTCCAAATCTGCGCGATTACGACAACCCATTCACCTGGTCGCTCACCCGGAAGAATCTCATGACTTATCTCTCCTGCTCAGTCAATATCACTGCTGCCTACTCCGCCGGCTCTTATGCTTCGCCGACAGCACAGTTGACTGAAAAATGGGGGATCTCTGCCGTGGCATACAAGACTGGCATTACTATCTTTACAGCCGGGTTTGGAATTGCTCCTATGGTGCTGGCACCATTCTCAGAGATCAATGGAAGGAGACCTGTCTTCATCTTTACCGGAATCCTCTTCGTCATATGTCAAATTGGCTGCGCAGTGACCGACTCGTTTGCAGGGATGCTGCTGGCTCGATTCTTCCTCGGTGTTGGAGGGTCTACATTCTCTACCATGGTCGGCGGCATTCTCGCAGATGTTTGGGTCACAGCTGACCGCAATGGTCCCATGGTCCTCTTCACGGGAGCAACCTTGTTTGGTACCGGTCTAGGGCCTTTGGTATCCGGTTTCGTTGCACAGCGCACTTCATGGCGTTGGGTGTTTTGGATACAGGTCGTCACCAGCGGTACCTTGGTCAGTCTTGTCACCATTTTCTTCAAGGAAACGCGGGGTAGTATCATTCTCAGTCGCAAGGCGAAGTTGCTAAACAAGTGGTACGAGCAACTGGAGGCCGCAGGAGCCCTGGGAATGGAGGTGGAGGGCGATAGCCTAGACCCAGAAAAGAGCTTGAAGAGGTATTGTCGAATCCGGTGGAAGGTGAAAACAGACGAAGAACGATTGTCGCTAAGCCGAATGATCGCGGTCTCCCTCTATCGACCTATTCACATGCTAGTCACCGAGCCTGTGGTCTTCTGGTTCAGTCTCTGGATTGCATTTTCCTGGGCGGTACTGTACCTCCAATTCGGGTCGATTCCTCTAGTCTTTGAAGTCAATCACGGCTTCAACCTAGAGCAGACCGGAGCCATATTTACAGCCATGTGCGTCGGAGCGATTATCTCCACGATCCTGAGCATCTGGCAGGAGAAATGGGCGGCTAAGCACTACCCGGTCAAGATCAACGGCAGCCCAGAAGGGAGGCTGATGTTCACCTGCATCGAATCGGCTTTTATGCCAATTGGCTTATTTTGGTTCGGTTGGACATGTTACTCCTCCATCCACTGGATTGTGCCCACGATTGCCATCGGGGTCGCCACAATGGGCATCTTCAGCATCTTCCTCGGAACCTTCAACTACACAGCGGACTGCTATCATATGTATGCGAGCTCGGCCCTTGCAGCTTCGGGAGTCTGTCGAAACTTACTGGGAGGGTCGTTCCCACTGGTGACAAATCAATTGTTTACAAACCTTGGGTTCCAGGCTGCGAGTAGCCTCTTGGGCGCCATCGGGCTCGCGTTGACTCTCGTACCTTGGGTCCTTGTCCTGTACGGACCGAAGATCAGGGCTAGGAGCAAGATTGCGAGCTCATTCACTTGAGACAGCATTGTTTGACTACTGCCTATGACTTTAGCGAGTTCAGCATAACCTGGATTGAAGTATCGCCCAGCCAATTTTTGAGGGAAAGAGCCTCCACCCTCGGAATACCAGGCCTTAATCTTTTGGCCAGAGGGCAGAGAAATGTCAACGAGAGAGGTTAAGCTACTAGTCCTCACTTCCGACAATCGCAACAGACAAGCCACATCGATAGCAATCTCTGCAGGGGGAGGACCATGCTGACGACTGCAAAACTTGCCAGGGTTGAAGTCCGATAGAGCTTCACGACCCGATATTATGGGTTTCGTTCTGACTCTCTCAAATTCCATCATATTTGATAGCTCGCCTCGCCGAACCTTCACTACCTGCGTGAATTGGTAGTACATTCTCGGGTGAGCTGAGTGAGGACGGGAGCCATGGAATGCTATCATGGAGAGAAAGGCGGAGTGGAACCCAATGGATTATGGCAGGACTTTTGTTCAAGATTGTAGTATATACAACAGGCGCACGCGGCAGAATTGGTTAGTCGCAAACGCCACAACAACTGCAGGTCAGCTTCCAGGATCTGGCCGGACTAAAAATCCTCTTTCTGACCCTCGTGTGTGAAGTTGTCGATGTTCTCCGAAACGGACGTGACGGCCACCTTCTCCCCTTCGAGCTGGCCAACCCGGCGCTCGGCGTCGGTATAGTGAACTTCGGCCGGGCGGAAGGGGTTGAACGGGACCGCAAAGATGGCGTCGATCTCTTCAAGAGCGCGACCCTGTCACAAGACATGCAGCGTCAGCTTGATCATCCACTCGGAGGAACTGGCCGTGGAGACGGTCCAACTCACCTTGGTCTCGGGGAGGAAGAGGAAAGTAAAGAAGAAGGCGAGAATGGAGATGCTGCCAAACACCCATCCGACCCCGAAGTGGATGTTGTTGATCATGTAGGGGATGACAAAGTTGGTCACAAACGCCCACACCACGTTCCACGACGTCCCTAGTGCTTGCGTCTTTTCTCGCACCGCGGCGTTAGGAATCTCGGAGCCGAGAAGATACGGGATCGAAGCGCCACCCATCTGCGGACGGAGATTGTCAGCGTATTCATCTCGCAGAAGGACCGTTGGGGATCTGGCACTCACATTGTAACTAAATGCGTACAGCATAAATGCAGCCACAATCATGTTTTTGTCACTCGCCGTCTTGTGCCCCATACCACCAAGTCCGGCCAACAAGTATATCCAGAAGGCCTGGAAAGAGTATGTAATCATGAGGCTGTACCGACGACTATAAAAACAACAGTCAGCTAGGGCACGGACACCAAACAAGAAGTATGACTGGACATCTGAACTTACCCAAGTTTGTCGACCAAGTACATGCCTGGGAGGACTGAAAGGAAGCTGAGACAGCTATTAATGATGGGATAGGTGAAGGCCTGATCCGCGTATCCGTTCGTCTTATAGAATGTTGTCTGGTAGGTGGAAACAAAGGCTTGGCCGGTAGTCTGTGGCACACCGGGTTAGACAACCAATTGACAGGCTCAGAGAAGAGTGACACCTACCTGCTGGAAAAAATAGTACACAATGACAATGGCCGTTCGTCGGAGATTAGTTCCGCGCACGAGGTCCAACCACGGGGCCTTGTGGACTTGCTCACGAAGAGCCTCTCTGATGGCATGGATCTCGGCGGCGCACTTGTCATCAGAACCGTCGCCTTTCGGCCTGAGTCGGCGGAGGGCGGCAATGGCCTCGCTGTCACGATCCTTCGACAAGAGCCAGCGGGGAGAGCTAGGAATGAACATGGTGAAGAGGATTATCACTGCGGGATCGCGTTAGCGATATTGGACCATCGTCAGCGTGCGAGGGAAGGTGATGGATCCACTCACGGACGGGGAAAATAAATTGGATGCCAGTGACCGCTTTCCAACCCAGACCGTCGGTTCTGGTCGAGAATGCCTTGTTGACCCCAGAGGCGACGACTGTTCCGGCGTTGAGAAAGAGTTGGAGAGAGACGACAACGAGGCCACGGAATGGCGCCGGGACGATTTCAGACTGGTAGGTGCTGGTTATGCCCGTCAGTTTCGCGCAAATAACCCAGTTGGGGTGTTGAGAGCTCACGTCACGTCGACTTCGACCAGGCCAACCGACATATAGACAATAATGCGACCAACGATAAACTGTGCGAAGCGCCCGGATCCTACGCCAGTGCCAGCTGCGGTGATTTCGACTAGATGGGACACAAATGAGCTTGGAGAACACAGCTGGGCTAAGGGAATGAATTAACTCACTGATAATCCCGACGAACGAGACCGCTGACAGCCCAAAGAACACTGCACGGTGGCCAAACCGCTCAATAGCCGGACCGGCGAGCAAGCACCCAAGGAACTTGCCAATGAAGGCGAGAGAGGACAGCAGCGATGTATGGAGAGAATCGATGGAGTATTTATCGGTCGAGGGATGGTACGAGCCAAACTGCCTCACGAAGCCCTGAAGAGGGTGTCAGTGGTGTCCCCAATCAATCCCATGCACAGAACCCGGGCCACTCACGGGATTGGCGAGGATACCTCCAAAACTCCCAGTGTCATACCCAAAGAGCATGTCGCCCACCAGCAGGCAAAAACAGGAGAAGAGAAGCATAGGGGTCACCATGGACCACGCCGAAGGAGGGTTTGCCATGGCAGCGGTGGTAGTTCAGGGTCTGAATGATGTGTCTCTCTCAGAGGTTGTCGCAGGCTGGTAACAGGACGATGGGAGACGCAGCTCTGAATTGGCGCATATGCATCTGGGGCGACGATGCAGTGGGGTCCTCGCTGGTCTTATATCCAGAGAGAGACAATTAGTCTCGAACGTGTCCAGGAGTCCCCATGGGGACCCTGGGTGAGGTGAAGAAGAGGCGAAGAGGCGAAGAGGGTGAGGAGGAGAGAATTCCGAGCGAGAAGTATAACTGCGCCTCTCGGAGCGAGTCTTCGCCCGGAGCGCAGTGGCACAAGGACACCAAAAACCCACCTCAGCCTTCCGAGCGAGATCACCTTTCACGCTTTCATCAAGCCTCGCCGTCACTCCATCACTCTTCTGATCAGAGCGAACACACGGCATTTGCAATCTGCTCCTGGCGCATTCTCCCGCACGCCGTCTGAGATCCCAAAAATACCGGAATCCACGCCTCCAGGGGCGCAGTCTCCTCCACAGTTCGTCTTCCGGCTTCCCTCCCCTCCATCTCGCTTGCATTCCTAGGCCTGAAAACCGGTCATGCATCCCTCTTTTTCCGAGCATAGACTTTCCGTGTAAGATGTTGACAAGATATTTTCTGCATCGCGCGCCTTTTGGGGACTTTGAAATAGACGTACCAGCAGATGAGACGGCTCGGTGGTGTATAACAGACTCTCTCACCACGTCCACATTGGCGCCATTTCAGCCAAGTTTCACTCACTTACTAGACAATCGCAACCCCCCGTAGGTCGTCCTGTTGAAGGTATCAAGATGAACGGTGGGCCCAACGGGATGCCCAAGCGTCCCAACTTTCTCTTTATCCTCGCCGACGACCTTGCAAGTTGCGTCCTCCCTCAGGCCAAAAGCCTTGCTAATGATCGAGTTGCCAGGGTTTCTCCGATATAGGATGCTATGGCGCCGAGATCCAAACTCCGAATATCGACCGTCTGGCCGCCGAGGGCGTTCGTATGCTCAATGTCCACGCCGCAGCGGCTTGCTCGCCCACGCGCGCAATGCTTCTGAGCGGAACCGATGCACATCTCGGTGGGCTTGGCGTGTTGATCGAATACAAGAACAGCGAGAAAGGAGCGAAACGGTGGTCTGGCAAAGCAGGGTACGAGGGATATCTGAACAATGAAGTGGCAACCTTGCCTGAAATCCTGACAGATCATGGATATTTTACCGCCATGTCCGGCAAGGTCAGTCCTTCGTTGCTCCGTGGCTGCCTCTCGCCCTCATATGGGGCAACCTGCACGTCTAGTCGAGCTATCCGGGAACTAACCAGTCTGCAGTGGCATTTGGGGCTACGTGCCTCTCAGGGGCCGTGGGAACGCGGTTTTCAGAAAGCATTCGCTATGCTGCCGGGTTGCTGCAACCACTATGGTTGGGAGCCAGTCCAGGAGACCTTCCCCGTCGGTGGTCGGCCAGTCCATGCTGAGAAGGGCAAAAAGGTTCAAATGTGAGTTCAAGACGATGGCGGGCCATTCTGGCGGGATATCAGGAAAGGCGTGGAACGAGACGAACTGACCGCGCTACTTGACCCCAGAGCACCCAACAAGACGGAGGACCCCGAGGGTTTCTACTCTACCGATTATTATACCAATCGATTGATCAATTTCCTCGAGACTCGGTCTGACGTCGAGGCTGCAAAGCCGTTCTTCGCCTTTTTACCGTACACCGCTCCCCATTGGCCCCTCCAATGCTCCAAGTCGCAACGCGATAAGTGAGTACAGACCCAACTCCGACCTTTTGCAGCTTCCACCTCGAGCCGTGGAACAATAACTTTACGGCGAGGGCTGAACTAATCCTTCCGTCATAGGTACGCGGGAGTGTACGATGACGGTCCCTACGCCTTGAGGGAACGCCGACTGAGAAAGCTCACTGAGATGGGAATTATAGACAAGTCTGTTATCCCGCACAAGGTTGAGACAACCACTCAAGGCGTTGGGGAATGGGACGACCTTACGCCCGAAGAAAAGAAGCTCTCGAGCCGGGCGATGGAAGCATACGCTGGCATGGTCGACTCCATCGACGTCAATGTCGGCAAGGTGGTAGAGTATTTGAAGAAGACTGGAGAGTACGACAACACGTTCATAGTGTTCATGAGTGACAACGGTGCGGAGGGTGCTGCGTGAGTCCTGTGTCTCTCCTTCACATCAACTTAAGACTTGAACTGATCAATGTGATTCTTGGTATGCAGATTGGAGGCTGTCCGTGGGTTGAGACTGTTGCACCTATTTCAATACACACAGGCTGACTGACTTCTCGCAGCGGTTATGGGGGACAACATCAAACGCGCGATCCACCAGTACTACGACAACTCGTACGAGAACATTGGCTCCTGGAACTCCTTCACTTGGTATGATTTGTACGATCGAGCAAACTGGTCTGAGCTGACGTCGGAACTCTAGGCTTGGTCCGCTTTGGGCTCAGGCGTCGACCGCGCCTTCGAGGTTGTTCAAATGCTACCCATCCCAAGGCGGGATCCTGGTGCCCTGCGTGGTCAAACCCCCCGCCAAATCATTTCTGCCCTCATTCTCTGCCGGGTCCTTCAATCGCTCCTTTGCGACCGTCATGGACTTTGTGCCTACTTTCCTCGAACTAGCCGGCGCCTCCCTGCCCAGTCCGATGGAGCGAAGGAAATGTGAATGCCAGGGCAAGGACACCGCCCCGCGCAAGATGACGACTTTCCGAGGGAGAAACGTGCATGCCGTCCGCGGCAAATCGTGGATTCCGTTCTTCTCCCGCGGGAAGAGAGCAGAGGACAACGAGATGTGGGCCATCCACTCATCCTCCGAGCCCGTGGGGTGGGAGCTGTTCGCGCGCGGCGCACTGCGGAAGGGAGACTGGAAGATTGTCCACTTCTCCAAGGAACGGGGAGGCGCGGGCGAGGGCGACGACGGCTGGGAACTTTTCAACGTCGTCGACGATCCCGGAGAAACCAACGACCGGGCCCAGGCCGAGCCACAGAAGCTCCAGGAGCTGCTGGCGTGCTGGGACGAGTATGTAAGTGAGTGCGGCATCGTGTGGGGCCCGGGTGCCATGGCTCCTGGGCTGGGCAGGGATGAGGCTCCGGAGTTGTGGGAGGATGAGATTGAGCTACAGAAATCGTGGATGGGGGCGAGGGGAGGCGAAACACCTGTGCCTTGTCAATGAAAGGACAGATTTCCGGGCTGGGGTTTAGAGCATGTACGATGATATCTAGATATACACATATATGGATCCTCAGCAGGCGGGCGACGTTGAACGGCCGTTGCTGCGAGGGGCGTCGTGTGCCGGTATTTTGGTCGTTGAATTTATGAACCAGAGCTTCAGGGTCTGTCAGATAGCTGTACCTGAAGATAGATCTGAATGTACTATTCATATAGGTCCAACTGGTGCAAACCACATCACGTCTCGTGCTCGGATCGCCCAACCCCAAGTCTCTCTGCGCGTTACATCTGAGGGAAAGCCCTCGTCAGGTCACCGCTGTTCTGAGACCACGGCAAGCCCGAGTCATCCAAGAGCCACGAGTAATCCAGCGAAAACGCTTGGTCGGCGTTCTCGGGCTGCGCGAGCCCCCACCACGGCTGCGCGATATGCGTTATGTCACCCGCCTCAACGCCTTGTGCTTCGGACAGATCCAAGGGGGCGTTCGCTTGCTCCGCGTACGGGAGGGGTTGAGCTGTCGCCGTCGTCGTCGTCGAGGAGGAAGGCGGCCTCAGAGCGTTCCGGACGTCCATGGCGTCAAGGCGTGGCGAAGGGGCCGCTGAGGGGGGCGCCGTCGTCTCTTCGCCGACCTTGTACTCCAGCAGGGCTTCGTCGCGTGCCGCGTTGGTGGACGACGACTCGGCGCCGCGGCGGATCCGTTCGAGCTTCGCCCACCGAAAGTCGCGGAAGTCGTACTCGGCGGCATCTTGTCCGACGAGTCGGTACTCGCTAGAAGGCATTGCGTTAGTCAGGATCTAGCTCACCACCGCACATACGAGGGATCGACAGACCTTCGAAACGCCGCAAAGTCGGTCTGGTTGAGGAGGTGCGTGCAGTCACTGCGCAGGAGCCGGAGAACGGCTTCGATATGCTTTGAAGTTTGACGACGTCAGTTAACATGCCATCCCGTGCCGTGTTCTGGCTTACCAGCTGCTTGACAAACTCGGATCGTTCTGCAATGTCCCGAATCACGGTGAGGAGATGCGCAATTGCCTCCATCAGCTCAGGCGCTTTGGGGTCAACGAAGGGATCCGTCTCGGACAAGCGACGAGGCTCGAAGAGAAGGACTGTCGTATTTTAGGTCAGCAGGGCCAAGGTGGACGACCAAAGAAGAAGGCACCCGTACTCTCAAGGGCGACATATGCTTGTACGCCAATCTGGGGATCAAAGCTGATACCAGCCTTTAGGCCTTCCGAGATGAGTCCAGCTATTGGTAGAGCATGAGAGATTCTGTTCCGCCGCGCGCCGGCTACAAGCTCTGATTTGGCGGGGTCGCCTTGATATACTTGCAAGGCAGCGCGGCCAATGACAATAAAGAGGTTGTGACGTAAGATGTGTAAGAGGATGAAGGTGATTAGCCGGTCACGATGCAGAAACATGTTGTCGGAGTTGAAATGGAACCGCTTGGGCAAGGCAGCAATAACCTCCTCTATATCAGCCTCAATGGCGACCAGCTCGGTCGACAGCTGATCAACGCTCTGCTCCTTGTGAGAGGCGCGAAAGGCAAAGTGGAGAGCCCGACGACGTGCGGCAGCAGTTCGAAGGAGGTATGCAGACATGTCGAGGGGCGCTCGGTCGAGGTTAGCGGCATTGGCATTGGCAGCGTCGGCAGGATTGTAGAAAAGTGGCTCGGTTACGACCGTCTCGTCGGCCAGGAAGCTTGCCTGGTCGCACGGAAGTTGGAGACGATAGGCCTTTTCGTCGACAATGTGGAATCCGTATCGCCCTCCATCGACAATGGTGTCGACATAAAAGGTCGACCACGCCACGCGCCGGAGAGCTTCGCAGGACAGAAGAGGCGACAGTCGCAGATTGGAGGCGAATTTTGCCGGGTAAGTACGGTCGAATGTCTGTAAAGACATCATCTGCATCATTCTAGATAGAGTATCAATTTCCAGGCATCTCGAGAGCCAGTGTGGCAAGGACAGCAACAATCTATTAACCAGACCGCTCACCTTGTGCAATTAGCGCCTAACAGCCAGGCAGACGTAAAGTTGCCGCGATTCAAATCGTAATGTTGGGCTAGCAGGAGTGTCTGCTCATGCAGTTAGTCCCCGAGTATAGAGCAACAAACAACTGGACTTGGTTCATGAGAATAGCAACAAAAAAGCTGTGCGAATATGCCGCCACGCACCATCAGCTGGATCGCTCCAAATCCCTGGTACATGCGCGGAAGAAGACTGCTAATCGCCGTATTTGCCCAAGCATCTGCTTTCGCCAAGTTCTCCGGGGTGGCCTTGGTCGCAAACCTGCGTACGGGTGATAAGTCGAATGTTGTACCATTAGATGGAAGGAGCTCACCGCATCGCGCTGGCGATCATCATAAGAGTCAATTCCCGCGGAGCCTTGCCTTTGGAGAGGAGACGATTGAAATGGAGCTGGTGAATAAATGCGAAGAAGCCGAAATCTGAGGGCGTGTGATCAGCAACAAGTCTGTAAGAGACGAGAACGAACAAAATGACTCACGGTGAACAGAGGAGAAATAGAGCTGGACGAGATCCTCAAGCTCTTTGCCGGTCGGCAGCTGACCCAGAGGCGTTGACGCCAACGGCACATCGGTAATTGGTGGCAAACCCTCTAGCTCACGACCCTGTTGTGGAGGGGCAGCTGGAGGATGTTCGTGCTCAACGTCGGGGTTATTGATCTGTGAGCGCTGGGGGTTGTACGTGGAGGGCAGCAACGTGGTGGGAGAAACGACCATGGACCTGCTGTTGTCGCTCGGGAGAAGGGGCAGAGATCTAGACGCTGTTGCTTCACCGTCTTTTTGGGATCGCACGCATTCGATGCCCAAGTTGCTGCACTTGACGCATGCATTATCTATGTCCCCGACGCATTTGAGCTGCATTCGGCCATTGTCAGATGAATGGGGCAACGGGATTGCTTGTTAATCGGCTCGCAAATGTGGAAGCAGTGATACCTTCTTCTCCCTACAGAAGTCGCAGGCTGTCGCGTTAGGTCTCCTTGAGGGCTTTGCTCTCTTGTCGTCAGGCCCGGGCCAAGCACAGGTCCTCTTGCCTTTGAGGCATTGGATGCACTCTGGTTTCGTCTCGTCACATTTCACCTGCAGCATTCATCTCGCATTGGCTAGCTGTCGCGTCAGATGTAGTGGATACGCGGCTTACCCTCCTATACCTGCATGTGCGACATCCTGTCCGTGTCCGATGGATCACGGATCTTGTTCTCGGTGACGATTCGTTCGGCGGAGAGCTGGTGAGAGGGTGAACCGGAGCGTCATCGGAGCGCCCAGACGGGGGAGTCCATGTCCCTATGTCATTCATCTGCAACGGGATCAGGAAGATCCACGAAAATAGGTGCGTGGTATCAGGTCAAGGCGCGGAGGCAAAGAAGAAGAGTAGAGACCGAAGTAAATATAGAGCCCATGCCTTGCCGCCCCTGCTTTGGGTCTAGCGCGGCCAGTTGCAATTACGGTTGATTATGACTGAGCGAATGGCAACTTTGCCGAGCCTTGGCCCGCTACGGTGCACCATAAACCAACTTTACGCGCCTTACTCCCCACAACTCACGAAAGGGCCTTGGGACCTTGATATTACTTCTGAACAAGTTTTCCTCGTGCACACCCTCACTCGACCATGTCTTCAGCAAGTCTAAGCTGGAAATTTACTCAGAGCGTCGCGAACCCTGAGCAATAACCTCGACTCACACTTGATCCCTGTTATGACAAGGATGTACCTTTCGGCCCCCCAGGGTCCCTGCAGGCTCGGGCCCGGCACATCAGGATCGCAAGAAACCGCTCTTTGCGGGGTTAGCTTCCAGGCCGCCGTCCTGAGCACCTTCAATAACTCGACCCGATCAAAGACACTTACCCAAGCGTGAACGGATATAGCAAGAAGAGCACATACCGTCACGTTGACGCATTTCAGACTGCGGGTTGCAACCGAAGATGCGTTTGTGCACGACTCTCCTAGGCTGGTTCAGCCTTGTGATGGCGGTTGCGCTCGCGAACAAGCAAGAATTCATCGGCGGAGACGACGTCAGCAGTTACAACCTCACTCTCCATGTAAGAAGCGCTGCTCATGATTCGAAAAGTCCTGTATCTGGCGAAGCCTGACTTTCCACAAGTTCGATGACCTCTCCACCGACGAATCGGGCATCGGCTACAACCCCAAGACAAACAGCACGCCCCTGCACTGCGGCGACCTGTATTTCCAGTCTTTCACCGTCGTCAATGTTGCCAAGGCACAAAAGCACTTGCCCGACCCAGTCGACCTTCTGTGCGCCGACTCCGCTCCCAACGCGCTGTTCTCGCGCCGCCGTGCCGGACATCCCTGGCCCCGCTTTAGCTTGCATTCTCTGACAGATCCCTCGCTGCCCCGAGATCCCAACGTGATGTTCAACATGCGCAGCGTGAGTATCTCGCCGACGGGAAGTATCCCCCAGGATGCCCTGGTCATTATATGGCTGAATTTTCTGAAATTGCCACCTGACGAATGGCTCGGCCAAGGGGAGGAACATCGCTCATTCCGGGACTTGTTGGAGGGCGAACCGCCTTGGCCAAAGGGGCGTCTCTACCAATTGATCGCCTTTTTCGGCCCGGGACCGCATCCCAACCTCCGGATCGACTGGGACAGCCTCCGCATGCGGCTACCGGACATCGCAACCAAGGTCGACACGTTCGAAGTCTACGGCCAGCTCTTGCAAAGGGCCGGGCCGAATGAGCCGTATCTCGTACAGGGAGACTGGGAGCTGTGCTTGGACGATGTCGCGGTCGAGATCGTGAGGAAGACGGGCCGCGACGAGCACCAAGACTCCCAAGAGACGCGGAATCCTCGGAGGGTCTTTGTATTTGCGGATGAGGATGGAAGTGCCATTGACGTTCAGAAGCGGGCCGAAAAGCTGATCAGGGAGTTAGGGCTCTAGCTGCGCACCCACTACTCAAAGATCGCACAGAAAGGGGGAAAGGCTGAGTGTGATGCTCCGTGCTGAGAATGGTAGTCGTCCATGTTTTGGCTTGCCGAGTGACCGACTACCTAGGAGGTCGTTGATGGCAGCAAGACAGACTGAGAGTACCTACCTACCTTACTAGCTACATACGCAAGCCGGGGAGAATCCAGATTGCAAGTATCCAGATGTAAGGAATAGTGCCTCAATTGCCTTGCCTTGAGCTAAAACTACCGAATAACATGCCAGTTGTCGCCGCTGTAAGGAAGGGGTTTTTTTGGGGGGGGGGGGGTTGTCTTTTATATCGTGCATACTACTCGCCGTAAGCAATTCTACACGCAGGGACACGGCAAGGATACCTAGGTCGATATCAGGTGGGCGTTTAACACAGAACTCGCTCGCTCCGAAGTGAGGTTCAAATTCAAAATCCAGCAGCTGGGAGGCTGTAAGTGGTGGTTCAACGAAACGCTGGCGTGCCAATGGGACCGATGCAATACGTTACCCATAGTGGGTAGATGGCCGCTGAATACAACTTTCGTTAGACTGAGAGCTCGGTGTTGAAGATTTGCAGTTTGTCTTGACGTGCCAAGACATAACGACAATGGCGATGTCGTTGTGGCCCGTGCACGGTGAGATCGCGCCAAGACATAACGACATTGTCATGTCGTTATGTCTTGGCACGCCAGAATTGACAAAATATAGCAAGCCCTAGGGGGTGATTAAGAGTCCCCGGCTGTGGTCGAAATGCTGAGAAACCGCAAGTTATGCTTTGCTGCATCATCCAAAAAGTAGAGACTCCCCCATACCCAGTAAACGTATAGCTTGGTGGGAAGCAAGCCGCCTTTGAATGGATTTCCGTCCAAGCGCCGTTGAGCTCTGAAAGGATGGTCACTTCACTGACAACGAGGCTGAGGCCGGCATAGGTCCGTTTGAGGATGAGCGATGCCACAGGGGAAAAGCAAATGCCGGCCAAACCAGTTTCGCTTCCATTGAGGAAATTCAACTGGCAAGGCATTCTTGAGGTCCACTGCCTCGCGACTCGTCCTGACCGTGCCGCCCCGTCACAATCTCACGGCCACTGGGACGCAACGGTCAATATCGAGGTGTAACGCGCATCGGAGAAAGGCTCATATTGGAAGAGTTCGAATGGTTGGATAATTCCTCGTTGTAATGGGGTATCGATCGCTTCCATAACATTACAAGACAAACACACTGCGATCGCCATATAAGTCACACCCGTACAATGCCCTCCAGAGAGGCATCTCTAGGTCCCGAGACCAACCCCCTGGCCAACCCTATCCCTTCGTTCTCGATACCACGAGGCTTCGATTTCATTACAGCTCGGCGCAGCCAAGCCGAAGTGTGCTGTAACCGATCCACGGTTTTTCTTTTGGGGTAACCTGAAACAATTCGTCCACTCATGACGTGTATCGTCTGCCCTTGAACGCCATCGTCCATCCCCTTCTAATGTGCCATGTGTTGAAGGCCCCCCAAATGCGCCATCCCATTTGTTGTGCGCCCGCGACGCAGGCTACCAAAACAATCGTCTCTGCATATCGTTCGTGAAAAACCCTGTATCGACCTCCATGGGTCCGCTCTCCACGCCCATGGCGGTGCCGAGCCCGGTCATGCCCATGCCGCTATTCAATGTTTGTGCCTGGGCCCAGCTCGAGTCCGCGAAACTCTGTAGCAGCATGGCTTCTGCGCCGATGCCCGCACCGTTGACGTTCGGACTTGAGGTATGGTTATTGGGCGAGCTGTTGTTGGACAGAAACGAGGATAGGGATTGCCAATTAGGTGTGGACGTTTGGCTGTGGCCTGTTTGTTGTTGCTGGGTGCTTGAGGCCGTGGGGATATTGGGTTGTGATAGGGAATGTTGAGGTACATTCACCGGAGTGCTTGCTCCGCTGCGGTAAGAGTCTGTGCTCATAGAACGGAAAGGACCAGACTGAGAATGGCCGTGGCCGTGGCCGTGGCCGTGGCGAGTGAGATCGACGGAGCCAGGACGCGAGTAGCTCGCCGCGTTTAAGGAATGGAGGGGATTATGCGAGTGCCCGTCGTCAATAGAATTTCGGAAGGAAGATTGGCTTTGCCCATTGGAACCGGAATGCAAAGCGCAATCCTCCTGCCATTTGCGGATGTTGTCGACGCTGTCAAGAGGGAACGACTCCCAGTATTCGATCCCGGTCTTCTTGTTCAAGACCGGTGGACTACTTCTCATCGTGTGTGGCCCAGGAGATGGCGAGTCACGGGTTTTCAGGCCGAGGATGTTGAGGTTGTTGGTCGACGGACTTGAACTGAGAGAATCGGTGGCGCATTTGAGTTGTTCAGTTGAGATGATGGGCAGTAGGGCGAGAAGAAGCGATTCAGCCTCGTGAAGGCGGTGCTCGAGGCCTTCGATGTAGCCCTTGGCGGGACCTCTAAAACGAAGTGTTAGTACCATGCGGTAGATTGGAAGAGGGGATTCGGGAGGGGGAGGTGTGACGGGGTAGCACACTTGGGCTGGGCTGGGTTTACCTTTTTCTTTGCTCAGGCCATGTACACGGGATGCCCGCAGCATGACATTGTGAACAGCCGGACCTGTCAATAGACACAAAGTCAGTCTCGTTGCCCTCGTCGCATCGTTTGATGACAGTGCAAAGTGAAATAGATAAACAAAGAGCCGATTCTCCAGTCGTACGTCCATGTGGGAGGCTGTTTTTGGTTGGCCGACGTGGGCACACTGATAGACAATTGGCGGAGGAGATATCAGAGCTAGACCCCGGCTTCAAATCATTGTGCCAAAACGATTTAGCCAGCAGCTTTGTCCCCGCGAACAACGACTGGAGATAAGAGTCCGGGGTAAGAAGGGACTGATAATTGGATTTCTGGGTATAAAAGCGAGGCTCGTCCTCCATCTTTTGTTGAAGGTTTTCTTGACACCATTTGGTGGTAGAAAATGAAGGTCGAACTTACCGATCGCCGCTGCACTGTTAACCCAAATCATGTTAGCATACTTCTTTGGACATGTTAATGGGCAGGATGATGATCCACAACCTCATGCTACCCTGGACAGTAGACAAAGAGGTAGGTACGGATCTCGATAAGGGTTGGTTGTTGGGAACTCTTCCGCACAGAGCTGGGATGACTACGTACCTTTTGTTTCTTCGTACGGCACCCGTTGCACGCACCGCTTATCCGAGTGGGCATGTTGGTGGTTGTGAGAGGGGAAAATGTTCGGCACAGCGAGCCTTGAAGGTCTGGATGGTTGATGATAAAGACGGCCGTGGGCTTTTCACAGACTTAAAGAACGATGTCGAAATGCAAGACGTCGTGTCAGGCTTCTGGGATGGAGTCGGGAATGTCGACCTACGACTGCTTGGAGTTGATTACGGTAATCCCAGAAACCGAGAAGTTCGTTGGGTGAGGTCGGAGCAATGCGGAGTCAGGTGAATAACCTTCGCAACAGTCGAATTGCGTAACCGTGTCGACGAATGGCAGGGCCTGGCTTCTGCTTTCTCGTAAATGAAGCCAAAGCCTGACTAAGTGTGTACGTCGCCCAGCGGCAGGAATTGGATTGGCGTGGAACACCCGCTGCGGTTTGGGGCCACCGCCCGACAGTAAGTCCGCAGGACTTTTCCTAGATCAAGTCGATCTATACAAGATCTGAAGTTCTGCAAGCAGGGCAGCCTGGTCACTTCCCAACGTAGCCTCGGCCGCTCTCCGTGTTCTTGTCTGATCTGATGTTTGTCGGGTTTGTCAGTGTTCTAGTGGTATTGTGGCGCTGCAAGTGTGACAGGTGTGATGAGTTCCTCGGGGGGCCTGGTCTCCGATGCAGGTTATGGGAAGGAGACTTTGGTTGGTAGATAGAAGACGCGAGAGTGGATTGATGAGCCAGGATTCTGATGGTTGATATAGAGCCTCGACTCAAGCAGCCAGGTGGTGTATCAGAAGGCCGTTGCTTAGGGTGGGCAGGATGATGCGACACAATTTCCGCACACCCGTGTGAAGTTTATTCCGTCCCTTATGTCACCGCAGAATGGGTTGGGAAGAAGTCTTGGTATATACACGAGATCCAACAAGCGTGACGGATGGAAAACGAAGACAGCAATGGGCTCCAAACTCAGGGATGATGTCCGGGCAATAGTTCGGACGCAGATGGTACAGCAGATGCGTGGCTTTTCGGGCGGCGGACGCTGATCAGGGCGGGAAGCTTACGCTCGGATAAGGACGTTTCTTCTGGAGGATTGAAGACGCGGATATCGGTCGGGCGGGCTGTACCAGGGGACGATTGGGTCGTCTGATGGGGGAGGGGAGGTAGGGTTTGGTTCAGGGAGAGAAGTACGAGATCTGTTGCGTCATAGAGAGGAGGTTGTAAGGACACGATCGAGGGATGTTCTCGATGGGAAAGCAGCGGGCGCAGGTGGCGGTCTGTGCGAGGAACGGTTGGGCGAGCAGGGCCCAAAAAGGGCGCATAAGATGTTGCAGTGGTGTAAATAGAGAGTCGACTGCGGTGCCGCGAGCCAATCTAGATGGAACGGTGACCGGACACCATCAGAAAGGACCACGCAAGCCCCTTCAAAGGGCAGTTGACCTAAGGGCGCAGGGAGGTGCAGCAGGAACCCAGTTCCCTAACATCAGCGCTGACTCACGGGGCGGATGGGGTGGAGTTGGTGAGTTCGTGGGCGAGGGCCAGACCCAGAGGAACAAAGGGCAGAGGGAGGGAATTGCAGATGGATGTTTCTAAACCCAGTCTAGGCCTGATGGATGAAAGCGTGGCCGGAAAATGAGCGATGCAGGAACAAAACAAGAGGCGCAGAGGCAAAAAAGCAACCCATCTTTTGACGAGCAAATCACCATCGTAACATGCTTGGGAGAGCCATGGTAATGGTGAAGAAGGTCAAAGGTCGTTACGAGGAGTTGGACAGGACAGGCAGTTCGTGGCTTGCTTGGGGGGCCCTGAGGGGGGGCTTGTTAGTGGTCCATGAGGGGCCTGAGGGGAAGCCCGTGGGCAGGTCTTTGTTCGTAGTGTAGGCTCTATTGGCTCCGAGCGTGTCCCAGTTTCACGCCTGGAGTAACGTTCTGCCGGGGACCACCACGCCGCCCGGAGGGTATTTGTGACGGTCGTTGTGAGGGGGAGCAAGGCAAATGGGTGCCTCCTGGATGTCTCGCCGGGCTCCTCCTCACCACCGCATCACCTCGTACGAGGAGAGGACCAGCTCCGAGAGAGCCTGAAGGCGCATCGACGTCATCCCGCCAGCTCCCCTACTGTGGCTCCTGGTACCCTCAAATCTTCTACGAGGTACAACTTGCAATCTCCAGATCTTCGATTCAACTCGCGCGATGTACCTCCTCGTTCGTGTCTCGGTTTTCCTTTTCCACTGACACTTTGGCTGTCCACTCCAACAGGTGACAATCACATCGTGTCACAACACCATCCGGCTAACCTGCCGGGCTTCCGTGGTCAAGCCAGCTCAAAAAGAGAAATCTCCCCAGTTGCCCGCGGGTGCCGACGGGAAACTCCAATGGCTCACCAGAAATTTGAATGGCCAGCGAAGAACTTCCTGATACAAGATAGATTCATATTAACGTGGCCTGTGGCGATTGTCACATTTCTTGTCTCGCGCAGATCCCCAGTCACTTCTTCGCTTCGCGCTGCGTGACCCTCGACCACCCCGTCTATCCGTCGTCTGGGTGAAAACAAAAAGGCTTGGCCTTGGCTTCGAGCGGGATCCTTTCCCTCGACGTCCGCCAGCTCACTGGCTCGCGCTCCTCGTTCCGCCGTGCATTTTCAGCCCAGTTTCCCACTATCTTGAACTTGAACCTGTGCGGCTCCGGCCACGGGTCACGCTTCAGGGGCCTTGAATGAGCCATCTCCATCTCCATATCTTATAGCCGGAGCTTCTCCTGCGCTGGCGTGAAGGGTACAAGTCGCGAGCGATTACGACCGGCTTCTCGATCTCAGGGTGAACCTGAGCGCTACGGCCCAAATTGTGATTCCGACGCAAGGGGTATCACACATCCCGGTTGTCATGGTCCCCGAAACCATCTGATGTCAGGATACTCCTCTTCTAGAGGATGGGTCCAATAAAGGCTGTCCAACCGCGGTGGGATAGTATTCTGTTGAGTCCATGGTGAAATCTAACTGTTGAGCGGGATGGATTTGCTTTGGTGAGTCAAATTGTTCGCCAGCTGCAGGCACTCGCTGTTGGTCGGGCATTCATTCTCGAGGCCTCGTGCAATTCAGATGCCGAAGGCCATGTTTGTCGGTGTTTGCCCCTCCTCTTTTCTTTCTCGTCACATTCGGGGCGAGTGAGGGGGCACGATAAGGTTGTAGAACATCCAAATGAATGTCCGGATGTGGCGTTGATGTGTTCGTCGGTGGTAACGCAAGTGGCAGAGCATTGTTTGCTGCACGTCAACTGGCTGGGGGACGAAGAGATGAGACAATACGAGGCAGGACTGAGGTGAGTTGGTGGGAGACGAGATATATGGCGAAGCTGGTGCTGCGATGCGAGGACGTTGGTGCAGTGCGGTGGTAATCGCGCAAGATTTGGTCGTGTGTGGCTGAGGCTGCTGAAGGCTTGCTTAGGGTTGCGAGTCTTTTGGAACAAAGCAAACTCTCTTCAATCGAAGTTACCTCTTACCTCTTTACCTTTTTGCTCCTCACGTCTGCCTGGCTCCAGTGACCTTGAGGTAAATCTGAGAAAGTCAAGACACTCTCACCTGAAGGTCAAGGTCGAACGAGAATGACATGTTCTCTCACAGGCTGGGCATGTTTCTCTGTCGTCGCAGGTCTCGCGACAATCATCAGATGCAGCCCAATCAGGAACCGCGGCGAGGTTGAAAACAGGGAATCGCTTAGGGCCATTGCGCAAGCCGGCCCATTGGACCCTTTCCCCAGACTTGATTGCGTGGGCTTGAACGCATAGTCCCTGTCGCCAACGAGGCACCAAAGGGTCAGCTACCAACCACCGGCTAAGGCGACGAGTCCACGCAATGCAGAGCAGAGAGGGGGGGGCCAGCGAACAAGCCACACGAGGCTTGGCCCGCCAAGGCGAATCATACGCCCTACGATTGGTCGGCAAAACAATCCAGCGGACCAGTTTATTGGGTCCTCGACAAGCCACGAATAACGCATTTCGAACTCGCAATCAACTGGTACTCTTACTCCGTACTTGGTGCATCCCCTTGTTATTCCCGGGTCCATGATCGTCGCCCTTGCATGCGTCCAACAAAGCCAGGGGTGTGGCAGAACAGTCCAGGGATCCGAAAATAGACCTCTCGCGTCGCATCCAAAAAAACATACCAGTACCTTTCGGGTGCAACGAACCCAAAATCAAAAAGTCTGAAGCGCCACATGCTCGGCCTTAGGGTCTGTACTTTAGTAGGTTGTTAACTCTAACTCCAGACGTACGTAACTTTTATCATGCTAGGATGCATACGGACGAGACCCTGATGGATGGGTGTATAGATGTACCCATGCACATTGGGTATGCAGCATCCGAGGAGCTTATCTGGCGCTACTAATCCTGTGTTGATCGGCAGTTCAGTAGATTCATTGCATACACATACCAGTTGTGGATTCGTACTCATAGGAGAGTGTTTACATCCAATCACTAAGCATCTATCGCTTAGGACAGTCCCTACCGGTTAGATGCAGATAGCTGACGGGGCTATGAGTTACCGTCGACCCCCGGCATAAGGCTGAGATAGAGGGCTGAACGTTGAGGCTCATGGAAACACTTGATCTTCCTAGCCATGCGGTTCCCAAAGCACCGGGACCGGGACATGCTCGTCCCCTCCCCTGCTTGCATATTCCCCCACTCTTATCAAACCAAGTCCCAGCGCGCATCGAGTATCGCTGTCCCACTGTCGACGAGGCTACGTTCTCCCTGGCGATCTGTGGCCTGACATGCCTCACCGTCCCCTGACTTGCCCCTGTCCTCTCTTGCTTGGGCGACGTCATAAGTTACCAGGACTTGCTGCAGGATGCGTCCATCCTAGGTAACCAGGGGTTTAGTCACCCTGCTCCCCGATGTCATGGGTATGTATCTCGGTGTTATTCACGCCATCGCACCCCCACCCTTTTCCCAAACAAGTGTCTATAATTTTAGTTCTTATCAACGACGCCAAAGTCCCGACATCACAAATCTTTTGCTCGCCTCAGCACGCTCAAAGGAGGAATGGCTCTATTAACAATCGCTTGTATTCAAATCAACACATTATGACATCGTCTCCCTTGGCATTTCTTTCCACAGGGCGACTGTTCACCCAGGGAACCCAGCGTTCCCCATCGAGCCGGCTCCCACGTTCGCCATCGGGACCTCCTCTTTCATGCCAGCCGGCCCCTGCCCGTACATCCAAAACTGCAACCCCAAATACACATCGCAACACGCCTGGAAGATGCCGCAAAGACGGAACGGCCAGGGGACGTACTCCTTGCTGAGAAAGAAATAACTCATTTTCATGGCGTCACCCGCCAGCCAGTTGATGATGACGGAGAGGCGAAACCCTCTGCAAGACCGCGCACGGTGGTTCTTGAGGATCTGAGGCAGGGGCAGGATTGCCTCGATCGCGAGTCCGACGTAGCCAAGAAACGTGATGTAGAAGGGTGTCCGCGACAGAAAGGGGAGGAAAATATGGACGAAGAGGAGGGTGGTGGTGAAGTATAGGAGGAAGACGAAGTACCTGTTGCCCGATGGCCTCGGTCAGCATACCAAGTGGAGGAAAGGAACAGCGCCGAACGGAGGGCGATTGTCAGCTTTGAAGGAACAGAAGTATCTGCTTACGGCTTTGTCGCATTCCACTGCCAAAATCCAAAGGGTCTCCTGCCCTCCATCAAAAAATCCCACAACATGCCTTTGTGTCCTGGGCTGTTATGAGTATATCCTTGAAATGGCGTATGCTGCACTCCGCCTTTTTCACTTCCACCGGATGGTGCTCGGTTGTCCAGCGCGACTTTCAACAGGATGAGTTGCACGACTATCATGAGCGAAGCCTGGATGAGCAGCGATTTATCGTAGTAGGCGCCGAACCAGTAGAAGACCCTGCTCCACGCGCAATGTTGTCAGTCCTAATCTCTTTAATGACCCATTCATGAGGGATCGGTGTCTCATCGCAGAGTAATAAGAAGGACATCTTGCGTACTTGAGAATCGATGCGACCAGCATGATCAGGGGGATATCAAGGGAGAAGCCATCGCAGGACTTTTTCCGGTGTATCGACGCGATTTGATCGGCATAGGATGTGATGGGCGACAAGACTAGGCTGATTCGTGGGAATCAATCAGTTCGAACGTCTCGCACCCCGGGATTCCAGGGACTCACAATATGGGTGCAAGGTAGTCCACGAGCAACTGGACGAGACCCCACATCTTGTCGATGTCTAGCCAAGCAGGCAGGGAGACAGGGTGACCTTCTACAGCAACCCCCATTGTCTCCGTTCAGCAAAGGAAGGTCCAGGAAAGGAGTGGACCACGCTGCCCGTTGCCCGCGAAAGGGAATACACACCTTCAGCAAGACATTTGTTTCGAGGTGATAAAAATGGAGGGAATAGGTACAGTCAGCCCCCGGGGTCTCCGCAAGGTGAAATCTGCAATTACTGGTGATAAAGTGATCCGAGAGATCCTGAACTTGGGCACATGTTGTCCTCCAGGAACAAGTAAAGCGCAGGCGAGTGCCGTGAGTCCTGATTGGCGGAACAGCCGGAGCATCATCCGTCCTCCGAGGTCACGTGCGGCGGAACCTCCACTATCTTTCCCGCTACTGTCGACAACTCTACTCGGTATTGATCTCCAAACTTCGTCTTTCGTTACATTCCAGTGGCTCTTGTACAGTACCTCCCACCATGACATCTTTGGCTTGGATAGCTCAAAGGTGACGATGTTCACATTCACTGGCTGGTTAACGAACCGTTTTCTCCCTTTAAGTGGTCTACGTCGTTCGACTACCTCTGTCGCAGAGGGAAATATGGATAGGCCACCTCGCCTTTACTCTCTCGAAACGACCCTTGCATCCTGCCTTCTTCATGTTGGACGCTTTATCTGGCCTTAACGAGACCAAGTGTACTGTTTCATGATCTCGCGGCACGCGTGGCGGTAAGCAAAGGCACATATTGGATTAACCGCCCAGTCGACAACACGTTAACCGCCGGACTCTGTTCGACTCTTATCTTTGGGCCCACCAAACTACTTCCCAGCACCCATGAATAGGTGTAATGCCAAAATGACATTGGAAAGATTGCTAGCTACTCGCCCGCAGCAGCTGAAGCACAGGACATTACCATCAAGTCGGAAAGCGGCAGCTCTCTGCTCGAAAGTACCTAGATAGATGTTTGACTTCGATCCCTCCACGCAGAATGGCAACCAATAAGCTACCTGTACCCTGACGGACGGCTTAGGTTAACGTGACGACCTGCCCGAACTCTGTGATGCCGGGTGGAAAAGAAGAGTGTTGATCTCTCTGCCCTACTAGGTTGCCAGCCGCAGGGGCTACAACAACTAAGCCGATGGAAAATGGGGAGACGATGAATGGTTGTGCATAACATCTAAGAGCGGAAAATGAACGATTGTGGTACCAGTGTTGTATTTGTCAAAAGGGTTGGCGGTTGCCATATATCTATACCTTGATGCCTTGGTCCCTAACTCGATGTGCCTGTTGTGTGCCTTGTGGGGTGCTACGGAATAAGAGTAGTTGCTCGGTGGCTTAGTCAAAGCCAGAGTTTCACCAGACCTCGCGCTGAAGATCATGATGCTCTACTCTATTGTTGTGGCGAGCCGCTGAGAGCCGCCACTTGGACACAGCGTCTGGGGGCGAGATGCTCTCCCGCATGTGCATTTGGTACTCAACCAATGCATTATCTGCCACGGCAATCTGGCCCAGAGACTTTAAACACAGACAAGACGGCAGGCGTCGTCCCGAGTTTCGGCCCCTAACTCTCTTTCCCCTACACCAATCGATTGAACAAGCAGATAAGGCGGGATGAGTCTATCGTTGTACTTTAGGGGCGGGACGAGGACGGAGACGAGCCAATTAACTCCCTGTATCATGCTTTCGTTTGTCTCAGGACCCTTGCGAGCCGTGCCCTTTCGACCCAAACCGGCCACAATCTGTCCAGGCTCTAATTAGAAACAGATCAAACCGCTGCAAAAGTCCAGCTAACAGAGGTAGCCCCTGCTCGGTCCAAAACATCGAGGCCCAAACTCACCCGTGTTAGAGATGGGGAATCTGGTGCAGCCCGAACGCCCAATATATGCTCCCGTTGGCAGCCTCACACACCTCGAACATCCGAATTCTGGCACCAGTGCTTCTTGTACAGTGCCACCGTTGTATCTTTCCTTTGCAAAGCTACGCTTCATGACCCGGCTTTAGACAATAGAAGACCAACATGCTCGTGCTACCATTCCTGGCCTTGGTCGCGAGCGCGGCCGCCCAAAACCAGGACAACATCTTCCTCAATCCGCCTACCAACGGCATCAACAATGACTTTACACAAAATCCCACGTATGTCCAAGGTTCCACGGTCACGCTGCAGTGGGAGACGACGTACCCAGCGACGGACCTGGTAATCTGGCAGAACGGGAACCCAGATAGCCAACTCTTGGAAGGTAAGAATGCAGGTTCAACCCCTTAAACACTGAAACCTTTGTGGTTTTGTTGACAGCTTCGACAATAGGGGGCATCACGACGACGAGTCTGAGCTGGACCGTCGGGACTGGCGAAAGCCCGCCCTTCGACCTGAGCAAAGGCAATGTGTTTTTCTTCCAAATGTACAATTCGTCGACGGCCACGTTCTTCAGCAGCCATTATTTCAACGTCAGCGACCCGTCCCTGGCGTCGACCACATCGACGACAGCTGCCTCGAGCACTACAACACCGCCTGCATCGACCTCGACACATGCGCCCACTTCTTCGTCGGAGAACAGTTCATCCAAAACTTCCGCGACGGTCGTCACATCAGCCGCGACGACCACGCCGACATTATCTGCAGATTCCTCCTCTGACCATGGCAGCAGCAAGCTTGGAGAAGGCCTGGGGATCGGTATTGGAGTGTGCGTGTTTCTGATCGTGGTGGCCGGGCTTGTTTGGTTCTTCTTCTTCAGGCGACGCGCCAGATCGCAACAGCCACTGAAAACAATCGAGCTGCCGCAACCCGAGACCGTGTCAGTCTATCCCGGCGACATGGGCTATGGTCCTCCGCCCTCAGAGTATAGGAGGTACGAGCTCGGCTCGGCAGCGCCTTCGACACAGGCAGAACTGGACGGCGGCGGCATGAAGGTCGTATAATACGCGCATGCGGCTTGGGACGAGCGTGTACCCTCTTAGCCATTTACGGATGGGGAGCGAAAGTTGGATATCGGACGGATCCGCGTGTATAGTAGTAGGAGGGCTTGTATAGATGACATTTTTTATCGGTTGGCTCCAGACCCAGGGATTGAGATACTACTATCAAACTGCAGTGTTGGCTCTGTACGCATACACGTATATTTGACCCCAGACTGATATGCCCCGATTACCTTTACTTCCACAAAACAAAATACGCCCAACTCAAGTCGCGACGGGTCATGTCTATCCGCCAGGTATCTTTTGGACCTCTGAGCCTGTGCTTTGGAGCTGGTGCTTCTGCTCACGCTCTACTCGAAGAGACCTCGAACACAACTCCATAAGCCAGTGGAGAGATCATTCGTACTCAGCAAGACAGAATTCTGTTAGGAACTCTGGTGTCGCGCATGCATTGCGAATCCATCCCCGCCACTTCATCCTTCTCTGGGTAGATATCCTCGTCACCATGTTCACATCCATGTGCGTGTCTACAACCATCCTCCTGGTCGGGACAGTCGATAGACGTCCGCATGAAGCCCAATCGCCACGGCCGGCCAACGTTGCCTGATATACGGAGCACATAGCTACCTGCCTAAGAGGGTATATATGCACATGTAGAACGATACCATGCGCCACACGGCCTACATATGGGCACGGAGTACACCGTCCGCCTCACCGGCTTGTGGGCTGTGGACATGCAACGTACAGTACCTAGCCGCTGGCGCTAGGGCCTGGCCGTGGCCCTCGACCCACGCGTGACTAGGTAGGAATACATACAGTACAAGCACGTAGTAGTGCTCGTGAGCTACGAGTACGTCCGTAGGAGAGCATAGCTAGCTAGTCCAGCCGGAGAAGTTGCCGAGATAGTTTAGTTGGTACCCAAGGACATACCTGGACATACCCAGACGAGTGGCGCGGTGGAAATGACAAGGACAAGGGCATGACCTGGCCTGGTCTCGCCTGGGCTACTCTGGCTCGTCAGTACGAGTTCTGAGTCGAGGGCTTTTTTGCAGAAAGACGCGAGCGGGTTCCGCGCGTCGCATGCACATGTACACGTACATGAACGACTTTGTCAGCTTATACATCTACATACATACATACATACATACATACAGAAGCCCCATGGTACCAGGGTCGCAGGATACTGGCGACGCCATGTGGGTTGGGTTGCGGAATGCTGCCGAGTATACTCGGAATATACTGTGTTTATTAATCACGTCTTTCTTCCCATCATGCCATGGATTGCCCATTTCTCTATGTTATGGTGATCGTGTGTCGTGTTTGTTGTACAGAGGCCTACAATTCCGTCTTTGGAGCGGAGCTCGCGCTCTCGGGGAACTTGACGCTCCAATCCACGCCGATGCCCATCCCGGGACTCCTGACCACGGCCCAAGCTGCCTTGTTCCCGGTCGCGGCGTGATAACTGATTTCGACCTTTCGCTCCCCCTTGAACCCGTCCTCCGACACTGCCAGCTCGCCGGCTGATGACCATGCAGCCGGCGCGTTGACTACAATGATCTTCTCGATCTTCACCCCTTTCATTGCCTTCAGATATCCCGCGGTCTTCGCTCCTTTGGTGCCAATATCGCTGCTTCGGAGCACTCCACCCTCGAACGAGAATTGGCGGTGGATATACGCCCCCTGCTGGTAGTCAAAGGTCTCTCCGTCATCCACGTACAGCGTGCCCTCCGCTTTCTCGCCGTGTTTATCCAAAACAACGACGAGAGTGTACGGATCCCACTTCATCAATCCGGAACTCTTCCTCGGTCGGTCTTTCCTGGGGATGATGTGACCGCCTTGCATGAGCAAGGGAATCTTGTCCAACGGTGCGTCGATCTTGTGCGTTCTGGAACCGCCAGCATATGTCGTGTAATCAAAGTAGTCGTAGTAATTCTCGTCATCTGACAGGTAGACGTCCACGCTCTCGCCTCCTTCAACGGTGACGGGTTTCACCAGCAGACCCGTGGAGCCGAGATACATCTGATCGTCAATGTCAAACCCTCTTTCATCTGATGGATGCACAAAGTACTGGGCTCGCACAATAGGGTGCCCGTCCGTAGCAGCTTCATGGAAAGCCGTGTACCACGCCGGGAGGAGTGAATAACGAAGCCGCAAGGCCTGGGTCATGATACCAGTATATGGCTCCCCTAGCATATAGGGTTCACGCCTGCGCGTGTCAATATGCGCATGACCACGCATAAATGGATAGAATGCGCCAGCTTGATACCACCTCGTCTGAAGTTCTTTGCTGGGATTGCCAAAAAATCCACCCACGTCGGCGCCAGCGAAAGGGAATCCACCAACACCTTGATTGAGAATCATTGGAATCGATGCAGCAAGGTGCTCCCAGCTTGCCTGGTTGTCACCCGTCCACATTGCCGCAGATCTCTGCGAGCCTGCGTAGAACGATCGAGTGAGTACAAATGGCCGTCGGATCTCTCCCTTTTTGCGTTCCAAGAGAGCGTGGTAGGTGGCGTTGTGGAAGGTCATGCCGTTGATGTTATGCAGGTCGCGATGTTCCCAGTTGCCGTGGTGCAAGTTATCCCGCGGCATGGTGATTTCTGGTCCGTTGAAGACAGATGGCTCATTCATGTCGTTCCACAGCCACACGTTCGATTGCGTGCCTTTGAACCGATCGAATGTAAATAGCGATTTCCACCAGGCTCGTGCCGCGGGATTGAAAGCGTCAATCCAGTGAGAGCTCCCCGGCCAGCACCACCCCTCGAAAATGTTGTTGTCTTTATTCTTGACCGCCAAGTCCTTGCTCTTGAGTTCGTCCACGACAAAGTATCCATCCTTGTTCTTGATGTGCGGATCAATAATGACAACTAGCTTGCGTTGAGTCTCATCAAGTTGCTTCTCCATCGAAATGGGATCTGGGAAGTTCAACGGATCCCAGGTGAAGTATTTCTTGTCATCCGTATATTCAATATCAAGCCAGATGACATCGTAGGGGATATTGAACTTGTCGAATTTCCGGTCGACATCCTTGACATCCTCGTCGCTCACATAGTTCCATCTGCATTGATGGTAGGCAATGGCAAACGATGCCGGCATTGCAGTGTAGCCGGTCAGCTCCCCATATGATTTGGAAACGTCTTCGGGTGTTGGACCCAGCATGACAAACACGTCCAGAAGTCCACCTTCAGATATCCAGTGCGTATGTGTGTCGACAACTCCGCCCGTGAGGCCCAGAGTCAGCGGGTTTGTGTCGTGTTTCGACTTGACAATGTCCACCCAGGTCTCAGCGGCATTCAGCCAGAAAACACCAACCGTGGAACTCTTTCTGTGAGCATGCATGAATGGTATTGATCCGTATAGAGTCATAGGAGAGTCGAGTTCGTATTCGAAGACGTCGCTGTTGTACATTCGGTATGGCTGGTCATAGTTTCCGTCTCCTCCACGGGTCTCCTTCAATGACAGAGGCCCTGTATGTTCCGGGAGACCGTACACATGCCCGTATCCAGGGAAGGTGATGTCCATTGCAACGCTTTCCGGGCCCTTGGGCTTCGAGTCAGTATTTCCTCCGAAGCTCTCGTCCCACCAAGTGCTTTCGTCTTCCGTTGGTTCGGCGGGCTGTGCTTCAGTATTATTCTCGTCCACCGAAGGCTTCTCAACCTTTGGCCGCCAATGCTCGACATTCAAAAATCCCCGGCCATTGAACACGACGTGCTTCTCTTCACCCGACCAAAGCTCGACCCCGAAAGGGGCGTGCCGAATGATGGCCTTGAAGTGACCACTGGGTCCCCACGACACCTCTGTAACATCTTTCGATACTTTTTTCATTGAAGCTGTCGTCTGGGCTTGGAGGCCGGCTCCAGTGAGGGCCCAGGCAGCGGCTTCGTCGTATCTCTCCTTTCTGGCGACGCTGCCATGCCGCAGCTCAATCTCACCCTTCCTTCTCTTCTCCTCGTCGACAGTGACCCGGACATTGCCGCGGTCAAGGAAGGTCATCGTCAGGGGTAGTTTAACTGCATCACCGTCGGCCAGCGATTTGATAATGGAGCCATCCAAGCGGCCATCCTTGAACTTGATCGAGGCGGCATCGAGCTGGTAGGGAGAAGATTCAGGGCTGCCCTTCTCTGTCATGGAATCCGCAAGAGCTCTATTTCTCTTACAGAAGCCAGACTGGTCGCAGCGCTTGAAGTCGTGGTGTTTGACCATCACTGTGATCTGTTAGCATGTGTGCATGCATCGAGTCGGTTCGCATTGAGACACTTGCCTGCAGGAGAGACGAAGAACAACAGGAGTAGAATTGAGAGGTAGGAGATCGGCCATGATGACATCCTCCTCGAAGACCGAGCCATGGCTATGACTGGGGCTTGTGAAAGGGCCTGCCTCGCAAAGATATCTATGTAGCGGCCTGGACTTTGTCGTGGAAGAGTGTGCCGCCAACAAGTAAATGTGTCCTGTATCACCAGTGTCTACAGTTGCAATAGGCCCGAGATGTGCCTGGGATTGGCTTAGCCTCGCCTAGAGTTCCTCTCACTAAGCGGGCCCCTGCATTGGGCGCAAGCTCTGCCCCTCCAAACATCACAACTCTTGCCCCCCACTTTGATCGAACAAAATATTTTTGTCCAGTTCTCTTTTTCACTGACCGCAACTGTCTCTCTTTCAGCCACTTCACATTCCAAAATACACATCTTGTCTGTCAACAGAGCTCTGCACGGCACATCAAAATGTCTTCCAGCGAACAGACGTAAGCACCCTACGCCGGCATTGTGGTACAAGTCAGATACTGACACGTTGGGCAGCTTCATTGCTGTCAAGCCCGATGGCGTTCAGGTGTGAATCCGTCCTCCTTCATCCCAACACGGCATCGATACTGACAATAACATCCAGCGTGGCCTGGTTGGCGATATCGTAAGCCGATTCGAGAAGCGCGGGTGAGCAAGGTTCCCAATGGCAGAAGAAAAACCAGAATCTGAGACTAAAGGCGGTGAAGATACAAATTGGTGGCAATCAAGATGGTGTCTCCTTCCAAGGAGCACCTCGAGAAGCACTACTCAGACCTCTCCGACAAGCCTTTCTTCAAGGGCCTCGTCACATGTATGGAAAGCTCTCTACAAGCGTCCATCGAATGAGCCGGCTGACACAATATTCCAGACATGTTGAGCGGTCCCATCGTCGCCATGGTCTGGGAAGGCCGCGATGCTTGCAAGACTGGTCGATGTAAGCTGCCCAAAAAGGCCTCGTTTGAAAGAGACATGAAGCTAATTGCTGATGCCAGCCATCCTCGGTGCCACCAACCCTCTCGCGTCTGCCCCCGGAACCATTCGAGGTGACTACGCCATTGACGTTGGTCGCAATGTCTGCCACGGCTCCGACGGTGTTGAGAGCGCCAAGAAGGAAATTGCGTTGTGGTTCAAGCCTGAGGAAGTCCAGAGCTGGAAGTCTGCCCAACATGACTGGATCTACGAGAAGGCATGAACAGAGTCATGACAGCACACCAGGAAAACATGAGACTCCGAGCCGGAGCCAGTTGAATAGGGTGCCTACGGCAATGTCAGCCATGACGATGAATCCCGCCCAAGTTTACAAGAGATAGACTTACCGAAGTGGAGAAATGACACGAATGATGATTGCATACGGTGTTTAATCCCTTGGTTCACTTTCGGGTCGGATGCCAATCACAATGGGGCAATGGCAAGGCATCAAATCTTCGATCTTCGAAATAGTGCTTTTGTGGCATTTCCGATGGGGATGATGGCAATCCGCGCAAACCATGGGGAGCCCCAAACGCTGACGAGAAGACGCAAAGGCAGTAGAGCTTTCACTAAAGTATATGCTGTTGCGAACTCGATCACCCATCGTGTGGCACTTTCTCCTCGATTGAACCACCGCGAGGCTGTGTCTTTGTGATTTTCGAAGCGGCCAGCATTGCCCTTCTTTGCCTCCTCTTCAACCTCCATCTCGTCTTTTTCATTGATCCAGCCTTTCTTCCGGAAGTACCGCGCAAACTTCTCCACGCCTGCAGAGATCCAAGCTCCTTCAGCAAAATATGGAGGGAGCCAGTGCCAGTAATGGAAAGCTCCTGCTAGCCCGAATAATGGGATAACCGCGGTTAGTTCATGAAGAACAATGAATGCTGTAATATGCGACACGGGAGCTTGTCGCAGCCCTCTAACTGTAGGTCGAAGGAAACGCGGAGTGCGTTCAATAAAGCGGTCGAAGCGATTTCTGAGGGCAGCTCGATCGTCTGGTTTGGACTTTGGTGGCGGGGGTGCAGGAGGTTCTGCTTTATGCGTGGACAGCCAACGCTTGATGAGAGGATTCCGGGTGCGTGGACTGACAGTCCTGGCCAGTGGGAGCCGCACCATCATAATGGACTTACAGTACGTCGCCTTCTTCGGTGGCAGACAACAAACAAACACGGGGATCTCAAGCAGGCAGTAGGACCCTCTCACCCTCTTGTGCCTGCGCGGTCCTCATCGACGAGAATGCGCTGCCGTAGGATGTAGAGCGGATCACAGTGAGCCTACACGTTCAATCTCCGGCTGTTATCACTTCGGCCCTCGTCTCACGCTTCGGCACTGATATGGCCATCACTGGGGTACTGAGAGCTACGCCGGTCTGTCGCAGGCTGCCCAGATTTGTCTTTGGTCTGTCCACGCAATTGACTGCGTGGATGGACAGGCTGCATAGTACGGCAGAGTCACTCCTAGTGGGCCCATTCTCATCAGGCTGAAGCCATTGATACTAGTTATATATGTCCGATCATTGCGGCTGAGACTGAGCGCGGCTCAACGTTTTTGGCTTCACCTCACTTGATCTTTTGGAATAAAAATCCTCATCATGGACCAGTTGGCCCCCGAATTGGTGGACCATCTCTGTCTATTCCTAGACAAACCATCCCTTTGCTCTTTTCGCCTCACGTGCAGGGCATTTGGTGTCATAGCCGAGGAACATCTCTTCCGCGACTTCGAGTTTCGCCTCTACCCCGATCATCATAGATTGTATCAGTTAGAACAACTGGCAGCAAGGCCCTCGATTGCGTCTCGACTGCGCTGTGTCTCCTTCGAGTCTGGTATCCAGCTGGAATATGCTGACTATCGATATTGGCAGGCTGGAGTATATCACGACAAACAGAATGCTTGGGAGCGAAGCCTTGTTGGAGCCACCAGGGACGAGTACACGCAGTTTCACGAGCGTCTTCAAGCCCGGTTTACCACGGACTTGGCTCGCCGTTATGATCTATACCGTTGGCATCTCGATCAACAGGCAGCATCCATGGCTGAATCACGCGTGAGAAACATCCTGATGCGGATCATGGGCACGCTCAAGCAGTCAAGCCCCAGGTTGCGACTCAAGCTGATCATGGCCGAGCCTCAAATTCGGCTGGAAGAGCTTGAGGCGTTCGATCCTGAGCAGTACGCCAGCGACAAACCCTATGATCCCGACCCTCGTCGCAGGGTTGCAAATCGTCGCCAACATTGCCTGGACCATTTCATCAACTTCCTCCAGGCGGCGAAGCTTGCGGGGTGTGAAGTCGCCGATCTCACAGCCATCGACATCCCGCAGCAACTTCTCAGCGTCGGTACTATTCACGGCTCCCAAGTGCTGGATGAGACCTTCCAGGAGCTGAAGAAACTCCACATGAAAATCAGTTCTTTTCCTCACAGTGACTGGCTTTCTCGCAGTGGGACTGGCGAGATATACTTCGGTGGGAGGAATCTGGCTGCAAGAAGGCTCAGGATGTTGTTAAACCACCCCTCCGAGTTGGAGCACTTGGACTTAGAGTTCCCAGCAGGACTCGAGGCCGAGTACTCGTTCGATCTTTTTGATAGGACGAACATCGACCGCTTTCCCCGGTTGTGGTTGCCGCATCTTAAGTCTCTCAGACTGTGTCTTTTCAGATGTACCTGGCCAGACTTGGCGGCGCTTCTGGATGGGGGTAAGAACCTCAACGCATTGGTGATGAAGGATTGTCGACTTGAGACAGGGTCATTGATAGATTTGCTGGAGCATCTCCGCAAGAAACGTCTTCGCAGGGTTCAGTTGCTTGGGACTTGGTATGTGGATGTAAGTTACCCTGGCGCAGTGTAGAAGGTGGTTTGTGCCATTGGCCCTTGTCCTTCCCACTCCACTTGATCACGCTGACAATCAACAGGAGGACTGCGGTGAATGGCATTCTCACAGTGAAGAAGATTTCACCAGTTGCTTTGCAGCAAACTCGTACGAGGGTCCCTATGCCCACACAGGCATGCGGTCGAAGATAGAGGGATTCATCAATGGGAAAGGGGAATGTCCCTTGCCACGGTGGACAACAGAAGACGACCCCCCTCAGTTATGGGAGAACGAGTCTGACACGAGCTGGCACTTCATCCCGGGACAACCTCATCACTAGACATGTGCACTGCCATGTTCAAATCCCTCAGGCAGTGCAAGGCAAGGCACGAGGCGACGCGATGCTGCCTTCACCACATTGATTCGCGTCGCAGGCAAAACAACTACGAGCTGACTACTGCTCGCTCAGTTTCAGCCTCTCTTGTATATACCTGAGTATTTGAGATACCACTCTAGCGTCGTTGGAGCTCGCTCGTCCCTGCCAATCTCGCCGACCTCGCCGAGCGACTGCTACTGTGGGCCGACCACTATCACCTTCGGAGTCTGCGCGGATTATCAACTGCCTGACTTGGTTGGCTCGAGTCATTCGGGTGCTTTAGCACTGTCGCTCTTTGCCCCCTGTCCGCCATGCCTCGCCCTCGCCGTGAGTCCATCTCACTCAGCTTTTTTTGAAACAGCTGGTGAAATGAGATAAGCTAACCAATCGAACCAGGGGTTGCGCAGCCTCGTGAAGGGCAGGCTTGTGGGATTCGCCATAGAACGAGCGAACCTGACCATCCTGTGCTCTCGACAAATGCCTGCGCCGCGGAAGAACTGGCGGGAATCCAAACCCTCGACAGACCCACCCACGTCGCTATTGGACGGTCTCGAGGCAGAGAAGATGCCGGCCATATCTACCGATCAGGGCGAGTGCGCTATCCCATCTTCGAGGTCAAGCTAGGTGTGTACCGCATCAACTATCTATCCAAGCCGATGACGGAAGAAGAGATGCGGCGCAGTATGCCCCTGCTCAAGCTCGGTGTCTCGTTGTACTGCCTGGGCGTCGGTGGACTGATTGTCTTTCTCCTGCTGCTTCTCGGGTCACTCGTCTAGTTGCAGACGCGAGCGGGAACTAGTCATGCATAAGAGGAGCCCCTCTGGACTGCTTAACAAGAACTAAGCCAGGCCGGAGACGCGGTCCAAGTTGTATCGCCGACCCCAAGGCCAAATGTCGGACAAGAGCCACGTCGTAAAAGCAGCATCAATCTACGACCTGTTTCTAGCAGTTTCATAGGGCTGCAAAGGGACTTGGTGCTTACCGCCCCATGCAAACCTGACTCAACATCAGCCTTCCCACTTCCAGCACTCTCGCCTATACAGCGACCAATCACGCCTTGAAGCCTGGGGTTTGCTATGTGCCAGCGACGAAAGGGAGGAGCGGAAGGCCTGACTACCCTGTAAACTCTGCATTTGCTCTATAAAGAGCCGATAGTCAATGTCAATGCCCAGTCCAAAACATCTCCCTTCTCTTCTGCCACAAAAAAAAGTGAGCGTCGACCGTGGCCTATGCCATATACCTGGCCTCCGATCATATTGGACAAACCAAAGCATCTGTAAGCCTAGCCTTTCGCGGACGCAAATCCGGGTGATGCCATAATCACGTCGAGCCTAATTCTTCAGTCCAGACACATTCTGCCACCAGCTTGTCGCTCGCAAACACGGCTCGAGGCGAACCAAGCATCCACGGTCCTCGTGCTTCTGGCTGGCCCTCCAAGGTTGTGGAATCTCGCATGAGCGTGCGAAGTGCTCGACCCCTCCGATTTGTCGACTGCAAGGTGCCTTGAGCTCGAGGACCAGTGCTGTCGTGGCACCACCGGAAGAATTCTCTCAGCTCTCGTCGCGATTGCCCCTCTTTGATTGGCAGAATGTCAGACAAGTCGTCGTCGCCGTCGCCAAACTGGCTATCGAAGCTAAGGCGCACCCCGCGTGAGTCGATTTCTTTCCTTATGTTTCCGAGACGAGTGTGGCATTCCTGGGGAAAACCTCTTGGATGATGAGACAGTTAATCTCCATTCTATTCGATCAATAATCAATCAACGTTGGCAAATTCCCAGCATTCCGAATCTACTCCTCTTCCCCAGCATCAGACTGTCCCCGGGGTCACCTTGGCCGCCAATCGTAACTAATCTCTTTGACGCTATCCTAGAATCCAAGGCAGCTGAGAAGACGAACCTCTCGGAAAGTGGCGATCCTGAGGCCGATGCCAAAGCCAGACGGCGTGAGCAGGTTAGGCGTGCTCAGAGGTGAGGCCATTCTCTTATCGTCCACCATCAATACAGGAGGGAGCGACTCCCATGTATACCCTTGGCCAGTCCTGCGCCCGACCGAGGCACACCCCCGGGAATCAGATATGTTATATGTCTAGATTAGCTAACCAGAGTCCGATCACGTCACTCGGACAATAGGACGCATCGAGATCGAAAGGCCACATATGTCAAGACACTGGAAGCCGAAGTGGCCAAACTTCGAGCTCGCGATTCGGCCCACGAAGCCCAACTCCAAGCGTGCCGCAACAGCATCCGCCGCCTGAAAGAACTGATCAGGTATCACAAGATCCCCTTGCCGCTGGATTTGGCATCAGACCCCCATATCCAGAGCCCGCAGGCCACCATCGAGCTGCTCGGCTTCCCGGACTCCCGGGCGCAGCAGATTCGCGCCCAGCTGCCCCCGGAGCCCGACTCGGGCTTTCTGGCCTTTCCCCCTCCTCTGCAGAATATATTAACTTCCTCCGACCTCCCCTACAGCACCTTGCATTCCGGCTCTACGACTTCGTCCAGCGATCTGTTCTCGGGCCTGACCATCAGCGAGGCTCCCACCAGTCTCCACGCACCCAGCATCTACTCCCAAGCCGCGAGCACTGCTCCCCCGATCCCTCCCATCTCGACCCCCATGCAGCACCCACAAGGCCTCGGCGCGACGCAGGTGGGAGTCGACTTCGTGCTTGCGCTGGAGCACGTCTGTTTGGAACACCACGCCGCACATGCCACGGCCGACGACGGCTCGGGACACGAGATGATGCTCATGTCTCCCATCATGTGGCATTCGCCCGCGCGCACCCAGCCCGCACAAACCGCCACATCCTCAACGCGACAACCCCCCGCGACCGCGACAGCCCCCTCTACAGGGTCCGGGCTGCCGAGCGGAACCAGATGGAGTGTCCCCGCCGTGGAGTTGGAAAAGCTGCTTGATTTCTCGGACAAGCTGTCGCTGGAGGGGGAGATCACGCCCGTAGAAGCGTGGCAGCGGGTCCGCCAGCACCCGAACTTCGGGGACTTGACGCGGGACGGGCTCGAGGCGCTTAAAGCGACCTTGCTGCCCGAGGTGCATTGTTACGGGTGAGCCACTTTGTCTGTTTTTTTTTGTCTATTTCACTCGCTCTCTCTATTTCTTTCCCTGCCTCACCAAACCATTCGCTGTTTTCGAAAACCACTCTTAAAAACAAGCCAAATATGGACCTGTGTAAAGACATCTACCTATGATTATGCGGTCTATTGGCGCGAGAGGAGGGGCTGTATGTGCTGCGAAAAGGACGGGGGATGGGAGTGGGAGTTAATTCGATGAGAACCTGTTGTTGAACACCGCATTTTCCACCAAAGCTCTTGATGGGTTAATTCGTTTCTTGTCTTTGCCGCCTTAGCAGATTTGGCGCCGTCATCGACGAGGCCTATTTCGAGTCCCTCCTCCAACAAGCGCTCGGCACGGGGACCGGCACGGGCACAGGCACAGGACCGGGTTCGCTGTAGAGAGATTGGAAGGAAGGAAAAGGCCAGCAGCAGCAGCGCGGCCGCGGCGTTCCCGGTCTCTGCGTCTGTTCGACCTGGTGGCGGCCCTAGCCTTGCCATGCGTGTACCAGAAACAGAAACAACCAGGCGGATATAAATGAGAGCGTTGTCCCCTGCGAACCCATACAAGGTAACCCCCCAATGCCCTCTGACGCGCCTGCGTTGGATACACTCCACTCCTCATTCATGACATCCGCGATTCTGACCTTCCTTCCTGACCTAGACTGTCATCCACGCGTCCCGCGCCTCACTCAACCTGTCGAGAACAGAGGCGTCGAAGGTCCAGAAGGGCCGCTGTAAGGGGCAGGTGGAGCTGGGCACCTAGCACGACGGCGAGGCTGCATGTTGCATGTTGCATGGATGCGTGTGCCTGTGCGCCCCCCCAACCCCCGGGCTCGTTTGATCTCGTCATCATCAATCTACCAGCGGTGGGGATTCTGGCGGGTATGGACCGTGCTGATCCGGCCCACCAAGCGTCTGGGATGGTCTGGGATAGTCTGGGTGGATGGAATAGAGGGCAGGGGGTGGGAATTGCTTACACTATCAGACTACCTGCCTACCAGACAGTAGACTACTCGTACAAACTACAGGCTGGATTGGACTGGCAGGACTGGACTAGACAGGATTGGTAGAATAGGATAATCTTGAAGTTCTGAACCGACTAGAACAAAAGGAGTAAATTGTGTTTTTTCCACAATGGGAAAACCATGACCATCTCATGCTGGGGTGACGGGGCCGGGAATTAGATCCAATTAGGTACTTCAAATCACCACTTTACAGTACTATAGAAGTAGAAGATTAGAAAGAGCTCGACTATTGCTTACAAGTACAGAAAATTGCATCTGTTAGGTATCTACAAAGAAGTCAATCGTAAGGTCGTTGTACCCGGAGTGGTCACATCCAGGAAAGCCATTCGAGGGGCAGACGCACACGTAGTCTATCAGAGTCTGATATGCTGGCATTTCATCCCCGAGAGCCGCGTCGATAAAACGCCAGCATATTCCCCGTCAAAGTGATCCAGGGACCGTAGATATACATATCGTCCGCCCTCTCTGATTGCCCACGCATTCCTTTGTGTTTATTCCTCGACTGTGCGGACTCGTAACCGCAGCGAGGTCTGGGTGTTGGTCTGCAGGAGGCGAAGAATCCATAACTCAGTAGCTCACTGATATGGTCATGGATGCTATGGTCCTTCGACGGATGGGTATATGCGAAATGGCGAATACGCAGTCGCTAACTGTTAGAATAATGTTCGGTCAATCACCCATTCAACACAGCTCATTTCCGTTCCATGTCTTTCTCTCGCGCCCCTAGAGCTTCCCCTGACACTGTCTGTGCTATGTCTTCTCTTGTCCCCCTCCCTTCCCCCCCTTCGTCATCGGGCATCCATACCGACCTACCTACACAGGCACCTAAGGACGTAGACAGGGACCTAGGTATCTACCTAGGTAGGTCCATAGGTCCAGAGGTACATTAGATAGGTAGGTAAATAGCACGATGCCAAAGTGAGTAATCCCTACGCACCGGCCCACATCCCCCATCCCAACCCAAAGCCAGGCTTACATAGCCAGCATACACACACACAGACACACACACCGCCCCCCCCCCCCCCCCCAAAACTCCCGCCGCTCTTACAGCAGACAAGTTCCATCTCCATCTCCATCTCCAGCTCCATCTTACATAACCTGGCGCGAGATATCCACCGGTGCCACCATGGGTGCAAGTAGAGCCCGCGAGCCCTTACATAATGGCGCGCGTGGGCGGCGGCTGTCCCCAAAGCAGATACACCTCATCCCTGCGCGTGCATGAGCCCACTGCCAACCTACTTGTACTACTTGTTACCCCCCCACCGGCCCCTAAAAAAATGTCGAGACTCGGACGGGCATGGACAAGCGAGGGCGAGGGCGGACAGAGCAGGACAGAACAGAACAGAACAGAGAAGTTCGTCGGTGATGTGACGTGACTGTCGAACTTGGATTCGAACTCGAGTTGCCGACCGGGGCGAGGATGGATTCGGTATACTCGTACGATGCGGTCGGTGGGCGGGAAATTGGAATGTCAGTTTGTGTCGGTCCAAGGGACGGAGGATGTGTGGATGAATGGATACCTACATATATGTCCACCAGTGTCCGACATCTCCTCGGAGGCTCCCAAGTCCCCATCTCACTCGCAGCTCGTATTAAGGACGAGTGACGTCCCCTTTGGCGTCGACGAACATCGTTCTGTTGCAAATATCCATAAAAAAGGGCCTGTTGATTATTACTGTGCCCCAACGACCATCATCAACGACGAGTTGTCCGGCCATACAGGCCACGTAACCCGGGCACCGCTCTACGAGACACTTTTGACGAGTCTGGCCCTCCAAATCAAATTCAGGGATATAGAAAGGTCACCGTCGACCAAGACATCGGAACTTCCTCACAGGTTATCATACAGGTTCCGCTGCAGGGACGCCACACCCGCATTTCGAGTGCCCTCACTGTTCACCCAGCCAACGCCGGAGCTCCGCTGATTCATTTCAGGGATCAAAAGGTTTCCATCCAAGATGCAAACAGAAGAAGAAACGTGCAGAAGCAGCAGCAGCAGCTTATTTCTGTCCAGACCCATCATATCCTTTCACAGACGCAAAGACTGTCACAAATTCTCCTTCCGCCCCCTAGCTTTTGCATAAGATCCCTGGGGTCGGTCGTTTCTGAAACCAAGCAGATCTATCCAGATGTTTCCTCATCGTTCAACATGTCCGCTGTTCACATGTCCCATCCGTTGTTGACGCCCCCGCCCGGGGCGAATGGCCCCGTCATGTTCTCCCAAGTGGCAGAACCAAAGATATCCGCCACGTTATAATCCATGTTGCCCCAAAACATGGGGTCCGAGTACTCTTGTATGTTCGTGTTGCTGCCATCGCCTCCCATGCCCGCCGACCCCGATTGCCCTGGGAGGTTCATGTTCATGGTTGATTGTGCAAAAGCCAAATCCTGTGGAGTGGCGTACACCGCGCTGCCGATGCCCGGGTTGAACTGTGGTTGAGTCGTCGGCTGTCCACGGTCCCAATTCGAAAAGTCAAACGTGGAGAGAGTGCCCGTCGGGTTGGTGAGCGCCGAGGGATTACTGGGGTCGAACGTCGTCGAAGGTGTCCACGTTTGCGTGCTGTTGGGGGTAGACGCTTGATGTTTCAGTCGCGAATGAGAATTATTTCCCGTACCCGTCGAGATGTGCCCTTGGATCGGCGAACTGGTGGTGGACTCGGCGACGGACGACTTCCGAGGACTTGCATCTTCATTGCCACTCGTCGTCCGCGGTCTCTTTCTCGATGGCTGATCGAATTCGACCGGCATACTCTGCGGTGATTGATCTGGCTTGGGGACGGTCAGGAAACCGTTGACCGAGGCCTTCCGTGACTGAATGTTGATGAGAAGCAGGCTCAGGACTTTGTGACAGTTTTGTACCGTGTACCATCGGATATTCATGCTTTCCAGCAGATGCAGGCACGCTTGCATGTCACTGAGCGCTCTAGCTTTGGCGTATTTGCCCAATTGGCAGGCGAAGGCGATGATGAGGCCAGACATCCACGCAGCAGATAGGAGACCAGGAAGAAACATGGATTGGCCGTGTTTCTTGTGCGCTCTCAGACCCGCCACGATTCCCCGCGACGCTCGTATACAAACTTGCAGTCCATGTTGGAATTCAGGGGTTGATTGGTCAAGAGAAAGGCGGGGGCGGTTCACCAGAAGGAGCAGCCGGTGGTACAAGATCTTGAAAAAGCTTGCAAGATGTTGTTGGGCAGGAGGAAGATGGGATGAGTCGGAGCCATTGCCAACTGCATTTTGACCGTTGCTCGTGGAAGATGCGGTGTTCGCGGTCATGTCGCCAGATTCACGGTTGCTCCTCTCATGGCCCGCTTCCATCTCCCCACTCAAAAACCCGGGAAGATCATTCCACCAAGTCTCGATGTCGCTGGTAAGACGAAGAATTTGTTCGTGTTTGGGGAACCGGTGATTGATGCTTTTGTGAAAGACTTCAATGATCTGACCAGTCAACTTGCCCCATTGCACATAGGCCGTCAGGGCTGCCTCCCTCAATCTTTTTTCTTGTGCTTCAGGTCCTTCATTGTCGGATTGCGCCACGCGTGGGTCATCCGGGACCGCCCGTGGAGGGGGCATGTGCATGCTCATGTCGCCATCCGGGTTGGGCATCAGGTCTCGCGCAAGGGCCTTGTGAAGTTCCGGTCCGGACAAGCATACGTCAATGTCGTCGTCTTGAATCACGTTGGGGTCGCCAAGACTCAAATTACAATGTCGATCTAGAGCGTATGCCGACCAAAAGATCCGTTTGCGGATTTCGCAATCTTCGAGTGAAAATTGGGCATATCGCAGGGGACATCTGTGGAGACCAGCATGGTATATTAATTTGATGATAATGCCAGCAACTGTGCTGGCTTGGCGAATAGCCAAGGTAGCGGTGAGATAGAGTTCAGCCGCCAGGATGGCCTGAATAGTGGCCAGATCGTGGTCCATCGCAAGGCAACCCGCCACTCGACATACGTCGGCGGTCGACTTGACGCGCGACTCCATGGGGAGATGGATATCGCTACGATCGAGAGATGCGATATTGATGATCAGCTGAAAGGTCAGCAGCTTCCGCAAGTCGGTAGGCCCGGGGCTGTCCTTGGTTGGTTTGGAAGGACGCCGCTGCGAAGCATATATTGTCTCCATGTCCTTGATAAAACTAGGCCCATGGAGAAAGGGGAAAAGAGGGTGCCACACAGTAAAGAAAGAAGTGACCAATTCGATGGCGATCTTCTTCGCTGGAGGCTTGCCCAGCGCCGAGGCAAGAGTCTGGGGAAACTGATCGGATGTGCTGGGTCCCTCATACAGCGGGCCATTGTAGGAACGACCTTCGGCGTCCTCGCCAGTGAGAATGTCCTCACTTGCGGGAACGGGATTGGCACCGCCTAAATTTGAAGAAGCGAAGGCTGCGGAAAAGGCTCGTCGCACAGTGTTGACAAAGTAGACACCGGAAGAACTGCCCAGCCACGCGGTGCCGTGGTTAGGGAGCTTCTTGAGGGTGCCAATCTCTGACGTGTGAGTTGGACGCTCTTCAGGGTGATTGTCGCTGTCGGATTCATTGGTGACGACAGTCCCCGAGGTCGACGAAGTCACCGCGGGAGGCGTAGGCTGGCCGACACTGGGGGACGGATTGTTGCTGACAGTAGATCTCGGAGTCATCTTAGCTGGGGATGAGGGAGACCGAGACTGGAGCTGAAGGATAATGATGCTCTACTGAGGGATGGGGTTGAGCGCCGACATGGTCGGCGCGATGATTGATGATCACAGTAACGCTCGGCCTGGGTCGCTGATTGAAAACTCGGGGATGGCCAGAACTAGATCCTTGAGGCCGGATGCGAGAGCTGCGGAAGAGCGCGCATGTGAGAGTGAGGCCGGATATGCGGTGTGTGATGTATTATGTCTGTCTAATGTAGGAGAGGTGGACGCGGCGAGCGATAGCAAGATGGAGTAACAGCGAAGACCTGATGGAGAAAGGCGAGGGTAGGAGGTACTAGCTGGCAAGAAAAGCGGGCGTGGACGAGTTGGTTGATGGCTGAAGAAGAGCTACGGTCGAAGATTGCGAGGGCGAGATTGAGAACTCCGGCTGAGCTGAGAGGGTGGGAGGGGGAGGTCGCGCGGGCGAGAAAGAGAGGAGAGAGGGCGCGCGAGAGCGGTAAGGCAGTATCCAGCTGTTGGGAGGGAAGACGGTGGAAGAAGTGAGCAGAAGACGAATCAGATCATCCCGAGGGGAGGCTTATGGAAGGCCACAAGGTTAGTAACTGGAGGGTTGGTGGGAGGAAATTGGGGGGGAAAGGGAAATAAGCAGGTTGGTCCTTGGACTCTTTTTCTCTCTTCGCTGTTCACCAACAAGACGGACAGAAAAAAGCAAAAATCAGGAGGAAAAAGTCATCCAGTGTCAGCGAGCGAGAAGGGAAATCCAAGGTCAGTCACTGGCAGCACCAAAGTCCATGGCAGCCCCTAAAAAGACCACGTCGCACCCCCGTTGATGCGCCCCCAGGCACCTCCTCAACCCCCCTCAAGCACCGGGCTAGTTAAGATTCAGCCCGGAGATGACGCCTGAAAATCCCGCAATGGAACCTGGGCAGCCTAGTCTTCCCGCGCCCAGCAAGGTGAGCAGAGGAGGGAGGAAGGGTGTTTTTGTCTGACGGGCGGTGACAGTGTTGTTGATGCTGTGTCTTCCAGTGTCAGACCAGCCAGCTCCTGCCATGACGTAGGCTGAGTAACAGTCCCTCTCCACCCTCCCAAAATCCTCCTTGCGGCCACCAACTCGCCTCCATCTGGAGTTTCTTTCTCCCTGCCTTCCACCTCCCTGGGCCTTTACATATCATCGACCCTCCCATGTGCACCACTCGACCTTTTACATCATCTACGTGCGGAAGACACCGAGGATCATGCTTTCTCCCGGATATCCAACGCCGTTAGTGGCCGCCCATAAGCTTCTCTTCCCTCGTCTCGGCCGTCAGAGTGGTGCGGCGGCAGGCATGGATCTTGTTCGACCGCCACCTCTGTGACTGCACAATGCGCTCTCGGTCCTTTGTTTACCGGAAACTCTTGGCTGAGGCCATCATCGATCATCGCTCATCGCTCATCGGGGACTATCTTCCGAGCCACATGAATCGATTGACGTTGGTGGCAGAGAAGAAGAAATGCGCAGCCATCTTCACAAGCCACTTGGTACTTGGCGGCATTGCGACTGCTGACTCTCAAAGGGGAATGGTGAGCGGGAATACCATCTGAGACGGAAATGATCGCCTAAATCCGCAGGACAATTAGTTGCTATCCAACAAGGCCGGACGCTCGTCAGCCTGTCGATTGCGTCGATCGGCTGAAGCCGGACAGCCAAGGTCCTCTACAAGGCACCCTCATTATCCCGGTGCAGGCCGATATACAGAGCACAAGAGGAAGAAGAGGGCACCAACCTTGAGTGAACCCCGGAATGCCTATCTCATGCAGCCACGTGGGCAGCTCTACCTATGTAGCAGCTCTACCTATGTAGCAGCTTGTCCTTGCATGCCGCAGCCAAGTTGGCGACCTGTACTCGGGAAGGCACGAGCGTTTCATGGCCAGCTCGACACATTCCGTTCTTGTTCGTGTGTTTTGAATTGTCCTTATTAGCATATTTGGTACTTGTACAAGCTCTACCAGGGGAGACGCTAGACCCGGTTCCCCAGTCTTGTCCTTTCTCCTACCTCGCGATTCCAATAACCCCATCACCCTCTCGGATCTCTACAGTGGTGTCAATGACATTAGCCGTCTTGAGCACATCTACCACTCCTCCCATGACTCCAGCATCCACCCCTCTCGTGCCATCCACAAACTTCACATCCTTCAGCCACTCCCTCCCGTCCTCCTCGGAATAGTGACAACCAGCCTCACCTGTTCCAAGCATCTTGATCCCAGCGCTAGGATCCTCGTTGAACATTTTGATTCCCTTGTCCAGCGCCTCGAACACTTGCCTCAGGGTCTCATCCGAGCCCGGGTCCGGAAATGCGTCAGTTGAAGCTGCAATGTGCCAGCTAGGCCAGGGCGTGTAGATCTCCCCAATCTTCTTCAGGGGCGTGTCATCCCCATGGAAATAAGGTTTCGTAGTGAAATGCTCCCACATGAAGAAGTCGGCCGTGTTGCCAGTTACGCCGTCACGGAGATCCTTGAAGGGCCCCAGCGGCACGAGGGTCAGCCCTTCTGACTTTTGGTCCTTGGTATGATGGAGCCACCCTTCCTGCTGCGCAAGAACGAAGGCCATGATATGACTACCACTGCCCATCCTGCTGACACCCACTCGTCGATGTTGTTTTAGATCATCCACAGACGAGATGTCGTCTCGGTTTCTTCCCGTCACGATGGCCCACCGAAGCGGAGTAGACACCCATGACCCGACAATGGAATACCCCTTCTCTTGCAGCGATTGGCCCTGGACAGAAGGGTTCAGGAGTCCAGCGACCCAGCCTTCGGTGAGGCCAATTGCGAGGTCGATCTCCTTGGAACGAAGGGAGGTTATCATGTGGCCAGTCCCCGAGGGGAACGGGACGAGGTTGATCTGCAGGGAGGAGGGGAAAAGATTGTGCTTGTTGCTGAAGTGCAGCGGGAGGAGATAGTGCTCGGGCACGAAGCCAATGCGGATGGCGCGGGTTGCCATGTTAGTGGAACGTGAGAATGGCCAGTTGGGATCGTGGCGGAGAGACGGAGGGTATCACACAGATGTGGTCGACTTCCTGCAGCCACAAGGAATGAAGAAGCGGGAGGTCGGAGGTCTGAGATCTGAGCGCAGTCAGTGCTTCAACCCATGTCATCTCACGTCTTCGAGGTCGTCTCCGAAAAAAGTTTCCTTGACCCCTCCCCCGCAAACATCAACATCAATCTGCCCCATACAAACCACACAGCACTCGACTGCGCCGAAGTTTTTCCGCCCTTATCACTGCATCCTCGACCACACCGCACACCTCATTCTGCTTGAGTCACCTCTATCATCGTCCCTCTGCCAGCTACCAGCCCATTACCCAGCTCACCCCTTTGTGCATGAAGACTCGGTTGACATCCTCCGGCCATCGCTCGGTCATTCATGATCATCGCCCCCGATTCTCGACTGCAACGGCGGGGCGGCCCTCGTGCGTCTTCGGAATGAGCTCCGCTCCTGATTTGCGGGGTTTCCGCGCTTGTCTCATAAAGAGCTCGGAAAAGGTCAGCTGGAGCACAAAGGATTCCAGCAATTTGATATTGGCATTGTCTCGGGCCTCCTGAAAAGGGGCAACAGTTCTCGTCGACCACGTTAGCCACCTGCTTGGTGGTGGTCCTCTACACCTTCACTGGTCGGCAAAACGTTTAGCAGTGCGGACGAGGCTTGGGCTTGCGGTGGCCGAACTACCACCGCTGCAACAAGCAGAAACAGGGTCCAGAGCAGACGGCCCATTTCATCCTTGCATCTAACAGCCTCCATCTTGCGCGTCCCGGGTGACCAAACTCCACCCCCAGATTCCACTAGTCGCCGGGTAGTCTGATCAGCTTGCTCTCGACTAGGACCAGGGGAAGCGTCAAGGAAGAAAACGGAGCAGCAGTATCCAGCCCGAACTTATCGTACGACCCATTCAATACGAAAGCAAAACCAATCTAGTCAAGATGTCTGAGAAACCCAAGTACAAGTACACCTTGTACAGCTACTTCCGCAGCTCCTGCTCCGCTCGGATTCGCATTGCAGCCAATCTAAAGAACATCCCGCTCGAGTACAAATATATCCACTTGGTCAAGGGCGAACAGCATGGTAAGGACTATGTTGCGTTGAATCCAAGTGAGTCTGTGCCTACCTTGATTGTGAATGATCTGGAAACGGGCGACGAAGTTACCAGAATCAGACAGTCGGTGGCCATCCTGGAATTCTTCGAGGAGGTGGAACAACGAAATGGGGTGAAGCTCTTACCTGGCCCAGATGATCAAGTGGGAAGAGCCAGAGTCAGAGAGCTGGTGAACATTGTGGCTTGTGATGTTCAGCCTGTCACGAATTTGCGAGTGTTGAATTTCATCAAACCTCTCAACATCGAGGCCAAGCAGTGGCAGCAGCATTTCATGACGCTGGGGTTCCGGGCATATGAGGGATTGGTCAAGGTCTATGGTGGCAAGTATAGTGTTGGTGATACGGTGACCATGGCAGACTGCTCCCTTGCTCCGGCCATAGATGGAGCTCTCAGGTTTGGCGTGGATGTCCAAGGCCAATTTCCACACATTTGGGGAGTCTGGGAGGAGATTAAGCAGCTGGATGCGTTCAAAAATGGGAGGTGGGATAACCAAGAAGACACCCCGGAGGAGTTGAGGTCCAACGTGTAGCCAGAGATATATGCCATGCACCGAGTCGGAGGGAGATTGCTGTTGTTGTCCCTTTGGATACACTTCGAAGTCAATCTGCGACAGTGTAGGAACTACACCAAACATATCTAAATCACCAGTCATGCTATTGGAGGCTGATCTATTCATTCAACATGTTCTTTTCATCTCTAAGCAACCTTTCCTTGTGTTTGATCCGGACACTGAAAAGTGGGCTCCGATGGAAGTTGTCTTGCCGGGCGGAACTCCCATTAATATTAAATGAATACCCCACCCAGCGCATGGCAAAGCAAGTTTAGATATGCCCTCTTCGCAAACGGAGGGTTATGCATCGCGAGGCTGGCCAGGGCTCGTTTCCTCATGACGTGTGCCAATGCTACAAACTGTGACACCTCGATCTGAGTGACGATAATCGATGCATCCGAAGCTTCCTACGCTCCTGTTTCTCGCCGTTTCGACCGTTTAAATCCCCGTCTGATCCTCGAACGTTAGGAATCCAACGGTTTGGTCTCAATCTTGAAAGGTCTTTCTTCCACGTTGCTTTGTTGCTCTCTTCTCCTAAACAATGGAGACCGCCGAGCTGGGCCTGAACATCTTCCAGGTTATACAAAACGAACTCATTCAACGCGAAGGCAACCGGTCTACACTAGGTCTTGGGTTCCGCCTCTCCATCCTTGAAGACAGGCTGAAAAATCAAGAGGCGCGGACCAAGAATGGTCTAATCTGGAGACCTTATCATGCCATTGCTCCTATCTCTGCACCCACCCCAGAGGCGAGAGCCGCCGTCGAAGCACAAAGGAAGCGTCTGTTGGAAAGAAAGGGTGCAAAACCAACAAAGGACGACAAAGACCCGACAATGCATGTCCGAGACGACGAGCTTTGGAAGGTCCATCGCCACTTTCCGAGGACCGTGGTCGAGTTTAAGGAACTTCGATTCCACCGTATGTCACATATCTCATGTTTGGACCAGAGCCTGTTCCCTGATCTTTGAAAACAGCTGACTGGGTACGAAGCTTGCTCGAATACTATTGCGTCACGGTCTACCGGCCAGACATGAGACCGGTAATAATAGACCCGGCTGACTCGCTCATTGACGTTCAACATAACCTCGAGACGTGTCTTGAGGAGCTGGCCACGACCTGGGGGCTTAATTGGTTCCGAATAGGCGGCCTGGCTCTACCTGGTCAAGCTCATCCTTTTCCCAACCCCTGACAGAGTCAAGACTTCGTCATCGCTACGGAAAATATGTTATGCGCTAGACGCACAACTCAACGGCCAGTAAGGAATCAGGAGGAGTTCTGAGGGCTTCATGACTCTCCTGCCAGATCAGACGCAGTGTGCTTCTAGGAAGACTTGTTCCTGTTTGGGAGAACTTCGAACAAGATGGTATACTAGATGAGCGCTTCCGCCCTCCTCTGGATGCTTCACACGATGCTCCATGCCCAGCACCACCGTCAGCAATGGGGACAGGGTGTAAGTGACTCCAACTACAGGTGCTGCGAAGTATCCTTACTGAGAATAGCAGGACTCGCATTTAACGCCCTTTCGTGCACCTTTTCAATAATGAAGACAAAGACTAACAGGACATTAGACAATGAACTCTGCTAATTTGAGTGCATATCAGTTATTTTAGGACTGAGATTCTTTACATCTACACAGTGGTATTGTGTTGAACAAAGGTATACTGAGCATCAATGGATCTGCTGCACAGATGTTGAAATACCTTTTCTCTAGCGATGCTGCCCCTTTATAGAGGCCCTCTACAGAACAGAAAACTTCCAATAGAGCGATTGAGATTATTTGCCTCCAACAATACCTTGAGCATATCCTGTCCTCAACAGCCCGCGCTTGAGTGCTCCCCAAAACAACCCCAACTTGCCCAACCTGCTATCCATTTGATATGGACTTGTCGCTGCTCACAGCTTCTGGGAATACACCCTGCACCGCCCCTTCTGCGCCTGGCGAAAGTATACCTGCATGGCTCTACCGACGAGCCTTGTTTCTGCTGGACAGAGACTGGAAGGCCGGGTCCGTCGGCGGTCGTTACCAACTTCGAGATGTCCTCACGACACAAACCGGGATTCGCATTCCTGATGCTCTCATGACTGCCATCGTGGCGCAATTCGTCAACTTTGACACACCAATTCTTCTTCAAATCAGGGCTTTCCCGGAAGCAGAAATGAGTCCTGCCGCTTCGGACCAGATCCAGCCCGTGAGTCCTGCTCGTCAACAGACAGCGACTACAGAAGTTGCACCGGTTGCAGCCAGAGAACTGGTTTTTGGCCCTGATACGCCGGAGCACGAAAATGAAGTTGCTCGTTCCGAAAAGAGAGATGATGCTGGGCCAGTCGAGGAGAGCGAATTTCCTCCAATTCCGAATGACACGTCGCGCCACAGTCCGAGGACACTAGAGGCCCCGGAAATCCCTTTAAGCGTTCGTTATCAAACGCCAGGATCCTTCTCAGTATCACCCGACCTGAGAAGCAGAGAAACTGACCAAGTGAGTGAACATCCGGTAAGCCAGCGTCAACAGAGACTTCCCAACGATGATAATGATGATGATCCTTCATCCTCAATGGAGCAAGGTGAGGATACTAATGCCCAGGCGGACGATACCGGCATTCAAGACGATCAGAACGATATTCCAGAGGCATCAGAATCCGAAGAGACGGAGACCTCTGCCGGGGACAGGGAACGCTTGATCCAAAGCCGCCTGCGGATTCTTGTGGAAGGTGTACGAGCCATTGAAGGCTTCGACCTGTCAGATACAGACGACGCAGGCGAGTATGGACGCCGAGACGCGAATTACCTCGCTGATCCGGGTGACCACAGGGTATATCGCACAGCCTCGGGTCAACAACGTCGCGTCATCCGCCGTGAGCCTCCCAGTCTCCCCTCGTCGCCGCCACGGGCTGACCACTTTCCCAACGAAAGCCAACCAGAGCTCGACCCTGATATGCATTATTGGACCAGCGCCGACGGCATGAAACAAGACATGAAGAAGTTCACGCCAGATCCGAATCCGCCTCCCCCGCCGAAAAGAAAGTGGGAGGACGTGATTGCCGCCGCGCGCAAAGCGCAGGAGGACGCGCAGCGCGGCCTGATGCCCAAGCCTAAGCCAAAGGCCAAGGGTATAGGTAAAGGTAAAAAGGCCAAAGGGGTGCGTACCACCCAGCAAGCCAACGCAGATGGCAGCGCGAACGCCCAACAGCCCTCGCCCGCAAAGCGGACAGCGACAGCACCCCGCCGTCGAGCAGTGAGGGCTCCACCCGCGCTCCCAGCCACGACCCGCGAAACCAGATCCGCAGCGGCCAAGAGGAAGAGGGAGGAAGAAGAGGCGAGTGGGATGGACAGCAGCGGCGAAGACAGTGCGCAAAGATCGAGCAAAGGCAACGCGGCTGACGATAGTGACGGCGCGTCGCCTCCCCCGGCCAAGAGGCCGCGTCTGAAACTGATCCTCAGGATGCCCAAGGATGCTAATGGTTCTCACTAGGACTGTAGAGGATAGAGCCAGGCCGAGGCAGGATGGAAGTGATATATATAGTTCTTGGAATCAGGGTGAGTTATGGGTAAGAATTGCGTATCTTCGAATGATTAAACAGAAGAGGCGGAGAGAGGTATTGTTTTCGCAAGACAACGCTGACAAAGGGCAGCATTGCTGTCTTCAATTTTTTTATATTTATATTTATTTACCGCGAAATCGGCTTTTCCTCCATGGGCGTGTAAATGCATTCCGTACTCTAGGGGGCCGGAGGAGTGGCCTGGGCCGAGCTTGTATCTGGCCAAAGTCCAAACTGAGTAGTTGTCCAGACGGGGATATACATCAAGCATAGGGCCACAACTCTCCCGTGTACATACGCAAATACAGAAATTAACATACCTAACAACCCCTTCAATGTGTGTTCCTAGCTCGTCCACAAGCGACGTGCCTCCCGCGTGTTCAATAGCCGTATGTACAAGTACAGAGACTTGAGCAGGGGGTGGGGGGACAATATCCCATCCTACAACTGTCTGTCACGCCGTGTCACGCCGTGTTTTCCAAGATCAGGTCGACTTCCTCCGCCGCGGTCTCGAGGATGTGGCGCGCCGGATACTGCGCTTTCCAGCCGAGTTCTTCCTCGCCGTGGCGCGGGGTGAAGGTGCATCTGTGTCGCGGAGATGGGTCTGTGAGCGCAGGAGAGATGGAAATGGGGGGGTGGGGAAAACCAAAAACACACACAAAAAAGATAGGTGTGGTTTGGAATAGGGCGATGACTATCAGGAGGCTGGGTACTTCGTAGAGGACTGGAAAAAGGTGGCATTGAACAGGTAGACGACAACCAGAACGAAAAAACGAGAAGCCATGCATGGATCTGATGTGAACGAGGAAGGAAACAACCCACGTACCGGCCTCCGAGCTGCACCGCCACCAGCTCCTTCGGACACCCCAGCGCCGCGCCCATCTGCTCCAGCGTCTGCTCCGTCGCACGCTCGACTGCGCCGTCGTCCACCACGCCGCGCTCGGTGAGCCGCGCCGCCATCGCCGCGTACAGGTCTTCCCATGCCACGTGCCCGGACGAGGCGAGGTAGTAGCCGTGCTTGCCGCTTCCGGGGCGCTTGCCTGCCAGGATCCCGCGCAGGAGTGCGAGGTACAGGGTCGAGTTGTCGCGCACGTGGCACACGGGCCAGGACTGGTTTGTCAACGTGAGCATATCAATGTCAATGTCAGTGGCCTGGAGGGGTGGGGGATGTGATGCATGTTGCCCGACCGGGTAGAGTTACGTCAACTGGGCAGACGCCTGGGAGAGAAGAAGGGAGCTTTCGCTTCAAGGTCATGCCCCTGGCAGGGGTTGCAAGGATGAAAACAGGGGGGACGAAAATAAAGACCTACAGGACGTCCACTGTCGACGCTGTACACGCGCCGCAACGCCTGCGCGGCCCGCACGATCGCGACCGTCTGGATCGAGATGCGGTTCCCGAAGCCTTCGCCTTGGCCGTCTATCCGCGTGCAGATGGCGTCACCGTCAGTGAAATGAACACATATTCCTGTGTGAAGAGGGGATAGCGGGCAGGAGTAGGTGGCTTTTTTTTAGGGGGCTCGGTGCCCACAGAACTTACACACTATACAAGGTACAAAGATGTAGCTGTGCACGCCGAGGGCTTGTTCGATGACTTTGTTGTTGGTGTCGACTGCCTGGAGCGTTTAACGCATTAGATTGCAAGCTATCAGCTGTGTCGAATTTAAACGCCTTTCTCATAAGGGCGACTCATTGCTCGTTGTCTCCCGGGAGCGTAGGTGGAGGAATCTTACCGTCTGTATCAGAGGAACAGGCGCCTTCTGCGCCTTCTGGATCTCGTACAGATCTGCCTCTGTGTCGAGGAGTGGTCGGTCCGTCGGCGCGCCCGCATGGCTGGAGAAGATCTTCGCGCCGCTGGTCTGTTTATCGTGTGTGTGAGCCGACCAGAACACCAGCGTCTCGAGGACATCTCATACATGAAGGAAATGGACGTCGAGCCCCGTGCTCCCCTTCACCTCGGCCAGCGCCCGGATGAAGTGGCCCTGCGACTCGGCCCTCATGGCGTCGATCAGGAAAAACACGACGGTGATCTGGTTGTCGACCACGGCTTTGCGCACGGCGGCCTCGTCCTTGGAGTCGAAGATGATGGGCTCCGCCACGCCGCCGTACTCCTTCTTCACGGTCGCCGCCTGCTCGTCCGTCCGCACCAGCGCGAGCATTCGCTTGTACGGCGGGAGGTCGGCCTGGGACCAGAGCGCCAGCAACGTGCCCCCCAGGTATCCCGACGCCCCTGTGATCAGGATGGTGTGGGACATGGTGAGAGCGGAGAGTGTGTACTTGTAGGTAGCTTCGGTGTGGAAGGGCGGGAAGGAATCGAACTGAGGGGCTTTAGTAGGCGTGGGAGATGTGCTCAAATGCCCCTTTGCCCTTCAATCGTCAACTTGGGTGGGCTGTCGCTCGTCGGGATATATAGGTTTGAAGATGCAGTAGTATTTGAAATCAACGCTGATTGCTTCTCCACCTCGATATCGGACAATCTAGTATTTCCGCCGCCGGCTTGGAGACAAGTTGCCGTCGTACTCCTTCGTCTCGAAACCGGGGTTCAGAGCAGCCACCAACGCCATGATCTGCTGGGCAGGGATGATGGTCACCGCCGCACCAGGACTTCAGTCAGTAGTCAGACTACAGTCACGCCAGAGACCTTGACCGCAGTCAGGAGTCAGTAGTCATTACTACAGTCCCTTAGTCATCTATCGACGGGCGATCTAATTGGTAGAACTAGGGCTGATTCTCCAACCTACTCGTAGTAGTCTAGTGTATCTCGGCTAAGCTTCCCAATAAGGGTGTCAGGAGCTATCTTGTCGTGCCAAGACATAACGACATGGCGATGTCGTTAAGTCTTGGCGCGACAAGAGTACACCAAGACACTCTCCACGCCCGCCGCTATGGAGTCCTATATTGTCTTCCCAGGGAAGGGGGACGCATACATGGGCGGGGTTTTCTAAGCTTCGCATTAGTTGTGGTGCTGGGAGATGTAATGTCTGTGAGGCACGGTCGATAGATATAGAAACAGAAATCCTTCTGTATTTGTAGGCCGTCGGTGAGAGTGAGCATACATGGAGACTTGCTCGATACCTTACTACATACCCGACTTATAGACACCACCCGTATCTATACAATCAAAGTGTCCGTCACCGAAATAACCTTCAACGCCAGATCGACAAGATCCCCTTTCTGTTTACGCCGAAGCCGGAACAGCAGCCTTCCTCAATTCCCCCACCGAAGACACGCTGTCAACTTTCCCGAGGGCCCGGCCTTTCTCCTCTTCAGCCTCGGCGTCCAAGTCATCCACGTCCTCCAGATCCTCCCTTTTCAATGCCCGGCACACCCCGTCCTTCGTACAGATCATCACCTCCGACACAATCCCCCTCACCACCGTCCTCCCCCACCCCTTCAGCCTCCGCAGCTCACTTTCCTTGGCCGTCATGGGCGCAATGATCGTCTTCACGCCGACCTGTTCCATGACCGTTGCTCCCAGAAGCGTGACGTAGAGGAATGGATGCTGGATGATCTCGACGGCGAAGGCGTCGAGGATCGCGCGTGCTCGGGACAGGTAGGTGGTCGCTTCAGACTGCGATCGGGACGGGTGTTGGGATTGGATGTAGGAAGAGAGGTAGAGTAGATTGGTGCAGATGACGCCGTTGGGAGAGGGGAGCGCGTTGTCGGTCCCCGGCTTGAGTCGGATGATTTGTTCAGGTGGCGATGAATCGCGGGGCTTGGGACACTGGAAGTACCCACCCGTAGTGCTGGCGATGAAATGTTCGTCCAGATAGGACTGAAGCCGAACAGCCCAGTCGAGGTACGGTTGAGAAAGGGCCACGTCGTAGAGGGCGAGATTGGCCAGGGCGAGATATGCGTAGTCATCAACAAAGGCGGTATTGCTGGTGTCGGCATCTTGATCGAGCTCCGAAGCCGGCGGGCCTGTAACCCGTATCAGCTTCCCCGTGGCTTCATCATACATGCTCTTCCGGACGAATGCTGCAGCTCTTTCCGCGGCTTCCTGGCATCTCGTGGCGCGGTGCTTGTCGATCGTCGCCAGCGTGTTTGCTGCGCGAGCAAGTGCTGTGATGGCAAGGCCGTTCCACGAGGCAATGATTTTTGTATCCACCTCTGGCTTTTCGCGTTTCGTCTTGCGGTGCTCGCGGAGCTTGGCGCGACCAGCCTTGACTATCCGCACGATTTCCTCCTCCGGGATGCCGAACTCTTTGGCCAATATGGACGGTGTGGCTTGAATGTGCAGCACGTTCTGGGTCAGGAATTCGTCGTGCATGTCATGCTGGGCGGGCACATTACCGTCCGGTTTGACGCCAAAGTGCCGAGCCAAGATGGCGGCGTCCCGTTCACCGAGGATCGACTGGAACTCCTTGTACGTCCACACGTAAAAGGCCCCTTCCTTCTTGTCGTCTGACATTGCCCCGTTGCTCATGCTCGAAAGGGTGGTCCGCGAGTCTGCGTCTTCGCTCGAGTACCAGCCACCTTCTGGGTGGACGATCGGGGATTCGGGGTTCGTGAAATATTCGACGAGGTTGTAGATCGTGCCTAGAATCTCGGGGTCTCTACCCAGCGCCCAGGCGTCGCAGTAGCAGCCGAGCAGCTGCGCATTGTCGCACATCATCTTCTCAAAGTGTGGGAGATTCCAGTCGGCGGTGACGCTGTACCGATGGAAACCGTAGCCCAATTGATCTCTCAGACCGGACCTTGACATGGCGAGAAGGGTATGTAGCGACATTCTTGCAGCGGTGAGGCATGACTCCCTCCCCAAAATTCCAGGAACAGGGCTGAAGAAGCCAAAGCGCGTATGAGTAGAAGGCAGAGCTATGGCCGCTCCTATCCGGAGAAGAAACGTGAGGTTCGACGGAGTCGGGAATTTGGGCGCCGTGGGACTAGGACTGAATCCTCCATGGGTCGAGTCGTAGCGGGAGATGAAGTGGCTCAGAGCGTCATCCAGCAGATCCAGGTCCAGTGGCTCGGGTGGATCCGATGAACTGGGTTCGGCTTCTCGAGCTTGGCTGTCTGAGTGGGAGTGGATGCCCTCGCCAGCGAACGCGAGTAACTGGTCCGTAATTTCCGAAGACGATTGGAGACACCTTTCGCGCTGCGTGGCCCAGACCTCCTTCATCTTCTTGAGAATTCCAATGAACGTAACGGGCGCCTCGTCATGAGGAGTGGCCGGCATGAGATTCGTGGTAGGGGCGGGCCCAGGCCAGTAGGTGCCACCAAAGACGGGTTTGAGATCTGGGGTTAGGAAGACGTTCAGAGGCCAGCCTCCGGAGCCTGTCGTCGCCGTAACATAGCTCATGTAGATGTCATCCAAGTCGGGCCGGGATTCTCGATCTAGCTTGATCGGAATGAAGAAGGTGTTGAGAATCTCGGCTACCTCAGGAGAGCTAAATGACTCCCGCTCCATCACATGGCACCCTTTTAAGAGAGGGTCAAATCAAGCACGTTAAGCTGCAATGGGTCTCTTACAATGGCATGCATTATAACCGATGCTTAAAAAGATGAGTCGCTGGTAGCGCTTTGCAAGAGACAGCGTTTTCGGCGACCATTCTTGCCAGGCTACGGGATTGTCTTTGTGCGCTCGGAGCTGTTTCAAGTCAGCGTCAACAAATATTGACGGTGCTAACCGAACTCACATAGACTGATGGACTGTTCGCCAGGGCATTTTGCAGTCTCAATTCAGGCTCGCCGTTGACCATTGAGAATGGTTTTGGCACGACCGGCCAAATTGTAAGAGGTGGTGGTGTTTGTTGAACAAGCCGAGATGCGGGAGAGGCCAGCTGGGTCGGCGCGAGATACACAAATGATATCTTCCAGGCCTTGAAGCCAAACCAGAACGAAAATGTGGAAAACGAAAAGTCTGAGGTCGAGAGGGCACGTGGGTCGAGTTGGACAAGGCTTTGCAACAAGTTTTGCGGTTGGGGTCGGAAATCGCCGGCAGGAACAGGGCCACCCGGGTTGTTTCGCGCGAGGGACCGACTTCAGCTGTCGGGCAGAAGACAGTGCGCCGAGCAGAGAGATGGATAGGGATAGGCAGATACGAGATGGATGAAGTGCTGACTGAAGAAATTTTCGGATGGGGGGGCAAAGGGCAATCAGATCAATCACGAGAAAAGGAAAAAGGCAAAAAGGTGGTGGGAGGTGGCAGGGCAGCCAATCACAGCCAAGCATTTGGGCATATCAGTCTATCAGTTCTATCAGCCTGCTTAGCTAATCTGGGGTTGGGCACGTGGGGCCGCCCATAGACTGATAAGGCAAGGCTGCGCAAGGCAGGGCCTATTGCTCGTCGTTGGCCATCTTCTCCAGCACCTCTTGCTCTTCGGCCTCCATCAGCGCCCGCAGTTCCGCTTCCTCCTCCTCTGTCAGCATCCCTAGGTCTGCATTGGGTTCAGGTTCTTGTTCGAGAAGTCGGGGGTTCTTGGCCTCGTCCACCGCCTTGTTTAGATCCGCAGGGGCCAGACTCCATCTGCGAAGGGTCGCGTCAATGCTGACGCTAATGACCAGATCCCGGACCAGTGAGAGTCCTGTGACCTCTTCATAGTGCCCGGTGAAAACGTGGTGGAGGTCACCTGTCGCCTTGTTCCACACACGCACATTCTCGTCTCTGCAGGCCGTTACCACCCAGCCATACTTATCGTGCGTCACCACATCTCGCACAAAGTCGGGGTGTGTCAGTGTGGTATCAACCTTCCATCCCTCTTCCCTTACGAGATGTTTGGCAGTTTTGTCAGCTGAGGCTGTCCATAGATCTCCGTCTTCATCAAAGTGCAGCTTGTACACACTCGTGGCATGTGCCATGATCGGGGAAGACAGTTGAAATTTGTGCGCAGTGTTATTTGACAGCGCAGGGACGGGAAATGAGAAGATTTCCTGCTTGGAGGTCGAAAGCATCACAATAGGGGAATCGGGTGACGAAAGAGGGTCTAGGACAAGACACTCGATGCCTCGGGCATTGGGTTTGATGGAGCCAAGAGGTCGTCCGTCTAGCGCCCAAAGACGCACGTCTCCGTCAGCTCCCCCTGAGATCAAGATATCTTGTTTATCTGGAGTCCGGACAATTAGAAGGCATTTCACAAAGTCTTGATGAGCAGGGAACGAGGTTTGATCGATAATTGTAGGTCCTTGGAACGAATATTTCCATATGGATTTGTCCCAGCAGCCAGCGAAGACGTGAGTGACAGGGGCAGGTCCTGCGCTGGGTTGCGTTATGTGAAATGCAAGACTGGTCAGGGGTGCCTGAGGGCCTTTCGGTGTCGTGGAGATCTCGTTGGTGGATAACCGCAGGCTCGTGACCGAGCCCCCTGCCTCGGCGACAAAAACAACATCTCCAGTAGCATCGAGATAGTAGTTGACACCGGCGGCTAGCAGCTTTGTGGGGAATTTGACTGGATCCCCCTGCGTGTTTGCTGCCTTCTGGCGTTTCCGATCACTTTCAGCCAAGGATACACTGGAAAAGGATCAGCAAGGCTCAGAATGGACACCGCGCTGGTGCAGCCACGCACTCGGTCTGAAAGTAGTTGCCTGCCTGGTCTCCTGTGCTGGAGCTGGTCATGGCGGTCGATGGCAGGAGAAGGCATGGAAAGTGACGACAATCTCGTGGATTGCAGCGCTGGAAAATGTTTGATGCTGCACGAAGGTAATAAACACCCTACCATAGTACGCCAAGACGCCAAGACTACGTCTGCGCACAAGCGACCTCAAATGCACTGTGTTTTGCTTGTTTGTCACTCTGGCGTCTTGACCTTCCGCAGCTTGTCAAGGCAAATTCGTCTTTTCTGCTTCTTCCATCAAACAAAATAACTTCTCAAGTCCTCAGCCGCCACCACCACCTTTCCACCCTCCCTCTTCCTCTAGTCTCGGATTTCCTTCCTCTTTATGTAACATTAGTGTCTTCTTTATTGCGCCCTCTTTCCGTCATCATGGATATGGATCATCTCATCGGGCAGCGTTTCAACCTCATCTCAAAAAGTGAAATTCGGTACGCGAGCCTCCTTATTCTCCCTGGATCCGCTCTAACACTTTGGCACGCGCAGCTATGTCGGTACTCTCCACGAGATAAATCCTGAACAGTCCACAATTGCCTTGGAAAATGTCTTCTCCTTTGGTACCGAAGACCGTAAAGTCGAAAAATTCATCCCTCCCTCACAACAGAAATATGGCTTCATTGTCTTTCGCGGAAGCGACGTCAAGGATATCAAGATTGCTGAAGATGAACCGTTACAACCGTCGCCTCCTCAGAGCATGCCGAATGACCCTGCCATCTTGGTATGTCGTGTGCCTTTTGTTGCCTCACCCCTGTCGTTATGATGAAATATTCGGATGTAAATTCACAGACCTGTTCTGAAAGCGCAAAGCCATGTGGATATTTCCGTTGCCTTCCTTCTGATATCGACTTCTATCCATCCTCGATTTCAACTCACGGTTTCTCGAGTCCCTGCTAACCTGGATGAATACCCAGAATGCGTCGCGACCGGGTCCTCCTCCACCAGGCCTTCCACGCGATGGTCCTTTTTCTCCTCCAGAATACCCTCACCCTCCTCCTTTTGGTGGTTACTACCCTCCCAATCAATTCGGTAGAGGCTATGGCCCGCCGCCGGGAGCCTTTGGCCCTGGCCCCGGATTCCCACCTTATGGGCCTCCGCCTCCTGGGTATTTTGGCCCTCCTCCTCCCGGCCAGGGTTTCCCGCCAGGGCCTGGCCCTCACCCCTTTCCACAACACTCTCAACCTCCGATCGGTCCTCCAGGGCTGCGCGGCAATGTACCGCCACCTGCTCCACAGTCACAACCTCCCCCTGACTCCGCTGCGCCCGCAGTACCACCTGCTTCGAACTTGACGTCCGAACTGCCGGGTAGTAATAAGGCCCCAGAATCAACTTCTTCTCCTCCTCTCCCCAAGGAAACACAACCCTCCACGTCGCTTTCGTCACAATTGTCTCATGCCCAGGTCGCTGCTAAGGCTGCTCCAACAGCTGCTCCTGCGCCAGCAGCAGCAGCGGCTGCGGTGGTGGCGCCTCCCAAAGCTGTCCCTACAGGGCCAAAGAACAACCGTGTCACTCCCGCAGTCCCTCTCACAGTGAACCAGAAATCCTTCACACCCCCAGTTCCCGTGGCGCCGGAGATTTCGGCAACGAATGGCGCCGGTGCGAAACCCCACAAACCTGCGCCCTCGCAAGCTGCCATGGATGAGGCAGCGCGACAAGCAAAGGAAGCCGTGGCAGCAGCCATGGCAAAATTGAACCCTCAGGCAGCTGCGGCACAGACCAAACAGACCCCTTCAACAGCAGCCGTAGATGCTCTGACAAAAAAGGTGGCAGAAATGTCTACGTCAACCACGAGCAACGGGGCGGCGCGTGGGGGTAGGGGAGGGTTCAGAGGTGGGCGAGGAAGCAATTACCACCGTGGCGGTGGCCAGAAGAAGATGGAAATCCCCAAGTCCGACTTTGACTTTGAATCCGCCAATGCGAAGTTCAACAAGGAGGACCTCATCAAAGAAGCGATTGCTTCAGGATCACCCCTTGAAGAAAATCCAGTACCGGAAGAAGACATCGGAGAAACAGGGAAACCCACTCCGACGAGAAAAGACAGCCTCCCCACGGCTGGCCCTGCGTACAACAGATCAACTTCGTTCTTTGACAACATCTCATCGGAAGCCAAGGACCGAGAAGAAGGCAACGACGGCCGCGCGCATGGCAGACAGGTGCGAAGCGAAGAGTTCAAGAAAAACATCGAGACGTTTGGGCAAGGGAATGTTGATGGAGGTTACCGCGGGCGCGGCCGAGGAGGTGGGTATGGTCGCGGAAGACAATACGGTGGGACATATCGAGGCGGTTATAACAACCGTGGATATGGTGGATACAATTATCGTGGCAATCGGGGACGAGGCGGGCAGGGACAGGGACAAGGGCAGACACAGGTCCAGACTGGTCAAGCTGCTGCGCAGAACTAGATCACAAGGACCGTCTCTTTTTCTTTTCTCATCATACATGCTACGAAAGGGCGGCACAAATGTTATCACCACGTCTTGAGTTGTTAAGCATTGTCATGCCTCGCAGGGGAGTTGGGAAGGATCTGGACTAGGACGATCATGGATCCAGATGGGAGGAACGCACTCTTCACAGCGGGACGGGATGGTATGCATGCTGAAATGAAGATATGCTGGTCATGGCTGTGATCATGAGTGAAACGCCGCTTCATGAAGGACGAGTGGCGGCCGGGTCAGTTGGTTAACACCAGCAATTCAAGCCATGTATGGAGCGAGATGGATTTTGCTGCGATTGATTGATTGCATGGCTGCCCGAGGGGGATACAGCCTGATATGGACTCTGCAGAAGACCAATCGAAACCCAAGCTGAAGTGGCCTGGACTGATTACACATGCAAATTGCACCCTTGGCCCGCCTTTCCTGCTTCGTATATTGCACTCTGCGAAGCGCAATTGCGGCTTAGTGAGCTTGTCAGCCCAGCGGACTCGGGGCGGGCACAATAACGTGTTCGCTGTCGCCAGAATGAATGTTCTTTGGCCCCCAGAATCTGAGAATTAATTACGGCGCGGGAGCAGGGGCGCCAGATTTGACTTTGGCGCGAATCCGAGGCCGACCGTCTTGTTGCTTACCTGCTGTGATATTTCAATCTCGCCCACTTCAACCATTTCATCGCTGTCATGGCGAAACCACCATGGTAAATCCATCGACCAGCCTCCTCCGAGACCTGCTGCCAGCTGCGCCTCGTATGCCTCTGCGTTCTACCTTCTGCCAGGAACCTCACTGACTTGACTAAGCCTGCATGATCGATCGCCATGTCGAATCAACATCCTCGCCATCCTTCCTTACAGCCTTATGCGGAGAAATTTCTGTTTGTCAACTACGATTCCAGCAGCCCAGGCGGCTCTCATGACCATTCACAAGTCCTCTCCCACGTCCGTCAGAACTATCATGTGTGGCGCCGAAAGCAGAGTGTCAAGCATCTTCGAGATCTCGTCGTGGTCCATCGCACTTGCAAGCAGAAGCTACCGCTTCCCAGCTTCAAAACACCTCTGGCGCCTGAGCGCAGCAGAGATGTGCGAGGCGGTCCAGTAGTCCCCGTGAAGACAAAAAAGGCCAGCAAGACTCGCCGCACGGGTGCCGCTGTTGAGACCGTCACCGGGCCTCGTCCTTGCTCCTCTTCAATCACTCTGCGCAGCGGGAATTCGGATCCTTTCGGTGCTTATCCAGTCAAAATCAATCCTGAGGTCAACCAGCTGATCTCGTTCTACCGCGACTATCTCCTTCCCGCGCAGTATCACGTCCCTTCTACGACGTGGGTCAGCTCTGCAAATGCGAGACTAGATTGGGCCATCTGCGTCTCGACGCTCCAAGAGCCAGGTTTGGCGAATGCCTTTATTGCTCGTTCGGCAACCGTTGCTGCGGTGCTCAATCCCGCTTTACGGACTCTGGCTATGCGTTACCGCCTGCGAAGTATTCAGGAGTTACGCGTGAGACTGCTCAACAACGCACATCACACCTGCAGTGATGTAAATGTGCTCCAAATCATCATGCTGCAGAAAGCGGAAATCGTTGACAAAAACCTGTCAGCTGCTGCGGCACATGCGAAGATACTGCAAAATATGTTCCAAGAACAACAACAAAGGAGTCGCACAATAAACTTCACGCTTCTGCAATACGCCATCTGGAGTGACACCCAAATCTCTTCGATCTTCATGACTCCTCTCGCATTCGACGTGAGCCCAGGCGGCTGGGTGGTTGAAACGATGCAGCCTCTTTGGGACGCTGCTCTGAGTCAGCTTGGAGAGCTTCCACAGTGGACAACCCTTCGGGACGAAGCGGAAAAGTCTCTCGACCCCAGTGTCGAAGGCGGAGACCTACAGGCGTTCTTCGTCTCGCGAAGGACCACTCTACAAACCTGGTTGCTTTACGGGCTCAATGGTCTACCCACGCCACCGCTCATAATCCTGTGGCTGACCACGACCGCCTGTCTCCAGCAGGGGAGGATGATCAAACACTATACCCGCGCCGTCCACGAGGCCATCCAATGTACATCCCCATCTTCAGCGAAAGGAGAAGCGGAAGACGGCTCCGTGGAGCAAGCAGAGTATTGGTATACCCAGCAGTATTTGATCCTTGCAGAATTTCTCTGGACGCACCACTTAAGCTACAAAGTTGAGGTTTGCGGCGTTGATCTCTTTGATATGGTACCGACGCAACTCCGGAACCTCCGAGCAGCACTGCAACATGCCGAAGAGTCCGGGCGAGGTTTGGGACGCCACCTTTCTTCAAAATATCGCAATGCTCGTCTCTGGGCACTGTTTATTGGTGCGCACGCCGAATTTTCAAAGTCTAAATCCAAGCGCGAAATGGCAAATTCAGCGCTGCCGTCGACCGAAGTTGTCCACAATAACAACCACCAGAAGGAAGCGCCTGCCTTCATCAAATGCGTCAAAACTGTCAAACACTGTGACCCGGACAGTCATGAAGAACTTAGCGATCGATGGTTTGAAACGCAGCTGTCTCGCCAGATCCAAGACATGGGATTGTCGACATGGCCGGATGTTTACTTTGTCCTACGAGGGTTCAACTACGCGGATATAATCCAGCCACTCGGAGAAGAGATCTTCAACAAAGCCATGAATGTACTCTGACCTCTGATGCCGATATGCCTGTGTTCAATCAGGCCCCAGCAAATGACAAGAGGCTCTAATTATGGGAACTCGTATTGTCTATCAACCAGATGCCTCACCCTAAACATGGCGCACAGAACCGAAGCAAAAGGTATAAGAATACAATGAGCGAGGTAGCATTGATGCTTGGATACATACCAGCGAAATGAGAGAGCGATGTATTCAGCACCTTTCTTCGAAACTCAGCCAACCAACTTCTCTCCAACCACTACCGCCTTCGACTCTACAGCGTCCTCTGAAGACGCACGTTCACCGTCCTGGATCTCCAGCGCCTCACCTTCGAGCAGCCGTGGATGAGGCATCACGCCCAACTTTCTTGCCTCCTCAACTGTAAATGTCGCGAACAGATCTTCCGCGTCGATCTCCCCAAGACCCGGTACAGGGAATAATCGGTTCAAAACATAGTGCACAACGAACGCCAAAGCAAATCCCTCGATGTACGCGAGATAAAAGATCTCCTGTGCGCCCTTGGGCACATGAATCGACGGGTTGACAGCATTGATGAATCCGGGCAGCGCGGGTGCCATGCCGATGAGCCAAGAGGCGTAGGCGCGCCAATTGAACCCCCGGTTGTACCAGTAGATGGATGATTGGTCTGGAATGTATAGATCAGAAAGCTTGAATTTGCGATCACGAATAACCCAGAAGTCGCAGACCATCATGCCCACCATGGGGCCGAGGAAGACAGAATATCCGTCCAGGACGTTGATGAACGTATTCGCGGTGTCAGCCAATTGCCACGGATTGATTGCAATACCCAGCACGAACGTGATGACTGCACCTCTGCGGATATTGATCCAGCGAGGGAAGAGTGCGGCAAGATCGAAGCCACCGGGCCACGCATTGTCGACGGTGTTGATGCTTAGCTGGGAGATGAAGAACCCCAGGCCGGCGAAGAAAGCCCCGGCGCGAGCTTTGGCGGTATAACCGTCCTCCATCCAGCGAATCGCAAGCTCTGCGGGCGACCAGAGCACCTCTCCATAGATCTTCTGCGCAGCAGAGGTGGAGAGTGTGCCCATGAGGGTCACCAGCGCACCGATGATCACGGTGGAGTAAATCTGGCCAGGAATTTGCGCGCCCGGTGTTTTTGCGAACCGGTTGAAGTCACTCTGATTGGTGAGTGACACCGCGATGGAACCAATGACGGTAGTGATGCCGCGGATGATTGCCCAGGCTTTCTCGCTGGTCGTGGTGAGTGTGCTGTTCGCAGTGAGCAAAGGCCCGCCGCCGTGGGCGGTCGACAGTGCCCAGACCGTGACCGAGAACATGGTGACAGCTGTGATGATATTGGCATACCGGAAGAGGATCGCGGTCTTCTCGGGAGGGATCAAGAGGCAGGGAAACTGGAAGCACAGGAAGACGATGAAGCCGACAAACTGCTGAGTCGTCATGTTCGCACTGGCCGGGAAGGTATTGGGTATGTGTCTGTAGCCGGAGAAGATGCTGTAGAGCATCACGCCTACCATCTGGCCGCCAATCCAGGCTTGAACGCCGTACCAGACCAGGCAGAGCATGATCCTCTGTGCGAGGGCGAGATACGAGCCCCTAAGCCCCCAAACAGCGCGATTTCCCACAGAGAAACCGACATGCCAGAGAGCACCCCACCAGCCGTTCGCGATCGCCACTCCAGCAATGAGGAACTATATGCCAACACGGGTTAGTCGAGAACTTTTGCACAAGATGAACAACGGGACAATACGGACTTTGGCGATAATCGTCACGACCATAGCTTCCCACACACTCAACCCCAGTGAAATCAACGAGCTTGCTGTCTGCCATCCGACTGTGTTCAGTTGGATGACAGCCCAGAACCCCAAGAATCCCCATACTGTCCACGTTCGCCTATATGGAGGAAGCGGGGCAAGATCACGATTGTTCCATGCCGTGGCCCTCTGACCGTCCAAGTTCTCGTCCACGGGCACTTCGAGCTTCTCGCTGAGCCGTGCGGCTCGGTGACGAAGAGAACTCATTGCTTTGGATCCGCTGATGAGCTGAGGCAGGCTTGACGGCGGTCCAGGTTCCTTCAGGTGGAAAGAGTTGAGCTCGCGGCTCAAGCAAAACTGCGATCGCAGTTATGTTTATCATATGGTCGAGCCTCTGATCATGACTCGACAGAGCCTGATTCCGCCCACTCCCCGTGCTCTGGACATGTCTATCGCTGATAAGAACCCAGGCGAGCCACGTGGTGGGACCGACATGATACCGCTCGCTCATCTCCACGTTGACGACGGCCACTTTCCGGCAGCTCGATAACATGTTATACAACGAGTAAAGCGTCAAAGTCTAGGCCCAGAAATGCTCGCTTGAAACGAGAAGCGCCACAGGGTCCTTACCGCAGACAGACCACATCAGAGATGTCTCACGGGATCACTCTTCGCTCTCTTCGTCAGTCCAGGGCAAGGCGCCTTGTGACAGGTCAATGTCCACAGCATAGAATTTGAGTAGCGGCCATTAAGAAACCTGACATCAATCTGCCAATCATCGCAGTTGGCTGAGCCCTGGACCAATATCTCAACATCCATGTGGCTAGAGGTAAGCATTTATTAGCGCAGCGGCTGGTGCCGGATTGTGAGAACGATAGCCAAAAAGGAAGGCCGGAAACCACTCTCCGAATATAACAGTCGATGCTCGGTAGATCCATCGGATGAGGAATGGCACGGCAAAGCCGATAAGCAGTAAGGCTGCGCGTGTCTCCGTCTCTGAAATCCGATATCTCGTACACAGCACTCGATGCTTGTTTCTGGAACTGCTCGACATGCCGCCCAAGACTTGATATGATATTGGGCCTGATTCTCCCTGATAGGCACTTCGAATCTTGAAAACCAGTTCATCATTGTTTTGGCGGCACGCTCCAATTAAATATCGCCATGTCCCAAGTTACGACACAGACCGAGGAAAATAATCCTCTCGTAATCAAGCTCCAGAATGGTCAAACTCTCCACGTGGAATCCAATGAGGCCATTGATGCAGACGAGATCCCTATTATCGACGTAGCTGGAATCTACAGTGATGACCTGGCGGATCGACAGGCTGTGGCGGACAAGATTCGAGAAGCTGCTCACCGCATTGGATTTTTCTATGTGGTCAATCATGTGAGTTTTTTGTTCCGCGAGGTTGCATCTATTGCTAAACGTTCCCTTCTTCTTTCAAGGGGTTTGATGCCAAACTGGCGGATGGAGTGTTTGAACAAGCCAAGCGATTCTTTGCATTGCCGCTAGAAAAGAAATTAGAGGTGGACACGAGCCTCGTGCCGAAGGAGTATGTCGGGTACCATGCGCTTGCGAGCTATAACAGAAATGGGAGGAAACATCATGGTAGGTCACTCTGTGGTTGGAGTCCAAACTTGATTTCATTCGTCCCGGGGTCGCGCAACTAACCGTCCTATCCTATGTGCCTCATAGATCTCAGTGAAGCATTCAACCTAGCATACTCTGCCGAGCAAGATCCCGAAAACCCAGAAAATGACCCAGGTTCTTCAATATGGCCAAGTGATCTGCCTGGCTTTAAGGAAGCCATGTACGCTTACCATACGCCTATGCTCCAATTTGCTCGCAAGATGACCCGGGTCTTCGCCCTGGCACTCCATCTACCAGAAACCTACTTCGACGAGTGGATTAAGCGCCCTGAAGCTGGCCTGCGCATCCTCCATTACCCCGAACAGGAGGCGTCGGTGGACGATCAGAACGGAATAGGCGCGCACACCGACTTTGAGTGCTTTACCATTGTAAACCAAGACATGTCCGGAGGGCTTGAAGTGCTGAGCAAGTCCGGGCGATGGATCCGAGCGAAGCCCGTGCCGAACTCCTTTGTGATCAACATCGCCGACTGCTTCATGAGGCAGACGAACGACTATTTCGTGTCGACAGTGCACCGGGTGATCAACAAGAGCGGTAAAGAGAGGTATTCTATCCCGTTCTTCTACGGCCTGGATAGGAAGATGCCCATGTTGCCTATTCCATCGTGCATCTCGGAGGATAATCCGGCCAAATACCCTGTCATGACAGCCGGGGAGTATTACCTGTGGAGGGCCAAGAAGGCCAAGCAGGGCGACCAGGCCGACGAAGAATAGGAGAGGAAGGTCTATATGTCCCTAGTACATATGAGCGAATGAAAAAGCATGTCTCCTCTCGTGTCGTGTGATGGTATTCAGGCGACGAAAAGCCACTTTGACCTGTTCTCCACCATCTCACGGAGTGCGTAGGACGCGCTGAAGTATAGGCAGAGAACCACAGATCGCGCAAAGTCATGCGGATTTCAGAGTGAGCGAGCCTACATGAACCAGCGTCCCGACCTTTTACATGGGATAAAAGACACGTCCAAAGAGGAATATCTCAATATTGATTTGGTGATATGATAGGGTCATTAACCCCATGGGAGCTTTGTCTTTCAACACAGCTAGACGAATCAATCCAAGCGTCAATTGGATCAACCCCCACGGACATGGCTTCCCAGATAGTCTCTGGTAGTGAGAGTGGGGGTTTGGGGAGAGCGACATAGAATTACTATTACATTTCGCTTCGGCTGTTATCAGCTGGATATTCTGTCGCTGCATCAATTTCGAAAAGCCATAGACCCGTAGCTGGCTTTGCCTCTGTCAATCAGTGACCCTATGCCGAAGGGAGAGCCTGAGATGTGTGTTGGAGATCGCGAGGCTCGGCTTCACTCCATCTGCCACTCGTTTTCCTCCTCCCCTTCCTCTCTGACCTCCTCTTGCTCGCATTCGGGCAGTGGCGGCAGCTTCTGCTGTTGCTCCCGCTGTAGATCCTTCTCCTCCACGACGACTTTGACTTTGATGCCCCAGCCCTCCTTCCCTCCGATCCAGTTCTTGCGCTTGCCCACCTTTTCAATGACGCGCAGGGCGCGTTGCATCGTGTCCTTGAGGAGATATGGGTCGCCGGGAACCTTGGACACCCAGAGAGTCAGTTCCAGGCCATCCTTGTTCCCGTCCTTGCCCAGGCCCGCCGCCCATCGCGCAGAGATCTGGACCCGTGGGTTCGTCTCGTCGATGATCCCGGCCGGGTAGACTTGGGCGACAACCATGGCGACTCGGCCGATGTAGCACGACCACCAGACCTGCTCCGGCGTGAGGAGGTGGCGGAGTGATTCTTTGTAGTCGAACTCGCGCGGAGGCAGCTCGCCTTCGAACCGCTCCTCGAACATGAGCGCCAGCAGCGCGCGGTCGGTGTGAGAGACGCCGTGGGCCGAGGCCAGGATGCCGGTGGAGGTGCTGTACAGGGCGGCGCTCGAGGAAGACTCCTTGGAGAGGTCCGAGTGTTCGAAGAAGACGTTCGCCAGCGAGCGGATGACCTCCGTCGAGATGGACCGGGGGAACGATCTCGGCTCCCCGCTCGTGGACGGCGGGATGGCAGACAGAAATAGATCGCCCATGGCCAGGGCGGATGGTTTGGCGAACCGCGCAGTGGCCACTTCTAGGGGGTGCTGTCTCCGGACGTTGTACGGTAGCTCTTGGAATAGCACACCCTCACGGACACCGCCCTGACAGAACTGTGCTTCCTTGATCCCGAACGGGATTGCTTCCGCCAGCACATTGACCAGGAACGCAACAGCCGGGACCTGGGCACGTCTGCGATCTGACACGCGGAAGATCCGGTGCGCGGTGCGCGCAACCTCCTTCAGCTTCTCGGTGTCTGTGAAGCTGGCTTTATCTGCTATGAAGCCGTTGATGATCGAGATGGGATAGTGGTGCCCATGTACCTGATTCTGGTAAAGGAGGAGGTAGCCCCAGCCGCGAAAGCCCCCGCCACACAGATAGAGCTGGAATCCCCCGTAGAGCCTGGCAACGTCAATCAGTTCCTGCGGAATGTCGAGCTCGCGATACGCATTGAGGAAGTTCTTCTTCATCTCCGCCCTGATCTCGGCGATGGCCTTGTCGGCCTCCTCCTTCGACTTGCCTGCTTTGGCACTTTCCAGCGCGCGAGTGAGCGCCGCGGCTCCGTAGGGGAAGCTGAAAGCGCCCTTGGGACTCATTTCCACCCGCCCCTCGCGAGAGATCATCCAGCTGATCTGCGTGCTCCCTCCGCCTAGGTCCATCACCAGGCCCTTGACGTAGGTGAAGCTGCTGGCTATCCCGAACGCCCCAATCCGGCCTTCCTCCTCCTTGGGGAGCATGTGGACCTCCAAGCCGGACGCTTCGTGGATGGCGGCGAGAAATTCCGACGAGTTCAACGCCTCACGCGTGGCTTCTGTGGCGATGACCCGGATCTGGGTCTGCGGCACGCCCAGGTCGTCGCAGATGACCTTGAACCGCATCAGCGCGGCGACCACGGCTCGGATGATGGAGGGCGGGATCGGGATCCTCCCGCCCTTGGAGTCGAACTGTGCATCGTACAGGGAGATGTTGGATCGGTGGAAATGCACCGTCGGCAGCGTTCGCGCCGTGGGCGGTGACAGGTCCGAGACAGAGAATCGGATCCCGTTGCTAAGATGGCACACTAAGTCAATCCCGGAACTTGTGTGAAGGGAACCCATTTCGCAGGGCTATTGCTGGAGCTCCGAATCCAGCAAATTCAGTCAATGCTGCTACTACTATCTGTGTGACTAACCTTCCCATATCAACCAGGGCGCGAAGATGCGGTCGACGATCGCCCATTGCGACCCGTACTGATTTTTCGGTCATTTTGTTCCTATTCTGTGGGTTTACTGACTTGTCTGCTCAGGTGAAGAAGGGAAAGAAGGAGAGAAGAATGAAGGGCAGGAATGGCAAGGAACAAGCAGCAATACGTAGTGCTCATTCCCTTAATCGAGCCGTAGCTGCAGAGATGAAATACCGCGAACCACGCGCCGGGAACGAGTCTGCCTTACTGGGACAGGGACACGGGCTCGTACTCGAGCCGTCTGCCTCCGAGAGGAGACCAAGCTGAGCTGAGAGAATGCGACGAGTGGCTCAACACCGCCGAGACTACCAAGAAGGGCATCTCGAACTCTGTTCCGCGCGGGCTCCTCACGCGATACGCGCCTGCAATTGGCCCAAAAGTCCGGATGCGCGTGATGTAATGCGCATGGGAGAGCTGCAACTCTATTGCTTCGGCCGCCAGTCAATGGCGATTGGAGGGAGGGGGAGCATATTGCTCGAGCTCCAGGCGGTCTGGGAAATCGCTTTACGAGGAGGACTCGGGCATTTGTTGGTCGTGCGGTGGGTTACTTACTCAGGGTGCTGCATCCGAGACGGGCCGGACTGCCTTGGAACGAGTTCTTCTATACGAATTGTTAAATGTACTCGTAGTATATTACTACTCGGCCCCTGTTCCTCCTTTTAGGCGAAAAGCGGGGTGGTGGCTTGATGCACCTCCTGTACTCGTACAGACCCCGTCTCTAGGGCGGGCACCGCGCCGAGTAAAACGCAGTAGAGTTTGGCATGTGAGAATGAGGGAAATCTCGGTTAAAGGCCCCCGAGTTGTCTTGGTAGTTGACTATATCGAAGACTATACATAAAGCAGCCACCAACCCCAAGGCCCAAGGCGTTCACACAGCCTCGACCGCCTTGGGGCGCCGCTGATTCAACCTGGCGGGATCGGAATCCCACTCGCGATTGTGTTCGGTGCCGCGACTCAGCTTGTACGACTCCTTGCCCTTGTACTGTGCGGTGTTCCAGTTGTGCGCCCGCTGCTTCACCCACTCGTCGGCGTTCAGGAGTGTCTCGCCGGACGATTTCTCCAGCGCCGCCACGTCCTCTGCGGTCGGGTACTGGAACAGGTCCCGCAGCTTGACGCTCGAGTTCGGGCGCGAAAAGTAGACCACGCTGTGGCGCATGCACTCCCCTTGCTGGCCCGGGGGCACCACGACCCGGTGCACCGCGCTGTACAGCCGGCCGCCCAGGAGCTTGATCAGGCTGTCGCCCAGATTGATGACGGCGCACTCCGGCCGCGGCCGCACGTACTCCCAGTCGCGCTTGTTGGGCGCGAGCACCTGGAGCCCGCCGAGCTGGTTGAAGAGGACCGTCACGCTGCCGAAGTCGGTGTGTTCGCCCAGCGTGATCGTCTCGGCCGGCCGGACGGGGGGCGCGCAGGTGACCCGCGCCTGGTCGACGGACGGCCGGTCCAGCTCGTGCAGCGACTCGAGAAGGCCCCGCGGCAAGCCCAGCGACTTGCCCAGGGACGTGGTGATGGCGTAGACGACGGCGTGGCACGACTTCATGAACGTCTGGAGCTCCTCGAAGCGGTCCAGCACCACCTGCGGGTGATGGCCCGACACCGACGCGGGCGGCGTCCCGTCTGCCGGCGGCGGCTGCGGGATCCCCAGCACCTCGTCCTTGGACACGTTGTAGAACTCGCTGTGGTCCTTGGTGCCCTTGTCGTCGACGAACATGGCGCCTGACCGCTTGTAGCCGTAGTAGTGGCCCGTGGTGCCCATGTCGTAGGCGAGTTTCTCGTCCAGCGGCAGCGAGAAGACGCCGTCGGCGAGGTTGAACATGAACCGCGCGTCCACGTGGTTGGACAGGTAGAAGAAGCCGTAGTTCTGGCACGAGTGTAGCAGGATCCGGGCCTGTTCCGCGTCTCCTTGGGCCAGGAGGTCGAAATCGACCGTCGCGATGTCAGCCACCGGCACGTCTGACGGGAACGGTGGGAGCGTGTTGTTAGACATGTTGGATGGCTTGTAGGTTCGCCTAGGTTGCGCCTGTGTCGTGAAGAATGTGGACGGTCACTCGGGTCGACAGTCTCATCGTGAGAAGGCTTGATTTCTAGAGATTTCACTGATCGACCACGTCTGTTATATCTAAAGATCGATCTTGTCTCCCCGTGGGTGCCCCGAATCACACACCCCTCGGGGCATTCGTCATCGCCCTGCGAAGGCGGGGAGACCTCGTAAGATGCTCGGCCATGTCTCGGGAAAATGCTTCAAATTGGAGAGATCTCTAGACAAAGCGATGATCTGGGCGATCGCGAGTGAGGGGTAGAACGAAGCCCGCTCGCGTGATAGTGGCACTATTGCAAAGGATCACTCTCATTGGGATGCACGGGAAGTGGCCTGTGCATCCCCGAATGCATGTCCTAGCGAGCCTGGCCAATATAAATGGAGCAGGACGCTCCCTTGACTTGAGACCTAAAGGGCCATCTATATGCATATCTTCGGCACAATCCTGGCTCTCTGTCCAGTCTATGAGCGCCACACATCTAGAGAATAAAGTCTATGAGTTGAATATCTCGAATCGTGTCAGCCTGCTTGATGGACGGCTCGCCCAATATAGCAGGGAGACTTTGTGATCTCGTGCAGGGCCTCCCTTAACAATCTGTCATGGGCATGCTCTCATGTCTGTACACGCTCCACCTCGATTTGACTGCTGTCCTTCTCGCTCTCGTTGTCCGAGGAGTTGCGTCTCGCTTTGGCACTCGCCTTCTCGTCAACTGTCTTTGACGAGTCTGCGAAGAGGGCCCCAATTTCCTCAAGGGACATCATCTTAGTCTGAGATTTGAGGACTGTCAGTCACATTCGGCAAAATGTTTGTTGAAGAAGAATCTTACCTCTGGAAACTTCCACCATACCACAACGATGACAGCCGATGTGGCACCAATGCACACCAGGTAGTATTTCCATCCAATGTTCGCAAAGCCGGTGGGAGCGCCCTGCAGCAATGCCAATGCCGTGAGGAACAATCCGGAAATGGACAGCGACAGCCCTTTTGCTCTCACTGGTGTTGGGAATATTTCGGACGCGTAGATGTAAGATGTCGCGTCAATGGTGCTAGCAAAGATGGCAACGTGCAAGAACAGAAAGAAGACTGCGGCACTGGCGGCACCTTGGCTGCCGTGTTCCTGGAACTGGGACAGTGTGATGACCTCGCCAACGAGAGCTAGCACACATCCCGACATTCCAATTACTAGCAACAGTCAGACATATCCCGAGACATGGCGAATGCGGGGCTTGACATACTCAACATCTTAACGCGGCCGACTTTGTCAACAATCAGGGCATTGATGCCATTGCCAAAGGGAGACACGGAAATCCAGCCAGCTTGAATGATAAGCTGTCGAACGGTATCGAAGCCGAGATTGGCATACAGCATCGGCCCATAATCTGGTCTCTCATTAGCTCCATCAGGAAGAAAACATCTCGAGCCAAGTGCAGTTAGGACTCACTGTTGATGATTTGCGTTCCAGTCGTCTGGGCTCCCACCATCATGATGAAGCCGATGCCCACTCTTTTGCGATATCCCGGCAACCTGAACAAATCCAAGGTCGAGAGGTGTTCTTGCTTCTCTGCCAAAATCTGCGAGTGCAGCAAAGTGAAGTCGGCACGGATGGCGTCTTCATCGTTCAGGAAACTGTCCGAGGTCTCGGCTCGCACTCTTTTGAAGGATGAATACGCCTCGTCGAAGCGGTCGCGGTCAAGCACTGTTCCAGATCAATACACCGAGTCTTCTCCAAACGACAAGAGAAAGTGAAACGTACGCCATCGGGGCGACTCTGGCAGGAATAGCACTCCCATAGCCAGTAATGCAGGCCAGACAGCTTGTACGGCGAGTGGGATACGCCATTGAGCTCCAGCTGCCTGGACAAAGTAGAACCCTACACCGATCCAACTGGCGGAGGTGTAGCCGATACAGATCATCACTCCGTGGATGCCGACCAGCATCCCACGGATTTTTGGTGGTGCGACCTCGCTTTGGTAGAGGGGTACGAGCGTGACGAGAGCCCCTGTTGCATGTTAGGACTCTTGAGGGCAAGGCCATCACTTTTTTACTAAGAAAAATAGTCCGAGTCAAACTCACCAATCCCAAGTCCAGTTATCAAGCGGGCCACAATGTACATGCCGATATGCACGCTGCCTGCCTGCAACGCTCCTCCAATGGTAGTAACGATACTCGCTACAAACAATGCTTTGCGGCGACCCAGCCAGTCGGCAGACTTCATGCAAGACAACGTCCCGAAGAGACCGCCGACTTGAAAGAGTCCATTGGTGGCTCCGATCAGGTCGCTCGCGTTTGGTCGCGTGTCGAGTTCAAAATAGGATATGAAGGAGGGCTGGCCGAGAGTCGTCCCGATGATGCTGGCACAGTAGCCATAGGTCACGCTGCCGAGGGCAACGAAGACCACAATCTGGAAAGCCAGTCAATGTCTCGCGCCGGGAATGGTCTGGTAAGTTTCTTACCAGAAATCGAAGCATCGAAGCAGAGAGAGCCATCTTCGCAACAGGATGCAACAACTCTCTCCTAATCGCAAGCTGGGAGCAAATAGTTTGCCTTCGAGAAACGCATGTTGTCGTTGCATTATATAAGATGTGCTACGATCAAAATTCTATCATCGCTACGCGAAATTGTATCACTGAAACCCCACGAGGAACGCTCAGAAAGCAGCTGTTTAGTGGGACCTGTATAGAGCTCGAACAGGAGGCTGATATGGTGCTGGAGGTTGCCATTGGCTACAGTAACGAACGCTTGCCCCCTATTCTTCAATAGCTCTTACGAAACAAGCTTTGATTGGGATGTTAGTATTCTCGCGGGTTCCGCACAGCTGCCCCCAGGAGTAGAGCGTGGTCTGGGTCCCTCCCCACGACTGCGACACATGGTCCACCCCACGACTACTCGCGGGTTGGCTTCTGGGGTTACGGAGGTGGGAATTCTCAGTGGACTTTCCTGTGTCCATCTTTTTCGAGGCTGTACCGCGGAATCTGAGCTCGAGATACGTTCCTCTGAGCAGGACTCCGTTCTCCCCAGAATGCGCTAGCGCTCAGTCTCTTATCATGGCGGGGATTCCGTGTGAGGGTCTGAAGCATTTTGACACTGCTTTTTCATGGCTCTGTTTTGGAGCACCAGACATTTGCCTACGGGCGCAAAGGCGCTAGCTTGATGGCTGTGCAGTGCATCATGGACGGACACGTAAAACCCCCGCTCGAGCATTGATCATTCTGTGCAGCAAAGATTCCTTTCTGCCGGCGTGGAAATCACGACTCGGTGCAAAGAAATGGATCATCCATGTGCCTTCGATTCAAAGGCACGATGCAGGTGGTACAATTCGACCCATATAACCGCAAGTCAGCGGATCTTTTCCACTCGAGATGGCCAAATTGGTATTCGGTGTGTACGAAATGTCATTGTTCTACAACTTTGCTCCACATCTGCCTCGAAAATGGCATTGAATTCTACTTCGGTGCCTTTGGCGACTTCAGCCCTTCCGCAATGCCAGTTCCATGACCGATCCATACCACCTGGCTCAAAGTGGCTTTAATGCGTGGAGGAATTTTGGTTTCGGGGGCTGTGCCAGGGCCCCCGAGTTGGCAAAGTCCACAAACTCCTGCGCCGCGACGTGCTCCTCAAACGCCTTTCTCCCGGTGTAGCGTTCGAAGACGTGGAAGTGGTTGGGGTTTTCGTCGTCGCGGGAAATGGCGTACTCGAGCACCCCGGGTTCCGACTTGGTCAGGCGAACCAGAATCCGGAGGTATCGCTCAAGGTCATCCGCGCGACCTTCTTTGGCGTAAAGCTGTCCCATTGTGTCAACGAGGATCGGTCACGCTAAAAGAGGACGCCCGGGCAAAACTCACGTCGGCGTATAGCTCGAATTGGCCTTCGGGGATGGGAGGAAACTCGATGGATGTCATGTTTGGCTCTCGGAAACCTGACGTGCGGTTGTTTTCCTAGTTGGTCAATGAAACTTGTGACAAGCTGGGCATGCATCGCGACCTTTTATGTGCTAACGAACATGTTGGTCCGACTCCGCAAGAAGGCGTCGTGGGGCGAATATGGGGAAATGCTCAACCGAGGGAGTGAATCTCCACAATTCTCTGCGGAGTTTTTCGAAGCGATACCACAACAGGACCCTCTCGGACGAAGTGCACTTTATGCAGTAGGAGACTTTGACAGGTGTTGCAATGAATAGTTCGGTGTGGTATTAGGTGTAGCAGAAAGTGGCTTCTTTCTCTCCTTCTCCCATACTCCGTGCACATTTCTAAGCCTGGCTTAATAGTATATGCGGCGGGTGCAACCAAGGTGACCAATTTCAACACCAGTAACAATTCACCATCAGTATCATGTCGAATTCCAGCAGCTCGACTGTTGCACAGCGATGGAAGGGCAATTGGATGGTGGCGGCGGTTGGTGGATTTGGATTTCTCCTTCTGGCGCTCTTGCTAGCGAGCCCTACCACAGTGCTAGACCGTTACTTTGGCCGCGTTCAAAGCAGGGATGCCAAAAGCCGATACCTTGGTCACGGGGGTCTCAACAATGAGCATTGCTGGACAGATCCTTGTGAGCCTGGAGTCCCTCGATTAAGAATCTTGTCCTCCCTGCCGATTACCCTGCTGACTGTCCCAAGCTGGCCAAACCTGTGAAGACGTCAAAATCCACCATGAGACCAACACGGCATTTCTTGGTGAGCTGGCACCTCCCAACCCTATGCAATGTGCTGATTATCATCTGTATAGCCTGTGGGGACCCAGTAGGACGGTCTCAGTTCTATCCACCAATAAATAACCACTGGACGTCCAAACGTAAAGACTTTCGCGAGTATTTCTTGAAGTATGACATTAAGGTAAGGCAGGGTTTTGGGTCACAGAGCCGGTGCATTGGACGATTGTTCACCAGAATATCAAACAGGGAAACAAGACCACGAGACTGGAAGTGAAAGGCTGGGATGGTGACTTGGTCCTTCACGGGATCGATATTTGGAGGTTCAAAGACGATCCTTCGAAGGTAGGAAATCATCATGCCAGTATGCCCCCATTATCCCTAACCATTGCCTTCAAAGATACACCTGTTTGCCGTGAACCATGGCCGCAAAGGTGAATCGATCACCATTTTCTCGCACAAGCTTGGCACAAACGTGCTCGAGTTTGTCAAGGACATCAGTCACCCTGAGTTGAAAACGCCAAATGCAGTGACCCCTTCTGGCCCTCTGTAAGTCTCCCGGATGCTGGCAGACTCTGTTCTGAACATTTGGTGTCTAGATCATTCTTCAGCACCAATGACCACTACTACTACAACGGCCTCTTGAGAAGTCTTGAGGACAAATACGCGCCCTTCCGGTGGGCTTCTTGGGTCATTCATTGTGACGGCTCAGGCTCGAAGACCACTTGCCGAAAAGTGTCGGATAACCTCCAGTATGCGAACGGTATTCTCTTGACGGAAGATGGCAAGACTCTTCTAGTCAACGACCTATACGAGGGTACGACAATCGTATATAGTGTTGATCCGGAGACAAAGGAACTTGTGCTGGAGAGAAAAGTTGTACGTCAACGGAAAGGAGCCAACATCCCGTTATTCGTCGCTGATAACACTGGCAGAGACTCGGAGCCACTCCGGACAATCTAGCTGAAATTCCCACCAACGGAGACATTGTTGTTCCAGGTAAGTAACCGAGACGAGACGAGAATCTCAACCACGAGGAGTCGCAGTATTGGAGGCGCTTTCATCTCGGTCAAACTGCAAGATGCTCTGCTGATACTTGGCCCATAGTTTTCCCCAACCTGGTCACCCTGTTCAAACGTGGCTTTGGACCTGGCGGCCTCGACTACGGCACCCTGTGCGAGTCTGCAGTGATCAGACTGGACAAATCAAAAGGGTATGCTCCGGAGTTGCTATTCTGGGATGACGGCTCGCAGTTGAGCGTCTTGACCGGGGCTGCGGTCGATCCTTACAACAAGAGACTCATCGCAGGCGGAATGTTTTCCAAAGCATTTCTTGTCTGCGACATCAGCAACGACAAGACGGGACTGGTCTTTGGATGAAGATCGATACTCAAAAGTACATATAGCACGGAGTTGAAACATTCTGTTGGATGTGGAAACGAGCACCGAGCTCGACATACGCCGTGCGACGTATATAGAGGAACTATATAAACCGCGAAACCCACGTCTGTCAATTCAGTCCCATACCTTGTTCTCTCGAGATTCTTATTGGTGTCGCCAATATGATGCGCTGACTATGCAAGATCTGAGCTTTGGTTTTAGCACACAATCTGTGTAATCTTCGTGTGATGTTCCTATTCTGCCAAGTCCTCCCAGTATCTATCCCCTAGCTTTCAAGCATTGAGATATCAGGAATCTACTTTTACACCAGAGCGGTTCAAACGATGAGGAATCCGCTATTAAAGTCAACTTCGAGCGTCACATATATAGGTGCCAATACGTACCCGTCGACGGGGATATCTTGCCCCGTCACGTAGCTAGCCATGGGAGACGACAAAAACACAATGACATCGGCAATCTATAAGCGTCAGTTCTGGGGTTGCTCCGCTTCCCAGGTCGTCATAGGGAAATTGTTGTTTCCATTCCCAGTTCCCGACTCACCTCTCGTGCTTCTCCCAGACGGCCCATGGGACAAACTTTGACATAGTCGTCCATTCCCACCGAAGAGCCAGCGCCGGGCATTCGGATCATAGGAGTGTCGGTGTATCCCGGACAGACTGCATTAACCCGGATGCCGCTTTTAGCGTAATTGGCTCCGTCCTGGAAAATCCGCTTCGTTAGTTGAAATATTCGTGAGAGGTCTTTCCAGCAGATCCCGCACAATGATCCGAAGATAGTGGTAGTCTTACACTTCTCGTCATCCCAAGGACAGCATGCTTAGCAGCGCAGTAAGATGTCGTGTTCTTCCCGCAAGTGTGACCATAGATAGACGAGAGATTGACAATCGAGCCTTTTGCGCCTCTGAGACCAAGGTCTATTTGTTAGTCACACCTGCTTGCGATATCTTTTGTATCGTGATACGGCATATGAAATGGTCGATAGGGGTGGGATAGTACCTCTGATTAGGCTGCTGGGATTCCATTTGCTTTAATTGCTCGCGTTGACACATCCAAACACCGAACAGGTTGACGTCGATTCCAAACTTGAATTGATCGAAGCTCGACTCCGCACTGGCAATCATGAAACCTGGAGTTCCGGCGTTGTTGACGGCATAGTCAATACGCCCGAAACGTTCGACTGCTGCTTTATGGGCGGATATGATAGACGACTCGCTCGTCACGTCCATTTGTATCGTTTCAATCTCGACTGTCGGGTATTGCGTTTGAATCTCCTCTTTGGTCTGTTTGAGCCCGGCTTCGTTGATGTCGGTCAACACTAAACCTTTGGCCCCGTAGTGCGCGAACTGTTTGCCTGTGGCTCTGCCAATTCCTGGAACAGAGTTGTCCAGTTAGCCTCCAGGATGTTGAGAGACAATTACGAATTCGAAAGACGTCGCCTTACCAGAGCCGGCTCCCGTTATGAAGGCGATGCCACCATCGAGCAATGAAGCCATGACTTTTCCCTGAATTAATCTGCCCAAGATCCTTGATTGACAGTTTGCTGATGGATTTGATTATGCCGTGGAGTCAGAAATGGCCGAGATTCGTTGCTTGACCTGGTAGCACAAAGAATTTAATGCCTACGTGAGCAATCAATGTGAAGAGCCCGAGGAAGACTTCGTCGTCGAGGGTTCTGCTGCTTGAAATTAAGAAATCTCCAATATACTTGCTCCAAACAATATGCGGGGAATTGTCTTGGTATCTGGTGGGGATTGTAAAGGTACACTTATGTGACAGTGATGGAGGAGCGGATGTTGCGTGTTTCGCAAATTGTTGCCGAGGCTGTTCAAGCTGTTGAGACCTGTTTTCAAGGTGGCTTTGCATTTTCAGTCTAGACAGACAATCAAGGTCCAGCAAGGTACTGTATGACCCTATGTTGGGCGACATTCTCGAACCCAGAGCTTAGATTGTAGTTGACACAACGAGATGCTTCAGTCTCTTCCATTCATGGCGATCTAAAATACCATTTGCAAGTTCTCCATACAAAGTTACCAATTCTTTCTTTTTGATGGCAGAGGCAGCTCCAGCCAGACTTATTCCAGGATGAAACCGGAATATCTTGACTTTGCACTCTCCCAGATCCTTCTTCTATATTCGGGCAGTCCTGCCATGTAGTTGAGTGCCTCCTTTGGCTTTCCCGGGATATTTCCTCCAAAATACCAACTATCCGCTTCAATTAACAGACTCTTACCGGTAACATCATTCACATGCTCCCGCCACTGGGTTTCCGCTTCTCTCGTTGGCTCAATCGACCTCAAGTTCTCGTTCCGGAGGAACTTCAAACATTCCACTATCCACGAACCCTGAGATTCAGTGCACGCCGGGCCTGTAGCAAAAGCTGTAGGGGCTTGTGGACCATAGACAAAGAAGAAGTTCGGAAATCCATGGGTGGTCATTCCGAGGTGTGTATAGACTCCCTTACCCCATTTCTCACGGATAGATTCCTCCTTGCCACGAATGTTGATTTTGGTCATAGATCCCGTGATGGCGTCAAAGCCAGTTGCGAAGATGACAACGTCAAACTTGTGCTCAACACCATCCTTTGTGATAATACCTTCAGCTGTGAACTCGGAGATGGGATTCCCATTTCTGCTCGCATCAATCAAAGTGACGTTATCGCGATTGAAACATTCGAAATATCCTTGTTCGAGGCTGACGCGCTTAGCACCGAAGGGATGAGGGGGTATTTCTGGTGCGAGTATCTTAGCCGCCTCGGCGTTGGTGATTCTGGCGAGCGCTTTCTTCCTCCAAAAGCGATAAGCTGCGGCATTAACCTCTCGGTCTTCGAAAAGATCCAAGTAGTTTCCAAGCCAGAAGTGTAGGCCACCACGGTAGAAGAGTCCCTCCCAGAGCTCATTTCTCTGTTCTTCGGTCGCGTCTTTCCCGTTTGACGGCTCGAAATCGTAAAGGAAGCCTGCATAAGTTGTGCTGATTTTCTGCGTAATGTTTTGAAAGTTCTGCTTGAGCCTCTGATTGTCGGCCTCCTTGATTTCGTCCTGCCCCATTGGAAGAGCCATATTTGGTGTCCGCTGAAAAACGGTGAGATGAGAAGCAACCTTGCTGATTGCTTGCACAAGTTGCACTCCACTGGCACCCGTTCCAATAACAGCAACGCGCTTCCCGTTGACATCGAGACTACCATCCATTGGCCATCTTGCCGAATGAGTCTTGGCTCCTTGGAAAGCTTCGATGCTCTTGTAAGGCGGAATATACGGTTTGGCTGCAAATCCCGTACCCATGATGATATGCTGTGCGCGGAAGATCTCTCCCGACCCCCCAATTTCAACAAGCCAAGATTTGTTGGGTGGGTCCCATTCCAATGACGTGACTTGCGAATTGAAGGTGACATCGCGATCCAGGTCCCACAAGCGACTGACGTGGTGGAAATATTGCTGAATCTCATCCCGTCCGGGGTATCGTTGAGTCCAGTTCCAATCATCCACTGAGGTCTTCTCGGTGAACTGATAAACAGGAATTTCTGTATCGACTCTCGCGCCTGGGTAGCAGTTCCAGTACCAAGTCCCGCCATAGTCAGAGCCCGCTTCGAACACATGGGCCGAGAATCTCTCTTTTCTCAGATGATAGAGGTGCCACATGCCGCTGAAGCCAGCACCAACGACAACAACATCGTATGACTTGGTAGGGTTAATCGAGCCCATTTTCCTGAACAAGCGACGATACGAGAGATTGAACAACTGTCTCTCAAACGAACAAGACGAAAAAGCAAAGTGTAGAGAAGTCAAGAGCAATGTCGTGTCTCAAACTGCCACAGGCATCCCCCCTTTTCTTTAAACCACACTGAAATGAATATTCGCCATCGGTCCAGACAAGGCTCTCAAGAGATACGATTGGCTGGAATTCCCCACAAGTCGTAGTCGAATAGGGGACTTCAGCCTTGCGCCAGTGGGGTTTAATAGGAACGGCGCTGGGGGTTTTCGGCACGATTTGAAGCGGGGAAGTTAAGGCTCAAGGATGGAGAGTTGGAGTTTTTGACAATGTTTGGTAACTTCTCAAGTGTCCAGTGGCATGACCAAGAATTTGTTGCAGGGGGTTTTGTCACCTGCAAGGTACGCACATTGTTGTCTATCTCACATCGAGAAGGGCTAAGTGGGTGCGACCAGAAAATACTCCGCAGAGTCGTAACCCATAGGCAGCGCTAGAGAGTTGAACGCGAATTGGACATGTTGATCAACCTCTCATAGCCTTGTCTCATCTCTTCCGGCATGCCACCCTTGGCAGGCTTTCCCAGATGCCCATCGGTTTGTGTGACAAAGACGTGTGTCGAGCCTCCCACAGCTTTGATGTCCTCCTCACCTCGTCGGAAAACCCCCACTTCGTACATGACGCTCGATTTGCCCAGCTTGACAATCCGCAACCCGCAGTCGAGCACGTCTGGATAGCTGACGGATCCGAAATAGTCAAAGTAGGTGTTGGCAATGATTGCGGCTTGCTCGTGCTTGTTCACTGTATACCCGCATTCCTTGATCATGTATTCATTGATGATACTATCGGCCAACACTCCATAGTTGGGATTGTTCATATGACCGAAAATATCGTTGTCGTTCCTGGTACCGATGAGTTGTGACCATGAGGGTGTAAACTGATGCAATCACTTACCAGCGCAATCGATAGTCTAGATGGTAGCCGTAGTCGGTACGTTTCCGCAGCCTCTTCGATGCCAGATCTAGTCCAAGTGTTGCCATCGTTCTCAACCTTTAGCTCTACGCAAGGCAGTTAGAGCCTCGCCGAATGTCTCTGCGAAGTTCAAACAATTATAAAGTCCAGATAGATCTCACAACACACAGTCCCATGGCGCTAACGCGCTTATTGGCCTGGACGTTGCATAATGGATCCACGAGATCATGCGTTACTTTGCGTTCCTATGTGCACTACATTGAATTACATGCTGTGGGTTGTGGTGGGGATTAATTTCTTCCATAGGTACGAAGCCTCAGGTTTCAGAGCCGATATCCATTTACCATATGCTATGCCTAGGACCTATCTTGCCGTTACTATGGGGACGATAATTCTCCCACTCTATCTCACGCGGAAACGGAGTGCCCAACTCTGGTGGCAAAGATCTCGGTGCACTGGCCAATCTGTGTGGTAATGCACCGCGGGGTTTCGCAATGGAGAGTCAAGATCGAGAATCAACTCATACATCGCAGTATGTAGATATTGAACGCCAGGCGTGGCGTTAGATGCGCGGGTAACCTACGTCGAAGGGTCTGGCTATAAGCTCTAACATTACTACTCCTTTCACTCCATGCTTTATCACCAAGTATTTGAATCTTTATTGTCTTTCAGAGAACTGGATTATCGATATCAAAGCACCCCTTCAACAACGCTCCCGAAAACTAGTGATGGCGCCCGAATTGGTTTATCTTCCCCCTCCTGAATTGGAAACCAATTTCGACATCTTCCGGAAGAGAATAAATTCTGAGCTTAGTCTTTCGCTACGAGACTATCATGATCTCCATCGATTTTCAGTTGAAAGGCCAAACGACTTCTGGATGGCATTGTGGAGATTTCTGGACGTCAAAGCCTCCGTACACCCTACCAAAGCCGTCGACGAATCACTCAGGATTGATCAGTTTCCCACATTCTTTGAGGATGCACGTCTCAATTATGCGGAAAATCTGCTCTGCAGGTCAGATGCAGGTGTGGCCATACGATATCTCAGCGAAGAAAACTTGGATTCCCCGCGGGAGGTTACCTGGAAGGAGCTGAATGAAAGTGTCCGGAAATTATCAGATGCCATGAGAGCATCGAATATCTCAACAGGAGACGTTGTTTGCATTATCGGAGGCAGCTCACCAGAGTCTCTTGCAATCTTCTTGGCTACAGCATCTGTCGGAGCAATAGTTTCTGCATTCGCAACGGACGCAGGAGAGAGAGTGTTGCTTGATAGAATGGGCCAGGTCCGCCCAAAGATCGTGTTTGCAGAGACATCCTACCAATACAACGGAAAGAGACACAACATCTCCCCCAGAATTATGAAGGTGTTCTCAATGATCGAGAAGGAAGCAGACGCACAGGTCATCTGCATTTCTGGAACTCTCCCTGACGGATGGGTTCCTTTGGACGACTTTCGACAGCGTGGGACCGGGAGGCCCCTTCACTTCGATCAAGTACCTTTCAGCCAACCACTTTTGATCGCATTCTCTTCGGGCACCACGGGCACTCCGAAAGGCATAGTCCATTCTCACGGAGGCTTGGTTGTCAATGGAAAGAAAGAGAGTCTCCTTCACAAAAACTTCGGTCCCGATGACGTACACTACCACTATGCAGGGATTGGCTGGGTGCTGTGGAATATCATGATATCGGCAATGTTTTGCGGAACTACTGTCGTCCTGTACGACGGGTCCCCATTCTATCCAACCCCGGAGAAACAACTTGCAGCAGTGCTGGGGCAAGGGGTGACGGCTTGGGGTGCTGGCCCCAGATACTTTTCCGAACTCCAGAAAGCCGGTGTCAACCCCAGGCCTTACGTCAAAAACCTCAAGTGCATCTTGTCTGCTGGGGCAATCTTGACTGAGCCTCAGTCAAAGTGGCTCGCAGAAGCATTTGGCCCCGTATGCCAAATGTCATTCTCTGGTGGTACTGAGCTCTGTGGCAACTTCCTGGCGGGCCATATCGGTATGCCAGGGTACGCAGGTGAGATGACGGTCAAAGAGCTTGGGGCGGACGTCGACATTTTCACTCCAGATGGCAAGCCTGCGAAACATGGCGAGAGTGGAGAACTTGTGTGCAAAAAGCCGTTTCCCAATATGCCCGTCAAGTTTTGGAATGACCCTGGCAAGAAAAGATACACCGACTCATACTTCTCAACGTTTCCGGGAGTCTGGAGGCACGGAGACTTTATCAGGATGAACCCAGAGACTAAAGGCTGGGTGATCCTTGGTCGCAGCGATGGCGTGTTAAACCCGTCAGGCGTACGCTTCGGCAGCGGAGAAATATATTCCATCATCGACCAGAAATTCCGTGACAGAGTGGTGGACTCAATCTGCGTTGGCCAGCAAAGAGCTTGGGACGAAAGTGAGCGTGTGTTCTTGTTTCTCAAAGCAGCAAAAGGCTCGAACACGGTCTCATTGGAGAGGGAAATCCGCGCTCAAATTGCCAGGGATCTTAGTCGCCGCCATGTGCCTCAATTTATGTTCTGGGTGCGGGAGATTCCCTACAATACCAACAATAAAAAGCTGGAGATACCGTTGAAAAAGGTCCTTTCCGAAGGAGGCGCAGGAATAGCGAAGTTGACATGCCCCGCGGAGGAGAAGGCAGTGTTGATGCAATATCTACCATTTTACGAGGTGGAGAAACTGCTGGTTAGGGATGTCTCTCCATCTCCACTGAGCGCTAGATTATAGAGCGTTGTATAGTTCTCCAGTTAGAAGGAGCTTGGATAGAGAATAATTCGTTGTTTGCGAGGAATCTCTAAGGACGTGGATGAAAGTCCCAAATCTGCAAACGGGGCCCTGTTAAATTGAACAGAGTCGGATGACTTGTGTCTCCGTAGATTTCCCGCCGCCTGTTCCCGTACGGAAAGATATTTTGATTTCGACTATCTCGGAAGGAAAATAAACATGTTGCACGGCTGTCTTTTCGAGGCGGGGAAATCCTGGCACCCTGGCCAGGCGCACCTCGGCCGCACTCAGCACATTAGCTGTGGTGAAGTATAACCCCCGCCCAGCCGGAACGGTAGAGAACTCCGAATATCTAGAGCTACGGTCTTTCATTTATCGAAAACCTGTCGTCTTCGATGAGAGCAAATCGACATTCACTGAAGCTACAGTTACTGCGACCACGATGGGTTTCCTTGAAGCATTTGAATCGCCGCCTCCAAAATGCGATGGCTGCGACGTAACTTTTCCAGAAGCTCATATTATGCTCGCAACGATCAACCGTCCGCGTCAGATGAATTCAATCCCATACGCCCTTCATTGGCAGATGGATGCCTTGTTCAAGTGGTTTGATAACGAGCCGTCGTTACGTGTTGCCATTGTCACAGGTGCTGGGAATCGGGCCTTTTGTGTCGGTTCGGATCTGATCGAGATGCAGCGGGTTAAGAAGTCTGGCGACGACTCATGGAAAGCTGAACCGTATAAATATAATCACCCAGCCTCTGGATTTGCTGGGCTCAGCAGGAGGGAAGGGAAGAAGCCAGTTGTGGCCGCAGTCAACGGCTATGCATTGGGTGGAGGGTGGGAAATTGCCCTCAATTGGTGCGTCTCGGAATGATCCACGGAAAATGGTTGGAAGAGTCGAACATCCCTAACGCGTGGACAGTGATGTGGTTATTGCCACCAGAAATGCGCAGTTTGGTCTTCCTGAAGCTAAAGTCGGACTGTACGCCTACGGAGGAGGTCTTCCTCGTTTGATTCGGACAGCGGGGCTTCACGTCGCCAGCGAAATGGCACTCAGCGGACGGTCCATCACTGCAGAGCAAGCACTGCAGCATAATCTCGTCAACCGAATTGCGAAGAAACCAGAGACGCTTATCGAAGAGGCGATCAATATCGCACGAGAGATCGCTGCGGTATCGCCAGACGCAATGATCATCACGAGGTCAGCATTGAGAGAGGCATGGGAGACACCCAGCGTTGAAAGAGCCTTTCAAAACACTCATGAGAGGTTCTACGAGAAGATGATGGCAGGTGAAAATTCGAGTGAAGGATTGGCCGCGTTCAAGGAAAAGAGGCCACCGAGGTGGAAGCCATCGAAATTGTAGCCTAGGAACATGAGCCGCTTGATAATACCGCAGTATGCATTGAGGCAAGACTTGGACGTGCCTGAAATACCTTTGCATGCTAAACACGCTCGATGTTGTGCACCCGTCAGTGTGTTCTAAGACTCGACATTTTCTCACAAAGCTATGCCAAAAGAGTGATGACAAGCCAACTAGGCTTATCGCTAGCAAGTAAAAGGCACAAAACACTAGCCTTGCGAAAATATGCGCTCTTGCTAGCTCGTTAGTACAAGAACCGAGTACCTCGTATACCACGTCATACAAGGGCTAAGACTATCCTGAACAATCCAAATCCCCCTACAGTAACAAGGGACCTTCGCAGGAAAGCGTCTTTGCATTTCTAAGCCAGCGGATGAACGGGTCACAAATTCAATGCGTGTTTTCTCTCAACAGTTATCAGGGAAGGACTTTGTAGTGGCAACAGATTCTACTTGACCTTTCCCCACAAACCTCATCAAAACCCCCGCAACGCGCATCTGGGCTGTGGAGAAACTGCACACCAATATCCCGAGAACGTCGTCGTTAGCCTTTACTTTAAGGCCATGTCGCTCAACAAGTCCATTGCGTAGATGGGACCAGATCTGACAGCAGGAGTACAGGTTATCTCACAAGACCAGACAGAATGTCGTTCCCCGTGCGTGGAAAGAATGCAATTGTGACGGGTGCAAGTTCAGGTATGCGAATGCTCTGTCAAGGCCATCCTGTGGCCAGGTCTCCGAATCGCTGACGGCTATCGAACTGGGCAGGCATCAACCTGGCATTTGCAAAATTGCTAGCCAGTAATGGGGCACACGTCGTTGTCGCCGATGTCCAGGAGACTCCAGCGTTCAAAGATTTCCAGCAAGGGACTAAAGCAACCAAGGTGCTCTTTCACAAGACGGACGTATCAAACTGGAAGGATCTGGAGAGACTGTTTGCTTTCGCAAAGTCCGAGCTGGGTCCCATCGATGTGCTATGCAACGGCGCAGGTGTCTTTGAACCGGTTCGCTCTTGTCCCTTCTGCCAAGTGCCAGAGGTGAGAGACCATTACTAATGCTGATTGGCACAGGACTGGTCGAGTTTCTGGAAGGACACGGAATCCGAGAGCTACAAATCGATCGACATCAACGTACAGGGCCTCGTCAAGGGCACGCGGATGGCCATCCGGGATCAAATCACGAGATCCAAAGGCAGAAAATCCAACGAGACGGTGGGAGTGATACTCAACATCTCTTCACTGGCCGCTCAATATGCTCTCTTCAATCAGCCACTGTATTCTACTGCGAAGGCTGCCGTTTCCGCGTTCACGCGGTCCCTAGCACCTCTCCACCAGGAGTTTGGAATCAAAGTGGTCGCGGTCGCCCCAGGCATGGTCATGACGCCGTTGTGGAGCAACAACCCTGAGAAAATGAAGGCCATTTCGGACGCAGATGTTTTTGCCACTCCAGAAGAACTGGCGGAGACCATGCTCATGCTCGTCGAGAACGCCGAGTATGAAGGTGGCACAGTTCTGGAGAGGTTGAAGAGCACCACTAGGAGGGTATTGGTGGATAGCCCCCTCCCATCAGGGCCCGGTTCCACAATGAGTAAGATGGATCTGATCTACGACGACACCATTGCTCTATTAGAGACCGAGAGAAAAGGAAGTGCTGCGAAATAGTCGAGTTGTTGCGAGGAAGGGACCGTATCTAGGATGAAAATTCTTCAATTGGTCGTCGGATAAACTTGTAGGGGCCAAGCCTACTACTGGCCGAAGACGCCATGTTTCCTATTTTAACGGAGAAAAGCATGCCCTTGCAAGACGGCCTAGCAACTGTCCCCTGCATGTACTGGTCATAGTTATTTCACGTTCGGTTTGTCCCATCGAGAGAAAGAATGGCTTCAATCCCGGACAACCTTTCTCTAACTTGTTGGTACATTACTTCGAAACATCGAAGGAGAAACATATCGTAAAAGTCCCAGAGACGAGGATTCGTGATCATTTGACATGGGAGCGAGCGCAGACAGATGTTTGCTCTAGTTCTGCATGCATTGTGGCTGAAATGTGCTGGTTTCGTGGCGTTGAGCAGCTTCCTGCTCCTCGCTTTGCAAGAGGCGGACGAAGATTTCCGACACATTTGAAGCCATTTGCCAGACTTTAAGTCGTCGAGTCATATCCACGCTGAGCTGAAGCACTCGACTGGGCGCTTCCGGATCTTGCACATCACCCACACCTTCTAGGAAAGTCTTGCCGCCGTTCTTTATCCAGTCTTTGACTGCCTGGCTGGCACGTTGAGAGCTGCAGAAGGACGGCTCGTCCAACTGGATCGAGGGTCCCACGCGCATTGATGCTTGATGAGGGCAAAAGTATTTGCAGGTCGCCCAAAGGGTGATCCCCGCCAGAAATACCGAGAGAGGCTCGAGAGGTGAGTTGAAAGGGTGGCGGCGCTGAAGGTAACACACCTGTGAGGCATGCCACATTATCTCCCTGATGATCTCTGGCTCTTCCCCAAATGCGGCTATTGCTGCGGTTTCGTCCACTGCTGTAGCTTTATTGGTAGAGCTTGACGCAAACCCTGTGTTATTGGGCAGTCTTGACATGTCAAGACCTGAAGCCCGTTTGCGTGCGACGCGAGTGACCAGGTCCACAATCTTTCCAGCACCAAAGATGTGGCTATAGTGCCCGGCGACACCGATGCGAAGAGCATGGCGGAGGGTGTAGCGACGTGGATGATCGGCCCAACTGAATTCGTACACGGAAATGATGGCTCTGGAAAGTTGAGACCGAACAGCACGACTGACTTCCAGCCCGTTGTTGTCCCGCCAGAGGATCTGGTACAGTTTCGAGTCCATCTGCTCTTGGCAAGCGTACAGCTGCTGGCCGAGGCATCGGATCAACAACCGTTTTCCGATATTATCAAGTGAGCTGATGATTGATGGGCTGGGTTTCTCTAGGAAATTATTGATGGTTTGCATGGTTGGAGGTCCTCGCGGAGCGGTTTGAAATGGACAGGCTGCCCAAGAAAATGCAGTTGGCGCATCCCAGTGTAGCTGTTCGCAAGGAAACTCTGGTGGTAATTCTTCAAGCTTTGTGCACGGATTCTGCTTTGAAAAGGCGGAGTAGAGACAGTCAAACTCCTATGGTTTGGGGCTTTGTTAGCTCTGGTTTTGCAGACCTCCCTGACTTATCATGAAAATTGACAAAGACACAAAGTGGATTAATATAAGGCAGACTCACAAATAAAAACCATCCCAATCTCTTAATTTGTTCTTTGCTCACCCACTCAAGCCAAGTTTGAAACGTGTCTCGCTCAGAGGAATCCGCGTCGTTGCGCGAGGCATGCAATCCGGCGCAATTCATTTGCCGCGCGATGCTGATGAGGCGCGAACGAGAAGCATCAGTCATCTCGAAAAGACGTCGCGAGCCTGAGCCCATAGCATGGAGATGTTGCAGCAAGAGTGATACTCCATAAGACGGAGATCGCAAGAATCGGGGGTCATGCTCGCCCTAAATCAACATAAGTTAATCGCCCTCACACGAAGCTGAGGGGGTGGAGCTGACCATCCAAGCAGACGTGCGCCTGCAAAGCTCGGCAAGCGTGTCGGCGAACTCAATAGACCGATCGAGACCAGAATAGCACGCCCCAATCTGTAGACATGTATCAGCCTTGAGAACCATATCCGATACCTCAACAATCGTGGCCGAAATGGAAAACTCACGCATGCCATTGTCAGCACCAGAATCGTGGGTGCGTCGGATATCTTGAATGTTGGCCTATGAATTATAGGCCAGAGCTAACATAAATTTATCAGCAAGGGAAAAAGGGACACGTGGCAGACACTACTTTCAACTCACATCATGAAAATGGAGAAAGTATAAATCCGTGAAGTGGTGAAGAATGTCAGGGCCGGGTAGTGACCGTAGCAAATCGACATCCTCCTGCCAGGGTACTCGTACAAGAGGTAGACTCAGAAGCTGGATGATGCTTGAAAGCTTTTTATCGTCTAGTTTGCCGAACGTACCGAGAAGCTGGAAGTTCTTCCGTGGAGAGCTGGTGCCGCTGACGCTGTGGTACTTTTGTGCGCTTCGGAGATCCTCGGGATTTAGAACTGGGAAAGTGATCCTTCCTTCCTCTCCTTCAGCTTGATATTCATACGGCCAGGTGTTGGTGTCTCTCTCCACCGAGACAGAGTCTGGAGCCTCTTCTAGAGGAGAGCTTGCACTTGGATCGTGGGATGCGGACGGAGTTGGTAATGCTGAAGTGTTTATATTCGGAAATGATGCCACCGAGTCTCCCTTGTCGAGCGAAAGGTCGACTTGAGTATTAGTCCCCATGACATTGTTATTCAACGCTTTAATATTGTCAGGTGTTGTCTGCTGGATCCTCGCAGCCCTGTTCGGATCCTCCAAGCCTTGCATTGGAACATCGGGAATGTTCAGGTCTGCAGGCATGCTATAGGTATTTGCCAGAGTTTCAGAGTTCATCCAACTGAGAAGGGAGAAATTACAGTCGAAATCTACCTTTCGTCAGTTCATTCCCGGAGGGAGGACGAAAGACGGACCGTCAACCCGCATGCTTACCGTTAAAAGGGTAGAAACCATTATCAAACAACGGCTGGGCTCCAGGATATGAGTTCAAAAGGTCCGAATCTTGTTGAAAAGTATTGGAGAAATTCAACCGGTTGTTATTGCGATCAGAGATTGGAGCTACACCGCCAGCATTGTGCAGTTCTGACGTTGTTGCATTCAAAAGCATTTCCCATTGTGTGTCGAGAGTGTCGCTGGCGATCTGGGAAGGTAGCTCAGACGCCTGTTCCGAAGCAATTTGACTGCGCTCGGAGGCAGTCCTTTCCTGCGGGAAGTTGTTGCTGGATTCGACGCTGGGCTGAGCCCCAGAATCGGCTGAAAGGGCAGATCTTTACAGAGTCAGTCGATGGGAGATGCAAAAGGTGTAAGTCAAGTACGCTTTGTTTGGTGCTTGTTTGGATGTCTTCCTTGGTCGCCCTTTCGGTCGAGGCTCGCAATGGATTCCGTGCAGAACGCGGTAATGCCGTACAAGCACATCCCTTGGTACGTCAGTCCCAGCCGAAAACAACCACCGCAACGTTGACTGACCTCCTAGAAAACCTTCTACCACATGCTGTGCAGGCCGAGTCGAATGCACCACGCTCTGAGTGAGCGGTTAGGCGATGTCGTTCCAGGTGATCTTGTCGAGACAAGACTTGGCCGCAGTCTTCACAGGTATGAGACTTGCTCTTGGAACTCCCTGAGCCAGCGGGCATCTTGAGTCTGGACACAAGATTAGGGCAATGTCACTTTTCGTCGTTGTGGAATTTCGAGCCTTGTCCACTATTTTTGTTTTATTGCGCGAAAGGATGGAAGTAGGGGCAGCAGGCGGGGTTTTAAAGAGAAGGCAGCGGGGTTTCCGAGGGCCAAGGAAAGCGTTCTAGACGGCCGCGCGGCAACTCCGGATTTCACTACTGAAGCGGGATCCCCGCACTTCCTCAGCGCTGGGGCGAGCTAGTCTAAAGCAGTTAGACCAGGGCCAATTACCAGGATTAGCATTGGTGGAGACGCGGCAATGGAGACTTGTGCTCTCCGTATTGCGTATGATTGGTGGTGTGATAGCCTTGCAATGATAGCTTGATGATGCTCTTGCTTGACTTATGTGAGGTCATATGCGAGGATATAGCCTCTGTTGGTAAATTTCCCCCTTTTGATCTTTATTCTTTGATCTCCTTCCGAGTTCGAACCCATCACCCCCGTTCTTGCAACAGGCTCAAGTGGAGCCAGTCTGCCAGAGATGTCGGACCGATCTAGCCTTGCCAGGATCCTGTGAGGATCTTACTGTCGCCAGCATCCAGCTGGACAGTAGCATGACCCGATCCACCCTCTAATCTCTTGGGATCGATACGTGCGACAAATTGCACCTTGCGCTTTCCAACGAAACGAGCAGACACCAGTTTTCCCTTCTTCCACTCTATATCCACCGATATTCCGCCTCGGGCACACAGTCCAGTGGCACGGCCAACGTCCTCCCACTCGTGTGGGAGACAAGGGAGGAGGTCCACATAGCCTTCTTCATGGCTTTGAATCAACATCTCCGCGATTCCTGCCGCAATACCAAAATTTCCGTCGATCTGGAATGGTGGGTGATCGCCAAAGAGGTTGGGGAGGGTGGAGTGTTGCAGGAACTTCTGGATGATTGCCTGCGCTTGCTCTGGCTCTCTTAGACGAGCATATAGTGCCAGAATCCATGCGGCACTCCAGCCAGTGTGCCCACCGCCGCCGGCCAGCCGTCGTTTCAAGGTGACTCTGACAGCGGATTTGTGCTCATCCGACAGGAGACTGCGACCGGGATATAGGCCGAAGGCATGCGAGATATGCCGATGGCCAGGCTCCACCTCCTCCACCTCTTCCATCCATTCGAGAAGTTCACCGTGTTTCCCAATCTTGGGTTGAGGCAGCTGGGACAGAACTTTGACGTATCTATCCGCGGGCTGCCCGAGGATCTTACTCGCTTCAGCACAGCCGGTGAAGAGCTCGTACAAGATCTGAGAGTCCCATGTTGCACCCACACAGACTGCACCGATATCCCTGGTGCCCGGGATGATGTAGGAGTTTTCGGCCGAAACTGTTGGTGATACCACCAGGACACCGTTTCTCTCAATGAGGAAATCCTCAAAGAACAACGCCGCCTCTTGGAGCAGGGGGTAGGCCCATTTCAAAAATTCCTGGTCATGAGTGTACAGGTAGTGCTCCCAGAGATGGGTACATAACCAAGCTCCCCCGAGCACCCAGTACGTAGCTGGGACGTAGCGGTCCTGAGGAGAACAGTCGCCCCATATGTCGGTGTTGTGATGCGCAACAAACCCCCTACACCCGTACATGTCTTGTGCCACTTGCTTGCCGCGTTCAGCCATGCGCTGGATGTGATTGAAGAGCACCAGGTGACACTCTGACAGATTGGCGACTTCGGCGAGCCAGTAGTTCATTTGAATGTTGATATTGATCGTATATTTGGAACCCCAGATTGGCTGATGGCTGTAGTTCCATATCCCCTGGAGGTTTGCGGGTAGGCCGGAGAGCGAAGATGCAATGAGGAGGTATCGCCCAAAGGAGAACATCAATGCCGCTAGGTCGTTGTCAACTTCGCCAGATTTGACGCGAGCAAGTCTCTTGTCTGTGGGAAGAGTTCTCAACTTAGAATTGTCTTCGCCGATGCGAAGCGAGACCCTTGAGTAGAGCGATGAATAGCGCTGTACGTGCCTATCCTGCAATTCCCGCCACGAATACTTTGCTGCTGCTTCAAGTCGATCAATAACGGCCTGGCCAGCGTCCTTGTTTCTGAAGGTGGTTTCGCCGGCGATGAGGATCAGGACCGAGTCTCCTGTGACATCCAGTTCCTCGCCCAGAAGACACTGGCCTTTACCTTGTTCGATCACGACTTTAACTCCCATTGCAGCCCACACGGCAGTCGGGCCTCCCAAATTGGCCTTCAAGAGAAGGCCGCTTGGAATATTCTCGAGGCTGTCGTAAAGACAATTCCGCTCCAACATTGGGTTGTCGTTGCTGCCACGGTTGACTCGGACCTGGAATCGAAGAGAATCCGTGCGGTTGCAGGAGATCCGTACAGCAACCACTTCGTCTGCTGTGCTTGCAAAATACTCGCGCAGATATTCAACTCCTTCAAATGTATATCTTGCACTTGCAATGGCAGTTGTCAGATCCAGACGACGAATATAGCTCTCAGCTGCGGGCCTGACAGCTCGCTTCGTCTGATCCGGAATTCCACTGAAATCCTTCTTGTCGTCGCTAGGAGTGCCGTGTCCAAAGGTCATATAGACATCGCCAAGAGGCGAATAGTGCCGGAGGCTCGAAGGCAGTGCCGTGAAAGTTCTCTTGAGCAGTTCTTGCGCTTCTTGCACCTGGTTGAGATCCAGCAGTCTGCGGACCTCGGGCAGGCTGTCTTTGGCCAAAGGGTTGACCCGATTCTGCGGGCCTCCGTACCAGACGGAATCTTCGTTCATCCACAGTCTGTCCACGTCCAAGCCGCCTTTGATCATCGCCCCTAATCGGCCCGTGCCAATTGGGAGTGCCTCCGTCCATATCTTTGCCGGATGCTCGTACCAGAGCACGCGATCATGTTCGGGGGGAGCCATAGCTGTGTTACCAAGATATGACTGTCTCTATCTCCAATTCTTTTGGAGGTTGCCACGTAGCGAGATACAACGGATCAAGTTTTGCCTCTCAACCTGGGGAATATAGTGAGTTTTTGACACAAGGAGCTACGAGATGGCTTCTCCTCTTCCATGGGCGGCCAATGCCGGACAGGACCCCGTGTAAGTCCATATCTCGAAGGGAGGAAGGGTACATCAACCATGGTGTCAGAGCCGATGGCATGTAGTCAATGACCTTGTTCGCCTGAATGCAGCCCAGGAGTATGGCCGAGTCGGAAAGCCTGTTCCTCGCTTGACTTGTTTGATTCGCGGGATATTTCCAAGGGTACAATGAACCGTCGGATAATTGTAAAATATCCTTCATAACGCAGTTGGGGCTGCCGATCAACTCATTTCAACCGAGGTCCATGATGCACCTTCGCAGATCACGTTCGTGAATAAGGAGAAGCACTGCATATAGTGTCTTGCAAAACCGGTTTCTACCTGGAAACAAGTAATTGGTTTATTGCTCTAACGTGCAGCCGTGAGTAGGCTCGCGAGTCAAGCCCAACTGATAGTCTTTCTGTCAAACTCTGCTTTCGCCTCTTTCAGATCGCGTGACGGCTTACTTCGACAATATTGCGTTGGGAGAAACTGTGGAAGAAGCTTCTAGTCGAAAGTTACTATAAAATATAAGAAACGAATTCTCCAGACCTCTTCTCAATAAAGTTATTAGAAAATATTATGAGAATGTAGTATTCTGTATTGTATCATTTTCTCTCATTTACAGGGCGACTCGGTTGCGATCCACAAAAATGACACGACCACTACTGCTCCCTATAATCAAAGAATCGCTTTTACTTACCCACGATCCGGGACGATACTCGGGAGGTAGCCACAATATCCTGCGCGAAGTCCACATGATCCAGTCACCAATGATTCTCAACTCGCCATCGGATACCGAGTTAGAGCTAGATGATAGCGCTGCGACAGTAGCTGGTGGTGAATTTCGAGGAATAGTGACGACTTGCCCATTGATCAAGATATTCGAACCACTGTCGCTGAACTCAACATGATTACTGTAGGTATCCGTTTGATAGCACAGCATCGCAGCGCCCGTCTGCAGATCCCACACTCGCACCGTATTGTCATCAGAGCCTGACACAACGCGCGACCCATCGGGCGAGAACACCACGTCTCTAACCCAGTCAGAGTGCCCCTCGAGCGTATGTTGGCACTCGCCCGTCTGTACATCCCACACTCGTACGGTCTTGTCGTCGGAGCCTGACGCCACACGCGACCCATCGGGCGAGAACACCACGTTATTGACTAGGCTAGAGTGCCCCTCGAGCGTACGTTGGCACTCGCCCGTCTGTACATCCCACACTCGTACGGTCTCGTCGTCAGAGCCTGACGCCACGCGCGACCCATCGGGCGAGAACACCACGTCTCTAACCCAGCCAGAGTGCCCCTTGAGCGTACATTGGCACTCGCCCGTCTGTACATCCCACACTCGTACGGT